ACGATTTGCAGGTCTCCCGAAGTGATCCGCCGGGACCCCAGCCCAAGTCGCAGCGGCGCGCGGCCGAGGGTCGCGAAATCGACAGACGGGCGTGGTTGCGAGTTTGCTGCGGGGGAAATGGTTTGGCGACGGAGGGAAGCGTTGGCAGCCGAATTTATCATGCGCGGCGTCATAATGACCGGGGCCACTGCAGAAGTGAGATTAGGTCACTACTGGGCAAACAGGTAGTGAAGATGCAGCGCACAGTCGGACAGAATTTTCGTGGAATCATGTTTCTTGTGCGAGAACCGGGCGAAAAGTGCGTTCTGAACGAGCTCGAGTTTGCTAGGGCCGGAGCTTGACGTTCCCGCAACCAATGGATCCAGAGCCGGGCGAGTATGAGGTTTCTTGTTCTCCGTCGATCCACCCGATGAGTGGGCAGACATGGAAGAAGAGGACGATGCAGTTGATTGTGGTTGAAAGCAAAAACGTATGTAAGTAGCTGTCACCACTGCCGAGACGCGAATATACCCGGGTGCGGACAACGCGCTTGGCTCACCCGCTCAAGAAGCAGGCCGCACTTGTACAGAGGCTATCTTGAATTAGAGTACGTATGATACACCAGCATTATTTAGGATTCGGCAAATGTGTCCATCCAAAGTCAAGAATTATCCCGAGCCCTTGCGGTCGAAGGTCGTATTCGCGCCGAAACAGTGGTAAGTGTGCGACCGGTTCTGCTGAGGCCGGTGCCTCTCGTAGCAGGGTATCATGCGAGCTAGTAATGGGCTCTACAACTTTTCGAGCTCTTCGGAAATACGAATCGAGAAGGCCCCGCACACCGGCTGCAACCTCACGGATCGGCGAAGCGTATCTCGCAGCTGGTGGGCCAGGTGAAGGAAGATCCTCTTGCAACACCTCGGTGGCATTCGAACCCAGCACTACCTCAGGCTCTTCTGTTTCCTCATCCGGCACCGTTGATTCCTCCGCCTGTTTGAGTTGGCTCGCTAGTCTGAGGATACTCGATTCTTCCCAGCGCGAAACGTTGAACGGTTCGAAAAGTCCGCCGGACCAAATATCGCACCAGCAGCGGTCTAACAGACTTATCACGGGAGGTACAGGAGCCTGGATCCCGCTGGGCAATGAGAAGTTGAGCGCTGCGCCGAAAGTCGTGATGTCGTCTGCCCAGGGAGTGGACAGTGGCGCCTCGAGGGGGAACGGATGCCAATTACAGGAGGAGAAGAATAGAGTTCCAAGCAGTACGATGCAGTAGAAACTGGAGACAAAGTGAGGTTCGGAGCCACTATACGTGAATCCACCGACCAAGGTCTAGCTTGGATGAACAAAGCAACAAGGAAGAGGATCAGAAAGTAGGGAGGAGCCGTCGGAAGAGGGAGAATCAACAAGGGCAGAAACCAACGAGTGCACCTTCCCGCTCGTTAGAGCAGGTTCGACGCGTCAAGCCGCTCACTTACCACATTGGTCAAGATGAAGTGCAATGATTGTCTTTGTTTACCTCGTGAACCTTCTGGAATCTGCACGTTTCTTTTTCTACGCTTTCTATCCCACCACTTCAAAATTGCCCTGTGAAAATGGCTGCTGTCCATCCTGAAGTTTTGTGGGCCCAGCGCAGCTCCGAATCGGACGAGGAGAAAGTGAAGCAGTCGACCACTGTTTGCGTAGAGCCCCACTGACGCGTCCATGCTCTCTTAGAACATCATCTATCTCACCATCAACCTGCCTGATATCCAGGAGTCCTCCCTGGAATACGCGCTCGAGCCGACGAAACTGACCTTCAAGGCCACCTCCGGAAAGTGTGTATTGAACAGCTGTTCTCCATCGCTTAGCCGCTGACGCGTTTTCAAGCACCAAGACTGGATCGGAGAAAGCATACGCCTTTGAGCTCGAGTTCTTCTCCGAAATCGTGCCTGAGGTACGCAGCGGTGCTATCACGTCCAGATCGCATCGCTAATCGGGCGACTCATTACCGATCTGTAGAAATCGTCCAAGAAGCTGTCGACGCGTTCTTTCTACCTTGTGCTCCGCAAAAAGGAGCAGAAGGCTGAGTTCTGGCCGCGCCTTACCAAGGAGAAGGTCCGGAACGCGTACTTGAAGACCGATTTCAGCAAATGGGTCGATGAGGACGAGCAGGATGGTCCCGAAGCACGCGAAGACGAGGACCTTGAGTCTGCTATGGGTGGAATGGGAATGGGCGGCGGTATGCCCGGAATGGGTGGAATGGGCGGAATGCCCGGTATGGGTGGTATGGGCGGCATGGGCGGCATGCCTGGTCTGGGTGGCATGGGCGGCATGGGCGGAATGCCGGGCATGCCAGCCGGAATGGACTTCGAAAAGGTAGCACAGCGCACCTAGCTGCCACCGAAAGCTGACGAGTGTTTCCAGATGATGGCGGAGATGGGTGCTGCGGGTGGCTCAGGTGCGGGTGCGGGTGACGAGGACGACTCAGATGATGATGGTCCTCCTCCCCTTGAGGCTGCCGAGCCATCGAAGTAGACCGCCCGCACGCAGTAGAAATTTGAATGTAACGTGTTGATCTATCGAAAGCTGTTATCTTCCCTGCTTTGAGTGCCTCACTATCCCAACGATCTGCAGAAACGAGTGGGCTTTATTTCTTCTCATTACGTCCTACGACAACGGTAATACAATATCATGACAATCATAACACAACAACAAGCTTAGGCCGAGGTGAACTGCAGAAAAGCGTCAGCAAGCGCGACGACGGCGAGACACAAGAAAGGACGCACGTAGGCACAGTCATCAAGCATACCGTGCTGGGCAATCGGGACAATGGCCGGAACGTGGTTGGCAGAGGTGTTGATGGAGCAGATGCGGTAAGAACCAGCGGGGACACCGGCGGTGACGGCGGCGGTGGCAATGCCGTTGGCGTCGGCCGGCGCGTCGATACCCTTGAAGAACACGAACTTGGTCGGGTCAGTCGGAGTGGTCTGGCCGAGCGCGGACAGGGCCTCGATCACGACGTGGGTGTGCCCGATGATCTGGCCCTGCGCATTCAGCTTCTGGGGCGCCATGAAGTAAGTGAACGCGGCGTTGGTGAAGACACCGGTCTGGATGTTCTTCAGCGCGAGCTGGACGTTGAATGCCTGGTTGGCGGTGACCGTGCCCTGGTTCGGCGGGAAGACGAACTTGGCGGACGGCATCTTGTCCTTGGCCGGGATCTGGCCCATCGGGATCGGGTTGCACGACCCGGTGGTCACTTGCTTTCCGTTGGTGATGGGCAGGTTCGAGATGGTCGCGGCACAGAAGTTGATGAAGTTGCTGTTGGGCGGCGTCAGAACCAACGATCGTCCCGTGTATAAAAATTCCGACGCACTTGGGGCTGGTGTCTGAGGCAGTCTGCCCGGCCACAGGCGGGTTCTGGCCATTCTGCGTGCAGTTCGTGCAGACAACGGACGGGTCGAGAGCTAAAACGCATGAATACAGGTACGGGTATCAAGTGAGTTTCATAATCGTCACTCACTGAGCGAAGCCTGGATCCCACCAGCAGCAGAGTTATCCGTGGCCGAGGTGACGGCGGGAGGAGCAGCCGCCGTTGTGGTTGCGGGAGGAGGAGGAGCAGCCGCCGTGCTAGCCGGGGGAGGGGGAGGGGCCGCCGCACCCGCCGAAGCACCCGTTGCAGCGATACGGGCATCGAAATCGGCCTGGGTGTCGCAAGTAATGGATGTTCCAGCAGAGTTGACCAGAGGAAGGGCAAAGCACCTGGAGCAATGTTGCATCAGAACGCATCATCTGGCGTAGCGCGAGACTGATCCTTACTGGGTGGTCGCGGCACAAGGCTGGAGAACGAACTTCCCGCCGACACACTGCGCGAACTGGCCCGTCACACAGGCATCTTCACCCTCCGTGCAAGGGCTGCTTGCAGTCAGGGTAGCGAACTTTGCGTTCAAGGCAATAGCAGCTTCTCCATTTGCTTTAGCATCGACGCGACGGTCGAGACGAGCAGGGCGGGCAAGGGCAGCAGATGCGAAAACAAGGGCGACGAAGGTGGAACGCATTGTTGTGAGATGAAAGGAATGTAGAGTTGGTCGAAGGAAAAGACACCAGGTCAATAGTTAGAAGAAGAAAAAAGCAGAACGATCTCGAATCGTGCAAGAAAGAAAGAGGGCAAAGGAAGGTGAACCATCGAAACGATTGCCTCAACCAGGTTTATATATGATCATTGAACCCAAAAAGGAATGAAACACCGCCGGAATGATCTGATGCAAATGATGCCAGCGGTCGCGTCCCCCAAGTGTTGGCAAGGGCAACGGCGTGCTGGCTGCTGTGCAAGATCCGTGTGCAGTAGTAGTACGTACATGAGCTGGGCGTTTCGGGTCTCGGTGCGGCAAGGGGTGATTGTTGAGACCAAAATATTCATGATACTTACACTGCTATTTCTGCCCCCATTAATCATGGATAGTGACTTCAATCCGCCCATCGACGCCGCGCGCAGTCACCCTGTACGATCAGCACAGAAAGAGCCGAGCCAAGAACGTGCTTACTTGGAGAGATCGCTAACGATGTAGTCGGGAGCCACATCAGAAGCCTCGATGATTTCACGCGGTGTGGAAGTACAAACACCCAGGACCACCGCACCAGCGGCTTTCCCAGACTTGATCCCTGGGAGAGATCACGATTGATATATCACATCGGCAGCTAACTCACCGGAAATGGCATCTTCGACGACCATGCCTGGAGCAGGATGAGCGGAGGGCAGGATGGAGGTGTGGCCTTACATTTCGTGGGCTCAATTCCGCATACAGCTGCCCCGGCCAGATAGGGAGCAGGATGGGGCTTTCCGTGCTCAACGTCGCTGGAAGTCACAATGCCCACATTCGGCATCGGGATTCCGCAACGTGCGATAGCACGTGGAGCATAGTTTCTAGTCGCTGATTGTTGATTTCAAGTCAAGGATAACCATGTCAAGTTTCATCAGATACGAACGCACCGGAGGTCACGATGGTCCAGCCCGTTTCTTTTGCTGATGACAACTAGCCAGGGGCAGCGTCAAATTCAGATCTCGCTTCCAGTGGGAAACAGCAGATACTTGTTCAAGCAACGACAAGACGCCGGGAAGAACCACAGGCCCGCCATTGATCACCTCCTCCTCGAAACGGTCAATTTCCGCCTACGATCCAGTATCAGCGCGATGTCAGGGTCAGGCGGGTAACCCGGCGGCGCTGAGATGACGGACTTGCAGCTTAGTTTCATCATCGATCTTGCAGTATTCCTTCAGAGTGTCGTATAGACGCCGTCCATGAGTCTCGTGGACGACAGTCGCTGCGTCACCGAGATGGTAGTCTTTGCAGAATGTTCCCCAAGCGTTATACAGCCCGGGCGTAGAATCAAGCAGTGTCCTTTCAGAGTACAAGTCGGTTGCTGTGCGGCATTTGCGATCAAACTGTGGTTGACAGACCCGTCCATATCAAACCTGACAGGATTTGAGAGAGACAACTGCGACTGAGGATGCTGCGTACAAGACAGCATCGACCAGGATTGTTGTGGGGGCCATGTTCAGAGAAGTACAAGGAAGGGAACGTTCGCTCAAACAAACTATCTATCTCGGAGCCGTCCGAAAAATCGCGGCCCGGTATCGGCCCGTTGTGCCATAAGTAGCAGGACACCGGCCCTCCGTTTGCCGGGACACTGAGGACTCTCTTCTCGCTCCCTTTTTCATCAGAGATTCTCTCGATCGGCCATTGGTATTCGCTCGTCGAGCGTCAATTGCTACGCCCGCCCATTGCGTATGCATGTGGTCGAAAGACTTCTTCACCTTGCCAAGACGAGTAGAACGAACATACTTCTTCTCTCTGTCGTCCATGCGGGTCCCGGACCACATGCGTTCAGTTTCTTACCCCGTCCTTTGGATACTGGTAGGGGGTCCTGCAGCAGTCGCGTTTTGTCTTGTTATAATAGGACAGCACTTCCACTTGATGAGATCACGAGATTGGCCTCCTCATTCATCATCTTGCGCGCGGCTGCGTGTCAAGCAACGGAGGACAAGTGTCTGATTGAGCGTGCTGTGTTCTGTCAGTCGGCGCTCGTCGGCGCTCGTCGCCAGCGGATATTGCAGGCTAGCTACAGCAGCTCTGTGAAGCAACTAGCAGCAGCCAACTATCACAATCTTTGGGCTTTCGTTCACCCCGGCCGCGGCTCAATGAATCGAGAATTGAAAAAAAGTCAGGCACGATCTTAATGATGTGTCGAGTTAACAACCGACCACCCCTCGGTTGCTAGGCATCGTCGGACGTCATTCCACGCAGCTATTTCGGGATTTAAGGAGAGAGATCCTCCGTTAATCTTCGGGAAAGAGGAGCATCCAAGTGCAGGCCAGCGAAAAGCAGACTCGACTCTGAAACCGGAAACGAGACTGGCATGGCGGATGGCATCTGGCGTGGACAAGCTATGAGGGTTGCTGGGCTATGCACGATGTTCCATATGCATCTTTCGGAACTATTTTTGTAACGTGCCGGCAGATATATAAGAGCCGTGGCATCCGTTCGGCATAACCTCCCCTTCACTGTTTCTCTCTACCCTCTCCTTGGTCATTTCAGGCTAGTCCTCCCTTTGAAGACACGACCCGGCGTCTTTCAACTACATCCTATCTTTACCGTTCCACTCATTCGACATCACTTTACAACAATGAAGACCGCATCCATTTTCCTCCTCGGTGCCCTCGTCGCTTCGGCAGCAGCGCGGCCCGCACACCACGGTCACCAGGGCAAGGGCTCCAAGGTATGAAGAACGACCACGGAGTCAGTTCCGGAACCCTCATACGTGTCTGCAGTCGAGCTCGGCTGTGCCCAGCGCTTCGTCGAGCGCTGTCGTGAGCGCCGCCTCCGGTGCTGCTTCGAGCGCGGCGGTTAGCGCTACCTCCAGCGCTGCTGCTGCCGCCTCGTCCGCCGCCGCCCCTCCCGCAAACAACGCTGCCGCTGTCACCGGTGCCGGAGGCCTGCAAGCCGCCACCAGTGAGTCTGAGATGAGATTGGGATCAAGTGCGATTTTGACGCATATTCACAGCCCTCGACCCCTCCGTCGTTTGCACGAGTTTCACCAACGATGGACAGAACCCTCCGGTTGCTGGCCAAACTGCGTCTTTGACCACTACCAAGTCAGTCAATCCGCTCTGACACCGCCGCCCATGCTGACCGCGAGCAGCAACTTCATCAACTTCTGTGCCCTCACCCTCCCAGGAACCCCCCTCACGAACGGTCTCCAGGTCACGACTGGATCTTGCAACCCTGCACCAATGGGTCTGATTCCCTCCGTGGACAACATGCCCTCTGCCAAGTTCGTCTTCCCCAAGAACAACGGCTCTGTGCAGGCCAACACGGCGTTCACGGCCCAGCTCGCCGTCCACAACTTCCAGACCGGTGTCTTCACCAACGCGCAGAAGACGTACTTCTCGTCCCCCCAGCGCCTGAACACGGCTGGCCAGATCATCGGACACACTCACATCGTACGCCCAAAGCGGTCTTTTAAGTACTCGCTTTGAAAACTGACTGGGACCAGGTCATCGAGGCCCTCACCGCGATTGACCAGACTGAGCCGACCGACCCGACCAAGTTCGTCTTCTTCAAGGGTGTCGACAACCCCGATGTGGGTGGCATTGCCTCTGCCGCTGTCACCGCCGGTGTCCCCGCCGGCTCCTACCGCGTGTGCTCGATCAACAGCTCGTCCAACCACCAGCCTGTGCTCGGCCCCGTTGCCCAGCACGGCTCGTTCGATGACTGCTCCTACGTGCGTCTCCCTCTCCCCTCACGCGACTGAGTGACTGACCGCCCGCTGCAGTTCACTGCTGCTTAAATTGTCGAATGCTTTTGATAGCGTATGTATCACGTCTTCTCTGTACTCTGCTAGCTAGAGTCCTTTTTCATGAAATGCATTCTCTGGAGAGACATCGTGAGGCGGTGCAGGATCTGCCCAGTCGCATCATGTGAGCGCACGCACAATTATCGACAAGTTTGTCGAAAACCACGCCGGTTCCTGCGATGGCATGCCCGTCCTGCCGTCGCCGGGGAATCTCTTTCCTCTTCTCAAGGCCCGAAAGCGCCCAGGCGATGAAGAGGTGGTTTTGCGTGTCAGAGATACATGGTGTGGCGTGTTTTGGGACCGTGTTCCAGGACAGAGGACGACACCAGATATACTGTTCCCTGCTGTTGTAGTTAGACATCCTATGTTTTTTCTATCCTCTGTTCCATCGGTGCTGTCCTACATCTCTTCTTGGTGTCCGGAAAGAGTGGCAGTGCCTGATCTTTCTGGAGTATCTCTTGCTTTCCTCATACGCAGTCGCATCAGCTTCGACTTTTGGAAGCCGATCCTTGCAAATGGACAATCGCAGAAGCGATTCTTTTTGACGAAATCACATTCACGTCCTACATTCATTTCAATTTTAATCGTCTGTTCAAAGTCTAGGTCGTGTTCCAGGTACAGATCGTAGTGGTCATATTGCAATATGAATTGAAAGACGGCCTATTCACTTCCACCATGGCATCCACCCATGTCGCCATAATCGGCGCCGGCCTCGGCGGCCTCACCCTCGCGCGCATCCTGCAGGTGCGCAACCCCACCCACCTCACCTTCACGCTCTACGAGGCGGACGCAGACGCAGCCGCCCGCGCCTCCGCCGGCGGCTCGCTCGACCTCAAGTACGAGAGCGGGCAGCGCGCGATGAAGGACGCCGGGCTGCACGCCGCGTTCCTCGCGCTCTGCCGCCCCGTCGGGGACCAGATGCGCGTGCTCGATCGCGCGGGGCGGGTGCTGCTCGACGAGGCGGGCCCCGGGGCGGAGTACTACAACCCCGAGATCGACCGCGCGCAGCTGCGCGCGCTGGTCCTCGACTCACTGCTCCCCGGGACGGTCCGATGGGGCCACAAGGCAGTCGCGGTGCGGCGGAACGCGGGGGCGGAGGGCAAGTACGCGATCGAGTTCGCGGACGGCAGCGTCACGGAAGGTGTCGACATCGTCGTGGGGGCCGACGGCGCGTGGTCGCGTGTGCGCACGCTCGTGTGGCCCGGCGCGGAGCCCGTCTACAGCGGCATCACGTTCCTCGAGACGAAGATCGACGTGCGCAAGCACGCGCAGCTGCAGCCGCTGGTTGGCGGGGGCGCGCTGTTTGCGCTTTCGCAGGGCAAGGGTCTGATCGCACAGCACAACTCGAACGGCGTGCTGATGCTCTACTCTGCGCTGCGCGTCCCGGAGGAGTGGTCCAGGACATCTGCTGTTGCGTTGGCGGACGGCGACGCGGCGAAACTCGAATTGATGTTGCAGGAGTTTGCGGGCTGGGAAGAGTCGTTGCGCGAGCTGGTTCGGGTTGGGACTGATGCGACGATGCGACCCATCTATGCGTTGCCCACTGACTCGGTACCTCGCCCTCGCGGAGAGATAAACAACATCGTTCTCTTGGGCGATGCCGCTCATCTGATGAGTCCATTCGCTGGAGAGGGCGTCAACCTGGCCATGGCGGACGCGGCTGATCTGGCCAAAGCGCTGATGGAGCACAAGCCTGGAATGACTGACCTTGGGGGTCCGCTCGGCGGTTATGAGAGGACTATGCGCACCCGAGGAAACTCCGCCGGCAAAGAGTCTGCGGCCAATCTGGAGATATTCTTCGGAGAGAATGCCGCAGCTGATGTGGCAAAATTGTTCAAAAGTTTCATACCGGACAGCATGAAGGGAGTGGCCAACTCTTTGGTCAAGTCGTACTTTTACTTGCGGTCTCTGTTCGATTGAGTGCGTTCAGAGTTATTATAAAACACGTTGATAATGTATTATCAAAACCGTTTTCTCCTCAGGCCAGCTGCAGTCAAATATTCTGTGATGTTCACGAGGGCTTTCCAATTACAGCATCTTACTGCAGTCCCTCTCAAGGAAAGTTTTCTACGATCCTGGACTGCAAATCAGCCCCCGTACGGCTTGACTTCGCTAAGTTGACAAATGAGAAGCATCCTCTCATTCTCACACTGAGCTGTCCTATGCGTTCGACTCTGACCAGATTTACGATACAACATTAACGATGCAAGTGGCATGTTAGCATCACCGCACATACTTGACGATCGCAAGACGCTCTCTGTTACTGCTCTCAAGGCTTCGCCTTGATATTGCTCACAATCAAGTCCTACGAACAAACCATCAGCTTTTCCACCGCGCGACACGCCCGATGCCGACGCACCTTGTAACTCTGCACATCGCCTCTGAACTTGCTGACCGTGCCATTGCCGCAAACCCAGAGCTTGGAGCCACAGAATATCAGACCCGCTCGTTACTGCTGCAACCTCGAGGACCCAACTCACCTCGTGCGCGACTTTGGTGATGAAACGCTCGTCGTGGGAGATGATGATCACGCCGCCGTTCCAGACCTGCAGAGCGCTCATGAGGGCATCCAAACCCTGTCACATATGCGTCAGATATGGATGGCCCCAGGGTCCCTGGAGACAGTCTTACCTCAATATCGAGGTGATTGGTAGGCTAGATTAAATCAGCGTCATTGACGTGCATACTGCCGGAGAATTCACACACCTCATCGAGAAGCAACACGTGCGGCTGCTGCAGCGAAAGCAGCGCAAATGCAACACGCGACTTTTGTCCACCACTGAGCGTCGCAATCAATTGCAAACTACATCATGTGAGCAGGCGCGATTGCGAGAGAGAAAAGCCCAAACAACAGCGCACCCTGTCATACCACTGATCTGGAAGTTGCCCAGATGCTGCCGGTACTCCTGTTCCGTCCTGCCCGGGAACCTGGACGCGAGGAACTGCACAGGCGACATCGTGGGCACGAGGGAGTCGACGTGATGCTGTGCAAAGTATCCGCTGCATAGTGTCAGAGAGGCAGTCGTATGATTGATGCATTGAGGGGGCGTACATCCGCAACCGGCCATTCCGGGTGACATGACCGGCCATGGGATTCAATTCTCCAGTCAGAATCTTGATGCTGATTGGAGCATGAGAGACGATTGAACAACCCACAGAACCGATACACTCACAGCGTAGATTTTCCCGCTCCGTTGGCTCCGACGATAGCTATGCGGGAGTCGAGGCCAACATCGATGTTGACGTGTTTGAGGATGATTCTCTCTGGTGTGTACCCGAATGTGACTTCGTTCATCTGCAGCAATGGTGGAGAGATTTTCTCCGTCTCGGGGAACCTGTCCCCTGTCAACTCGGCAGGAGGTGATCGGTCAGTCGACTCACTTGAAGCTTTCTGTCTCATCTTCTTCCGGCGGCTCCAGTTCGGGCAACTGTTGAGATTTCACGATGATGTTCCCAGCATTAGCAACAACGACGGGCAAGCAACGCACCTTCTCCAAGATCTTGATTTTGGACTGGGCCTGGGCAGCCCGGTTGGCATTGTATCGCCACCTGTCGATGAAAGCCTGCAAGTGTCTCCGGTATTCCATCTGTGTGTCATACTCCTTGCGCAAATTCTTGTCTCGCTCAGACTTGGTCGAGTAGAACTGCGTAAAGTTTCTGCACACAGGTGAGATACCAGCGCAGTTGTGACCGCGTGCCATTACCCTTTGTAGTAATCCAGCCGAGAGGAATGTTGATGCACGATATCCGTCGCCACTGCGTCGAGAAAGGCGCGATCGTGAGATCTGGAATGACATCAGGTCTCTGACAGTCGCCGCGTCTGAGACTCACACTACGAGAATTGTGCCAGGCCAGGTTTGTAGGTAATCTTCGAGCCAAGCCAAAGCATTCAAGTCAACTGCTGTGTGTCAGCAAGACGTTTCCCGCTCATATCAGCTGACTAACTGTGATTGGAAGGCTCGTCGAGAAGCAACAGCGAAGGCTAAATGACGATGAGCAAGCGGTCCTCAAGGCTGACCATCAATCTGCGGCGTACTTTCACAAACAGCGCTCGGGCCAACGCCAGCCGCATTCTGATATCAACTGAGAAGCTGGCGGCGGCAACAGAGTGAGTAGACGCTCACCGCCAACCGCCACTGAATGATTTCGTTGGACGTTGCTGATCGGCTTCGTCGAATCCGAGACCTGACAGATATCTCAGCGCCGCATCAGCCCTGCGCGGCGACTGAATTTACCGGCCAGTAGCGCTGCAGCTCTTGCCGGCCCACTCTCGGCGTCCATATCGGACAATCGGGCATGCACATCTGCTAACCGCGAAGAGGCCTCCTCTCTCGCATCTACAAACCGTTTGTCATCACCCTCTGCTTCGAGCTCGGTCAGCCGGGCGTTGAGCGACGCCTCTTCCTTCAGCAAGTGGTCGCGCCACACATCGGCCTTGAGCACGGACTCGATGACAGTCGTGTCGTCGCCAATAACCTGGCATTCGGCTCAGCACGCGAGAAGCACAGCGGCGGTGTCCCGTTACCTCTTGTTCGACAAACAGAATGCTGATGTGGGCAGGAATGGGGACCTCCCGCATTGCGATGTGTCGCAGTAGCGTGGATTTACCCACACCTGAAATCAAAGATTGAGCATGGTGAATTGGCTTCTGCCGCGAGAACAAAAACAGACCGTTTCTCCCGATTAGCCCGTATCTGCGACCGTAGGCCAATGTCAGGGATGCACTCGAGCTGATGTCATCAGAAGAGAGGCGTAATTCGAGTGGCGAGTCACACACAGAATACGGTTGGAGCCAAAGTTGACGTCGATAGAGGGTAGGTGGACATCCTTGCTCTTGTTTCTTGACGCGCCGCTTTCCAGTGGATTGATCTACAGGGCTTTAGTATATCGTCGGGGGTCGGTGCCGAGAATACACGAGGTACCTTCATGAACAATTCCTCGTATGTTTGCTAGCAACGAGCCGTTAGGAGATGCACTTGCAATATTACAAGCACGGCACCTGTTTTCGGTGAGAATCAAGCAGCTTAGAGCCTTCGTACAAGTCCCGCCGAGATCGTTTCTCAATCTTGGCCTGGAGAGGATGTGAATGACTGGACCAGACGGAAATCGAGCAATGAGCACCCGAAGCTTGGCCTCTTGCTTTTCAAGTTTCTTGACGTCGACTTTGGATGCTCTGCATCTCGCGAGTGAAGATGGGTCTTGAGAGTCAAGCAAGCATGTACGCACTTTCCCTTGTTGATGGACTCCAGATCAACACCCTCCGTAAAGGCAAGCGTGTTGGACATCGTGCCCTTGCTCATATCCAGGACGTGCTCGAGCTTATGCAGCTTCGGCCCCGCCTGCCTCTCCATCCGTTCTCGCAGTGTGCCCTCCAGCATCGAGGCCAGGCGCAACATGAGCTTTTCGAGGACATCGTCGCGGCCCCCGGCAACAGACGACAGTATTTGGTGCGCGACTTGCAGGACGTCCTCTTCTTCGCCGGCATCGTCGACGAGATATCCCGCTAGATATTGCACAATGACCTCTTCCGTCCCTGGAAAACTCTCGCGGATCTCTTCAGCGATATCCGCAGACGACATGGTGGGCAAAGAGGCTGGAACCGAGCGGGGATGTGAATAAAGTCGAAGGTGTTCGTTTTGAGCACCCTAGTGAGACCAGGGTCGCGAGTACGATTGGCAATGCCTGGATTCAGATTTCGGAAGCGCGTTTCTGCTCACGTGACTGTATCAAATTACTTCGTGATGTTGATGCCATCTTCATTGATGATATCACGGACGTGGGCAGTGCAGCTGATAGCAGAGACACGGTTGTCACCGTCATCACTGGAGATGGGTTTCGTCTTTGCGACCTTGTGATTGCAATTTCTTCACATGCCAGGGTCGGACTCGCTGCACTTAACGTCGTGACTAGACCCGCACTTTCATCCGAAATGCTCATCCCCTGGCTTGCGGCCGTCCTGTCCTTACCGGTATCTCTTCTGGTGTCTGCCTCCACCGTCAGTGCGTTGCCCTCTGTCCGAATAGCTCGGGATCGGACGACTCTGATGGGCGCTCCCAGTCGTCGATGATGAGTTGGGCGATGTCACCACGGGAGAGAAGATCGTCTATGCCCCTCCTGCCGCCTGGATTTCCGGCGGAATCGCGAACTGCGGGTCGATCTGTTCGTCTGTTGATTCAAGCCTGGCGGCCCTGGCCTACAGGAATACTTTCCACGGCTCGCTTTTCGTGCGTATCCGGTCTGTCTCCGCACTTTCATTCTCCCTCATGCGTGCAGATCCCTTTCAATCAGAAAAAGACGCTGTCTCCCCCTTCTGCCACCTTCCATTTCGTTGGTCTGCTTGGGTTTTCTCGGTCTAGTCACCAGCGGCTCATAATTCTCCCAGGCGTCTCGGTGAAGGTGATCTGCATCTTGGGCAATACATTAACAGATCCGGTGTACGCCAATGGGTTTATGCACTGGTGATCTGTATTGATTTTCTGCACCAGGGGCACGGCCAACATGACGTTCAGCATCGACGGCTCTGAAGTCGGAAATTTCTTTCACCAAGCGCTTCTTGACCCGCCGTTTGAACCGAACGTGACCGTATTCGCTTCTGGGCTATTGGACAATAGGAATCATACGCTCTTGATACAAAATGGTCTGATTGGCGGTCCGTCATCTCTCATGGTACTTGATTCGATCTCCTATGAAACGTGAGCGCTCCGTCCGAAGCTCTTTTGTGCGGAACGCTCATCATTCGGACTGATTGCAGCATGCCCCCATCTCTTCCCGAAAGCCTGGCATCAGACTCTGGCACTCCGAGCGCGTCTTTGTCGCTGCCTTCAGCCACTGCGACGCCGTCTACGCCTGCGAGTGTGGGCTCGAATATCGCCAAGTCACCGAACCACAACGTCGCGATTGTCACCGGAATCGTCGTCGCGCTTGCTGTGATTCTTCTTATCGCCCTCGTCTTGCTCTTCCTCCGGCAGAGACGGAAGGAGGATAGCTCGGATCGCGGCGTCATGTCCAAGTTCCTGGCGTCTTTCTCGTCGCACAGCAAGCAGGCCCCTGATATAGCGCCAGTGCCGTTCCCTACACCCGTGATTCCTGCCCAGCCGTTGGCTGAGGGCGAGCGGACCCGGAGACCGCGTCCTCGACCTCGGCTCGCACCGGTTTTATCAACAGCATCAACACCCTCCCTTCGATCGAGAATCTCACACATCTCATTCAACGCGAATCTGCTCGTCGGTCGTCGAAGACCTCCGCCCCCTGCTGCTGCTCCTGCCAGGCATAGAACAATGCAGTCCATACCGAGTCCCATTCCGCATGAGCGCGTCGTTTCCATCCAGCAGTGGCAGCGACGCACGCAGGAGGAGACCGCCGGCCAAAATGTTGTTCATCCGATGGACATGTCCGAAGTCGATCTATCAACTCATTATGATGAGAGCTCTGCTACTTCTCCGCCGCCTCCTGCGCAGACAGGCCAGCCGCCTGTCCGCCGGTTTACGGTTATGAATAATTGAGCTTCATTCTCGATACCAATGTACTTTTAGCGCCGGTCCTCCCACTTAGAGTCACTCGGCCCCAACGGCTGCGTGCTTGCTATCAGACCGTCTTTTTCGCAAGGAAGTAATACGGCGTTCGACCGATACCGAGGAACCATGCAGCTCTAATGCGGATGTCATCGTGTTGCAGTCCGACATGCTGAGTACTCACCTGACAGAGAACAGGACAATCACAAACGATATGTTGCCATGCGTCATTGGGTTCCAAGCCAGCGGTGCGTACCGCAAGTCCGCGGGCAGGCCTATGAAGGTGGCTGCAATGCTGCAACCATGCTATGTGAGTCACGAAACGAATGAAACCGAAGCGACTTGCTGTGTGAGCTAGGAAACGGCAGCATATGAGGTGAGCGGCGTGGCTGAGGGTAACGGATTCAACGCACATCAGCTATGGCCAGCGCAGCAAGCAGGGACCCCACAATCCGCTCCTGAGAGACCGGGTCGCGGGGCAGCGCGTCGCGTGCCGCCCGGAACACAAGCGACGAGATGAGGCCGAGCAAGAGGTAGCCTGCGCACGCGTGAGCCAACGAACACGAATTCAACGGAAGCCCGGCCTCACAGTTGGCGAGCTGATACACGATCATCTGCGTCCGCGCCGCGAGGGGCGTGCTGGGAACCGCGGCTGGAGACGGAATAAGCTGGTGGTGGAACCACGCGGCGCCTGGGAAGATCCACGCCATGAGCGCAGGTATCATGGTAGATGCTGCAGAATTTCGCAGTCAGATGAGAGTGGGTTTCTGCTGCGCGCGGAGCTGACTAGGTTCAATATAGAGGAACAGTAGCTGGTAGAAGCCTTGCAGGGCAGGGAAGGAGGCGGATTGACGGGTGTGAGACGGGTCTGCCATCTTTGGGGGTCGCACTGGTTAAAGAGATTGATTTTGGTTGCGTTTGCGCAGTGAGACTGCTTTCAGGCGCGAGACAGGACGTGGGTCGTGGTTGACCAGGCCATGCCTATATCAATGAACGTCATCATCATTGGATCAGCAATTCGATGATAAGATAATTTGAGATATTCAATCTCAGGCACGTGACAACTATCTCTTCGCGCCCTTGACTCCACTTGGATATCGACCCAAACGCGAGAAACGGAGTACGTGAATGCTTTGAATCTGCTCAGAGTGCACGCAATACGATCACACCGAATAACTGTAGCAACGATCACGAATTATACAGCATCTTTGCTTCGAGGAACACGTCGCCGACACGACTGCCCACGTCCCAACTCCTACCAGCTCTTGGCGCAGACCTCCTCATAAATCCGTGCTCGTCTGCGATAATCAACTAATATTCATCTGATGTCTCCCCCGCCGCCGCTCCTCACCGTCACCGGGGACACAGGGAGCCCAGGATCCTCCGTCTTCGATCTGCCGACGCAAAACGCGCCTCCCCCGCATCGACATTCTACCACGACCATGCCATCTTCACGCGCTCTCGAAGACCCAACACCGGCCGAGAATGCCTTGGCGTACGTGGTCATATCCGGGGAACAGGTGGCAACGCGATCTGTTCGGCATTCGGCTCGAGCGCCTGCTATGTGCTGCCAGTGTCCGACGACGGCGGCTCTTCATCCGAAATCATCCGTGTCCTAGGTGGACCGTCGGTCGGTGCGAGTCCTCGGATTACACGGCCGTTTGTGTTGACTGCACGCTCACTAGATCGGGGATATACGATCGCGCCTGGTGCGTCTGATTCCGAATGACAGCCCGAGCTCTCCACTGCATGCGATCCGGACTCTGCTCGCGTACCGACTTCCCGCGCACTACTCTGAGCGCGAGGCGCGGGAGGAATGGAGAGACATCATCGAGGGTCGCAGTCCACTGTGGAATGGGATTCCTATTGATCGCAAGGAGACCATCCGGGGCTTCTTGGTGCACTTTGAAAGCGAACTTCTGAAGCGGGCGCACAAGAACTTTACCTTTGTGAATGGCAGGTGCGACTTGTCTGCTGTCGAAGCCGCAGACTGTTCACTACCTTGGTAGTATCGGGAACTACTTCCTCGCTGCGGCACAGGGATTCTTTCGTTCCCTGCCTGCTTCTATCTTCCTTTTCTCCTCGATAACGAACAGTCAAGCCAACATTCTACCGGTCATAGTGACTAATCACACCGTCACCATTGCCGCTGAATTGGTTCGGGACGCTTCGATTTCTGTGCTCTTTCTCAACCTTTGGTGCAGGAGAACGGCGAGAGGCTTGTGGGGCAATGCGAGATCTCACATCCTGTCGTATCGAACCAGGAGAGTGGGCCCGGTTCGGATCCCATGTCTCCTATGGATGGAATGGCGGAAGTTGTCTCCCAGGGACGGAATGTCATGTTCGAGCAAAACGACAAGCACGACTATCAGCCACTCGCCTCGCGCATCGCACGTGGGGTTGTTTCCCGCGCTCTGAAGTGCAATCCTCTGAGCTGATCCTCCAGGTCTCTACTACATGAACGCGTATGGATTCGAGATACATCCGACGCCTAATCCCGATTACCTCTCCGCTCTTGCGACGAAGGACGTCCTCGTGTATTCTTGCGGCTCTCTGTGGACGAGGTGGGCCATCAGATCGCTCTGAAGACTTTGCTCACCAGTGCCGCAGTATTATTCCCTGTCTGGCACTCCGAGGCGTCTCAGCCGCGATTGCCAGGTCGCGCACTCTACGAGCCAAAGTTCTCCTGCGTGAGATCTCTATTTCGAATGCCGGCGCCCGACATCCTGAACTTCTCTCCAGTCAACGCAAAGAACGATCGTGAGACCGAGGGCTACTCAGCTGTGGACTACATCACGTAAGCACCACGAGGCCACGGTCCGCAGGTTATCGATATTTCCACAGGTCGATAGCGAGGACCTTGAATTCGCATTACGGTCCTCCGTCATATGGGCTTGCGTTTGGGAGCAGCACCACGTTCCCTGTGTCGTAAGTCGCCGCGCCAGCTCGAAAGCTTCTCGATCCCACCGATCTTTCAGAGCGTTCATCACAGATCTTGTGTTTTTGAAAGGAACCCAAGTGTTCGTTGACCGAAAGACGATCTCGGTATGTCAGATATCACAGACATGTTCGGAATGACTGTGCTGACCACCACCACAGGCGATGGGCGTGAGATGCATAGAGGTAGAGGGGTCTGGAGATAATGTGTTTGACACTGTCACTGTCAGAGAGGCTCTGGACGAGGTCGTCCGATGGAGAGATGAGCGACTTGCAGTTGCAGTTGGGCAATCTCAACCGATTGTCGTGTGACGTTTCCCCGGCAATCAATTTCCCCGCGGCGGATCGCAGAGCCGATTTTACTCCGATCTGCCATGAGCCTGGATTACGGACGGTCATGCATCATAGTAATACTCCAACGCGTCGTCGGCAAACAGCATCTCTTCTTCGTTTGCACTACGTGAATGCTTAAACGCTCTGGACGCTGTCTCTCTGCATCGAAACATATCATTTAACGTCCCCCTATTGAACCAGAAATTCGCATACAACAACTCCCATGGCGGATGTACTACAGTTGGCAGGAGTGCCCACGACTCGAGAACAGAGCAGAGATTTGAAAACAGTACGAGCGGACCTGAGTGAGCACCCCTATCCATCATAGGGCAACAGCCAGCGTCAATGCCCTTTTCTCTCCAGCACATGAGGTCATGAACGGTACTTCTCCAAAAGACGACAAGGGAGACGACCAAGTCATTGTCGTTCCTCCGGATCCAGTTTACGAACCCGTCCTCCCGAACGACCACGACACCGACGACGATATTTCCATCCAGATCGAAGAGCCCACGGAAGCAGAGGCGTCGCTTACGGGCAGCGTTCTCCTCCCCTCAGATCCCCAAGCTCCGTGCTCAGCTCCCGATGGGGCTGAAGATGAAACCAACCAGCCAGGCCAGCGGCGGACTTTAGTCCGCTTCCGATCTCGCGTGCGCATCACCTCTGGCATGCACCGTCACTCCCGCACGGCCCACCGCCACTTCTCATCGTCCTCGTCGTCCTCATTAGCGCCTTCCTCGCGTGCCAGTTCGCCGTCGTCGTCTATCTCCGCACCGCTCCGGCCTACGCCTACCCCCGAGACGTCGTCTCCCGGATGGGGAACACTCGGGACTCGGGTTAGCCTTTTCGCCCGTGCGAGGCGGAAACTCGCGCCAGGGGAGACGACGGGCGTGGGACGCGGAGAGGGGGAACCGCTCCTGGCCGATGGGGCACCCCCGTCGTATTCGTCCACCCGGGGCAGGAGGAACAGCGACGAGTCCGATAGGTCAAGTCAGGAAGATGATGAGGCGACCTTGTCCCGCCAGATTGATTTGATGTTTGGAAAGTGGCCGTGGAGATTGTTGAACGCGCATGTGAGTGGCACCAAGCGCGCCGAGTTGCTGGTATATTCTGATCTCTGTGACGCAGTGGTGGTGGTGGCAGTTGGAGCCAATAGTGTGTTGCGGCTGCTTGGACGAAGAGTACGACTAGCGCTCCAGTCGCCTGGATCTCTTTCTCATTTGGGAATCATCACGTAGTGGTACATACTCCAGGGCCGTCGATCTTATACCCTTTGTTCGGTTTGCATACGGTAATAATCGCCTGTGCTCCTCTCTATCTTCGTCAAGTAGGACCACGTATCGGTCAAAGCTGGGCCACACAGAGCAGCACCAATCTCATTCGCACTATTCCTAATCTGCATCTGTCACTGATGTGACATTTCGCGTCTCGCCTCTCCCCCTCGCCTCGCCTGGCCCCAGCACGCCACTAACTAGCATCCTTCAGTGCGAGAGAAACGACTCTCCTTCAGGGGCTTTTCTAAGCCGACTCGCGTTCCCTCAAGTCGACCATCTCATAAACCAATCCTTCGCCCGAGCATGTCAACCGCCAAGGCTCGCACTGCATACGCCAAAGCCATCCTCGGCCCCGAACTGCACAGTAAGCTCGGAGAAACTAAAGTGCTCGTAGTCGGCGCGGGAGGAATTGGATGCGAGCTGTGTCAGTACTGCCGCACACGGGTCTCCGCCGCCTTGGATCACTCACACACGCCCAGTGAAAAACATCGTGCTGACGGGGTTCGGAAAGATCACGCTGCTGGACCTCGATACGATCGACCTCTCCAATCTGAACCGGCAGTTTCTATTTCGCAAGAAGGACGTGAAGCAGAGCAAAGCTTTGGTGGGTATCACGATGTTTTGGGCGCTTAAGTTGGGGCCTGGCTCTCCCTCTTGGTGAACCGCGGAGATGCTTGGTCCTTTGAAGACTAAATGTGCTCATGCGTCCCAGTCTTCACCGATTCTTCTGCTCTAAACCCGCGAGAACACCCGCTCAACTCCGTGCCAGGTTGCCGCTCAAACAGCTGCCCCGTTCAACCCTAACGTGCAAATCACACCTATCTACGGCAACATCAAGGAACAGCAATACGACATTGAGTGGTTCTCGCAGTTCGACATCGTGCTCAATGCACTGGACAACCTCGGTAGCGCTCTCCGTTTCCGTGATGAGCCGTTTCTTATCGTTGCTCAGATGCTAGACGACATGTGAATAAGATGTGCATCGCGGCTCAGATTCCTTTAGTGGAAAGTGGGACAGCCGGCTATCTTGGCCAAGTCCAGCCCATCTTGAAGGTGTGTAGAGTAGTGACACTTTCTAAAGCAATCACTGAATTGGATCAGAATACGACTGAATGCTTCGACTGTATACCCAAGCCTACACCAAAGACCTTTCCTGTATGCACTATCCGCTCGACACCTAGTCAGCCGATCCACTGTATTGTTTGGAGCAAGAGCTATCTCATGGGGTTTGTCCTTTGTTGCCATGCAATCCGTCCTTGACGTTATTCCAGACAACTGTTTGGTGAAGACGAAGACGCCGTCGGGGAACTGGATGACGCAGAAAAACAAGGCGAAAACGGTCAGTGATATTTGACCTTTCGCCATGCGTCTCGTCCAACACAGATACAGCCCAAGAGATTGCCACCCTGCGTCGTGAGGCTCAAGCGTTCACGGCTGTGCGCGAGGCTTTGCGCTCGCCGGCATCTCATACTGCTGCGAAAGACGTGTTCAATAAGGTCTTCAATGCGGACATCAAAAACTTGTTGATTATGAAGGACATGTGGCGGTCGCGTGCGCCGCCAGTTCCCCTGGACTTCGACGCGATTGTAGACGGGTCGTTCGTGCTTCGTGAGGTGTCATCCACTGCCGTGTCGTCCGCCCCAGCTGCTTCTACGACAGTCAAAGATCAGAAGCAGCTTTCCTTAAGAGATAATGTGATGCTCTTCGCTTCCAGGTGTGTTCCTTGGTAGGATACTCATGGGTCCCACACTGAGCATCGTCATAACAGCGTCGAAAGGCTAGCCAAGCGTTTACAAGCTGGGGAAGCAACGATAGCGTTCGACAAGGATGATGATGACGCGCTCGATTTCGTGACTGCCACCTCGAATCTCAGGTCTGCGGCATACGGGATCACAGGGAAGACGCGTTGGGAGGTCAAAGGTCGGACTCCTACCTCGTTCTTATGGTGATTTATAACGCTCATAAATGACCAGAGATGGCGGGCAACATTATCCCTGCGATCGCGACGACCAACGCGATCGTATCCGGGCTGATCGTGCTGCAGGCACTCAAAATTCTGCGCCGGTCGTACGACAAACTGCGGAACGTGCATTTGCAAGTGAAGCCGTCTGTGCCGCTCAGCACGATCAACCTGTGCCCACCAAATCCGTCGTGTGGGATCTGCGGTGACACCTACACGCAGGTGTTGTGCGATCCGCGGCGGGCACTGTTGGGCGACATCGTCAAGGGCGTGATGGGAGGCGACAGCCGAGACGTGAGCGTTTACGAGGACAAACGCGTCCTCAGCGATCCTGATTGGGAAGACAATCTGGATCGCACGCTGGCGAGCCTGAATGTGGCGAGAGGGATGTTCCTGAGCATCGTCGATGACGAGGGAGAGCTTGCTACGATTTCCGTCGCGTTGGGTGTCTTGCCGTGCGTCGTCCCTACACTCGTCTTTCTGACATCCAAGTTGACTGACCGCAGGGCTGACCATCCTCGGGATCTGCCGCCGTTCATCTTACCTGATCCCTTGCCATCACCGCCTGTCAAAGTGAAAGTTGCCCCGCCGATGCCCATGACACCGATCAAAGTACCCCAAAAACGAGCTGCACCAGACGACGAAGGCTTTGATGACGTCATTGATCTCGCGCCGACACCGAAACGGGCCAGGATTGCTGATGTCAAGAGCCCGAGTAAGAAACGGAAACTGGACGAGGATGGGCTGATACTCATGGAGAGACACGACGATCATCTGGAGGACGACATTATTGTCATTGATTGAGATCGTTGGGAAGATTTTGTCATTAGGAGTGCTTGTCCTGGCGGTGGCGCAGAACTGTGATGCTGACCAGGATGCATGTTCGTGGGGATGATGATGGTTGTCTGTTGATCTGAAATGCAGTAATCTTATCTGTCTGATTAGCATCGATCGCATTTGCTTCACCATCCACTACGATGGTCAGCTCCCTCCCACCAGAGCTATGTGATTCGATAATCGAAATTGTGCTGGACGAAACTACCCTGAAGTCATGCTCCCTGGTGTCTAAGTCCTGGGTAGGTCGCAGTCAGCGCAGCATCTTCCGGAGGCTGCGCATCCCTCCAGCGGGACAATCTGTGACACCCGCAACGACAATCCAAATCCAACGGGCGGTCGAAGCACTCAACACCTACCCCCACCTGCTGCCGCTCGTTCGGGAACTGTCAGTCGCGATCCCAAGAAATGGCGCGGGGCAGATCGCTCTAGGGAACCTCGTCGTTCTGGTCGCCCCGCGCCTTGAGCGGCTCGAGCTCGACGGATGCGTCAACTCGTGGCCGCGCATTATACCTGATCTGCGAGACGTCCTGCTCGCGACGATGAGTGCACCGCGCGTGGACCGAGTGTATCTCACGCGACTGGCGTCCTTCCCGGTTTCTGCGATACACGACATCCTGCATACGAGCCGCGCGGTTGCACTGACGGACGTTGTGGTCAGGGACGACGGGAGCACCCCCATGAAGCTGGTGATGCAGCAGCCCCCGCCGCTTCGGTACCTCCATCTCCCCTGGTTCACTATCCGGCCCATCCTTCTCGCAGCGCTGCCGCATGGCCCCAGGACGTACTCGCTGTTGGAGTTTCTGCGCGTCGAGCGCTATGACGTGCATTATCGGCCGATCCTGCAGGCAGCAGCCACCACGCTAGTCACACTGGAACTTACCAGCTCTGGTACGTCGACTCTCATTAGCTTAGCTAGTGCTCTTCGAGAACTACAAGTACACGACTGACGTATGCCTCCTCAGATGGTGTGGTCGACTGGGAGTTTCCCCTCCTCCCCGCACTCCAGACTCTCGATCTTTCTTTTGCGGCGAAGAACGTGGACTCGCTGTGCATCACACTGCCCCCCTCGGTGTTGTCCTGCATCTCTCGGCTGCCCAGCTTCGCGCCTGTGGTCGAACGCCTCGTGCTCCGCGTAACGGTCCAGATCTTCGTCGTGCGGCCGCTTAAGTGGGTCGACCCCGAGGCTCGAAGTATGCTTTCCCAGCCTGTCATCGTTGAGCCCTTCGGAGATTCGGGATACGGGGATGCGTTGCCGTGCTTCCGAGAGATGGAGGTCACGATGGCTTACGGAGATCCGATGAGGACATTGGAAAACATGCCTGCCGAGTATGCGGCCCCCGTGCTGAGCACGTTCCGAGCATGCGAGCAGTATATGGGCGATAAATTTCCCGGCCTGAAGAGTGCTGGAGGTCTGCGCGTCAGAGGAGAGGATGTCTGGCGACGCCTCCAGTCCAGAGGTTCATTTTCTGGAGTAGACTATCTTCCATGAAAGGCTGCTCTACCACAGAATGATAAGAGAGAGAGAGAGAGAGAGAGGAACGGATCCATCCCGATAGCATTGCTCAGTTTATGGCTCATGGTACATCATCCGGCTCTAAAAACACAAAGGTATACAAAGTCTCTTGCAGCCAGCGATGCTCAATACTCTACTTGCCACCCTTCTTGGCGGCTTTCGCTGCCTTCGCTGCGGCCTTAGCAGCCGCAGCCTGGGCCTTCTGGGCGGCTTGGGCTTGCTTTGCGGCGGCCTTTGCGGCGGCTTGGGCGGCCTTGGAGTTGGCGGCAGCAGTGGTCGCAGCAGCGGCAGCGGCAGTGTTCGTGGCAGCGGCAGCACCTGCAGCACCGTTACCTGCAGCGGCGGCAGCGGCAGCGGCGGCGGCAGCAGCAGCAGCGCCACCGGCAGCAGCACCGGCACCAGCGTTGTTTCCAGCAGCAGCAGCACCTCCGGCAGCAGCAGCACCTCCAGCAGCGGCAGCACCTCCAGCAGTAACCGTGAACTGGAAGTGAATGAGCAATTGATATAAGTGCACATACAACACACTCACGTAAACAACATCATCGACGATTCCGTGCTGAGCAACGGGCATCAGCACAGGCTGGTGAGTCGACGCGCCGAGGATGGTGCCCATGCGGTAAGTTCCGGGTGCGAGGCCAGCGGTGACGTCGACGGAGACTTGTCCCTGTCCGTCAACACCGCCGTCGATACCCTTAAAGAACGCAAACTTGGTCGGGTCGGTCGGGGTCGTGGACGTGAGCGACTGGATCGCCTCAATGACGACGTGCTGGTGGCCGACGATCTGGCCGTTGGCGTCCAGGGCTTGCGGGTTCGCGTAGTAGGTCTTCTGCGCGTTGGTGAAGCTGCCCAGCTTCATGTTCTTCATTGCCAGTGTCACCGTGAACGCCGTGTTAGCAGCGATCGTGTCCAAGTTCGCCGGAGAGACTGTGCCGCACGTCAGACACCGACCCTGCACTAGTGCACTGTTTCATGATGCGTACCGAACTTGGTCGACGGCATGTTCGCAGTCGAGGGGACATCACCCATGGTCACAGGGAGACATGCGCCACCCGTGATCTGCTGACCGTTATTGATGGTCTTGCCGACACAGTTGTTGATGAAGTTGTTGACGTTGGGGATGGCGGCAGCTTGGCCAGCGACAGGGGGGTTTTGACCGTTATCGGTGGTCTGGATGATGGAGGGGTCGAGCGTGAAAGAAGCCTGAGCACCGGCTGATTGGGGCGTTTGATCAAAACGGTGCTTAGAAAAGATGATCAGAACACCTACCCGCATTTCCAGCTGCAGCAGCAGCATTGTTTCCGGCAGCAGCAGCAGCGTTATTTCCGGCAGCAGCAGCGGTTCCTGCGGCGGCGGCGGTTCCTGCAGCAGCGGTTCCTGCAGCAGCAGCATTTCCGGCGGCGGCAGCACCCGCACCGGCCGCAGCACCAGCAGCAGCGGCACCGGCAGCACCACCCTTACCGAAACCGCCTTTACCGAAACCGAAACCCTTGCCTGTCTTGGCGCGACCAGCGAGACCTCCGGCGGGGACATAAAGACCGTGAACGTCGGCGACGAGGGGAAGGAGGACAAGGAGAGCAGAGACGGAGGTCGAGAACTTCATAATGGCGATGAAAGGATTTCTCGGAAATCAAGAGAATGTGCTAAAGACCGGATGAGAGCGAACTGAGAACACCAGACATAATGAGCAAGCTGCAGAGCATCGCGGATAAGACGCGAAATACTGACAACTGAAACGAGCCAGGCAGCACGGCTGCGAAAAGAGTACGAAGGGGGATGGGGGTGAGTGGAAAACTGAAGGCCGGTAGAATGGGGTGCAGCACTTTAAAGGCACGGTGGAGCTGTCGTCCTAACGACTAGATCTTATTGGGTAGAAGCTTCGATCCGTGATCTGTCCAATCGGCAGACACGATCAAGACAGATCTTGCTTGATCCCGCCCTTGTGCCGGGGACGGCCGGGTGACCGATCGCCAAAAATAGAACCACAGACGAAACACAATCGCGGCGTTCCTAATAAACAACTCCGTTACACTTTACACACAATCGTCCCGTTCTTCGCATTCTTGTACTTTTCTACCGCGCACATGAACGCAACCAACGCATCCACCTCCTCGCGGCCATTGATAGCCGCCATCTCCCGAAAATGCCGATCCGCGATCGCACACAGTACTCCGTGAAACTCCTCCTTGTCCGCCAGAATTGGTGCCCTCGAGAGTGATTCCTCCTCCTGCAAGCGCGAACTACGTCTGCGTGATTGGTCTTTAGGGTCCCGTCGAGGTCGGTTCGCAGGAGTGATTGACGGCGTTGGGCTCGGACCACGCGACATATGTCGAGGGGGTTTGTCAAGAAAACGGAGGGGGAGGGTCGTCGGCAAGCATTGGAGACGGAAAAACAGGAGGCGCGATTTCGAAGTGCGTCAGGTATCGGAAGATTTCTGAGAGCAAGCACACTCGTTGAGAACATTCCACAAATCACACCCAGCCACAAACGTAGCACCCACCTGCGTTGCTCAGTTTCTTGAAATCGACGGTTGTGATGCGCCCATCTGCATCAGGTTGTAGGTTGCGTACAACAGGCATGACGGATTCTGCCACGCGCTTTCTCTTCATTCGTGGCTCTCCTTCTGCGCGTTCGCCTGCCTGTCGCTTTGCACCTGCGCTGGCACTAAAGTAAGCAGCATCGTCATTGACCTTTTTGCGAGCAGCGGGACGTCGCGAGGGCCCGGCACTCGATTGCGGCGTTGACATTGGAGCAGAAGCTAAGAATCGCGGTGGGTGGGTTAAGCGAAAGCTTCGTCTCAGGCGTGACGATGCTTCCGAAACGAGACAGTTTGATTGATTGAGTGACCGCTTCTGTCCTCCCCCTCCGCGTGCTTGGTTCCCACTGTCTGTCTCTTTTTCCCCGAATGTTAAACGGCCATCTCATGTTGCTCAAATGGAGGAAGCGTTTCAGTGTCGAGGGCTACGGAACTCAGATCTCCAGTCAAACTCGTCTGGTAAGTATCATGGTACGATGGACATCAGTGGCCTCGGTCAGAGGCTTCGGGTGGATCTCTCACCCGCGAAAGAATCAACCATGTATACCGTCACGCGTCCATGTTCTCTGCAGAAAGCATTCTCCCTGCACAAGTAACAGATGTGTGCTCAAGTTCTGCCCCCGCGTGCAAGTATCACGTCCGCTTTCTCATCTCGCAACGAAGATGCTTCTCTTTCGCTTGCATCCCGGCGTTACATGTGCGCGCATCTGCTGGCCAATGGCCGAGGAGCGTTGGGCGTGTGCAATGCGCATCACCATCAAGTTCTCCGCTCCCATGTCTGACGGTGTCGACTTGACGACTTGGTGTTTCCTGGGCGAGGAGATTTTTGCAATGCTAATAAGCCGGATCTCTTTGATTAGACTGGGAACAGCAAAATTAGCAGCTCGCAGACGCATCTGGCTAGATGATCGCTGCTTCCTTCAAGCCCGTATCTCCCTAACCTCGGGCCAGATTCGTACGGCCTCCGGCGTCGGAGGAACAAGAAGGGACATATATCTGTGCTGAGTGTGAGACAGCGGTTTGTTTAGTGCAGGTACTGCCGACCCATCACCCCTGACATACGGGTTGCGAGTTGTTGTGGGGGGTTCTAGGCTCGGTCGTCATCGATTCCTCTCTGAGACTGGTGTCAATCGGACGGAGCGGGCAACTGATCATTCTCCGTTGGCTTGACGGCGGGCGTTCATTGGTCGGTCCGTTGATTTCTCAGTCGTCGTTGCTTCGTTGAGGTGCGCATCATTGTTATCCAGGCCATCCACAAGGCTCTCGGATTCGGGCTAATTCTGTACACACCAATCGCAGAGCTCGCTGCTTTACCCAGGGATGACGGGTGCCAGAGATATACTTAGGAGTGATTCTTGAGAGGTCAGATGATTCTTCCTTCGCCACGCGGCCACACAACGTTGACTCAATTGTAACCACCGGATTTCGCCAATCCATGTTCTGCATGAGCGACTTCTGCGACGGATGTCGGCTTCTAACTCTATGAATACATTCTCATTTACAGGCTGCATTGAGCATGGCACCAAAGGCACAGATCTGGACAGTTTCTGATCGACCTAATCGACACCGGTATCATCTACGGGGTCGTCGTCGGACGAAGAGTCATCTGCTGGTGCATTTCCTCCCCAAAACCGACCAAACACGTTGCGGATGACGCGCAGAGGAAGAGGCTGCACCGAATTAGCCATGCGCTTCTGAAAGATGCATATCTACGCACCGCAACTTCTTCGTCTTCGTCATCCTCGTCTTCGTCATCGTCACCTTCCTCGATCTGCTCTTCGGCGTTCGGGTGCGCCGGCACACCATCCTCTTGCCAGACTCCGGGCATATCCCCGGGCATATCCCCAGGCATCTGGGCGTCCTCGTTCGCAGCCATCGCGGCCATCATCAACGCCTCAAATTCGTCTGGCGCCATCTGCGCTGCCGCTTCGGCGAACTGCAACACTCCGCCTGGGAACCGCTCCTGCACAGCGGGCATCGCGTTGAAGAAGCCCTGCAGCTGATCGCGCAGCGCGCCGTCGGGGATCATCTGCGCCAGGATCCGGCCCTGCTGCGCGCGTTGCCGCGAGGAGAGCCGCGGCATGAACGAGCGCAGGTCGTCCGTATCCACGAAGTACGCGTCGTCATAGCTTGTCACCGCCGTCGGAGGAGGAAGCGGATCGCACTGCAGGGTTTTGGTGTTCAGGACGTCCGAGGGGATGTATGAGAAGAGCCGCCGGTAGCTGGTCTCGAGTACCATCACGTGTCGGTACACCGAGTACCGCAGATTCACATTCTGGTACAGCGCCAAGAAGTCTTGACGACGAGTCGTACTAGAGCCCGAGGGACTCGAGAATTCGTCTGCGACCGTGCTGGAGAACCACGCGGATTCGTCTTTCCAGAGAGGAAAGGATCTCTGCGCATACAAGTGGGAGAGCAGGTGGAGGACTGCGTCTGTCACATGCAAGTTTCTGGCGAATGTGAATGAGCACCCATTGCCAACTACCGACAAATAACACACCTGCCATCCGTCTCGATCTTGCAATCAGGATGGCTGCGGACGGTATTGGGCAGCGAAACATCCAGCTTATCCGCTAGCAAAGGCACAATCGAAGGGAAATTATGGACTGCTTCCCTGAGTTCAGCGGTCCCAGCGCTGGAATCCTGACCAAAGGTTCAGCACGCAATCCCCACTCCGACAAAAAGTGCACTTTGGCTTTGCCTGCTGTACGGATCGCCAAGGCCCGGGCATAAGACCAACCTGGAAGCAGGCTTGGATCCACCCGCGCATCTTGCGTCTGGACCTGCTTCCGGCGCGTCGCATATAGTTCAAACATATCCAGCAGCCACTGTCCCATCCCAGTCTTGATGGCCAGAAAGTCCAGATGCAACAACGCTCCATGTGGGTCATTGGTCGGGTCAAGAGACAAAAGCAGCCGGGCAAACTCGAAAGCAGTTCGAACACAGCCCCGACGTTGGAGATCTCTGAAAGCCGTCAGACAAATTTTGAGGCCGTATAGTAGATGACACATACGTCGTTTGCCGATGCAATGCTAAGAAGAACGGCCTGTTTTCCACGTGATCAAAATCGAGGCGGTGGATTCCGGCAGTGAAGTTGAACGAACAGCCGAAGAAAGCGCGTTCGTAGGCAAACAATGCGCGATCAACGTATTCGACGGCCTGCGCGTACTCTTCTCGGTGTCGGAACACCTCGGCGAGCTGCAGAAGGGTGTCGCCGTGCCACGGGAATTGCCGAACCAGATCATAGAAACCATTGGGATCTGTGCACACACCGATTGAGCGTGAAAGTACATGTGACACCAGCGCGTCGCGACCTACCGCCAGAATAAACGATGTTGATGAACGCCAGTGTGATGCTCTTGTACTTCCGAGTGTACTCGACCGTCCACCACTTCTCATTCGGGAGCGATCCAGCGCGTACTTGTCCATCTTCACCCGGATTTCGGCCTCGGGTAACGGTCGCAGAGACAGTCCTTCGCGAGGTGCGGTGCGAACCAAGACGCGGGGGGACGGGTGAGATTCGACCGGTGGCCCGTTTGGCGCCTCGATGATCCAGCTCCCGAAGCCTTGTCCCCGGACTTGTTCGCCTGGACGACTTTGGCGCCGAAGAACTTGCGCATCTCGCCTTCGCTGTCGAGGTGCTGTAAGGAGACAGAAAGGAGTGACGCCAGTGCTTCCGACGAGGACACCTCCTCCTTGCTCATGCTCGCAACAGTTTGTAGCTCGGGATACCTGACCGATCTTCAGCAGCGGACGGGGACAACAGAGGGTTCGCGAACTTGATAGAAAGCTCGGCGAGAGCCTGGTCAATCTCATCCTTGCCCGCCTTTCTTTCCCGCGCCTTGGCCTTCTTCGCTGCTTTCTTTTCGTTCTTCGGAGCGGGGCGGAGGTGGTGGCGCCCGTGCGGGCGCGGGGTAGCTACAGGCGCGGGAGCAGGAGCAGCAGCAGACGAGGGCTTCTTCTTTTTCTTCTTCTATCCAATTCGAAGGAACAGTAGTCAGACCAGATGGGAAGACCGGGCCCGTAACGCGCACCTTCGACTTGGGCTTCCGGTCCTCGTCCGCACTCTCCTCATCCTCATCGGGCACGAACAGCTGGCATCACTTGAGCTTAACTTCACGGTTTTAGTATACACGGCGCACCGCTGAGAAGCCTCCGCCTGCACCACTAGCACCACCACGCCGGACGACTTGATCAGCTCCATCATCGGCGCCGTCGTCCTCTTCGTCGTCATCCGATTCATTCAGAGGTGTCTTGTCGCGTGCAAGAGATTCGAGCTCTTCCAGTTCGCGCTGCTGGCGTTTGTTGAGCCGAGGAGGCATGGTTCTGCGTGTGGATGTGTCGTGGAGAGAGTCACTGTCAGAGCGCAAGATAATTTGACATCACGTGTGGGGAGCCGAAGTCCGAGTCGAATCACTGAGATCGAGATAAGATTGGATACGATATTGCGATCTTATCGATAGTGGCCTGCGGTGGTTGAACCCAGATAAAGAAAGGTGGATATACTGGTACATGGGTGCCCATGTAAACAGGCTAATGATAATTCTCTTCCTTCACTGGGGTATTACTGTAGTTAACCAGTCACGCAGATTCACCAATTCTTCAGGGAAGATATCATGCCACATGTCCCGATACGTGTGGAATGCCAGGCCCTTCTGGATCTCTGGCAATCCGGTGCGATCGCGCCCCGAATTCACATACGTCACAGGCATACCTATTTCCGAGTGCAAATACTCGACGCAAGCTTGGCCCAGCTCGTATGTGACAACAGATCTTTAGTTCCATGTCCCCAGAACACGGGAATATCTTTGGCATGGGCAGAGACCATCTAGGCGTAGTTTTCAGTAGACCAGAACATCGATCCACCCCGAGGCGTACGGATTTGAACTTGTATCTCAGCGGCAGACGACCACTCAACACAAAGAGCCCAGATAGCTTCCGCTCCATAGTCAATCCGGTGAGCAGCGTCATCCCGCCGCCCTGCGAGTATCCACCCAGCACGATCCGGCTCGGCTCGCGACCTTGCCTGATCAGATCCTCCACCAGAGCGCTCAGCAACGAGATACTGTGCATTATGCCCGCTTCGTCTTCCACACCGGGCCCGGGTACTTCGAGGGGCAGATTGTCAGTTCGCATGTCAAACCAGACCCGTACTTGGTCGCCTGTCGTGGCTGAGATTCTGTGAAAGAAGTGGGTGATTTTTCACATGTCCGAAGGGACATAACTTACGGCCCAGGCATGATAAATTGGACATGCTTCAGCGCGTCGTGACGATGCAGTTCTTCGGCAAACAGAAGCATGTTCTCTGGGCTGCCTCCAGAGCCCTAGAACGATGAGAGTGGGTGCTGGAGCTAACGGGATTGACCTGCATGTAAGAGGATAACTGTCACAGAACACCCTTCGAACTCTTTCGGGTGAGAGATGTACTGAAGACGGGTGGCTTGGATTGAGCCCATAGGTGTTAGAGATCAAGTGCTAAGATGAGTGAGTGGTGATAGTTCAACTGCACTGCCACGCTTCACTCTGATTCTCAAGTCATGGTCAAACTGGGATCCTGACCGTCTCGCCGACCGTTTTGAACGCGTCCTGCGCATGGGCATCGGATCTCAGCCAACTGAAGGCCCTCTTTGACTCGCCCTACACTGGGGCTGTCGTCACTCGCACATCGACATTGGAAGGATTCGAAGAGGACGCGTCGCATACAGTCGGTCACACGTTCCCCTTTCCTCTCCCGCATCGGCTTGACTCTTGATCGAGGTCCGCTTCACGGCTACATCTACATCCACCTTGAACTCGTACGGTTATAGTCCGCACAAACTGAGCCAGTACCTCTCATGGATCGAGACTATCTTGACAATGCGCCTCCGACGAGCTCGAAACCGTTCCTCGTCAGCATCAGCGCATCGGAAGACGTCGAGATGCGGGTGTGTACGCGCCATCCAAGATCTTCGAGCCAAATCACCTACATTCGCGCGCATCGGCATCGAGTTCAACACGTCGTGCCCCAACATCCGGGGGCACGCGCCGACCGGTTACGCCCTGTCCAGCGTCGCGTCGCTCCTCGGGGTCCTGCGCGACGCATACCTGGCAGATCGCACACTCACGATCGGTCTCAAGCTCCCTCCGTATGTCTACGCCGCGCAGTTCGCGAGGTCGTGCAGGCGCTGCGGGACCTCGGCGCTCCGGGTGCAGCATCACCCATCGCGTACATCGCGTGCACGAATACCCTGGGGAGCTCGCTTCTCTTTGCAGAGCAAGTGTACGGGGCCGGGGCGGGGATTTGCAGTGCCCACTGCGCTGGGTGGGTTGGCTGGGGATGCATTGCACCCGCTGGCGCTGGGCAACGTGCATTCGTTTGCGCGACTCCTCAGGGCCGAGTCTGTCGACTCCCCGCTGCGAGATCTGCTGATTGTCGGTCTTGGCGGTGTGACGAGCGCCGCGGCTGCTCAACGCATGCGGAATGCGGGAGCGTCCTTCGTCGCCAGCGCCACTCTCTTCGGCAAGGAAGGCGTCGACGCGTTCAGGATCATTGGCAACAACGAGGAGAAAGTTGATTGACTGATTTGAGATGCATATGTATGAATACAATGTATGTACGAGAGGTAAAGCTACAAAGCAAGACATGCGAATAAGATTAAGGTGCCCAGTGGGAGCACTCAGACGAATCGGCGAAAATGATCAGAAGGGAGACTGGCCCAGGAATGAAGTAGCGAAGTAGGTGTCTGCGAAACCGTCCGGAGTAAAAAGAGCACTGTTCAAGTCCACGGAAAGAGAAGAAACAGAGGAAAGAAAAGGCATGTCGGTAGGAGTCTCGTAGTCCGACTCGAAGAGAGGTGCCAGCTCCGAAGGACTAGGACCATAAGACGACATGCACGAGTCGGCCAGCGACGACCACCGCGAGAAAGAAGGAGGGGAAGGCGGAGTAACCGGGTCCGATGCGGGGACACTGCACGGTTCAATCGTCGCCTGAGGAGCACCCATCGTCTGCTTCTGCTGTTGGTCGAACTTCTGGATCTCCGATTGGAGAAGCTGCCCACTCATCCCATCGGAAACGAGATTGGATAACTGCACGCAGCGAGCCTCGTCCTCTGGGCCGTTGCGGCGGACATGACGCTTGGCCGGCTTTTTGGTGCGCGCCTGGGGGCGGAAGCGATACTCGGGGTACTTGCGCTGGTGTTCCTCCTTCTCCTGGGCGGCCAGGAGCTTGAACTGCGCCTTCTCGAGTGGGTCCATCTTCTCCCACACCATCGCGATCGTACGGCTGAGGTGGCGGTTGTCCATCTCGACGGCTTTCGGGATCACCTTGCGGTCGGTCATCCACGAGCTGGGGACGCTGGAGTCAGAGATGGAACGGGCCACACATAAGGAGAGGCATACCGGAAGATGAAGAACGCGTTCCGAGGGCGGGGAATGTGATTGGGTCCACGGCGGGAGCGCGTAGGTCTTCTGGGGACGAAAATGGGGCCTCCATCGACACCCGTCAGCGACAGCGGGGACAAGGGCGAGGACGGGAATGAGCCGACAGACGAAACCGGGGTCTGACACATGAGGGATGGCAGTGCCACCGAGGGAGGGGAGATATTGAGATAATTCGAGTGCGTCCACTCAGGCATCAATGTGGGTTGGGCACTGCGATCGGGGGAGGAGATCGGGGAGGGCGGGCAGAAGCGATTCGAGTACTGCGATGGGATGTCTGTATGTGAAAAGACGGTGAGTCAAAGCGCCGATGGATGGAGAGCAGACCATACACGGCTCGAGGTAGGGCAGAGTCGGAGTCTCGACGGAAAGACCGAGAGAACCTGCGTGTCGGAGCTCGGCGGCAATGAAATCCATGCTGAGGTCGAAGAGACTCGAGGGGTAGTACGAGGAGGCATCTTGGGCCGTTCCCTCTCATCCTTTATAATGTCGGCGCCTGCTGCAAGATGTCGCCGGTCAATGAGAGTCGATTTGATGGAAGGCGCGGTCTCATATGACAATTTCCATTCTGGGCTCGCTTAGTGACATTCCGGCAAAGTCCGCGACCACGAGTCTGTGAAACGCGAAGCGAGTGCCTGATGGACGTGACCCACCGTCATCGGCCCACACAGGCCTTTCACTCCAGCCAATCTAAGCCCATTTCACCGTCGGAGGATTACGACAGCCAAAGGATTCAGGCGTTCTCGGGTTCGTCATCGATCTTATTCGCCCCGCTCTTGTTTGTCTTGCGTGGGCAAGTCAGTTTTATCGGATGATGGGTGACATTCGGGGTCAGACTCTGCGACGAAGACCCAGAGTCCCCCTTTCAATCATCCATAATATATGCGCCGACATCGAGCCTGAATCTACAAAGAGTTCCAGTAATGCCATCAACTCCACACCATGTGGCTGACACGTGATCGCGTTCGTGGCGGTGCTGGGCGCCTAATGTCCTCCTGTCAGTGTGTGCCAGGTTGACTCGTGTGTGTTCACCGGTTGTGTGTGAACAACCATCTACCTCCCAGCCAGTTTTTCCAAGGTCTCTATGCCTCCAAGAAAGAAAGCTGCTGCTGCTGCTGATGGGGATGCCCCTGCTCCCACGCGGTCGAGCACACGCACCAGGAACGCCGCCGCCGCTGTAGCGGCCCCAGCGCCCAAGCCTGCCTCCAAGCCCAAATCCAAACGCGCACGAGAGGCGTCAGATGAGGATGAGGAGGACGAGGAGGATCCACCTGCGCCTCCCAAAAAGCCGGTCAGCAAGCGGGCCAAGAAGGTGTCTCAAGACGACGACAACGACGACGATGAGGACGAGGACAGCGCTCCAGCCAAAAAGCCCGTGAGCAAAAAGCCTGCGAGCAAGAAACTGGCCAGCAAGAAGCCCGCGAGCAAGAAAGCTGCTGCCAAGGCTGCTGACGACGACGAGGACGTCGATATGGATCCGCCTGCGAAGATGGTATTACGTTATGGTCTGGACACACCAGGCGGGTGTTGACTGCTCCTAGGTCACCGTCGTGAAGCGCGGTCGAGCCCCTGTTGACCCCAAGTCGGGCAAAGTCAGTAAGTGCATCTGTGACCCTAGGAGGCGCATCTGGAGGCTCATCACGCACAGACACACATCAGGTCTATGCGGATGAGACCGTCTGGGATGCCAGTGCGTGCCATTCCACCTCTCGTGATCCGATTTCACTTAATGCGCGCTAGTGTTGAATCAAACGAACGTCGGGGCCAACAACAACAAGTTCTACGTCCTCCAGCTCTTGCATCCGATCGGAAATGCGTCCCAGGCGATGCTTTACACGCGCTGGGGACGTGTTGGTATAGACGGATCGACTCAGATCAAGGTCACTCTCGACGTCTCTGTTGGCTGTAGCATCCTCTGAGTTTTTGCTTAGGGACCGTGGCCTGTGGCTACCGCGATCAACGAGTTCAAGAAACAGTTCAAAGCGAAGGCGGGTGTGGACTGGGAAGACCGTGTGGGCATGGTCACCAAGAAGGGCAAATACACTTGGCTCGGTGCGTTGAATAACTTGTTCACGCAAACAAACTCATTGTCCCTTTTTCACCGTAGAGCGCGACTACGGCGATGAAGATGAAGAGGAAGGTGATTCGTCGGGCAAGAAGAAAGGAAAAGGAAAAGATAAAAAGGAGAAGGGTCCGCCGCCTGCATCGACGCTCAAGACTGAAGTCCTGGTGAGCTCATGAGTAATTGAAGCTGGTGAATTTTCTCAACTTTTTCCAGGATCTGTGCAACATTATATTCTCCACTGCGTATGTGTTTTCAGCTCTGATCGCACTGTACCTCCCAGACCTGATTCAGGATCATCGACGCGACTCTTTCGTCTATGAACTACGACGCTAACAAGCTGCCACTCGGAAAGCTTGCGAAAGCTACCATCCTGAAAGGTTTTGCAGCTCTCAAGGTGGGATTGCTATCGTTGGACATCGACGTTCAATTACTCATGGTTTGGCCGCAGACTCTGTCTGAAGTCATCCAGACGCCGAACGGCCAGGTTGCTCAGGCTCATGGTGGATTTTCTGCCGCATGTGATACCCTCAGTGGCGCCTACTATTCGTGCGCCTATTTTGCCTTTTTTTTGAATGAGAATCATAGCTGAGCTCTCCAAGGATTATTCCCCATGACTTCGGTATGAGACGTCCAGTGTCGATCAACACTAAGGCTTTACTCGAAAAGGTAATATCTCCGTCCCAAGATGCTGCCGCACTCCTCACTGGTTTCACAGGAGTTGGAATTAGTGGATGCCCTTGGTGACATGGTACGTCAGGAAGCTGTCCGCAATCTCAATACTGAATGTGATTGGTTCAGGAAATCGCTTCCAAGCTGATGGAATCCAACGACGACGAAGACGAGGAAGGAAATGCCATTCACCCTATGGACGCGAACTTCCGCTCGCTGGGTTTGACCGCCATGGATCCCGTCGATCGCACCAGCACCGAGTTCACGAACTTGGAGAAATACATGCGAGACACCCACGGCCAAACGCACGGCCATATCAAAGCCAGTGTCATCCATGCGTTCAGGGTCGAGCGCGCCGGGGAGTCGGACCACTTCGTGCAGGCCGGTCACGATCAGTTGCCGGATGGCGAGCGGCTGCTGCTGTGGCACGGCAGTCGAAGCACTAATTTCGGTGGAATCCTTTCGCAGGGACTGCGTATTGCGCCGCCGGAAGCACCGGTCACGGGATATATGTTCGGCAAAGGCGTGTATTTTGCGGATGTGCGTTTGTCAGTCTCCCGATAATACTGTCGCTGATATTCTTTCCAGATGATGTCTAAAGTACGGGTCTCTTTTCTGTTCCTCGTTGAGTTGTCTGACTGAAGTGTTATTCAGTCCGCTGGATACTGCTGCTCATAGTAAGCTTGGCCATCTCGAATCCTGATTGATCTAACCTCTCGGTCAGCTTGAGCAACGGCGTTGGCCTCATGCTGCTAGCTGAAGTCGCCGCCAAGCCATTCTACGAGCGCACGACTGCTGTATGCCATTGGAATCTCCCTTCCTCTTGTCCTGTACTAAGTGTATTCAAGGAATATGACGCCGACAAAGGCTGCAAGAAGGCCAAAAAGCTGTGAGGAGCCCATGCCGCATCTCCGCTCTTTAGGCTGATTCACCCTTGCTAGTGCAACAAAAGGCCTGGGATCAACTCAGCCCGGAGACTGGAAGGACGCCGGAGAGGCGCTCGACAACGACGCGCTCCGAGGCGTCCACATGCCGGAGGGCAAGCCCGTGGACTCGCCGATAGCTGGGGGCCACCTGCTGTACAACGAGTACATCGTGTACGACACCGCCCAGATCCGGCTCAAGTATCTGCTCATGGTGCAGATGTAGTTGTTCTTCACTTTGGTTAGAGGCGAATTCGCCCACTTTGCTTGTTAAAACGTCTTTTGTGTCTGTACTTACGGCTCTGTCAATTTGTGTGCACTTGCGCCTTGTTCCTGGATATTGTGTGTGGGAAGACCACCCACTGTTCGAGCGAGCTCTGGGCGGGGGAAGATATCATCGTCTATCCTTAGTTGTCGGTCTTCGCAGATCGCCTTCGCAGCCTCGTGCCACGCGCAGCCATCCCGCATCTCCTTTGTTCCAAGAATCTGCTTTGTTCTCGCTCGATCTCCATCCAGTCTCTCATTGTCTATATCCTGACGGCATGGCTCGGATCGGCCAATTCTATCGATTGGTTTGTTCGCGGGCTCGGATCTAAGTAATCATTGAGCTCTGGCAAACTATTCCAGATCTTCGACGACGCCTTGTCCAAAAGGCCACCCCCCCCCCCCATCAACTGAAAATACGCCTAGCTAGAGGACCGGAGCTCCGATAGTCTTCTCACTGGAACGCCTCCTTGAGCCACAAACCTACCTCCAGCAGCTCCGGATACTGGTCCGTTTCCGCTTGCGGCCACTGTCCATAGGCTTTAGCCTCCGCAGACTTGCCCAGCGCGTGCAGCGCCTGCTGCACCGCACTCGGGGCTTGCGGCGCAGAGAGCGAGCAGGACATAATCATCCCGTGCTTCGAGGAGACCTCCGCACGCTATCGCGCACGAATTAGCGAGGAAGCGGGCAGCGGAGGAGATGCGGGGGGACGAACGAGAGTGCCCCATGCGAACTCGCGTTCTAGGGTGTACGTGAAGAAGGGTGTTTGACCGTAGAGCCAGTCCCAGCCCTGACGAAACGTGAGTTGGAAGGAGGGAGGGAGGAAACGGGCAGGCAAGACATACCTGTAGCTCGTCTATGCCACTGCTCATGAACTCGCTATCGACATCCCAGGACTCGTCGACGGTGAGAGGCTATAATTAGGTCAAGTCGTGTTTTCACTGGCCTGAGCATCTGCACACACACCTTGTCGTCGATATCGTATTCCTGCTGGAACTGCGAGACCACCGCATCCACAAAGGCGGAATGCGTCACATCCGGCTGCGTCTGCCTGATATTGCACACAGGTGACCGGACCGAGGCAACGCCGTTCGTCTGCATCGTTTCCTGGGCGCGCGGTAAGTCACGGCATGCCCGCGCAGCCCGCACAACACAGCACCGCACCTTGCCCTCGACCCGCAGGAGGTCGCCGAGTGTGTCCAGACGCGTCGAGATGAGCATCGTGCCGTGGTGGTACGCGCGCCCGGTGGTGATCTTGTACGCCGATCCCGAAACGTGCATGCAGGGCGCGCATCGTCAGCCGTGTTTCACCCCCCGCGCAAAGGGACGGGCGGAAGCGGGGACTCATCTTGTCGTCCGCGACGCAGATGTCGTTCCGGTCGTTGAGACGCACGCCGGGGATGTCCAGCGTCGTGACGGCCCGCAGGATCAGGGCGCCTGTCGTCTGGCGGTCGAAGGCACGGCGGGGGAGGTGGATGGAGAAGTTCGTGTTGCCCAGGTCCTGTGGAAAGAGAGTCAAGGAACACTTCGTGGTCAGGGTGTACTTACGTGGTAGACCGTCCCGCCGCCGCTTCGTCTGCGCAGAAACGATACATTCCCAGCCGCGCGCAGCGCGCGGAAGTTGACCTCCTTCCACGGATTCTGGTTCCGCCCGATGACGACGCACGGATTGTTGCGGTAGAGGAACAGGAGAGGCTTCTCCGGGGGGCTGCGTCTGAAGAGCCTTGGCGCGTCGTGAACATGTGCCCCGCATCGCGCAGCGGAGGGTGGGTGTACCGTACCAGTCCTCGAATGTCAGATTGAAGTACGGGTCAGAGGATTCGGACACGTAGATGGCGTTTTGTATTTGTGGGTCGGTCCGCGGACTTGCTTTGGAACTAACGAGGTGTCTCCCGGCAGCTCTTGTGTGTGCGCAACATCGACGGAGAGAAAGCATTTATGATGTGAATCGGATCAACTTTTGCATGCGAACGTCAACTACAGCGACTACCTCAAATTTCAAACACTATATATCTTTCCTACTCATACCACTAATATCTCCTTGGTGGTGTAATGGCTAACATCGGTGCTTTTCAATATTCCTCTTCGGAGGAGTTAGGAGCTCGCACTAGCTCGGGGTTCGATTCCCCGCCAGGGAGTATCTTTTGCTGAGCTTTTGGACTGCTTCCAGTGGGAGTTTGTTTGACCTCCACGTCACTCATTTACTCAATATTTATGCCAGCCAGCCAGCCAGCCAGCCAGCGACCACTCACCCTGACCACGATCAGTCGATGTGGTTGTGAGTTGATCTGATCTGCAGCGGTTCAGACCTCTGAGTGTGACATAGGTCTGGTTTCCCACTGACTGTCGATTGTCCGTCGATTAAGACACCGACACCGACAGTTGGCTCAGCTGTATTACATCCCCGGCACGAATTCAAGTTTTCCGTGCTCAACTTATTGCGTGCTGATGGTATCTGTGTCAGACGACTACTGTGCAGTCTGGCTTCCTACAACTAGACAACCCTCCGGTCCCTATCTACATAACGAGAGCCCCAATCCTTGAGTCATTCGTATGACACCGAGCTTACAGCTGCAGTCGCTGCTGACTGAAGCCTTCGTCAAGCTGCTCACGCAGTGGGGGTCTATAAACAGCCGGATATCTAGCTGGCTCCCATGCACCCTCTGCGCCTCATCCCTGGACTCCTAGCAGCCTCTCCGTACTCGCTGCGAGCCATGTCATCCGCCGTCGACGCGCCGTCTTACGTCGAGCTCCCCGCCACGTCGCGCCATTCCGCGACGGTCATTCTGCTCCATGTGCGTCGTCGTGGTCGCGTGCGCGTGGGGGGACAGGCTGAACCGACTTGTAAACGCGCGCGCAGGGACTAGGTGACTCGGGCAACGGACTCAAGCCGGTCGCCGCGCACCTCCAGTCCCAGGCCGGCCTGGGACACTGCAAGTTCATCCTCCCCAACGCGTACGCCGCCCACTGCCCGCCCAGGCCTGCCTGCGCGTAGCTGCCGCGAATCTCACTTGACGTGCTGCCAGACCCATCCGCCCCGTGACGGTCAACGGCAACCGCCTCACGCCGGCGTGGTTCAACACGCGCTCGTTCAGCCCGCCGAGCGCGGACTTCGAGGAGGACCAGCTGCACACGCTGGCGTCGATCGAGAAGCTCATCGCCACGGAGCTCGGCGCGGGGCCCGTGACGGATCCCGCGCGCATCGTGGTCGGCGGGTTCTCGCAGGGCGGCGTCATGTCTGTCCTCGTCGGCGTCGTCTCAGAGATCAGGATTGCGGGCATCGCCGTGATGAGCGGGCGGCTGCCCCTGAGGAACGCGGCGATGGAGTTCCCGCGGCTCAAAGAGGTGCGCGGGCTCTTTGTCTGATACCTCGCGTCGCGTAGAAAAATGCGTGCTGAGCAAGAGATATAGCTTGCGTCGCCCCACGCGTCGTCGCTGGCTGTGTGGTGGGGCCACGGCCTCGCGGACGAGATGCTCAAGGTCGCGTTCGCGGAGACGGCCGTGTCGTTCCTGACGAACGAGATCGGGATCCCCCGGGACGGCAAGTCTGGGTTGGTTTTCCGCACGTACCCGGGTCTGGGCCACGGCATCGGCGCGGAGGAGATGAGGGACCTGGGACACTGGCTGGAGGGTATCTTGCCCGCGGAGTAAGTGTGTACAATGATTCAAGCAGATTTGCGAGTAGTATACAATTGTAAATCATAAATTACGGCACAGCAAAACGAATCACCAGCTGCCCAGCATCGTCTGAGCGCATTCCTAGTGGACCAGCGATCAATCTGTCAAGTTTCAAAAGACACAGCGCAGGCCTGGAACGCACCTTCAACCTCGGCAGCCCATGCACGATAGCGACGTTCACGATCGTCTTCAGTTTCCTGCGCACCTCGGCCTTGCTCGCGGTCAACTGATACGAACCAGAGCACGAGCAGTACCGGGACAAGTTGTCCGACTGGATCTGCTGGCACTTGGAGCACCGCAGATCCTGCTGCGCAAAGTTGCGCTCCAGCGAGAACACCATTTCCATCAGCGTGAACTCGATCGCGAGCCGGTCGAACTCGCCGCGGCACGCGGAGCACGTCCAGCGCGGGGTCCCGTCCGCGGCGCTGGGCAGCAGTGACGGGTCGCGGCAGAAATCCATGTCCCGGATCGCATCGCAGTGGCGGCAGGGCACGTTGAACAGCTTCAGCGGCTCGCACGGGTTCCTGAACGCCGCCTCGGGTGAGAACTCGCGCACGCCGATCAGCTCGAGCAGGTTCCTGCGCACCAGGCCGACCTCCACGTGGTGCTCCTTCGCCAGCCGAAGCACGCGCAGACCGCCTTGACGAGCTCCAGCACCGGGTTGCTCAGGTGCAGGTGCGAGCCCGGGAGCACCGGGAAGGCCCACTCCCGCAGCAGCTCCTCGTCCATCACGGCATCCCGGTGCCGCTCCAGCACGGCCCCAACAGCCCTGAGCATCGTGCGCGTGAGCTTGCGCGACAGGAATTCGTGGATCGCCTCGGTCTCCTTGACCTTGACCTGGTCCTTCTGCGTCGAATCCGGCATCCCGTCCGCGGTGCGCATCACCCGCAGCGGGCCGCCCCCGACGCGTTGCCGGATCTTGTACATCTCCACGATAAAGTACTGCACCGCCGCGTGAAAGTCCTGCTGGATGGCCTTCGGGAGGAACAGCGCGATGTTCCACTGCATCTCGAGCGCGAGGACGTCCGGGGGCTCCGTGGCGAGCGGGTCCTCGCACACGACGCCCCCCAGATTCGCCTGGTCCATGAACAGCAGATAGTCGTAGAAATGCTGCGTGTGCAGATGGATGTGCTGGAACAGCTCGTTCGAATTGACTGCCGTCGTAATGTACGTCGCGTAAGCGTAGGCTGTCCCCGGGGGCTTGGAGGTCGCGAGCAGAATCCGACTGAAGTCGGCGTAGATGACATGCGACCCGAGCCGCTTGAACTCGGCAAGTAACTGCAAGAACGTCTTGCGCATCAGTCGATGCACGAAGCGGTGGATGCTCGGATCGTGCAGATGGGAAGCACTCGAGCTAATCCAGCGCCAGAAATGGTCCAGGGCGAGATTCGCCGGCCCTTCGAACTTGCTCTCGATTTTGTCGAGCAGCCACACCTTGACCATCCCGCGGAGGATGTTGAACGTCTGGCTCGACACGTTCGATTCGCCGAGCGTCAGATCGCGCGAGGCCGTAGCCCCCGTGTGCTCGTCCAATGTGCGCGACACCGAGTCAAACGCCGTCGCGCCACCGCTACCCTCGAGCTCGTTCACGACGACCGAGTGCAGCACGGAGTTGACCGCCAGATTGCGCACAGCGATCTCGAGACACACATTCGAGTACGCGCCCGGCGTCATAAACTCGGACCGGGGAAACTCCTCCGTCGGCCGGCGGTCGTTCTCGATCCCGCCCAGATCCGGCCGGTCGGAGGGCGACCACCAGAGGACCATGTCCTGCGCGACCAGCCTCCGCGCGAAGGTGATGTCCGCCATGAACAGCGGCTGATCGCCCTCCACGTGGCCGAGCGGCACGTCGTAGTACTCCGCCAGGGCGACCATGCGCTCCAGCCAGCCGCCCGCCGACAGGTACCGGTTCAGCATCTTGCCACCGACATGGGTCTGCCACGGGAAGACATCGAGCGTGTGCGCGCCCCGCGCCTTGGACATGTTGAGCACGGGAACTTGGCCAGCTTCGGCACCAGCCGGTCGTAGTACGACTGGTCTTTACTCGACGACAGCACCACGATCAGCGATTTGTCCTCCAGCAGACCGAGATCGCGCGAGACGGCCTTGAGGGCCGTGACGTCATTCCCGTGGTACGTGCTCGAGAACTCGAGCGTCTCGGCATACGCGATGGAGCTGCTGTGTGCAAATTCGGACGACTGGAACTTGGCGAGCAGATCTGCATAGGTCGTGGGAAGCCGTGGGATCGCCTGTCGCCGTGTGGCAGGATCAACGATGTGCAGCTTGACCGACCCCGTTGGCGTGAACAGCGCGAAGACGTGGAGAGGGCTGTTGGCGGAGTACGCGTGGTACAGGAAGATGTACTTCTTGTCTTTGCCGCCGTCGAAATACTTCTTGCCGCTGGAACCCGCGCGGTCGACTTGCGACAGGTCCAAGCCCACCGTCTGCGCACGGTTCAAAGTCAGACTCGAGTCCTCCGTAGAACATGTCTTCCCTAGTTTGAGCAGAGCCCGGACGTGCAACGGAACCTAAAGTCGATCGGAAAACACATCCAGCCACGCACAAGCAAGCCACACGCACCTGCAACTCAAACACACCATCCACATTCGGGTCGTTGGTCAGATCGATGAAATGCTCCTGAATCTCCTGGTACACCTCCTCCCTTACGACGATCCGATACAAATTTGCACTCGGCAGATTCCGCGGCAGACTGCGCGTGACCTTCTCCCACGTGTAATACTCGCTCCGGAACAGCTCGTCCTTCGGCGTCTTGAGGTTCAGGTAAAACTCGCGCGGGATCCGCAGCGGGACCGAGATGACATCCGCGTCGACCGAGATCCAGAGGAGGTACCGCCCCGGCGTCTTGCTCGGCCGGATCTGGACGACGTCCCAGCGGCGGTTCGTGCGGATTTTCGCGTTCTTGAACATGGCAGGGACCACGGTTGAGCCTGCGCCCGAACGCAGCTCCTGGCGCATCTTCCAGCGCGGACGCATGGCCTTGATCCAGGCCGAATAGTTGACGCTCGGGTCCGGCAACGCCTTCGCCACAGGCTCCTCTACACGCTGTTTCTTGGACACGACCGCGATCTTGCGGCCTCCAGTCTCGTGCTCCTCCTCCCCGAAATCCTCCATGTCCCTCTCCTGCGCAGCGGCCAGCTTCTCCTCTGCCGTCAGAACCTTGAAGAAATCCGTGACCTTGTTCTGCTTGAACTTGTCCACGGCACCGGCCACACGCCGATGCAACCAGTCTGGATGCCGCACGCGCGGGACCGGATTGGCGACTTTCTGCATCGCAGCAGGGATCGTGATGAGTTTCTGGATCACGGACCCAAGGCGCTCGATGTAGTACCCCCAGTCGAGAATCTCGCGCAGCTCAAACGTGGTCAGGCTGTTGTCCTTGAGCCATTTGCGCAGGTACGTCCGCTTGACGCTCTCCTCGGTTGAGAAGATCGCGACGGGGACCGCGCGCTCAGTGACAGGCGCCCCGATGGGCTTGGCAGAGATGATGAACTTGCACGCGAGGCCCTTGTCTTTGACCATCTGGTCGCCCAGGAACTCCGCCAATCGTTTCGCGGTGCTGATCGACGTCGATTTCTGGCCCGCGTATTCAGCTAGTGTGCGCGACATGCTCCGGTTTTCGGCGATGAGATCGACAAGCTCTTCGTCGCTGAGGCTGTCGGCGTGGCTGTACAACACATCCAGCCACTGGTCGGCGACTTGGGCCACGGCAGCGTAGCACTCCTCCGTCGTCGTCCCGAGCAGGAACTTTTCAAAGATCTGCGACTGGAAGATCTTGATGAGCTGCAGTTCGCCTCGGCGTTTGACCTCGAAGCCTTTGAGCTCAGCGAGACTCCCGTCGTCGTTGAACACCGCATATCGCTTTTTGAGCAGTTTGTCTTCCTCCTTCGACGAGGGCAGAATCATAGCTTTGTACGGGCCGTCCAATTCGAAGAAGATCGAATTCTCGCTGTGAATCTTATACTCTCCCGTCGGCAGATCCAGATCGTGGTACTGGTGATTGGTGAATTGGGCGTAGACGAGATGGTTCAGCATCGTGCAGGGGTACGAGAATCCGATCGCCTTCCCATTCGACAGCTTGAACTTGAAGTTCTCCGGGAACACCCCAGGAAGCATGCACCAGATCCCATCCGTGTCGAGCTCGAGCGGGCGCCCAATCTGCTCCACCAGCGCACGCGCCATCTGGATGATGCGCGCGCCAGTGAGACACGTGATGCCCGCCATCTCCATCGAGTGCCAGCGCGCCCCCTTGCGCATAACGTAGCCGTAGAACGAGTTGAGGATGCACTTGTGTGCCAGCTGGAGCGAGTCGTACAGCACGATCATCTTCTTGGCCTCGTCGACGTCTGCGAGCGACCGGCCCTCCGCCAGCACCGCATCCAGGTTCTTCTTCCACGTCTTGTGCAGGCCCTTGTACTCGTAGCGGCGATCTCGGAACGTGCGCACGGTGTCGACGTAGAACGGATTCTCCCGCTGACAGACGATCGACTCGCGCGTCTCGACTTTCGTGTCCTTCGTCTTTTTGTACACCTTGCGCGAGTAGTCGCCCAACCGCTTGTGCAGCAGCGCCGTCTGCTCTGTCGCATTGAGCTCCATGAACTTCCGCTGGGGCATTCCGGGGCGTCGGCCAGGGAACGTCTCCTGGTTGAGCGCGTGCTTGATCATGTTGAACTCATCTCGATGGGCAGGGAAGAATTCGCCCCGCCACGCCCATTCGAGCCGCCGGTCGCAGGTTTTGCCTGGCCGGTTGTAGTCGCAGACCGCGCAGTCAGCTTCGTCGACCATCGAGTCCGGCTGGAGCCGGTTGGACAACATGATGTTGGGATACATAGCCGCTACATCCAGATGGTAGATCAACGGCTGGTCGTGTCGCATCGGCTCGTCGCGCAGCAACTCAAGCGCCACCTGAATTTCAGCCTTGACTTCATCGTAGTTCGTCACGTCCTCCAGCGAGGCCTTGGACTCTTCAACGATGCAGAACTTGAGCGCAGCATCCAAATCGTCGATGAGCTGCAGCATGTGAGCGAGTGATCCAGTAACAAATTGCGGACCACACACTTGCTGTACAGCAGAGGGCACAATTTTGAAATGCGTCGCAATGTCACTTCGGAATACGCCAGCCTCCAGCGCTTCGACGTGACCTCCGACATAAGTCTCAGACGCAAGCAGATGGCCGTTGTACATCTCCCCATGAGTCTCTTCGTGCCTGTTTGGCATGATGATGTGTCCCCGGTATGCTTCGACCTGCGTCCGTTGAGCCCAATCAGCGTCTACGTGGATATGCCGGACTTACCATGAGAAGCGTTTCGCAAAGCGTTCCGCTACCTTTGCGAAGCACCTCGTCCGGCTTGAGCGGGATGATGTTGCAGAGCGAAAAGATGAAGGGGTGCACATATTTCATGTACAGGTAGTACGTGGCCACCGCATCGGAAACGGAGTACTGCGCCAGCACTTGCGGCTGCTCCATCGCGTATCTGCGCAACCCATTGAGCATAATCTCCAGAAACAAGAAAAGCGGCGATAGAAACGAACGGTGTCATCAGCTCAGGATCCAACTCGATGGGATTGTATCCCAGCTTGGCCTGGGTCACGGCCTTCAAACCCTGACTTCCTTGCGGGAGATACGAGTCCCGCTTCACCCATCGGAAGCAGTCCATGTGAACACAAGTACGGCTCTTGTACTCGTCCTCCTGGTCTTTTGCGAATCCGGTCTCGAGGAACATGTCGATTCCGTTGGCTTTCGCTCGTGCATCGAGAAACGGAAAGTCAAAGAAGTCGCCGTTGAAAGTGGCCATGACCGTCGGCTTAACTGCCTTGATGTGCGAGAAAAACCGGGTTATCGTCGCTGCCTGGTAGAGCTCAATATCAGCTTCGCCAGGAGGCAATCAAAGAACCCACCTCATTCGCCTCGTTGAAGATGATAAATGGACCTTCGTACCCATCCTTTGGTGTGTACTCAAAGTCCTCGATATCCTCGCTCACGATCTCCCGGTTCGTGATCAAATATCCCTGCCCATCCACCATGTACGAAATCATCATAACCTGGTCGATCGCCTGGTCAGGAAACTTGAGCGGCGCCTTGGTCGTCTCGATATCGTACGCCATGACCACCGGGTCCGCACGCTTGACACGCTCCACGATCTGCTTAAACGCGGGCTGTCCGGCAGCGAACGACACTGCGTACCACAGCCCGACACGCATGTCGTTGTCAATCGCGACACGCAGGTAGTACGGGACGTCGTATTCGCGGATGTCGATGATGCTTTCCCGCGGGTCTTTGTCGCGCGAGCCCCGCCCGCCCCGGTTTACGCCGCCCACCCCCCACTCTTCGTCCTCGAGCTCGATGTCCATGGACGCGCCGCCGGCCGTGGCGCTCACGACCTCCGCGTAAGCGTCCACTGCGTCGCGTTTCGCGCTGTTCTCGAGCGCGATCGGTATCAACTCGCGGCGGACGGTCAGCAGGTCGGACACGTTGCGGAAAGAGAGCTGCAGATAGAGCCGCTGGTGTCCCATGAGATGGTTCGGGAGCTTCAGGTCCTCCTTTCGCTCTCGGGTGATGCGGCAGATGAGGCCTTCGTACTTCTTCGTCAGCCATTCTTCGATTGTCGTTTCGGCGCCTGCCTAGAAAACCGAGAGTGGGAATGCATTCGAAGTGGGTTAGAATGTTTAAATACCTTGCAGCAGATATAGAAGTACGGCTCGTACATGTACGTGCATTTGAACATGCTCCCATCATCCTGAATGAAATAGAAATCGACGGCAGTCTTGCCAGACGGCCATTCTGAATCTTTTACGAGAGTCTAGACTACATCAGAGTCGAATCAAGCGGTTCTGAAGGCCCACATACCGGATGCATGTTCACTAGCCAGCCGTCCTTGGGCAGACCCTCCTGCACCCTCGCAAATCCCAGCTTCTCGTCAATCTCGTCCCGGAGCCGCACCTCCTCGAATCTTTCTGCAAGCTGTGTTCCGTCGTCTTCGCGCTTCGGCGGAGCGCCGTCCCCCGTGCCGTTCGCCTTTCTAGCGTATCCACCACGTCCACGCCATGAACCACGTTGCCCGCGAAAGGAGCCGCGGTGAGAGCCGCGGTAGCCCTGTCCGCCACCGCGGCCTGAGGAGAGTCCGAAGTTCCCGCCGCGAGCCATCCTGGGGCTGCGAGGCGTTCAGGTATGTGAGGAACAGGACGGGGGGAAAATGCAGAAGGCGCGTCAGGTCACAGACGCGTGATGTCACGAAGATGCGTGGCGGTGCGGACCAAGACATGTCATACCACACACCATGTGAATCTGCCTGGTGGATATAGCCTCGCTGGATTTTCCTGATGGGGTTGAAGAGTATGGCATAGTCGAGCAAATAGCTACATTTTCCATTCTCCGATATCTTGTTCCGTGTTCTGCATGACAATTCAATCCCATTCAACAGAATGCCCTAGCTCCCAAGCAAAGTACAAAACTGTGGTGATGGACCCTGACTCAGATTACTTCGAAATGCCCCGCCCGTGAAGTTCAAGGAGCATGTATAGCGGTTAGGTTAGGTCCTTGGGCTGCCGTTCACGTGAGAGGCTGGACCGCGCACGGAGCGTCAGCCCTGGATAAACTTTCAGCGCTGTTCTTTGGTTTCCGGGTGGTTCGACTTTACTTTTGTTTCAATCCCTTCGTAACCCATCCTGCATCACGTGCTCGATCGCTCTCTGAACACGAGTAGTATCATGTCACACACTCAGCTGGGTGGATCTGGTTTCACTTTGTGGCCATGAAGGGTTTGTGAATATGCTGGAGTTGGGCAAACAGCTACTTCAAATTCTAATAGTTTTTATTTAGTCTTCCTGAATGACAATTCTCCCATCCAGCTGACCATTCATTCTCCCAGCAAAGTACAAAACTGTGGTGATCAAGCCTCTTTCAATTGCTGTTGTGCGCCTCGCCCCGCGATGCCCGGATGACATGTCCAGCAGTTACACCTGAGAGTGATGCACGATGTTGTACGTAACGGTCTGCCCACAATGTCGTAGATGGTTACGTACACCATCGTACATCACAAGCGACGGCTCTCTGCGCGGTCGCCGCGGAGTCAAAGGTGCCGGGCCTCCTCTTTTATGTCTCATCGATCATAAGCGGACCACCAACTTGAAGTATCCAATGTACATCCACTCTTGACTGGGAGCATCAACTTCCTTTTGCAACGATCCGGATTCAGGCTGTCCATCAAGTACCCCACTCTCGAGGCCTTCGTTCCGCTCAATCTCCCGTCTACGTGCTGAGATCTCAATCCTACACTTGCCTTCCACCGCCACTATGCTGCATCTTTATCTTTTCTTATTGACGGTCTTTTGCACGGGCGTACTGGCACGGTCGCCAAGCAGTGCGTAGTCTCGCAACGGTCGAGTAGTCGGACTTAAAGCATAGGCAGCCCTCGACACTAGGCAGTGTGTGTTCTGCCCCGAGGTCATCCCGGTATGCCAGTGTCCCCCGAACCTGCAATGCGTCATTGTCGCGCGGTGAGTTCTCCCCATCGCGCTCTCTCCAGTCCTCTTCTTGATATATCTATCCTTGCGCAGCTCGTGCACGGCTTGCGCCAGCGCGGAATGTGTCTCTGCCTCAGGCAGCGTTGTGGTCTCCCGGAGTGAAATCCTGCCGTCGTTCTCCCTGAGCATCCTCCGACCGCCTCCGGTATCGCACTCCACACCGGTGCCATCGACCTCGTCCGCTTCCAGCGTCGCGACATCTCAGGCCTCGTCCACTGCACCGGTGTCAAGCCCCCTTCCCTCTTCGTCGACTTCATCCCCGTTCTCGTCTGCCCCGACATCAGCCTCAGTTTCGTCTCCCTTGCTGCCGAGTGCAAGCTCCTCAGGTGAGTTCACGGCAGTATGTTTCGGAGCATTTATCACGTATGAACGACATTCAGCTCCGACTGCAGCGCCTTCCAGCACAGGGACTGGGGCAGGCGTGCGAATCGCGGGAGTTTGGCCGGCTGGATTCATCCCCGCGCTGTTGGGCTTACTAGCCATGTCATTCTAAACAGATCTGTACCAGCATCCAGAAGAGATGGTGTATGTCATCAGTGCACTCCTGAGATGAAAGATATGATGATGGTTCGCTGGTTGTTGAGACAAGTGTTGTGATTGAGACACGGACAAGCGCAGCCATCCGGCTTCGTTCTTTATTTAATCAATCTCGGGGTCAGCTCTGGTCGTCAAGAGTCCCAAATGATTAATAAATCAATCCTGAACTTGGGTCGGGGGAGATCGTCTTCCAAGCAGAATCAGAGCATAGCAAGTAATCTATGTACACACTCGTCATAACAGCGTGGCATCCGGCGCAATCTAATCTACGAGATTGTGTCGGAGCCCGATGTGTATTCGCCGGGCCTTGACCAGGGGACGCGACAGGTCGTCTCTTGTCGATATCGTAAGTACATGCTGACAATGGGTGCAGTAATTCGAGCCGTTTTCGCCCTTTTTCGGTGGTACTGAGTTCATCCACAGTGCGGCAGAATCAGATCTTGCCAGTGCGCCGCCCTTGACTGACATCACAGGCAACTCAGTGAAACTGGATCGGAAGCATATCAGCATCATATTCAATGAACAGCCTTTCCCCCCACGCGAATCAACTGACTCACTTGAATCCCAGAACCGTTTCCGCGATGATCTTCCCCGCCACGCCGCGTAGGAAGCCGGCCATGTCCTTTTTGTAATCCGCCGCATCCGGATCTTTCACGCTCTGATCGCTTACAACGGCGCACGTCCCGTAGAAATCAAACTCCTGGCCCACGTGCGGTGTGCAGAGGAGCCGGTTGAGGTCGGCAAGCAGCGTGGACAGCGTCGCGTATGACACAAACACAGGGTTCTCGCTCTGGCGGCCCTTCTCGATTCTGGGGCGCTTCGCGGGCGCAAGAGTGACGTGGATAGGTTCCTCGGCTGGGGGCTGCGGCGGTGGCCGCAACGGAGGAAGAGGAAGGAGAGGTGTGCGCGCATATTTGGGAGGGTTAGACGGAGCAGTGTTCTGGTAGCCGTAGACGTATGGACTTCTCCACGTGCCCGGCAGTGGAGGGGCGGCCAGCTCCTCCGCCGACGTTAGCATCGTTGATAGAATGGTATGACGCCTCACGCACCTGGGGATGAATCGAGGGGATCGTTCTAGCGAAATCAGCAGGCGTGATCACACCTGTTCCCGGTATTGAACCTTTCTGTGGTTTGCTCACTTGGCCGAGATTCATCCCGGAAGACGGCACATGGGGCTATGACCGGAAGTCAGCATCGAAGGCATTGCGTTGTGCGTCACACACTTGAGGAAGATTGGCATAGGAGGGCGGGACTTTGCTATGTTCGATGGCATCCGTTCCCGTCGCCACTGCATCTTTTGGCGGCTTATTCCCTGGCTCATAAATCCTATCGAAAGAGAAACCACAGAGCGACTCACCCCACGGTCTTGAGGTCCCAATCTCTGAGCGTGAGGTCTATAGCTTGAGAGACCGTGTGATTGTTCCGGCATGGATGACAAGCTTCCGCTTGCAGCTTGTCCAGATTGTGCAGCGTGCAGGGAAAGAATATCTTGCGTTGTAAACCGAGAACAAAGGTTTCCACAGATGGAACACGCGACGGACTTGACGGTAGGTTGGACCGACTTCTGAAGCGAGCATTGATAGCAGACAGGAGTAGCTGAACTAGACATTCGGAGGATCGCGACGGGGATACTTATCCCACTATGGTCGCGTTGTGTACAAAATGATGAGTGATATGCACCTGGCGGCAACGACCGGACACCTCTGTCCCGATCATGTGTGACATGAGCCTGCTCTCACCTCCTTGATCTAGTTGATGCGCTCACTGTCTCTGCGTCCTATTGAAAGGACTGCACCCACTCTCTTTTAGACATGCCTACTTTCAAGGTCGTAGTTATCGGCGCTTCTGGGGTTGGAAAAACGAGTCTCCGAGGCCAGGTGTGTGTATTCTCAGCCGTATCTTACAACGAGAGAACTCATCTCCATTCCTCTCCTACTACCATCTGAACACAGTATATATCCGCTCGTTTTTCGTCTTCGTATCGTGCTACCATTGGCGCCGACTTCATCACCAAAACGCTCCCACCCATGACCCCTGATGGCGAACCCATTACCCTCCAAATATGGGACACAGCGGGACAAGAGCGTTTCTCCTCCCTCGCGGCGGCTTTCTTCCGGGGCGCGGACGCCGCGATACTCATGTACGACGTTACCACCCCGGACACGTTGTACGCGTTGAGCAAGTGGTGGGCGGAGTTCCGCGACAAGGCCCCCGTGGCAGATGAAGACCTGCGCGGTTTCTGTGTGGCCGTGGTTGGGAACAAGACTGATTTGTTGGATGGGCTTGGGGAGGACGAGGATGTCGTGAGTCCGACGCAAGGGGTGAGATTTGTCAGGGTATTGATACCTCAGTTGGATACGCCACCGCATACACCCAGGCCGTTGGGAGCGCTCGCGGTTACTTCTGGAGATGAGGAGGACGCAGACGGCGACTATGATGATGGAGAAGACCCACTGGCCTCATCGCAGCTCACTGCCCGCCCGCAATCAGCAGACCCAATATCCATCTTGCGACACCCCCATCTCTCGCCATATAGCAACAATACGTCTCCCTCGCAACTTTCTTTCTTTCACCCCAAAGCAACACCGCGCAACCACTCCACTTCGCGTGCAAGCTCTCACTCGAGAGGCGGTGCTTCAACCATTACCTCCGCACTCACCATCTATCACACGCCGTCGTCATCCGTGTTCAGTGACAGCGCGTCCGAATACTGGCACTCCGCTCGATCTTCATACGCCCACTCGTCTGCCCACTCGTACAACGAGCATTCACCCGTCGCCCCACTCAATATGAACGGATTCTTTCCCCATAGACGTCGCTCACCGAGTGCCCGGAGTGCCTCCGAAGTCACAATCACCCCTGCACGCTTCTCCAAATCTTCGTCTTCGCTGTCTCTCGTTACAACTGCGGACGCTTATGCGAACAATTCCGTCTCTCCTTCGCCCATCGATACGTCCGCCTCTCCCTTTGCGTCGCGGACCGATGTCCAGCGGGCTTTGGATGCCGGCCCGTCGTCAGCCGCGCTAAGCCCTCTGCCCTATCCTCAGCATTTCCCATTCGGGGCAAATGGGACCTCAACCAAACGACATCCAACAACGGCAGTCACTCCCACGGCGGTCACGCCGACAACCTCCGCGTCGGCGTCAGTCACCAGCCTCCTGGACGCCGTGTCGCAGCCACCCAAACGCGGCAAAGGCAAACAGCCCAGCGAGCACGAGCGTCAGATCCCGCAGTGGCTCACGGAAGCCGATCTCGACGTCGGTGCGTCGGGTGCAGCCCATTTCCGCGTGTCGGCAAGAACTGGCGACGGTGTGTCCGATGTTTTCGGGTGGATTGCACGGCGGCTGCTAGTGCAGTACGAAAGGAGGGAGGCGGAGATGGGCTGGGAGGACAATCCGAGGGCGTCCATTACACAGCCGAGGCATCGTCAGAAAGGTGGTGCTGAGGAACGGCTGAGGTTGAATGCAAATGGGGGATCAGGGAACAGGGTGTCGGACAGGTGTTGTTAATTTATGTCATGTTTATCTTATTATAAGGATCTGGTTTCAAGCGTCTTGAGCTTCAAGCTTCAAGCTTTGACTACAAGCGTGACTTAATGGGCCTGTGTCACATATCACGTGTGTGTTTCACATCGCGTCAAGCCGGCGTCTACGGCCAGATATAATTACAGGAGGGTAAATACAGAATTATACCGACATGTAATCGGCCATCCTAAAGAGGCATTAGATAGAGCATGTATAAAATGCCAAAAGCTCCTACGAAGGTTTGGTGTTGAGTCGCTTTTCTAACTTGTTAAACTCGTCGAGAGCAATCTCCTCCTCCTGATCCAGGACCTATTCCCCGTTCAATAGATGTCGGATATCAGAAAGGCTAGACACACCTGCTCGACGCCTTTGACTTCAGGGATGTAATGCATCATCATTCGCTCGATGCCACTCTTCAGCGTAACAGTGCTCGAGTCACAACCTCTGCAGCTACCCTTTAGCTTGACCTTGACGAGACCATCTCCTTGTTCATCAAATCCGCGATATTCAATGTCCCCTCCGTCTTCCATGATGGCAGGCCGAACACGAGTCTCGAGAAGTTCCTTGATCATAGCAACCGTCTCTGAATCTGTGTCCAGGATTTTGGTGTCCTGAGGGCCCGCGTTGTCTCGATCCTCCTGGCTGCGGAACAACGATTGGCCGGAAGAGAAAAACTCCATCAGGATAGAGTATATCTCCGGCTTTATCACCGCCCAGGGATTCTCCGAGTCCTTGGAGACAGTGACGAAGTCGGGACCGTAGAAGACGGCTTTTACACCCTCGACGCCCATCAGGCGGATCGCAAGGGGAGAGCTGAGCGCCGACCGAGTGTCGAGAAACTCAGCCGTTCCATCGCCCATGACGGTGATACCGGGAATGAATTTGAGGGAGTCGTCATTTGGAGTCGTTTCCGTCTGTATAAACATCGATCGAGCTGTTGCAATTGAGAATAGGATCCTGGGTAGTCGATTTCCAACTTACTATGCGACGGGGCGGCCCTGCTGCTGGACGCGAGATGTCTGGGCGGAACGACGGTCGATGCAGTTGCGAATGTGGCACCCGTTTTCATGAACGCCAGACGAGGCAGAGAAGAAGAAAGCGAGCGCATTGGAGTCAACCCATGGGTTCTCCGAGGGATCCTGTGTTTCAAGCCGCTGCGCAACAACGACGAGGAGGACATGGGTGCAAATGAGAGAGGCGGTTAGTCATAGTCCGGTGACAGGTGGCTGTGACTGCACGTCATCCAGGATGTTTCCTCCGGATTACCTCCTGCTCCTTCTGTCGCGTCTGCTGGTCTCCGTCTTTGTTCTCTGGCTATCAGCAAGAATATGGAGATTCTTCACTCCGAGAGAGCAGCACTCTTTACGTACAGTCGCTATAGTTGTTCTGGGCGATCTGGGACGCAGTCCGCGGATGATGAACCACGCAGAGAGTTTCGCTGAGAACGGGTTTTTCGCGGATGTTATCTGCTATGGAGGTACTTTGAGGTCATTCTGATTTATTCCAATCTCTCCTCGAACTTGATTCCAGGTTCTGCGCCCATTCCGTCTCTGAACCGGCCTGAAGTTAAAATCCGTCAACTTCCCGAACCACCTCGTCCACTGAGGGCGCTTCCCTTCCTTCTCTCGGCACCCGTCAAAATTGTCCTCCAGATTCTGGGAATATTTGTTGAACTTTTCACCATTCCAAACCCTCCTGAATTCATTCTGGTCCAGGTGGGTTCGACCAGATGCACAGACAACTAGTATCTGAACGGCGCTCGGCCTTAGAATCCACCGAGTATCCCCACGCTCGCTATCGTTCAAACTGTCTGCTATCTGCGGGGTAGCAAGTTGATAATCGACTGGCACAATCTTGGGTACAGCATCCTTGCGCTCAGATTTCCTAAAGCTGGGGAAAAGCACCCGTTGGTTCGATTAGCCAAATGGTACAGTGAACGTCCATGCGATTGCGACCTCGGTTTCTGACCTTCTCTCAGGTTCGAATCGACGTTCGGCCGACACGCATACGCTCATCTGTTTGTTACAAACGCTATGCGAGATCATCTCGTGAAGCAGTGGAACCTGCAGTGAGTAGTTGAAGTTCGTCTCAGGGAGCCAGCGACTGATCCACACAGAGGAATCAAAGTCGTGCTGCACGATCGACCGCCTCGCCGGTTCCATGCCACTACACCCCAAGAGGTGCATGAGGTAAGGTATTTCAATTAGATCAGATCAACGCTCACTCGTCAAAGCTTTTCCTAAAATTGCAAAAGGATTTCTCGGCCCAGCCTTGTCTTCAGGGCTTTCTACCTGCATCGAAACCGGCGCAATCCACTTTCATGACTGCGACGTCCACAGGAGCATCTAACTCACCCACGGCCGTGATTGACCCAATATATTCGCACGCAATCTCGACTTTCCTTCGACCAGATCGACCTGCGCTACTGGTCTCCAGCACATCCTGGACCCCGGATGAAGATTTCGGAATATTACTCTCCGCGCTTACCAACTACAATCAGCGAGCGGCCGCGTCTGCCGGGAATCTCCCTAAGCTGGTGGTGGTTGTGACGGGGAAAGGACCGCTGCGTGAAAAGTACATGTCCGAGATCAACGATCTCCAAAGAATTGGGACTGGGTCCGATGCGTCAGCATGTGGCTCGAAGCAGAAGATTATCCAACACTGCTAGGTACGATTTGCGATACGTGCCAGGTTGGATCTTCTTGAACTTTGCACAGGATCCGCCGACCTTGGCATATGCTTGCACGCCAGCTCATCTAATCTTGACCTGCCCATGAAAGTGGTCGATATGTTTGGCTGCAGACTTCCCGTCTGTGCCTTGGGATTTGATTGGTGAGTAGCTACACATTTTGCTCGGTCAAATGTACTCATCCTCATTTCCTAGCTTGAACGAGCTTGTCAAGGACAATCAGAACGGGCTGATATTCAAAGACGCTGCTCAACTAGCAGAACAGATAGAGGTGCGTTTCTGTCTCAGTCAGCGACATAATATGTCCGACTTTTTTAGATCCTTTTGACCGGCTTTCCAAACTGCCCCCGGCTAGATCAATTACGCTCAGCCCTCGAGCCAGCCTCAGAACGGCCAACATCACCTTCACATTTACCTCCGCTTCTTGACCCTACCATGGACATTTGGGAGCCTTGGGACATGAATTGGGCGCGTCACATAAAACCGCTCATCCTCAAAGATGTGAGGAGAGATGGATTATAAACCCATGTGATCATGCACGTATATGTACATTAGACAGTAACTCATGTGGCCGCACTAGGCATCGTTTCTATCCTTCCTTTGCCCTTGCATTCCTTCTGCAACAGTTCGTTTATTACCCGGAATTGGCCAGGGTCGATATGCAAGATCTGCCACGAGTTGAATGCATAACAGCTCTGGAGTCAATCATGGGACATACCGCTTCCCAGCCATCCTGCTCCATCTCATCGACCTCAACCGTCTCTGCATCTGCCAAGACCTTCTCCCTTAGTCGTTTGCCATCCGCACTCGGCATGGTCACCCGGATTCGCATCCTCACCCGCTGTATCGGCAAACTCGAGTCAGACTGCAGTTGCTTCAGACACGCGGACACCTAGAGAGGGAGTGAGCGTGGCCGAGATACTCGAGATAGCGTCCACGCGCCTGGCTCTTCGCCGTTTTATCGGACTTGACGCTGTATCCTGCTTCCGACATGGCTTTCTCGATGATCCCCACTGCATAGGGCCGTCCAGTAGCCGGATCCTGGCATTTCTCCGCAACGAGGGTCGCGATTTCCTTGCGCAGAGCGGACAGGTCGTGGTCTCGCTCCTTCTCCCCCACCTGCATTTCGCCCTTTTTCAAGATCTGCGATGCGTGTGGGTGCGGTTGGCGAGTGACAGCATTCCGGGGTACTAACCTCTTTGACTACCTCATCGACACCGATCTTTCCGAAGGCCTTGTCGAGATCGTTCGTCTTGGCGACTTCGCCCTTGGACACGTTCGTGAAGACGTTGCTGATTTGAAGGACGTCGTCTAGATTAGTCTCGCTGTGACGCAGTATTGAGAGCAGATCGTTGTGCGAGAGAAGATCACGAACACCCCGGTCCGCCATTCCTGTACTTTGTTCTTATAGCATGCGATCTGGCTGGTTGGTAAGAGAGTGAGCTAGCAGGGAACGAGAAAAGTCACCTCGAAGCGCTTTCCGCCCTTCTTGAGCCGAACGATTGAGACGTTCGTTAGTCTATCCGAAGCGTTGAGAGTGGAGCAATTTTGTATGTTTGAGCGATATACTTGATCTGATTCGACGGCTGATAGATTTGAGGCATCCCTTCCTAAGATTTGTTCGTTATCGAGCCAGAGGATCTTGAGAACAGCGAGGATTAAGTATTCACCAGATGAGAGCAAGTCAGAAACACTACGATGCGGTGCAAGCGAGAGCCGATCACATCAAGCCGTGCCGCCGAGTCGTCGACCCTTACTGTGCTCTGACCGCATCCATTGGCTGTGCACTCCCAGCTTGGTTTAGCATCGAACTCAACCTTTCTACTCTTGCTCTGTTTTCGCGATGAAAGGGCTCACGAAAACCATCAAACGGTGCGGTGCAGTCGCGCCATCTCGTGCTGTCCCACTCATTGCGTCGCAGGACGCCGTTCATGGTAACCAGCAAGGTCGGGATGTCCAAGAGTAAGTCCAGACGTCTATATGCGTCAACTTGTCTAATCGCACGCCTCGCCAGAGTCACAGGACACGGAATTCGACGACTATCAACGTCATTTTGCGAACATGGAGAAGGCCTCGGAGAAGCTCCTCAAGGACACCAAGTCCTTTACGAACGCCGTCAACTGTGCGTACTTCCCTGAATTCAGCGAATCAAGATCCTCACAATTTCTAGCGCTGTTCACATCTGGCGCCAATTTCGCGACTCACTTCTCGACCCTCTTCCATCCGATCGCAGGCGAATATGACCTCATTGGCAAGAACCCCGACTCGTCACACACGATTCACAGCCTGGGGAAGTACGAAACTGCCATGGAAGAGCTGCGTGCTGCGGTAGGGCCCGAGCTCGAGTTGATCGAGAGTCGGATCGTCGCGCCGGTCAAGGAGTTCCAGCAAGTGCAGAAGACGATCCGCAAGACTATCACCAAGCGGGACCACAAGGTGTGCTGCCTCGAGTTCGGACTGGGCACGGTTCTCACGCCCTGTGTCAGCTAACAGATTACGACCGCTTCAACAACTCTCTGACCAAGTTGAGAGACAAGAAGGAGAAATCGCTTAGCGACGAGAAGAACTTGTTCAAGGTGGGTACAGATGAAATCGTTATCTGCGATGTTACTGAAAGGCGGGAAGCTGGAGCAAGACTTCGAAGTCGCGACGAATGAATACGAGTTCCTGAACAACTCCCTTAAGGCCGATCTGCCCAGGTTCATGATGCTCTCGACCCAGTTCATTGATCCTTTGTTTTCTTCGCTATACTACATGCAGTGAGTTCGCTCTTCCTCGGCACCGGCGACCGGTGGTAAACCACGCTCAGGTTGAACATCTTCTATATGCTTGTGGAGAAGATCTCCGCGTTTGCAGAGGAAGCCAAGTGGGAAGTCACCGGAATGTCCGGATCGCAAATCGAAGCGGACTACGAGAGTAAGCGGACCGATGCCTGGAGCACCATCGAGGAGATGAGCATCACCAAGCGAATCATCTCTACTTGTACGGGCTTCTCTCTCTCCGGGATCTCGTCACTCAATGCGATCTCGCAGCCAAGATGGTGCAAGCTAACCGTGCCAACGGAGGCGGAAGCACCCTCAGTCGCTCGACGACGTCCGCATCGAAAGTTTCTCTCTCGCCTCAGCCGTCGTTTGTCAAGAAAGCACCCCCTCCGCCTCCCGGCTCGTCGGCCGCGGCCGCCCCGCCGCCGTACACAGCCGGATCGACCGTGACGAAGAAAGGACCGCCGCCTCCCCCGCCGCTCAAGCCCAAGCCCAAGCCTGCGGTTCAGTATGTTGTGGCGTTGTATGATTTCGTCGCCCAGGTGCGTGATTGAAGGGCGGTGCCGGCGTGTTGCTTTTGGCTATCTTATCTTACCTAGGCGGACGGCGACTTGTCGTTCAATACGGGTGACAGGATAGAGATTGTGGAGCGTGGAGCAAGTGCGGATGATTGGTGGACGGGACGATTGAATGGACAACAGGGCGTATTTCCAGGTACGTGCGCGCCGGCTGTGTTTCGACACACACATTTTGATATCTGCAGGTAACTACGTGCAAGACACGTAAGGCGTGTGTCTGTTGCGACCGAAGAGCGTATGCACCGAGAGTGTATTTTTACTGCGAATTCGCGAGGAGCATGTATATTTTACCGCGCGTCGTACTTGGACACCGGACAGAACCTGTTCGATTGATAGGCTTTCTGGAATCTCACAGAGGCTTACGGTGCTTCATATCGTGCTCGGGTTTGAAGCCCGTCGACACCGTCTCACGCAAAAAGAAAGCCTAAATCATAATGGCTGATGGGCAACTTCACATTGTCACATGTACAATGCCTTTTCATTCTGGTCCGTCATGGTATCGGACTGGGAGGCACGATGGATCTTGCTCGAGGGACTAGCCTTCTTGAGGAGCCATGCCTCCTACGGTTTCAGTACGGACAGAGATGCAGGGTCACGGAGTGGACCGGCCGACACTGGGACAGATGGATGAGATCGGCGGCCCAGCCATCCCGGCGTTCCCATGCGACGCCGTGCAGGAGCTTCCTTGCGACGCACAAGCTCAAATCGAGTTCTGATCACGAGCGCATCAGGCTCGAGCATCTTGTCCAATTGAAGATTGTGTTCAAGATTCGGCCCAGAAGCGGAACCAGATTATCTGCAGGGCGTGCCGTAAGCAACTCACGCAGCGAGCGTAAGCAACGTTTGAAGATTTGCGGTCTGACCTGACGGCATTCTGGCTGGACCGGCCATCAGCTTATGTAGAGAACGCGAGGCACTGTAGAAGCTGTTGCATCACACGACTGGCGAGTTTTTGACTGCATCTCCACTGGAAAGTGCCAATAAGTAGGTGCTAATGCTGTTGCCGGCCTGAAAGCCCAACACCGCCTCCTGACAGCAGCTGCATTGTTCTATTGCTGGGACCCGCCCGAAGTCGGCGCCTTCCGAGATTATCGATCTATCGACACCGTCTGACTCGGCGTCAGCTTCGCGGAACGGCATTTTGACCCATGTTTTGGGTACGTACAAGGGACTGCGAGAATTAAAGTGAAATGAATAAATCGTGTGCACGGAAGGGGCCTAGCGTCCAAAGAGCCAGGGAATAGGCTCCATGCGTCTAGCAGAAAACCGCTCGATTCGTATCAAGCTGCGTACATGCAATTAGCAGGGTTACGGCACGCGACTGGATATGGGCGCTTGTTCACCGCCCTCCTGCCCAATCGGGAAAGGGCCATGACGGTTGGGGAGTCATTTTGGCATCAGGCTTCTCGAACCGCCATCTGCAGTATAATGACTTGGTTGAGAAGAACTGGGCTTGACACGCTTATAAGCAAGCCGCCGCGTCAAGAGATGTTCAACGTGAATTCACATTCCTAACACTCTACCACAACGCAACCGACGATGCCCATCCCCGTAACGCGACACGTCCACTTCGACGAGCAGATCGTTGGCCCCTTGACTCCATCTCCGTCCGTGTTTTCCTCGGCGTTGCCTTCGCCTCGCGCATACAGCAGCCCTATGCATTATCACCCATCCATGCAACATGTCCCTGCATCCACCACACCGCACACCATACGCCTCCACCCCGCGCTCACCGCCCCCGGAGCAGCGGCGCTCCGTTTCGCCTTCAACAAGCCATACGGCAGCATGATGGAGAAGCGTGACCCGAAGGAGGCGGGCGTGCTCAACGCTGCGCTCGGAGAGCCGGCCACATGTCCCACTCAACGTACGATGATCATCGCGAACCCAAACAACTCCTCGTGGGACATCGAGATCACTGCGCGCGATGGGAGGGCGGTCACCGTGGAGGAGGTCCTCTGGGCCGTCTACCGGTCGCTGAGGATGACCGCGCCGGCCGTGCATTACGAAGAGCTGCCCGACGACCGGGAGAGGGAGACCGTCGCCGCCGCATTCACGCGACGGTGGTCATCCCTGCAGGACCCAGCAGCGTGCCAATTGGAACACATGAAGGGGCTGAAGAGGGTGGACTATTTGGGACCGGCGGTGAACTTCGTGGGGCTGAAGTGGTTTGCGCCCGACGTGTACCACCTTCTCGTCGCCTGAACGCGCCAGCCCCCGAGATCGCCGTATACCCACCGCCCTGCCCTATACCCCAGATTCGGACTTGTATCATTATTTACCGGGAATTGCCCGAAAGCCCCTGCTGTCTTATTAGTCATCTCAATGTATCCATGTATGGTCTGCACGAGTCTGTGTGCCGTATCTTGTCATGTGCGGGACGGTCCCGTACTCGGTATGAGACGCGTCGGAGCACGCGTGAGCCAAGTAGTCAATTCGGTGGGCTGTGATTGGATGGGAGGAATCGGGACCAAACAAAGCCAACGAATTACCGAGTTAGTCATCACTCCAGAACTTGTCTAGATCGGAACGCTCTCCCCCAAATACCGGCCAGTCCTTATCCGTTCTCCACCTCCATGGCATCGTCCGCACTCCGTCTGCAGCATGCTGCACGCTACTCTTCGCTCCCCTTTCTGTACCCGTGCCGCGCCACGTCATCAGGTCCGACACGGAGGGCCATGATGTCAGCTTACAACCCCCGGAGCGCAAACGAGGACGCTGCACCCGTTTTGCACGACCCAGTGCCGAAGGTTATACCCTCCGCCACCACACTGTCATCGGACGCCGCGGCCCCGCAGACGGTCGCTCGCCCACCACCTGCCCCCAAGGCCGAGAAACCTCGGCCTGTGCTTCGGGCGACGAAAGCGGCGCTGACCATCGTATGTCCGATCACCTTTTGTCTTTTGTGCGAGTTACCGAACACGCCGCCTTTTTTCCAGACCCCTGCTGCCGTGCTGCGTCTACGCGGTCTGCTGAACGGCCCCACTCCGCAACATATCCGCATCGGAGTCAGGAATAAGGGCTGCGCGGGCCTGTCGTACCACCTCGAATACGTCGACAAGCCCGCAAAGTTCGATGAGGTGGTCGAGCAGGACGGCGTGAAGGTTATCATCGACAGCAAGGCGCTGTTCTCTATAATAGGCAGCGAGATGGACTGGGCGGAGGATCCACTGAGGTCAGTCGGCAATCATTTTTTACGAAACTTGCGAGATTGACCGGAGCACAGCGCCAAGTTTGCGTTCAAGAACCCGAACATCAAGGACGCTTGTGGTTGCGGGGACTCTTTCACGGTGTAGAACGGTCGTGCTCGATGGTATTTGTATCACGCGTTTATAATAATTTGTATCTATACTAGACACGAACAGGTTCAACCCCTCCCATACCGATCCTTGCATTCTTTTTTTCGTCTTCTCGTTTCCTAAAAGCTGTTGTCATATCTCGTAAGGAGACTGGACAAAACTGGAGGGGAGTTTCGACCTGGACGATCTTCCTCGGCTCGTCCTCGTCGCCCGCTGGAATGAAACTGAGCTGTCTCTCCCCACACTCGATCCAGATCTTGTAGCTCTGCGACATGTTAGATGCCAAAATGCGCAGTCGGCCGTCGTCCACCAGGTCCAGTATCTGACGGGCATTGTGGTCCTGCTGTCTTGATATAGGGATGACTACGACAAGCCGCTCCAGACGGGAGCAGCGCTGGAGGATCTCTTGGATCCGGGGCACGTTGGCCAGTCGGATATCGGCCCGGTAGTTCTGCAGCGCAAGATGCGTTAGCGAAGGAAGGTCTGTGTACGGAATTCTTGTCCAGTAATGCGGCGGATCCAGCAGATGCAGGTGTGTGAGGCGAGACAGCGAGCCCGCTTGTGGCTCGCAGCCGAGAAGCGTGTCTCGGCTGGCGCATATACGCTCAAGCGCAAGATGCCGAATCGGTGTCGGCCCATAGGAGAGATCAACTAGATGTACGGCCTGGGGACAGAGAGACAAGAGTTGGCCGACACTCTTCTCATTTCTGGCGAAGTAGTGCTCAATTCTGATGCACTTGATGTGGCGAGCGTAATGCAGTGGGTTTGCCTCAAGGGTACGCAAGAGCAGCCGCAATCCCCAGCTGCCTTGATCAATAACCAAGGTGCGATACAGAAGCGGTTCGATCCTACTGGAGGTCAATCAACGGGATCTGAGACTAGAGGGGAATGAGCACCAAGCACGGCATCGCTGAGCAACGAGCATGATAGCGAGTGCAGTCATGTCTGAATCCCGATCCTCAACAGCAACCTCGAAGATCATCCGCTCGAGATCCAAGGGCAGTCTCAGGTGGACTGCGATCGGAGACATGAAAGGAGACGAAAAAATCGCAGCGAAAGGAGGGGAGAATGACGAGCCGACCATCCCGATCCGCGGAAGCAAATTGAGTCAGATCGGGCTTGCGCAACCGGCGGTCCCGTACAGTGCATGTGTACATTGCTCGCTTGCTCTCTTCTCCATGGGTGTCAGAAATAGAGAGATTTGGGGTCTTCTGACGGTAGATAAACATCGAGCAAGGAGGCCAAGTTGAAGAGATTTGTTTATTTTAGTCTTGCTCAGACCCAGGAAAGAATTATTGATAGTGGTATCCGAGACCTTGTGCGTTCGGTAGGCAGATATTTCCTCCAGGATCGAGTCCAGCGGCGAAGTAGAGTCTCATCCACTCTGAGTATCCAAGCCCGTCAACGGCCGTGAGCTGGCAGATAGAGAATGATCAAGCTTTGGACCGTCTCTGAAGATGAGCCCTGCGATGTGGAGATTTGAGGATTTAGAGGATACAGAACTGGGAAAGCACAGCCAAGGAAACGCCAGTGTACATGATGCAAGAGGCCAGGATCCAGAACCCCTTCAGACGGATGTCACGATCTCTTTACACGGTCACATGACATGGATCTATGCTACATTTGCGTGTTTACTCCGTACTAGATTTTATAGTACCTGCCTCCTCTCGCAGCCTCCTGCTCGATAGCGCGTCTCTTCTCCTTGTGCATCTCAGCGGCGCGTCGGTTGATATCTTCCGTTTCCTGCGTGCTAGGGAATCCGATTGTCCAATAGTCTGGGGGTGTGTTTGTGCGAGCCCAGTTGTGTCGGTGGCGAGAAATGGCCTGCTTATGTGAGCTTATGGTATCCCGAGCATGGCCATCGTTTCGACATGCTCGATCAGGCTTCTGAGGGCTTGAGGGTGGTGTCCGCCACAGCGGAGCTTGCAAACGTGTAGGAAGAGGCCAATAGCTTCGTAGTACTATCAAATCGATCAGTAAATGGAGGACGAAACGTGCACTGTTAGTGCTCACATCACGGCAGCATTCGCAATCGCCTCCATGCAGTTGCTTTCGCTTTTCCTTTCCTCGCACGACTTCGTCGTATTGGAAGTCTAAACCACCGTTGCGCGCGGGATTGATGGCATAAGCGGAATTGATAGTGGCCCTGTCTCTTTTTCGACATTGATATCGGATGGTATGCAGCTGAGAGCAAGACACTCACTCTATTGTCTGATCTTGTTTACCCCGACGCTCTGGAGATGCTAGCTGCCGATTCTCTCTCCCGGCAGCTTTCTTCTTCCGAGGAGACCCGTGTGGCCGCTTCGGAGAGACACTGACCAGCGGCCGGCGAACGGGACTGCTTAGACGTGGTTTCTTGCGCTCTCGCTCTTCTGCTGCTTCTGGTATAGACCCGCGCTTCCTAGGAGGCTCAGTTATAGATTGTGGACGAGGCGGTGGGGAAGCGTGAGCTGAGACAGCAGGCGTGTTGTCTAGCGACAGTCAGAGTTGATAATTGTTGTCATGAACGGACGTATTCACCAGGAGCTTCCTGTGGGGAGATTTGGGTATCATATTGCGTTTGTGACAGATCAATGCCGTCTTGTAGTGGTTCTGCTGCCATCTTTGCTGTATCCTTCACTGCGGATGTCTCTGCAACCAGGGTGGTATCTGCATCAATGACAGCATCTGGGGCGGACTCGTCCACAATCATGTCTGCAGCGTAATGAGCATGAAGACTGTGGTTGCGATGGGCACAGCGTACCATCGTTCAATCCCAATTCTGTGAGTTTCCCACCCCTTCGCTCGTAATAGGCAGTCCTCTGTTCAACCCTCTGCGCAGACTTGATACCTTGTATCTTCGATTTGAATTCTTTCTCCTCGTCCTGCATCCATTGCTTGAAACCTTGCCACTTGGCGTAGCGGGCTTTGAACGCATCATCTGCACGCGCAGCCCGAGATGTGACAGCATTTAGACGGGCGCGCAGGTCGACGAGATCCTGGGCGAGAGCTTGGGCAGTCGAATCAGATTTCTTCAAGCTAAGAAAAAAGTCGGCATGTTTGAGCAAGTTTGAGAAAAAGAGTCCCACCTCTGCTCTGCTAGAACGGCTTTCAATGAATTCCTCTCTTCCGTCACTTCAGCCAATTCGTCCTGAAGGTCCCGATGCCTCCGCCGCTGAATCGACAATTCAGAGCTGAGCGTGTCTGTGCGTTCGGCCAGATGACGGAATGTGGTATTGTCGTCGGCAAGGTCGATGAAGATGCCTACTTCGCTCAGGTTCCGGAACCCGAGGCGGGCGGCAATATCGTCATCGCGTTTCTGAAGCTCAAAGATTTCCGTAGATTGCTGATCATACGCGTGGCTGTTGCTCGTGAGCGGCCGTGTCCAGCACTCGGACGGAAACGCGTGACTCACCGCAAGCGCTGATACTTGGCCTCACTCGCAGCCAACTCCTTGTCGTGCTTCTCCTGTATAGCCTTGTCGCGGATTTTCAGTTCGGCTTTGGTATAAGAGTTCCTTTGGAGCATGAGAGGGGCTGAATGACGCGCGCGACGCGTGGGGATTGTTGCGGTCGCGGTCAAGTCCAGGCCAAGTATGGCTATGTTTGGGCGTGGATGCTGACTAATCACCATCTCCTCCTCTATCATTCACCGATGGTGGACATAACCATTCGGAAGCGGCCACGCGCCGAAGCAGTCGTGACGCAACGAAAATTCTTCAAAAAGACTGCCCGAGGGAAAGTCATCAAAGTGCTCCGCGAGCGTTATCTTCGCGACGACGTTGGATGTGGAATCGAAGGATGCTCGGCTTGCGAGAACTCTACTGCAAATCCTTTGCCACACCAAGGCGACACAAAACATCCAGTCTACCCGTCCGGCCATTTCATCCTGCCCGACACGAACGTGTTCCTGTCCCAGATGGATCTCATGGAATCTGGGTTATTCAATCCTCCCATTATACTCCTGCAGACCGTTCTGGAAGAAGTGCGACATCGGTCGATTCCATTATACAACCGCCTGAAAGCGCTAGTGCGAATGGATGATAAGAAAGTTTGGGTGTTCTACAACGAATTCCGGTCGTGCGTGTCGATCCCTCGCACGATGCATACGACTCTCACGACAACACAGAGAAACTGCCATCGTGAGGGAAGAAAACGAATCACCCAACGACAGAAACGACCGTGGTATTCGAAAAGCTGCCGAATGGTACAACGCGCACACCAACGTCTCTCGACCGGTTGTTCGCGGGAAACCAAAGCCTCAAATACCGCAAGTCGTTCTGATCACTGAAGACGCCGCCAATCGCAAGAAGGCGCAGGACAGTGGGATACCGGCCTCCTCTAGTTAGGCCATGCTTCTAGCCTTTCCTCTCATGTGCTCAATGTTTCGCATCAGTCCGCAAATACATCTCAGCTTTGCCTGAATCAACGGCAGCACAGCTGCTCGACATCTTATCTTCAGCTGATGAGAACCAAATTGAACCTACGAGAGCAGCAGCTGGGAGACAGGCGCTGTACCCTGAGGTATGTTGCTTTTCCTGCTGTCCATGTCAAGGCTCTGTTGTTGATTTCACCAGTATTACCCGGAATCAATTATTCAGGCTGGAATATCAACGGGGAAGCTTTTCAAAGGGCACTTCATGGCTAATGCCTACAACTATCTGCAAGGCACTGTTTCTGTCCCGGACTACCCGAAGCCCGTTCTGCTGATTGGTCGAGAACATCTGAATCGCGCTGTTCACGGCGATATCGTCGCCATCGAAATATTCGATGAGTCGAAGTGGGGCGTGGAAGGCGACGAAGTGGTCGACCAGGAGGGTGAGCAAGTTTGTCTCGTGCTATTTGCAACGTTTTGAATCGCTTTTGTAGCGACACTCAAAAACGACGACGGAGCGGACTCGGATGACGAAGAGGAGGAAAACGAAGGATTTCTTCGCGAGGAGGCGAAAGCTGTTCGTGCTGCTGAGGCCGCGGCGCAACAAAAGGAGAAGCAGCCCACTGGCCGTGTCGTCGGAATCGTGAAACGGAATTGGAAACCGATTGTATGCCATATCGATGCGACGGCGTTGCCAAGCGGGGCTTCAACAAGCGCCACAAGTGCAAAGAGCCTGTCCACCCAATCTCTGCTCGCCCATCCGACATCGACCCTTCTTCCTCGGATCCGGATCCGCACTCGCCAAGGACCTTCGCTAGTCAACAAGAAGATTCTGGTCGCCATCGACGGATGGTCAGCTACCTCGCGATATCCGGATGGGCATTTCGTGCGCATACTCGGTGTGGTCGGCGGTGAGGATGCTGAACGTGAAGGCATCATGCTTGAGTTTGGAATCAGCTACGGGGCATTTGGCAGTGCTATTCTGGGGTGTTTACCTCCAGAAGGTGACTCCTGGGTCGTTCCTCCGAAGAGTGATGACGGTGCCTGGAAAGGGCGAGAAGATCTTCGCGGCCTCACGATTTGCAGCATTGATCCTCCCAGTACGTCACGTTTTCCCTGGCTCTGACCTTCTCTATCTCATGAATCTAGACTGCCAAGATATTGATGATGCACTGCATGCACGCCTTCTCCCGAATGGAAACATCGAAGCCGGAGTTCGTGAGTTATCCGATATGACCGCTATCAACCACTTCTCATCGCGGTTTAGACATTGCCGACGTGTCACATTTTGTACATGCCGACACCCCAATGGACTCTGAAGCTGCCGCAAGGGGAACCACCGTATACCTCGTCGATAAGCGGATCGACATGTTGCCTGCACTGCTTGGCACCAATCTATGCTCTCTTCGGCCTTACGTGGAGCGGCTTGCCTTCTCTGCCATCTGGGTTCGGATCATACATTTTGACTCTTCTTTGGTTGACATCTCCTTCCAGGAACTGTCGCCCGATGCAGAGATTGTCAACGTACGGTTCACAAAATCAGTCATCCAATCCAAAGCTGCTTTCACGTATGAGGAGGCGCAGATCCGCAAGGACGATCTGTGAGACCAAATAGACCATCCAAGCGTTTCGTTCTGACGATCGGCAGTACCAAGCAAGATGAACTGACCCAAGCAATCCGGCTGCTGAACTCGATGGCGCAGAAACTCAAAGCGGCTCGTATGGCTGCCGGCGCATTGAATCTTGCTTCCCCTGAAGTTAAGATCCACATGGACAGTGCGGAATCCAGCGATCCAATCGATGTCGAGCAGAAGGAAATGCGGGAAACCAATTCTTTGGTGGAGGAGTTCATGCTGCTCGCCAATATCAGCGTTGCAAGAAAGATCTGGGAAGCGTTCCCCGGCACAGCTGTCTTGCGGCGGCACATGCCTCCTCCCCGAGTCAACTTCGATAAGCTGAAGGATATCTTGGCCAAGCGCAAGGGAATGACGCTCGACGTCTCGAGCTCGGGGGCCCTGGCTGCGAGTCTCGACAAGTGTGTCGATGCAAACGAGCCCGCATTCAACACTCTCGTTCGAATCATGGCCACCCGCTGTATGCTTCCTGCAGAGTACTTCTGCTCTGGGAGTGTGGGCCGAGATACATTCGGTCACTACGGATTGGCCAGCCCCATTTACACGCATTTCACCAGTCCCATTCGTCGCTATGCTGGTAAGCATCATCTAAAGCATCTATCGGTCGCTCATCTGGCCCAGATGTTCTCGCGCATAGACAACTCGCAGCTGCCATCGACCACGCGCCTCTACATGGGTCCCTCCATTCCAAGCCGCATGTCGAACGGATCTTGGAGGTCGTGAATCGGAGACATCGCATGGCTCAGATGGCAGGGCGTGCCAGTGTCGAATATTACGTCGGTCTCGCGCTCAAGGGCAGGACCGAGAAAAAAGGAGGCGGTTCAGTTACTGAGGAAGCGTTTGTCATTCGCACCTTCCGTAACGGGCTAGGCGTCTTCGTTTCCAAGTGCGCATTGCTACTCTATCGTCCGATGACATTTCTGATGTGGAGCAGGCTCGGGATCGAAGGACTGGTGATGTTCAAGCGCGATTTGACGCAGTTCGATGCGGAGAACTACACCGTGACTATCCCCGGCTCGTCTGGTGCGGTCAGCGGAGGCGAGGATGTGACCATCTCCGTATTCGACAAGGTGGTTGTGAACATTGATGTGGAGAAGGACAAGAACACGCAGAAGAGTAAAGTGAGGATGACGCTAGTGCATCCTATCGATTCCGCAGCGTTGTAGAGTCGCATAGGATCTCATGATAGTGTAGAACAAAATCCAATTCAAGCGTAAGGAGCTGATAGGACAAACCCATACACCGCCGAAAGCGGTCCTGACTCCTGACTGACTGAGTGGCTCAAGACCAATGGCAGCGGTGTCATCCTTGGTGTTTATAAACCAGGTACTTACTTTCCGGTACTCCAAGATCATGTCTGGTACAGATCCCAATCCTCAGCACAACCAGAATAGAAGCAGCACTCGATTCCCGGAATTGGCCACTTCCAAAATCGCCGGAAAGTAGAAAAGATGTCGATGGCGTCTTGACTGGTGTTGCAGAGCTTGAGTTGATCGATGACCGGCTGGGTAGGAGGCCAAGCAGATAAAAGGGGCGAAAATGGCATAAATTCGATTAAAATGCTAGAAAGTAGAAAAAAAGTCGGGAGTTCGAGCGCCCCAGTCGCAAATGTGTGGGTTCTCGTTAGGGACAGACAATGGCAAGAATGATCGGTGTTTGTCGTGATGTTTGCACCACCAACGTCTATGTCTCACCTGCCCACTTTTGCGACGTTTTCAGCCACGCCAAAAGCCTCCTGCGGCTCGAGTGTCGTCGGAAATTGCTGGTCGATTTGTATCGATTTCGCGCTCATGTTCGCAAGCGATCGGCCTTCCTCTCTTGTCGCGATCCAGGATGGAATGTTTCAGCGTGAACTCGATGAGGCATGGAAATTACCAGGATTTGGTTCGTTTCCGGAAGGGTGGAACCTGCTGGGAGAAGAGGTCGCTGAGGATTAGTTGCCTGGTGCGCAGAGAGACTGCAGTGGAGAGGAAACCAGGTCCAAGCATGTCATCCCCAGCTGCGTTTGTCGAACCTTTCCTTTCCAGTCATCCTAGAACAAGCAGAGCTCATGAAAATCCCTGCCCAAAAGATAGGAACTGCAGGACCGTATTTGGGCACGGTCGTCCCTTCCATCTCTCCGCCGACTTCAAGCGGGCAGAAATGCCGGAAGTTACAGAAGAAATCACCCACCGCAAGCAACTGATGTTCGTCGAGCCGTGCCAGCTTGCTGAATTTTTATTGTCGAGGGCGCATAGTTTTGAGGGGTCGGATTGCAACGAACTCTTGGACGTGTTTGAATCAGCTCACTCAATGCCGGGATTCACGAGTTCTTTCCACCGTCCGAGTCAAGACTTGCCATTACCATGAGTGTCAGAAATGCCGATTGTAGCTTTCAAGCTCGGGTTTTTGGGAGCGCTGATCGTCGGACTGTTGCTGCTTGCTGTCTGTCGCCGTGCTGGCGGTGTCACACTGTTCTTTGCTGGCTGGGTCTAGTTCTGTGGCGGATTGGCAAGACCTTCAAGATGACGATCTTCTGCTGCTGCTTTGGATTGTATGGTGTCGGTTTTGGCTCGCACAGGTGGACAAGAACTCTTGGCTTCAGATTCCTCATGACGGTCGGTGCCGACCTAGGATTCTGTGTGACATAGACATGTCACGGTCACTTACCAAAAGAGGGAACCCAAGCCTACGGGATCTGGGTTGGTTTGCAGCCCAGGGATGTAGATTGACTCTGGCAGGCCGCAGGAGCGGAAGGGCGACCAGATTGGCAGCAAGCAATGTGAAGACAGCAAGCCAGACCCGTCGACCACAGCAATCACAGGCGTGCTTTTGTCCCAGCGGAATGGATCCCAGTCAAGCACATCATCGGTTCTTCGATCGTCTGTCGCCCCAGATAGCAAGCCAGATTTCTCCGAGAATGTATGCACCATTCGATGGCAAGACATTCCTCCTAGACACCCCAAGCGTAGTCTTCTGTGCTGTGGACCTGGACGCAGACTAGTATCTGAAATGACTGGCCCCTCAGTGACCATTGGGATAATTCCACGGACCTTTCCCTCATATTACCTCACATCCGATTCTTGCAGCGCTGATGTTGCACGCATTGGGTACTGGAAGTTCTCCGCGTTCTTCGATGGTGGTTCGTTGTGCAGCTCTTGTTTACCTTTCTGAGCCGGTCACGGCATGTCCAAATCAACTCAGACCGCGGACTTCTTTCTTTCCATGAATTTGGCCTCGTTTTCTGACACTCTTTTCAGTCTCCGCTTTTCGACCCACCTCCCTCCCTCCCTTTTCCATTGAACACCTTTTCAACCTCTCTCATTTGATCCTTCTTTTTTCATGTCTACGCGACGTGCCAGTCCGCCTCTCCCTTCTATTGAGCACGTTCTCTCACAATTGGAGTCACCCTCCGCCCACCTCACATTCCCATGGGCCTCGCTCGCTCACCATATTCCACCTCACATCGCGAACGCCGGGCTCAATCCTGCTCCTGTTAGTATCAGTCGGCTCGACGCGTTGTTTGTTCAATGATCCTTGCTGATCTCGGCCATCCTCTAGCCGAGCCAGGCTGTTATCGCCCCGGCTCAAGTTGCCCCACAGCCCGTGCGCCAAAGCTTCTTGCAAGCCATCTACGTATGCTGATAGCTCCATATGCGCTTTCTCTCGTCTCACCCTCTGCAGGCATTCGCGGCGACAGTTGGCCGAAAGATCAGGGCTTGGACGTTTTGAGATGCAGCCCGACTCGCAAAATATAACACTGGAAATCACCGGACCCTCTTGAAGGTGGACGCTGGTGTTTGGTTTCTCATTGGTGTCATGTCTCTGACCAGCTCAGCAGAGGTGTTGCCGATCATCGCTCTCATCTTGTTCTGCACCCATTCAAACCAAACTATAGCCCACAAAACAATACGACCGTTGTATATCTATCTTACCTTGGCCAGCCTAACCACAAAATGTATATACTAATGTAGACCTACTCTCACCTATGTTGCTCTCCGCGAACGAGTCTCGTAATCATACTTACTATTTACTTCATTTGGTTCACTGCGAAATCTCAAACCTGAATTTTGTTTCGACTCAAAACCGCTTCGTTGTGTGAGGGACCTTGCGGCAGGAGCAGCAGTACATCGAGCATCACTCAGCGCGCCAAGATTGAACGAACAGATCGACTTGGCGCTCAGGAACTGCGCCGTCGGAACGTGATTGTGTAATTTGGGATCACCACTACATTAGCAATGGAGGAGGACGCATCGGACCCACCTTCCGACCACCATTCATGGGCGTGCAAGAGCACATCTACTCATCTCTCCTCAACGCACGCACACCCGATGTAGCCATCCGCGTCCGTGGTCTGAGCTGGACCGCCATCTACCGCCTGCACAGAGTGGTGCTGACCCAGAGCGGGTTCTTCGACTCTCTCTTCGCCGGAGGCTTCGCCGAGTCGACGCCCGCGCCCCTGCTGGAGCCCATCAACATCATCTTTGACGATGCCAACATCACGCGCTCAGGTGTGTAGTCATGCTCCGGTATTCTGTTTGAGTCCCTGCTGACCGTTGTTACAGCCTTCGAGTGGGTAGCCGGTGTCTTCTCTGCAAGGCCTCTTCTGACCATTCCCACTCCAATACACTAGGTTCTGTCTCTCGCGGCTGTACGGAGGCGGGCCGCCCCTGCACATATTCCCCACACTCGTGCCCAGCCAGTCTCAACCGCTCACGTCCGTCTTCCCGTTCAACAAGGTCGACCTCCACCCACCCACTCCAGATGGGCACCAACCCGGCACCCCGCGGTTCCTCCTCTCGCTCCTCGCCACGTCCGTCTACCTGTCCATCCCCAACATCGCCGCCCAGGCTTTATCGTCCGTATTGAGCTCCGTCGGTCCGTACACCGTGCTGGAGTATCTCAGCTTCGCGCTCGGCAAGCCCGTGGGGCCGCCCGATCCTGAATGGAACGAGCCGGAAGCTGCGGTCGGATTGGAACAGATCGCGCAGCTGCTGTCGGACGACTCGTTCTCCGTCGAGACGGCGGACTCGGCGTCTGTCTCGAAGGACACCGCGACGGACGAGCCGCAGTTCCTGTACGGCCCGATATCGGACAAGATTGGGGAGGCGGTGTCCTGCTGGCTGGCGCGATGGGCGGCGGATATGCTTGCCGTGGAGGAACGGAAGTGTCTGGGACCTGCCGAGGAGACGGCGGGTCAGCCCCGACGGCGAGCGAAATCGGACGCTACCCTTTCTAGCGCGACGACGCAGTTTACCGGTGATAGTGCTGCGGCACCGACCTTATGGGACCGCGGAGGGCTCAGTCTGGAGTGGATCTGTGCTGTGTTGTCGTCTGACAGCCTGTTTGTTCCCGGAGAGCGGGAGAGATACGATCTCATCTGTTCTGTCGTTGAATTGAGGAGGAGGAATGGTCTCATTCCGGAGGAAGAAGCTGTTTGGAAGACGCTATTCAAGACAGGGATCCATTATTGCCACATGGTGCGTTGCGCACGTTTCGGCGGGGCGTTTGGTTTTCTGATGCTTGCGGATAGTCTGTCGAGGATGCCATATTCATCTCGAAGCATGTTTCTCCGACCACGAAGCAGCCTTTCGTGCCGATCTCTGTGCTGCAGGCAGGGCACTGGCAGAGCTCGCTTCTTCGCCAACACATCACGACTCGGCCCAGCACAACGCCGTCTCCGTTTGAGATTCGATCTCCTGCGGCTCCCACACCTGGATCACCGATCCAACGAGAGAAAGAGCTTGGCCTGACGCGGACTACAGCCGAGATCCGCTTTGACCCCGATCTTGATGACGATACGCAGTACTACCTCGTCCCGACTGATTCTTCGCAGCGGATTGGAGACGACGGTTCGAGTGTGCACGCGCTGGTCTCGCAAACGTCGCATTTGTCGCTTGACGATCTGTTCACACCCTCTTTCCCACCATCATCACCGGCACTACATGGGGGGACCAAACTCTCAAATCCCCTGGCTCGCGTGAATTCTGGGGAAGCCTACTTCTTTGGCCTGCGGACGCGGCGCTACACTGCACGTGACTGCATTGCTGTGGATCCCTCAGGCACGGCCCGCTGGACCACGCATCCTCCGCAACGTTTTGGGGTCGAGTTCTGGGACACAGAAGGGCTGCCGGACAAAGACCGGTTGTACTCGCGCACGATCTGGTCCGGAGGCAGCCTCTTCAACGCTTACGTACAGGTCGTCCGTAAGAAGGGTGCCACGCAGCTGGGCATCTACCTCCATCGGCAGAGCACGATCGAGTTTCCTGCAGCCAGTGCTCCTCGCGTGAGAGACTCGGCCACGCATTTCCGGGGTCCGTCTCTCCCGCAGATCGTCGTTCCGCGTCCGACGCACTACTCGCCCACCACCCGTGCTACCCCGCTGCGGAGCACGACGCCCGTAGCCATCTCGACCTCGCTGCCCAACTCCTCGGCGTCGCATCTCGCGGGTGTCACCCAGTCCGTCAACTGCCAGGCCGTGGCCCCGCCGCCTGCGCCGTACCGCGACTCGCGCCCGGCGGTCTCTGCGTACTTTACGATCTCGTGCGCCAGCGCAACGGGGGCCAGCCAGACCCGCTTCGCCAGCGCCCCGGACGTGTTTACCGTCAGCCAGAGCTGGGGCTGGAAGTCGAGCTCGCTGCGGACGGAGGAATACCTCGACGTCGTGCAGGCTGCGGACTTGGCCAGCAACATTCCCATACGCCCCCGATATGTCAGTCTGCGGGCTGTCGTTATTCTCGGGCTCGTTTAAATAAGCAACATTGATATGTACATGCGTACATACATACATACCCTTGTATCTCTATTCCCAGCACTGAGCGCTAATTCAATCGTCCGGAAATTGCCGAAAGCCCCACCCACCCTTGCTTCGTACTGTCATGGAGGCCACTCTGCCCGTCGAGCTTTGGATCGAGATACATGCGCTTGCCTGCTCTGACGACGGGTCGACGGGGCGTGCGCTATCCCTCGTCTGCAAAGAGTGGTGCGCAATCTCAGCGCCGTTCAAATTCCGTTCAGTCGCCCTGTGCGGCGCCAAGCCTATCCTCCGCTTTTCCGCCGTGCTCGAAGCCGTGCCAGAGACCTTGCGCACGGTCCATTCCCTCTTCATCGGGTGCCAGAATCTACGGCTGTACCAACCTGCTCAGCTGCAGATGGACTTGGAGCGTGAGCGTCGACGAGGCCTTGAGTTGCTGAATCCTTTCGAGTTGTACTCAGAGGATCCCTGTGATGTCCAGCTCCAGTCGGTTACTATCGACCCGCAAGCCATAGAGAACAGCATCATTCGTATCCTCCGCAGGACGGCTAACACACTGCGCACGCTGCATTGCTACTCTGGCTTTGGACTCGATCGCTCGGCACCGCTCTACCCGGTGTCGCTACCGTGCTTGGAAACGCTAGTGCTAAACGGGCCGTTCCAATGCCCCACCCCCAGCCCGACAGTCCTCCTGCCAAATCTACGGTCGCTGCATCTTGTGCCGATGCCACCAATGCAGCACGTAAGCCGTGTGCTGTTACAGACCATCGGCCACGCGGCGCCGTCCCTGTCGTGCCTCGTCATCCCGCACGCAGCATGCTCCTCGGACGACCTCGAGCAGGCGCTCGAGGACACCGCGCTGCGCCGGCTCGCCCGCGTCGTCGTCGAAGTCGAAGTCGAAGTCGAAGCGAACGCTGCTGCCCCGCGCAGGAACTCGCATCCCGTGCATCGCGCGACGGAGGACTCGGGCCACGCGGCGCTCGCGCGGCTGGCGGGGAACGACGCCCGCGTGCGGCTCGCGCACAGGAAGCCCCGGTGGCTCGACATGCAGGCGATGATCCTGGACTGGGAGCGGGGGGCCAGTGCGTGTTTGAGTGACAGTGCGGCCTCCGCCGCCGATTAACGAAGCTTGGCCCGGCCCCGGGTGAATTCGGGGAACGTCCATCTCAGGAGGATCTTGTGTGCCCAGTGCAAGGAGACGGCATCGCCTCCGCGAAGCCGCGCTGCGAGGTCTTCGACGTGCGAGATGACGACCGGGAGCTGCCGGACCGTCTCGGCCAGGTCGTCGATGTACCCGGCGTCGGGCACGCGCCGGACCGCCCGGCGGCGCAGGTATCGGACGAGCCGGGAGACTGCGTCGGCGTGTGCGGCGGGATCGAGCGAGTTGGATTCGTTGCCGGGGTGGAACCGCGCGCTGACGATGACGTAGGCGCGGTAGACGTGGAAGGAGGAGGTCAGCACGATGCCGTGTTCTGCGAGGTGCAGATGAGGGCCAGGAGACAGGTCCGGTGGTTGCCGTCCTTGAAGCGCTGGCCCGTTCGGACGTTGAGAGCCAGGTTGCTTGCTGCTTGGATGATGGACCGCAAAGATAAGGGCTGTTGGATGTGATATGTACGCGTCGGAGAACTTGTAAATGCACGATAAACTTGTACATACTTGTATATTAGCCGTGTAGTCTTGTCTGTAATAGGAGCTGTGTCTGGGTATTCTCTCCCTCGCCTTGTATCCGCTGAGGTCCCCCGAGGGCGTGAATCCCGAAGTGACAAAGCGATTGATGTCTTGCAAGCGCGTTGGATTGAACGCAGACAACGCGCCATCTGGAACGAGGATATCGAGAGCGAGGAATGGGCTGTCAGTCTGAGCGCCGTAATGTCGACGCAACAGCTCTCCGGCTTGTTTGGGGCGAGGCCAGATGTTTGTCTCGACGGAATTCTCATCTTTTGAGTTTCAGTTGATCGTATGAGATGATTTTAGGGAAGACGCACAGGCTTCGTTCAAAGTCGTCGAGTGGCTCATGAGCACAAGTGTAAGTATGGCCCGTGAGTCAAGGCGACTATGAACGCGGTGTGACATAGTCACGTGTCATTCCCATCAAACGTCACATCTGTGTAATCACGCCGGGGAGGTTCTGTATCGTTCCGCTCAGCATCAAAGGTGTGTATGGGTATCTTAGGTTTGGCGCTGCACGCGCCCTTCCATCACATCAACTTGGTGTTCTCCCGTAACTCAACTGGTTACTTCATAAGACAGTCTGCGAGAAAAGGCCGTACAGTGCCTTTATAAGTAACTTGGAGCATCGCCAGGTGATATCTACTTACCTCCTGTATTCAAAAGTACCAACGACTGGCACATGGGGTCGAATGCCCGACAGAGATTTAAATTATGAAGACCGTAACATGTCGATGATTGCTCACTGACTGATCTAGAACACTCGAGTCTGGTTAGAGCGAAGTCCTGCAGAGACCAACCGCAGCAAAAGGTTTGATCTGCAACAAAGCCAACCAGATGCTGGCAACCGACACTAGTGACTACCCATTCATCATGCATCATGTCCCGAGAATAAGGCAGAACAACACCTTTTATGCGTCGAGGTCCCTTTGTGGTTCACCCATCACGTAGTCGAACATGACCACGTGATCGCGTCTGCTGCTTTCATAAAGCCGCCACAGGCCACTCATGTCGGTGCTTTCGAGCACACCGAGTTTCTGATCCAACTCACGCCGACGTTTATTTCTACTTTTGACCAACGCTGCTGTCGTCAAACGCGGAGAAGATGCCCCCTGATAACCTGAGCACCCCCGGGAAGACGCGTCGCGTCGGCAACGACGACCGCGCGATCTCACAGGCAGCACGAGTACCCGTGAGGCGGAATTCGGAGAGCGATGTTCCAGACAGCGAACCGGAGCGGTTGTCGTCATCACTGCCGCCGTCTTTGTGAGTCGTTTCGACCACTACTTACCGCGATCCTGCCGCCGCGGAAGCATCCCTACACTACATGACATGCCGAGTAGCAGTACCCACTCCTCCGCAAATGTGGCTGACCGCGACATGCAGGGTCTTTCCGTCTCCCGCCCGTCCTCCGACGCAGAGCCGCACCGCGCCAGCCAGGCAGCCCATCGATATCTCCTCCGACTCGGAGCCGGAGCCTGCGCTTGGGTTTGGGATCGTGTGAGTGGCTGCAGCTGGGTGATTTCCCCGACGATATGGTGAACCTGACGAGAGCGCGTTTGGCAGTGGTAGACCGCGGCCGCACAAGCCCCGTGCTTCGACGTAGGCCTCCATCCCGAGTCTCCCGTAGCCATTCTGATCATATGCAATGCAAAACACCAGTGCCACCCCGAAGAAGACGACGAGCGCAGCGTCCAGCACATCCGGGACGACGCGGAACAGGATCCCGGCGGGCTGCACGCTGGTCGACACGCGCCTGGTGCGCACCGCTTCAGGCACGGAGATCGTGCTGGGCTCGGAGGGCGAGGACGAGGAGTGCTACGCGGACTCCGACGCGGCGGCGGGAACGCCCCGGCCCGCGGCCCGGACGCACACGCGCCGCGCGGGGGAGATGGCTGACGTGGTGGTCGTGGTGGACTCGGATGAGGAAGTGGCGCGTGTGAGAGCGGGTCCTGGCGTCGCGCTGCGCCACGTCGATCCTGCTGACATCATACCTGAGACAGACGACGACGACGACGACGACATCCAGGAGATCACCAAGCGCCAGTTTGACGCGGGCGTGCTGCTGTCGAGTCGGGCTGCTGGGAAGGAGCCTGGGAGGGTGGCGGAATTCGTAAGCTGGAGCTCGGTGCAAGTCAACGTCTCGAGTGGCTTGGAGGAGGAGGACGTCGTTGACGTCGATGATGGCGGGTACTGGACTCCGACGGAAGACGACAACGACCTCGCCGACGATGCAGATGCCGAGGAGGACGATGAAGGCCAAGATTCCGACGAGTGCGTTTCTCATCTGATATGACTTATCAGCCCCTCCGCCTGACCGACTTTTGCAGGGGGGAAGTCTGCGAGCCCGAGGACCTCGCGACGAAATACCAAAAGTACTGGTCGCCGGACACCAGCCCGGCGCACGCCCGCATCACAGCCGCAGCCGCAGCCAGGGCAGCGGCCGAGTCGTCTTCCCCACAGCGGCGGTCGCCCCGCAAGCTCAGCCACCAAGCGCAGCTGAAGAAATCCGCCGAGGCGGCCGCGCAGCAGGCGCTCGAGGCGCTGCAGCTCTACGCGGAGCAGGTGTACACGTGGATGAACCACGAGGTGTTCGCCGGGCGGCTGCCGGCGCTCGCGGACCTCCGCATCGTGTGGGCGCCGCGCCTCATGTCGACGTCCGGGCGGGCGAGGTACTACCGCGACGCGCGCGGCGCGGAGACGGTGTCGATCGAGCTCGCGACCAAGATCATCGACTGCGAAGGTGGGTGGGTGCCCACCCGCGGCCGGCGGGAAGAAAGAAAGTGTCTATGTGTGTTTTTTGACGCGCGTGGACAGACCGGGTTCGCAGGACGCTCTCGCATGAGATGTGCCACCTGGCGACGTGGATCATCGACGACGACTTTGAGGAGAGCCACGGTGCGAATTTCCGCAAATGGCGAGTCCACATGTGCCGCTGTATCTAGTTCACGCCTGACATGCAGCGGGTGTAGGGCAGATCGCGTCGAAGCAAGAGACCCGGCGGTCATCATCGTCGAGACGCACTCGTATGTGATCAGGCGTCCCTTCACCTACGGTCAGCCCATCGCTTCTGACTGTACTGCGGGCAACTGATGCATCCTCGCACGTCCAGTCTGCTCGGCGGGCTGTGGAACTCGGTAATCCCCGCAGTTCCTTGTGGCGTTTCGCTATCCGATTCTGACGAGCAGGACGCAGGAAATCGCTGTACCATCCGATGAAGGACGACCGTGCGTCCCGATGCTCCGTGCACCTGCTTCGAGAGACTGACTACTGCTGCGCGGTCTACCAGATACGTGTAAACGCTGTGGCGCGGCCTTCAAGCTCCACTCTGCCCCGGAATGGTACTCGCCCCAGAGCCGGGAGGCCGCCTTGAAGAAAGGTGCGCCGACTGCGGCTGCCCACACACACGTGCGGTTATCCTGACCTGCCCTCCAGCTCGCTCCAAACCCAAGTCGGACAAGCAGCGCGTGGCTGTCGTCGATTCGAGTCCTGCTGCTGCTGCTGCTGCTGCTGCTCCTGTGCAAAAGTGGATGCCGCCGCCGAGCGATCTCGCGGACCTGGCGAAACAGTTTAGTGTCATCTCGCTCGAGTCTGCAAACTGCGTCAAAGCGGTCAAGAGGCGCAGCTGATGTGGTCGAGATTCCCGAACGGACTATGTATCTAGTATTACAATTCCAGCTATATGTATATATATGTATACCCTACAATTACACTGAACCAACCCCCAAGCGAAATTCACGCAACCAGATAACGCGAGACATTAAGCGGGAGCTGGCACCCACCCGCATCGAGCTGCCCGCGCACAAAAGGCTTCGTCGACACCGCGTTAAACTTGCCGATCTCCACCCCCTCCACGGGCGCGAACAGAAAGTGGGGCACCAGCGTCGCAAGCACCGCCTTGGTCTCGAGGATCGCGATCCGGTAGCCGGGACACGCCGCGGGCCCGAACGAGAAGGACATCACGTTCGCGAGCCCGGGGAACGCAGGCGGGCGCGCCGGCGGCGGGAGGCGCGTCCACCGATCGGGGCTGCACACTCGTCTCGTCAGCCATCAACCAGGTGGGGTGGAAGTGCGGAAGATGGCAGACAGCACGCACTCGAACGCATGCGCGTCGGGGCCCCAGATATCCTGCAGCATGTTGAGGCCCTCGAGCGGGATATGCACGATGCTGCCCTTGCGGATGCGGATGCACTCGCCCGCGCGCAGGAGCGTGCCGTCGCGCAGCTCCACGGGCGCGGAGATCGGAATCAGGTCGTCCGCCGTGGCGACGCGCACTGCGGACCACGGAGTCAGCTGAGCAGCCGCGAAAAAAAAGAAAGAAAGAAATGCAACAGACCCGTGCCGTGCAGGGGCGGACACACCCGCAACGTCTCGCGCACAACGGCGTCCAGGAACGGCAGCGAGTCGATCATGTCGGCGGCAGCGTTGTGTCGGAGAGGCGGGGCAGCGGTGATCTCGTCGCGGAGCCGGGTTTGCACGTCAGGATGCAGAGCCAGGAGATGCAGACACCACGTTATGGCCAAGGCGGTCGAATCCGCGCCGACGAATAGGAAGGACGTGATATGGTCGACCAGTTCCTGATCGGACAACTGCGAGGACGCATCTAAGGCGATGTCTGCGCGGACTACAACTATTGAGGGCGTGCAGCTCCAAGACACCCGCATTTTACGTACTGAGCAGACTGAGAATATCCTTGGAGTGGCCTGCAGCGCCGTTCTTGATCGTTTCTCGTTTGCGGCTGACGAGAGCGACGCCGTTTGAGTGGATTGTATGCAGACACTCTCGCATGATACGCTCGTCTCTCGTGGGCTGCATAATCTCAATGGGCGTCACACAAAACGGAAAGCTGCTCACCCAGATCGTCTCCAGGATGGGGCAGTAGATGCGTTTCAGCACGGCGAAGCGCGAGGCCCGGTCCGAGATGGCGAACATGCGGCGATATGCACAATACACTGATTCAGAGGTAAGGTGACCGATAGCACACATAAGCCTAATGGTACCTGGCTCCGTCTCCTCCTGCAGAGCATTGAAGTGGTAGTCCAGCGCCGCGAGACCGAAGACATCGAACGAAGTGCGCGACACCCAGTGCGCGACGTCGAGGACCTGCGGCGCGTCCAGCGCCATCATCGCGTCCCAGCGATCCCTCAGCTCCTCCGCCTTCTGCACGAATATCGGCACCATGTCCTTCGCCGCCTGTGCCGTAAACGCCGGCCCGACGAGTCTGCGCTGTGGACACTGGTCAGCCGCGGGGCCGGCACCCAGGGATGCCGCATGCACGACTCACGATCGCGCGGTGCTCCGCCCCCTCCGCACTAAACACGCCCCGGCCGAGCAGACGGCCGAGGTACGCGCGCGTGAGCCACGGGCGCGCATACGCAGGCGCCGTCAGCACGTGCGCGACGGCGCGCACATCGAACGAGAGCAGGCGCAGGTCGTGCCGCCCGAAGCCGTGGTAGCGCAGCGTCCTGCCGAAGCGCGCCGTCCAGTCTGCGTACACGCGCGGCGTCGCGTCCGGGTCCGCGGCCTGCGCGAAGTGCGACGCGAAGAACGACGGCGCGCGCGGGCCCGGCAGGGCGTGCAGGGGGTCCCGGTGCGGGGCGAGCTGGGCGCGGTCCGGTGGGTGTCAGTCGGAGACGGCGCTGGGTGGGCCACGCACAAGGAAGGTGTCTACGAGCCACCACAGCCCGCGCAGGACTCCGAGGCCGGCGAGCACGCCGCTGGTTTTACCGGCGATGAGGAGCAGGTGGGAGGGCGTGCATTGCATGGTATGGTATGGGTGGTTCGAATGCAACGCGCATCGCATGCCCCAAGGCGAGTATATTCGGTGTCATACTCGGTGCTTCGACGGTGGGTCCAAGACAAAGGGAAGTCCAAATGCGGTAAGATGGTTTCGCGATCGTGATGGCGTCACATAATCGGCGGGGGCCTAGACCATGCTACTGGCTTCGGACATGCAGAATGAAATCTCATGTGAGGGTAACAGGGAATGCTGGATGGGTGGAATGCCGTGCCAATCGGTGGTCTGTCCGACAAATCATTATGAATACACGAATACTGAGCTTGCAATACAATCACTTGGAAAACAGAAGATACAGCAGAAAAGAACAAGCAAGGAGAAATCTAGAAACCGAGTCCAAGCACACAAAACCAAACAGCCAGAACAAACCAGAGTCAAATTCTCCATGAAATGTCCTGTTGGATATCAGTAAATCCTGACAAATGTCAGTCGGCCGAAGGAAATGCGTGCAAGGGCAAGGGGATAAAGGGTCCACAGTCACCGGCGTCCCAGTGAAAGCCAACCGCTCAACCGACTTAGATTCGTTCGCAGAGGGAGATCCACCACCCTCCAGACCACCCGGACGCTCGAGTGCCACCTCGAGACAGTCCGACGGTGATGGGTTCGGATCACTTTGCCCATCCAAATCCGAACCCTCAGCCAGGCACGTGTTGTGCCAGAACGTCCGCGCCCGGTTTTTGTGGTGTGGAGAAGCACCCACGAGCCCACAATGACGAGGAGAGTGGCTAGGCCAGCTCTTCCGGTCTACGAATCCAAGTCGGGTTTATCCCCAGAACCCCAACCCGACTATGGTTTGCCAGACCATAGCCGACAGAATCCCGCGCCCAGACCGAAGCCCAAGCCGCGAGAGACTGGACTGCAGATTGTGTGACAGCGGTTGGCCAGACCGCAACACACACACACACCGTGCCGGACACGGACGGGAGCGAGCCACTCGCCCGACGATGGTTTGCCAGCCATCGTCGAACGACTTGGTCTGCCCCCGGATCTGCAGCTCATGCGAAGCCCCCCGCGAACCAGTCGCATAGCACCACTGTCAGGTCGAATCAGCAAGGTAGTTCCCAACGGACCAACGAAACTTACCGGAGCACACCCCAACTCGAACCTGTGCAAAAAGAAAGAGTGTCAGTATTTTTTTGAATTTTCTGTGTTCGCCCGTCCGCACTACACCAAACACACCCACACCCATCATCACAACAACTCACACTCCCTCACCATCCCCACCTGCAGACACCCCAGCGGATCCTTCGCCGCCCGCCTCTTCATCTCAATCGCCATCTTCCTCTCCTCCACGACGCGCTTCGCGGCAAGCCAGTCCCGGTAGCCCTTCCGGGTCGGCAGCGTCGGCCGCGCGCTCGCCGCGACCGAGACGATCGGCCTCGCAGCGAGGGTCCCCCGGAACGGGTGCGTCGGCGGCGGCACCAGCTGGCGGGGCTTGGTCGATATCTTCGGGGCGGGCCGCGGGGGGAGGGGTGGGCGGATGGCCGATGCCTCGAGCTGGCGCATGGGCGCGACCTGCGCTGGGGCCGCGAAAACAAGGTCGGAGCAGGCCGACGACACCGCACTCGGCGGCGACGGGACAGATGTCTCGAGTTGTCGTGTGGGGAGGACCTGCGCAGGACTTGCCGGGGCCATTTCCGAGGACGCAGACGAGCCGGACCTCGAAGGTACTGGGGATCCGAGGTGGCACATGGGTGCGACGTCTGCGGGGGGAGCGAAGACGATTTCAGAGGAGAAAGACTCGGTAGATGAGCGCGGAGACACGGGAGCGGGTGCCTCGGGCTGCGGCTTCGGAGCGGGACAAGCAAAGGACATCTCCGAATCCGAAGACGACGGAGAAGACGGCGACGGGGCCGCCAGCATCGCAGGGCCTTCGGGTTTCTCCATGGGCGAGGCCTTTCCAATTTCAGCAAAGACGACATCCGAACACGATGACGCAGGCGAGGTCGGTGGGCTGGAGACCACCTCATCGTCGGTGTTCAGCGAGCTGGGATGCGAGTCCGACGTCGAGTCTGTATCTGTGGCACTGTTGAGATCGCCAATAATGCCTATCAAATAGTAGAATATACCATTTTCATCGTCCGGAGACGAGTCCGACGTCGTGTCCGAGACAACGCCTGAATCTGAACAAGCGTTCAGCATCGGTGAGCAGGGCCACGAAAGAAAAGCGACACACCGATCTCATCGTCCAAACCGGTGAACTTGATGCCAATAGCAGCGTCCGTCGGGGAGAACGGGGGCGGCGGGGGGATGGCGTCCGATGCAGCAGTCGAGATCGATGCGCGCGATTCGGCGCAGGAAGAACAATCCGACGGGCAATAGCGAGTGAGCTCAGATTTCAATTCCGCAGGGACCATTTCAGTCGCAACAGGGAGGCCGCCGACATCGCTCTGGACCGGAGACGCGTCCTGCACTGCCTTCTGCTCGCCGTGCGCAGCCCGCCGGAAGACAGTGAGCGGAACGTTGTAGACCACGATCGTATACGGGTTCGGCCGGCCCGACAGTCCCGGACGCGGGCGAGGCTCGTCGGTCACGAACGCATCCAACAATTCGACAGCGATCCGCAGCTCTTTCAGCGATGGGCGCTTGGCGGGATCGTGTTGGAAGCACCAGTTGAACAGATTGAAGGCCGGGACTGTGAGATTGAGCGCCTTCTTGAGATACCTCGGGTCCGTCAGATAGCCTTGATATCCGCGATCGGTCAGCTCCGCCGTGGCCCAGGGGTGGCACGCAGAGACCATCGTCGCCAGGAGAATAGCACAGGCCCAGAGATCGCTGTCCTTCGCCGAATACGACTCGACTCGGGGATCACGACTCAGCGACTCTGACACTCGGTTTCAGCGAAACAGAAACAGGCGACTGCGAGCCACCAACACGCACCCGGACTCATGTAGAAACGACTCCCACATCCGAACTGGGTCGATCTCTCTCTCGTAGTAGCAAGCCCAAAGTCAGAAATCCGGACATCGCTACCGCCCAACCCGCACAGGATGTTCTCCGGCTTGAGATCGCGGTGGAAGATACCGTGGTCGTGCATGTACTCGACACCATCTAGGATCTCACCAAAGACCTCCTTGACCATGTCCAGTCGGCCCCTGAACCGGCGCTTCTCAACAAGCTCTTCGAACAGCGTCTCCCGGGAGACGTCCATGACGGCGAACACGTAGTCGGCGGTGGTGAACACGCGGTGGAGAGTCGAAATGTTGCGCCCGGCGCTGACGGAGCGGTGGATCGCGAGCTCGTTCTTGACCATGAGCGCATCGCGGGAGCCAGCCTTGTAGTTGGGCATGCACTTGACTGCAACTTGAACAGCGGTGGAACCAGACGCAGGTAGGTCGATGGCCTTGTAGACTTTACCGTATGCGCCGGCCCCTAACAAGCGGGTAAGACGAAGACGGCCGTTCTCAATGGTGGTGCCAGTGAGGTCGGGAAGGACAGAAGAGTTGGTTGGAGAAGGCATGCTTGAATGAAATACGGAGCAAATGAAGCAAAAAAGGTGTTTAGAAGGCAAAGATGATAGTGGTGCGGAAGGAAGAAACAGATTGGATTAGGAGACGGGGCTGCAGGACTTATAAACATTTGCGGATGGGTGAGACACGGACCGGTCGTCGTTGCATTGTGAATCAGGGTGAACTCCCGCCTTCGGGACCCGGACCGCAGCTTGCAGCGACAGATTGGCCTCCAGGTGAGGGAAACATAGACGAGCATGAATTTTTGTCTACTTGAGTGTCACTTGATAGCAACAAAGTTGCGCTTGGCTGTCGATTATGAGCTGTAACCAGTGTAAGACTCAGAGAGGAGACACCCCACGTGTTTCTCACGTGTCCGTGATGACACGCTAACCTCAGATGTCCTCGGAATTCGACCCAAATACTTACACCGTTTCGAGAACCAAGCCGCAAGAGAGAGCACTATGGCTTATTTGGAATCCTTCGCAACACACTATTCTGCATCCGCCGCAAGATCCTGGAGACCAACTTTAATAATGACATTATATTGCGGGCTCGGCCTTGACTGGTGAATCTCCGGTATCAATGCTCGTGCCAAGTAACGCAGCCATGTCGAAGCCCATATCAGCATCTGCGCCAGGATTCTGTGCGTCTCCAAAGAAGCCAGGCCCCAGCCCGCTGAGATCCAAGCCCGACAAGTCGTAACCCGCCGCCTCCGAGTGGACCTCGCCGGCCGACGGGCCCGCCGCTTGCTCCATCTGCGCAAAGCTAGCAAGCAGTGCATTCGGCAACGGAGTCTGCCCAGAGCCTGACTCTGCGCCAAAGATGTCGGCGCTGCTGCCGCTGTTGAGCGCATCGAGGAAACTTTCCTCTGTCTTGACATCGATCCCTGGGCCAGACATCACGGGGGTAAACAAGTCGTCCACGGTACTCCCCGCGTTGGAGCCGGACTCGGCGTCTCCAAAGAGGTCTGTCATCGCCATGTCGATTTCCATCGACTCCAGGTCCAACTCGATAGGCTGGTCTGCGCTGTTCCCTATGGCGGCCATCGCAGCGTCTGGCAGAGTGGGGCCGGTCAAATCGATGTCGACTCGGGATGGGTCAGTGCTCGACGACGACGCTGACGCAGATGCGAGAGCCGCGATGAAATCCGGGGGATATTCATTGGGACCATAGGGTCTCGCCGACCGCGGCGCAAGCGTCACAGGCGACGCCATGCTCGATGAGAACAGCGAAGCTTCCTCGGGACTTATCCTCAGTGAGTTGGCCGACAGATCCAGCTTCAACGGGAGGTTCGGCCGTTGCAGCGACGAAATAGAGATAACCGAGGGTCGACGGCTGACCGCAGATCCAGGGGGCGGCGGAGACTGGTTGGGGTCCGGAGTGGTGTGTGGCGAGCCGTCCGGATTGGCCATGGTGACGTCTATGGTGGGGAGCTGGGCGCGCATAGTCCCGGGTGATTGCGAGGCAGGAGCGACAACCTGCGCCATTGCTTCGGCCTGCGCAGCGGCTTCTTCAGCTTCCTTCACGCGCCGTTCCTCACGAGCCAGATCGCGTTGCAGCACTGTAATAGCCCGCAGAAGACGCGCTTCAATGGTGTCGCATAACTGATCATAGATCTCTGTCTCGCGACCGAGCGCTGCAGTGAGCGACCCAGGCGCCGTATCAGCGTATGCTTCTATGCCACTGTGCCGGATGAAGTCCAAGACACGACCGATTCAGAGCACACTACGCACAGTTTCCTTGTTTCAGCGTGAAACGCGTACAGCTGTCCTGTCTTCAACGCGACGTTCTTGAGAGAGTTGTTCAGTGCAGTGATTTCGGGGACGAGGATGCCCAGTGGTGGTGGGTTGGGCGGTGGTGGCATCGCCCTAGCGTCTTCTTCAAGCTTCGTAACATTCATAGCCGGTGCAGATGGTTGAGATGTCGAAGGTCTCGGTCCAACAGGCCTCGGTTTGGGCGGCATGGACGATCAAAGCAGAGAGCAGCTTACTTATATGTGCCGTAATGAGTCTGACGCCCACGTCAACAAGATGATCGATCACAAGATTTGAATTACTTACTCCTCGAAACTCACCATGAACATTCGGCCAGCTCGGATGGAGGATCTGCAGGGGATGCAGGCCTGCAATCTTAAGAATCTTCCCGAGAACTACACCATCCGATATTGTCGGTGATATCTCCCGAGAAATTTCACAATCCATGCTTATGCACACTTTATCTTGAAGACCTCTACCACGCCCTCTCTTGGCCCTCTCTATCTTATGTGGCCGAGGTTGGTGCATATCTGACATCTCTATGGCTGAACACTAAGTTCTTCTGGCCTCTAGGACCACAAGGGCCGCATCGTTGGCTACATCCTCGCAAAAATGTGAAGAAACCAGTCCGGCGTTCTCGTCAACGCGTTCTTGAGCTGAAAATTGGATTCAGGGACGAAGAGGACGATAAGGAACCACACGGACATGTGACGAGCATATCCATTCTCCGCAGCTACCGCCGAATGGGAATCGCTAAAAGACTCATGGTGCAATCGCGTGCGCACAGTCTTGTTCGCGTCTGCGTGCCAGTTACTGACACCCCATCTAGAGGAGGGTATGCCACCCTCACGTATCTCGGCCGGACCTCACCATTTGCAGCGATGTCGACCATTTACCGTGCGTCATATGTATCATTGCACGTCCGCAAATCGAACCGTGCGGCTCTGGGCCTGTACCGAGACACGTTAGGTTTCACGGTCGAAGACATCGAAAAGAAATACTGTGTGTCGCCCGTCGCCTTCAGTTCCTTCTGACATTAAGGACTGAGCCAGATGCGGACGGGGAAGACGCATATGCGATGAAATTATATTTCCAGAGCTAACACAACAGCAAAAGCACAATAAACATATATATAATCTTATCCAACGACGAGGACGTCAAGGATTCGAGGTGCCCGGCGTCGTGTTCTTTGCCAGTGCGTCTTTGATCAAGTTCGCCGTCTGCAAGCCCAGATCGTAGTACCCGTCGTTGGTCTGAGCCGAGAACATCCCCGTGTGGGCCTGGATTTCATCTGCCGCCAGACCGTTCCGAGCCAAAATGAAGAAGCCCGATCTGGCTGCACTCTTCCTTGGCAGAACGATGAATGTGCGTTCCGTGGTGCTCAGCATTGGTGTAGGAGGGAGGAAGGTATAGAAACTGGATGCCGCTCAGCATGAGCACGCGCTCAAGCAGATTAACTCACTTGCGGAAGAGCACACTCTCTTGGGCTTGCAAGTTGGTCAGGAAATCCACCCGCTTATCGAGAGCATCACTGTCCCAGAGATTTCCGACGTATTTCATGTGATCGGTCGCCCAGGAGTATCCGAGCCCGATGTCTTCGCGGTGATAATACGTAGTCCCTGCGGCTGCCCCAGCCAGGAGAGCGCCACCAACTGCGTAGGCTGCGGGCGCAGCCCACTTGGCCCATGGGCTTGATGTTGCCGTGTTCGGTGCAGCAGGTGCACTGCCAACAGCTTTACTTGCGCCCAGGCCAGCGAACGCACCGAAGAGACTCGTTCCCACATTGCGTGCCGTGTCAGCGAATTGCAGAGCCTTGGTTGCGCTGCTCTTGAAGACATCCGGGTTCAGGCCGAGGTACTAGATACTAATCAGGGATGGTGCGGGAGCAGAGGGTGCACCTTCGCGTACTGGAGTGTCAAAAGCGATGCAAGCGATAATCTTCGGCCAAAGAGGTGCTTCGTTATCTGGCCTGCTGTTTAGAAACTCTTTCAGAGTGTCCGCTGCAAGAAGTCCTCCCATGCTGGTAGACATGTGAGAGGCGTCAAGCGGATGGCGCGAAGTCGGCGCACCTGTGCCCGCATAGCACAATCTTGGCAGACCCAGCACCACCGCCAGACGCGACTTCTTTCTCCACAGTGAGGTTTGTTAACCAATCCGCGAACTTGACGACAGCCTCGTTCTAGTCGTCCAGAGCTGAGAATGGGCCAGACAGGAGGAGTTCAATGGGACTGACAAGATCGCCTTTGGTCTGGGTTGAGACTGAGCGCTTTGTACAAGCAGTGGCACCAAACCACATATCGCACCTCGTACGCAGGGAACACAACACATTGAACCTAGTACAATTGGATTGGTCGGCTCAAGCAGTATTTATGTCACACATACATCGAGGTTCCCAACGGTCTCGGTCAATACGTGTTGCAGCCGCTCAGGAAAGTCCCGAAAGGTTTGATCAGTTCCCTTGAAGCCATGGATGAATACAAGCAGCAACAGCTCTCGCATCGGTAGTGCAACATCTAGAGATGTCATGGTTCTAAAGCAAAGAATAGCTGAACACTAATCAGGTTGCCGCTTGATCGGTCCGTACAACCACCATTCCACTTTCGTCCACTCTCACACGCACAATTCGTGGTGCATAAGCAGCTGGAGCCGGGATGTCTGCGGGCGCTGAAACCTCCACACACCCTCAAGTATGCTTGTATCTGGTGTCTCCAAAGCCATCGTCTAACGCATTGCCCTTCTACAGCGCCGAGTCCGTCATTTGACATCAATCCAAGTCCGCAACCTCACCGCATTTCCCGTCCGTGATGCATTTGCATCTGCACTCTCCCAACCCGCGGACAAGAATGGGACTGGGCCCTCGGGATATGTCGCAGACGATCTAGATGTCACGCTGGCGCGCAGACGAACTCGGCGGATCTCAATGAACTCTATCGGAACTGTCAAGTCGGATGAAAGTGGTGGGGACGAGGGGAGCATCAGCGAATCGCGGGGGAGGAGGTCAGCAGGATCCAGGATGAGTTTTCATGGGGGAGGGAGCGTAGGGCCGGTAGTGTGGGGTCGCGATTACACAACGCAGCGTCGGCCGCACCGACGATCCGCGGGCACCGGCCCCGAACAACGTCAATGACCTCCTCATTGCACTCATTTGGTGTTTCAAATGCTGGTGGGAGCTCGGCCTTTCCGAGAGCGCTGCCGGACCACTCGCAGATTGGGCTAGAGAAGATACTTAAGGCGCGACTGTTCGAGACATTCATCGCAGTTTCAGTCGACGTGCCTCCAGAGCCCGAAGCCGCTGACCCTGTATCGGTCCCGTTACCCCAATCCACACCTGCTTCGCCCTTGCTCCCTAGCACCGCGCCGACTTCCCCTCGTAGCCCCAACACTCCGAACACCTTCCCTCGCAAGGGTACAAAGCCGTCCCCCCTAATTCCTTCGGACAAGTCATCATCAAACGGCAATGCCCGTCGGGATACATCTACCCCAGCTTCTCCCGTTTCCCCGAACCGACACTCCAAATCCGCATCCGTCTCCGTCCTTCGACCCAATGGCAAAGCTGCTGCTGCTGCCGGTGCGCTCTCTGCACGTAAAACACTCCCATCCCAAGCCCCTGCGCCCCCGGCTCGTGTCAAGACACCAGAGCCAGCCTCACCCGACTTCATATCCCCTGTGCACCGGCCCTCGACCAATCCATTGTTCAATGTTGATGCGAAATCGTGGACCGCGCCCAGTGGGCAGAAACTCAAGGTCGAGCTCTGGGGAAAGTCAAGGAGGACTGGAAGCGCAATGATTCTGTGTCGGTGAAAGGGAAAGAAAGGCAATGGCAGGAGCAGGACGAGGAAGATCACTGGAGAGTTTTGGAGCAGTGGGCCGTGGATCTGGAGCAGCTCGTCCCCATTTCCGACGATGTGCGTATCCTTTTCGCATCCCCTGAGCTTAGGACTGACGTAGTTGTAGACGGAGATTCCATCCAATACCCTTGTCATAAATCTGCAGCCTCCGGGTCGATCCTTCTATTTGCCGTCTAATCTTCAGCGAGAGCGTTTACACGCCAAGTCCTCCTCCGTCGACGCAGGATATGCATCTGACCCCGAATCCGCTGCGAGGAAAAGTACCGAGCTCGCGCCTGATACGACACCGGAAAGCCTCGCGGTCGACGTGAAAGCCTTGAGCAGACGACGACTGAGGCGCGGGAACGAAGATCAGGCCTTGGCCAAGACCGCCAACTGGCAGGATCTATTCAAGTGAGTTCGGACGGCGGATATGTCAGACTAGTGCTGACAGCCCGTCAGACTGGTGACATTGCAAGCTTGCATCGTAGACAATGAGACTTCTTCGAACGATGTCATCCGCGAAACAGACAAGATTCTGGAATCTGATCAGCTATGGGTCCTTGTAGGTCCATTGAACATCTGATGGATAGAGCTGATATGAGCTCCAGAAACGACAAATATCTGAACGCGAGTCAATTGTTCAGGGGATGAGGAAAAGCTGTGCTGCGGTCTATGATGAATCTGAAATTTGTGCGTCATCTCGAACTACTGGAAATGTGCATTGAGCATGCCAGTGAAAGAGAAGATTGAGATGCGCCGACAGCAGATCCAGGAAAGAAGGGAAATGCTTGCGATGGCGCATGAAATCACGCAAGCCGATATGTCGTTGTCTTGTGGGGAAGACGAGGAGGTCGCCGCTGCCCGGTTCGTCATTCACTACTGATTCGATGCCACGGACTCAGTTTGCACAGTTCGGAGCTCGTCACATTGCGAAGCAGATTTACCCCGACCCGTACCACGCTCATATCCACGTTGGCGAGCATCTTCCCCATCGACATTCTCTCGCCTCCTGATCTTCTCTTCACGATTCTCGGAGTGCCCCTTCCCATTCCGCTCTCCGTGTCTGACCCTGGCCCGCCTCTGTCTCTGCCGTCCCACAAAGATGTCACAGAAGACGCTGTTGCGACTGCCCTGGGTTACGTTGCCCAGGTCGTGCAATTACTCGCCGCCTACCTGGGCAAAGGCCTAGTCTACCCCGTCACGTGCATAGGAAGTCGCAGCATGATCCGGGATGGCATCTCGGCTATGGTCGGTCCGCGGATGTATGTCGTGCGTCGCTTGCTGTCCATGCTCTGAGATATTTGCGGCAGGTTCCCACTCTTCTCCCGAGGCGTTGACACATATCGTTTTGAATATGGTGTCTTCCTTCTGAACAAAGATATCGAACTAGTGAGTTCGGGCCATGCGGCAGGCCGACCACTAACGACATTGGCAGCTGATGGCGGACAAGGATCTGCGGGCTCTGGATATGCGACAGACGCTACCGAACCTGAAAAATCTTCTGCTGACACTCACTGATGGCGAGGGCGCGCCCCTTGTACAGTTCGTGACCGTCACATGTGATCCGACAAAGTTCTGAGAGCGTTGGCAGTGGGTCCAGGTCTTTCGACTCGCCAGAGCTCTCGATTACGGGACTCGAGTCTCCCAGGCCGGGATCGCCAGCCGAAGTGACAACCCCGAAGGCGGATAACTCAGAGCTTCCTCCGACCGACAGAGACACACCACCTGCTAGTGGATCAACCACCCCGACGACAGTCGAAACGACTAAAAAAAGCCGGTTCATGGGCCTGTCGCCCATTGCAGGTTTTCTTCGAGCACGCTATCCCTCTGCTATTCGTGTCACGCGGCCGGAGTCGGAGTCGGCCGCCGAACCCGCCGAAGAGGAGTCCTCGCCGGCCGACGATGATGCCGACAGCCGCACGCTCCATGGCGCTCCTGCCCCCGACGAGCAGCCGGATCCGGGCCGAGCGTCGGAGAAGTCGGACGATGTCAGCTCTGCCGTCGCTAATCTTTCGGTTGCTCCTGTCCAGTGACACATATCTTCTGTTTCTATGCAAAGTCTCTGCGTCTATTCTTTCTCCCCGTTCAACAAATCCGCGAAGGAAGCGGCACACGGCACACGCTATCACGGGGAGCGAGGGAACATATGCCGCCCGGAAAATTCGCTCTCGATGCGAATCGGCAACCTGTTTCTTCTTTCCGTGGAATCAGTATCTCAAACGAGAAATGACGAAGACTCGTTGAGACTAGAGGCTAGAGCTTATTCGCTGTGACGACCAGAATTGATCTCCTTGATCTGATGGTGGAACTGTCGCGCGAAAGGGATGAATAAGGCAATCTGAGACATGGGGGGCACAAGAAAGTAGTCGAGAGAGAAAGCAAGACAGTGAAATAACGACCCTTGATCCCCACGCCCACGGCTAATCGAGAGAGGGGATGTTAACGAAATGTGATGTGTGAAGAGTGTGAATATGTAATTCTAGCCAAACAGAGCCCATCACAGGTGCATCGCCGCGCTAAATCGCAGGTGACGACCGTTTATTCCCTACCACTGTCTCCCGTTTCTCGTCCAGAAACCGGGACATTCAAAAGGGTCCGTCCGTGTTGTTCTCTTCTCTCTGCGTTTCCCCCGTGTCTCAACGCATCCAGCCCTCTGCCGCATTGTACCACCAGACCCAGTAGACGGGTTCAAAATCAGCTTCAAGGTGTGTTATGCTTTCATTCATACTCCTTGCCACCGTCTTACACCTGTCCAGCGTCCTTGTGCAACTAGGTTTCCTCTTTCTTCCCCCCTTCGCTTTGTTCTCTATCCTTCCTTGTCCCGGCCTACGCTCCGACACTCTTCGTCTTTCAAAATGAATCCCGCTCTCGAAAACTCTACCAATACATCTACCGATAATAGCCCTTCCGCGGACGACAGGATGCAAAGTCCTCCTGCATTCCTGGACCTCGCAGACTCTGTACGTCGCATCTCATCCACCGTGTGCACGCCATCTTATCTTCTTGGCAGGCCGGGAGGTTGGGTGTTAATATGTCCGCTGTGCGTGTTCTTCGCTCTTTCTCCCCCGACTCTTCAGTTCTCTTACGATGCCAGCAGCGCGTCGAAGCGAAGCGGCTCGAACACGAACGTCAGCGTCTTATCCAGCGCAAGCTCTTCGAAGATCAGATGCGTGCCCTGGAGCACCAACAGGCTCAGGAGTTGCTGAGTTTGCCACTCGACGGCTCCGGTGTGCAGCACCTGGCGGTCTCGGCCCCGACCACTCCTCCCCGCATCAACACTGCTCTCAACGGCGCGGACGCACACGTCGGGGGCCAGCGTCGCTCGCAGCACTTTGACGCGGACACCCTGTCGAAGGCTGTCGGCACCACCGTCGCGGACAAGCGCAAGTCAGTCACCTATGCGCCGTCGGCGACTCTTTCGCCCGACTTGGCGGAGAACGTTAATGGTAACTTCGCCCGGTCCGCTGGGGCCAAGAGCATGCCAGCCAGTCGCCGCACCTCTGCCAGCGAGCATGACGAGGAGCTTGCGAGTCATCTACAGGGTCTTTCGATGGTCGGCGAAAGGACTTCCCCTGGTCCGGCTGGCATGCCGGCCTCGATCCTCAGCCGTGGGCCATCCCGCTACGGTAATGACGAGGGCGCGCGCTATGCCAGCACGTACAATGCTGGTATGATGTTGGACGAACAGCTCGACCAGGAGATGCACAGTATGTTTCGCAGTTTCCTCATGCCGGACTTCCATTTATGCGATGTCAGACGCCATGCGCAATCTTCCCACCTCGGACGACGACAAGTATGCTTCACCGTATCCGGGCAAGGTGAGTCTAGGCCGATAGGTGATGGTGCGTCGTGATTGAGTTTGCTCAGATCTCCACGTCATCTGCCGCTCTCGATCTGGCGCACATCTCGCAGACTTCGCCTCGTTCTTCTTTCGCTCCTCGCAGCGGCGAGCCTCGCGAGAAGTCATCTGAATGGCCCCAGTTCGCCGGGGGAGCGCGGGTGCCTGCGCCCGACGGGGCCCTTCGATCAGATCGTCGCACTGTGACCAATCCCAATTTGGTGCTGACATCTGGCGATCCCTCCGGCGCTAAATTGACGGTGGCGTCCGCATCAGCTACACCCTTGGTGCCTCAGCTCACCCAGCTTGGCACGCCGGTGTTGGGTCAGCTTCCTTCATCGCGTCGGGGATCTCCGCCCGGTCTGTTGGACGGCCTTGGCGCGACGACGCGTTCGGTTCCGGCGACGCCGTTGGGCATTTCGAGCAGCGCGGTGCACATTTTGAAGACCCCGGGCACACCGGGCGAGTCGCCGGCCCTCAACGGACGTCTGTCCGCGGTCGGCGAAAGCGCTGTCAACGCAAGTGATCTGCAAGCCTCGCTGTCACGCATCCCGACTTCTCAGTACGAGAATGGGTCGCTTACGTTCAACTCCATTCAATCTGGGTTGGACGATTCGCTTCAGTATGGCAACGGGATTGACTCCGTGTACGGCTTGGACAGCAGCTATGGCTCGTACGGATACGAGTCCGGACGGACCGGAGCGACGACCAACGGAACCACGGGCTCCACCGCGTTGTACCATCACAACGGCTCTCGTTATGGATTGGGGCTCGCTCCTCGCAACGGCGACAGCAAGATGAATGGGCTTCATGGACCGAAGCACAAAAGGGGTGACATGGACCGTGAATGTGAGTCGTTCTCTCCTGTCGGCGGGTACTCAGGCTGAGTGTGGGATGCCAGTCAATCGCTTCGCCGGTACCCGCTTGGAGGATCTTCAGGGAGAAATCCCCGCACTCTGCAAGGACCAACACGGCTGTCGCTACTTGCAGAAGAAGTTGGAGGAGGGCTCTGCTGAGCACCGGGACATGATATTCCGCGAAACCTACGGACACTTTGCGGACTTGATGACTGGTGCGTTTAGTGTCATCATGTCTTTTCCCCGTCGCTAAGGCTAGCGCATAGACCCTTTTGGCAACTACCTTTGCCAGAAGCTGTTGGAGTACTCGACCGACGAGCAACGTGGCGTTATCTGTGACTCGGTTGCGCAGGACCTGGTTAACATCTCATTGAACATGCACGGGACGCGTGCGGTGCAGAAGATGATCGACTTTTTGTCAAGTCGCCGCCAGACCGATTCCCGGTACAACGCACAAATCCATTCGATCATCGTCGCTCTCAGTCTCCATGTGGTGGTGCTCATCAAGGACCTCAACGGGAACCATGTCATTCAGAAGTGCTTGAACAAGCTCACGCCGGAGGATAACCAAGTGCGTCCCCCTCATTGATTTATCTGTGCACTTTGTTGAGGACGTTCACCAGTTCATCTACAACGCTGTCGCTGCCAACTGCGTCGAAGTAGCCACCCATAGACACGGCTGCTGCGTTCTTCAACGCTGCATCGACCACGCATCGGACCAACAACGCATCCAGCTTGTGAACGAGATCACTTTCCACGCGTTGACGCTGGTGCAAGACCCGTATGGAAACTATGTATGTCTTCTTCGGCTCGGTCTGTTCTCCACTGGTCCGACTGACGGTAATCTAGGTCGTGCAATACATCTTAGATCTGAACGACAACCGGTTCAGTGACGGTGTCATTCGTCAATTTGCGGGCAACGTGTGTGCCTTGTCGGTGCAAAAGTTCAGCTCCAACGTGATCGAGAAGGTACTATCTCCTCCAGTGTTTCATTCGCGGTATTGACTGTTTCAATAGTGCGTGCGGGTAGCGGAGCACAGCACCCGGAAGTTGCTTATCGAGGAGCTGCTGAATCGCACTCGGCTGGAGAAGTTGTTGCGAGATTCGTATGGCAACTACTGTGTCCAGGTGCGTGGTGATGTGATTGAGATGGCGCATGTCATGCTAACTCCGAATTCTCAGACCGCTTTGGACTACGCCGAGCCCAGTCAACGGGCGCTGTTGGTTGAGGGGATCCGTCCTGTCCTTCCCTTGATTAGAAACACACCTTACGGCAAACGCATCCAGAACAAGTTGCAGCGTGAGCAAATGGAGCACTACGGTGGCGGATACCAGCACCCCCAGTCCCTGGTCGGCAATCACTTGTCGCAGGGTATCGTTCCTCCTGCGCGGCACCTGTCCTCTGGTCTGCACTCGAATGGCCTCAACGACATGTACGGCAGCCAAGGTCTCGGTGGGCAGGCTCTCTACGGCCAGACGTCGTTTGGCCAAACGCACATGGCTCCGACTCACCACGGACTGGGACAGTCTATCGATGGCTACGTTCTCCAAGGCACCTCCTCGCATCTCGGCCTCAACTCGTCTCACGGTGGGCTGTCGGCCGCTCCGTTCGGCGGCCTGAGTCCCTTTGGAAACGCCGGACTGACGAGTGCTATCGCTGATCCGTACCAGCGGTCCTTCGCCTACGGAATGTAAAACAAGACGAACGACGAACGCCGACCACTCTTTCCTCCGACCTACTCTATATCATCGACCGATACCTCGATCTACCTTAGCGCCATCTTTTTGAATTGCTGTTCTCATCGCTCTCGTATTCACACCCTCCAGCAGTGCCTTGCTCGCCTGCTCTGTATCCTTTTCGACCCTCCCCGGCATTTTTCCAGACTATATCTTCTCCGACCACCATCGCACGTTGTACAATCGCACGGTGTCTGTTTAATAGTCTCGCTCCTCATGCATTCCTGTAGTTAAATCCATCCCGCTGTATAAACTTCGTTAATTAGATTGCAACCGGATATTATATCACTATTTTCTGCCTGTGGCCTTTATATCCCAGCGTGATCTTTAGTCAGTTATCATATTGTGGTGAAGTGTCTCCAACCCTAGGATTTGAGGGAGAGGTATGGCGTCGTTAAGTTGGAATGACCAGAGACTAACTGCTGGGAGAGAAAAGAAAATGCATAGCATGCTTCATCGTATCATACTGAGTTGCATACAGGACCGCAAGTGGTGCTAGCTAGAGTCGACAGAAGAGAACCGAAACTCCCAGTTGCTGTTTACCGGTTCTATTCCCGTGTGTGAGTCCCCCCATCCAGATTGAGCCAAGGATACTTGAGCGTACCTTGACGAAACCGATGGCAGCCGACTTCTCGCGGAAGCACTGACGGCAGAGGTCGAGTCCGTACTTGCGGATGAGACCAGCCTGATGGGCGCAGAGGCGGCTGGTTGGGCGCGAGTCGGATGGATCGAGTGGGTAGGTACAATCGGAACCGGAGCGCAGATCAGAGAGGCAAGGTGAAGTGACCAGAAGAAGATGAATTGAGGAGAGGAGAGGGATTCAGTCAGCCTGCCGCTCTGCTGCATGGGACGAGCGAGACGCACCATTGACGGGCACCCTTTCCGTATTTCCTGGGGCGGGAGAACCAAACAGCGTCGTGGGTCATTTTTGAGGTGGGTGAATCAAGTCTGTGCAAGGGGCGTGGAGAGTCAGGTGGTGGGTACAGGAAGATAGGACAGCGGGCGACGGACCAAGCTCTTGAGGCTGAGGCTGATTTTGTTTTCGGACACTACGAGAGCGGGTGTGCGTGGCTGTGTGGAGATGTACAGTATCGCTGTTGCACGTGAGCGCTGATGTGATGATTGACATTTTGACAGAGAGTGATCGGTGACCGGCGCATCAGATGCGCACCGCTGTCAGCTGCCTGTTACTTCTGTTCTTCGGGTCGCGCGCATTGTACTTGGCTACTCCCTCTCCTATTGAATACTCGTTCTTTAGCACGAATATGGCCTCCATTTGAACGCGTGAAACATGATTATATGAACGAACGTTGCTGTAAATCACATGATGGCTCGGCATCATCTCAATAATAGCTTCACACTCGTAGTTCAGTTCGGTCCACCCGGTGATTGGTACTCGACCCTTTGTACTCTCGCAACTACTAGGGTCATGGCCGCCGAACTTGGAGATACGGGGCTCATCCTTTCCCTGCCTCCCCCGACGCCCTACGCTCTGACCGTGACGGACCTGACCATCGGCGCGCCTCCTCCGCGTGACGCCAGTTTCGCCATCGGCCCGATACCCGTTCCGCTGCCATCGTTCCTCAAGCCAGCCGCCGAGAAGACTGGCCGCCCCACGCGATCGACTATCGTGCGGAATGTCTCGGGGAGCTGCAAGGCCGGCGAGATGCTGGCTATCATCGGCGGCAGTGGGTCGGGTGCGTTCCAGTCCGGCCGCCTGCCTGGCAGAGTATGAACGCGTTTGATGCGCAGGCAAAACCACGCTGTTGAACGCCATTGCGGGGAGGCTGCATGGCTTGCCTATCCTCGACGGCCAGATATCCTTCCGACCCGCTCGCGACGCAGCAACGGCCGGCGAGGCCAATAAGCCGAAGCTGTCCAAGATCATCGGTTTCGTGCGTCAGAACGACTACCTCCTGCCCCATCTGACTGGTGTGTGCGGCATGTCCTTCCCATACTTTGTCTACTGAAACTCGTATGTGCAGTGAGGGAGACGTTACACTTCTCGGCAGCACTGCGACTGCCGAAGACGGTTGATAAGAAGACAGTCCGGGCTATTGTCGAGCAAACGATCGAGGAGCTGGGATTGAAGGAGTGCGCCGACACAGTTGTGGGCGGGATCTTCCGCAAAGGCATCTCGGGCGGCGAACGAAGGTTGCACACTATTATTCTAATAGCTGGGCAAATAACTGAGTCTCATCGATTGCAGACGACTGTCTATCGGATGCGTGTTGGTGACGCTGCCCTCCGTGCTCATCTTGGACGAAGCGACAACGGGGCTCGACGCAACGACCTCATTCTTCCTCCTGCAGACCCTATCCGAACTCGCGAAGCGGCATTCTCGGACTATCATCCTCTCGCTCCATGCCCCGCGATCTGATGCGTTCGAGCTGTTCGATCAGATCATGGTCTTGTCGAAAGGCGACGTGGTCTACAGCGGCCCGACCAGTGACAGTCTGGGATGGTTTGAATCGCGGGGATGCGAGCTAAAGAAAGAGACGAACCCCCTGGGTGCGTCCGATCTCGCTCCACTCGCTACCGAGATCTGACTATGCTGCAGACTTTCTTGTCGATGTCACAAGCGTGGACAATCGGTCGGCAGAGCAGGAAGACGAATCGCGGACGCGTGTGGCCGCGCTAGTCCAGGCGTGGAAAGACCGCGAAGCCAAGCCTTCTTCAGGGCCACACCCTGCGCCCCTCACCACGATGACACACACCATCTCTCGGGGTTCCGAAGTTGGTGGCATCGATGATGGCAGGTCGGGATACTCGCGTCCCGGGTCGATTCAGCAGACGCTCATTCTGTTGCGCCGTTCTCACTTGAATGTGTATCGGAACTATGGGCAGCTGGTTGGGTTTCTGATTCAGAGTATTGGTATCGGCGCCTTCATGGGTTTGACGTATTTCAATCTCCAGGGAACGCCAGGAGATATCCAGTCTCTGAAGGTAGGCCAGCTGGTGTCCGTCGATGGTGGCAAATCTGAACTTGTCAAGGGAGCGACGTTTCAGATGTACCCTGGCTACTATTACCTCACGCAAGTCTACTGGATCTACAAGTTTTGCACTGATTTTGTGATCTTTGATCGAGAACGAGAGGTGCTGTCAGTTTGAAATGTCTTCTCTTCGTGTGTTGATCGGAATCACAGGATCATCTCTATGTGCGTCTATTTCTCGGTGTGTTTGAAACCCTGTTCATGATGCGTAGGGCACATTCCCGTACATCATCGCGGAGTTCACTGCCAATCTGCTCCCGACAACGATCCCGCCTACAATCTAGTACGCGTCTGCTCGACATTGAGGATATTGACTCGACCCCTTTGCAGTGCGGTTATCTTCTATGTGCTCAGCAACATGCGGCGTGATCCGTTCGCCTCGAATTTGTTCATCGTTGTAGCCAACGCGAGTTCATTCTCTTTCGCAGTCCGACTTTCTTCACATTTGAGCACAGTGCATCTGCATGCAATGGTCGACCCAGGGCATGGCGCTGTTCTCGGCATCCATATTCGTTAGTGCCTGCATTGCACCTCAAAGCACATGATATGACCTGCTATGCAGCGAGGATTCCCCCAAGCGTCGATGGTTGCCAACGCACTTTCGCTGTTCTTCACGTGCGCGTGTTTATCTATGATCTATGCTCTTGCTGACTTGGCGATATCGCAGTCTCTCTGCCGGATTGTACGCCTATGCACTTGCTGTCCCGCGTCCTAGCTACTCACTTAATCTCTTTCTAGCTCTTTGACCAAGGTTCCCGTGTGGTTGAGATGGATCAAATGGCTGCAAGTCCTTGTGTCATGTCAATTTCTCCGCGTCTCACATCCCGACAGTTCGACGACATTCTACTCCTTCCGGGTAGTCGCTACAACCCAATTCAAAGGCCGCAAATTCGCATGCGAGGGTGTCACGGGTGTCGCATTATCGCAGTGCGACGGCGATAATGTTCTGAAGGGACTCGAGTTCTCGCTCGATACACCGCTCATCGTGTATTTTGCGGCTGAGATTGCCATCCTTGTTGGGTGGGAGGATGTTCGCTGACATACTCTGAGACAGAGCTGATCCTGAACAGGTTGCATGTCCTCGCTGGACTGGTGATGCAGTTCTACAAGCCTGGCGGCGTCAAGCATGCTTCTGCTGTTGGATCGGAATCAGACACCCGCGGCAAAGAGACGGCGTTGACAGTGCAGATGGACATGGATATCACCAGAGCCAGGATCGACGTCGAGGTGCGGAACCTGGGATTCGCCTGGGTCCGGCGTGGTGGATTGGGCATGAGACGGAGCAAGCAGAAGAGCAAAGTCATCTTGAGCGACATCAGTTCTGTCTTCCCGGCGGGAGAGATATCTGCTATCATGGTCAGTGATGATGGGTCTTTGTTCTGAGTGTGTGCTTGATACTCAGCTCGGAGCGCAGGGCCCGTCGGGTGCCGGCAAGTCAACCATTCTGCAGCTCCTGTCGAATCGGAGACTCAACGCGGGCACTGGCGCGCATTTCGAGATGACGGGCGACATCCTGTTTAATGGCCAGCCGGCGAGCAGCGAGACCCGGACGGCGGTCGCGTTTGTCGAGCAGGAAGACGACTATCATCTCGTATGTGTGTGTGTGTCGTTGTGGAGAATCTGTGCTGAATGGACCTTAAGAGCGCGCTCACTGTCCGAGAAACGTGAGTCGTGCCGGTTGACTTGGGAAAGCTCTGATACTGATTTGTCTTCAAGGCTTCGCTATGCGGCGCTTTTGCGACTTCCGGCCAAGATGAGCAGTGTGTCTCGGAAATGTTGAGAGCATGGATGTGATCTGATCAACTCATACAGGGAAACGTAAGATCGCCAGGGCAGAGGAAGTGCTGCTCATGCTGGGTCTGAAAGACTGTGCGGATGTTCTAGTTGGCGGGGAGCTGGTCAAAGGGATCTCTGGAGGAGAAAAGAGACGGCTGTCACTTGCTGTGCAGATGATCAGCGACCCTAGTATCGTCCGTCGCTTCCTCTGCGTACTAATCCAGTCTTGGCAAACTCATTTTCTTACAGCTTGTTGTTGATGAGCCGACATCGGTGCGTTGCTGTTACCCTGTTTATATTGTGCTGACATCCGCCGTTGCAGGGCTTGGACTCATTCATAGCCAATGTACGCCCGGGTGTGCTTGGAATAGCTTTCCCTTATCATATTAACAGAACGTGATGCAATGCCTCAAGTCCATCGCACTTAGCGGCCGAACGGTCATCGTCTCGATCCACCAGCCCCGATCGGACATATTCCATGCGCTCGACAATCTGCTGATCCTCGCCAAAGGCGGACACGCTGTCTTCAGTGGGAAACGCAAAGACGCGGTCGCTGTGATGCAGAGCCAGGGCTACCCGCTACCTTCGGTGTGGTTCAACCCGGCTGACCATCTGCTGGATCTGGTCACCGTCGACCAGCGGCCGGGCAAGGCGACGGAGTCGAAAGCACGGGTCGCGGCGTTGATCGAGTGGCGGGATCAGGCCGCACAACAGGAGAAAGCCCAGAATGAGAAGCAGGTGACGGCCGAGTCCGAGGAAGGGGTGGTCCCAGCTGCATCTGAAAGCCGGTTCACGCCTGTTTACATCGCGTTCCCGGTTGTTGCTGAGCGCATGTTCAAGAATCTGTGGCGGCAGAAGGAGGCGTTTTGGGGCCGGATCACACAGACGCCGTTGGCTGGTTTGTTACTTTTGATGTTTTATGAGCGGGTAAGACAATGGGTGATATTGAGAGTACCCTGCTCACGCTTCTCTAGTTGTCGTTTGGTCCCACTGGTGGACAGGATCGGATTGGGTCAGTCCGGATTATTGTGGATGATTTTGTATTGACATTCTCCAGTGTCAACTTGCAGTCGACCTCGGGTTTGTGGCTTCATTCCACTCCTCGTGTCATGTGCCAGCACCAATTACCGGATCAGCTCTTCCTTTCATTGGCCTGATCAACGGAATCGCCATCTTTCCGCAAGACCGGCAGCTGTTTATGCACGAATATCGGAGTCCGGCAGCGTACTCTGTGACGACCCTGATCTTGTCGTACTCGCTGATTGAGATACCCGCTCAAATCATCGCTTCGTTGGTATGTGTTCTGGTGCCATGAATGGCCCATACGATTGTACTAATAACGCATTTTCAGTTTTATGCTATCTTTGTAAGTACTGAGTAGAGATTCGAGCTTGCGCTGATCAGCTCAGATGAATGTTGCGGTGGGGATGCAAACGAGCGCGCGGATCTACTTTGAGTACGCGTTGACGATCTGGACTCTGCAGAGTCTCGGGGAGAGCATCGCCCTCATCTTCGCGTCGTTCTTCGATGCGATGGGAATCGCCGTCTCGCTGGTGTCGACTACGCTGAGTATGGTCACTCAGTTTAGCGGGATCTGTGAGTGTTCTCGGAAGGAGTGAGGAATGATTGAGGATCTGACCTTGTGGACAGTGTCGCTGGCAGTGCCGTTTTGGCTCCAAGTCGTGAGCGATCCTGCGTGCTTTGGCGCTTGCTCTCCCACTTATGATTCCTATCAGATCGCATGGGGAACGCCGTTGAAGTCATCCCAGCGAGTCCAATTCATCAACGAATGCGAGGGCCTGCAGTTCCGCTGCTCGCCCGCGGATATCACCCAGGGCATATGCACCGCTGTCTCCGGGGAACAGCTGTCAGTGCCCCATCTTCCTCTCTCTTGCGTTTCGTTTTCCGTGTCTCAACGGCTGAATGTGCTGCATGCAGGCTCGAGCTCTATGCGTTTTCGGATCGGAACACGGCCAAGTTGATGGGAATTGCGGTTGCGGTGGCCATTGCGTGGAGGGTCTTGGCTTGGCTTGCGCTGAGAGCAAGGATGGCGAGAGGTTGATTCATAGATTCATATTTTGTCGTATTTTACAGGTTTTCCGGGCGCTTTGAATGCCTCTCATAAAAAAGTTATCACTTGCTAACAACTGGATGGAAACATTGGAAAGAGCCAGGACCAACAATGACGTCCTCATCACGATCGGAGTATCCATCAGATGCGGGGTTCCGTTCGGTACCCCCGTCGCTTCGCGATAACACTGTATGCAGCCCGCCTGCAAGCTACATACATAAAACCTGCACGGACTGAAACAAGGCCTGCGTGATATCACTGAATCAGCGCTTTTTCTCCGCACGTTCCACTCACTCACGCGCCGCATTGTGGTCGCGCGGTTGGAGATGTACGACAAACCGAACCTTGAGTGCCAGGATGGGGAGCGACTTGGCCTGCGCGAGAAAGCTGGGATGGGGCTGGCCGGGAAGGAAAGAAGACGCGGAGGAGGAGGGCGGCGACGCGTTGTGCGCTGGGGATTCGTCACCGTCGCGGTGTGCTTGCTCGTGTCGGCTGCGATGAGCCGGGCGATGTGGTCTGTTCTGCGGGTATGTGCAGCAGATGCTCTACGCATCTGCGTGTTCTGTGCTCAACTCACACAGCTTCAGTCGCGTCCCGCTGCGAACTCTGCTCGTCCGGGACAGTTGGACCAAGCGCACGGTGCGCCGTTCAACCGCACGCCTGACGTGCAGTTCGACAAATACAGTCTGATTATCAAGGGGGAGAGGGTGTTTCTACAGTACGTGCTGCATCTCCCGCGTCGTTTGCGCGCGCGCTCACTCCATCCACCAGCTCCGCCGAACTGCACCCGTTCCGGCTGCCCGTGCCCACGCTCTGGCGCGACGTCCTGCTCAAGTTCAAGGCCGCGGGGCTCAATGCAGTGAGCATCTACACTCACATGGGGGTGCACAACCCCGCCCGCGACGTGCTCGACTTTGGCGCGCCGCTCGGCGCGGGGGAGGACGGGGGCTGGAAGAGTCTGCAGGGGTTCTTGAGCATCTGCAAGGAGGTCGGCCTGTGGGTGGTGGTCAGACCGGGACCGGTCAGTCGCGATTCACACTTCTGCTGCTGCCGCTTGCGCTGCGTGCTGTTCGCTGATGCGTACATATGCAGTACATCAACGCGGAGACCTCGGCTGGGGGCATCGCGCACTGGATCACGACTGAAGTCGCCGGCCCGCTGCGCACGAACGCGAGCGACTGGGAAGACGCGTGGCGGCCTTATGTCGCTGGCATCTCGGCGGAAGTGCGTGCATGGCAGGTCGATCGCGGGGGCCCGGTCATTGGTATGTGTGTCTGTTCGGGGGCACCGTTTGTGCGGCTTGCTTACGGTTGGGCAGCGGTGCAGATCGACAACGAGTACACGCAGACGCCCGCTGGGCACGGAGAGTACTACGAGTCGCTGATGGCTGCCTTCCGCGAGGCCGGGATCGTGGTCCCGTTGACGTACAACGATCCCAATCCGGGCGAGAACTTCATCAATGGGACCGGCGGGGTGGATCTGTATGGGTAAGTCGTCGTCTCGACCTTGGGCACGGGCCACCGGTGACGCGTCGCGGCAGGATGGACTCTTATCCTCAGCGGTTCGACTGCTCGAATCCGACCGTGTGGCGGCCCGTGGTGGAGACGTACAGGACGTACCACGAGCGGGTCAATCCGAGCCAGCCGTGGTATATCCCAGGTGCGGCGCCCTCGTCCGTCGTTCTCACGCTAAGTGTGCTCGCTGAATCTTGCCAGAATTCCAGGCAGGGTCGTTTGACGCCTGGGGTCCCTCCGCGCCGGGCTACAGTCCGGCCTGCTACGACCTGACGAACCATGAATTCATGTCGGTGTTTAATTTGCAGCTGTGGGCTTCGAACGCGAAGATGATCAACTACTATATGGGGTACGGCGGCACGAGCTGGGGCGGATTGCCCTTCCCGGGCGTGTACACCAGCTACGATTACGGAGCTTCGGCGAGTCTGGCCACGGTCAGGTGCCTGTCGGGTTGTCTAATTTTATGTGACAGCTGACGGAATCGCGCGCGCTGACGCGCAAATTCGACGAACTGAAGCTGGAGGGGATATTCATCCGGTCGACGCCCGACTTTGCCAAGACGGATTGGATCGCAGATTCCGGGATATCCACGAACAGCGATGTGGTCGCGACCTACCTCCGAAACCCGGACACGGGCAGTGGGTTTTATGTGCTGAGACAGAAGAACTCGGTCTCGACGTGTGTTGCCTCTTCGCTCGAGTCAAAAAGGGACTGTGCTGACGCGCCTGGCAGCGAAACAGTGCACACGTCGCTCCATATCACCCTCTCGTCGCTGTCGAAGGAGCTCGACATTCCCCTCGTCGCGCCGGCCGTGACGCTCGGCGGACGGCAGTCCAAGGTGGTTGTGACCGACTATAAATTTGGTTCATCTCATATGGCGTATTCCACCGCGTCCGTGTTTTTCGCCGGCAGAGTCGGCGGGCGGGATGTGCTGTTTTTGTACGGACGCAGTGACCAGGTGCACGAAGCCGCGATCCGCTTCGAGGGCGTGTCCAACCCCTGGTTCGCCCCCGCACATGATACGCCGTTGCTCGAGACGGACCTGGGCACGGTCGTGACGTTCTACTCGACCTCGGATGGGCTGGTCACGGTCTGGGACTCGGACACGCAGCTGATTCTGTTCGGGAGCGAGGAGTGGGTCGGCAGAGAGTGGTGGGCGCCGCAGCTGGCGGGCACGAACGAGACGGTGCTCGTCGGCGGGCCGTATCTCGTCCGCTCTGTGTCGTACGAAGACAGGGTGCTGGAGCTGACGGGCGACCTGGATGTCGATCGGGAAACGAGGCTGTTGCTGATTGGGCCGAGCGACGTGAGGCGCGTGCGTTGGAACGGAATGGACGTTGTCACTGACGCCGGTGTTGCGTCGGTTCGCGCGCTGACCCTGGTGCCCCGACTCCAGAAGCAGTCGCCTGCGATCCCGGATCTGGGCAGCCTCGAGTGGTTCTACCACGATTCGCTGCCCGAGATATCGTCCGAATACGACGACACGAATTGGGTCACGGCGGACAGGACGGAGACGAATATTCCCGAGAAGATGTGGTATGGGGACGGGAGAGTGCTGTATGGGTGTGACTATGGCTTGTGAGTTGTTTCGAGATCGAGGTTCTGATTGCTGATCATACCAGCTGCGAAAACGTCGTGCTTTGGCGCGGCCACTTTGATGCCGTTGGTGACGAGCGCAGCGTGAATCTGAGCATCAACGGAGGCCAGGCTTTCGCGGCCAGTGTCTGGCTGAATGACGTGTTCTTGGGCACGTCGTATGGAAAGTACGGAGAATTTTTTTGGTTGGTTGTTCGATACTAAAAACTGGACATAGCTCGACTAACAACCTTAACATTCTTGAAGAAACGGATGACGCATTCGTCTTCCCGGCTGGTGCGATGAAGTTAGGCGCCAACGTCCTCACGATTGTCCAGGTGCGTTGATGCGCCGTGTCCACGCGACTGCTGCTGAGCCACACCAAGGACAACATGGGCTTGAATGAGACGGAGGGCGACGACGCCGACACTAGCAAGAATCCGCGTGGGATCCGAGGATTCGCGCTGTTCGATGGGGAAGGGGCGCTGCTCGAGGGACGGTGGCGAGACTGGAAGGTCCAGGGCAAGATTGGGGGCTATCTAGGGTTCGTCGCTTTTCGCCCTTTTTTCCTTCTGGGGCTGACGCAACTCAGATTCCCCGATAAACTGCGGAGCGTTTTCAACGAGGGTGGGCTGTACGGAGAACGCCTCGGGTGGCATCTGCCTGGCTTCGCAGGCTTTGACACGTGGACTCGTCCCTCCGAGCAGGGACTTTTGGCCATGGACCAACCGGGCGTCGGATTGTTCCTGACGCATTTCGACCTCGACATCAGCGAGTTTTTGGATGTTCATCTGTCTTTCGAGTTCGATGATGCAGGTGCAGACCGACAACCATACCGCGCGTTTCTGTTCGTGAATGGCTGGATGATGGGCGAGCGGGTCGCGAATCTGGGCCCACAGAGCAAGTTCCCGGTGCAGGCGGGGATCCTCGACTACCAGGGCACCAATACCCTCGCGGTCGCTTTCTGGAATATGGAACCTGTTCCGATTGGGACCCGGATCAAACTGGGTATTGATGGTGTGTGGGATAGCGCCCTTGGACGGGTCCCGGTTGAGGGTCTGGGCAAGGAGGGTTATGCGTGGACGGCAGGTAGGGATGTTTTGTAAGTAGGCTCGTTGTCAACGGCGGTATGGTAGCTTGTTCGTCAAACGCAAGCTTCCGGGTCCTTGTGATAAAGAATCTTCTTGCACCTGACAAGACACGGTCACGCAGACAATGATTTTCGGCGCGCTCCAAATGGGGATAGAGAGGGTGACACTTTCGCGTTCATGTTCGACTTCTGCCGTGACCATTGTTGTCAGTTGCCACCACCCACTTCCTGCTATATATAGGAAGGAGCCACCGTTCAAGTGCTTGCTCTGTGTCTACCACCACCTTGCTAGATGCCCCAGCATTCGCTCATGGAGAAAACAACGCATCTGGCTTTGATGAATGCGCTCAAGGCCATGCAGGACCGGAATACGCCCTCCTGTGCTCGTTCTCCCATGAGCACACTCACTCCACCCACCTCGATTTCTGATGCAGGCAGTTACGAGGACAGCGCAGGGAGGGACGAGGGCTCCCAGACGAACGACACGGACACTGAAGAGCACGACGGAGAGGAAGAGGAGGAGGACGATGTGGCAGGCGCCCTTCCCCGCATCACCCTGCGCAACTTTGGCCACCCACAGCCCCTCGCGCGGCTCAAAAAGCGCGACCTTATCACACCCACGACATCCTTCGTCGGTCCGCCGGCGGTCCCTCCTGCACCCCGCGCACCCGCACCGTGGGTGAGCTCTCGACGCAGCAGCTCCACTTCCTCCACCTCTTCCACGTCTTCCTCCGCCTCCTCCTCGTCCTCGTCCGCGCCGAGCCGCAAGGCCCCCGCGCCCCCGACGCCCCCGATGCACAAACGCGCGCGCTACTCGGCGCCGCCGCGCCAGCGGCTCGCAGAGGCGAGGAACGGGCACCGCGTCGCGGGTGCACGGCTGTTCGCCGACGTGCGGGTGGAGGATCGGGCGGACAGGGGCGACGCGGGCCCTGGACCTGGGCTGGGGCTGGGCGTCGGGCTCGGGTCGCCGTTCAAAAGCCCCGGCAGGACGCGTCGGGTGGCGAGGAGCACGCGGAAGGACGCTGCAATGGGGCGCGACCGGGACAGCAGTCCCCTAGGCTCGCGGTGACGGTTTTTTTTTATTTTGGGGAGAGGAGGGGAAGTGGAATCTACATACTGTACTTACCTGCACGTTCGCTGTGCCGCATGGTTGCTACATATACATACTTGAGCTCGTCTCTGTACTAGTCGGAAATCTCGGATTTTATTGCATGTTTTTTTTTCGCGGTGGCAACTTCAGCTTCCGCGGAGATTGGTACCCTGGGAAGGTCGATGAAGTGTCACATGCGCCGAGGCCGCCGCTTCTTTCCCACCACATATGAAAAGTCTATTCTGACATATCCAGTCGACGGCGGCGCCTGCCGCAGAACTTCACGTCGGGGGAGGGGACAGGATTAGAGCCGTGTGTGTGTGTGTGTCCTTGCAACCCATGCCACCAGAGCCAACTATGCCGACGCTCGATACGAGGACGGGCCAGAATCACCTCGGAGAACGGCGAACGTGCCAGCTGCGTTGTCCGGAATGCGACGACTGGACCGTCTCCTGTCGAGCGCCGATTCATTCCAGGCATAGGGAGCCCATCCGTTCCCACGAGCGGCCAGTCTGATCAATTTTTTTCCGCTGACTAAACACCTGATTACGCATAGACTGGTGAGCAGCGTGATCCCGATTCTTGGGCCCCGGGCTTCATATGGAGCGTCTCCGAGCACCGTGTCCCGACAGTGCCAAGAGGCCACCCGCGCGGACGTCGACGTCTGTGGACCGGCCCCCTGATAAGAGGACAGCTCCATCAAGGCTGTCACGTGCAACGGCACTACGCTTGTTGCCGACGCGCGTGCGGCCTGCCTCGACTCATTGACGTGTCTCATTGCGTTTGTTGCGCTCGGTCACCTTGTTGTGCCCGGAAGGTCGCATCTCCAAGGCCTCTCAGCAGAATTCCGGCCAAAAAAACGCGCTACGGTGGTGGAGGACCGGAAGGCGCCAGACATGAGCGATGACTGACGGCCAAGGCACGAAATGCACTGCGTGCCGAGTTGGCGCCGGGTTCTTTTTGTCCTCAGGATGGTTCTCCTTCATCTCGGCATGCCGTTCCCGGGGCAAAGGGGTTCCGAAAGATATCTGGTCGCCTGCCGCAATGACAATTGAACAAGATCTGGAGTTTCACAAACATCAGCCGCAACTGCTTCGACAAGATTATAGCCTTACAGCTCGTCCGCCGGGATGACGCGGCGACAAGAGTCTTGCATCTCGTGTTCCTGATGAGACTATGCAGCCATCTTTCCGCGCCCTCGCATCTTTGGTCGAAAACCCGTCCTGGGATCTGCGCTCTACAATCCTTTCGCCTGCCAATTCATTCTAGTGACAATGGACACGAGCAATGGCGCTCCTTGTTCTCGTGCTACGCCGAGAAAAACAGCTTTCGCTCTAGAACTTCATGAACTCGCACAATCTTTGGGCTGCCACAACGGACATGCGTTCCTAGTTTCCGAAAGCATCATCCATGGCAAGTCTCTCGCTTATTGCCACCGTCTGGTAATTCTGAGTTTGCGACGCATGGCTCCGCCTGGGAGGGATGTCTACTTTCTTCGGCATCCGCTCGACTAGACCTTGTACGACTTCCCCAGCGGCGTGCTCTGAGACAACAAAACATCCCATCCGTTCCGCGTCTCTCTCGATTGCAACTCAGTCCCGCAGAAGCTTGTTGTCAAGAACGAGGACGAGGAGCACCCCAGGCTGAATCCGATGCATTCGCGACTACAGCGGGCAGTGCGGACACCGGATTCGATGGTCGGACATCGAAAGGCCACACATTCACATGTCCACCGATGCTCAAAAATCAATGACCGCCATTCTAGCATCTCAGGGGGAATGGAATGACGAGTCGCAGGCCCTGGGCTTGAAAGCTGGAAGCCCGAACTCGAACGGGGAAGTTAGTGATGCGACTCCTAACGCGATCACGTGGTTATGGATATGAATTAGTCCCAACGATAAAGAGCATGTTTCATCTTGAGATCTAACTAGGGCTCAGGCATTCAACTCCCAGGTGATCTGAATGTTATTTAACACCAGCAAAACCTGAAGTTGTGGCATTACATTCTGCATGTTCCTCTGTTGCTCACGGCACGCACCTCTCATTGAAAGCCCATGTTACGTCCGACTCCGATTCTGGGCCGTACCATTTCAAGGCAGGAAGATGTTCACTCCGCTCGAACGTCCTCGCACCCTTAACGTGACCAACCAACTGATCGTCAAGATTCCAAACCTCGACCCGTTCCACCCCATACTCTCTCGCCACCGCGAACACCTGCTCCATCAGCTCGTCGAACAGATCTACAGACACCCGGAGTCGCGTGATGGTGAGGGTCCTGGGATGCGGCGGACGGGGATCGATTGTCCATGTCGCGTAGGCTGTCTTGTCGGCGCTGGCGACACCCCAAGTGACGGGTCGGACAGAAAGCCGGTCCAGAAAATGATCGAGGCGGCGATGCTGGAAAGATGCGACGCCCTCACGGGGGAGGAACGTGAAGACCGGCCGATCGACGTCCGTGTCGGACTCGACATCGCAGCGGATCGACTCGGAGTCGTGCTCCCAGAGCCTCAGCACCGCCGCCCCATCCAAAAGCTCCCATCCAATCGCCTCTGTCGTTGTGGTCGTCGGCCGGGACTCCGCAGGCCGGACCTCCCACACCGTCGTCCGCGTCCCCGTGATGACCCACCCCTGCACATCCGGCGCCGGGCCGCAACGCGCGTAGAAGTCGCCCACGTCGCTCCACAGCGCGCTGGCCCACCCGTCGCGCCACCGCGCCGCATCGACCGCAGGAGGTGCACCCCACTCCGCACGCGGGAACGCCGCGGCGGGGAGCAGCGCCGGGTCAGCGATGGCCCAGTGCAGCAGGCGCATCATGTGGCGCGCGAAGCCGCGTCCGCGGTGCTCGGGCGGGGTGAACACCGATGCGATCCCGTAGCAGGCGACCGCCCGGGCGCTCGGTTCGCCGGGCTCGCGCACGAGCCCGGTACGTTTGAATCTGCGGATGGTCAGGATGCGCTGGGGAGCATGCAGGGCAGGCAAGGCCGATGCGCGCGACTCACGTCTCGCAGGCGCACTTGAAGTCGAGGGTACCCGAATCGTCACGGGGAGCAAGGACCCTGTGGAGTCGAGACGGGGAGTGAGTCCGATGATCGGTGAGCAGGAAACGAGAGCCGGGACGCACCAGACCGTCAGTTTGCCGTCCTGCGAGCCCTGCAACAGATCCTGCGCCGCATCACGCTCCAGATGCTCCTCGAGAGTCAAGCCCTTGCCCCATTCCTGGTGCGTCCGCTTCCTCGCTTGGATGATCTGGGTGGGTGTCGCTGGGAAGAGCGATAGGGCGGACCAGTCGACGGGCGGGGGCGCGTTATCAGCAGACATCGGCGCCAATCACGGTGGGTGATAGATCGAAACAAGCCGTTACGTAAGTGCGCGGTTCATCATCAATAGTCATCAATATTCGTCCTCGACTCCAATGCACCGGGGTACTTGAATTACAGAGGTATGCAAAGGTATATACACAGAATATAAAAGAAGGTGCGCGGTCGGCAGTGGATATGGGCAGTAAAGATGGGGATAGATAAAGTAGTATGTGATGCGAATAATGTAGGATGCATAGTAGTGAGATAATCCAGAGATGACGAGTGAGCATAGCAGACAGAGACAAACAACAAGCAGACACGGAGAGAAAAAGACGTCAGAGCGACACAGCGGATCATGACCACCAGCCGTCAGCACCCTGCGTAGGGGCCAGCGACACCACGCTCGGCGTCGGCGATGGCGCATTCTGTCGCACCGGTGTCGAATACCGGTACGCCTGCGACGTCGGGCGGCGCGGCTGGTTGGCGAGCCCGGAGTAGCGGCTGGCGGGGGTGGGGGTGTTGGCGACGGGGGCGTGGATGCTCGTCGTGCGGACGCCGTGGTTGCCGCTCGCAGCATGCATGCTGCCATTAGTCCCGCGCGCAGGCGCGTGTCGCGAGTCCCACACCGACGTGTTCTCGCTCAGCGTCGGTGTGTTGGGGCGGCTGGGATACACCGTGCTGGCGCGGGACGACGGGCGGGCGACTCCGTTCGTGAGACCGTTCAGGCTGGCTCGTGGTGCAGCGGCAGATTTCGTCGGGGTCTTGGCGCGCGCACGATCCTGCTCCAGCTGCGCCACTTTCGTCTCAAGCGCGATGATCTGATCGCGGAGCTTGTTGTCCCGGTCCTGGTGTCATTCATTCAGCACACAGAGTACTCAAGAACAAAATCAGAGCATAACGCACCTGCGCCAAGCGCTCATCAGCCTCCCGCTCTTCCAGCTGCAGCCTGGCCAACGAGTGATCAGCTTCCAGCCGCGAATGCATCTGCTCAGTCTGATCCAGCTTCGTCTGCGTGAGCTCGAGCTGGCCCTCGTAATCCTTCGCCCGTTTCTCCCATTCCGCCGATCGCAGCTGAGCGGTCGACAGACTCTGCCTCGCAGACACAGCGCTCTTCTCCGAATTCACCAGCTTCGCCTCCTGGTCCTTGAAACGTTTCAGGAGAGCAGCATGTTCCGCCTCGATCGCCTTGCTGCGCTCCCGCACCTGGCGCAGCTCTTTCAGCTCCTCGTTGTCCGCCTGTCCAATCAGACTCGTGAGCATCTCGATCTGGGCAGAGGCATGGCGCAGGTCATCCCAGTGAGTCTGCTGCGAAGTCAAATTGTCGTGCTGCTTCTGCAGTGTCGCAAGAGCTTGCTGCGCCGATTCCTTGTCGCGGGCAGCGAACGCAGCTTGCAGATCAAGCGAGTCGACCTGGGAAAGGGTTTGAGCACAATTCCTACACGAGCTGACCTGGGCCGCACCTTGGACTTGAGAGCCTGCCTCTCAGCCTGGGCCTCCCGGCTGGTCTTCTCGAGCTCGGCAATCTTATCTTGACTGGTCTGGTGCGTCGCATCCGAGACCTGCAATCTCGCCAGTGCCTTGGACAGCGCCTGCTCCAGCTCTTTGTTCCTCGCCTCGACCGTCGCCATCTCCGAAGCCTTGGCCGACGTAAGCGTCTGTGCGTCCTTGAGCTGAGTGCGCAGCCTGTCCCGGTCGGCCTCCACGATGGACAGCTTCTCGACAAGCACATCCTTCTCGACACGCACTTGGCCGTGCAGCCCACGAGCCTTGGTGGTCTGAACCTGGAAGTCGGTGTTGCTCCTCCGCAGCTCGTCCATCTCGCGCTTGTTCGCATCGCGCGTCAGCGCGAACTCTGCATGCGCGCCCTGTAGAATGTTCGTTGCAGCTGCCAGCGAGTCGGGCAGGGCGGTGAGGTGCTCCAGCAGATCCTTGTTCAGCGCAAGAAGCTGTTGGCTGGTGGAGGACATCGCCTTTTGCTCGGACGCGACGTTGTTGACGGCAGACTTGAGCTGTTGCAGATGCTTATCCGATCCGCTGGCGGATTTGACCGACTCCAGAAGACGTGGTGGGAGACTGTTCACCAGCTCCACCGCTGCGGCCAGATCGCTCTGCTGCGCAGAAAGCTGTCGCTGACCGTCGACCAAGGTGGTGAGATGGGCAGAAAGCGGCTCCAGCAAGGGAACAATGCTCTCCGAAAGCTTGCCCGCCATCGTTTCGGGATTGAGCGACCTGTCGCGGACGGCCAATCGCGAGTCGAGACGCTCGACAACCAAATCCGCGACTTGTTCTTTGATCTCGAATGCATCAATGGGCTTGATGGCATGCCGGATCTCAGAAGTCAGCCGGAGGGCAATCGCATCTGTGTCCACGTTCTGAGACTGCGACGGAAGAAGAGGAAGAATCCGGTCAACGATCAGCCCCGCCGTTTCTCGCTTATCGGAAGCCAAGTCGATCAACTGTGAGATGTGGGGCTTGACGGCTTGAGTGAGCTTCTCCGTGAGGTGATCGTAGTCGACCATCTCCGGACGCAGGCCATTCAGCACAGGCACCAGGGCAGAGACAACCCCCTCGACCATCGAGTCGCGCTCTCGGGCGGGGGCAGCCCCGTTGATAGTCTCCAGCCGCAGAGAAAGATCCTGGATGGCATCCACCACAGCATGCACAGTGCGCTGGTTCAGCTCCTGCATCAGCGGACCAACACTGTCGCCCGGCGCCACTCCCCGGAGAGATAGCGCAGCGAGCTCGTGCTTCAGCATCGACCGCGCCTCAGCGTGTCCCTGCTGCACCAGATCCTTGATCATCTCAAAGTCCAGCTCGCCCCGCGCATCCAGCTGGCTGTCTTCCAACCCGCGTGCCGCAGAATCCTGCAGCTGGCTGCGGAAAAGCTGCACGACCTCGGTGATCATCGCCTCCGCCGACGGGCTGAGCGACGTGCGATTCTGGAGTATTTGGCGCCGGAAGCCCTCCAGCTTGTCGTCGAGCAGAGCCTCCAAGCGCTCCTCGTACCGGTGCAGCTCCATGCGCGTCGTCAGGTCCGCAGCCACAGATTGCTCGTCGGACACAGACGGATCGGTCGCGTCTCTGAGCGCGTCCGGCAGCGACGACCGCCGGCGAGAATGCGTCCTCGCTGCGGAGGCAAACACATCCTCGACCGGGGACATCGACAGGCCCGGATCAGTGACAAGCCGAGAGCGCGAGATCTTGCGCGTGATCGATGCCACATTTTGGTCGTCCAACGACGGCCGGTGGGAGTGGAACTCGTGCGAGCTGAGACGCGAGCGCACGGTTCGGCGCGTGCGTTCGTCCCCGTTTGCTGCCATCGCCTTGAAAAGTCCGGCTGGCACGGTGTTGCCGGACCGGAAGTCCAGTTGGACGCTGGGGGATGAACCATGTGCAGTAAAGTCCAGAGGGACAGGCGGCCGCTTGCGACTCGACATCGTAGCAGGCTCAGGCTCAGGCTCAGGCTGAGGCATATCCACAACCTCGGTCTCGAAACTCTGCGATGCGTCATCGACAGTTGGGCTCATCGGCACCGGCATGACCGTCGGCAGCTCCAACGAATTCGATGCAGCAAATCCGCCAAACGAAAACGCTGTCGGCTCTTCGGGTCGGCGGGGAGTCGGCGGGAACCGGAACGACGACATGGTGTCATCTGCCTCGGAGCCCGTGCTTAATCTCTGGCGCTTCTCCCTTCCTTGGGTCTTGAATGGCGACCCGTCCACGGTCAGCACTGTCTCTGGCTCGGGGAACGCCACATGAGGGACCCCAGCGGGAGGTCGGAATGTGAAGCCAGTCGGTTTGAATTCCGCAGCAGCGATGTTGAGACCCCGGGGCTTGAATTCGATCGCACCGGGATTGAGTCCGGTTCCGCTCGAGGGAAGCCTGGAGTGGAGCGAGATCGGCGCACCGAACACAAACGGTTTGGCATGAGGATTGAGCGAATCTCGTCGGGGCATCACGGGCTGCGACTCGGGCTGCACATACATGCTATTTCCCGACGGCAGGCGAGAGTGCGCCTGAGCAGGATCGTGTATTGTGAAGTTGCCAGATGTGCCTCGCGAATGAGGCAGCGCAGGAAGCGGGCGAGACGCCGGAGATGCGGCTGTGTAATACTTGTTCGCATCCACGGCCAAGTATTCTGTGCGATCCATCGCCTCTTCTTCACTTGGATTGGAGATCAGGTCGTCGTAATCCCTGCGGAAGACCGCAGTGTTTTCTGGTGGCCGCGGGAAATTGGGCACACGTCGTGGTTCGTCGTCCAGCCTCCTCTGCATGCGCCGGTCCACGCGCTGTTGTCTCGCACGCTCCTCGTCGGAGGGATTCGACCAGTCGCCGATGCTCTGTGTGAGGATTAGCACGGTCGGTGCAGCAGATAATAAGCGCGCGTACCTCCTCATCTGAGATATCTCCCCCACGATAATGATCCTCGGAGCCAGTCCATTCCGCTGATACTTCGAGCTCCAAATCCATGTCCTCGGAAGCATCGCCTAGCACGAGCTCCGTCCTCTGGAGGCCATTATTCAGCACGTCTCCGACGATACCGCCGACCGTCCGCAACGAGAGCGCCCCCGAAAGCTTCGAAACGTGTCGCGAATGCCCCACCGTTCGCATAGCCTCCTCGTCTTCTTCATCCTGGAATTCATTTTCAACTTCCACTCGCCTCTCCTCCACTCCGACATTAGAAATCGTGGCAAAGAGATCGTTTCCTTCGCTCTCTTCCTCGGTCTCGTCTTCCTCCTCTGTAACATCCAGCCCAAAGCCCCGGATAAAGTCGGGCCGGCTGTCTCGGCTCACAGGCCGGGAGGATTGTGCGGACTTGGATGTGAATGGGGGTATGGACAGGGGGATACGCCCTTGAGGAGCGTGTATCAGCCCCGTATCGGACTCCGCTCCCGATTCCGACGCCGTGGAAGTCTGGTCCCGCGGAAGGAAGGCGTTGGGTCCGAATGGATTAGATGCCGGCGAGAAGGTGGGTGGCTGCGCCAGGGACATGCTATAACCGTGTCGATTAAGGAACCTTGGCGCCGGCTGGAACCCTGGTGATGGAGAAAGACCCATGGGTGGTTGGGGTGACGTGGAGAGCGAGTTGAGGGGCGACGGATTCAGCGACGACTTGGTCTGCGCCTGCTGCAGTTTATTCAGTTTGAAGAGCAGCAGTGCTGGGTCGGCTGGAGATGATATCTGCAAAGAAAGAGCGAAAAATTTGAGCCTCCCACGTGTATGCCACGAGTCGCATAAGAAAACGCACCGAGGCAGCACGAGTGTGGGGACCATGAGATGAATGAATGGAAGGGCTGCTCTCGACACCCAATCTCTCCAGTTTCTCGTCGATCTCCCGCTTTTTGATATCTTGCCACGCACGCTGTAAGATGATCGAGTGAGCCAAAGTTCGGCGCAAGCAGGATTCGATTATGTACACACCTTGCCGGGAAGAAACACCTCCAGAGTAGGCGGCATCTCGCCCCTGTGGTCTTCCGGGGGGAACATCTCTCCCGACGTCAACTCCGCCTCCGCCACGACAACGTCCTCGAAGACAAACGGCGCGTCCAACGGCCGCCTGGCCCACACCGGGGGTTCCAGCGCCGCCCCCGCGTCGTCTTTGGGGGCCTCGTGGGGCAGCTTGACGATGACTTTTTTGGCCTTCGCGGGCGCGGGGGGTGGCGTGTCCACGACAGGTGGTAAGGGACTGAGTTTACGTGCTGCGGCCGGACCCCCGAGGACGGCCTTGGGTGGTCCTCCGATGCTGGGCTGTCTCCTGTTTCGACCAGGAAAGGGAGGCCCGCCACCGAGATTCAACTGCCCCGGACCCAGTGATGGACGGGGGAAATGCCCCCCGCCGGGAGTCATGGGGAATGTGCCCTGGAGCGCCGACGGGGTGAAGTTAGCCATGCTAGCTGCCCCTTGGCGGTGGGTCGGGCGTGGAGGGGCGCCGGGGACCGGGACGTTGAAAAACGGTTGCATCGGGGTGCGTAGAGGGAATTGTGGGAGGAAACCATTGTGTAAGGCCGTAGGCAGCGCGGGGGAGAACATAGGTTGTCCGCCGTATGCCAGGGCAGGGTTGTTGAGTGGTGGGGGGATGTTGACATTCAGACGCAAGGGCTCCCTAGGAGCCATGGCGGGCAACTACCAGGAGGGGACAGTGACAACGGCAAAATGCGGATGTGTTTGTTCTCCAAATTTTGGCACTGCCATTGCTCATGGTACCACACTCAATTGATGCTTCTACTACTGACTGGTACAGATTTCTGCTACACACGAAAGAGAATCTGATTGCAGGAACCTCTGCGTCTCTCCTCAAATACGCTCTATCTGCTCCGTGTGTGTTTTCTGTTCTGCTAAGAACTCTTCGCGGCAAGCCATGCCGCGAGTCATTTTAGGACGAACGCTCTGTGCTCCTAACCCGCACCAGAGTCTAGAGGTGAAACATCCGCGGGCATAAAATGCGAATCACACACGATGTAGAGAAGACTGGACCATTATCACCAATCCGTGTCCGGACCTCGTTTAAGTCGTTGAGAGAGTCGACCGTACCTAGGCGGTCTGGTTCGGGATCCAGACGCGTGAATCACATCGTCAAAGTATCGCGCAGCCGGAACCGACGGAGCGCGACGCTATTCTTTAGAATCGACAGCGGGTGAGATCCATTCACTGTGTCGCCGATACTCGATGGTGCTGCCCGACGGGACATCATCGGTATAAATGGTTTGAAGACGCCAGCCTTTGCGTCCAGTACAACGCGCAACCCGTAACGCCAGGAGGATCCACGCGTCGAAATCGGGGCAGCCCTTCAGATATACGCATCGGTCAGGTTTCCGAGCCCTCCTGAAAGTCGCGTTCCTGCGCGTAGTCTGTTGTGAGACGCGTTTCGCCTCGGAGACAGGAGCCTTCCCCCGTTTCGCAGGCGAAACAAAGCAGCCAGCACATCATCAGTACCTCACTCTCCTTGTATGACAACCTGAGCGCCAGTCAGTCGTTGATTCGGATGTGATAGGCAGCGCGGAATGACATCCGCCCAATGCGGCCCCATTCCGAAATGCAGGTCGCGAAATTGAGCGAACAAGGCAGCGAGATATGCAGGAGTGACATGTGGGGCCTCCCAATCCGCTGCGTCTACTTACTTCCAAGCTTCGTGACGACCCTTTTCAGGCGGTAAAGGGGAAGACTCGTGTTGCACAAGTCCTTGAGCATCCACCTCGAAGATGGCAGATCTCAGAATCGCAGATCGTTCCGCTTTGAATGCTTGGGTCGGCATCCGCTTCAGTGGGTGGAGATCCAAAGTCCGGACTCAAGTCACCGAGAGCTAAATGGATAGCCAGCCAGTAGTTGCTTGTTACCATTCGCCAGTCGCAGTTGGGATGGCCATAGACCCCGGGTAAAGGCCATACTCTGTGCCCGACGATGCGAAGGTCAAGGCGAAGATGATCGCTGCGTCTGCCAAGGATGCTATCCGCCGGAGTCTAGTGGGAATCGCAACGAAGATCCGGAGGACAGAGTTCAGCGAAGTGGCCCACGAAGCCGGTAAGTACGTCTTTCTGCGCGATTGATTGCCCGCGGCGACGATGTTGACATTCTCTCTAGTCCTGGACAACGCCGGCCGCGGCTCCTGATCATGCATGCTCGTTGATTGGATTCCTTTTGCAAGCCGACTATCGATCGGTTCAGTACGCGAAGTCAGACATTGAGCCGTCCTCTGTGCCGTCTATCTTCACCGATTCTGCTCTTAAAAACCTTTCACGAGAGCTCTGACGGCGGCTGGATCTTGCGACATGCCTCCGGGGATGTAGATGTGGATGTGGATTGACTCGGAGCGCATCAATTCTCATATAATCCAATGAAATCAATCTCTCCCTATCTCTTGAGGTTGCATTTCATACGCTTTGCCGAACGGCTTTCTACCGGTGCATGATTGGTGGATGTATCTAGATCGTGATGGCAGGACCTGCCGATTTCTCACGGTCCTAGGTAATTGTGATAGCCTATTGTTGCACGGACCGTGTCGCTCACCTTTCTTTTGTCGGCCATCCTGGCTTGTTATTGTATCCAATTTGGAGGTAGATGGTGCCTTATGGGCCGAAAACAATTAGGACGGTCCGAGCATTCCATACGCTCTCGAGTATTTAAGCAACGCGCGGGTGGAACGTCTCCTCTTCCATCTCGTGCTCCAGTAGACCTATCCTTGCCTCGCGCTACCTTCCGCCCTCACTCCTTTGCACATCGCCGATGGACGACTTTATCCCATTCCACCTTGCCACCGTGAACCCTGCTCGCTCGGGCGCAACCACGACTGCAGATCCGCCTCGGAACGAGGACGGCGCGAACCATGCCGCGCACGGAGGCTGCATAATATCATGACAGCGGAGGCAGCGCCCGCTATATCATTATGGGTATCCACGCCCTATTTATGCTCATGTCATATCCTGCCTGCGGTGAGTGTCCTGCATGTCCGGGGTCCGGGCTTTGCTGATGTCTTCAGGCTCGGATATCATCACTTACACTCTCTATCTGCCTTTTAACTTCAATCCAATCATAAGCCTGAGAAAGGCACTGTATACATAATTTGACCACCAATCTACGGCGAGAGCCAGTATGATAGATACTTCCATAAATAAATTATACAAGCCAAACACGCACACGATTTTTTCTGAACGGATAGTTGCGCTGGTCATACTTACAAGAATTCATCATCACTTTTTGAAGGAGCAGAGTCAGAACATGATTCTGAATGCGGATGTAGCTCACGTGATCGTGTAGGGGTCTCTTGCGATCAGACCGAAGTAGAGCGAAGTCCACTAGTGCTCATCATGAATAGTATCACCACTTTCTCTGCGCCGACGATTCGGGCCGACTGACTTAGACCGACTTGCACGAATCATCATGTGTGTGATGCTTGAGAAACCGACGAGGACCGACGGCTATATCTTCTGAAACGTCCCGTGAATATGGATATGGATCTTGATCCTTGATCCACCATATGGGCGCGCACCATTTCGTACATAAATCAAGGACACGACAACTACTTACATCTCCGGTCTGCGCTGTACGTACATCCTCAAATGTATTCCTATCTGCGCACAATTGGCGACCATCTCTGAATCGCGGCGATCGGACCGGACGGCATCTCACAGCTCATGGTAATAGTCCTAGATTATTGTTGCACGGATCGTTTCTCTGACATTCCTTGCAGATCAACCGGGTTTTCAATGGTATCTACTCTAGAGGCCATCCAGTCTTATGAACTGCGGGCAATCAAGCTAGTCCGGTAGTTCCATGTGCAGTTTCGAGTATCAAAGCAACGTGCGGGGAGACGTCTGATTCTCCATACCGTCCGTCAGTAGGCATATTCTCTCAGCCCTCTTGCATTCCCTTTCGTCATAGCTCAATCGTAGCCTCGGCCGCACCGCACATATACGACTAGATGCCGCTGCACCTGGCCGCCGGTGACCCATCTCCCCCGAGAGAGACCACAACATCCCATCCCCTCGTAACGAAGACGGCGCGAGCCAGGGGACGGCTGGAGGCTGCATAATATCATGATGATTCTACGCTGAGTAATGCCTGCATGTTCAAAGGACCGGATCTCTTGACATCGTCAGGTTCGGCAGTTACTTCCACTATCTGATTGCCCTCCACCTTCCGTTGATCGAATAACAGGCTGGCCAACAATCTGGAGCGAGCACAATCTGAGTGTCTACTTTCATAGCTACTGTAACAGCATACGCGCCAGAAATTTTTGCGCATCTGTTTTTCTGAGGAAGCACTCGCACCGCACACTTGTTGGAGGTCGTGATCGCTTTTTCAACGCGTCAAATCCGGATTAGGGCACAAGTGATGCACACGTGATCCAATGGTTCACGTGCACTAATCATAGCGAAGCTCGCTATCACCGCTTCCTTTGTCACCTGTGGGCGTCAAGATCGGCGGTTTAAGCGTCACTTCCAGACGGATCCAGCCCGCGAAGACTTGAAATAACAACGACAACATACATCCGAGAACGAATACGAAAAGGGGGGAGTACACGATGCGGCGGAAGCCTGGGAAAAGCTCGACCAGACCCCATCCGCATCAGGGGGGTATCATCAGAACAAACAACGCGCGAACTCTAATCTGTGCACACGCGGGTCAGACGTTGGAATTGATGGGGGGTGCACCCACAGTTGTTGGAATACCGGGGGTCTTGTGGGGGACCTGGTGAGCCGTCAGTCAGCATGCTGGCTTCCACGAACTTGTTTTGCGCTGGGACTCACCGGCCTGTGGATTCCTCTGTCCCCTATGTAGAGCGTGCAGTCAGTGGGGGCAGCGGAGGCTGGCGATCGGACTCACAGCGTCAGGGATATTCGATTGGATGTCTGTGCGGTCCGCGAGACCGAATGCGCAGGCGGCTCCTGCCCTTTGCGATTTGGCGGGGGCGGGGGCTGGGGCTGGGGCGTTTGGGACCGGGTCTGGTACGATGCAGCTGAAGCAGAGGTCGGTGTGGTGATGCGCAGGGAGATATCAGGCGACGTACGCGCGCGGCCGCCCAGTTCGTACGGAAAGTCGTTGATCCTGTTGTGCGTCGTGTGGGCCGGCGTGCGCTTCACGTGCGAGGCGTCGTCTGAAACAGCTCGATAAGCAGCGCCTGCACCTTCCCGACGACGTATTTACTGTAGGGGTTCGGGGCTTAGGCCGGATAAGCAGCGGCGCAGGACAGTAGGCGCAGATACGACTTGCCCTGCGTAAACTGGCCCAGCGTATTCAGGTTCCCCATTCTGACGTCCAGCGGCCCTGCTGGGGGTGCGCCCATGCTGTAGCTCCCCGCCATGGGCTGGCTGAGGCTGGCCTGTATCTGCGCGAGGCGGGCATGGTCTTCAGGGGTAAAGGCGCTGCTGTCGACCTTGTCTGCAGTTGCGGCCGTGAGCCTCCGAAAAAAAAGGGGTGCCGGTGCATACAGGAGACGTTTTCAGGGCGTTTGCGTGTGCGGTGGTCGTCGTTCTTTTTGTTGCGACTCGTTCCGGGGCTCGACATGATGATGGCACAAAGAAAATGTCGCAAAGATGGAAGCAAATCGTCCTTATACCATTGTGGCCCAACCGCCGCCTTGAGGCTACGGTTAATACGCTCACAGGGTCTCCTTCTGTTTTATCGGATCCCTTTGAAAATTATCAAGATCCCTTTGAGGAGCTTGAAATCACTCTCTACGGAGTTATTCGTTCTCTGCCATCACCTCGAGGCAGCCAGAAGCAAATCTCGATATCTCACCGCGACGGTTTGCACACGTAGCCCGAGGGATTTGTATTTAGCTTGTTCTACTGGACGCCGGGCGTATGCTTGACCACGAATACTTCTTTTCAAGTTGCACTTTGATTGATACGACGACACTTGAACTACTTTCTTTCCTGTTCGAGCCAACGGAGAGAGCGGAATCCACACAGCGTGACTTACATCCGGCCGACCTGTCCGGAAGATCGCGCCAGATGAAGCATGTCATCACGCCGCACCCCGGACTAGGGATGTCAGAGGACATGACTTAGTCTCGTCTAATCAGACAATAGAAGATAAGATAAGATCTGAGACCAGCGGATCGATCGTTGTGACCTGGACGGTGAGAGCCCCTAGCGGTTCTCTCATCGTACCAGGTGCGTATAGTCCAAGTTATATTCTGTACATTACTGATAGCGGTTCTCTCATCGTACCAGTCCAAATACATTACCTGCTTATAAGGGATGAGAACAGAAACGGGGGCATGTGTGGTATGACACCAAGTGAGTTGGGCTTGATGGCATGGGAACAAAAAAGTGGACTCGGGTATGCGCGGCGCGCATGCACACGTGTCTTCCAGTAATCCAGCTCCTAGAACCGGCGCCTCGCAGAGTGTAAATCCTGATTTGGCGACGGGCAGTGGGAGTTGGGTACGCGAAACAAACAGCCATTCAAGTTGGTTGGATTGGGGTTACTGCGAGTCCATGTCGACGTTGCCTAGATTGATTTCAAACGGGCTCCGCTTGAAAATTCCTTCTTGATTGGTCATATTGAATTCCCTGACTTGCGTGAGCCAGAGGCATGCAACTTGAGGGCTATAGTACTGACGAGTGGGGGGACGCATGAGTCGTTCGCAGCCTGAGAGTCGGTCGAGGAGCACGCGATCACGTGGGCCAAGCAGAGCCACGGTGACCATGACAATGGTGATTGCTACGCTTGTCCTGCACAATCTTATCTCGAGTGTCTAGACCCCATCAACTGCCGGCGAATGAATTCCACGCGATTAATACAACACTTTTGACATGTTCAACACCAGCCGGATTGACGGGGCCAGGGGAATGGGCCGGACTCACAGGACAAGAATCGAGACAGCCTCTGGCTATCATTTCCAAACTCGCGCGCTGTACAACGATGCCACGCACAGTTTCCGTGTACGATTCTACTTCTTCCCAAACTCCACGCCCTTCGACGATTGTCCACCGTGCTCAATGCGGTGCATTGCACAGTGTTTCATTTTGTATCTGCCTTATGCTCATTTGTACTGAAGATTGTGGCCCTGCGCGACATGAAACGTGAACGAATAAGCAACTTGCTCGAGTATGTCCACAGTCCTCGACTCGTATGTGATTCTCGCTACAAGGGGTCTGAGCGCAAGTTCTAGCATCAACCCGTCGACTTGCAAGCCTCTTCAGGCGGCTAGCTGAGTCTGACGATGAATCTGATGGCAGTCGACTGGCCCTCGACGCCCACCAGAATGCTCCATGCTCTTCCATTGGCTCCTCTGCCACGAAATCCTCCCAAATTGTCTGCATAGTGGGCCAGCCGTCCGGATAGCGTCAGGTCTCTTCTGGAGTCGAGTGTATGACCGCCAGAGGAGACTTGTTTCTCACTTTTCCATATGAGGCTATGCCAGTACATGTAGTCTGAGTGCGACATCTTGAGAGAGGCCCACTCTAAGATTACAGTCCCATTACTGCATGTACCATTGATTTGTGCTGCATTTCTCAAAGCATCAACATGGATTGGATCCAATTGTTATCTGGTGAAGTGACGCATCGGGAGCGGATTTATGGCGTTCGAGATCTTGCAGTCATGAGTCGAAGATTGTCGCATATAGAACGCAATGAGTATTTATGTAATTCAAACACTGCCACCAACCAAAGTCGCCCATGATGAACTTTCGAATAAGCTCGAGATGAGATGCTTACATCGGATAAGTAAACATCATCATCTGACACGCTTTCAAAAGAAGGACAAGCGTCACAGGGACATCCATTCACGTGACCGAACATTTCTGATGAGTCTAGCATCGCGGTCTAGACTGGTCCATGACGACAATGGAGCTCGATTCGGTGACATCATCGAGATCTACTTTGCTTTCGTCGTCCAAGTTGATGGACTTTTTCGCTGCAGTCGGCGATGCCCAGCATGTCGCCCACAATCTTCCCGACGATACCAAATCATTTGCGGAGGCCGTAGCCGCCCGCTTCGGCCAGCAAGACAATATGTCCACAGCTCGCTTACTCCCGCCCCCCGTGCTCAAAGTTCCGCTTGTGTCTATGCCCAGTGTGCTCAGATTAGCACCATCAGCCCCCTCGAACGCCGACCAAAAGCCCTTGGACGCCTTTGCGCTCACTCCCCAGTCACTTCCCCAATGGATTAATGACCCCCACACTCTCATTATCGACATCCGGCCCCACGCGGCCTATTCCTCGGCGCGCATCTCCCGTGCAGTGTCCCTGTCCGTTCCATCGACGTTGCTCAAGCGGCCTATGTTCTCTCTCCAGCGGCTGGCGGGAATGCTGCCCTCCAACTCAGCCCGCACCCAGTTCTCCGCTTGGCGTTCAGCGTCTCGGATTACCGTCTATGACGCGGACTCCACATCGCTTGGGGACACATCGAACATACGGGGCCTTCTCCGGAAGTTTCGCGCCGAGGCTCCGGAGGCCACGATCGAGCTAGCGTGGGTGGTTGGTGGATTCCAAGCGGTGTGGACTACAAGGCGGGATCTGGTTGATGTTGTGCCTCCGACACCGGACAACGAGACGGAGGATGATGATGCAGAGGATGCTCCCTCAATCAATCGCACGCTCAGAGCACACGATCTCCCCCGTTCTGCATTTGCGCTCTCAAGCACGACGCAGGGACCGCGGCCAGGGCGAGGCAAGTATCGCTGGATCTCTCTTCCTGAGAGAAGCACTGACCTCTGCGCAGGTCCCTTCATCCACAATTCCGATAATCCGCAACCTATCATGGATCCTACTGATCAGCCTGCGACCCTGGCAGCATTCAACCCGTTCTACGACTCTGTCCGCCAGAACGTCGAGCTCAGCCAAGGCATCACTGAACGGATCCCCCTCCGATTGTCTCGCCGCGTACGACGCCGGATCGGAGAGCTCCCCTTCAAGTGGCTGCGTGACATTGCCAAGCGGGCGGCACCTGTCACACCGCCTGATCTTGCGTTGGGAAGCTCGATGGATGTGTCCTTCTCTCAGGTCCGCGGCCCCCGTCTGGACTCAAGTGAAGAGGAAAGTAGCGACTCCGGTCTCAGCGGGGTCGATCGCTGGGGTCAGCCAGATGACTTGGAGCCCAACCCACAGCCAAGGCCAACTGACGTTGAGGAAGGCACTGAGGCCCTGGCTATGCAGTTCTATCGGATTGAACTAATGGAACAGCGACGAATGATGGGCATCATGGAGCACCACAGCCACGAGAGCGGCCCTCCCAATCACGAAGCTGACCAGCAAGAAACGACGACGACAAGCACGGAACCCCGTTCTAAGTCGCTTGGATCGGAGACCTCTTCAGAAATTTCGTCTAAGGAATCTAGCGACAACAATTCCAGCTCGAGCTCTGACTCGCTGCCGTCAACTTCCAGCTCCGTCCCAGATCTCACCAGCCGTCCCGTCCGACGCCTCGCAGATGACAATTTTCCTTTCAGCATCACTGCGGGGGTTGAGAAAGGCGCGAAGAACCGGTAGGATTTTGAAGTGCGATCCAAACGGTCCGCTGATCGCCTGCAGATACCGCAACATATGGCCGTTTGAGCATGCGCGGGTGAAGCTACACGCGGACGGTGGTTGGCAGGGCCCCGATCCCCCAAAATTGACCTCGCTTGATCTGCTGGATGCGCAGCCTATCGCCCATGACGACTATGTCAATGCCTCTTACGTCCAACCGCTCGGCACACACCGTCGGTATATTGCCACGCAAGGACCTTTGGATGCCACGTTTGGCGATTTTTGGACGTGCGTGTTTCTATCTGCTTGTGTGCGATGTGTCCCAACCTCCATTTATAGACTGGTCTGGCAACAAAATGTCCACGTGATTGTGATGCTGACCCGGGAAGTCGAGGGTGCAGTCGTGAGTACAAGAAGTGCGAACACGAGGCGCCCGATTGACAGTCCTGCAGGTCAAATGTGGCGCTTACTGGATGCCTGGTGTCTACGGCTCGCTGAAAGTCGAGCTTCTGGGTTGCGGAGCACCGGCCTGCACGGACATCTGTTCTTCCTGTGCCTTTGACTCGGGCGAACGACCGGAGACCACTGGCTTCTTTGGCAATATGGCAGCCAAAACGCAGACGACCGAGGCACCGCTTCTCATCAGGCGCACCCTTCGATTGACCCATGCTGCTTACCCGCACGCACCTCCGCGACGAGTCGTGCAGCTGCAATACCGAGGCTGGCCGGACATGAATGTTCCAGAAGAAACGCACGGTGTTTTGGGACTGGTCGGAGAAGTAGACAAGGCTGTCGACGAGGCCGGCAAGAGTGCACTGCCACGGAACTCTGTGAAACACCGGGCTCGAGTCGAAAGCGATGGTGACGATGTGGATGCCACTGCGGGTGTCGTAAACCGAGCATTGCGCGATGGCGCGGAGGGTGCTCCTGTTCTGCTGCATTGCAGTGCTGGAGTCGGACGGACTGGAGGGTTCATCGCCATCCACGCTGTTCTCGATTCGCTGCGACAGGAGGCCAGATCACTTTTCGCCTCTGGACAGCAGATTTCTCCCGTGCCCGGTCACAGGCAGAGCAGCGGCAGCGACACCCAGTCTACCAGCAGCACGGGACCTTTGCCCAGCGAAATCGGTCGTCTGGCTGTCGCCGACAGTGACGGCATGGAAGTGGACTCGGAAAACGTCGCCGACGGAAGAACGCCGATGCAAGTCGACGGTGTGGACATGACTCTTGGTGCAGAAGTCACCAAGCGCTGGGCCCAGGGAGTGGCGGACACTCAGCCCAGCTCACTTCCCCCAGCATCCATCTTTCCGGCTCCAGAAACGACCTCATTTCGTTCGAGCACCTCTTTAGAACCTCTGTCCAGAGACTCATCTCCATTCTTGTCGGCGCCCCGCACTGCGCTCCCCCTGTTTTTGCGTCGTGGCAACGCAGACCGGCCGCGTACGTTCTCCGCGCCGTCGGCGGCTACACCAGTGCACAAAAACGTAGCCAAGGTGCTTGACCGATCGCTTGTCAATTCGCCAGCTCCAGATTCGCGTTCCATGTCGCCATTCGCTCCTGGCCAGTCCAGTCTCCGATCGTTCAAGAGCGTGGAAAATATGCTGCCCACTGCGCCCAATGTTGACTACAAGGAGCCGCGCTCGCTGCACTTGCGTGGTGGAAAGGGCCCCGTTCGGCTCAGTACGCTGGAGGAGCCCATCTGGGAGGTCATACAGGACATGCGCGAGCAGCGGATGAGCCTGTGCCAGAGCCTGCGTCAATATGTGTTCGTACACGCTGCCATCATCGAAGGCGCTTTGATGGTCATTGACCAAGAACGTGCTCGGGCTGGCTTGAGGTCGCGCCCAGCTGCTCTTAGTCTCTCGCCGCCGCCGAGAAGAACGTTGAATCGACCGCCGAGATTGGTTCTCCTGCCAGGGCATCTGCACAGTCCCTCGTCGACCGGCAAGCGGCTGGCAAGTCCCACCGAACTTCCCAAGGAGAACAAGAAGGGAGAAATCGCTCTGTCCAAGCGGCCCAGCATCAAGAGGAAGCAGGTCAGCGGCGACGATTTCCCTCCTCATCTTTTCCCGCCTCCGTAATGGAGAGGGCGCTTTCTCTTGCTTTGCCGACTAATCCAGTAATACTCCTACATCGCATACTCTACACTGTTGTTACAACCTAGCCATCACCCCATTTGACTGCTCAGCCCTTTCGGGCTTGTATTTTTACTCGCTGTATCATTACAATACACAAATCGATCTCTTTAAACGAAATTTCGCAGTGAGCGGCGGAAAACTTTCCACGCCATGAATTGATCAAATCTTGCTGAGTATTACCAACGCCTAGGCTCTAGCTTCAAAGGAGATACAACATACTGATAGACAAGTAGCCTTGGTACGGGGTTCTACTATTACTTAGATATACATAATCGCAGCTCAGGTAGAAGGGTTGACGGCGATATAGCCCCCATCAATGACAATCTCTTGACCATTGGTGTAGCAGCCAGCGAGGCTGCTCAGATAGATGATCGTGCCGGCCATTTCTTTCGCCCTGTGCGTGTGTTGAGAAAGTAGAACATTTGCACGTGACGCCACTCACGTTCCGGCTCGGCGGGCCGGTACTGATGCGAGACCCTTGCCGATCTTATCGACCTCTTCAGGCGAGATATCGGCCTGCGTCATCTCCGAGGCATAGACTCCAGGTGCGACTGCGTTCACGCGCACCTGCGCGCCTTTCAAGGCATACTCGGTGGACATCATGCGCGTCAAGTGCGCAGCGGCAGCCTTGGCGCTGTTGTAAGCGAACTACGGACACCTCAGCGTGGGCGATAGGACATCCGGATGCACGCATATACTCACATGATCCTGCGCGAGCTTGATGACGCCGGAGATGCTGGTGATGTTCACGACGCTCGAGGTGAATCCTGGGCGTCCTGATTCCTGGGTGCCCTGGTGCAGTAGACCCAGGAATGCGTTGGTCACGAAGAAGATCGAGAATGTGTTGATGGTGTAGATGTCAGACCATGCCGCGAAGGTTTCGTTGTCGAAGAGCGCTTGGCCTAGTGTCTCCGGATCTTTGCGTTCGGGGGCAGATGGGTCATTCATGAAAGGTGACGTCGGGCCGACTTGTCCAGCACTGAGATTCAAGTGAGCCTTCACCGCGTACTTTTTATCGTGTGTGATACGCACTTGTTTACGAGGATGTGCAACTTTCCCTCCTTCTCCTGCAACACCTTCTTGGCTGCCATGATACTCTCCCTGCTGGTCACATCCATCTGGATCCTGGGATTGCGAGGTCAACAACACCCCAACTGAAGAGCGGCCGGATCAGACGCACGCGACCATCTCGCTCGTCTGCTTCTCGTTCCATGCACCGACGACCTTGTCCAGCACCTCTTTGCGTCGCCCTGTGATGTACACCTTGGCGCCCGCACTAGCGAGTCCCTGCGCGATCATAAGCCCGATGCCCGTTCCCCCGCCTGTAACGAGCGCGACGAGGCCCGTCAGGTCGTAGATGCTTTGGAGAGCAGAAGCTGACATGGTCCTGGTAATTCGCAGATGGATGGATCAAGAAGAATTGCTCGAGATCTCAGGACTTATAATCCGGTTATGTTCGGTCCGTGGTCCGCCTCAACCTGTATGCACAACAGTGGTTGATGCTTGATCCACTTGGAGTATCCCGCAGTCCAGGCAGGAAATGCGGGTGAAGATGTCTGGGAGCCGCGACATCGAAGGTTGTGGAGACGTGGAGTGTGTGGAGCATGAAGAGGAGTGTGTTACTGCAAGAAAACAGAAACTGAGGCGGGCCGGTTCTACTGGGCATGTGATGCTCACGGTAACGTGTATCCGAGCTTGTACCTTGTACAACAGTCAATCCATTCTACTCGAGTAGACTGTATGAAACGGAGCGTGCGCCACGCTCTACCTGTAGGAACTGAGGATGGGCGCGTAGTTGACGCGGGTTGTACGCGAGGATTGGAGATGTCACGCGCACGATGACGTCGGGTAATCACAACCGCGTCCGAGTCATCGTATCGGGCAATCGAACTCTCTGCAGGCTTCACCCACGTCCAGCGCCTGGTATGTTCCTGTCCCGCTCTGCACGACTCAGTCTGCGATTGCAAACCAAAGGGTGCGCTTCATCAGTGACCTCATCTTTCTCGCGTCACCTTACCTTGGCTCTATTAAAACCCTTGCACCGCTCCTCCGCCACTAGTTTCAACCGTACCCACAGAAATATGAGCACCACATCGAACCTTCTGGACTACAGCCCGAATGTGACCGCAGGACTCTCGCGAGTTACGGAGGGTATCTTGACCTCCGGACAAGGATCTTATGTGCAGTACGACAATGGCCGTAAAATGTTGGACTTCAGCTGTGGGATCGGTGTCACTAACCTGGGTGAGCCAGTGCAATCAGAACATCGAGTTAGCTGCTCAAACACAGGGAACAGGTCACTGTCATCCCAAGGTCAGCAAAGCCGCCGCCGACCAATGCATGAACGTTGTACATGTGCAGGTACGACTGCCGGTGAACCATCTCTTTGTGTCGACCCTATGAACGATTGTAGTGCAGCATCGCGTTCCACGAGCACTACCTCCGCCTCGTCCAAAAACTACTGCCTCTGATGCCCGATCCGTCGCTTGACTCGTTCTTCTTCTGGAACTCAGGATCTGAGGCAGTCGAGGCCGCCATCAAAGTAGCTCGGATGGTCACAGCACGCCAGAATATCATCTGCATGCAAGGTGCTTATCACGGACGTACATTCGGTGCAATGGCGGTGACTCGGAGCAAGACCATCTACTCGAAAGGAGTCCTGCCTGTCATGGTAAAGTTCATCACTCCATTCTAGCGCATCGTATCGTAACCCGTTAATACAGCCGGGTGTATTCACCATGCCTTATCCATTCTGGCATCAGCTGGGACAGCCCTCCGACAAACCTGAATCGGAGCTCGTATCTCAGTGTCTTTACCAGCTCGATCTCCTCCTCCAGCAGCAGACCGCGCCGACGGATACCGCGGCTATCATCATCGAGCCAGTCCTGGGCGAGGGAGGCTATGTGCCGGCCCCCGCATCTTTCTTACGCGGACTGCGAGAAGTATGCGACAAGCATGGCATCATGCTCATCATCGACGAGGTGCAGAGCGGATTCGCGCGCACAGGCACCTTCTTCGCGATCGAAGAGAGTGGTGTCCGACCGGATATCATGATCATGGCCAAGGGTCTGGCTAACGGATTCCCGCTGAGCGGCATCGTGAGCAGGAAAGAGGTCATGGACAAGATGCCGGTTGGCTCCATGGGTGGAACGTACGCTGGAAATGCCGTCTCTTGTGCCGCAGCATGCGCTGTTGTGGACGTAATGCAGGAGGAAAATATCCTGGCGAATGTGAACGCTCGGTCAGTAACGGCCTTCAAACCAGCCGACTCGATTGACCAATATATATCAGTTCGTCCGAACTTTTCGCGGCACTCAACGATGTCAAAGCAGCCAACCCGTCGACTGTCCTGGACGTCCGTGGCCGAGGGCTCATGGTCGCAGTCGAATTCGAAGGCAAGGGAATGGCTGCCCGGGTGGCCAAGAAGTGCATCGAAAAAGGAATGATCCTCCTCACGACCAGTGTCTACGAAGTCGTGCGGTTCATTCCGCCGTTGAACATTTCCAAGGAAGATCTAGCCAAGGGTGCAGCAATCTTCAAGGATGCAGTCGACGAAGCGGTGAAGGAGGCGTGAGGGATTAGGGATTGAACTCATACATGCTGTATGATACCAAACGGAAATTATTCGAGGATTTGTTTGCAAAACTACCACTCAGCGGCTCAACTTAATGTTGCTTTGCGCTGGTCATTCGAGCGGCCTTTAGTCCAGTGCTTAGATTCCCATGTCGCACTTGAGCTGATCAACAAGCCAGATGCAATGTGCGAAACACGACTGGAAACACGGCAGAATTGGGAAGTTCAACGGCGCAGCGAGCGGGCACAACGATGAAGGTGGGAGCTCAAGTGAGGGTCGTAAGAACTCACGCTGCTGAGGTCCCGCGTAATGATTAGCGTCCTGCCTGGGACAATAATATCGTTGTGATATCGACAGTTACCTGCATACACCAAAGTCTACGACTGAGTGTCAAATATATATCGGCGTTGACGTGAAGTGGGTCCCTCGTGGGTAACTTGCGGATTTTGCGTTGTGCGTGGTGCCAGAGGAAGGCATAGGAAGCAGACGAGACCATTTGATGTCGACGATACGAGGGTTCAAAGCCTGGCCCTTTAAAAATTCTCCGTACCGATATGTAAACCCCTATACCTCTCTCTACATCGTTCTCAGACGGTCGAGATTGTCGCGCCGATTTTCGGGAGCGAGACAATGACGAAGGGTGGATTCTTCAGGATATGGTTCGGAGACAATGGTGTCGCAGCCACGGTAATTGTGCTTGAGGTCCCTATCGTGAGCACCCGGTGGGACAATAATTGTCGCAGTGCCGTCGGGACGAGCGTCAATAGAAGACGCAGAGAATGAGTGGGTCACAGTGGCAGGAGCATTTATCGGAATTTGAATTTTCTCGAAGGTTATTTTGATCGCGATGGGTTTCGCTCTCCCACATCGTTTTCGTGCAGACTCCCGTCCTCTCCGTCTATCTTCTCTCTCTGCTACAGTGGCGGATGGAAATCACGAATTAATTGCGCAGAGAAAGACCAGTGAAACACTCTCCTTCAAAACGAACGAGCGCCTTCGAGCCCAGATCTACTTGTGAGAGGATAGCAGTGAGGATGGGGACAGAGGCATCCGTCTGAGGAGATTCAATTGGAGGAGACCTCACTGAAATGATGCCTCAAGATTTCTTCGCCAAAGAGCTTGGGATTGGGTCCCAAGTGCAAGTCGTCGTCTCAAGGTGCGTCAAAGTCGTGTCTGCAATTCATGCAGTTTATTGAGCTCGTTCCACAGTTCGTCGCCTCATGAAGCTCCTGAATTTCGAGACGAGGCATTTCTTCTTGCACGCTGTCCTACCTTTCTCTGTTTCGTTATGTCGGAGAACTTGATCGAACACTGGATTCTGAGCTTCTGACTTCAGACAACAGGGCGTCGCGTTGCTCAGATATCTTGCTTGGCGGTCTTGCGGCTTCTAGTAATTCTCAAGAGGCGCTCGTCGTGAACTTGTCGAAACTTGGTGCGAGCTATCGTCGGCAGTGGGCGATATCTTCATTGTAACTTGGTGCTGGAAGCTGGCGGCAAGTGCTGAATCGGTCGCGAACTGGTCCCACTCAAAGCCCAAATTTCATGGACTCTTGTCTATGGATCACGCAAACCCGTTTGTTCTGTGCAACTGGTGACTTGTGAGTAGCAAGCAGAGCAAGCATCTGGTGACATCACGCGTCACTCACCGTCACATGGTGATTGCTGGCCGGCAAGGAACGAGCGAAGGAGAGCGCAAGACACCACGGATTCAGATTGCGCCAAGAGTCGCGGTACTCAGGAGGAGTTGTATGTGTGCTTGCGGTACCCGATACATGAAGAAGATGAAGGTGGCGCGTGCTTCCAGTTACCGATCGACATCCATTCCAGTCATTCGGGAGCAATTTGGTGGACTAGACAGACGAACTTCAAAGCCAACAGCGTGAACCACCATCCATTTTCGAGGACAGAAGGTTGATTCAGGTGTGCCCGCCATTAGGACGAATTGAGCAAATATACTCCAAATTCCATCCCAATTCTGGTGGCTTCGGCGGACAGTCACCTACAACAGCGTCGTCGGCCGGTCCCCAGCGTCTTCTGCGTCATCTTATCTGAGATTGATGCAGGTGCTTGCGTGTTTTCTCACCCAGGGCGAAGGAAGCAGGAGACAGGCTCGCATCATGATAAAAATGAAGCTTTCCAATTCCGCATTGATGCCGTACTTGGAAAAGGGTATAAAAACTGTTTTCCTGCGAAATTCTCTCTCCTCCTCCTCTCCTCCTAACCACTCAACATGTCTGCGTCCCCTCCGTTGCCTTCGTTCTCTTTCGTCATCCACCAAGCTCATCCAACCATGGCCTTCCTTACTATCAATCACAATCATCTCGACTTGTACGATTTCCCTTCGAACCAGGCGGCACCGACCGCTCCGCAGCCTCAGGTCATTAGTCGACGCTTTCTTCGGTGATGCATCTGACGCTAACATTTCCAGCTCCCTTTGGCTGTTGCAAACACGCCTCAGCTCAACCAATCCGCCAATGGCGCGCAGCAGCAGCAGCAGCAGCAGCTCGTAGACTGCCCGGTTTCGCGTTCGTCGCGCGCGAAGACAGCCATGAAGGTATGCACTGAAGATCTAATGTTCGCAGCTTATGTCTCATACTTCGCAAGCGCGTCTTGCGGCGCGTCGCCGTCTACATCCGGAACCATCTCACTTGAATCTGACCCGCGCGCCCACATCCTGATCGCTTCCAGTCTTTCTTGGCCTTATCGTATGTCCGTCCGTTTGCTTTGGTTTTTTTGGCTTCCACTTCATCGCTATCACACACACACATATCCTTACCTGAATACAAATGTAATTGTACATGTACATATGTTTCTAGACGTGTTTTTGTTTCCCAGTCCATGCGCACATAACCTCTGCATTGTGTGAGATGTACAGGATCACACATCTATAGGGTCGACGCGTAAATGGGTGGTATAGAATGCATTGGTGTCAGTAAGTGTAGAAATAGATTAGTGGCCGTAACTGGTAAGGAATGTGAGTCCGGTGGGCCTACCTGACGTAGTCCCACCCACAGACAAGAAGTGCTAGGCGAAAATAGCAACAAGAATAATGAACGGAATGTATGTCACGAAGGAGACCACTGCCATGATGCGAGATCTCTTCCGCCACGTTCTTGCGTCTGAGAATGCGATCAGGTCCAGCAACAACCAGAATGGAAGAGGCTCACCAAACTCAAGTTGAGGATCGTCAAGAATGACATCCTTCCCCCCTTCTCCAATGCGACGCGTCCGAACCACCGGAATGAAAGCGGCAACCCACCATGTCGGGAAGATAACAAAGCCGATAAAGAAGAGCCAAGCATGCAACGGGCTACCTCCAGCTTCCGTCCAATGACGCCAGCGGTCCGCTTTTTCCGCACGCCAGTTTATCTCACCCCAAGAAAGGGCCCACGCCGTCGGCTGGATTCGCGGAGGCTTGTGGGGATCCCGCATGTGGTACGCTCCGCCAGATCTAGCCACGGATGGCGCGTGCGGAGAAATGAGTGCAGATAATGGTATGGAAGCCTGAGATAAGCTGCGTCGGGACGGCGCCCTATGCGAAGACGCGCCGCCGGCAGTCTGCGCATGGGATTGAACCGACTGGGATCGAGAAAGAGGTCGCGCAGCGCCTGTGGATCGTCGACTAGGCCAGCTGCCGTGCTGGTCTGTTTCCTGGTAGGCTAAAGATCGGGAGAGTGACGGAGATTCTGAGGACGCGGAAAGACGCGCCCGTTTTTGACGGTGGTAGGAAGATGGAGCGTGGCCAGATGTTGTCGTTGTCGCGTTCGATGGACGAACGGCTGACGAAAAAAAATCAGGGAGTTAGTTCCATGAGCCCATTGAGACGCGTACGACGAGGTCCAACAGCGAAAGTTGCTCGTTGTTCACGCTCTTTCTTCGCTTCCGGAGGCGTGGTGTCCACTTCATCTGCTTTGCGTTTGCCCTTCGCTCGCGGGGTCTCAGCTGGAATAAAGCCCGGGGTCGATGTCGATTGTATGGACGCTGGCGTCGTTACTTGAGCAGATGGTGAGATCGACCGTTGAGCAGTGGCCATGAAGGCGGAAACCACTTTACGACGGCGGGCTGTAGCTTGATGGGATCAGCCAAACAACCGAGTCGGAGCAAACACATCAACACCCACTTTCCCAAAAAGCGCCTCAACGTAGTCGCGTCAATCGTCGCGTCCCGTGCGCCACCACGAACGCGGTGACCATGACTAGAAGCACTCGATCCTCGGACAAGCAGCAGGTGGATTTGAAAAAGCGGAAGCGCATATCTGATGGGGCGGACGAGCCAGCAAATAAACACCAGCGAACCGATATTCCTGCGTATGCCGCGAAACAACCCATCAGCTCAGAGGAGGCGGGCAAAATATTGGATGTTCTCCAGCAGTATGTCCTTCTGAGCCGGGTATCATCCCCAAATGGCTGTTTGTTGATGAGGTCCTAGCATCGACTCGCAAGGGCTCCTTGATCGTGTCTATCCTCTCGATTCCACCAGTCCATCTTCCACGAGCTCCAACACCTACTCCCTTCGGACACTCCTGTCGAACTCCCAGGACTACAGCCTCGCCACATTGAAGACTGCCGTCCAAAACCTTCTTCCCATATCCATACAACCTCGAGTCCCCCCGCCGCCCACCGCCGCTCAGCAGCAACGGTTTTGCGACCTCGCATTCTCTCTTCTCGACCAAGCATCGTTTATACCTGTCTCCCTCGAGGAGCAATCCCTTCTCCCCGAGGAACAGCCTGGAGAGTCGAGTGCCAAACCCGTCGGGACGACCAGTAAACAATATGCATTGTTACAGCATCTGCCTGGCGGCGACTACTGGTCCTCGCTGGCGAATGACGGTGTGGACCCACGGGACCTGGCAACGGGACACGCGGAGCTTGTAGCGCTTTTTCCCGCCCCAGTGGACACCACCACTCCTGTCGCCAAACTTGGCGCCTATGTCAATATCCGCAACAACGTCCCCTCCCGCGTGCGAAAGCCGGGCATCAAAGTCGCCACGAGCGGGGCATTCCTTGACTACGGGCCTTACGGCAGTTTCGCTCCTGTGTGGGTGCAGGAGGGGCGGGAGATTGGGATGAGGCAGACCGCCGAGGTGTATGCGCAGCGCGCGCAACGATACCGTGAGAAGCTGCTTGCTCGGCAGCGGATGGCTGGAACTACGCAGCCGAATCTTGTTGAAACGACGGAGAAAGAAGGGGTGGGGAATAGGACGACGCCAGAAGAAGAAGCCGAGGATGATGACATGGCCACCGTGGAGGAACAGAAAGAGGAGCAGCCGACAGCCTCGAATCCAGTGGACGAAATGGAGGATATTCTCTCGTCGGACCAGATCGCGTCATTGAAGTCCTTGCTTTCTGACCTGGAACTTGAGAACCAGGTTCAAGAGCTGCTCGTTCGTAACCGTCGGGCGTTACAGCGATTGGGACAACTTCAAGTCGATCGCTTGCGGGAAGGACGGACTGCGGAATCGTTGTCTGAAGGCGACGAGGAGCTGGAGCTTGGAAAGTGCTTTCTTTCCATTCATTGACTAGCTGAATAACAAAGTTACCCTCAGCCACGCAAATCCTCGAGTCTCTTACACTGCTTACTTCACTGCGACCCCGAAGTTCATCCGAATCCCAATCCGAATCTGATATCATCCCACCACCCAAGACGCTTCATCGACTGATGCAAACCCTTCCCCGAATAGAATCGCATGGATGGCGAGGCACACTGCCCGATCGAACACCAGGGCCGATCCCAGCGGCTCTGCACGATGATTCCACAGTCAAAGTCCGACCCGGTGTGCCGGCCGTTGCGCCTGCGCCTGCAGCTGTGCCACAATACAGCGGATACTATCCTACGCAGGCTGGGGCGGCACCGTATCGGTACAACGGCACAGCATACACCCCGGCGGCGTATGCGGCGACGCCAAATGGTGTGCGTACACCCGTCCAGGGCCAGCACTATTACCCTTCCCAGGCCACGACGGTCCCATATGGGTACCCCGCTGGCTCTGGATGGTACGGCAATTATGTCCCGGCTCAGCCGCAGCAGACGGCGTCGTACAGCTCGTTCTTTGGAGGCGCTACGATGATGACTGGCACTCCGACGGGCACTCCGGCACCTGCAGGAAAGGCCGTCGCCAATACGGTGCTTGGCAAAAGTGTGTACGCCAACCATGGACAAGGGCAATTCGCGTATGCCGGAGCTGCTGGAACTCAAGCGACTCCTGTTCTTCCCTCCCATCTGCGCTCTGCAGTGTACCAGCCAGGGATGCAGACACCCGGATGATGCACCCGCCCTAATATGAATTGTACTGTACTAATTCGCCTAGTGTACACATTGTACAGCCCAGAGCACTTGGGAGAACTCCAAGTTGTTTACATACAGCATTTTATTTTGACTTATAGTATTTAGGCAATCACAAAGAACATATTAGTGAAATTGATTTGCAGAGAAAGGTAGGCACAGAGAGCGGTGGTCAATTTAGCATATCAGTATCAACTAGAAAGCGTCGGCTCCGCCGACATTCTGCCTTGCTATTTGATATCAAAATTAATTCTAATTTTTTCTTTGATACGGGCAACTACGACGGGTCGAACTCGAGACCGACAGGAAAAACACGGAGAGGAACGGAACAGCGGGGGAAGCCGGGTCCGACGAAATCGAGCCAATTATGAGGGTGGAGAAGCCTTGACAAGCAAGGCAACCATTGCAGGTATCAATCAAAAGCGAGATGGCGATTCGCGCCGTCGCTCAGCCTCCCACCGCGCCCGCATCAGCTGGAATCCCTCTGACCTTGCTCGGATTGCTGGTGTGGGAACGAGCATTCGCAACTGCGCCTCGTTCGCGAGTTCGGAATCGCTCCGGATGACCTAGCGACTACCGTCAGCGTGCTACCGGCGAAACAGAGGGCGATAGGCGTACGGATCCAATAGCGAGGAAGAAGGAAAATGTTGCTGCGCTGCTCAGCATCGTTTTGGAAAGTGTGGAAAGAACGCCACGGGGTCCAGCGCCATGTCTGCACAAAAACGCGTCAATCCATGTCAATTAGCGCGGTGCGGATGGCTACGCACTGCAAAATGCTCCAACCGCCGAACAGGAACCCAATGGTAAGACCGACACCTCCGCCCATCATCGCACCCATTCTGCACGACAAGAGGTCATTTTTGCAGGCACGCGACGGATAACTTGGGAACATACTTGACTGTACTTGGAGATTAGTAAAAGCTAGGAAAATAGGGCGTGCGGTAATAGCATACGTTTCGTCCAGACCGTAGGTTCTGACATCCTTGTCCTGACTCTTGTGACTGTAACAGTGGTGGTAAAGTGCGCCGAACGGAAGAGCAAGACTGTCTGTCTGTTTGGCTTAGTCAGCCGTAAGATGATGAGCACCGCCACATAGATTCGATAGTTTGAACATTGAACATAGAGCAGTGTACATGGAAGACTAGGTTTACCCTCCAGATCTACCTGAGCCCGTTTACAGGTAAAAAAAAAAAGACGAAATTGGTCAAGTATCAACGGAACCGCTGTAAGATCGATGGAACTTGCTCATCAGCATGGACTCGCACCACAAAGATAGAGTCTTTGCGAGTCCGTGAGGTGAAGTCTTTGGAAAGTGGAATCCGAGGTTCAGTAACGCTTAAATGAGGTGTCAGAAAATCATCCAACTCTGCCAAGTATATATGCCCTTAGCGGTGTCGGTTGATTGCCTTGCTTGTCAAGGCACTCTCCACACTCATAATTCTTTTGTGATGGCCATGTTGATCCGATGGCAGTGTTCCGCGCTCTTCCGACGCACTCGTGATGTACACCATGCGTCCCCATCAAGCACGCTTCTCCATTTTTCGCTCGTACACTTCATGTTCGTGCCTTGAACGGTTACAAGCTCTCACTAGATATTGTGAAGCTCCGTATCATCGAGGCAAAGGTTGCTGTGCCCCCGAGCCCAAGGAAGTGCCGTGCAGTGCCTGAGATGAACGAGAGCCTGAAAAAGAAGAAGAAAGTGTGATTGTACAATGTAATGTAGTTACTGGTCTGCGGCATAAATTTCATTGTGTCTACCGTCGTCCATAAGGGTCAAGGTCTATCTTGATGATGGAAATTTACTAAGTGCTGGGGGTCCTGGCACTCCGTGACCCTATGCCTCATATCTGCTTAGTGAGGTGATATCGGGAGACATTTTTCGGTACAGTGAGCGCCGTCGTCGTCGATGGCAACGACGGCTTCTAGTAATTTCGCGCTGCAGAGTGATTTTTTTTTCATTGTACAGTAAATATTAGTATGTTGAGAGATCCTAGGACCAATGCTTTAGAGGAAAAAGCATTGCCTGTCGGCTAATCTGAGGTCATGACGTGAGTTTGACTTGTCGCGCGTCAAAAAGACCGGTTTGGGGTTCTTGACACCCTTGTCATTGAGCGCTTGATACGGCGGGCAAGCTGTGAGCGCTTGAGCAGCCATCGCAATGGCCCATCGTCTGTGGAGGAGGGGGAGAGTCGGTGCAGGGGTCTTCGCGTTCTTCCGTGGGTAAATCAGACCTTGCCCTTGAAAAGTGATAGGGTCGTGTTTTACGGAGGGGTAATAAGAGTTGTAAAATTCTCATCGGGTTCGAGCACAGAGGGTGTGTACATATTTAACTGGGATATATATGAATGAGAGGTTGTAGCCGTACACACAAAGAACACATAGAGCGCGCTGGTCCAAGCGCGACGCGACAAATAACGATGGGATGAAGAGATAACCAGGCGATGACTAACAACGAATGACACACCGAGGAGGGGCCTCGGTGTGACTGGAGATCACTCACTGGACCCCAGCATTGGATCATGATCGCACTTTCCTAAAACAGACCTTGACCCTTATGGACGACGGTATGTGTCTCACTCAAGCAAGGCTTTCGGTCGCCAAGGGCGACGCTTTCTAGTCGAGATGTTTCCAAGAACCTGAGGGGGATTGACTGATGCATCTTCAGGTTCTTGGGTTTGAATGAGAGGTTGCCTCCAAAATCAATAAGATCTATGGTAGGATAACTCAGATAACTCGGGTGATTTGTACGTGATCTGCAAAGGAGAGAAAGAATAAGAGATGGGGCGCAATCGCATTGGTGTCTAGCTCGATCTCCTCTGACAGGCTTTTCCCCAAAAACATCTGAAATAAAATAGTAAAAAGCACCTTGCCGAATTGAACCACTTACATAGCTCGAATGAGTCAATCAGTAGGAGAATAGGCACACCGTAAACACAGTTTGTCATCACCACAGTTGTCCACTATGTCCAGTGGCAGCCAGACCACTCCCTCGTTCCCTCAGGCTCAACAGGCTCAAATCAGTACGCAGAAGCTTCCAGCTTCTTCTCTTTCCTTAAGACTCGCCTTCTAGTCAGAGCTAACCAACGCGACCTGTATCACATCGCCTCGCTCAAGGAACAGTTCGAAGCTACTCTTCGCTCTTGGCTTGGTTCGCGATCCACGCTCCACGACTATCAAGTATATTCTGAGCTCGACACCAGGGACGCGTTGGCTGAGTCGATGGGACAAAGAAGTGGACCTGCTGGTCAAACTAGGCTATTATGGGCTCACCACTGCTCGAGGTGAACTGTTCTCGGGCAACTGTGCTGGAAGAATTCTGACTTATAAGAAAAGCTACTCAGACTCTTGGTGAAGAGTACACCGATATCTGGCAGCATTCCGCGTTCTACGACAGCGTTCCTCCGCCGTTACTGATTCGAGGAGCGCTCGTCTTACTCCCCACACTTCCGCCATATCTGCTAGCCCGACTGGACGAATTCTTCCCCAGCTACGGCCCTCCTACAGCATTACGGAGACTCTTGAAGAGGATGCCGATAGTCTTCGAGACAGTCGCCGAGCTCAACTTGGCCATCTTCTACATTTGGGGAACTTATTACGACGTTGTCAAACGCATTTTGGGCGTGAAGAAAGTTTGTCTCGGGGCTTCGGGTATTAGATCAATCTAAAGCCGGATCCGTAGATCGCAGGGACGCCTCCCAATCCTCATATCCGACCTCCTTCATATTCCTTGCTTGGAATTCTTCTGGGCGTCCGCATCCTCCACAAACTAATAACGTTATACAAGAAGACCGCAGGCTCCGAGTCGTCAGAGGACCTGAAAGGGAAACAGCGCGACTACAATATGGGCCAGGAGGCGTTCCTTGATGACCGACCCATCACCATGTTCCTGGGACCCGTAGATCCTGAGGGTGAGCCGGCTAAGCCTGCTGAAGAAGATGAGCGAACGATGCTCGACGTGGTATCGATTTCCGAAGCCGGAAGAGCTGCGCGGAATTGCACATTATGTCTGGAAGAGCGGACGGATAGCTGCGCGACTGAGTGCGGGCATCTTTTTTGTTGGAGCTGTATCGTGGGCTGGGGCCGGGAAAAGGTGCGTCTCTGTTCGGTGTAATGGACAACAAGATGATCTCATGGGATAACAACACAGGCCGAATGCCCGCTCTGTAGGCAGTCGCTCAACTTGACGCGGCTGCTTCCCATATACAATCTGTGATCTGATTTACATTACAAGGTCGATAGAAGCTCGGTGTCGCCTTGATCGCGCGGCTTGAGCCGGTGCCGTGACACTTTTTCATACATACAGACTGAGATCATTCGACCTGTTGTATCAGGGTGATGTTATCGCCCTTGAGGAGGATGCGACCTACAGGACATACGAGCCGATCAGTGTGGTCAGACAACTCTTTGAAGGACGGACGCACCGAGTTCTCGCCTGGGCTTTGCGTCCTTCACATACACCTCAGCAGCCTCGTCAATCACGACGTTCATGAACTCGTCAAATCCCTAGAAATAATAACGCGTCAGCATTGCTTCATTCGCACAGAACACACAGAACAATGGGGAGAAGGAGAGCTCTGATACACTGCACAGCGAATGAAGCTCGACTGGAGAACGCGTCCTAGATTCGGCGGCAGGCAAAAGAGTGGGACGGAACGCACGATGATTCGTCCCTCGATCCGCATCTCGATGTTGTCGTACAGCCAGATTGAAATTTTCGTTCGCTATAGGATAGTCCATTCAATGACTTGCGCATCAGAGAATAACTGGATACGAGCGTACTTGTTGCAGATTTTTGAAGATCACATTCTGAGTGGGCGGTCAGTATTCGTCTGCCTCGAGTCCAAGAACACGTACGATGGGCTGAACCATCACACGCTGCTGACGACCGGACATGTTGGAGATAAGGAAATGGAAAAGAAAGAGAGTTGACGGCGGTTGGAGAACTAAACGAAGTAGTGTTTAGCAGAGGTGTGAGGCACGTGCTTGCCTCCTCGACAACGGAAGCCAAAATAACTTTGGGCTTGACCGACGCGTCAACACCAACCACCATGGAGGTCTGCTATCCGATTTCTCCTCTTATTCAGCTATTCGTTGCTCATCTCATCTTAGGCCTTCGCGCCTTCCAATTCATCGACGGCGGCGGCCGTCACGTTCATAACATTCGTGCAGGATTTGAAGAAGAAGACGAAGACATGGGGGCCAATGATAGAGCTTTGCGAGAACGGGGAGAAGACATTGCATAGATTCCGGTATCAGTTTCCGGATGACTGGCTCTACAGCGACCAGCTGCGTGGCGAATGGAGTGCGTACAACGAGATCCTCAAGAGGAAGAACGATTCAATCCAGGAGCAACTCGGTGCGTCTCTTCTTGTTTTACGTCTCTCATCCCATTCAATCTTGCCGTCGGCCAGCCGGTCTCCAGCTCAAGATTGTCGCCGAGGACAAGATCATCGAGAACAAGATCAATGACATTATTCAGGAGTGGGAGCAGACCCGACCTGTACAAGGCAGCTTACGCGCCGACACGGCGCTCAACACCATCAATGTCTTCGAAGGCAAACTCAACCGAGTCCAGGGGGAGTACGACCTGGTCTGCCGAGCGAAAGAGGCGCTTGAGCTTGAACTAACGCGGCACACGCGTCTGGAGCCGGTGTTCGAGGAGCTCAAAGATCTCAAGGGCGTGTGGACCGCGCTTTCCGGAATTTGGAGCCAGATTGGAGAGCTGCGGGAGCTGTCATGGGCGACTGTCCAACCGAGGAAGCTGAGGCAGCAGATCGACGCGTTGCTGAACTCGACGAAGGATATGCCAACACGCATGAGACAATACGCGGCTTTCGAATACGTGCAGGATGTGTTGAAGGGGCTCCTCAAGTCTAATGCTCTCGTGTCGGAGCTGCAATCTGAGGCGATGAAGGACCGACACTGGAAACAGCTATTCAAGTCACTACGGCTCCCAGCCGCGATACCTCTACCACTGTAAGTCTTCAGTTCACCTTCTCGTACGAGAATAAACAAACGCCTGCTCTTAGCATGACACTTGGTCATGTATACGATCTCGACCTCAAGAAGAACGAGAGCTTGATTAGGGAAGTGATTGTCCAAGCTCAAGGAGAGGTCCGTTCCATTTCTTACTGCTCCCTCGCAGCCGCTGATTGACGCTACAGATGGCGCTCGAAGAATATATCAAGCAAGTCAAGGAGACTTGGACTAGCTACACACTCGACTTGGTCAACTATCAGACGAAATGCCGTCTCATCAGGTCCGCGTTTGCGTGTGATGGCCGATCCCATTCTAAATCATCATTGCAGAGGTTGGGATGATCTATTTGCGAAATGCAGCGAGAATCTGAACTCGTTAACGGCGATGAAATTATCACCGTACTACAAAGGTTAGTTCTTTTCGTACTTCGCTGTGATTGACACTCAAGCATCCTTTCAGTGTTCGAGGAAGAGGTATGAAACGACTTTGCGCGCTAGACTGGTGGATCTGATGTCCCTCATAGGCAGCATCCTGGGAAGAAAAGTTGAACAGGATTCATGTGCTGTTTGGTAGATTCACCGGTCTTCTTAATTTTCCCTCTCTGACGCGCGGTTTCAGATGTGTGGATTGATGTGCAGAGACAATGGGTTTACCTCGAGGGCATCTTTTCCGGCAGTGCCGACATCAAGCACCTGCTACCAGTCGAGAGCGGACGGTTCCAGAACATCAATGCTGAGTTCTTGACCGTGATGAAGAAGGTGTACAAGTCGCCCTTCGTACTTGATGTTCTGAACATCCAGGGAGTCCAGAAGAGCTTGGAGCGTCTGGCCGACCTGCTTAACAAGATTCAGAAAGCCCTTGGAGAGTACCTGGAACGCGAGCGATCGTCATTCCCGCGGTTCTACTTTGTCGGAGACGAGGATCTGCTTGAGATCATCGGAAACAGCAAGGATATTCTGCGAATCATGAAACACTTGAAGAAGATGTTTGCCGGAATTTCGACGGTCAGCTTGGACGACGATCTGACCCAAATGCAAGGGATGGCTTCAAGAGAGGGCGAGCAAGTGCCTTTTACGACACCCATTCTACTGTCGGAGTATCCCAAGATTAACGACTGGCTGGCGAGGATCGAGACGATGATGCGGCTTTCGCTCGCGAATCTGCTCTCGGAAGGTGTCTCCGAGTTGCAGGCGTTTTATGGAACCGGCTCGGCGCTTCCGATGGAGCAGTTCATGCAGTGGATGGAGAAATACCCTGCGCAGCTCGTGACGTTGGCAGTCCAGGTCGCGTGGACAGGCGCTGTTGAGGCTTCCCTGGATGCAGGCAAGATGCCCGAAGAACCGCTGCAAACCGTCACCCAGGCACTGGACCTGCTCGCCGATATCGTGCTCCAAGATCTCATCCCCGTCACTCGACGCAAATGCGAACACCTTATCACGGAACTCGTGCACCAGCGTGATGTCACAAGGACGCTCATCTCCGAGCATGTTCTTGACAGCAAGAGCTTTGTGTGGCTGTACCAGATGCGATTCTACCTCGACAAGGCTGTGGAAAACCCGCTGGACCGCCTGACGATCCGAGTGGCCGATGCCAGCTTCCCCTACGGCTGGGAATATCTCGGTGTACCTGACCGGCTTGTCCAAACGCCTCTGACGGACCGAGTGTATCTCACGCTGACACAAGCGCTGGATAATCAGCTTGGTGGTGCTCCCTTTGGACCTGCCGGAACCGGTAAGCAGCGCCTTATCTCATCTGTCCATCAAAGTCGCTGACGAATGGCTAGGTAAAACCGAATCGGTCAAAGCACTTGGCGTCCAACTCGGTCGCTTTGTGCTTGTCTTCTGTTGCGACGAAACATTCGATTTCCAGGCCATGGGCCGTATCTTTGTCGGTCTGTGTCAAGTCGGCGCCTGGGGCTGTTTCGACGAATTCAATCGGCTGGAGGAACGGATTCTCAGTGCTGTCTCGCAGCAGGTCCAGAGCATCCAGCAGGGTCTTGCGGCACTCGCAAAGAACCCAAACACTGAGATCGAGCTGGTCGGCAAGAGCTTGAAGATCAACAAGAACATCGGGATCTTCATCACTACCAACCCGAACTACGCTGGCCGATCGCAGCTTCCGCCGAATTTGACCAAGTTGTTCAGACCGTGAGTGGCGCATGAGCCGCTTTGTTCAAATGCTCAGTTCGCGAATAGAATGGCCATGACCCGTCCTGATCGAGAACTGATTGCGCAAGTGATGCTCTTCTCGCAAGGCTTCCGGACGGCCGAATCGCTTGCGTCCAAGATCGTGCCCTTCTTCAACCTCTGTGACGAACAGCTCTCACCGCAGCCGCATTACGACTTTGGTCTGCGTGCTCTGAAAGCCGTGTTAGCCAGTGCGGGTATCTTGAAGCGAGAGCGATTGCAGAGTGTCAGAGCCGATGCCGAAGACGAGGACAACCTCCAAGTGGGGCTTTCGGACTCGGTGTCTGAGCAGATCATTCTGATTCAGAGTGTGACGGAGACCATCGTGCCCAAGCTCGTAGCTGACGATGTCCCTCTCTTGACCAAGTACGCTGTTGTCAGATGCACGGGCTTAGCGCTGACGCATTTGTCCACAGCCTCCTCGCTGATGTCTTTCCTGGAGTGGACTATCTACCTGTGGACCTCGACAAGCTGCGGGAGCAGATCCTCAAAGTCTGCGCCGAACGGCGCCTGATCGACGGGGAGCGCTGGATCGCCAAGATTCTGCAGCTGTATCAGATCCAAAAGATCCAGCACGGTCTGATGATGGTCGGGCCGTCCGGGACCGGCAAGACGAATGCATGGCAAGTTCTGCTCGCGGCTCTGGAGCGACTGGACGGAATCGAGGGTGTGCCTTATGTGATTGACCCCAAGGCCATGGACAAGGAGGCGTTGTATGGCACGCTGGATCCGACCACCCGCGAGTGGAACGATGGCCTGTTCACTCATATCCTGCGGAAGATCGTGGATGATGTTCGCGGAGAGAGTGGGAAGAGGCACTGGATTATCTTTGACGGAGATGTGGATCCAGAGTGGGTGGAGAACCTGAATAGGTGCGTGGACTATCGTAGGGTCAATGGCCAGGAGACTGAAGAAAAGCTGCCAGTGTTCTGGATGATAACAAGCTGCTCACGCTGCCCAACGGCGAGCGTCTGAATCTTCCTCCCAACGTACGGATCATGTTCGAGGTGGAGCATCTCAAGTATGCGACACTGGCGACTGTCAGCCGATGCGGTATGATCTGGTTCAGTGACGATGTCGTCGAGCCATCCATGGTCTATCGGCACTACCTCCAGACGCTGGCAGCCGTTCCACTCGACGCGGACGACGATGATGCCGGGGATATTCTTATCCGCCGAGCTGATGCTGACACGACCGCGTCTGCCAACCTCGAAACGCAAAAACAGATTGCCTCGATTCTCGAGCGCTACTTCAGCGATGGCGAACTCGTCGACAGCGCCTTGCACTTTGCCGAATCGATTGAACACATTATGGACTTTACGGTCACCCGTGCGCTGAACACGCTGTTTTCGCTGCTGAACAAGACGGTGCGCAACGTGGTGGAGTACAACATCCAGCATCCCGACTTCCCGCTGTCTCCCGAGCGCGTCGAGCAGTATGCCACGAAGCGGCTGCTGGTGAGCATCATCTGGGCGTTCTCTGGGGATGCGAAACTGGACCTGCGGGCGGAGATGGGCGAATTTCTGCGCAAACAGACGAGCATTGACCTGCCGCCGCTCCACCAGGGCAGCTCGCTCATTGACTACGACGTTCAAGTCTCCAACGGCGAGTGGACCGCTTGGCAGTCGAAGGTCCCTGTCATCGAAATCGAGGCACACGCAGTCACTGCGTCGGATGTCGTCGTTCCCACGATGGACACCGTGCGACACGAGGAGGTGCTCTACTCCTGGTTGTCTGAGCACAAGCCACTCATGTTGTGCGGGCCGCCTGGATCGGGCAAGACGATGACCCTGTTCAGTGCGCTCCGGAAGATCCCGGACATGGAGGTCGCAGGCCTCAACTTCTCGAGTGCGACGACACCAGAGCTCATTCTCAAGACGTTTGAGCAGTACTGCGAGTACCGCAAGACGCCCAACGGCGTGATCCTGGCCCCGGTGCAGATCGGGCGGTGGCTAGTCGTGTTCTGTGACGAAATCAATCTACCCGCGATGGACAAGTACGGCACACAACGCGTCATCTCGTTCATCCGCCAGCTGGTCGAGTGCGGCGGATTCTGGCGCGCGTCGGATATGTCCTGGATCAAGCTTGAGCGGATCCAGTTCGTCGGGGCCTGCAATCCGCCGACGGATCCGGGCCGTGTTCCGCTAAGCCACCGATTCCTGCGCCACGCACCGCTGGTGATGGTGGACTACCCCGGCGAGGTGTCACTGAAGCAGATTTACGGGACATACAACCGTGCGCTGCTGAAGGTCGTGCCAAACCTGCGCGCATACGCGGAGCCGCTTACGGACGCGATGGTCGAGTTCTATCTGGCCTCGCAGAAGAGATTCACGACGGACATCCAGGCCCACTATGTGTACAGTCCCCGTGAGCTGACTCGCTGGGTGCGCGGAATCTACGAAGCCATCCGCCCGCTCGAGATCCTGTCTGTCGAGGGACTGGTGCGGGTTTGGGCCCACGAGGCGTTGCGGCTGTTCCAAGATCGGCTAGTCAGCGAGGAAGAGAAGACCTGGACGGATGAGAATATCGATTCGTCGGCGATGGTGCATTTCCCGACTATCAACCGGGACGAGGCTCTCACCCGCCCCATCCTGTTCTCGAACTGGACATCGAAGAACTACATCCCCGTCGACCGCGAGACCCTGCGGGAGTACACCAAGGCACGACTGCGGGTGTTCTACGAGGAGGAGCTGGACGTTCCGCTTGTGTTGTTCAATGACGTACTGGACCACGTTCTGAGGATTGATCGGGTGTTCAGGCAGGTGCAGGGTCACTTGCTGCTCATTGGTGTCTCCGGCAGTGGCAAAGTACGTGTTATCTCATCTAATCTAATCTTATCTTATCTTATGCCCCACAGACCACGCTCTCTCGCTTCGTGGCCTGGATGAATGGCCTGAGCATCTTCCAGATCAAGGTTTCAAACAAATACACCGGTGATGACTTTGACGAGGATCTGCGCACTGTGCTGCGACGCGCAGGGTGCAAGGGCGAGAAGATCTGCTTCATCATGGACGAATCGAACGTGCTTGACTCCGGCTTCCTGGAGCGCATGAACACTCTGCTTGCCAACGCCGAAGTTCCGGGTCTCTTCGAGGGCGACGAGCACGCGGCCCTAATGACGTCGTGCAAGGAGGGATCACAGCGGGATGGTCTAATGCTCGACTCGCACGAGGAACTGTACCGCTGGTTCACGCAGCAGGTCGCCAAGAATCTGCATGTCGTGTTTACTATGAATCCGCCGGAGAACGGCCTGGCGTCGAGGGCCGCGACGTCGCCTGCGCTGTTCAATCGATGTGTGCTGGATTGGTTCGGCGACTGGTCGGACCAGGCCTTCTACCAAGTTGGAATGGAGTTTACGAATACCCTGGATCTGGATCTACCGACGTATTCTCCGCCGGCGCATTTCCCGATTGCGTATCGCGGGCTGGATATGCCTCCATTGCACCGTCCGGCGGTGGTCAATGCGTTGGTCTATGTCCATCAATCGCTGCATGCGATCAACCAGCGCCTTAGTCGGCGTCAGGGACGACATAACTATGTCACACCTCGGCATTACCTCGACTTGTGAGTCTGTTTTGTCGTGTTGACGACTGCTTGCTGACCGCGTTACAAAAAAAGTATCAACCACTATGTACGGCTGTACACTGAGAAGCGAGATGAGCTTGAGGAGCAGCAGCGCCATCTCCACGTCGGCTTGGACAAGCTGCGCGATACTGTCACCCAGGTCGAGGAACTGCGCAAGAGTCTCGCCATCAAGCGATCGCAGCTGCTCGCTAAGGATGCCGAGGCCAACGAGAAGCTCAAGCGGATGGTGGCCGACCAGCAAGAGGCCGAGCAGAAGAAGACGGCCTCGATCAAGATCCAAGCCGACCTAGTCAAGCAGGACAAGGAGATTGAGCAACGGCGCGCGATTGCCACCGCCGATCTTGCAGATGCGGAACCCGCCGTCCGGGAGGCCCAGGATGCCGTCAGCAATATCAAAAAGCAGCATCTGCAGGAAGTCCGTGGGATGGCCAATCCCCCCGAGGCGGTCAAGTTGACGATGGAGTCTGTATGCACGATCCTGGGGCACCGGATCGACAACTGGCGCTCAATTCAGACTATCCTACGAGCGGACAACTTCATCAGCGGGATCTTGAGATTCGACACGACGACGCAGATGACGAAGCAGCTGCGCGACACGATGAAGAAGGATTTCCTCTCCCGGCCGTCGTTCAACTTCGAAACCGTGCAGCGGGCCAGCAAAGCTTGCGGGCCGCTCGTCAAGTGGGTGTTGGCGCAGGTGCGCTTCTCCGAGATCCTCGACCGCGTCGAGCCGCTGCGGAATGAGGTGGCGTCGTTGGAGGTCGAGGCGGAGACGACGAAGAAGCAAGCGGCGGCTATCATCGACATGATCGCTGAGCTGGAGGCCAAGATCGCGCGGTACAAGGACGAGTACGCGCTGCTCATCAGCGAGACGCAGGCCATCAAGGCGGAGATGGAGCGCGTCCAGGGCAAGGTCGACCGCAGCATGAAGCTGCTCGAGAGTCTGTCCTCTGAGCGCGGCCGGTGGGAGTCTGGTAGCCGCACGTTCGACACGGAGATGAGCACCATCGTTGGTGATGTGCTGCTGTCTGCTGCGTTCCTCGCGTATGGCGGCTTCTTCGACCAGCAGTACCGAGAAGGCATGTGGCAGGAGTGGTCCAACCATCTGACCGAGGCGAGCATCAAATTCAAGCCGGAGCTGTCGTTGACAGAGTACCTCTCGACCGCCGACGACCGGCTGAGCTGGCAGTCCAAATCGCTCCCGTCGGACAATCTGACGACAGAGAATGCGATTATGCTGAAACGGTTCAATCGGTACCCGCTGATCATCGATCCGACGGGCCAGGCGACGACGTTCCTGATGAACGAATACAAGGACCGCAAGATCACGGTCACGAGCTTCCTCGACGAAGCGTTCCTCAAGGTCCTCGAGAGCGCGCTCCGCTTCGGGAACCCGCTGCTGATCCAGGACGTCGAGCACCTGGACCCTATTCTCAACGCCGTGCTGAACAAGGAGATCCGCCGGACCGGAGGGCGTGTTCTGATCCGGCTCGGCAGCCAGGACATCGACTTTTCGCCGTCGTTCACGATGTTCTTGTCGACGCGCGATCCGTCGGTGGAGTTCTCGCCGGACATCTGCAGTCGGGTCACGTTTGTGAACTTCACGATGACCCGCAGCAGTCTGCAGAGCCAGAGCCTGGACCAGGTGCTCAAGGTCGAGCGGCCGGACACCGAGCGGAAGCGGACGGATTTGATGAAGATCCAGGGTGAGTTCAGGCTGCGGTTGAGGACGCTGGAGAAGCTGCTGCTGCAGGCGCTGAACGAAAGCTCGGGCAACATTTTGGACGACGACAAAGTGATTGACACGCTCGAGACGCTGAAGCGCGAGGCGGGCGAAATCACGCGCAAGGTCGAGGAGACGGATGTGATCATGAAGGAGGTCGAGCAGGTGACCGCCGAGTACCTCCCGCTCGCGCAGGCCTGCAGCTCGGTGTTCTTCGTCCTCGAGCAGCTGAACCTGGTGAACCACTTCTACCAGTTCTCGCTCCGGTTCTTTCTCGACATCTTCGAGCACGTGCTGCACCACAACCCGAACCTCAAGGGCGTCGCGGACTACGACCGGCGGCGCAACATCCTGCTGAACGACCTCTTCCTGCACGTGTACAAGCGCACGTCGCGCGCGCTGCTCTACCGCGATCAGGTCATGCTCGCGGTCCTGCTCGCACAGGTAAAGCTCCGCGGCGTCGAGGAGATCACCGACGAGCTCGAGTTCCTGCTCGAAAGCGGAGATGGCGTGGCTGCTGCGGCTGCGCCGGGTGCTGCGGCCGCGGACAAGGTCTCCTCGGTGCTGAATCAGGACCAGATGGATCGCATGGATTCGTTTGCGAGGCATTCGATATTCAAGCCTGTTCAGGCCCACTTTATGGAGCACGAGAGTGACTGGGTCCCCTTCCTCGGCTCGAATGCCCCCGAGACGATGGTACCTACGCCGTGGGAGGCTGGCTCACGTGAGTGGATAGTGTTCTTTACTTGATGAACGACGATGAACTGATGTCCTGCAGCGGCCGTCGAGGCGCTCCGATCAGCCATCATCATCAAGTGCTTCCGGCCGGACCGACTGCTGCAGGCCACGGCGCAATTCGTGCGGGTGGTGTTCGACACTGACATCGCGGGAGAGTCTCGGTACGACCTGTCGGAGATGGTCACGAACGAGGTGCCCGCCTCGACCCCGCTGGGGCTGGTCTCCGTCCCGGGCTACGACGCCAGCTACCGCGTGGAGAATCTTATTAAGAACACGGGCACGCGCTCGTCGTCTGTGGCGATGGGCTCGCCAGAAGGATTCAAGTTGGCGGACGACGCGATCGCTGCTGCCTCGAGGCAAGGGACATGGGTGCTGCTCAAGAACGTGCATCTCGCCTCGGCATGGCTGGGCCAGCTGGAGAAGAAGCTGCAGACGCTCAATCCACACCGCAATTTCCGGCTGTTCCTTACGATGGAGGCCAACCCGAGCTCGATCCCGGTCAACATCCTGCGGCAGTCGCGACTGATCATGAACGAGCCGCCGCCCGGGATCAAAGCGAACCTGCTCGACTCGCTGCGCAACATCTCCGCGTCGCGGATGTCGCAGGGCCCGGCAGAGAAGGTCCGGCTGTACTTCCTGTTGTCGTGGTTCCACGCGGTTGTGCAGGAGCGACTGCGGTATGCGCCGCTGGGGTGGAGCAAAGCGTACGATTTCAACGATTCGGACATGGCCTCGGCGTTCAACACCATCGACACGTGGCTGAACTCCGTGTCCAAAGGCCGTGCCAACATCGATCCCGTGACGATCCCCTGGGACGCGCTGCGGACGCTGGTGAAGCAGTCCGTGTACGGCGGTCGCGTGGACAGCGACTTCGACCAGCGCATCCTCGACGCGTTCGTGGACAAGCTCTTCACGCCCGCGGCGTACAACGTCGATTTCAGCCTGGTCCCCAGCGTCAACGGCAGCCAGAACAGCGTGCTCGGCGCACCGGACGGGACCAAGATCGAGCAGTTCCTGGCCTGGGTGCAGCAGCTGCCGGACCGAGAGCCCCCGAGCTGGCTGAGTCTGCCGCCTACCGCAGAGCGGGTCATCGCTGCCGCGCAAGGTGCGTTTTGCCTGAGCATAGTTGCCGTGCCGGGGACACTCGCTGACTGACCGTGTGCACAGGAAACGAGCTGCTCGGCAAGTTGCGCAAGATGCGGATGCTTTCGGATGACGACGACGACACCACTGTGGCGGCCTCTGCGTCCAAGGCGCAGGGATCGCAGCAGCCGGCCTGGATGCGGACGCTGTTCGACCGATGCCGGCAGTGGATCGAGATCCTTCCCGAGGTATGTAGCACATCGCCGTACTGTTTATGCGGTATATACACACAGTGCTGATCGCGATGCAGAAATTCAACATCCTGGTGGGCAGCGACAACGAGGACCCGCTAAACCGGCTGTTCATGCGCGAAGGGTCGATTGGGCAGAAGCTGCTGGCCCAGGTGCAGAAGGATCTGAAGGATGTGATCAGGGTCTGCCAGGGCGAACTGAAGCAGACGAACCACCTGCGCACGCTGATGAGCTCGCTGACCAAGGGTGTGTTGCGTCCCCCCGCATGCGATCTAACGTGCTCACCCATTGCCCACAGGCACGATACCGGACCACTGGCGCCGCTACAAGGTGCCCAAGTCGATGGCCGTGTCGGGCTGGATCGCCGATCTCGCGCGGCGGCTGGCGCAGCTCGACCACGTCGCTGGGCTCGACAACCTCAGCAACGTCGAGGTGTGGCTCGGCGGGCTGTTCTTCCCGGAGGCGTACGTCACGGCGACCCGCCAGGCGGTGGCGCACCGCAAGAAGTGGAGTCTGGAGACGCTGCATCTGAGGCTGGACATCGAGCGGGTGAATGATCCCCAGGCGTTTATCATCGATGGTGTGTGCTGCTGTGACCCTCAGTGGTATACTAGACTGACTCGCACAGGCCTCACGCTGGAAGGGGCCGCCTGGTCCGTCGACAAGCTCGTCCTGAACGACGGCGAGGCGGTGCGGCTCAATCCCTCACAACTGCGCTGGGTACAGGCCGACGAGTCGACCTCGAATTCGGTGAATCTGCCGGTCTACCTGAACAACGACCGTAGCGACGTGTTGTTCACGGTCGATCTGCCGTTTGACGGGACGGCCGGCGCGTTGGTGGCGATGCGCGCCGTGTGCCTAACTGCCGGGGGCTGAGTGGTCGGATAAGTGTGTGTGTGTGTGTATGTACTTGCTAATGCTAATGACGGATGGACTAGTTTCTAGTTTATGTAATTCACGAATGGCTCGATGCCCCATGCTGGACAGGCACATTGTCTGGTATTGTAGTGCTACTTGAGTCGTGTCTTGAGTAGCGGAGCGGGAGGTCTTGAAGAGCCGTGACCAACCACTGCAGGAGGAATGGAAGCTGGGGTCATCAAGCCATCAGAGATGGCGTCGGCTGGCGATCTAATCTAGGCTCACTTCCACCCTCTATAGCAGTTTCAGCCAAGTCTCCTCCAAGTATTCGGAGCCACCTACTACATACAGAGTTCTAATCTATACTTTTCATGCAAGACTCCCACCGGTTCTGCAGCATTCCAGTGTGTCTTGCAGCATTCCTATCCCTGCACCTTGGATTTCCATTCGTACACCTCGCCTTGAGCAAATCCTCCTCGATCGGCACTCGTGTCTCTTGATCCCTGCTTGTCCTGCTAGATTGCTCCCGGGCCCCCCTCGATCCAACAAGCCCTCTGAGATCGACGCCCTACTTGCTTAGTTATGACTCGTCGCCGGGTCTCGGGCGTGACCGAAAACGAACTTGCCTTTAGTCGATCCTTGCTCGCCGCCAAGTCAGAGTGCAGGGGTCAAGACGATCGATCAAGTGTCCATCTACGAGCAGGAGGGCAACACCTTGGAGTCGCTCCCAATCGACCACAATTTAACAGCTTTATTTATAGAGGCCGTCCCGACTCTCCCACCCGATGGTGAGTTACTAGGCCATTCCTTCGTCGCAGGTACTGTTTTCTCTCGCACAGCCTTGGTTTTTTACTCTGTCCAAGCGGACTTCGCACGCCCTACGCTCAGTTTCGGATACAGCAAGACAAAAACCAATTGAGAACGAGTACCAGCACAGGGTGCCGATCGAGGAAGCTATGTACAGTATTTAATCACAGGTGTGTTCGGGTAAAGATTTTATACGACGGATGGGATAGCTGGGATTGTTTGGAAAGCATACACAACAAGGAGAGCAGAATTGGACTGGATCGAGAAATGAAACGAGCACGGGACTGGGAGTAGCTCAGCGCTGGAGGGTCAGGCCCTCGATCAGAACTAGACGAGGCGGTTGCGGACGAAGAGGACGACGCGCTGGAAGACGCGCTTCGAATCCATCAACAGGGAAGCACAAACGCGAAATTAAATGCGGACCTTCGCGCCTTGTTTGACTCGGGAGGAACGCGAAGCCAGAGTGTTGGTGGACTGCTGAGGCTGCTGCTGCTGCACACCCTGGACGGACTGAGCCTGCTGGGGCGTGCTTGCCGTAGATAGAGGCATCTCAAACCGACGGCGTGAGATGACCCATGCATGAAAAAGGATCGAGCCTGGTGTTGATCAAATGATGATCTTATCATCTGCCAGATGGATGTCGTGATACACATCTTATGACTCCATCACGTGTCATCTAGAGTCATGTCGACTCGTCCTAAATAGACACAAATAGCCCCCTGTATTGTATATAAGGAGGGCTCTATTACCCTATAATCCAAGTCTCTTGACTACTCCCGCATAGTGCCCACACTAAGCTCTCACTCACACAGGTGAGCTGCTAGACGCTCTCCCCAGTGCTCAACAGGTTATGGGCCCCGAGAGCTATGTCTGCGCCTCAATGGCCGCGACATTCATTGTATGCGCCGTCACTGGCTGCAACAATGAGCAGCGTCTTTAGCCTATCTGTATTCACTTCAGCTGCTGCACAGCGCTGGTGAAACCATGCCGGATCGCGATTACATCGCTTGATCCAGATGCATCGATCTCTCAAGGAGATTATGATCTATGAGAATCTGATCATCTTGATCTTTGATTTTATCTATCAGATTAGATTGATGCTGATTAACTCACACAGATCAATATGTCGTCCAACTCCAACAACATCTTCAATGCTGTCTCCATCTTTGATGGAAAGCACTGGCTTGTCTGGTCCGGAACTATGGAGTCCTATCTGGAGCATCAGGGGATCTCATACGTGCTGACCGAGACCGCGCCAACCGAAGTCAAGGCTACGGATGGCTCTGTGACCAACGCATCGGAGATCAAGCAATGGAAGCATGATGATCTCAGGGCAAAGGGCAGCATTAAGTTGCGCCTGACTGAGGGAGTCATTGCCAACATTCCAACCGCCAACATAGTGTCAGCTGCCAAGATCTGGGAGCACCTGAAGACCCAATACGGTGGTGCTCAGTGCGCCGACCTGTACGCGTACTTCCAAACCGCGTTGAACGCCAAGTACAACGTGGGGTTGCACCCGGATCCACAGCTGCTGGTGATCACTACGGCGTTCGCTCGCCTGGAGAATGAGTCTTTGAGCATCCCTGAGTTCCTCAGAGCGATGATCATTCTCAACATAGCCCGGATTCCCTCCGTCACAGAGACTGTTCTCCAGACCTATGAAAAGGACGAGATCAAAGTCTCGGCGGTTCGTGACGCTCTCTTGACGCATTTCGCTCAGAAGCAGTCTCAAAGCCAGAATCATGTGGCCAAGTTCAATACCAAGCGCAAGCGCGATGATCCTTCGTTCACCAATCAGCAACAGGGCTCTGGCTCTGCACCCGATAAGGGTGATAAGGCTGATGGAAAGAAGAAGAACCGTCGAGGCAAGCGCAGTGGGAAGAACAAGGACAACAAGGGCAAGGGCAAGGCTGATCACAGTCATGTCCATGGAGTCTCCGAGATCACTGGCTCCCTCACTATTGGTTCGATCGCCTCGCTCACTCCGTCTATCCCTGCGCCGACTATCTCGCATGTCACGCACATCTCTCGCGATGGACCCAAAATCCGCGCGGTTCAAGAGAAGTCTCCCGTTAACAACAATGGGATTATTGACACCGATTTTCAGAAGCCTACTCGTAAGGTCTTCGAGCTGGCCAAAAAGATGGATGTGACGGTGACCGCAGAACGCTTCCGGACTCTCGACAAGATCGTCAATGAGAAAGGAATGCTCCGCGAGGACGCAATTATGCGTTCTCCATCTCCGGTTGCTTCCGGCTCGAATCACACGCTGGATGGTGGTCCTCCTGCCAAACGCAGTCGTATCGAGGAGATCCCCGACGTCGAGATGGCCACCGGCCAACAAAACGATCTTGATCTTCTGTTTGGAGATAGCGAGTTCGCCCAGGCTGAACCGGTCAATTGGGATGAAGTCGTCGACTTCAACACCCTTCTGGAGGAGATGGACGCTCCTTCCGCCGAAAGGCAAGTACCCTGCCTTCTTGGGCACATGCACAATTCTGATTGTTGCTCACAGCCAGAGCGCGTAATCACCGCCGCCCCGGGTTCTGTACTTAATTCGTTGATGATTCGTTCGCATGATTTTTGTACCAATCTATTCTGTGTGCACTCCGATTTTGCTGCCTGCTCTAAGTGTAAGGGGAAACATCATCATCATGAATTAGGGCCTCTATGGCTTCTTGATTCAGGTGCATCTCTCCATGTGACATCGGAGATTAGTGATCTGGTCGGATATGAGAAGCTCTCAGATCCTATTGTTGCTCAGACCGCTGATAAGAACACACGTGTTGCCCTTATTGGTCGAGGAACAGCCTTCATCGATCATTACGTCACAAGGCATGGAGAAAAGACAATGGTGACTTCCCAGATATATCCAGTGTACCTAGTGCCAGGATTACATGGTCGTCTCATGTCTTTGGGCTCCTTACTCAAAGGAGGATCTCGCGTTCGTGGAGACGAATCGCGGATCAGCTTACATCGAGGGAAGTCCCCACTCTCGATCATGGAGTTTAGAACTCTAGGGAAGGACATTGCATTGTACTTCCTGATGTCAAAGCCTAGTACGGCTGAGACAGTGCGATCCATGTCCACTGTTTACAAGGTGGATTATGAGATCATGCACCGGCGATTTGCACATCCGTCGAAAGACGTTTTACGTCAGGCAAAGAAGAATACCAAGGGCTTTCCAGAAGACCTAGTATTTCCCGAGGAAACCCGACCGTGTAAAGGATGCGCGCAAGGGAAAATGCACCAACGTGCCTTCCCGCCTTCCGAAAAACGAGCGGAGAATCCGTTTGATTTGATCCACTCGGATCTCAAACAATTTCCCACGGTGTCTTATCACAAGTACCGCTACTTCATGAGCTTCTTCGACGAAGCACTCTCCTATGGCTGGACAGTATGCCTTGCGCAGAAATCCGATGCCAAGCAGGCTATGCGCAATTTCATTGCGATGGTCAAGAACCAGTTCAATGTCACCATCAAAAAGTGGCATATTGACAATGGGGGAGAATTCATGGGGATGGGAATGGAAGAATTTCTCGCGGAACAAGGAATTCTAGTGGAGAAGGGTGCTCCATATGCTCACCAGCAGAATGGGCATGCTGAGCGCTTCAACCGTACGATCATGGATAAGGCAGAAGCCATGCGCTTCACTGCCTGTCTTCCTAATTCTTATTGGGAATTCGCTATTAAACATGCGACACGGATCTACAATTTGACACCTATCAGGCGTCTAAAATGGAAAACTCCATTTGAAGCTCTTCACAAGGAAAAACCGGATGTTTCCGAACTCCGAGTCTTTGGTTGCGCTGCATATGTCTTTATCCCTGATGAGAAGCGCGCCAACAAGTTATCGCCCAAATCGGAGCTGATGACCTACTTGGGCATTCCTGATGGTGTGAAAGGATTTTTGTTCATGCGCACAAACAATTCCACGTTCGTCGCCACCAAGGCATTGTTCGACGAGGAGTTGTTCCCCCGCTGTCCTGACAGCAATCGACCACCCCACGTTCCTGTTGGAGAGGAATTTCCAGAACGTGATGACCCAGTGAATCCACAAGATCCACCACAGGTAGACGGAGAAGATTGGCTATATGGAGATAATCCTTTTCCATTTCCCATGCCATCTGATCCGGCTCCACCACCTCCCGTACAGGGAAATGATGATGGTGACGACGGTCATAATCGTCAGGACCCACCGCCAGAGCGTCGGGATGAACCTCAGAGGACTCGTAGAAGTAGAATTCCACGACCAAGTCGGGAAGCTTCACCAGCTCCTGAGCCTCGAAGGTCTTCACGCCAGCGGAATGTGCCTACACGTCCAGGAAACGTCTATGGGGAAAAGCGTACCCCTACGGATATAGTCCGTGACATTCAGAACAGCAGAGGATGGAAGCGGTATGTTGGTGAAGATAAGGGTAGCTCCCAATCTCAACCATCAACCGGTGCTGATGCAGGGGTTCCCGGCCCTAGCTCGCAACCAGATTCCTCAAACGCGGGTGCTTCTGATGATCTAGACGAGGATGCACGCATGGAGAAGCTATGCCGGGAAGGGGGAGTAGAGCTCATCACGGCGCTGCTGTCAAAAGCGGTTCCAAATGAGAACCTACCTGATACGTCCAAAATTCGCGATTGGACGTTCCGCGATATCAGGCGGTTGCCTTCTGAACAACAGAAAGGTTGGATTGATGCTTGCCGCGACGAGTTAGAGGCACTTCGTCAGCGCAAGGTCTATTCCCTTGTGGACCGCCCGAAAGGACGGAAGGTTATCAGATGTCGCTGGGTCTTTGACCAAAAATCTGATGGCCGAAAACGTGCCCGCCTAGTTGCCAAGGGTTTCAGTCAAGTCGAAGGTGTTGACTATGACGAGATATTCTCTCCTGTTGTTAGGTATGAGACGTTCCGGTTGGTCATGGCGCTTGCAGCGCTCAATGATTGGCATTGGTCTGGACTCGATGTCAGTAAGGCTTTTCTCTACGGAGAGCTTGACGAAGAGGTCTACATGGAACAACCCGAAGGCTTTGTGGCGAGAGGCCAAGAGCGCAAAGTCATGCGCTTGCACAAGGCAATCTATGGACTCAAACAAGCTGCTTTAGCATGGTGGAAAGCGCTGACCAAGTCCACGAAAGCCATGGGCTGGATCCGACTAACATCGGATGCCGGCGTGTTCTTCTACAAGGACTCTGATGGCAGCATAGCCGTCATAATAGTCTATGTGGATGATGCTCTGTTCTTCTCCAAGAACAAGAAGCTCCTCGCCTTTCTCAAGGCTGAGTTCAACAAGCGATGGGAATGCCGCAATTCTGAAGATACTCCAGAGTTCTTGCGCGTGCGCCTCAGTAGAGTAGGATCTTCGATCAAGATTGATCAGATTCCTTATCTCGACAAGGTGCTAGAACGCTTTGGGATGCAGAACGCCAAGTTCGCAGCGACCCCTCTACCGGCTGGATATGTTCCAATGCCAAATGAGGATGAAGTCGATCCAGAGCTCAGGAAGAAATTCCAATCAGTCATTGGATCTCTTCTCTTCATCATGCTAGGCACACGTCCTGACATTGCATTTGCTGTGACCAAATTGTCACAATTTGCTGCCAATCCGTCCCAAGACCACCTCCATAAAGCGCTGTATATCTGTCGCTATTTGGCTGGTACTAGGAATTATTCGCTCATTTTCAATGGTGCGACGGATAGAGGGCTCATTGCATTTAGCGATTCAGACTGGGCTGCTGATCCGATCAAGAGGAGGTCTACCACTGGTTTCTTCACGAAATTGGCAGATGGGATTATTTGCTGGCAGTCTAGACTTCAGCGCACAGTCGCGCAGTCTTCGACCGAAGCAGAGTACATGGCGATTTCAGATTGTAGTCGCCAGGTGATGTGGCTGAAGAGCGTCCTTTCGGAACTCCAGTTCAAACTCACCATCCCAGTACCCATTTGCGGTGACAATCAGGGTGCACTCTTCAGTGGCAGCAATGCCTACCGAGACCGCAGGATGAAACACATAGACATCCGCTATCACTACATTCGTGAGCGAGTCGAGGAAGAAGAGGTTGAACTGTTCTTTATTCCGGGCAGTGAGAATCCTGCAGATATGTTCACCAAGAACCTAGGACGCGTCAAGTTCGAGAAGTTCAGGTCCCAACTAGGACTTGAGTTCAACTCGTCCTGAAGGAATGGCCGATGAAGATTTCGCTTTCAAACACTATCCTGTGGTTTTCAGCGTGGGGGAGTGTTGATCAAATGATGATCTTATCATCTGCCAGATGGATGTCGTGATACACATCTTATGACTCCATCACGTGTCATCTAGAGTCATGTCGACTCGTCCTAAATAGACACAAATAGCCCCCTGTATTGTATATAAGGAGGGCTCTATTACCCTATAATCCAAGTCTCTTGACTACTCCCGCATAGTGCCCACACTAAGCTCTCACTCACACAGGTGAGCTGCTAGACGCTCTCCCCAGTGCTCAACACCTGGTTACCTGGAGAGCAGTCGGGACTGCGAGGGCGGAGGGAAGCTCATGCAAATCAAGATGATTCCGATTGATGGTGAAGAAGGCCACCGTAGGATGGGCCTGGTGAATCACAAACGAAAATGAAGGGTATGAAGACGTCGCGGACATGTCTAGCAGATGGAGGAGGGAGGAAAGAGAAGGGAGAGAGAGAAGATTCTAGAGAAAACATGCTTTTATGTCTGGTTGAGGCTGCCGGCATCAAGTGCAGAATAGGAAACTGACTGGCCAGATGCGTCTCTCCTCCTTCCTTCTGTTCTGACGGGAACAAAATGAGGCCATCCCGCAGTTTCAAAAGACGGACGGCAGCGGGAGATACTGCGAGAAAAGACGCCGTCGCGTATGACTTATCTCACCGCCAAACCGTGTGCATGAAATTGGACTTGCATTCGCTTGCTTGGTCCCATGGAACGACTCGTCGCACAGAAAAGCTCTCTTGCATCGCCGCTCCGTTCCTTGATACGCAAATGTGTTGAAATGTGTCTCTGGAATTCTTCAGGCTGGTTCACGAACTTGCTCCCGGATGGATCGACTGGAATACACCCTGCCCCTGGAGCGCGCGCCGTCTGGATCTTCTGACGTGCATCGCATGCGGATCAGACATATCCACAGTCTACCCTTTCTGAGCTTACACCACCTACGCAGTGCTTTGCTCTCGTCCCACCAGTTGCGCGCTGGCCAGCGCTCAGCTTGTGACTGTGAGTGACGCGTAACACCATCAGATGCTTGCTTGCTAACTTGAACAGGCTTGCGATGCAGAAGCCTCCAATTGCACAGAATAGACCTGTTTGCGAGATCCGTAGACAAAATTCTATGGAACTTGGACTTCTCGAGTGCCCCAGTTCACGATCGAACCAGCGCTTGCCGTCTGCTTCCAGAACCAAGTTACAACGAAGACATCGCCCAGGGCCGGCCAGAGCTTGCACGCAGTCTCGACAGCAAGAGTACCACCAGCACATTCCAAGTCAAAGAAGCCACCAAATTGTCAACCAAGAGAACTGAGTACCACGAAGCCCTGTTGCCTGAATTCAGCAAATGGTAGTCCAATGTTCGACCAAGTCCTCCAGCACAACGGCACACAGAACAATAAGACAAGGTGAAAAACCGGACTCCTCGTCTTCACGTTTGAAACGCAATGAGGCGACGACTGGTGGAAAGCGCTCAATAAACTGAATGATATGCAGGCCAAGCTCGGTGAACCTTGAAACGACGGCTATGACCCCTCATAAAACTCCTCGCACTTCAATCTCTCACCGTCGGACCTTTTGAAAAAATGTGAAAGGCTTTATTGACATTGGATTGACCCCAGACACATGTGGCTCTCCCCATCCCTCGTCCCTGCCCTGAAAATCCACGCTCGAAAGCCAGATGACGATCAAAATTCAGTATTTCTGAGATCCGTCTCTTCTACGGTTGGTGTGTTGTTTCTGAAAGTTGTGTGGATAAGAGGGTGGAGCGCCGATGTGAGAGGAGAGCGTGAAACAATTCTCGATCAAAAGCCTCAACAGAATTTCAAATTCCGAACGGGATCGCTCATGTCTTTTTCCCAATTCGCTCTTGCCCTCTCGACCTCTTATCCTCACTCCTACTTCAATATCACGACGATCGAATCGCTCACGATGAGTACCGACTACATCACTGCTGGGAGACAGCCAGCTTCTCCTTGCATCATCTCCTCTCATTGCAACGCCGAGTAGAAATTCCGACGTCCGAGTCCGAACGCTTCTCGGCACCCACGCTGCGAGATGCTCACTTTTCATGCTCGATGCAACACCCATATCGGATTTCGTGAGAGTCGGGATCCGGTAATTATTGGTATGTAGCATCCCCTCCAACGGGCTAGCTGTCGACTTCCACACGAGCATCGAACAGCCACATCCTTTTCCTGCTCCGCTTCCTGGCAATCATCGTCAGCCGGGGGAGACGCAGGACGTTGTCAACAAAGGACCCACCATAAGTCGACACCGATGGATATCCTCGACATCAAATCTCGAACCAGGCGTGCATCTATCCCCAGACGATATGGCTCCTCCAAGCACAGCGACCGCCGCCATTTTATCGCCTTGCGGTACTCTCTGAGCCGTGCATTCCTGTAGCGCGCCGTCGGGCTCCCTCACCCCCGATAGGACGTCCGACCAGCAACCGGTTCGCGAGCACAGTCGCATCTTCGATCGCGAGGCTAGTGCCTTGCCCGCGCCGCATTACCGATGAGCGCGACATTGCGGCCCCGGATCTCTTCGTTCCTCCATACTCGCTGCCGCACTGGGGTGCGACTCATCCGGTCGGGCGACGCAAACAAGGTTACCGAACCGCCCGACCACCGGATTGAATATGCCCGAGTACTTCTCCAGGACGCAGACCATCGACGCGCTCAACTAATTGCTCAGCAGGCTGGCTCATGCGAACGGCGAATCGGGACTGCCGATCTCGACTGCATTGCAGGGCAATGACAAATCCGGCAGCATGTGGACGACCAGTAAGTCCCAGCGCAATCGTGCGCCAGCGATTAGAGCGACGGACAAATTGCCATCATCGAGCCAGGTCCATTTCTGGCTTCGATGTCTGATATGTGGACTATTGCAGGGATGGGAGTGCAGACTCCGCAAAAGCCAGACATGTGCACGAAATCGAGCAACCACCTCGTTGCGCAGCAGCCGGGTTCCGCTCATTCAAAATGAGTTTCCGGACAGGGGAGAAGCCCCATCAGTCCCGACGTGTTGCCTTGCTTGTCAAGGCTCTCTCCACACCCTATATTCACACACACAAATCAGATGCGCCTGATCCGTGGTGTGATCCGATCTTGAAGGTGTCGTATCTCAAGTACGCAATTACGATGTCTACCACGAGCCTCGTTCCCTCGTTACCTCCTCCAAGCTCAATCGATTTTATGCCCTCCACACTAGACAGACGTTGTCAAAAACACCAGGTGGACGGGCCTAAGTAAGAACAAAGGGTTGTAAGGCCGATATTCGGTCTGTACATTTCAGGTGAGATTGGACTGAGTCTAACCTTCATTCTCTTGCCGTCTCCTTCATCTTCTCCCACCACCTTCTCGTATCATTGTTCAAGCGCTCTAACCTGTCATCCTCTGCAAGCAGGGCCATATCGTGAGATTGCCTGAATGTTTTCTCATCGAAGTCGCGCAACAGTCGTATCGTGTCTCTTCCTGAGCTTCGAGACAATGCAACATATACGTTAAACAGGCTGAGCCCACCCGTTGGCGGCGTTGCGATGTCGACGATCACATGTTTCAGTGTCTGGCCCTGGGACCGGTAGTCGGTGAACGCGTACGCGCCTGTCAATGGAAACTGCCGGCGCCGGATCGTTCTCTTCACTGTCGTGTTGTCATCCATCAGCATTTTGATTTGGTATGTCGTTTTCGCCGGCTCTATGGGAAGTATTCCGGTTGACAATCCGGACAGTGCGCCAGCTTTCGTACGCTCAAATCGCACGAGGACGAAAGGTGGTAATTTCTTCAGGTAAACCACGGCCTCGTCACCAATGGTTGGCTCATCAGGGTCCAAGATGATTCTCTCGATAGTTCCGCGGGCGCCGTTAGTGATATCGGGATCAGTCTCCACATTTTTTGTCACCATGATTGACATGCCAATGGCCAGCTCGATGGTGCTGGGTAACTCTTTCTCCATGCCTCCCCGCACATTGCTTAAGTGCGTCGCCAGTGCGTACCGCTCCGCAAGTGATAATGGCCCTCCACGATATGTGTCCTCCGCCGGACACACAAACAACTGCTTCAAGTCATTCCGACACATCTTGCGCGCTGCTTGTGCATTCCACGGGACGCGCACACCATGTCTCGGTGTTACCTATAACATCTGTGAGTTTGAATGCATGTTTGCCAGTATAGGCTTACCAGCGTCGCGTTTTGCCATGGATCGCTGTCGAATTTGTCTTTATCCGTTAACAACAAGGTACGCAGCATGGTTATGTGCTGCTCCTGAACATTACCCACCCGTAAGTGCCTCAGGAAATCTCGCCAAACCTCATCCGTAACGCGCATCTGCTGCTTCAAGAGAACGACTGTCGTGTATTCCTCGTAAATGACCCGGCCGACTTTCATATCCACGTTGTCTCTTGCTTCGTCAGAAGGATGATACAGAGCCTGCGACGGGGAGCTGGCTACGGGTGGGAATTGATGAAAATCTCCACAGATGATGACATTGACACCGCCAAAGGATTTGTCAGAAGACGATGCTTTGCCGATTCCAATGTTCCGGGACAGACGGGAGAGGAATTGTTTGCTAATCATGGAGATCTCGTCGATGATGAGGAACGAACGATCCTTCCAAAAGTCTTGCAACTTCGCTTTGTTTGCCGCGCTCATCTTGTCTCCTCTTAGGCCCATTGCACCAATCGTATGCGTTGTCTTCCCGTCAATGAGCGACGCGGCCACACCGGTGTAAGCCGCTTTAACGAGCCAATGCTGGACAGCCCGGTCTCGGAAGGCTCTGGTGATCTTTGTGATCACTTTCGATTTCCCCGTTCCACCCTTGCCATGGATCAACATGCGTAAAGGGGGGACCTCCCGGCCCTCGAGCGTGCGCTCGAGGACCCAGACGACGATATCGTAAGCGCGTTGCTGATCCGGTTGCAGAACAATATCTTCTTCGTTACCGCGATCGACTTCGTCTTCTTCTGGCGTTCCGTCGCAAGTTCTAGCGCCGCTGGCAGCAACCATTTCCTCCGTGATTCTTTCAACCCCGGGTTCCATCGTTGTTTCGTGCTCTCCGTCTGAATCCTGCTCATCGTCTCCTGTTGAGGTTGGTAACATTCCATTCTGTTGGCGTGCCAATTCGTCTAATTGCCTTCTTCACTGGATCAATTTGACGAAGTCATCGCCGGTTGCTTGAGCGACATTCGGGCGCGTATTCTCGATAACCCAACCATCATCAGAGCACTCGAAAATTTTCACCAGGCGGCCTATCTCGATGGCCATGTTGCCATGGTCTCTCTCGCGTCGTGAGAATTGCTCTGCCATCAGGCTCGCGATGCTTGCCTCCGTGATTTTGGCCGCTACGGTGCTGTCCTCATCGATGGTATTCTCTTCTCCATAAGCCCCAAATTCACGGTACTCATCTCCTCCCAGTTCATCGTCCTTGCTCGCCATGGCTGCGGACTGGCATGCGTGATAAAACTGGATGTTCGCTAGGATGTCTCGCACGGGCGCAGGGCCGTTATCGACGAATTGTTCAAATGTGTCTTCCCACGACTGGTTCGGCTCCTTCAAATCGTTGGCAAGAGTGCGCCATGGTTTAAGTAACAGAAGCATGGACGATCGATAAAAGTCGGATTCATCGTCGTCATCCCGTCGCGGGAACCATTGGCCGATGAAATTCGGCAATGTGTTATGTCCAGACCCACAAACGATCCTTTGTTTTTGATCGTGTGCGGGGTGCGCGGATCTGTAACGCACACGGAGATTGGATGGTCGACCGCGTGTGCCACTTGGCCGTGGCTGTCGGTCCTTCTGCGACATGGCCACTTTGTATGTGTCTACGAAATAATCCAACACGCTGTATGTGTCCAATTCATGCCCTCTTTCAGCATAATCAGTAAGCTGATTCTTGACGAACAGATGTCCAGTCGAGTCGGCTCTTAGCGTAACATTGACACATTCGTCCGACTAAGAGACATCGAATTCGTTATTCAATCTCGAGTATCGCTGGACTCACATTGACCAATTCATCCGCATCTTCTTGTCGTTTGGTGCACTCTGATTCACTTTGAGAACGGTTAGCGCTCGTCGGTCTGCCGATTTCGTTCACGAACAGGTCAGATTGACGGCAGATGAGGGATGTAATTACGCACCGTTTCGGTCCTCGGATGCCGGGAAACTGCCTGCATAATGCGGAGGCAAATGTGGACCAATAAATGGGCACGTAGTTGTGTGATTTATAGTTATCACCCCAGCCCATGAGGTAGGAAATGACCATGGGCGCGCCCAGCTCTTGTTCGCGGTTAATCGAATGGACGAGGCGGAAAATCAACAGACGCTGTTTGTCGCGGAGGTCCCGAACCTGTTCCTCAGGGACGGTCTGTTTTGCTGCGTGATAGGCGTAGCCCTTTGCAAGAATCGCGGACGTATTGTGCTGGCGGATTTGCGGTTTCGTTGCGTATCCGACGATGTAGAGCGTGATCTTTTTGGTATCCTCCCCATGAGTTAGCAATTTGCAGTCGTTGTTACATCGCATCTGAACGAGCAGCGCGGGATTCCAACCGTTCATATACTTGTAGAGTCGTTTAGGTCCCCAGTCACCGTCATTGGTTATGAAGTCCTCGTCGGAGCAAGTAAATGGCGCACGGCGTTTGCAACGCAAACGTCCACTCTTGGTGACAACGAGACATCGACGGATATCGCAGGTGTGAACTTGCTCCGTTCGCGCTAGACGTCGTTCGAAGTCCTCTAATTGTTGAGTGTAGTTTTCCGTCTCGGGGTCGGGAGGCCGACTGTACGCAATCTCTTTCTCGACAGGGATCTCTCTGACACTGTCTGCTGACTCCAATCCGGGACATATGTGCGCATGTTTGCCTGAATGTAGGCAATGATCTTAGCTCGAAATTCCGGTCGTTGCAGCAAGTCGAGCATCTCGTCCCCATTGGGGGCGTAACGCAATGCGGCAATTAGATGAAAGTGAAGAGCCGCCCGGTTTTGCGCCTCGACCATTCCAAAATAGGCGGCCACTTCCCCAAGAACACCCATCTCGCTTTGAACCCGAGATCCTGAGACGCGAATGCCAAACAAGGTCTCCAAAATGGTGCGTATCATGAAATGGAAGAATTTGGCGGCAGCATATGGATCTGCAGTGATGTTGCGGCCCCGTTGGTCTGCATCAGGCCCGGCCGATGCTAAGAAATTGTCCAAATCAATTCGTTCCCCAGCGAAGACTTGTGCGATAGGATCATGTATGTCGGATGGATTGATCGTGATCCACAGATTCCACGGGCCCGTGTACAAGATCGTGGACCACAGCTGACTGCGTAGGACGGTCCGTGACTCGTTTGAACCCTGCACGCGGCCAACAGCAGAATGCACGTGTTGTCGCAATAGGCGCACAGCCGGATCTGATATCGGTTGTTTACGGGACTCCTCTTCCTTGGCTTTCTCTAGAGCTTGTTGGGTGATTGTGGACAGGATGCGAGCGTCCTTCTCAAAGTCCTTGCGGCGCATCTGCACACATGCTGAACTGAGCGCCTGTCGACGCTGCGATATGCCGAACGCTACAAAGGGAAAAGTTTCGTGACGCCGGAACCTCCGGTCGAAATACTGGAGCGCCCATCGAGTGTGTTCGGTGAAAGATACGTCGCTCGCCCGGTCTGCCTCAATGCCACCGACCCCAAAGGGGAACAAGCACGGGAAAGCACGTTCGAAGAAATTAGGACGATCGGTGATGGCTGTCTCTTCACTAGTTGATATTGGTCGTCCAAAATCGCTGACAGGTCGTGTGCCGTGCCTAACGGCATATCCACCCTCCGAGCCAGTATTCCATAAGTTGGCAAGTCCCCACTGCATCATTTCATTCGTACTCATCGATGACAAGTCGGTATCAATCATGCCAGTGACCGTGAGAGGAATAACGTCGGGACCTATTGCTATCAAGATGGTGTTTGACGGTGCGTGTGGCTGAACTTACGTCCATCTTGATTCTGACCATCGGCCACGTCTGCATCACTGTCTGAACAAGCATCATCGAATGTTTCTGCCTCATCGTTGTTGGTTGTACAGTCTATCATAGATGGTCAGTCTTGGTCCTCGATCCGTAGGAAACTAACTGACCATCTGCTATTCCATCCGCTGAGTCATCGACATGCTGTTCTCGGACATATCCTTTGCTTTCACGTTGAACGGCAGCGACATCGTCCGACTGTCGCACGAGACACGTTATTTCCGGAGGAACATCGTCTTCCGGTAATGCCGCCATGCGTGCTAGATCGATCGTCACGCCACCATAGTACTTCTGGTTGTTCTCCTTCAACCAGCATAGGGCGTCGAAAACTACGCGCCGGCGGACTCGGAATGTTGAATGGAGCCATTTTGGAGGTAACCGACCAACTCCGATGTACGTGACGGATATAACTGACGCAAGGACAGCGGGTGGACGGGGCATCAAATCGCCCACCAACATGGATGAAATTCCCTCAGCGTCCAGCTCATACGAGCTCACTGTTCCACGCATCCCGCGTTGCAGTTTTGTTGCATCGCGGCCACCGACCCGCGGATGGAGTTTGAAGACGAAGACTCGTGGATAAACCAATGCGACCAAGAGTTGCTCGGGAAAGGTCAAAACTGATAATTGCCAGGGAATGGGGCCTATCCACATGTTGTTCGCCAAGGAATACTTGGGAGGGCGTTCGCCGGGTTGCGCCAGACTGGCCGAGCATTGCGTGCATATACGAACGTGGACTTCGTTTCCGATTTGGACAACGCCCGCCGGTTCTAAAAGCTTGCCATCGAATAGTGGCGGGCACAAGCCTGTGGGAGTTGGGCAGGGAGGATAGACGTCGAGGTGTCTCGTCTTCATCCGATGCTGAACCGACATCGACTTCTCGCGCACAGACTCCGCAAACCATCATGGCCAACGCGGAATTTGAAGTCGCTTGATAGAAGTCGCGATATATCTGGTGTCTTTGCACCTTGGTTGGCAGCATCATGAACTTGGCGAGGTCCCTGCTGCTCGCCAAGAACGCTTCACGCGAAACGATGGGTGCACGCGGGCGGCTAACGTACGGTCGAGGTGTATTGGTGCGTGCTAACTTTGGCCGACTTGATCGTTGCTCATCTTCATATTCTCGGCGTTTGCACTTGAGGTCGACCTGCTGGAACGAGCGGTCTTGCGCAGCAAATTCGAGCGTTTGTTGTAACTCGTCTGAGAGTTCGGCGCCAATGAATTCCAGCAAGGTCTGCCTGCGGCGTGGGATGCGTTTTGGCAGGGACACGCCGGATTCAGACAATATTGCGCGGAGATCGACCGCTGTGAGGTGGGACAGCGCTGTATCGGAGGGGGTTGGATGAGACATGTGAGCAGGCTGTACTCCTTTCCGTATGGCTGAATACTGATAAACAAGAGTCGATCATACTCCTCTTGCTTCCGACGTTCATCATCTCGACTCTCCAATATGCAGTCCATTAAACCTGACTTTCTCGACTCTCCCTTCTATCTCGCGGACCCCAATGTTCTCGCTCAGGTGGTTTGGAAACGTATGGCAAACAAGAACTATCTCGTTACTACGGCGTCAGTCGCGGCGGCTGAGGCTCTCGTAGCCCCTGATGAAACGCAAGGTGCAGACGCCGTCGCGAAAGGTGTGGAAGCGGATCCTACTCTATTCGAAATCGCCGAACTCCATGCTATCGCCACTGTTGCCACTGACGGATGTTATCTGAGCCCGGACGGAGGCTTCCCGACCGCGAGTGGCCCTGGCGAATTGTCCAAGATCGCCTTAACGTTCCAAGCAACGGCGCCGCGCGTCGGAAGCAAGTACGCTGCAGCTTATACCAGGTCGTTTGGCGCACTCCGCCAAATCGTCGACCTGGCGAGAACTCCGACGTACGCTTACAAGGGGACCCTCGACGCAATGAATTCGCGGCCTGGTTTCAAACTCCGCCACGCTCCTTTCCGTGTAAATATGCGCCCTGTCACATGCCTCACACTGTCTCACTTTGTGATCAGATTCCGGATGCTGGTGACGATGAAGACAAAAGTTGTGAGTAATTGCCCCTGTTATCTATTAAAAAAGATTCTCATACGAGATGTTAGCCTACGAATTGAGCGAATGGCCTGTCAGAAGTGAGCTGGCACGGCAGGGTATACGGGGCATGGAGGGCAAATACGTGGTTGACCGTCTTTGTGCTTATGATTTTGACGGGAGAATCATCGCGCCGGAAGACTACACGAAGAAACTCCCCGGTGCTTCTATCGCCGTCACTTTCAATATGACGCATTACTCATTCACGAACCAAAAACAAGACACCTTCGTTGCTGACATCGTGAAGATACGCGTAATCGAATCCCAAGTTGCACCGCCCCCTAGCCCGAAGAAGCGTCGGCCGGCGGTGCCTGAAATGGATGACAGCCCGAAGAAGAAGAAAACGAGAACTGCTGGAGCTTAGTTGTAACCTGTTTGCTGAAATATGATCTCGATTTTGTGCCGAATGCTTGGTGTTGAGCAGTTTTCTGAATCAAGTAGCAAGGCATTCTGTCGGCGGAGCCGACGCTTTCTAGTTCTGAACATCGTCGGACATAATCGGGCTTGAAAATGATGTCCCCCGTGCGTTTCGGCGGAGCTGCCCACCTGCCCGACCACTGAACTTGGATACCAACAGTGTCTGGAGCTGCACTCGAGTGAACAGAGTCCGGACAGGATTCTGACACGAGTCAAGCCTTTGGTGTGACCCTGGTGCACCAGTCACCTTCAATCCTGCTTGCCAGATGGTCAGGGATGCCAGCATCAGGAGGCTTGTGCAGACCAAGGTCATAGTGAGCTTGAGTTCACTGCTCAACAAGCCAAGTGCTGCACCAGCAGATAGAGAGGTTGCTGGGTTTGCCTTCTTGTGGCCAACATGAAGGGCCATAGCAATAGCTATTGCAGCACTGATGTAGCCAATACTCCTGTGCAAGGCTGCTGTGGTCACATTGTAGATTAGTTGAAGCTCTCTGATAACACTCTGTAACACTTTGTTCTGAACTTACTGCAATGCATTCAGAATCACTTTGATTGATGGCAGGAGAGAGATGGACAAGATTGAGTTTCTGCCAAATTATGTCTCATACTCCCCTGCTCAACACAGAAAACTCAGATGAAAGTCAAAATGCACAGGTGGGAGCCTGGGAGGTGAAAAGATGATCAACCGATCACTTATTACACAGGGATGTGCCATGCTCTTTGTTCAAACCAAGCACATAAACAACACAGCCTTTGTTGAAGCTGTGCATCAGCTTGAACTTGCCTGAAGCCTCTGTTAGGAGAATTTGCCATAGCACTTTCGAACAAATGAAACAGAGGTACAGGGACATTCAATAACCCTCAGACACTCCTAAAAGTACTGCCAGTCCTGAGTCCTGACTCCCGAGTCATGCGCCATCACCGTTGCACTCCGAGATGACATGAAGACCATGTTCGTCGTGTCAAACGGCAATGCGGTCCCGGTTGCTGCCATTCAACTTTTAGCACAGCAAACCCTGCTACTCCTCCGCATCTCAGGCAATGGTCACGACCACACCCCCGCCTTTCGAGCCGTCTGTGATCAAGCTGCGGTCCATCTCGGACAGCAGCATCGAAGGTGTCAGCCTATACTCCTCCCGCGCCGAAGTCAGGCGGGTGTTCAAGCTCAATGTGAAGCTGGGGCACAACCAAGTGGTCATTGAAGGACTGCCCAATGTCCTGGAGACTGCCTCTCTCAGGTGAGCCTATACCGCAGCGTTGTTTGTACTACCCGCTGAAGCTCACGCGGGTCCTATGCTACAGAGTCGAGGGGCGTGGGGATGCAACTATCCACGACGTAACGGTGGCCATGGAAAACGGGGAGCACAAACCCACTGGATCCCCGAAGCTAACAGAGCTGTACAAGCATCGCGAGAGGACAACCCATGCGCTGGCCCGAGTGGAGAAGTCGCTCCAGTCGCTCGAGCAGTACATTGGATCAATGAGCGTCGAGCACCTTCCCGTCGCGAATCTCGACGACGTCCTCACCCACTATGAGTCTACTGGGGCCCGCCTCGATGCCAAGAAGAGTGAGCTGACGGCAGAGCTGACTCAAGTTGACGTCGATATTGCATCGGAAAGGGCTTCAATCGCAGTGCCCCATGAAAGCAGTCGTCTGCGCGTGAGTGCGACCATCGGTGTGTTTGCGCCGAAGGAGGGAGAAGTCGAGATTGCCCTCGTCTACGGTGCGTGTTCGGCGCTAGCTTTCAGGCTTTCTTCCTGCCTCATACCATGCAGCGGTCCAAAACGCTACCTGGACGGCATTTTATGACATCCGTGTCGACATGAGCGCTAAAGAGAAGGGAGCCAAGCTCATCTATAAAGCTGCGGTGAAACAGAACTCGGGCGAGTCGTGGGACAACGTTCCTCTCCATCTGGAGACATCCACCCCGACCTTTGGGGTCGGCATACCAGAGCTTGAACCTTGGAACTTGTTTATTCCCCAACCTGTGCCGGTCAGAAGTATGCCTCTCTTGGGATCCTCTATGTCGCCCAGACCCGTGGTAGCCCCAATGATGAGGGGCCGACTCCTAGCCAACAGCTTACCGTCCGCAAGTTACGACGAGGCGCCACCCATGTTATTCTCAGAGGCAGAGGTTACTTCCAAAGGCAACGTCAGCGCAACATTCAGAGTGCCCGGATCGGTCAACATTCCTTCCGACGGTCACCCGCATAACTTCACGATTGTAGAGCTCGATTTCGAGGCTGCTATGTCCTGGGTTTCTGTTCCGAAGAAAGACGCAAAGACTCATCTGAGCGTGAGTCGATCTCGACTCAGATCGTGCATAATAGACGCCCACTTACGCCCAATGTGCAGGCACGGATCACAAACGCATCCGAGTACACTTTACTTGCTGGAACTGCGAGCGTCTACGTCGATGGAAGTTTCATCTCACGGTCACCGGTCCCGCCTGTGAGTCCGCAGGAGAGTTTCGACTGTCCGCTGGGGTGAGCCTCGTTTCCGCTGTGCATATATCCACCCAACCTGGCCCCAGATTGGACCCCTCTATCCGGATCACATACTACCCCGTCCTGAAAACCCAGTCCCAGTCCGGCTTCTACACCAAGAGTGCCACCCACGTATTCTCCCAGCGCATCACCATCCACAACACCAAGTCGGTGGCCATCGGACGGCTGAAGATCATCGACCAGATCCCGGCGTCCCAGGATTCGCAGATCGAGGTCAAACTCGTCAATCCCGCCTTGACGCTCGCCAACGATGCGAAGAACACAACCAAAGCGACCCAACCGCAAGCCCTGTCGGTTTCCAAGAATGTCGTGGCTCAATGGCACGGTGTTGACGAGCCCAACTGCGACATCGAAACTTTAGGGCTAGATCGCAAGCTGAACTGGATCTGTTCAGTGCCTGCTCAGAGCAAAATCAATTTGTCCTTGGATTGGGAAGTCACAGTTTCGCCAGCCAGCGCACAAGTACTCGGTTGGTAAAAGTAGTGACAACATATTTTAGAATTGGGCAGCAACCGATGGAGGGACTTGAAATCTAAATCATACAGTTTACACTAATTCACAACGCGCGCCTTCGAGACTACCGACCATATTGATGAGGGTACTGCACGCCATTGTACATATTCTGCTGTTGTTGCATAGCCTGTTGGGCCATCTGGGGATGCATGTGCGCTGGATACTGCAGGGGATAAGCTTGCGCAGCCTGGGGGCGTCGAGCCGGGTGGGGGAAGTTGAAGTTCGGAGGCGGCATAGACCCAGGAGGCAGATTCCCGTATGGGTTGTCATTCACAGTCTCTGTGAAGTAGGGATGAGAGAGTGCATCCGCCGCGGAGATGCGCTCAGCAGGATCGAATTTCAGAAGTCGTTCAAGCAGATCGATAGCTGGTCATGATCAGCCAGTGTCAAACAAGAAAACGGGGCTTCTTACCTGCACCTGAGGCTTTGGGAAGAACTTGCTTCAAGTCTATCTTGGGATATCGAGGGAAAGGCTTGATGGTGATCTCAGGCTGGAAAGATCTTCAATGAACGAATCTTGCCTAGTATTACAAATAGGCGTACCGAATCTTTGACCATCTTCGCTAGTTGTGCCTCGTTTGGAGTTCCTAATATCCGCATGATATGAAGAAGCTGGTCTCCAGTGTCTTTGCCTCGGAAAAGAGGCACGCCCGATATCATTTCTGCGAATATACATCCACAGGACCACACGTCAATCGAAGTGCTGTACGTTCGCGAACCCAATAGGACGTCCGGGGCGCGATACCACAGCGTAACGACCTTGAGCAGCTCAGACTTGGCGCCACGGAGATGAATGAACCATACACACCTCATTCGAAAACGTGTTTACGGGTACACCGAACGCCCGAGCGAGTCCGAAATCTCCTACTTTAAGCTCGCCCTTGTGGTTGATGAGCAAGTTCTGCGGCTTCAGATCGCGGTGAAGAACTTGATTCTCGTGGCAGAAGGCAGTGCCCTTGAGCAACTGGAACATGAAACTTCGAACGGTCGGCGCGTCCAATGCTCCACGGTCACCCTGCTGATCCATGTACCTGTGCACGTCAATCACGAGAAGCAGCGCAGTCTCTGCGCTCAACTGACCTCTTGAGGTCTTGCTGACAGTATTCGAAGATGAGAACGAGCTTGGTCTCGGTATGGATGACATCGTGGAGGCGGACGATATTGACGTGCTTGAGTTCCTTCATGAGCGAGATCTCCCTGATAGCAGTCGAGGGCGTTCCCTCCTCGGCATCAAGATTGATCTCTTTGAGGGCGACGATTTCGTTCGTCGTTCTTGAACGGCCCTACAAATGGGACGTCAGTACTGTGGGCGGGCTGAGAAGGCCTCATGCCTGCACACCTTATAGACAGTGGCGTAAGTCCCCTCGCCTGATCGGGACCCAATGAGATCGCGTCTTTAAGAGAGAATGGAAGAGCTTGCCGAGTTTCTCCAGCTAGAAGGGCGAGTCAAAAGGGTGGAATTACACACATCTCAGCGCAAGCGCGCACCTGGATGTAATTGGATTGGGCGGCCATATTCGGACACAAATGCGAGGAGAGAGCTGCAGAGCGAAATTCACAAGAGAAGGAAGCAAGAAAGAAGTGAGGCCAATGGAATGCGCGTCCTCGAACACAAGGTCAAGGGTGAATGGAGTCAAGGACTAGTTTGACTGCTTTGCCGTCAGACGGCAGTGCGGAGGTTATCCCCAATTGGAAAGACAGATTGATTGTCGTCACGTGTCTTTCCAAAATTTTGTTTCGCGCTTCACTGTCGCTGCCCATAGCCAGAGCGTTCGTTCTGCAGCTCACTCGTCTGACATCTGTCAATTTCAGGATCTCAAGCTACTCTAAACGCGAAGCAGACGACTCCCTGTCCCACTTGTCACCACCATAATGGCGTCTGAATCGCTCGGTTAGCTTACATCTCCTTTTCGCGCCGTCCTTCTCTGATCTAAAGAAGGGGAAGGGACGTCCTCAAAGGCATACAAAGTGAGTTTTTAGCTGCTCCATGATATCTCCGCAAACAGAACTGTTAGACATATCCCAACAAACGATACGCGGAGTCTGGGTCTGTCGCAATTCGTTCCGGTGTCGAGCTTGGTCAAGATGAAGAGATGGATGACCTCCCGACCAACGCAATAGACGGGGATCTTGAATTGGATGTTGCCGAACTCAGCCTCGGCCAGCGCCTGACGGCGCTCTCGGGCGATGCGAGGCCAACAACCTCCTCGGACAGCGACGATGCTGCAACCCCAAAATCCAAAAAGGCGCGGAAATCCGGCGCTGCAGACAACGGCAGCGTCCCGGCCAACTCTCTCACGCGGACGCTGATCCAGGCACTGCACTCGTCGGACACAAGACTGCTAGAGACATGCCTAGCGCATTCAGACCAGAACCTGATTCGGAACACTGTCCGACGACTTCCTCCCCAGCTAGCGGTCCCCTTAATAACAGCGTGCGTGGAGCGGCTGGGACGCGGTGCGCGTGCCACGAACATGAAGGGAGGGGGCGGTGGGGCCAGTTCTCAAAGAGGCACGACGCTCATATTATGGATCAAGTCCGCCTTGGCGGTGCACAGCGGTCATCTGATGACAGTGCGTCTTCAGAATCGCTCCGACTCGATTGGCATGCTAATCATTGGAATAGATGCCAGATCTGGTAGCGAGATTAGCGGGCCTGCACGCAACCCTTTCTTCGCGGCTTGCGCTTCAGCAAAATCTCTTGTCCCTCAGCGGCCGACTAGAAATGGTGCTGGCACAGATAGAAATGCGATCCTCCGCCGCTCCAGCAACCTTGGGCCCCCGGAAGGGCGCCCAGGCCTCCCGCCCAGACTCCAAGCCCGCAACGCAGTACATAGAAGGAGAAAGCGGAGACGAGGACGAGGAGATGGATCAAATCGAAGTCGAGAGCGGAGATGAGGACGGGAGCGTTGAGGATGTTGAGCTCGGCGGTGAAACTTCCGAGGAAGAAGACAGTGAAGAAGACCAAGATGATGACGAGGATGATGAAGATGGCCCGAAAATGAACGGGTTTATTGACGATGAAGCCGAGGAGGAGTACAGTGATGAGGATGATGAGGATGACAGCGAATAATCTGACAGAACTTGTGTATACGATACCGCTCAGCTTTTTTTCGCCCTCGTGCGACGTACTGCATGTGTGTCAGTCGTCACCGCACTTGTTTCCTTATTTTTGCTCTGGATTCTCGATGACTAATCTCACGTTAGACATGGTCCATGAGGGAAGGAAGCATACTTTTTGTCTTTTGATAGGAGGAGATGCGTCACACTCGGGCTCGACCAGATCGCGGTGGTCGCCTTCATCTTCCTGGCAGAACCCAATCATCTCAGGCACTGCATGCTCTAGAGCTCGATCGGAAAGCTACCTTGGCATCCCGCTTTCTGCGGGGCGTTCTGGTCGTAGGTCCTGCGAGCTCCTGCAGCTCGAGCACGAAAGCGGATGTTCGCCCACCCACTGTAATCCATCTGAGCGGCGGTCAGAATCGAGATCATCCAAGGGGAATGACGCACTTGATGGTAGCCGGTCCGCCTGTGGGCTGTATGACAAAGATGAACACTTCAAGTCGACTAGCAGGCTGAGAGAAGCGCACTAGCTTGAGATTGTGTTGAGTCTTCTTTCCCTTGCCCTGCGTTAATCAAGGGACGCTTGAGTAAAAGGTGCTAATTAAGAGTACGGGGCTGACCCAGCGATGGGTGAAGAGCCAGTTTTCAGGAAATTTGCTGGAATCAGCATCAACGGCGACTGCAGTGAGGCAAACATGCGACGTCTGATGGTGCAAGGCTTCCAGCTGCCCGTTGGTCAGCGTGTTTGCACGTTGCTCCGGATGAATTCGTGAGTGATAGAGAATCTCGTCTGGGAAAACGGAATCAACATCGTCGTGCATCTGAACCCGGAGAAAAAAAGCACCCGCAACCCAATTGCCAACACCGGCGCTGAAAGACTGGTCCAAAAGCAGTGCCTTGATGGGACAGGTCCGCTTCAGAACTAGAACACTGAACTCTTCGAGCGGTGGCATAGAAAGAATGGGGTCGAATCCCAATTCCGATATTGGAGGCTCTTCAAGGGGTGATTTACAAAGACGGATGCGGCCCAGCCTTCTAGCATCTAGAAACGCTAGTTGAGTAGCGCTCCCGGTCTCAGAGTCTAACAAATGAAGGATGAACTAAAGATTGCGTCAACAACCTGCCATGTGGAGTTTAGACGTGCCTTCATAAACCGTGGCGGCCAGTCAGTTGACGCTGTCTTGGGAGTTTCTCTGTAATATTCAGCGAGTTCTCCTTGCACCTGCATGGGATATCAGTGATTCGAAGCCCACTAGAGCATCCGCTACCTGCAGCATGCCGGTCATTCCGAAGTGGAGCACAGGCATTCTCCCAGGACCAGACAGATCAACATAGAAGACCTTGCCTGTGCAATCTCGATTCAACACAGGTTCCGGGGCTGGACGTGGTGTCTACCGTAGCGGTCGGCATTAAGAACTGTTCTTCCAGTCAGTTCTTTAGCCTTTGGACAGATCGCAGTTTGTATGATATCTGGAACGGGAGACGGTGGCGGAGCGCACAAATTCTTCGAAAGTCGTTCCAGTGAACACGATGGTGTCTTCGACAGCCTCAACCTTTTGGATAACCTTGCCCTTCGCGACGCGGTTGATCAAATTTTTCGCTCTTTCGACTTCAGGTAGCTCAGGCATGTCTTTCGTGGAAGGGGCAAGAGCCAAATGTTAAACACTTACGGCAAACGCCGATTGATGGCTTCCTCTTCTGGCGTGCCGGTGTATCGGCGGTCACACTCCTCACCAACTCTCCCTGCATGCTCCCGCCGGCAATACTTCGCGCGCGCCTCGCATCTGCTCCTGCCAACGGGCACACCACGTTTCTGCCACAGATACGAAAGCTTGTGTTCGAATTCTGCAACGACTGGCCGTCCTCTGCCAACACACGAACTTTTCTCCAGCGAGAGCTCATTCCCTTTGCTCGCGAAAACCCGCATGTCGAGATTGTAGTTAAGCAGCGTAATCGCAAGGAACCAATTGTCAGGGGTTTCTATGGTGCGTCTTCTGCTGTGCAGGGCGTACCTCACTACATACTCATATCCTTTTGCCTAGTCAACGGCCGAGACAAGGTCATTGCCCTGCACAAACTGGAGGTCACCGGTATCCATAAAAAGCTTGACCTCCTTTTGGATGCTTCAGGATTGAAGATCAAGCCTCTCAAACGACGGACGATAGAGAGCACAACGGAAGCTGCTCGCGGAATCTGGAGTGGCCTGCATGCTGAGCGGCCAACACTATGAAAAGCCCACTGATGGCGGGGCTCCGAGGTCCGGTCGGGCCTGGCCAAGCCCGCTTCCCATTCGTTTCTTCAGACTTCCTGTATTCGCGGTAACTTGAATCTCATTACGTGATCACCTCACCCATCTCCACGAGGACGCCGCGGGGCCAACGAGTGCTTAAGCTCGTGTCTTAAACGTGTGAACTGCGAGGTATTATGTATGTAGCTAGCCAGCTGCACCTTCTCCTCTCTCTTCATCTCTTCAAGTTCCCCGTAACCCACGGCATCCTCCACAAGTTCTTAACCCTCCCATTTTCTTTGTTCCAGCACACCGCATTTTCTGCTCGATGTATCCGGTGCGCCCTACAGTCTGGTTTCTTTCAGCCTATCTGACTGTTGCGAAGCGGAGAGGCAATGTATCCTCAAGGTTCTACACTTCGCTCACAATCGACGAGATTCGCTGGCTCAACGCCAGCCAAGCGTTCGGAGAGGATTCTGACGAGCTGGTCTCTCCCCCCGAGTCGGTCAAAGCGCAGTCCCTGGTCTGTATTGCATCAAGAAAACATTTTCTGCGTCGCTGACATCTGTCGAAAGAAACCGAAGTGCTCGCGCCCGCGATTGGACGACAGCGCTCGCCGGTCGATATTGCTCGATGACTTTTTCGGCAGCGCCAAGCGTAGTGCGGATTCTAAAGGTCGAGTGGGCTACTCCGTACGTCTTGCGCATCTTGTGATGGAGCGAACACTGCTAAGCTATTGATCAGCGAGGTGGAACTAGCCTGCCCTCCTCTGCCGATGAGCAGCGTTTGCCGTCTACGCCACCGCGATCAGTTCCCAGTTTGCCATCAGACGGTCCTCCGACTCGTATTTCGCCTCGACCAACAGAATGGCTCTACCGGCGTCCCCGTTCTCCATCGACGCTCTCTCGCTCCCCGTCAAGTCTGTCGGGCTCGACGTCGAGCTCTCCATCCCTCTCCCGCACCTCATCGAGCTCACGGTCCATCACGCCGACTCCTTCTCGAATCCGGCCGCCAACTTCGTTCCGGCCGCGCACCCCAACTTCTGCTACTACCGTCACGGAAATGAATCAATCTCCGTTTTGGTCTACCGTGGCTCCGCTCCAGGCTGGCTCGAATCGGTCGCCATCTGGCCCGCGTCGAGCCGGTTCCATCTCGCGCTCTTCGCCGAATTTGTTGGACTTCAGGGCACTGCCGCGCGCCAAAGACTTTGGAGGAGTCAGCAGACTTCCGATCCACCGCGAACGCTCTGCATCTGAGTCGTCATCGATCTCCACTACGAGCAGCACAGGCAGTTTGCCGAGGACACCCCCCTCGCCTTCGATCTATGCCGAGTCGCGGGCCACGACGCCGACGCGGTCTATTTTGTCGCGGTCGCCGAAGCGATCACCGTCTATCTTGACGAAGCACTCGTCGGCGAGCAAATCTGTGACGTTCGAAGACTTGCCTCTCCTTCGATTCGCTGGAGATCGGGATCGGCTTGCCCAGGTGGGCGACGGCAGCGTTAGAGGCGAGGAATGGGATCCGCGGGTTCTTCCGCTCGAAGACGAAGACGAGGAGGATGTATTCAAGGACTCAGGGAAGGGTTATGCCAGTTTGAAGCGGTTTCTTACTTTACGCTCCCGAACTAAGACTCCGCCCCGCAAGCCTCGGGTGGAGATCTCTGGGCCGTATGCGCTTACCCCAGCATCGCACCCAGACGCCGTTAGCTCGCTCGGCCGAGCATCGCGCAACAACTCCTCGACGCATCTCGGAGTCATCCCTTCCTCACCGAACGGGGGAGCTGACGTAAGATGCAAGAAGTCGCCCACATTCCTTACGAGCGAGCTTGGGGCACTGCCTGAACACAGCAGCTGGTCACGCCCGTCCAAAGCTGCATCCATCGCTGGCGGTGGCAGTGTCGGGGTTCCTGTGCTGCATGCACTCCCCTCGATGGAAAGTTTCCGGAGTGTCCGCACCTACAAAAGCGCCCGCAGCTGCGGACAGGGGCGTTTCAACCGCTTTCTCGGCCGCATCGGAATCGGTGTCGCCGCATAAGCCAACTCACAACACTCGTTTTTCTTGGGCTCTGTGTCGTTTTCTTGGCCGAAAGAAATAAAGGAAGGAAGGAAGTAATGTACTATGCAAACCCATTATTATTCTCTACTATTGCAAATCGAATACCAAATACAAAATGTGTCGCATAATTTACGGGTGTGACGCGCTAGTGACACGCAAGCATGGCTTCCCTCGAAAAACGCATGGGCCTAGAAGTGGATTTAGACTTGAGCGTGACCATGTCCTCCAGGGGCGCAGGCAGCGGGTTCACCCTGTATGGAACCGCGGATCCATACTGCCCCTCGACTTCGCTCCAGTCCGGGCGCTGCTCACGTGAGTTGAGGTGCACTCGAGGATGGTCACGCTCAGGCTGGTCGACGGGGGAAATCGAGGTCCGGATCACCCGCGGTGGGAGGAGAGCGCTCTGCGCCTGCCGTCCTGCTTCGGCCATAACGGCGGTAGCCGTAGAAGCTCTCGCCTGCCGAAGAGATTCCATCCGGGCTTCAAGACGGATGCGCTCATACTCTTCTTCTTCGTCGGAAGGTATCAAGTCTCCATTGGCATCCAGCCTAGCTGAAAAAGACATCGAATCATAAGTCGTTATCCGATAAGTGTGTAACAACAACTCACCCCATCCTCGATGTCGGCCGGGTACGGGGCTCGGATTTGGTGCGGGCCGAGGACGAGTTCCCCCGTCTCGGGGAAGAGTATCCCAGATAGTGCTTTCCCAGCTCGCATTGACTTCATCAAGCTCCTCCCATAGACTATCTCGTATGCTCTCTTCCTCGTTGAGTTGAGATGTCCCGAGAACAGAGAAACGGCGATCAGTGCCAACAGGCGATTCGAGAAAGTCCCGCGACAGGCGTCTGGAGTAGCTCTCCGGCTCCTCAAACAGAAGCGGTCCTGGAGCATGAGCCGAAGTCGGCGTTTGCAGATTCTGTATCGAGGAGAAATTGGACAGCAGAGAAAGCCTCTCGCGATGAGGCAGGGAAGCGAGAGATTGCGATGAATTCGTCGAGCTCTGCCGGCTGTCGCTCGACCGAGAAGCGCGCCAGCGCCGTGTCATGTTCGTTGACCTGGGGCTCAGCGGCGCAGCCGACAACTGTTGCTGGTGCTGGTGCTGGTGCTGTCTCAATCTAGCCATCTCCATATCCAGACTAGACCGAGCAACACGGATCGCATCAGCGCGCGCCGTCGCAAACGTCTCTAAGCGCCCTAGTGTCCGCTGACCCGGATCCGTCCGCCGCTGCAGATGGGCACCATTCGAGCGCAGATGCAGCAGCTCCCGCTCCATCTCGACCGCCCTCAGAACTTGTTCTGCATGCGGAGAGCCCTCCACTGCTGCCCGCACACTGCTGCTGCTGCTGCTGCTGCTGCTGGTCCCCGCGGCCTCCCGAGCAGCCACCCGCCTGCCGAGAATCGTATTCGGATCATCCGAATGGTGCAGCTGGCGCCGCCGGGCTATCTGGGTCTCCAAAAACGAGCGCCGGCGCCCAGGATGCGGCGCCCCGTCGTCGATGCTCGCGGCAGGCGTCGGGAGCTGGACATTGCGCAGGCCCGAGAGGACGGGTGGGTGCTCGGGAGTCGTCGTCGACGCTTGGAAGCGATCGAGGTACTCTTGTGTCTGGCGGTTCATCTCAGCGAGGTTCGCGCGCATGGTTTCGAAGTCCAGCGCATCATCCTCGCTGCCGTCGTCGATGGGAGAGGTGGTCAGCACCAAGGCGGAGTGGCCGGGCCCGATGCCCTCGTTTGGAGACTCTGCAGGGTCCGTAAACTCGACGAGACTGCGGCGGACTGGAGAAAAGGGAGAAGGGGGAGCGCGCAGGTCAGCAGAGAGTAGCAAACAAGTTCCTGGATGCCATACCTTGTCGAATACGCCGGTACGCGGCCTGTAGAACAGCCGAGGCAGCGCGTAGACTGTTCTGGCTGTCCTCTCTTTCCTGCCGAATAAGCTCTTCCGTCGACTGCCTGCTCGTAGGCCGCGTATGTGACGATCCTGCCGTGGAAATGGGGGACGGGTACGAGGTGTGGGAATCTTCTTCATTTGTTGTGGGAGGCGCAGCCGAGGAGTGGGTCTCGTCAGCCATAGGAAAATAGAGGCAGGGCAAAGTAGGCGGGGGAGAAAATGTGTCTACGAGCGGACGGTAGAAGAGAGACACTTGGGCGGCGGACCTTGTGCAACAAATGGACAGATCGACACAATCAAGGTCAGTGATGTATGCCCGTGTTTCGGACGGTGATTGTGATGATAGCAGCAGCAACATCTAATCTAATCTACTTGGGTTCTCGATAATCTACGTTTCAGCCGTTGGAAGAGAGGATCTTCTCCCATGTACATCGCCGAGAGTAAAATGCAGACAAGGAAAATCCCAGCGCCAACCAGAATTGTGATCATCCAGCCATGCCGGGAATGAGCGTAAATCTAAGCAGCAACCATCAGTGTCAGAGCCATCAACATCAGAGCCGCTCACTTGTCCGCCGAGGACAGGACCCACTGGAAATCATGTCAGTCGGTCGATCATCGGGGGGAAGCAGACTCACCAGTGCTCCCGGCCGAGAACATGATGTTGAAGGCGCCGTAGACATGTGCGACTGGAGGTTTTAGTGACGTAAAAAATGAGAGAAGAGGCGAGCTCACATCCGACGCCCTCGATTGACCGCGATATGTTCGCCAAGTCAGTCATGACAGGTGAAAGGGTGCCACCGACGAAAAAGCCTGCAGTCACGATGGTCAAATTCGGGGGCATTCAGACCTGCTTTCACACGTACTCTCGAGGACATAAGCGACGATGAATAGCGCGAGGCTCTTCTGGACGATGAGGACCAGGTACCAGACGAAACCAAGCGAGAGACAGAGAGCACAAATCCATTCCACGCCTTGCCGATCGGAAAGCCATCCAGCCAGAGGCGACGCTGCGGGTTTTCAGCGCTCAAGTTTCGGATGACGAGAGGAACCCGCACAGAGCAAAGATGGCACAGCACTGCCCAGGTAGATCAGCCCGACTTTCGAGGAATTCAGGCCCCATATGTCTTGCAAATGAAGCGGAAGCGTAGGCTCCATGGCAGCGTAAATAATTCTGTGTCAGTTAGCATTGGTGGTACAGGCGTAATAAGAAGTCGATGCTGACCCATAAAGGACGCAAATGACCATGATCACTGCGGCTCGAGAGGACTTGAATAGCCTCGTGATTACTTGCAGAAGCGATGGTGCCGTGACAGGACCAGAGTCCGGGGTCGCGGTAGGCTCCCCTTGTTTTTCTTCATCGGCTGTCTCCTGGACCGCGAGCGGATCATAGCCCCAGCGCAACGCTTCTTTCCTCTCGATGACAAGGATCCGGCCAATGAGATCTAGCACAGCCACGCCCATTCCGAAAATGAACGGGCCTCGAAATCCGAACCGCGTGTAGATGGCTCCACCGATCGGTGGACCGGCGAGCGTGCCAGCGGACATTCCAGACATCGCCATCCCGATGTATTCTGCCGATCGAGATCAGAGAAACGTGGGCGGGATACTCAGAGCAGACTATACTGACTTCCCATGCTGTCCGGTGGAACGTTGTCACAGCTGGAGGTCTTCCTCAGAAAGAGCGATGGGCAGATGGATATTCGCCTACAGCAGAGCCATTCCCACGACCCAAACCATTGTCGAGGCAAAGCCTTGCAGCACACGAGCGATGCACATCACAGCATATATCGGTGCCTCCATAAACATAATTTGGGACCCGATGAGCACAAGCATGGCAACGATGAGTGGTGATTTTCGTAGGCCATAGCGTTCAGAGACCCAGGCGATCGGGATGGTGACTGGAAAAGCGCTTGGTTCATGGCACAAGTCCCAAAAACGCAGACTGGCTTACAAGCGGCCAATCCACCAGACTGGATAGTGATCGATAAACATGAGGAGAGAATGACATGACTAGAACAAACGCACAAAGACGAAGAGCAGCCAACCCGTCAATTCCGAGGCAACGCCTGTCGAGTAGCCCAGGCGTTCGAGCTGGAATGGAATCACAGGGATAATAGAGGAATACACGAAGAGATCTGTCGCGACCCCTGATAGAAAAAATGTGAGCGGTGCTAGCCCAAAACGAGTCCTTGATCGTCACGCACCGAAGCCGACGACGAGCGTAATGAAGCCGGGAGAGCACCTCCACTTGAGACCGACCGGTGCCTTTCCTGGGGCATCAGTAGGTGCCGGTAGGCTCGTTTCGGCCTCGGCTAGCGTGTTAGATTCCTCAATTGCGGGCGTCGCACCGGCTTCGACCGACTTTTCTGCAGTCGACATGGCTGTTGCTGTTCGAAACGTCGACACAACGAGGGAAAAGGCTGGTGCGGAGCCGTGGTGTGCGGTGACTCAAGCCGTCTGTGTTGTGTGATCATGACAGAAACCACCCGTTGATTTGCGAAATAACACGCCGCGGCAAAGCGGACATCAAGCCACGCGTGTCCGGAAAGATAGGGGCTTGTATTTGGAAACTCTCCGCTGAGTCGTTCCAAGGACTCCACTGCATGCAATCTGTACTCGCCATTCAGCGATTGGTCTAGTTACTTCCGGGATTCAAAGCCATTCTCCACGGATGGATCTGAGGGACTCCGACAGATTCGTAGCGCACGAGACAAGTCTGCTCAGGTTAGGCTTTGGGTAAATTATCTTCTAGGAAAGATATGCAAGCTTTCTATCCAGCTTCTTATCCTCGTACATTACGCTGCGCCTGGGATTTCCTGCAGGCTTTTTGTTAAACTCCCAGCAAACAGAGCCATCCTTCGACACAGCCATGTGCCTTCTCGCTGTCCGTGTGAGTCACATTCCAAATTTACTCAAAACGCTAAAACATGTCTCGAGCATTCACGATCACAGTCCCCGCAACCTCAGCCAACATCGGCCCCGGATTCGATGTCGTCGGGCTCTCCCTCTCCCTCCATCTCACGCTTCGCGTCCAGATCGCCGCCCCACCCGCAGATACGTCCCCGGCGTATGTCCCGCCGGCGCTGGAATACACAGGCGAGGGCGCCGCCGAGGTCCCGCTCGACGCGTACAAAAACCTCACCACGCGCGTCGCGCTGTACGTCCTCCGCTGCCACGACATCGCGCGCTTCCCGTCGCACACGCAGATCCACGTGAACAACGAGATCCCGTTCGGGCGCGGCCTGGGCTCGTCCGGCGCAGCCGTCATCGCAGGCGTGCTGCTCGGGAACGAGATCGGGCAGCTTGGGCTCCCGCGCGAGCGCCTCCTGGATTTCGCGCTGATGGTGGAACGCCATCCGGATAATGTCACCGCTGCATTGGTGGGCGGATTTGTCGGCTCGTATTTGAAGGAACTGGACGCGGCCGCGACGGAGGCGGCGAGTGTTCCGCTGAGTGAAGTTCTGCCCGAGTTTCCCCCGGATGCGGGTGAGGAGTGGGGACTCAACCCACCTGTCCCCCCTCTCGGCATCGGTCACTTCGTGAGGTTTGGATGGTCGGAGAGCATCAAGGCTGTGGCGATCATTCCGCGATTTGAATTGAGCACGGCCAAGGCGCGAGGAGTGCTTCCCACGGAGTATTCGAGGAAAGATCTGGTGCGTTCATCTTGGCGCTGATCATTCGGATAAGCGTTGATTTCCCAATCCCATAGGTTTTTAACCTCCAAAGACTGGCGGTACTCACGACAGCGCTGGGACAGTCGCCGCCCGACCCCGATCTCATCTACGAGGCAATGAAGGACCGAGTGCATCAACCGTATCGAAAGACTCTCGTGCGTCGATCTCATCAGGCATCCCAAACTTACTTACATCTGTCGCGCAGATACCTGGTCTGCCTGAAGTCACCTCATCCATCACACCGATCACCCATCCCGGTCTTCTTGGGATCTGTCTCTCCGGCGCCGGCCCTACCATCCTCGCTCTCGCGACGCACGGCTTCGAAGCTATCGCCGAAGACGCGCGGAAGATCTTCCTGACGAAGGACGTGGAGATCGATTGGAAGTTGCTCACGGTGGCGGGAGGCAGCGTTGTCCAACAAGATTGAATGTAAAATTTAGATACTGACGTTGTATGATGCTCGTTGCTCTAATCGGGCATGGAATCGGGATGCATCATTCAATCTCTCGGCACTACGCTTCTCGACATGCAGATCTTCAGATCAAGGCTAGATTAGATAGCGGATGGCTGTGTACGTAGATCATTTCTGGTCGGAGTCACTGGGGCCCAGGCGACCCCCCGACCTTTGTTCGGCCTACTCCCATTTTGCATGCAGGCGCCGGAACACATCAGCGACATCGATGCAAAACGACATGAGTTCTATGACCAGGCCGGCAGCGATTACGGATACGGTCTCGGCAGCGACGCGTTCCATGCGCTACGGTCGGCAGAATACCCCAGCCTCCACGGGACCACCTTCCTCGACTACGCGGCATCTGCGCCAGCCCCTGTTTCGACGATCCGCGCCCTAGCCGACGCGGTGTCCACGACGCTGTTCTCGAATCCCCACTCCCGCGCGCCAGCGTCTGTCGCCTCTTCCCTGGAGATCGAGCAGTGCCGGGGGCGGATCTTGGAGGATCTGTTTGGGCTCGACGAGGCGCAACGAGCTGATTGGGATGTCGTTTTCACGTCTGGGGCCACCGCCTCGCTCAAGTTGGTGGGTGAGTCGTTCCCGTGGGGGCGCGGAACGAAGTACGTGTACCTCAAAACAAGCCACACGAGCCTTGTCGGGATACGGGGGTGCGCTCTGGCGTGCGGGGCGGAGGTCCTGCCGGTTAGCGTCGAGGACGTTCCCGTGGATCTGGCCCCTGCCTCTTTGTTCGCTTACTCTGCGCAGTGCAATTCCACGGGACAGCGGCTCGGGCTTGGCTATGCGCAGCGGGTGAAGGAGAGATGTCCGGACGTGTACCTGCTCGTCGACGCCGCGGCATATCTCTCCACTGCTGTCCTCGATCTCGGATCTATACCCATTGAGACGGCGCCCGACTTTGTATCTTGCTCTTTCTACAAGATATTCGGCTATCCGACTGGATTGGGCTGCCTTGTAGTCAAGCGCGCTTCGTCACATGTCTTACAGCGCCGGGGATATTTCGGCGGGGGGACCGTCGATGGATTGTCTGTCGAATCAGCCCAGTGGATGCAGCCGCGGCGGCCGATGCTCCCTGGCACGGTGCACGAGAGATTCGAAGACGGCACTGTCTCTTACTTGAGCATCGTCGCTCTCGCTCGTGCTCTGGACACCCACAAACGGCTATACAAGTCACACAGACATGTCGCCAAGCACGTCAGCTCGCTTGTGCGGTTCGCCACCGGCGAGCTGGCATCTCTACGCCATGCGAATGGGAAACCCGTGGTTCAGCAGCATCGGTCGTTCGCAGCTGCGGCTGCGTTCTTGGAAGACCCGGGGCCCATCATCGGATTCACTCTACTCGACGACAAGTCAAAGCCATTGGGACACGTGCATCTAGAGCAACTGGCGGCTGTGAATGGATTCCAGATCCGCACAGGAGGTCTCTGCAACACAGGTGTGGTTGCTTCGGTCTTCGATCTCACGGATAAAGATCTGAAGGGGGAGAACGATCGGGGGCGAGCGTGCTGGGATGATGGTGAGCGCTGCATGTTGTTTCCGTCGCCGTGATACCACTCAATGACGCACGCGACAGAGGAATTCGGCGGATTGAATCGCGAAAAACCGCTTGGTTTGGCCCGCATATCTTTCGGTGCTTCGTCGACGATAGATGATGTGTTGCAGTGGATTTCCTTTGTCCGTCGATATTTTGTTATGTCGACAACCGTCATTGCCTTGTCGGACCCTGTGGCTGACCCAGATGCCCTTACCGCCTCCGCCACTTTGGATACGGCCATGTTGTGTACGTGCCGGGACTCGAGCGGCCTACGTCACTCATCTCACAGTCTAGATCCCATCAAATCATGCGGCGGTCAGTCTCTGCAAGGGCGTTGGAAAGTCGTTCCCACGGGGCTGCTCTACGACCGAGAATGGATGCTAGTGAACTCCGCGTCGGGGCGGACGCTGTCGCAGAAACAGTATTCCCGAATGGCGCTCATTCGACCCTCCGTTGATATCCGAGCTGGTATCCTACTCGTGCGGGCTCTAGGGATGCCGGACCTGGCACTGCCGCTGGCACGGTCCGCGGGGGAGAGCGCAGCCGCGGATACCAATCTCTGTGCGGATATCGTCCCCTCCAGTCCCTCGGATCCGAAAACAGACGCGTGGTTTAGCGAGTTCCTCGGGATCAGCTGCAGCCTGCGACGGGTCGCGCTTGGAGCAGAGCGGCACGGGCATTTCGAGGGCGTCGCGGGCGCAGCGGTACCGATTCTGCTCTCGAACGAAAGCCCTTTCCTGCTGATCTCGCGCGCGTCCGTCGACCAGCTCAACGCGTGGATCGCGCCGGACGACGCGGTCAAGGCGGACTGCTTCCGCGCGAACTTCACGATCGCGGCGGCGTCGCTGCCTGCGTTCCACGAGGACGGCGTGGATCTCGTGCGCATTGGGAAGGAGACGTTCCAGGTGCTGGCGCGCTGCAGGCGGTGCTTGATGGTCTGCATCGATCAGGCCACCGGAATCCGGACGCGTGAGCCTCTGAGCTGTTTGGCGCGCCGGCGGAAGAATGCGCGCGGGAAGATTGAGTTTGGGGTGCACCTCTTGTGGCGGAAAGACCTCAGCACGGGCGATGGCTGGGTAAACGTGGGTGATCAGGTCGTCTTGGCCTCTTTGAAGTAGGTTTCTAGTGGAAATTAGCGTGTTGTACAAATGATACAATAATACACTGATTCGACATCTATGTATAGATAATCTAGATCTGGTATATAGGTGTGCATCTAGTCTATCAGCTGTGTAGATTGATCCATGCCTTTTTGAGTTGCTGGCCCAACATCGTCAGCAGCATACACGAGGGTCACGCAGGACATTACCTCGAAGAACACAAACATGAGCACAGTCTGTGGTCCAAGGCGGATGAAGGCGGGTGTCCAGCCCTTGAAGAGCACTCTCGGGCCCTCTTCTCGGATCGAAGTAGTCAGAACATGCAGAAACGAGGCTTTAGAGTTTTGCGACATAATCCGCGTCCTCATCACATCAGGCGGAGAGCAGACGGCTGGTCGGCCAATCAGTGTTGCGACAAAAAAAATAACAGCTTTGAGGCAAACTCACTGGTGGCCACAGCTCCTGCCGAAAGGCTGGAGATAACGTGCAAAAGCAGATTATCTTTCAGCTGATAGTCGAACAGTGTCGCGGAGTGCCTCAGCAAGCTGGATTTGATGAAATCATAACTGGGGAGAAGATGAGCATGTTGTTGTCGAGCAGAGCAGGTCGACATACGATCCAACTTGTGAGGCCTAAATATGTCAGTCAACAGAGATCAGCACTATACTACGAGGCTGTTCAGTGCACACACGTTCATCAGCACGGCCCGTGCCTAAAACAGGGTCAGCGATAATCCAGGCCAGAGTCAAACAGGCGTGCCGTATTGGTTCCCAGTCCCCGGGCCATCCCCCGCATCCCCTCCTCCTTGGCGACACTGAGCAATCCAGACAGCGCATTCGAGTACCCATACCGCTTGTCCGGCGGGCGGATGGAGTCGCTCGTCATCCGCACCAGAACGATATCTGGAACGATGATGATTCGGTGCTCCATGACGGCAGAAGTTATCCCCGGTTGGGGCGCAAACGCACCAGCGGGATTGCCTGCGATTCCCCCGAGCGCACCGGCCAGACTCGCGGCTGTGAGGAGCTGCAGGGCCGAGGGCGGGCCGTTGTGGGAGATGCGGGTCTTGAGCTCCTCGTACGTGCCTATCCGCACGAGCGTATAGCTCATTTGCCGCAACCAGGCTGCCGTGAGGCCCGTGTAGACGCTGCGGATACCGGACTCGTGGATGGAAGCACGTAATACCGATATAATAGAAGGCTTCTGCACCCCCGGCGCAGTCTCTATCGTCTGCATTCTCCTGGCGGGGTGTGAGCAGGGTCTCTATCGGAGCCGGGGCACATATCGCGCACGCACACTTTGGCAAAGTCCAGCGGATGCGTGATGGACGTGGCCACTGGGGGAGATATCAAGATGGCATCGAAGCAGGCGGGGATAACGCACAGGACGCAGCAACGCCTGCCCAGCCTCTTTTCAGACAGATTCTTTCAACGGGTAAGCAGACATCTCGTACCTCCGAGCCTGGACGACCGCGGTTGATATAAGTAGGGTCGGAGAGGGCTTCTGGTACGCACCAGAACGGAGTGTTCGTCATGGTGAGCGCAACGAAAGGCGCGTTGACGGGTCCAAGGAGGTGGAAGCCGGAATTTGACAAGAAGGCTTTCCGTCACGGCCGAGCGGGCCGAAAATAATCGATGACGCGCCGGCTGCTCACCCGGCAAATGCGGGAGCGAGGATTTGCAAGACCTATCACACTGCGTACTAGTACACTCTCCTGGAATGATAATCTACTGCGCGAGCTATCCCTTACCTACCTTGTGCAGGTGAAGCGATGCCGCTTTGCATCCCCATCGCGTTCGAATAAGCGCTTGATGCCATTAGAACCCACCACACGCGCTGTGCCTATGAGGCGTGGTCATTGTTTTAGGTAACGGTCGCGCCGTCCTCGACATAGACACCACCACTTTGAGCGCAACAAGCGCCGGGGCCTGTACTAAAGTAGACGAGGAAGAAGGTTGTGTAAGGGCCTCAAGGCGATTCCTGTTCAAGGTTCCCACCTCCCAGCATGCGCCGCAATGGTATCGTGCACACCGGGTCCCTCGACGGGTCGCAAGAGCCTAAGTACCTTGACTTGGAAGAGGTCCGGGCGAAGGTGAACATCATCGATGGTGCGCGCTAGTCCGGTCTCCCCCGCGTGCGTATATGTAAAACTCATCGTGGCAACAACACCGGCCCACAGTCACCGCGCAAGTCATCCTGACGCAGGCTTTCCGCAACACCTCGGCGCATGCTACGGGGCGGGCGAAGTACAGCTTCCCCGTGCCCGCGGGCGCAGCGCTCTGCGCGTTCGAGCTCAGGACGGAGGACGGGGCGGTCGTGAAGGCTGTTTGCAAGGAAAAGACGCAGGCGCGACTCGAGTTCGAGCTGGCGCTGGAAGAGGGGCGCGAGACGGGTCTGCTGGACTGGGTGACGGACGACAGTGCGTGGAACGCGAAACTACTACGTAGAATGCCACTCCAGCTCACCCGTTGCAGTCTTCACCATCTCGATCGGGTCCGTGGCCGCAGGCGCTCGCGTGACGACGAAGGTTGTGGTGAGTGTGGTGCATTCAATCCTGGGAGGCTCGGCGGCAGCTCATGAGGCTGCGGTATATAGTACACGATGACTCTCATGAACGACGACTATGCGGACGAGATCCGGTTCCAGATGCCCATGTGTGTGGGCGAACGCTACGGCCCCCCGCCCAGTGCTCTCGAGGGCGCATCTGACCCATCATCCTCCACCCGGATCCGCATCACAGCCCACATCCAGACGAGCGGGACTATCGATCACATAACCAGTCCCAGCCACCCCAACGAGATCACGCAGAGTCGCTACGAGACGGGACTGGGCCGAGCGTCGCGACGGCGGGTGACGGTGAACTATCGCTCGAAGAACTTTTTGGAACGTGATTTCGTCCTGGTTGTGAGAGCGGAAGGACTGGACGAGCCGCGGTGTTTTGCGGAGCTGTACAGAGATCCGAAAGGCCGACATTCTGACACCCTTGCGCTGCAATTCACTGTTGTGCTGAACAAGAAGCTCCCGTCCGTTTCTAGACAAGAGTTTGTTTTCGTGGTCGACAGGAGTGGGAGTATGGGCGGCGCCCGTATCGAGACGGCCAAGAGGTGCTTCGTTCAACCCGTCGATTTTCTGGATGCTGATGGTCTTGTGAAGTACGCTGGGTTTGCTCCTCCGGATGCTTCCTAACGAGAACACGTCCTTCAATGTGTTCAGTTTCGGCAGTAAATACAGCAGTCTGTGGTCCAACTCCCAGCCATACAACGCAAGCACTCTCCAGAATGCGGTGCGCCTGTCAAAACACTATCCGGTCTCATGCACACTCATCATTTGACCAGTCTTTGCATGTGGATGCTATGTCTGCTGATATGGGCGGCACCGAGATCGGGAGCACCCTGAACGCGACGTTTTCGGCGCGAGACAATTCTAGAGCCACAGCAGTGTTTCTTCTGACGGATGGAGAGGTGAGGCGGGTTTCAATATACTGAATCGCAAATTGAGCCCTATCCAGTCCAATGGTCGGGAAGTCATCATTGCCGATATTCGGAGAGCTGTGCAGGCGTCTCACGCCGGTGGCTCTCGACATCATCTGCGTGTTTTCTGTCTGGGCATTGGTGATGGCATCTCAACCGACACATGTGAGGGCATCGCTAGGGCTGGAAACGGGGTCTGCCTCTTTGCCGTACATACTGAAGACATCGTTGGGCGATGCGCGCGATTGTTCCGCGCCGGACGCAAGAACATCGTGAAAGACATCGCCATTGATTGGGGTGTTCCTCTGGAGCGACTGAGATCGCCTGTTGTCAATTTCACCACTCCGGATGGTTCGACGAAAGCACAGCTGCGCCCTGCCCCTGCGGTGCAACAATCGCCCAAAGACATTCCGTCGTTTCACGCCGGAGTCAGGATGTGCGTGTATGCGATCCTCACGTTGCGGACGAGCATGGTGCCCAAGGAGATTACGTTAACTGGGCGACTGGACGACGGCACCGCTTTCGAGCTGAGCAAAGTGCAAATTCGGGGCGTGAATCTCAAAGACGGCGAGCGCGGTCATCCGGCCATCCACAGCCTCGCGGCTTGGCGCCTCATTCAGGATCAGCAGGACAGCGCTGCTCCTCTTGCAGCCGTGTGGGGCGATGCGCCTGACCATGAAATCCGCAAAGCGAGCATCATTCGCTTGGGAGCGCGATACCAGATTGCCACTCAGCACACCTCGTTCATTGCGGTGAACATTGCGCCACCACCATCGCCGAAGCGGGCTCGCAGTCCAACGCCTCCGAGGGACCCCAGTCCACCTCGTGACTCTCCGATCGGACCTGTGGGAGCAGTTGTCCGTCGTTTATTGGGCACTTTTTGGACTGCACCCTCATCTCAAGACAACGAGGAGCCAGGACCGGAGCCAGAGGTGCCCGGAGCGTGGCACGATGACCCTCAGCCGGACACTTCTCGGGACAACGACGGCGACGACGGCGACACAGACAGCGTGCGCACCTTCACGACGATCAGCAGCCTCGATCCCTCTCCTCGATCATCCTTGTGGACGAATTGGACAGACGATCCTCAGCAGCCGATATCAGAGGAGGATGCTATCATGCAGCGCTGCCCGTCGCCGAAACTGGAGTCGCTCAGACTGGCCCCTCCTCACATCCAGCGCCGCACGCAGCCGGCAACGCACGTTCAGACTGGGGCATTGCCGCCGCCGCCACCTCCGAGAGCCACGGCGGTCCCAGCACAAGTCGTGCAGCTGGTTCGGTTGCAGAACTTCGACGGGTCCTTCGGCGAGGATAGTGCACGTGCTGTTGTTGGCAGTCAGGCGCTGCAGCGACCCGCTGGATTCGGGGTGCTCGTGACGGATCAGGTGTGGGCGTCGGCGGTCTGCATCGCGTTCATGATGGATAATCTGCCGGGCGCCGACCAGAAAGAGCTGTTGGATGAGTTGGTTGAGAAGACGCATCAGTTTTTGATGGGCAGACTCGGTACGGAGTCCCAAGTGAAGGCCCTCGTCAAGAAGGCACGGCAGGAGCTGGCGAAGTGAATACCCAGGGGATGTATCATACCACATATATACTACGGCTTGTATCGTCAGCGTGTAATTTCTTGAATTCTGTCTTGCTGTAAACTAGCACGATTTGTTGGTAGTATATGGGTCTGGGTCGAATCCTGGTGCTCGTTTGGGAAATATTGGTCAAAAAAGCACCAGGCGCCGCGTGAATGTCCTGCATGGAGAAGGATACAGCAGCAGAACGACTCCCTTCTCGTCGCCATCACCTCAAAAACACTTGCTTTATCTGCTAACTCGCGCAATTCAACGCCAAACAGGAGACAGAGGTTGACTGAAATTGTAAGTCGAGTAGGACTCGCTTACGGATGACTCATCCAAGCTATAACGAGTACTATGAGGATCAGCGACTACGCGAGATGGTCCGTGCGTTCACGTGCTTGTACTCGATTGTTGGCATATGTTGTGTTCGTGGCTGTGGACACGCGCGCTGCTTTCTCTTTCCCTCTATTACTCCCTTCTTCAACACGCAAAATGAGCTCCAACGACAACGAGGAACTGATCGACTACGAGGATGAGCACGACATCGTCCCCAGTGCTGCGCCCGCTGGGACGAACGGTGCAGTGGCGGGCGACGAGGACAAGGAGAAGAAAAACTTCTCAAGCATCCACTCCACGGGTTTCCGGTGTGTATATGCACTTCACCCCATGCCAATTCAGCTTACAATTGACTCATAAAAGGGACTTCTTGCTCAAGGCTGAGCTGTTGCGAGCAATCAGCGACCTTGGTTTCGAGCATCCGTCCGAAGGTCAGTTCTTTCATGCCTCAGCCAAGTCGCGACATGGCTCACGCGTCCACTACAGTTCAGCAAGAGTGTATCCCGCAGGCTGTTCTCGGGATGGACGTCCTCTGCCAGGCAAAGTCCGGGCACGGAAAGACTGCGGTCTTCGTCCTCGCGACTTTGCAACAGCTTGAGCCTGTTAACGGCGAGGTGTCCGTGATCGTTCTCTGTCATACGCGTGAACTCGCGTTCCAGATCAAGAACGAATACACGCGCTTTGCCAAGTACATGTCCGACGTCCGTGTTAGCACGTTCTACGGCGGAACACCCGTGTCTAAGGACTCGGAGATTCTTCGTGACAAGTCCCGGTGCCCACACATCATCGTCGCCACACCTGGCCGACTGAACGCCTTGGCGAGAGATAAGGTCCTCGACGCAAAACACGTGAAACACTTCGTGCTCGACGAATGCGACAAAATGTTGGAACAGCTTGGTTAGTCTCCGCGACCGCTCGTCATCATCCCCTCTTTGTGTTCCTGGCTGCGTATTCGCCGATCGTCCGTCTCGGGCTCGCCGTCGATTTACATTTCGGATGGTGTTGCATCCCATGGTTGGAGTGTGGTCGCGGGTCTCCTGGTCGGGGTTGTCGAGTTGGATGGTTGTTGGTTCCAAATTGCAGCGAATGGCACAAGGCACCGCACGCACGGGACCTCCGTTTCCGCTTCTCTTACTTCTTTTCTTGTTCACGCTGGATCGGCTCGCTCATCTAACCTCGACACTGTCCAATAGACATGCGCCGCGATGTACAAGAAATCTTCCGGGCGACACCTCACCACAAGCAAGTCATGATGTTCAGTGCCACCTTGGCGAAGGAGATCCGGGCCACTTGCAAGAAGTTCATGTCCAACGTCAGGCTCCTTCTGGCTGATATGTCGCAACATCGCTAACGCACGCACAGCCGCTGGAAATCTTCGTCGATGACGAGACTAAGCTCACCCTTCACGGATTACAGCAACACTACGTCAAGTTGGAGGAGAACGGCAAGAACAGGAAGTTGAACGAATTGTTGGACACTCTCGAGTTCAACCAAGTGTGTTTTGTCTCGTTGTTTACCAGGCCGTTCTCTGATCATGGTTTCCAGGTCGTCATCTTTGTCAAGTCCGTTGCGCGTGCCAATGAACTGGACAAGCTTTTGGTGTCTTGCAATTTCCCTAGCATCAGCATCCACTCTGGGCTTGCTCAAGAGGAGCGGTACGTTGTGTGTGTACTTCGACAGCGCTGTCGGCTCAGGTCTCGTCCAGTATTGCCCGATACACCGCCTTCAAGGCCTTCGAAAAGCGTATCCTCGTCGCCACTGACATCTTCGGTCGTGGAATCGACGTTGAGCGAGTGAACATCGTTGTCAACTACGACTGCCCACCGGACGCCGACAGCTATCTCCACCGAGTCGGTCGTGCGGGTCGTTTCGGTACCAAGGGTTTGGCTGTCACGTTTGTGACTTCGGAGGCAGACACGGCAGTCATGGCCGCCATTCAGTCCCGATTCACTGTTGCCGTCCCCGAGTTGCCTGACCACATCGAACCTACTAGCTACAGTGAGTCGTATTCTATCTTTCTCGTGATCCGTCTCTTAACGTGTCCGTAGTGACCTCGTAATTGTATTTCTTACTGGTGTCCTTTTTTGAATCTCTGTTTGTACCCTACAATAGTCTGCACTCTGTGGAAGCGCCACTTCTCATATCTGATCATACAATCGCAACACGCTTTCAGGCTCTGTAAGACACCCGCGAACTGGCCAGCCAAAATTCGGTTCCCCCAACTTGACTCCATCCGACGGGCCCGAGATCGCACTCTGCACAGGCGAGAAGCTTCATGTCGGGCGCTGATGCTGCGTACGGACAGCACATGAGCAGAGAAAGTGGGGAAGAGATTCCTGTACGACGCGCCTAGTGGTTTGGAGAAACCGATGTTTTCGAACTCCATCGGCGAAGGGCTCACGAGCCACCACGACGTCAGATCCGGTGCTGCCGGCAGCGCCGGGAGCAGCTCATGCGTGCGATCGGCAGGCTCCATCTTCAGTAACGAGACCCAATCAATCAGACCGACAAAAGCTCGGGGCTCGCAGGCGCCAGCGCACCTGGACACCGGGTTTCTCGACGAGCCTCGCGGCGCCCGTGCGCAGGATGAGGCTCGCGCACTCCGCGCGGGGGCAGTGCAGGTCGTACTTGTTGACGAGGAACGTGGACTCAGGCATGCTCACGGCGGCCAGGCCGTCGGGGAAGGACTGCAGCGGCCGCGTCGCGGGGCGGGGTCTCGATGACGACGACGACGATTGTTGGCTCAGTGCGGCGAGGAGTCCGGGAGGGATCTGGTCTGCGCTCGGGGGGTTGGCTGGGTCTGCCATGGTAATGGGGATCTGGAAGGCAGGACTGGAGTGATTGAGTTCAAGGCCGGAGATTAGATAAGATGATGATCAACGTGCGCACGCCGCAAGAAAACTAGTTGTGAGTAGTTCGAGTCTATTCTAGGTTTACATATCGTGTTTACTACACCTGAATTACATATAGCACCGAGATTACATATAGCTATAGATACATCCCAAGAAACGGAACTAGATCGACGCCTCGTCCGCAGTCACGCAGGCGGCGCTCCAAACATCGACAAGAGCGATAGCAGATCGCCTTTGAAGGTGTCAGTCAACCAGAGGTCAAAGGCAGTAGAAACGACTTACTCCTCTTCAACGGCTTGCTGAAAAACGCGTTCATCCCTGCACTGAGACAAAGCTGCTTCGTCGATTCTTGGCAGTCAGCGCTCAGAGCGATGACTGAGCGAGCGATGCGCGGTCAGCAGAAACCCCAACCCCGACATTTGTAGGACCAACTCACTCGGTAGCGAGATCTCGGCTTTGCGCTTTTGCTCGAGGTGCCTCAGCCGTTTGGCAGCCTCGACGCCGTCGCATATCGGCATATCTGGGTTGTTGTCAGTCGTCAGCGGGCGGGAAGGTGCGAACGTAGGGAGGGTAGATGGACGCACGGTGATCGAACAGTGCGACACTGAAGTATCCTGGCTCGTGTTTCTGCCATTCCGCCAATGCCTCGTTGCCATTCGATGTGGCAACGACCGTGAGGTCGTGTTTTTGCAGCTGCTTGACGAGCAGGTTCTGTGCAATCTGGTTGTCTGCAGCGACCAATCCCACCGTTGTCAGCCAGTCTCTGGGATTACTGCACAGAAAAGCACGCACCCTCTGCGACCAACACATTCCCAAACAAAGTCCTCCTTGCTTGTGCGATGTTCTCCATCGCGAGACTGACACTCGACTGCAGGGTCTGCGCAGCAGACGGCATCTCGTTCGGAAGATCTTTGAGCCCGGCCAGCAGCTGGAGCATCCTCGCCTGCCGCGGGGGTTTCGTCATCTTGTTCACGCCGGGCGTGTTGCTGCTGAACATGGACTGCCCGGCGCCGCGTTTGGTCGTCGTGGGCGTGTACATCTGGATGATCTTCGTATCGTGCAGCACCGAAAGCGTCCGCATGAGCGTCGCTAGCTGCCCCGCCCGCGTCTCCGACTGGTCGTCGAGGATCACAAAGTCGAGCGGGACGCGCGAGTGGTCGAACTCCCGCAGCCGGATCTCCGCGTTCGCGAGGTTCAGCACAAGCGTCACGTGGAACCCTTCGAACATGGTCTTGAGGAAGGCCAGGGTGTATTCGGAGGCCGAGCAGACCAGAATGTGCAGGGGTCGAGGATGCATCAGCATCGACCTGACGATCGCCAGATCACCCAAGAACTACAGCTGTCACCAAACGGTCGTTGAAAGCGCGTAACAGCAAAACGCACCTTTCTGGACTCCTCGGCGTCATACAGCTTGACAGGAATCGTGAACCAGAACGTGCTCCCCACATTCAGCTCGGAATGCACCCCAATCGCCCCGCCCATGAGCTTCACCAGCTGCCGCGAGATCGACAAGCCCAGCCCTGTCCCGCCGAATCGACGTGTGGACGTGTTGTCGGCTTGTTGGAATGGGACAAACAGCAGCTCGACGTCGCTCAGGGAGAGCCCGATACCCGTGTCTTGGATGGCGAACTTGAGCTTGACCTCGTCCGGCCCCGTGATCGCGTCGACGGAGCACAGCACACGGACTGAGCCACTGGCGGTGAACTTGACTGCGTTGCCAATCAAGTTCATGAGAACTGGGGAAGATCAGCCGATGGAAACCAGATAATACCAGAAGCCCACCTTGGCGTATCCGAGCGTAGTCAGAGTAGACCCCTGAAGGAAATGAACAGACGGTGCGGAACATGACTGAAGCAGCTCACAAGCAGGAACGTTGGCTTCGATGTTGAACGTCAAATCCAACTTCTGAGCCGCCATGGGAAGAAGCAGCTCCATGCAGTCCTAGATAGTGAGACGTTCGATGTCAGCAATCTAGTTCAGCCGCTAGTCGACGCACAGCAATGATACTCTGTAGCGCACAAGATTCAGATCGAGTAGCGGATAGAAAGGATGCACGGACCTCGACCAAGAACCCAGAAGGCTCCAACTTCACAGCCGACGCCTCGAGTTTACTATAATCCAAGATGGAGTCGATGATCTATCCGGGCGTCGATAATCAAGTCCTGTAGCCGAGAGACACACACGTACCCTAAGCAGCAGCTCACAAGACTGCTTCGCAGTCTGTACAATCTCGCTTTGCCCGTCATCGAGGTCTGTACCGCTGAGCAGGTCCAACAGGCCATAGAACGAGGAAAACGGGGTCCGCAATTCGTGGCTCATCGACGCAAGGAAGTTGCTGCCCGAGTCATCATCGTCAGACACTTCGCCAGTGACAAAAACCAAGCACAAGCCGACGCACCCTTTGATCTTGGTCGCAGTCTCAGCGTCCTCCCGACTCTTCCGCGCAGCCTCGAGCGCGTCCCGCTGCGCCGCAATCATCTTCAGATTCTCCCTCGTCCCGGCCTGCACGCTCCGGAACAGCAGCGCATTCGAGACGCTCGTGCTCGCCTGCTGACACAGCAGCGTCAGCATCGTCACGATGTTCGGCGAGAACTCGTATTTGGACGCAAAGTACACCGCGCCGAACGTCTGGCCCCGGTTGGATCTGATCGGGAGACAGATGATCGAGCGGTGGGGCGACTGCGATGCCTCCGCGGTGAACTTGGGGTCCAGCGACGCATCCGAGCAGAAGAACGACTCCTTCAAGTTCAGGGTCTGCTCGATCACGGCCATTTGCAGGGGATCGGACAGCGTCCGCACTGAGCGCGGGTTCTCGTAGACCTGGCATGGCTCCGGGGGGATCATACTCGTCGCCAGTGTGTAGTCTCCCACTTCCCGAGCGATCACCACTGAAACACAAGACTTGAGCATACTTATGAATCAGGCACAAAAACTCACCGCAGGTGCTCTGAGACCCCGAAATGTCAGTCGCAATTTCCGTCAGCCGCTGCAGTGCTACCATCCAATCAGCACCCGGACCCGATGATGAGTGGCGAATGAAACTGACCAGAAGACAGATTCATGACACTCGAGATATCCTGGCTCGATTTAAGGATAGTCCATAGCTCCTGGGCGGTCAACTTGGAGTGCTCAGCATGCTCAGTCACGTCGGCGTTGGTCGAGAAGTACGAATGACCCGACGTCACTCCGACTCCCAAGGCCATGCTGTCCGTCTGCACAGCCGCATCGCAGAACAGCATCGCCCTTGGAGGCGCGCCTTGCGAGTCAGAGCCAAGCACGCCATTCAGGTAGTTGCTGGGAAACCCGTCAGCGGGACGACTATAGACGAAAAGAGACATACACGATTCCCTTGGCGCCCCATTGGGCGTGCCTCGATATCCCTCGTTTCTGGAGCTCGCTCCCGAGGCCTTCAACACCTTGCCGAACGAAATGCGAGCCTTGCTGTCAAGAGAAATCAGGTGGCGGCCAGGGTGAAATGCTAATACAACGTACCAGCCACAAGGCCCAGCCTTCCTCGTTGATCCAGTCGTTAGTCACGGCAAGTCTAACAGCTGCGTCGTACAGCTTGAACGCATCCGGGCTGTCCGCAAGCGAAGCCAATTCTGCGTCCTGCAAAAAGGGTCAGTGCAAGCCAGTGCATCAGACATATGGCGCAAACTCACGATGAGCGCGACCCAGGTACTGGTGTTGACAGGACTCGGAGAACGCCATCTTGGGAAGCCTGATCAGATCCAGTCCTGCCGCAAACAAATGGGCGGATCGCACCTCGAGATGTACTTTTGGTTCAAGTACACCTGGTTCAGATACTGCCTCCGTACTTGATCCGAGAGCTCACTCGCTCGAAGACACCCTATCAACGCCAAGTTGTGGAAGAACAGTCCGTATCGGACGTGCCGGTGACTGAACGACGTCTAAATGAGAAAGCATCGTAAGCCAGGCAAGGTAACGCACTTAGGGTGTTTATCCCGGGTCAGATACAACTCGAAACCTAGTTTGGCCGCCTCTTCCTGGAATCCCAGACAATAGAACCCCACCACCTTGAAAGTGTTGTACCAATTCAGCGCCAGAGGTATGTTGCCTGAGGTCTCGTGAATGTATTGCTGGTACTCCGACTCCACGAACGTGGCTGTGTCGAACGCCGTCTCCGCCGAAGTGGCCAGTGTCAGTCCACTCAGTGCCGGATGCAGTTCAGATGAGCTGTGGAAGCACACGTCAGAAAGCGATAGTGACAATGGGAAGCTGGTAATCACCCATAGCGAGCACGGGCGACGGTCCCTTGGGCGCCCATTGGCTGACATCAGCCACGCACTCCTCCGCCGCGATGACCAGCTCACTCACTACCAAGCACGTCAGCAATTACACCCCGCAAATCAATAAGAACACACATACAATGCTCGCAGACAAACAGACGCGTCAAAATCAGGTGAATGCTGGCGAAGCTCGTGTATACCCTGCCGACCCTAGTCAATCCCCCATCAGCAATGACACCAACCGAACTCACCGATCACCAGCACTGTGGCCGTATTGTACCGCAAGCTGGAACCGATCCAGATTCGCGCGGATATGCATGTTGTCGTATCCCGACACCATGGACCCGTACAACTGATGTGCTCGACTGGGCTCCGATTAGCTCGATGGTACATGCGATCTGATGGCCTCACAGACCATTTATCAGCACTACTGCCATGTCGTTCCGCAATCTTCAATGCGACCTGGGCCAGGTCGACCGATAGACGATATAGATCTTTGCGTTCAGCGGCAGCTGGAAGCATGTTCAATCTCAAAACTGAAAATAGAAACCGAGACTGAAACGCACCACCCAAGGCCCAGAAAAACCCGGTAGCTGTTCCCGGAGACATGCCTGAACGCAGTGCGAGGCGGATCGTCTTCGACAACCGTCAATGCCTTCATCGACTGCGACTTGTAAATCTACGAACCGTGCAGCCAATGACCTCAATCGCAAACGGCGACGGACTCCAGTATGCATTGATCCCCGCATCGTTGAGCAACGCCACAGCCAGCTCCGTCCTCGGATCAGTCGTCCTCGGCGTCGCCAAGATCTCGTCGAACCCCACGGCCAAAATCTCATTATGCACCTGATCAAACAGCCGGTCCGCCTCCCGCCTCGACGGCGACGTGTTGATCTCCACGCCCAGGATCTTGAGGGCCAGCAGTGTGTCATTGAGCGCGTCGGAGAACCGGTTGCAGAGCCATTTATTGCGCGAGCGTTGCCAGAGCATCGCGCCCTGGTCCTCGGGCGCCTCGCTGTGGTCGAGACACTCCTGGATCAGGCGCTCGGATTCTTCGTAGTCGCCCTGCCATGAGGTCAAGGCAGACAGCCGCCGCAGCAGGTTGAGCGTCCGACGAGGGTTGACTACCCACGGGTTCTTGCGGAGCAGTGTTCGCGCGTTCAGGAACGACTTGAGCGCGAGCTAAACGGGAGTCCTTTAGTCATCGAAATCAGGTTCACTTGGGGGCGGTAATCACTTCGTGAGCCCCGCGGGCCCAGGCCGACTCCCCGGCATCAATCAAGATGTCCAAGAACTCGTTGTGTTTCGCGTGGTCTCGGAGTAAGGGCAGACAACTGAAAGGTTTTAACACAGCGTCAAAAGAAAACCTCAAGCTTACTGGGTCGCATGCTCTGCAATCCGATAGACCACAACTTGATTCTCATTCATCATCATCAAATGATCTGCAGAAAGAGTCAGCGCTTCAGGGATGAGCTTCAAAAGCACAGAAGCGCACCCGGAGAGACATCTTGGCCACCACATCCTCAGACAACGACGCGACTTCCTCTTGCGCAGCCTGCCGGTACCGGTCGTGCGCAAAGCTACACATGTCACGCGCTCTCTGGATGATCCACCCTTCCTCGATGGCCATCTGTAGCCCCCTCATCGAGGCTGATGCATTCGCCATATTCGGAGCTGCGTCGGGCACATTCGAAACGGCACGCGCAGCGACCGGCCAGCCCTCGCCGTCCTCCTCTCCGGAGCTGCCGCTACCAGCGTCCTCTCCATCGATCAGGCGCGCGATCTCAGTCAGATTGAAGCTATTTCTCGTCAGGGGAAGAAGAGAAACAACGCCATATCAACTCACGCTTCGCCAAACATCGCTGCCCATCTCAGGTACTTTTTGGCTTCCTCGGGGAGCTCTTTCAGGTTCGAGATCAGGAAGGACAGATCCGTCGGGTCCGAGATCTTCTTGCTCCCCAGACTCTCTTCAGCAGCAGCAAGATCGAAGCTGGACATTTCAATTTAGTAAGCCGCCGTTAAATCACACTTAAAGAATCACTCACTCCCAACTGTTATGTTCCCAATTGTAAACAACCTGAGTCCGCTCAGAGAGACGCCAGAGAAGGGCACGTGTTACTCACGTGATGCTGTCTCTGCAGGGTGGCCAATATGTTCCTCGCGGAGAATGCATTGCCAGAGGAAGCCTCGAAAATGACTCGTGAAAGCGGAAGGCAGTCCTCCTTGGGCCGATGGAGAGACTTGGCGACCATGGATCCGATCGCCGAATACGGTAAAGAGTCGAGCGTAATCCACGTAGCACGTGATCGACCAGCGAACATCGATCGCACGCGTTCGACGATCTCACTGCGCGGAAAATGAGCGTAGGACGGGGGGAGGAGGTAGAGACCCACGGTTCTCCCGAGCGCAGAGTGGCGAATATGAGCTGCGGAGGGGCGATCAGTTCGTCCAAGTGCATTCAATGGCTGACGCACGATTCGGCATTTAGAGTTAATGAGCGCTTCGACTAGATCCAGCGTCCTGCCGGAGGGTTAGCGCCAGACACCACAAGACGTCATCTGCCACCACGCACGACTCATCGGCTTCGTGCAAGTCATCCAGGAACAGCGCAAACAACCTCGTCTCGGCGATCACAGCGAAAACGGACAGCACCAGCGTTTGGAATCTGGTCCGTAGCTCCCGGGTACTCAGATGCTCTTTGTGCTGAGCCAGCTTGATGTCGAATAGGGCGAGAACCTCCTTGAGCTCCGGGGTGCCGTGGTAGAGGAGCGGGACATTCTGCAGCTGAGGGCCGAGGTGTTCTTTCAGAGCAGTGACGAAACGTTGGAGGTCGGTGTGAAACACCATCAGCTGGCGTAGCACAGCAGCGAGGCAGCTCAGCTAAAGAGGCGTCACATGTAAGAAGAGCAAACGGTAAATCCGCACACCATTGTAGAGAACGGCCCTGAAGAATCAGCATTCATGAACTTGGCATGACCCCACAGCCCGTGTGCTGGACGGAATACACAAGTCAGAAACTTTCTTCCCGCCGAAACAGGCAGTCAGCCAACCTCGCCATTTAGCCTGGTTAGCTAGAATAATCGAGCTCTTTCCAACGCTGTCCGGATATGGTAAGTCGATTGCCCAGAGGGGAACGCATGAACTTGCCCCGGTTCCCCAGTTACGATCACAGCATGCGTCCGGGCTACGCGCGATTTGGTATTCAGCGCGACCCTTCTTAGAGTATCTGTCGTGCCCGTCGTAACCGAGCCCGCGCTCGACGGAGGGCCAATCATACTCGGCCCCGCCAAAGTCACGCTTGATGTCGGCCCAGATCCCATCATGACATCATCCATCGGCGATTCGCTTCGCACTGACGAATGCGGCGATTCAGCTTGCGTCGCTTGGATTGGCTCGTCTGAGACGTCGGCGACGGAGGCACTGGACCCGGAGCGATATGTCCCCGCTGTGCTGGATGACGGCATGATGTCCATCGAAAAGCTTGCCGTGCAGTTTCGGACTGTTTGTGTCGTGAGAAACACTCGGAGAATCACTGAAAGCGTCACTCACTGACGTTCCTCACGATCTCTAGCTCTTTTTCCCGACCAAACTAGAAAGAATCAGAGGGGCTGCATTGCGTCTGTCATTCAGTGTCGCACCAGAGTCAGTGGCATCGTGAAATCCTTTACGTCACGCTTCAGTCTAATCCTGGAAGGTATCAAAAACTCACCATGAATCGATCCCGAAGTGTGATTTCGAATGGCGGAATCAACTGCAGAGGGTAAGGGTAGCAATCGACCGTAAGTGAGGTGGGCAAACCTCAGAAGATTGTTCAGAAGTAGAAGAGACAGTGGCAAGCAACCGTCTCTGACATTCCAGCAGATCTTCCTTTAAACCCCAAGCACTCTGATATCTTCCATCCGGACTTTTTACAAGCAGCTGTCAGAAGTGTCAGGAAGAGAAGTTCTACTCCAGAGAATCCACAAACCTTGTCCACGATCGAGGCGAGCACTTGCGGCACATCGCGCCGAACTTCATGAACAGGCATAGGTCGTTTCTGCACGATCGAGTGCAAGAGCTCGATAGGACCACCCTCAAAGGGCATCTGTCCTCTCCCCACAAGCAGTGTCCAGAATAATATACCCAGGGAATAAAGGTCGGTCCTATGATCTTGTGTCATCGTCTCGATGCTTCCGGTCTGCTCCGGCGCCAAATAACACAGTGCTTCCTTCACCTTGACCTTCTCGAGCTCGTCAAAGGCGCGGAGCACGAGGGAAGACGGGGATCCAAAACTCTCGAGGGAGATGGCGCGATTCCCAAAGTGAACGAAGCGAACTAGCCCAGAGTGCGAGTTGAGATGGAAAGCGTTGGCTCGGACTGTGGGGTGCAGTTCCGCTGTAAGCATCCAGATGGCACACCGTTCCATACGAGCGTACCTTCGCGATGGACCACGCCCGCACTGTTTTTCCGCCATGAGGTTTAGTAAACGTAACAAGAGAAGCACGCACCGATGCATGGACTCCAGGCAGTGGGTCGCTTGGATAGCAAACCTATAATGTTCAGCGAATCTGCAGCTTAGGAATACACCCAGACGCACTCAAGAAACGACGCCAGGTCCATGATATCAAACCCCCCAACCTCATCCAGCAAATTCGGCTCCTCGATATCCATCAGAAACGCGTCGCTGTGCATGCCATGGTTCGACAGCGGTCGCACACGCGATAAGTCGGGCAGCAGCAGGTCGTTGATTTTCGTCGGCGGGAGGTACCGGCCGAGCAAGTTGAGTCCCGGGTGTCCCAGAAGCAGGCAAACAACGTCGCCGCTGTCTCGGGGGACGGTGAAGAATTCGATGATGCGCAGAGCGTGCGAGGCCCCGTCCGACGTTCCAGAAAGGCGCCCCAAGCTGTGCGTCGGCCCGTGAGTCTCAGCCCCCCCCAGAACGCGCAGAGAACTCGGACGTACATGTGCGCCTCCCGCTCGAGACACATCGACCCATTCGACTGTGTCCGTGCGATTTTCGCGAGTACGTTCGACTGGTCTTGGAGGCTGCTTCCTTCCGCGAGCATGGTCATACTCCCTGTGTCTTGCCATGATCGCGCCTGGAGGAATAAGTAAAATTTGCGATCGAACCGCGTTGGCCATGATGAGACGAACCTTTTCAAATGTATACCCCGGCACGGACAGCACTCCATCGCGAAAGTATAGGGTCGCAAGCGGCCCAAACTTGCGTCGCATCCAAGGTCGCCGCGGTGTCAAAAGGCAACAGGTGCTAGATGCTCAAGTTGTCATACAAGGCCCCGCCAAGGTTTTGGACGGCATCAGTGATGAATCTTATCTGTTGGCAACACACGAGATGGGTGGCTCAAGAACTCAGGGAAAGATAGATGTAGCATGAATTGGCATTGACGACAAGTAACTGTGCAGTACTACAGCGTTACTATCTACGTCCACAAGAAACGGACGAGTAGTAAAACTAGACCGCAACCACAGCACAGTTTGACACTGGCTGATTCGCACGAGCTCAGCAAGCAGCACAAACCTCGTACCTTCCAAGAAAGAATTCGAGGAGAGGAATGCATAACATCCGTCCTCTCTTCTTTCTTGGAATGCTGCTCTGGCTCGAGAAAACACTTGAAACGTCAAACGGAGAACGCAGCCTGACAAAGGAAGAACGCACCAGAGATACTGGAGAAGAAATGCCCACAGCGGCATTCCTGGGCGAGTTTGAGTAGTGTCCCAGGTCGCAATTTGGCCAGATATACAATACCCCTGCTTATGTCTTGTCGCACCGCTCAGAAAGATACATACCTTACCCTTCGTCATGATGACTGTCGTCCTCGTCGTCCTCGTCGTCGCTCAAAATCAACACGCATGGCGCATTCCGCGTGTCTGGCCACTTGGACTGGAAAAGTGGCAGGTCGACGATCATTTCCGAGTCTTGCAGGGCACGGGCCTTGATGACAACAGTTGGTGCCGGCGGTGGCGATATGTTGGACTTCGGTTCCAATTCTTCATCCATCGACCTGAACGTCCTCAGTCACCACTTCTAGGACGGTGCATGAGACTGAACGAGTGACAATAGGACGTACCGACTCTTCGCTTTGATCACTGCTAGAATTCGATCCCTGTCTTGTTTCGTCTTCGCCGATGTCAACTGCTCCATCAACTGCTTGCTTTCAGCAATCTGGGCCTCCAAACGCCGCTGCTTTGCCGAAAGCTCCTCCTTGACCCGACTGCTTTCGTTGCAAACAGGAGCTGATGCCGCAGGTTGGGTGATGATGGAACTGGGCATCATTTGGATAGTCTCCGTGATAAAAGACGCGGCGAGATCGTCCAGCGACAGCACGGCCAGGTTATTTGTTGGTGTGTTGACAGCCGGAAGGGAAACAACAGGAGGAACGACAAGAACTGTGGGTTCAACCTTGACTGCGCTAACCTTGGCCTTATTCCGCTGGCTCTTCAAAACAAGCTGACGCAGATTGTCTTCCATCGCAGCTGCATTGATGACGACGTCTTCACTAGCTGCCGGAGTCGAACTCCGGGAGGAGATCGTGGACGGAATCACTGGACTGGCAGCAGGAGGCGCCTCAGCTTGAACGCCCTTCATCTCCAATTCGAGCTTTCCTTTGGCGATGCGCTCCTCAAGTTCCTTCTGTCGGGCAAGAAGAGACCGTTTTGTGAAGCTCGGCGCTGTAGGTGCATTTTTCATCGCTCGTGGCTCAACTGGAGCTTCGTTCCAAACGGGTTGAACGAAAGGGCGCATAGGCAGTTCGTAGACGACCGAAGGGGCAACCGGAGAAACGGGGGTGGTCGCGATGTCCATGTCCGTCTCGCCAGTGTTCGGCGGTGGAGGCAGATACGGTGCGGCGATATCCATGTCGATGTCGGTGTCTTTCTCGACTGTGTTTGCGGAGGCCAAAGTCGAAGGACCGGCTTCGTTAGTAGAGCTGACTTGCGACCACGACATAGAAGCCTCGAGTAAGGTGTTCGCCTCTTGCATCTTCTTCTTGGCCTCTCTCTCTTTAGCCAGTCTCGCCTTCCTCTCTTTCTTGGTCTCTTTTTTCTCTGCCACGACAGGAGGCGGGGCGCTGGGAACTTCCATGTCGTCGCCCTCGATCTCACCCTCCTCGAGCTCGCCGACACCAGCATTAGCACCCACTCCAGGGACACGATACCACCAGACTCGGATCAGATCCTCTCTCGGCTTGCCCTTGACCGGAGGGCCCGAGCCGCCTGCAAGCTTCGGACTGCCCCAGGCCTTGCGGGCTAATTCAGCCGTCGTGAATTCGATCAGTGCCTTGGCCGATGATGGATCGATGGCGAAATAGACAGGCAACGCCCCAGCGGCGGAATTGCTCCATGTCTTGATGAAATCACGGTTCCGGCACGTCTTTGGTAGCTGCTCCATGACGATCGTGCGCGCGGGATTCGGAATGTACTTGTCGCTGTGCTGGCCTGGGCCAGATGTGATAGTTTGGGGGGAGTAGGCAAATGTTCCGTGTTTACTGTGTTTGTCTTGATCCGGATGCATTCCGATGATGGTGGAGACAGGCTTCTTGGTGAGCACTTGGACCGGCCTAGCGAGAGGAGCTGGAGGTTGCGGTGCTGGCAGAGGGGGAGGGGGAGGAGGTTGTGGCGGAGACGCGGCTTTCGCAGGCGGGGGCGGGGGCGGGGCTATGGCTGGGGGAGGAGGTGGAGGAGCTAGCAATGGGGTAGGAGTATCCGAGGTAGGAAAGGAATCGTAAGGCCCCCAATAGTCAGCATCACCAGCTGCAGTCATAGAGGCAACCCAAGCCGAGGGCTCCTCTTGTTGATCGTACGGATTAGACGACGGCCCGACGGAGAGAGGATTGTATATTGACGGCGGATGAAACGGTGGAGGAACAGGCATCGGGATGGCCATCGGCGGTGCAGAGTGGTTGAAGACTGCCTGCTCAGGGAACATGAAAGGAGGAGGCGGAAACAACGGCGGAAGGGGAAGCTGGAACGGAGGCAAGGCCGACGGGGGCGGTGCCCACATACCCGGCGCCGGCAAGAAGGGGTGCATGGCGAAGGACTGAGACATGACATGCGCTTGTCGAGCTTGTTCTTCGCGCTCCATCTTTCTTCTCCGCTTCCGACTCTTCTTCGACTCGAAGTGGATGGGGACCGGACCACTATGACTGGGACCAGCCATCGCCACGGCTGTGACTCCTAAGTCTTCTCTTTTCCGTTTTTTTAACGCGTTGCTGGTTTCTGGAGAATACATCGGCAAGAAACACAAGATTGAGACACTGCGATGGACGAACTTTGCATGTCTGAACCACCGGGTTGATTTATAGATGCCCTGGGTTTAGCGATGGGCACTGCCATTTGCGTACGGGTAGAATATTCGTCTTCATCATCGGAAACAAGAATAGGCGAGCTCTGTGAGCCGCGTGCAGCAAGTGTGGCGGCCATGACAGCGCAAATCGTGAGGTAGGAAGCAGAGGTGTCTGAGCCCCAACTTGAGCAGTTGACAAGTTCCAATCATAGAAGCAGGCACTTTCCCAGCCGGCATGATGAGAATATTGATTTCTGATTCCATCCATCAGATGTATTACAGGATGTTAGTGCACAAATTCTGTGCAGGTGTACTTGACGACAAGTATATAGCCTATCTCTACGAATAGATATCTACAATAAAAACAGGAGAAAGGTAGCCAGCGCCAGCAGCGTCCCGAGACGAACAGTAACACGCCCTGGCATGGCATGTAAGATGATCTCGTCCCACAGCGGAGGCCCGAAGACGACACAGGCCGTATAGAACTATAGTCGAGACGATCAGCTGAGAAGGTCGACACAGCAATTGCATGGGCATACCACACGGATGCTCTTCAGAACCAAAAATGGATATTCGTCAATGCGCGGTGTTGCGGTCGTCGGCTTTCCGCCCGCTGGATTAGGAATCACTCTCGGGTGGGTGAACATCACCCATATCGAGTAGAAAGCCACGGAGAAGAAATGGTAGGCAAGAAGAGAAGTAGACGGAGCGATCCTGTGATGGTGTCAACATATGGCATGAGCATAAATCTTGACGGGTGCGTACGCTGACAGCAGAGACACCGGTCCATTCACGCATTCACCCCCTCGCTCAAAGTACTTGAAGCAACCCGTTCGAAGGACCTCCAGCTCGGGAGCTTCACGTCAAGAGTTCAGACATGAGTCCCAGAAGATCTCGAACAGACTCACCTTCAGCGCCAAACAAGTCGTATAGTGCAACACTCAGAATATTCACTGTCGAGGCCAGAGCTTTCCTCTCCAAAAACCATCGATCCAGCGCCTTCTGCACTTTCTTCCAATCCCGCAGATCGGGAATGTCGGCCAACAGCGGCTGCAGCGCCACAATGTCATTCAAGGCAACCGTCATCCCTCCACCAGTCAAGGGATGTCGCATGTTCCACGAGTCCCCAATTAGCAAGACTCCCGGCTTGGGTGACGCGCGTCCCTGAGGTCGGGATGGAAGCCAGGAATTCGGCATACGGCGGAGGCGGTCCTTGTCGAGGGTCGCTTTCAACGGGTTCTGCACGGAAGCTGGGAGTTGCGGAAGAATGTTCGTCGTAATGTAAGTCTACCAAGGAGTCAGTGCACCGTCGGCTTTGAGATCGAGCAAGGGGGGGACTGACCTTGAGATCGGCCGGAATGGGTTGCCTGACGTCAATGAGGATACGTGTGTCGTGCTCGGAGATCCGGTAGAGCAGCACAGGGCCAGCGCCTTGCACAAGTGCAACAGTTCCATGGTCAGGCATCGGAAGGACCGCATCCTCGAGGATAGCGCCAACGAAGTGACTTTTCGTGATTGGTTTGACGGCCGAGCCCAGAACGGCGGAACGAAAGTTGGAGTAGCAGCCGTCAGCAATGACGACCAGGCTGGCATGGAACGAGCGCTTTTCCTCCTCCCCCTTCACTGAAGCCTTGACGCCAATGACCCGTCGAGCAGAAGAGTTGTCTTCAATGAGTTCGGCCACAGTTGCTTCAATGAGCTCCACACCCGGAGCCCGACGTGCCGCCGCCCTAAGTTACCGCCCCGTAAGACAGAGCTGGCGTGGTGAAAAGCAGAAACACGCACCGGAGGTTCATAATGAGACGGCCATGATGGAAAGCGCGTCCCTGGCGTCCCCCGGGGTACGGTATGTGCACAAGTTTCCCTGCATTAGAAACACAGTAGCCCAAGACCCGAGCGGCATCGATGCCCTCCAGCACGCCCTGCAAGCCGAGCTTCTGGAGTGCAGACACACCTCCGGGCTGCATCAGCTCGCCCACAATCCTGTCAGGCTCCTCCAGAGACCGTTCGAGTACGGCAATGCGCAAAGGCTTCTCCCGTGGGGAGGTAGCAAGGGCCTGCGCTATAGCACAACCAGCGACACCGGCGCCAACAACGAGCACGTCGTATGAGTTCGCCATGGCTTGTTCAGAAACTTTGTCTCCGCTAAAGGGGCCATTCTTATTTTATCAGGAAGATTAGGTCAGCATCGTACCACGCACCTTTCTTGATTTCAGCAGCTGGAGCGGAGGCCTGGCCGGCGGATGTTCTAGGACAGTCTGACGCGATCCAAAAAGAGAGTCTGCGAGGGTCTGTGACGGACGCTGTAGCCAACTTGTCAGTCACTTCAAGCGAGCCAGATTGGCCAAGTATCAACAAAAAATTCTCGAAACCAAGATGAAAGTAAAATGTATTATCGCTGAGCGGCCTCCTCGGTATATAACGCCTGCGTCGCTAGGACAGGTGCTCAAGAACTACGATTATACTATTTACTTAAATAGGGTACTGGATTCACATTCCACCGTAGGCGTCGTGAGACGGAGGAGGGTATGGCTGGTACGGCTGCTGCTGGTCGTGATACGTCATCTGAACATGCTGGGCAGCGGAAGGAAATCCGTTCGGCTGGGGCTGCGGGGTGAACGTGCGCGGAGGCGCTTGCGGTGGCGGAGAAAACATCTGTTGACCGCCGAAGTCTGGGGCAGGCGACTCGGGGTGGTAGATGGACGGTGCGGTGAGCGGTGCGGCCGCAGCAGAATGGTCGAATTCGTAGGGACTTTTGGCATCCTCGTACCTGAGCTCGCTGGCGATCGAGGCGCGATCGGCACCTGCAGCTGGCATACTGGGCCGGGCGAACTCTTCTGAAGGGAAGTAAATGGACTCCCTAGCACGGGCACGACGGCGGTTCCAGCGACGCTGGGGCACACTTTAGCCTCCCAAGCACACAACTCACACAATGCAACACTCACCATTATAAAGCCCACGAATAACGTCAACGAAATCACACCAATGAGCACTCCAGCGATGATGATACCCGTCTTTGAGATGGCAGCTGACTGGGTCGGAGGTGCGGTCGCCGAAGGAGAGGCCGAAGCGGAGGATGAGCTCTGAATCGCGGTCTTTGAAAAGACCGACGTAGCAGTCACAGTCAACGGGTCCAATGTCTTTGACACGTATCAGACCAGCAATTTCTCGCTGAAAAGGTCCTTACCGCCGTGGAAGTCGAATGCTGCACAGGCGTGACAGGAGTAGGCGTGGCTGCGGCTGCGGGCGTCGAAATCTAGCCAGCAAAATGTTACTTGATGATCCCCCGAAGAGATAGAGCACTGACCGACGAGCTGGACGAGCTCGATGAGCTGGAGGTCGTGGGCTGGGAGAATAAAGAACCAATCGCGGAAGTTAACCCAGCGAGAGGATCCGTAGGAGTCGCACTCGAAGCAGGCGCCGATGCAGCAACGGAAACAGCAGCAGCGGATGCACTGGCAGATGCTGGCGCAGCACTCGCTGCCGGTAGCGCGGCGCTCGGTACTGCCGTCGTCGTTTTCGGTTCAAAAACTGGGTGAATGCTCAGATTGATATCTGAACTCAAACGCGTCCCACCCACTAGACAGGATATTCTGGCGGCGGTGGTGCAAGCGAGGATGCTGCATGGCGATGTCGAGATGGTATAGAATGAGTGGAGGGGGAGGGAGAGTGTGGGGGAGGGTAAAGAACGTGGAGTTGTTGATAGGATGGTCAAACGGTTGAAGGAAGGAGGTGGAGCCTTTGACAGCCTGGTAGCATCAACGGAAGCGAGTGAAATTGGCAAAATCTACCACCGATCGTAGTGATGACTACCGGTTGTTGAGTGCAGAAAAATTATTGACTATGTAGGAGCTTTGAGTGAGGTATGTACTTGGTAGACTACTACGACCTGCCACCCTTCTTTTTCTTGTTGACGACCTTGAAGCCGCCCCATTCAGAGGATGCGGATGGTTTGGGCTGCGCTTTGACGACATCCGCAATCGACACTGCTTTGCTCGCGCTGCCAGCACCGATCACACCCTTTGGACGGGCAACTGCATCCGCTTTTCGTCGGCTAACGAATTCAGAAGCAAACCGCCGACCATCGAGAGTGGTGCTGCTTGAGTAGATGAGATCAGAGATAATTTCGACCGTAGATGGATCAGGATCGAGTGGAAATGTCAGTAGCATGGTCATGGTGTCTTCAACTACAGAGGACAGGATCAGATCGTGTTGGTCACAATACCGATAATACTCACTGTTGACCGAGTTGTTGAGGCCCTTCAGCGAATCGCCAAGCCATTTCAAGAATTCAACCGAAGGATTCGCCGGATAATCCTCACGTGGCGCGGCAGCTTTGACAGGTACAGGTGCTGGTCGAGAAGCAGGAATGCCATTAGCTCGGGGAGCCGACGCTGCAGCAACGGGCACAACTACAGCAGCGGGCCGAGTCGCAACGACAACTGGAGTTGTGGGGGCCTTCGCTCCGACTGTGGTCCAAGCACCACCAGCAGCGACAGGCGGAGGGGCCTGTGTACATCGTCAGACGGGTTGATGCCATCGCCAAAGCAGACTCACCTTGCTGGTGCTTTCGGCGTAAGCACGTCTTGCCGCAGCAGCTGCATTTTCCTTCGCCGCCATCTTCTTCCTCTTCTCTTCCTCTTCCTGGATCTCCTTCATAGTCTTCTTGGCCGGCGCTTTGGTCGCATTGGTCCATACAGCGGAAGCGGTCGCAGCACCAGCAGGAGCACTGGCAGGCACTGCAGTAGCAACAGCAGCAGGCGCAGGCGCATCCTTGGATCGAGAACCAGCCTGAGATGTCGGCAGCCCCCAAGTAGCAGTAAACGCCTCCTCAGTAGCAGGAGTCACAGCAGGTCTAGCTGCACGATCGGGGACTTTCCTCGCTTCGGCTTTCTTGGCCTCGGCGTCTTGGATGTCTCGAAGACTCAACGTGATGCCCGATGGTCGTTTCGCGTCCTCCTCCTTGGCCCATGCGGGCTTGGTAGTGGGAACGGGAGAAGCCGCAGCCGCAGCCGCAACAGCAGCAGAAACATCAACGACTTCCACGCGCTGTATGGCTGGCTGAGCAGGGATACCGGCAATTGGCGGTTGGATGATAGATTTCGTCCGAGCTTTGGCCGGTTGGACTGCAGGCTGGACGGGAACAGGCTCAACCTGAGGCACAGCTACGGCAGGCTCAGGTGCAACGGGAATGGGATCCGGGGCTTTGGCCGTCTCTATCGGGCTATCCGCGTATTGTTGGTTGTGATGGCCAAGGTTGCTCACGGTGAGATCGTGAACGAGCTCCTCCTTCCAACTACTGTCCTCGATGACACCCTGTGCCACCCCAAACCAAGGCGAGATGTCGTTGTTAGTTGTTGAGACAGAAGGAGCGGCAGCGAGCGGTGCACTCCACGGCGAGGCCTGAACAATGGGACTGTGGATTTGCCCGTTTGGAGCAGCGGGGATTGGGTCAGGACGGCGGACAGGATACCCCTCATTGACAGCACCCCACGGAGACTGGCTGGGGACATTATGTGCTGCTGGTAGCATGCTCTTCAAGTTCGGACTTTGACCATAGATTCCGTTACCAGCTTGTGGAGCTCCATTCAGATGTGAGAATTGTTGCCCAGAAACGTAGGATGGTCCACCGAGATAGTCATGGAACCCGTTCGACGCCGATGGAAGCTCTGCGAAACCCTGCCCGTGGCCGAAAAGGTTGTTGTTCGCAGTCGGCACTTGCCAAGGTCCCTGAGCAGGGCTGAACGATCGGTTTGAATAGATGTCACCCAGACCACCTCCGAAGCGCGACACAGGAATGGGATCGTGGATCGGTTCTCCAAAAGTGTTTCTCCGCAGAGTCTGCGGATCCCCGAAACGGTTGTGGTCGGGAGCATACTGTTGGACACCCCGGTCGGGCGAATCATCGTGGAAGCGACCGCCAAACGAGGAAGCCGGCGAGTCAGTGGGATTAGAGCCTCCGCCGACGAAGGAGTCCAGAGTGGAGCTGCGCAGTGTCCGCAACGGTGCAGGCTGCAGTGGCGCGGGCTGTTCCGTCTGGATGTTCAGAGCAGCAGCAGGGCGCAGTGGCGCCAAGAACAGCCGGTCGATACCATTCAGACGAGCGATCTCAGCTAGTTGGCCCACGGGGGTCCACTCTGATTCATGATGTGTTCGTTTCATCAAAAGGTCAGACGTGAAGTACCCTTCGTCGTACCATTTTTGCATGATGGTGGCTTGAAACGGGCCTTGGGAGAGAAAGCGTCATCATCATCATCCTCGTCTTCGTGAGAGCAGCTGCTGACCTTGAAGTTGGCCTTGCGGGTCCAGATAGGACCAATCAATCGAGGCCGGGTCGATGATGCCTGGAGGAGGCCCATTATGCACTGGGTTGGAAGGCATATCTGTCCCGTTTTGAGTGACAGGTGAGTACGTCGACACATCATCGACTTTCGATGTCGCTGGAGGGGATGGATTGGTAGCTATCGCCTGGGGTGCTTTCAGGGCACTCGTTTTGAGTTGGGTGCCACCGTCCGCATCATGACTCGTATCCTCGTCCTCTTCTTTGATTTCGATGCCTCGTGTTTCGTGGGAGTCGGGATCTCGCGGAGGCAGCGGTTTCGCTTCCGAGGCCCGACGTCGAGCCATCCAGGACTCGCTACTACTGAGGACACCGTCGAAAGTGGGCGTATGGCCGATCCGCGTGCGAGGTGAAGGGAGGGCCCCGTCGCGAGGTGATCCAGGCGCCTGCATGCCGGACAGAGAGAGTTTCCGGGGCGTCGTAGCCGAGAGTTGATCTTTACCGCCCGAGATGAGAACCCGAATGAGCCCAGAAAAAATGCTTCCCACCTGAGCTCTCCCGACGGCGCATCAACCCGCCGAATCGCTCTCGCAAGGGACTGCCTGTGCCCGACATGGAGGAGCTATGAGTGAGTCTCGGGCGCTCTCCAGCCGGGCTTGAGGTTAGCAAGGGGTCCAAAGACTGCTTGCGCCGCATCTCGGAGCTCATGGAGCCGCCAAACAGCTGAGCGGAGAAAAGATGAAAAGAATAAGAAAATGCGCAACGAGCGGGGGATCGCCGCCACACACCCTCTTTTCGTTATCTCCTGTGTCTCCCAGCCCCACCGGATCGCTGACGGATTCCCGGACACCCCCCTCGTGCCGCTCGACCTCCAGTCCTAATCCACCTTTACCTCCACCGTCACGATAGATCTTGAGCATCTCCTCCCGGGAATACCGGAGGGGATGAGCGCCTTCATCACGTTCGGTAGGTGCGGATGACGCGAGCGTCAGATGCGACGACGCGCCGGCTGTGTGGCCTGTCGTGGTAGCGGGGGGTGGCGAAGGGCCTTGAGGTTTGGCGGGTTTGGCGCGCATCCACTCGGGGCCAAATTGCATAGAGGATTGCATTGAGTGCACTGTCGACATATCGTGTGAGGGCGCTTAGTCGCGGTTATAAAGAAAAGTTGAGCGATGCGTGTGACGCGTGGTATAATATCTCTTTGGTCGGGATCAGACAAACAACTTGGGCTATCTATCAGTCCACGCCAGGTACAAGCCAGGGCAACAGCACCGACATGGTGAGTTGCGATTCCCCATTACAAAACTACACAATAATAAGTATTATTCTAGGCCATTTTTACTCGCCACGCAGAAGTTGGCAGTTCTGCAAAAGCTCAGTGGAAGCGATGCAGAAGAGATCAGAGACGGACCTTGTAATTTTCTGGCGGTGGGAGTGATGTATAGTAGAAGGAAGGCCACCCCGAAGAACATGCACAATGCCGAAACTATGTAGTATCCGTCCGTTTCGATGTGGCAAACACCTCCATTGGCGACACACTGCTCTTTGCCCGGCTCCGAAACACATTCGACCACTGAAGCCAGTCTCAATATCAAGGCAAGCTAGTAAGTCAAAACGGACCTTTCGCAATCAAGCTTCCGTCCGCGGCTTTACAGCTAGCAGCAGTGAAGTAATCAACACCCTTGAGGACGAACCACTTGGGCCAAGTGCCACCCATGTTCGTGAATGTGTTCAGTAACTTGAGAAACAAGAATCAGCTTCAGATAACACCACAGCCTGCATCACCAACCGTCATGTACGTTCCACCAATCAGAGGATCGGAGATCCGTGTGTGGAATGCGGAGATGCCAACAAATTGTACGGTCCTGCGAGAGGTGAGTGGAGCCCTGAACGATCAACAGGCCAGACGCACGATGCGAAGGACGACAGTACAGTGTGCAGGATCAAGAAGGCGAAGAATGTCGTCGTGATCGGCGGCTTGGGGAAGTAGTACACAATTAATGTCGCCATCATGACAAATGCCATTCGTGGCCAGAATGCAATCAACCACGGCCGCAATGGATAGTTTCCTCGCGACCACTTCGCAGCAAGCCATCCTCCCGCAATTTGGAAGGGGAAGTCAATGAGCACAGCCAGCGCCAAATCTTCGCGCAAAAAGCCCTTTTCCACCATCTTCAAGGATGTTGCCGCTTCATTGGCGGCAAACCCGAGCTTGGCAAAAAGATGGACGATGATGAGCAGTTGAATATCTGGGATCGTCAGCAAACACAGGGGCATCCTAGTGAGAAATTGCTTACGCCTCAGCTTGCAGATAGCCCAGATCTGTTTGTAGACAGCGGTGATGCTGAGATCGACCTCACTGAGAGCTTCCTTCTTCTGCAAAATGTGTCAGCCGAGAAAAGCAGCAAGCGATCATGGACCAACCTCTTTTTGGAAGAAGAGCAACCAGAAACTAACAGCATACGACATTACACACCAGAACTTGAGGTATGCCCCGAGCGTAAGATGAGGTACACCCCATTTCGAGCTAATATGTTACGAACACCCTATCAGTCATGTTCATTCTCGCCTTCCGACGTACTCACGTGAACTCGACGCTGTTGAAGGCCAGGAAGACGGTGAAGGAGGCAAAGAACCCCGTGTTGAGGCCAATGGTTTGACAAGTAGATGCGTATGAGAGAGAGTCTTGCGAGAGGAGCGTTAGAGCCCAGCCTGGAGGGTAAACCGGGTCAGCAAACCAGCATCGAGCAGATTCAGAGTGAGAGACCATCGACAGCGATATCTAACGCAGAGATTGTCAGCAGATTGACCAGGTGGCAAGAGAATGAGATGAACGTGCCTTGCGTTGCGGAGAAGAAAACGAGCGACGTGAAAAGGAATGTCAGCTTGTTGACGTGGTGCTTGGCCTGTGTGTGTGAAGGTAAGACAAAATTGTTGCCAGTAACATTGTAGAGCGTACGTCGTCCATGAGAACCTGCACGTTGAGGGATAGGTATATCATGAGGGTGCCAATGATGATCTGCATTGGTATAATCCATGATTTGCGGCGACCGATGGACGCGAAAAAGACAGAGTCGACGATGGGTGACCACAAAAGCTTCAGAGAGTATGGGTAACTGGACAACGCGAAGGTGGCCAATTGAGAATACGATAGCTGGTCCCTGAGGATAAACGGAATGGAGCCTAATACCATTCGAGTCAGAGTTCGAGGCTAGCGCAAGTACGGCCAACGCACCGAGGGCAAGTCCGAGCTTCGATCGCGGTTAGAAATAGGATGACAAACGGTCAGCATAGAACTCACTGGAACACCTTGAATAAGGTCTTTTGCAGAGTTGAGTTCGGGAGCAGAACGAGGTCATGCGACCTTACGCACATAAAACACAGAGCAACACCATCGCCCTCTTGTCCTCGTTCGACATTTTGTGGTTTGTCGTGCCGTGGTCCACTTGCTCGCAATCTAGTCCCGCGGCTGCCTGACGCCGTTCATCATCTCCCAGCAAGCCCATCTCAACTCCGTCTTCTCCATCCTCGTCCATTCTATGTCTAGGCGTCCGCGGTGACACGGTGATGTTGCTGAAGGACGAAGATACAGCGTGAGAATCGTTTTGCATGCGCTCTTCCTTAAGCGGCTTTGAGATGTTTCTTCGTGACATGCAGAGTCAACCCGCAGACGCAGGATACTGAATTTACGACACGTAGGCCTAACGTAGGCTGGGGAGATTTTTGATGGGTGATTGCGCACAGCCACACGGTTCCTTTCTCCTGGCAAGCTTCCACAATTATCAGACTTGACGACGGTGTGAGTTCGAAGTGGGAACAAATCTAAATCCGGTACAGAATCAAGCATAAATGAGTGTGATCCTAACTTGATGGGCTAGGACACCTCTTGCTTCCTCTGCACGTCCTGGCTCTCTGGATCTTTTCTCATTCCGTCAGATGCGCGTGGGCCCAGGGGATCTGCTTCGACTGTTTGACCTTGAAAGCGGACCAAGTCTGCTGTCGAGGTTTGACGAATGCGGCGCTTCGTACTATGCCGGTGAAGATTGCGCCGAATGTTTCTGTCAACAGCTTCGAACGGATCTTCTCGTATCCTGGGCATCTCATGTCGTCACTACGCGCGCGTGGTGCACGCCGGCACCTGAGCGAACGAGACCCGAGCTCCATGTGCTCGATATCCCATTATAGAGCTCGTCATAAGGCTGGCTCGAAGCGATGGGCGAAGGCTGGCTTCCTTGTCAAACCCACGACTTCTCCGTGTGCGGTTCCGAGCCCGCTTTTCGTGTCCTGGAGATGTGTTAAGCCATCCGCAAGCTGCGTTCCTCGTCCTTGAGATGCTTAGTTTGATAGGATCCACTCCGCTGAACGAGGATAACCGGATGCGGTCACCAAGTTGCCCCCGGCGACTACACTTACTGGGTGCCCGTGTACGAGCCCTAAAAGCTTAATTCAGTCCGGACCAAGACGTTCTTTTTCGGGAGTGCCGACTGTTGAATGTCCACGACGAAGACGGATACGACAAGAAGCCGCCGCCGAATCTATAGAAACTCCTGACCGGCTTCTGGGCAATACATACAGTCCATTTAACAGCCGAGGCCGTATCTTATACATCCACCATTCCCCTCCCTCGATGCTTTTGGACCACGTAGCCCTCCCTGCGCAATCCGTTGCGGGCAACATTGCCCTAGCTGCATGTGCCTACGCGTTGTTTGTTGTGGGACACTTCGCTCTCCACCTCCTCTCTTCCTGGGCTCTCCTCCGGCATGTACCCGGTCCTCCTTCGTCATCTTTCCTGTGGGGTGAAGAGTGGAACCTGTTCTACAACTCCCCAGGCTCTTACTATTGCACTTGGCACAAACAATTCGGCCGGGTGGTCAAGTTCCGTGGAGCCTGTGGGGTGGGTCTTTACTGTATCACACTCGCTGAATGCCATCGACCGCTCGCATTTAACAGCACCAGATTCTTTCAATCACCGACCGGCGAGCCATCTCGTTCATTCTCGGTTCTGAAGGGACCTACAAGTTCCCAAAGCCAGACGGAGTCAGAGCCTGGTTCCTCAGAACATTAGGCGAGCGAACTAAATCCCTAAAGGATCTTCCTCTAATCGACTCTCAGGAGAAGGAATTTTGTACGTAGAAGGTGCGCCACTCCCCTGTGCCAAGTGCTCGGACTCCAATTTGAATTGAGATGTTCCTTAGGCAAGGTCGCCCATGAGAGACAACGGAGATCGTTGGCGCCGGCGCTCACGTATGTGGTTCTCTGCTCACAAATTTGCCTCAGTAATATCTGACATTGTCTCAGCCAGCAGTCTGTGCGCAACTTCACATCCATCTTCTACGAAACCTCGGCCAAACTTGCTGTCCAATGGGGCAAAGTCATCGACGACAGCGAGTTTTCTGATGGAGTGGAGATCGAGGTCACCAACTGGGCAGGGCGCTTCGCGTAGGCATCCATCCAATCTCAGTCGGCCCCTGTTCATCTGTTTCTAGACTCGAAACGATCGCTAGAGCTGCGTTTTCCTATGATTTCAATCTCCTGTCCGGCGAGCCAAGTGCTCTGATTGATGTTTGTCCTTCTGCCTCGCTGCTCGCTGCAGTCATTGACGATGACTACGTAGGCACTGGACGGCCTGACGAATAACGAAAACAAGGCGTCTTCGTTCTACATGCGAGCTCTCTTCTGGGTGTTTCCCGGGATTCTCTCGATCGGCAAGAAGGGCGAAATGATCCGCAAAACGAAGGACGAGTTGGGTACGATCGCTCGCAATATGTGGCAGGACGTCAAGCACGGCGACTCTTCTGCAGAGAAGACGCTGTTATCTATGATGTGTGAGTGCTGTCTCGTGTGACTTATTTCTGGTGTCTGATTCACTTGCGTAGTGAAGGCGCCTGGGGCGATGCTGGAAGAGGAAGAAATTGTTGCTCAGATGCGGACTATCCTTTCGGCTGGGGTTTGTGTTTCTGTCGTGTATATCGAGCCGTACTCAACCCAAACTTGAATAGTACGAAACCGTCTCAGCCACAGTCGCTGCAAGTTTCTCCTGTCACTGATCTCTTCTGCGGCTCATTTTTCGTAGTGGGTCCTCTATGAGCTGGCCATCAACACCAAAGTTCAGGACGATCTGCGAATTGAGTTGTCATCCCCAGGGGACATTGACCAACATTCCCTTCTCGACTTCATCGTCCTCGAAGCACTAAGATTGCACCCTCCCATCCTCGAGAATCATCACCAGGTGTGCAATCATCCGCATGGGCTCATCTCATGTGCTGATCAGTCGCCAGGCTTCCGAAACCATTGCAGTGCCTTTATCTGAATCGCTTCCTGAAACCTCTTCCTCTGTCCTTGTCATTCCGAAAGGCACAATCCTCTTCATCCCTGTGAATGTCATGCAGACCGACCCTGAAATTTGGGGAGAAGACGCACACCTGTTTCGCCCGTACCGATTCCAGGATCGAGCCATGGAGCGCCAACTTTTTGTATTTAGCGAGGGGCATGTTATTTTCTTCGCATCAAGCAGAGCGACATCACTCATCATCAGAATCTCAGACCTCGCGCTTGCATCGGCAAACGTTTCGCTTTGACTGAAATCAAAGTGAGGAATGTCTGCAGGTTATAGCACTCTGATGACGAACGCTTTCCAGGTTCTGACTGCCACCCTCATCCGCCAGTTTTCCTTCAGGTGTGCACACGAAATAGAACCGTTCCAGAGTTTTGTCATTCGACCGAGAGTCAAAGGGCAGGGCCCAAGCTCGCTTCCGCTCCTCGTTCGTCGCCTGTAGATCTCGATGGTGTAGATGTTTACCGGCCAACCACACGTGATATGGGTCGAAGATCAAGACTTGAAATAGAACGATTTCGGAATGCGTATTGTTTATATGAGGTCTTTTTTTTAGGGGGGGGGGCGCGCCAACAACCACTTAATTTGTTACATATCGCGTCGCGTTCTTTCTGCTACGGTCACGTGTCCGTGATGTCAATTGACGGCTTCTGCCAATCATTGCTAAGTCACCGATGGAAGCTCGCAAGTTGGCCTCGACCAGTGGTCACCTGTGGTCACTGTGTACTTCAGTCCATCAACAGAGTCAACCCGGGGCAGTCCAGAATTCAGGCTGTTCATGAGACAACAGCTTACCAATGTTACCAAGTGGCAAGGGGTCGTCGTTGTTCTGGTGTGTCACAAGTGCGATCATCACTACATGATCTTCGCTTGAGTAAGTTGTTTCATCAAGATGTGTTGGGCATCGGCGTCGTCGGCCTCTTGCCTTCCACCACTCGTCTGTTTCGTTCGTTCTCTTCTTTCTACGGGCGCTGGACCGCACGGAGGTCGGGGACTTCCGTTGCTGTCGCCATTCTCATTATGCTCTCTTCGTTGCTGGCCCCACTTTTGTTTTTGCTCTATTCTTCTCTCACCCAGGCGGTTCTTGTGAATGTCACGATTGACGACACCAACGGAGACCCGCATAGTGGGGCGCAGATTATCTACGACCCGCCTGCGGCCTGGTTGGATGCCCAAGCGTGCAAATGCATCAACAAGAAGCATGGCGGACTGCAGTCTTCGAAGCTGGTCGGCCAGTCCCTGCACAAGTCTGTGGTACGCCCACAGTCTACTTCACACGCGTTTTATCTTCACATCGGTCTGTTTATTACAGTTTTCGACTGACCCGGCAATCGCTATCTTTCCTAACCAAGCCTTGACTGCGTCTGTAACCTTCAATGGCTCGGCGGTCTATGTGAACTGTGTCCTCGACCGCGACGCTTCAGGCAGATCAGACATGACGTTCTCCATCGATGGAGCTGTAGCTGACACGTTCAAAGCCGAACCCGCTGACTCTGCGGGCTTTGACTACAACTCCATTGTCTTCTCCGCAACGAATCTCGTTCCCGGGTTCCATGTGCTGACGATGCAGAACGGGCATGCCGGTGGACCAGAGGCGATAATGATATTGGACTCGGTGATATATTCGTGCGTGACATTCTGAGTGTCGCTTGCCCTTCATTCGTGTACTGAATATAACCAGATTCGATAATGGTCTCGCTGGCATCGACGAAAGCTCATCATCTCCGCTGTTGCCCTCGTCAGCCCCCTCGTCTCCATCATCGCAATCCGCGCTGTCCCCGAATCTTCCCAGGACACATGTTGGGGCGATCGTCACCGCCTTGGTTGTCATCCTCATCCTGATCTCACTCGGAACCGTCGCGTTCATTTTGCATCGCCGCCGCCGCCGCCGGCGTGCCATATACGCTCCCTACATGCCCAAAGGCGCGGTGCGGGCGTTCCCCATGCCAACCTTTGCCGGCTCGACCCTGGTCTCAGCGCGACCACGGCACCAGCCAGCTGTACCCGGGGACAACAGCCGACCACAGTCTGAAGCTGACTTGCGTATTCAGTCCTGGGCGGAACAGACGGCGGCCTTGGCCCCGCTGCCCCCAGTCTACGCAAGGGGCAAGGGCTGGACTGGTAGTCGGGATCAGAAACACCCATCCGGACCGCATTCGTCTTATTGAGCACATCGTCTCCGCTCACGCCGGACTGCAGCGCTCAAAGCCATGGGAGAGAACGCGCTCTGCATGGTGAATACCAATACTACTCTTAAGTACATTACACTCAACAGATTCGTAATCTCCAACATGTCAGCGTCATGCAGTCCCCATTTGACCTTGAGAATGTTAGTGCAACGCGCCTAGCGCTCCGGCCACTACTGTCCAGAACATGTCATCAAGGCGTATGCGATCTAGCCTTCCCTTTTGAGACACTGGACTGGCGCTAGACGGGCGCTGCAGACGGGAATCTTGACCATTACTTACATAAGCAGATTTTTTCGAAATGGAAATCGTCCGATTGATGGAGTAAAAGTCGTTTGTCGGTTGCCCAAGGTTCACCTCCTTCCACCATGTCTTCCATCCTCAAAGCCTCCTCAGCTGCCATCCCTTCTTTCACGTCCAACCCTCTCCATGCCCTTGCTTCATCGTCTCCTTCCAGTTCTATCAAATGGCTGTATACCACCGGCGCCATCCTCTTCGCCCTGCTCGCTCTCGAACAGGGCATCTATCGGGCTAAGAAGCGACATCTCCCCGGCGCGAAGTGGACTATCCCCCTCATCGGCAAATTCGCCGACTCCCTGAAACCCACCGTCGAGAACTACAAGAAGCAATGGGACTCGGGTGACCTGAGCGCCGTCAGTGTATTTAATATGTGAGTGCCTCTCCCTCAACGCGCCATGAACGTGTGAGCTCATTCGAATTCCAGTTTCATTGTCATGGCCTCTTCCAACGACTATGCCCGCAAAATCCTCCACTCTCCCACGTACGCTGAGCCGTGCCTGGTCAACTCGGCAAAGTCTGTATTGTTACCAGAGAACTGGTATGCCATCGATCTGTCGCCGCGCAGTGTCTCGCCTCACAATGCTGCAGGGTATTCTTGACCGGGAAGGAGCATGTCGATTACCGACGCGGGTTGAACAACCTGTTCACGAGAAAGGCCCTAGGGTATGCGATGCTGCTGCATCTTTCTGTTATCTCCTTCCTTATTCACCTCTGTCCAGATTATATGTCGGCATCCAGGATGTGATTACTCGCAAACACCTCAAGGAATGGCGCCAGGATTTCGGAAAGTCCGCACAACCGCTTATGATGCCCGCGCGATGGCTCAACATGGATACCTCCCTGCGCGTCTTCTGCGGCAGCTACATCCCCGATGATGCGGCTAAGGAGATCAGCGACAAGTACTGGTTCATTACACAGGCTCTCGAGCTAGTCAACTTCCCCCTGGCACTTCCCGGAACGAAGATCTACAAGGCCATCCAGGCGCGCAAGGTCGCTTTGGGCTGGCTCGAATTCGCGTCCAAGAGGAGTAAGGAAGAGATGGCTGGCGGCGGGGAGCCGACTTGCATGCTTGATTCGTGGAACCAACTCCTCAACGACCCCGGATACAAAGGCCGCCGGGATTTCAGCGACCACGAGATGGGGATGGTCCTCATGTCCTTCTTGTTCGCGTCGCAGGACGCCATGTCCAGCGGGCTCATCTACGCGTTCCAGCATCTGGTCGACCGACCGGACATCCTCACCAAGGTGCGCGAGGAGCAGGTCCGGGTGCGCAAGGGGGACTACGACCAGCAGCTTACGCTGGAGCTCATGGACGAGATGACGTACCTGCAAGCCTTCGTCAAGGAGAGTCTCCGCGTGAAGCCGCCCGTCGTGATGGTGCCCTATAAATCGACCAAGGCGTTCCCCATCTCCGACGACTACACTGTGCCCTCCGGCAGCATGCTGATCCCGTCCTTCTACAACTCTCTCCACGACGCCACCGTATACCCTGAACCCGACACGTTGATGCCCGAGCGCTGGCTCGACCCCGAGAACGCGGCGAACAAGAACCCGAAGAACTACATGGTGTGGGGTGCGGGCCCGCACAAGTGCATCGGCTTGGAGTACGCCATGATGAACATCGCCCTCGTCGTCGCTGTCGCTGCGATGCAGTTCGACTGGAAGCACGAGATCACACCGGATTCATACAACATCGAGTGCGTCCTGATGTTACTACTAATCCTGACCGTCATCTCATCCTGCGCAGTATCATTGCTACCCTTTTCCCTCGGGACGGCTGCCGGATGCAGTTCACTCCGCGCGAGAACTAATGAGTGCACATACTGTGATTGCCTTAGAGTAGAGGGGTCGGCCCATATTATTAACCCGTATTTGCTGGAATTGGCTAATGTTACATTCGAACTCAATTCGGCCCGATGAATTGGTACAAAATTCTACGAACGAGCCCCGAGAGATGTACGGGATCGTTCTGGTATATGCTCTGGACCGGTTACGTGACAAAATCGCACAGAAACGCATGGATGGGAAACGCACCATGACCATCGCCATGCCCATTCCGGTCAACACGCTCTCGCCCCAGTTACCAGTCCGGAACACAAGTCCCCGGCCCCGCGCTGCAACCCACGCACTCTCAAGCCCCTTCGGCAGAACGTACATAGCCAGCTCAGCCCGGCGACGTTCGTCTTCGATCAACAGCGCCAAGCCAGACAAGAATCCGAGCACCCAGTGCACGGGCTTCGAGATGAGCAGGTTGGCAAGCGCAGCAGGAATCAGCCGGCGGAGGGCTGGGGAGCGGGAGATCTTCTCCCACAGCTTGGTGCGCAGGCAGTTGTTAGCTGTATCCCCGAATTGTAAGAGTCCAGCGGGAATATGATGGTAGCCACCGACCTTGGTAGATAACGACAAATACACCCAAGAACGCGGAACTACGGAGACTGCCCGCACCTGCACGGACCAGAACTCGGCCTGGATCCGCGCGGAACATCTTCCACCGGAAAAGGATCGCCGGCAGGAAATGGAGCGCAGAGTAGATGGGCAACATCCAGCGGAAGACGTCCACGAAACGGTCCAGGGGGACAGTCCAACAGCTGGAAACGGCAGGGTGTATCGTAGCACATGGGGCATACAGCGGGAAAGGTCGTCCTGCCATCACATCGTCGCGCAACTGCATCAAGAGACTGAGATTTTTGTGGGTTGTGTCACGCTGAGCGATGATCTTGTCGAGTGCAGCTAGATCCATTTCTCCGTTGCGCACGGCGGCGCGGTTGATCTGCACACCTGCGCGGGGAACTTTGCTCGCAGTGTGGATCCTGTCGAGGGCATCAAGCACAAACTCGGGCATCACACGGAACGCTCACCAATTGATGTACGAATGCGGAAGCGTGTCGGGACGCATGGTGAAGGAGTACATAATCTGTCCGCAGGCAAGCGCGAAAACGATGACGCTGCCGAACGGAATCTTGAAGTGGTGCCGCTCGGAGTATGAATTGTACGTGCCCTGCATACCGCGGACGAACAATTGCTGCGCAATGATCACCCTTCTGCCCCGCTTTTCCCACAGTATGGCAAGACTGGCAGAGATGGCACCCGCAAGAGCAGCATGCCAACGGCGCGTGCGTTTTCTGACAAGCACCATCTGCGCGTGAGCACTCGCAGAGAGACGTGCTGAGCGCTGTCGGTGACGAGGTGCGGCGGAGCCTGGAGCGGGAAGTTCGATCTCCTCGTCTTCTTCTTCATCATCGTCTCCGAAGGCCGACGGTTCTCGGGGTTTGATCGCAGGCAGGAGGATGGGAAGAGCGTTCAATAGGAATTTGTACAACCCAGCGAACGTGCCTTGCGTGATTGTTTAGTGCCTGGTGCATGACTGGGTAGAGAGGAGATCGTACCCAGCATGGCTGCAAACCGTAGCGAGTCCGCACCAAATACGGCATGCCGGATGAGGGTGAGCCGGTCGTCCCTATGGGAGGGTCATTATGGAGGTACTCGAATGCACTGCGCCGCGCCCACCTTGGAACCTTCCGTATCCTGATCAAAGCCAGAACCAAGTTGAGCGACGCGCGAATGTTGAATGCCAGCGTCGCTGCCCCTGGCGATGCAAATCCCAGTCAGTAACACCGCTTCTACCACTCGCAGTTCCAACACGGAAGAAGACGACGCACTGAACCCCCCTGTCGACGCATGCTCCACGCAGTCCCGCAACGTCTTGAGCTGCACCACAGGCTGGCCTTTATCCCTCCAGATCACCTTCCGCGCACCCTTCAGGCGCTCTTGGTAGTTGGCCAGCGCGACGAGGTTCTCGAATGACTCCATAGCTCGGCGGGGCATGGGGCGATGCGGCGCGAGCTCGAGGAAATCCTCTGGCTCAGGACTGATGGGACAGCTGGTGGGATAACCGTAAGGTGCGCCCCCTTGGGCCTCCATGTCTTCCTTTTCAGAATCAGTGTCCATGGGATGATGGAAAAGTTTGGGGTAGCATCCGGGGGGACTGGCCGCTAGAGTCCACGTGAGAAAATTCGAGTACAATCACATGGCCGTACACTTCATCGGCAACTTCGGTGACAACTGCGAGATCATTCTACTTATGGCTTCGGCATCTGACAGCGCTCAGTTCACATGCTAGAACCGGCTCATGTGGTTCTTTGCGATGTGCGCGATCCGGTAGCTGCGTGTCTCGAAGAGAATTTTGTGCGTCCCATGTGGGAACCGCCAGCAAAACCAGAGCTGCATCCAATACTACCCGAATTTTGTATCTTGGGGACACACCGTCGCGGTCCCCAATTGAACAACAGATGGAACTCTCAACTTCCTCTGGTCATCTTTGTCACTGTCAGGCTGGGATACTGGTGGCCCATGGTACTCTCCACGCCTTTCTGGATCTTGTTTCGACAGCCATGTCACTTTCAACCCTACGTTGTGTCAGTTCTTGTCAAAATCTAGGTTTTCGGGACATGCTCAGGCTGACTTGAAAGCGGGCCGTGCGATGGATGCACGTGATGTGACACGACGCGCTTTCATTCACAGTCACAACTTGTCGCCCACCACCAAATACCTACCAGAAATCTAGAGACCGCGGCGCCTCTGGATGCATTGATGACGTTGTTATGAACCGACTACGGAAACCATCGTCTCCCTTAAATGCCGCATCCTCGTCTTCCTCGGACGTCGTGCGAACGTCCAACACACTCAAACTGGCGCTGGCTCAAAACCAGCGGGCTTACAGTGACCTTGGACCTGCTCAAGGATTCGGATACGAAGACGGAGGGAGCCCTCCACGACCTCGTTCTGGGGTCGAGCAATACTGGGCTGCTCGAGCCCTCTCCGCAGAGGTCCTGCTGGCCGCACGCTCGGAGCATCACACGGAGCTGCGCAGAGTGACCGACGAAGGGGAACTGCGGCGTCTCGTGCGTCCATGAAACTTGTGGTAGATTTCTTAATGTCATACCGATCTAAAACCACTAGAAAGATGCCGCTTCACACGAGGCACGCCATGCTCGACTTGAGCGAATTCTTGTGAGCTGGCGCGTACATTCACTTCCGCCGGGATTCACCCCGCTTTGATAGTTCGCCCTTGTCCTTGCGCTTCTATTCATCGTCGCGTTCCTCCTGCACCAACTAGCACGACTATCGCACTCTCCACCCAATATGTCTCGTGGGTGGGGCACCCATTTCACGATTCCTGTTCTGTCACCTTTCACGTCCGTCGTGAGTAAATCTGTGTCACTGTTAGCTGGCTAGTTTCTGAAAGCAAGATCAGGTCGAACATGAGACTTCTGTCATTGGGACCAAGACGGTCGCTGTGGGTATAATCGTAGTTGCAGTCCTTGCGTACTTTGCTTTCAGGCACTGGATGGTGCTACATAGATCATGACGACTACTCAGACGTGAGCCAAAAGTCTCGAGTTACACTCGCAAGTGGATCAACTCGGACAAGTTGTTAAAGACAGTCTGTTTTACAATAAAAGGGACACTAATCACGTCTGCGCCTTGCCGGGGAACGAGAGCGTGAGTCTCTGCCACCCCTCGTTGACCTCCCGCCCCGGACTCTGTCACCCCAACCATTCCCTCTGTAGGGCGGCGAATCTCTCCCTCGTCGCGGCGGAGGAACACGCCTGTCTGAGTCCTGGTCGCGTTCTCGATCAGCACCAGCCCGGCCACCTCCCCGTCCTTCACCACGGGCAGGGGGATTAGAGTCCCCGCGCCAATGTCCACCTCCACGGCCGGTGCCCGGCCCCCCTCGCTCAGCAGCTGTACCCAGCCCGCCGCCCCATCCTCCATCCCCTTTGCCGGTCTTCCAAGCCATGTTCGTCGGCGCCGCGCCCTTAATATTCAGCTCTGTTGGCAGTGTCACGCTTTTTGGAAGCAGGACAGCGACGAGTAGGAAGTCTCCGGGCACGAAGCGCATATCTTCGAGCGACCGATCTTCCCGTTCGCGGTCCCGGTCGCCGGATTGAGGCGCGGGCTGCGTCTCGAACGAGTCGTCCAAAAGGCGCGGTGCGGTCGAGTCGATCGTGCCTGGTTCGCCGAGGATGTCGCGCGAGTACACGATGCCCAGCTCTTTGGAGGCGAAGCGCCCCCGGCTTCCCTGCTCGATGTACACCGTCCGGAATGAGAATCGCGCGAGAGGGTGGCGGTATTCAGCGACGTGCGGTGCCGTGTTGCGCAGGGTGGTGAGGATCTCCCGCAGGTTCGCGTCTTTCCTGTGAAGCAAATGAGTGTCGGGCTGGCACAGTGTCTCGTGTATTGCGCACCACGTATACAGCTGCTGCTCGTCAGTCGTTGGAAGTGTGCCATCCTCGAACAAAGTGAGTCGATGGAAACCTCCAATTTTTATAAAGGTTCGGATGAGAAATGGGGCAGTCTGGCGGCGGTCAGAAGATTATTTCAGAATCAGGGAGAAGAGAAACACTTTTTCTCTTGAGAGGAGCGGGCTATCCGACTCGACGTCCATGATGTGCGAAGGAGAGGTGGTCTGCGGCTGTGCTGAGTTGATCGGTTCAGTTGAGATTCTCGATAGTGGTGAAAGTGGGGTGAAAGTCAGTGAAATTTCGATATCTAAAAAGGAGAGACGAGTTTCACACAGCTAACGACTTGACAATTCAACCGGCTATTGCTTGAATTGGAGGATATTTATACGTGACTTCTCCTAAGGCAGTAGATCATTGGGGTGACCAGCGAATACGATATATTCAACACGGGCAGCCCGACCAGCAGAGTGGGACAGCCTTGTCCAGTAACAAACAATAAGAACTAGGGCTACACAAATATATGACGCTACAACAACTAAGCCGCCTTAAAAAGACGCTTTGTGTACCTTGAATTCCGTCAGACCCAGCTTGCGAACAGGGCGGAAGAAAAAACGCACGAATTCAGTCCATGAACACCACCCTCAACCTGAGCACTGGCCGTGCGCAGCTCAAAGCGAACCCGGCCAGAGTCGACGCCCTCACGTAACTCGCTGATGCTGCGCACACCGATATCCTGCAGCGAGTGCTGCAAGCCGATGTACAGGTAAGGCAAGAAGGCCCGGACGCTGCCCTTGTCCTGGACGTCGCCGCTGACACCTTGCGCAACCTTGATCGCACTGCTTTCCGAGAAATACCGGGATGTGGCCGCGTTCTCCAGCGTCTTGCTCTGCCCCTTGCCCTTGGCCGGAGTCTTGCCCTGCTCCATGGCTTCCAGAGAACCCATCCCACGGTACGCCTTGACACGCTTGCCCTCGTGGTAGAAGTAGTCGCCGGGCGCTTCCTCCGTTCCGGCTAGCAAGCCGCCCATCATCACCGCACCGGCGCCGAGAGAGATAGCCTTGACGATGTGCCCGACGTTACCGATACCACCGTCGGCGATAACAGGAATACCAAATCGGCCGGCAAACTCGGCGACGGCGTACACGGCCGTGGCCTGCGGACGTCCGACAGCCATGACCTCCTGCGTGATGCAGATCGAGCCGGAGCCCATACCCACACGCAGGCCGTCAGCGCCAGCGGCGATGAGCGAAGCAGCCTGCTCGCGCGTGACAACGTTCCCCGCGATGACCTCGAGTGCCGGGAACTGTTCCTTGACCCAGCGAATCATCTCAATCTGATAGACGGAGTTGCCCTGAGATGAATCGAGGACAACGATGTCCAGACCAGCGGCGACGAGCAAGGCCAGTCGGTCGCGGTCAGACGGGCGAGTTCCGATGGCAGCCGCGGCATACAGTTGCTTCGTCGTCGGGTTCTTTGATGCAAGTGGATACGACTGGTTTTTAAGCAAATCGGAGCGAGCCAGTAGGGCGACGAGTTGGCCGTCGGTATCGACGATAGGAAGCTTGCCCTTTTTAGAATCGCGGAGAATGTCGTTGGCTTCAAGCAGCGTGATGCCCTTGGGAGCGGTGACAAGGTCGCGAGTCATGACCTCCGAGAGAGGCGTAGAGTGGTCCCGGAATTGTACGTCGCGTGCAGTAACAATGCCGACCAGCTTTCCTCCCAGAGATCCAGATTCTGTGAGGAAAAATCAGTGAAAGCTCCTGAACAAGGAGATTGCAGATCAGATAGTAATTAGTAATTATCCGCAGATCACACAAGTTATTGCGTTTTCTCAGCAGAACGAAGGTATACTAGGTTGTTCATCGTGAAATCATGCGAGAAGATATACACACCTGTGATGGGAATCCCGCAGAAACCGAGGCGTGCTTTGATGTCCAGAACGTCGTCGACGGTGTGCTGAGGTGACAGGACAACCGGGTCGGCGATAAAGCCGTTTTCGTGGCGCTTCACAGCACGGACCATGGCCGCTTGATTTTCAGGGGACTGATTGTGGTGAATGACACCGATACCACCGAGGAGCTGGGTCAGAAGTGAGCACGAGAGCAGAAATGATAAAAAAACAAAACCTACTGCCATAGCGATCGCCATGTTGGTCTCGGTGACTGTGTCCATGGGACTGCTCATGAAAGGAGTTTTGAGCACGACGTTCCGCGTGATGCGGCTCTCGCCCACGACATCGGAGGCAGGGAAGTCGATTTTTCCCGGGAGGAGAAGAAAGTCGTTGTACGTTAGCCCACCGTGGACTCGCGAGTCCATGAGATCGGAGACGGACAAGCCATCGGAGCGAGGATATTCGGCGAGGACCTTGAGGGCGTCGGCAGGGGAGAGAAGAGTGGGCTTGGACATCAGGCGGGCTATTGCCAAAATTTTCTGAGGCACTGATGAGCCATTTATAGTGCTTGGTAAGCGCTGACATGAAGCTGATTACCGACGTCGCGGTACAGACCAAACAAGTGCAACCGCGCAGTTCCAGCTTGTTCCTGTCAACAAACTATCGCACAGGTCACAATGGCCCGAACGCCGAGCAAACCCAAAGCTCACGTCCCATACCGCGGAGACGATTTGTCTGTGGGGAGGAAGACTGGAGTCAAAGTGCCGCGAATTCAGCGCAAGTCGGACGGTTTCGAGCCGTTCAATGAACTGTTCAATCACGCTGATGATCGCACCCCGCCGCGCCGTAAGAAGAAGTCCGTTTCCCGTGCCCAACGGACGCCGGAGGATGAGGACGAGGATGAAGACGAGTATGGAGAAGCTTCTATGGATCTCGACAGTGCGTAGATTCACTAGGCGGACTGTCTGTGAGTGTCTGACTTCCGTTCCAGGCCCCATCCAACAAGAGACTGCATCCCGCCGCGCCAGCACGTCGAGGGTGATATCTCGTACTCGCGCCGTTGATTTTGACGAGATCCCGTCACCTCGCAAAACTGTCGGACGTGCATCTCGGACTGCTCCTCGCCACACGGCAGAGGAGGATGCTGAAGAGGAGGATGCTGGACGCTATTTCGATGAAGCTGCCCAAATGGATGAAAATGAGGAGGAAGAGGACGAGGAGGACCAGATAGAACCTGCCTCCGCGGCCCCTGCCAGTCGTGCTAAAAGCGGGCGCAAGTCTGTGGCCACCATATCGAAAGGGAAAGGCAGACAATTGGAGCCTGTAGATGATGAAGAGGACGAGGACAACGCTGGTGGCGATGACTTCACACGCGAGCTGGAGGCCATCGATGATCTTCCTCCCTCTGACGAGGAAGCCGATGAAGTGGAAACGCCGCCTCGAAAGAAACCGCGTGCGAGCACTTCTCCGAAGAAACGGGAACCCAAGTCCAAACCCAAGTCCAAACCCGTCTCCGTCGCCGTTGAGAGACTTGCTCGAAGCGATACCGAAGAACCCCCTGAGGGTGTGCGGCGCTCACGGCGTACATTCTACGCGCCACTCGAGTGGTGGCGTGGCGAACATCGTGTCTACGAGCCTCGACACGATGGCGAGATACGACAAGTCCCTCACATCAAGGAAATCGTTCGTATTCCTAAGGAGCCGCCTCCTTCCAAAGCACCAGCTTCGAAGCGAAAGCGCACTCGGCCCACACCAGAGACGCGGATCATCGAACAAGAAGTCATTGTCGAAGTCGACGCGAGCAACCCAGAACGCGGTTGGGATCACGAGACCCGGGATGATCCAAGCGCGTCTGTGATTGACTACGAAACGCAGGAAGAAGTCGTTCGCCGCTTGGCTTTCACGGAAGACATGTTTGATCCCAAAGCCGGTGCCCTCTCAGCGAGTTCTACCGAAGCCGACCAGTGGTACTTCCAGAAGATCATGTCGGATTCCGACTTCGTGGCTGCCGGCCAACTCTTGATAGAGCCCAAGAAGAGAAAACCTATCAAATCAGCCAAAGAAAATACTTATGTGTGTCGATTTCCATCCGCCTTTGGGGATCTGGTCGCTGACTGGGTCATCCAGATCTTCTATGTAATTTCAGGCGCCGTATCTGCCCTCATCAACAACCAAGCACGCACGGTCACTTCCGGGGGAATGTTTATGGTTCCCCGCGGGAATCAGTACATGATTGAGAATATCTGCGACCGGGAGGCCAAGCTTTTCTTCACGCAAGCTAAACAGTCCGAAGAAGCCGAAATTGTCGTCAGAAAGCCTAGGGCTGTTGCTTCGCATGTCTCTATGGATCCTATGATCTCTTGAATGACAATCTGTACAACCCTTTCCAGAGCTTCTGTATCTTATTTCATGGAATTGTACTGCTGTGCTGCAATGGGTGGCGTGACAAAAGGTCACGTGTGCGTGACACTACGCGCCTTAACGAGCAACTTGAGAATCCACGGCGTAGTGTCCAGATGTTGTAGGGAGCTCTGAAAAGCAGCAAATTGGAAGATGAGAAAGAACATAGTGGTGCATTTAGAACAGACTGGATTGCAAATCGATGAGATGAAAGACTGCTCTTGGGTTCAGCGCGCTATTTGGCAGAAATGAGCTGGGTCCCGAGGTTGTGCCGAAAAGACATCAGAAACCAGATTATTCAAATGAGCATCTCCGAAGTTTCGTCGACGGTGTCCAACTTCCCGTACATTGGATTATCGAATACATGGAACACCTGGGTGGCCTGAAATCGATGAGAACCAGAACGTGTACTTGTTCTGCCGAGAGGCAGATTGCTCGACTATCCTTCAGCGACGTCCAAGAGCTCGAGTTAACTGAAGTTGGTCTACTCAGGCTCCGAAGCAGTCGCAAAAGGAACTCAAACTTTCAGCCTGATTTCGGAGGAAATCGGAACAGATTTGTATGAGATGTTTATGCGTTGCACTCATCTTGGTTGTACCCGGCTTGCAGTAGTGTGCGAAGATCGGATGAGAACTGAAAACTGCCTCTCAGATCTTTCTGCTAGGGACCGGTCGTTCACCCTTTGCCATGCCAGCTGGGATCGGAATGACGAGCGTGAGAAGATGCCGCGCTTAGAAGGCTGATTATCTTAGTCTACTGGGCTGAAACTGCGCTCATGTGCAGGGATGCGTCGAAAGATTGGAAGACTCCGACGGCCAACGTGCGTCCGAAAGGAGGTACGCTAGGGCAGAAAAGAGCTTGATTGCGCTGATGAGGATAGCACACGGACGTGACGAAACTAGAGACATAGATTACCTATGTGTGACGTCGATCTTATGGTCGGCTTGTCCCCCACAGATCTCTTTCCTCGACCACCATGAACTCCTTCAAGAACCACCGCATTATCGTGGCCTCCTTGTTTCTCCCGTCGACCGTCGTAGTAGGCTCCGAGTCGCCTATCGCGACACCCGAAAAGAAGCCGCCGCCGTTTTCGGTCCCCGACGTCCTTCAGCGTGTCGAATCGGTGACCCAAGCTCCGGCCCGTCCCGGCCTACGTCCCTTGCCCACAAGGAGCATCGTCGATGACCTGATCAATGTGAAGTCCCGCAATCCTACACCGGCTGCGACCCCGGGTCAGGAGAACCTGAACCCATTCATGAAACTCAATGGCAATCACCATCCTTTGGCGACGCCGCTTGCTCGAAAACACCAGACCACCCATAGCAGCGAGGGCCGACCACGACTGCAGCGGAAAGGCAGCGCCTCACGGTCGTCATCCCGCCGGCCCGAACCGGAGCGCAAGCGCAGCCTTCGCGACGAATGGCACATCGAGAACAACCCACACTGCAATGGGGGTCTGAAAAACGCCATTCTCAGCATGGGTGATAAGCTGAAGGAGACCCTGTGGGTGGGAACCATCGGCGCTCATACCGACTCTATCACGGAGCCGCTTCGCAACGCCATTGACCAGCGCATGCGCGCTGAGAAGTCGTGCTATCCTGTATGGATCCCCGACATGGAGTTTGAGAAGTGCTACGATGAGTTTTGTCATCAGGTTTGTGGGCATTGAGGCTCGGCAACGCGTCATAACACCTCATCGAAATTCTGCAGGTATTGTGGCCCAGCCTCCACTACGCTATCCCCGACGCGCCGAAAACCAAAACCTTCTACGAATCCGCTTCGTTCAATCAATATGTTGCCGTCAACCAGCGATTTGCGGATGCTATCGGAGAAGCCTACCAGGAAGGAGATATCAGTGAGTGATCATGTTTCGCCGCAGGCACTCGACTCATTTTCTAGTCTGGGTTAACGACTATCATTTGATGCTTCTCCCCGCTCTTCTGAGAGCTTGCCCGAAGATCCCATCTCACGCGCCGATCGGTTTTTTCATGCATGTCGCGTTCCCCTCGTCCGAAATCTTCCGCTGCTTTTCCGTGCGGAGGGAACTGCTCGATGGTGTTCTCGCAGCGGACTTGATCGGTTTCCAAACAGCAAATCATGCTCGCCACTTCCGTCAGACTGTCAGCCGGATCATGGCGTACGAGGCACTGCCACGGGGTATCCAGATCTACCAAGGGCAAGGACGGGACCGTTGTTCTCGTTTTGTGAACATTGGTGTGTTTCCCATGGGAATTGATGTCCAGCAGCTGCGAGAGAAGAAGTGAGTGCCGACGTCACGGATATCTCGTTCTATCTAACGAGCTTATCAGACGCGATCCTGATGTCGCTGAATGGGTTCAAGTCCTGAAGCAACGTTACGCAGGAATGAAGATCGTTGTCGGACGGGACAAACTGGATGAGATCCAGGGTGTGCGTCACAAATTGCTAGCGTTTCAGTGGTTCCTGGAGAAATACCCCGAGTTCCACGGAAAAGTCGTCCTCATCCAAGTGGCGCTGCAGACTACCGTGACCGATCTGGCTGGAAACATTGCAGATGTCGTGACGCACATCAACTCGCGATTCTCGACCCTCACATGGCAGCCAGTAGTGTTCTTGCCGACGCAGGACCTTACATTCAGCCAATATCTGGCTCTGCTTTCCGTGGCGGATGCGTTCATCGTGACGAGCTTGCGTGAGGGAATGGCACTGCGGACCCACGAATTCGTCGAATGCCAGGAGGAAAGGCATCGGCCGCTCATCCTGAGTGAGTTCACTGGCTCGTACAGCTATAGTGGATTCCGTTCTTGCATCGCGATCAACCCGTGGGATACTCGCGGAACGGCCGCGGCGATCCACCAAGCGCTGACCATGTCTGACGACGAAGCCTTGTCCCGCTGGGAGGATCTGCACAATCATGTGACGACCCAGACGAGCCAAGCGTTCGTGACATCCTTCCTCTCGCGGTGCCTTCGGTCGCATACGGAACAACATCTGCAAGCGCATTCCTCGCCGCCGCTGGACATGTCGCGACTGCTTCCCAAATACAAACACTCCTCGAAGCGTCTGCTCCTGATCGACCTGGAGGGGACCCTCTGGAACCGTCCCAAACCGAAAGTGGGCGGCTATGCCCCCGCCGATTTGGACAGCAGAGACGATGTGAGCATGGAACTGGCTGTGGAGTTGCTCAAGCAGCTTTCTTCGGACCGACGTAACGACGTGTGGCTGCTGAGTGGACTGCCGGCCTCTGGTGTGCTCACTCGCCTCGCGAAAGACGTTCCCCGAGTCGGCATTGTGGCCGAGAATGGATGTTTCATTCGCCCGAAGATCAACCACCGTGCCTCGACTGGTATGACTCTCAACAACAAACTGAATGGCTTCACCAAACGGCGAAGCGGCTCGGATCTTGACCCGGTCAATACGACAGCGAATCTTCCCGGAGGCTGGATCAGCATGGTTTCGACGTTCAACTTGGGCTGGAAGAGCTCTTGCATTGAGATTCTGAACTACGTGCGCATGTTTTCATCTGGTCCCGAGTACAGCCGTTGACGGAAAGCAGTTCACTGAGCGAACACCGGGATCGTTCGTCGAAGAGCGCATGGCATCGATTGTCTGGCGCTTCTGGACGGGTGAAACATTGGAAGACTGCGGGGATCGTCAATGGGCGCTTCGGCAAGCCGCTGAAGCTCAGAACCACATCTTTGACAGGTGGGCAGTCACAACCTAGAGCACGACCGATTCTAAAGTCCCTCAGTCTCGGCGAACGTTACGGGCTGAGAATCATCCCCGGCGACAACAGCTTCCTTGTTCTTCCGAATAATGTATCGCGCTCAACCGCTGTGGGGGCCATTCTCCACCCCGGTGGACCCACGTCGGCTATCGGTCAGCAGCGAGGCTGGCCCACCGGCGGACAATTTGGCTCGGACGATGATGCCATCGCCCAGGGTGATCTGGATCTCCTCCTCGCTATCACTGGCGACGAGCATCTCATTCGCCGGTTGAATGAGTTTGATGTGGCTGAGACGGTGGCGACTGGTGGCAAAGCGGCAACCGATGCACGATGGACGCTGGGCTCGAACGTCGTCGAGACGCTGTCTGTGCTGGCCAATATTTCATCGTGAGGCTTTTTCGTCTTCTATCCTTCGATCGCTGTTCGTGGGCGGTTAGATGACAGTTCGCCAACCACGTGCTATTTTTGCTTTTAGTTATCGTTATTCTGTCTGCTAGCAAGTCGGCCCAGGGAGCAAGAACGACACAACAAGAACAATAGTTGGAGAATATGAGCTCGAATAGATGTATACAAAGATTTGGATGTAGTACTAGAGTTATCGATCGACCATCTTCGTCTATTTAAGCGGAGCGAGTCCTGCGGAGCGCACGGGGAAGGGGAGCCGTAGTAAGCAGAGGGGGTTAGCATGCTGCGGATGCTCGCCACGCGCGCAATCGGACGGCTGCGAAGCAGAATTGCAGTTCGTCCCTGATTTTGACCAATTTCATGGGTACGTATCAGATTGTATTCATCTGAAAGGCCTTCACAGCCCGCCTAGCTCAATCGGATAGAGCGTCAGACTCTTATAGGCGGGATCTGAAGGCTGCGAGTTCGACCCTCGCGGTGGGCTAATGATCCTTTTGCCCCTCAGTGATCTAGACTAGGTACCAGATAAGATAGTCGATCTCCACCCATCGATTCCGATCACCCTTGCTCAATTTTTGCCACCATGGTCTCGATCAGCCGATCCGACTTGAACGCCCTCGAAGCGGCTTTGCTCAACACATCTGGGAACGTGGCCCTCCACAGTCGCTTTCGCGCCCTGTTCACTCTTAAGTCTCTCAAATCAGAAGATGCTGTGAGGGTCATCGCCGCTGGTTTGTGAGCTTTGTATCTCGGTACCCGTCCTGGATCCGACGCGCTCTGTACAGGCTTCAAGGACGACTCGGCGCTTCTGAAACACGAGCTCGCGTACTGTCTGGGACAGATGGGCAACACCTCTGCGCTGCCGACTTTGGAGGGGGTCCTGCGCGATGGGAGTGAGGATCCGATGGTGCGCCATGAAGTGAGCGTCTTCCTGTTTTCCCAGTCTCCGCAGCGCGACGCAAGCTCGAACCTGATTATTCTGCTAGGCAGCCGAAGCGATGGGCGCCATCTCGGCGCCTGCGTCGCTCCCAGTGTTGCGCGAGTTTCTGGGCGACGCGAACCGGTCCGTGCGCGAGACGTGCGAGATCGCGATTGCGAAAATCGAGTGGGACAACTCGGAAGAGGGCAAGCGCCACGCGGAGAGCGCTGTGGACGATTCTGCTGCCCCGTGCGTTCCGCCCTGCGCTTGCGATTCAATTGTAGCGTGCGCTGACCTAGGATGGGCAGGACGTACACGTCAATCGACCCCGCCCCGCCGTCTTCGGGCTTTTTCGCTGGCGCGCGGGCACCTGCGTCGACGTTCTCCGACGCCGAGAACGTGAAGCGCATCGCAGCTCAGCGGGCCAATATGCTCGACACGGATCTACCGCTATTCGAGCGCTACCGGGCCATGTTCGCCCTGCGCAATATCGGCACGCCTGATGCCGTCGATGCGCTTGCGGCTGGGTTCGAGGACGACAGCGCGTTGTTCAAGTCAGTCCGCTTTCGAACATCTATGTGTGTGTGTGAATTTTCGCTGACCACGTACGGCGCCTCCAGGCACGAAATCGCGTTTGTGTTCGGGCAGCTGCTCTCCCCGCACTCGGTCCCGGCCCTCCTCTCCGTCCTCGAAAACTCGCGTGAATCGGACATGGTGCGCCACGAAGCGGCCGAGGCGCTGGGCGGGATCGGCACGCCGGAGGTGCTGCCGCATCTGAAGGAGTGGCAGGCGCGGCCCGATGCACCGCTCGTGGTGAGGCAGAGCTGCGAAGTCGCGATTGATATGTGGGAGGTGAGTTTTTCCTTCCGCCGTTTGCGGCACGTCCCCCGCATGGGATGAGGCTGACTCATCCCAGCACGAAAACTCGGGGGAGTTCCAGTACGCCAATGCGCTCAGCGCGCAGCCGGCTATGTCTTCAGCAGCTTAGACATGGCCTGTGTACGATCTCAAGTGTATAGTAGTATGCGCGCGGGAAGATGACCGTGGATCTAATCTAATCCTCTTGCTCGTTTGTAAACTAATCACGCGGCCGCTGAGTCCTTTCCGACCATCGCAGCCACCAAGACCACCTCCGCCTCAAACACACTCCCAACCAGCCCCTGGCCAAGCAAGAATGCTCTGAACCGTGTCTCGCCCCAGCCCAGCATCAACTTCAGCTGCGACACTTGCGTGACCCCGCTCTTCTCGAAGGCCGGCCAGCGGTGCGCAAGTCCCGGCTCGCAGGCGCGGAGGAATGCCTCCATCTCGGCACTCTCGGTAGCAGCAATCGAAGGCGTCGGGGATGGCCTGCGGGCGGGCCGTGATGGTGCTTGCTTGGGATTCGGGCTTGGTTTATCTGGCTTTGTGAAGGTCTTGGACGGGCCGCTGCCACCGCTTGATGGACTGCTGCTGCTGCTCGCGGCAGGCTTTTGCTTGGGCTGCATGGCTTTCACGTTGCTCGGTGCTGCGTCGGCTTTCCTGAACAGCGGCCGGGGCAAGGGACGTTTGGGTGTCACGGATTCGATCTCTTTCTCCTTCTTCACAGAGACTGGACTTGGCTTTCTGGGAGACTTGATTGATTGAGAGACCGGCTGCACGGTGTCTTTTGCGATGGGGCTCGTGACTGCCAGCTGGTCCACCTCCTCGTCCTCGTCCGATTCAGACTCGGACTCGACGCGATTCCATCTCGAATGGGCATTCGGAGATTTCACACTACTGGTAGACTTTTCCGTTTTGCCACGAACAGGAGACGAGCAGTCTTTGCACTTCACCGCGGTCTGCGCGCAGCAATCACTCGCTCGCTCGACGCACCGGCAGCCGTGTCGCGCAACTCACCATCTTCCCGCTTTTCTCCAGATACGACTTGGCGTACTTCTCGAGGCACCTCCGTCGGTCGACGTAGTTGGATAACTTGGGGCTGAAGTAGCCGGAGAACCGCTTTTCAACCTCCGCCACGAACTCCTCCATCGCCTTGGGCTGATCGGGGATCGGCTCAGTCAGGTCGAAGAGCTTTAGCGAAATCTGGCGAAGCGCTTTCTGTGTACGGGAGGGGCGATATCATCATAAACTGCTACGAGTGGATTTAAAAATCAACATACTTTGAGCGACTCGAACATGGTCGGGTTTTCTGTGAGCCCAATGGAGGCTGCGAAGACATCACCATCCTGTCGAGTCGCGTCATTCTCCATTTCTCAGATCTGACCAGGGAAGATGGAACACACAGATCGTCTGAGTGTCTTGGTTGGAGCTTGAGACAATTGAATATCCATACAGAGATACAGATAGTCTCAGACTTACTCCGCTGCACAGGCATACCGTGATCGTGGTTTTGGGGAGAGAAAATCGTTCTTCGAATGATCAGGCTCGCGCAGGGTTGTGTTTAGGGTTGCACTGATGCAGTGCATGTGTCGGGATTCAGAGTTTCTCTTTCCGAGCAAGGACTCAACCCGGTTAACCAAGCCTCGACTTGTATTTCCGTTTCCAGAGGACAGGCGACGCGTCAATCAAACACAGTAGATGAACCTGCATTCTGGACCACACGCGAACTCTCACTTCACGTGATATCGTCACACGATTGACTCATGCCCCGAGAAAGATGGTCCCAGTTGTCTCATGGTACGATAATGACCATCTAGATACCTTGAAAAATAGAATACCGCATGTCCGTCGTATCGTAGATCCATCATAGCGGAGCCGTCGTGTTGTAAAATTTGACGCTCTTGACTTCCCAATCTGCCCAACCAGTCTGTCAGCAGTGGCCAGGATAAACAGCGGGCAGATCGTCTCACATGCTTCGCTAAACGCAGCGCCTTCAGCCGCGACAAACGCCTGACACGTCGAGTATCCCGTGCGGGCAGCACAGCTCTGAGCCTGTCCCGGCGCACCCGAGGTCGTCCAGGCACTGGCAGCCCAATCCCCACACAGCGTCGTGTCGAAGATGGCGACGTGCGTGTAGAAGTATTTCCACGGGTCGCAGTCCGAGGCCGGCCAGTGCGCCATCGGGAGACCCCAGTTGTCAGGCAGCGGCGCGCCCCCGTCGATGTCGCCGGGAACAGAGCCCCGGGCGAAGAACCAGACCGAGATGCCGGAGGAGTCCCATTTCACTGCGGTCGCGTCAGAAAAAGTAAAAGGCACCGAGAACCCAGACGTCAGACGCACTGGCATACACCCCGCCACCGTTATTGTTGAATCCTGGTCCGAAGCTGAGGTTGGACGGGGACTGCATGCCGCATCCTTGGTTGCCGGAGGAAGCAGCAGCACAGTCCGTGCCGCCCGTGACAGCCATCGCACTCGTGCCCAGTTGACTCGGATTGGACGTCGACAGCTGGCACCCTGGCGCAGTGTGGATAGTGGCCTGGTTGTTCGTGTAGTCGTTCACGCCTTCGACGATGTCAATCTCTCCGGCGATGGGCCAATTGGGTCCGTTCGACCAGAAAGCGCTGCGAATGAGGGATGAGAACGATGATCCCGGGGAGTAGATGGATGTGATGGACGCACGGCCAAGTCGCACATCCAGTGGGCATGTGCACCGAGTCCATGATGACCAGTCCCCCGGTGAATGACTTCTGGGTGGTGATCCGTATGCTCTTGCGATTGCTGGCGACGGTCGGTGTCGTTTCTACACGCATGACGGCGTTCCCAGCCGAGTTCACCTCGACGAGACCAGCAGCTTGCTGCCAAAACATCAGTACACCGTCCGCCCATCGAGGTAAGTCAGTTGAGGCGCACCCCGTCAGCCTGGCTCAGGTAGTCCACCGTGCCGTGTGTGGGGTCGTTGAGGTTCCAAAAGTCCCACTCATCGAAGAAAGTCGACCCGGCCTGTTGAGGGACATGAGATGGATAACACGAACAAAAAGACCAAGATCAACGGACGTAGGATTGAGTCAGGTGCCACACGGAGCTCGACTGAGTAGGACTTGCGCTGTTCGCAGTGGTCGTCCCCGAGCCCGACTTCCTACTGCTGGTGCCAGTTGAAGATCCGCCCGTGCTACCGGAGGATGACGAAGATGATGAGGACGATGAAGATGATGAAGACGAGCTGGAGCTGGAGCTGGAGCCATTGGTACCGGCCCCGGCCAGCGCGTTCCGCGTAGCCGCGGACTTGCAATAGATAACATGCTGCGCCGTGCTCCGGGGCAGCACACCGCCGAACGCGAGCCGCAGGTCGCGAGCCAGATGCTTCGTCTGATGCGCCGCAAAGCCGGACGCACGCTGCAGCAAGGTGGCTGAAGCGCCGTCCGGGATCGCGGCAAGGACGAGGAGGGCGGAGGCGGAGGCGGAAGATGGGGAGAGTCGCATGTGGAAGTAAGTACAGAAAAGGCGTGGATGATGTATAGGTTAGTACAGAACGTGAGCGCCGTCGTCGAGAGGCGCGAATATCGTTAAAGCGGGTGTCGAGAAATGAGAAAGCGTGAGGGGCGTTATATAAAGGCGCTCGGGGGTAGCTCTAGGTAGTGAGGAAGATGGGAGGAAACCGGAGATGGTGGAGGAACAAGAGGACCGGTTACCACACCATGAAATTTGCATTGTGTTGGCCTCATTGTTCTACTTCAATACTGGCTCGCGATCAGCTTCTTCGGCCCGCCGCTCAAAAACAGACTCCAACATTGCCATTTCCGTCGCAAATGAAGCTGGAGGATGATGGAACTCGTTGGAGGGGAACGATTAGATTGGTCTCGAGGTCGCGAAAGCGTGCCAATGAACAACGAGCGCGTCGTCGATCGATCATGTGCCTGACATGTCAATGGTTTCCGGACCCGACAGCGATTACCGATTGCTCCCTGTACATGTCCTAAGGCCCTCGAATGGAATGAAGGAGAGCAAGCTCCAGTTGTGAACAGCGGGAATCCAAGATTACTCCGGTGAAAATTGAGACATGTGCGGATGCAGACAAAGAGCCTCAATCTGCTCGTAAGACCTGATTACCAGCAACTGATCCCGCTCATTTCACCTTTCCTGGCGTAAACTGGCATAAGATGTCATACGAAGGGCGTATACACGAATCATGAAAAGCGGCGTTGACGACTGATATATATAACCAAAGAGAAGGAAGGAAGATATCAAGGTAATACAAAGGAATGTGATAATTAAGTACTAAACGTCGACAGGATTTCAGATAAATCGTTCGGGAACCACTACACCCACAGCACGCAGTAAAAAAACAGGCATAGAAATGGAAAAGATGATCAGAATCCATATCACCGCTGTGAGCTAGGCGCAAATGCTTCCCGAACGCTTCGTCGCAGTTCATCCGTCGAGCTGTCAAACGAGCCAGGCTGAATGTGGGATCCCGCCGGCAGGCTCCCAACAGTCATGTCGTCCCCTTCTAGGATCTCGTTGATCCGGCGAGCCAGCTGCTGAATCTCGCCCTGGCCCTCACCGGTCTCCGTGTCCTGATACGACTGGCTCTGAGAACGATGCGATGTTGGTGTTCCACCGGCCGAGCTGTGTGACGAAGCTCGCGAGCTGGCCAGATGCCTGATATTCGGAATGAGCAGCGCAGAACCCCGGATGTTATTGATCAACACAGGATCTGACATGTCGTCAGCCGTTACAGGGAAAGCATGGAGACAGGCAGCACGGACCTCCCGACTCAAGCAACTGGACAATGGTCCAGACGGCAATGTGCTGGAATGTCGCATCTGAGCTTGTCAGGAAGCGGTGAAGGTACCGATGCATTCCACCCTCGGGCTTCTCCCAAACGTCATTGAAAGCCGAGTAGTCCTCGGTAGAGCTTCGGCCGTCTTCGCGCCATGTGAGAGATAGTACCTCGCAAGCAGAAACGAGAACGCACCTTTAGATGACAGGTTGCCCAAAGCAGCAGCGCTGTTGCCCTGCACTTCAGAACTGGGCGAGTTCGTTAGAGGGATGAGGACCTCGCAAACACCCATCTCGAGCAGCTGGCCCTTGAGATCGTCTGCGAACGGTGTTAGCGCGTGAATGGCGCCACAAAAACGGGTCACTGACCACTCAATGCGAGAACAGCGACACAAGCCGTCATCTCGCTTTGGACATTCATCGGCACCTCGAGCACTAGATCCTTGATCGATTGGACGGCGCCCGCCTTGACGATGGCCGTCTTATTCTTCTCGGAGCTAGCCGCAAGATTCCGAAGAGTGGAAATGGCGTGGCATTGTACCTCTTCGTTCTCCTTGAATGACAGCAGGTTGATGAGCGGTTGCAAGAAACCAGACTCGATAATAGGTGACTCGTTCTGGGGATGGATCGACACATTGCGAACGCAGGCAGCAGACGAAAGAATGAGAGGAAGATATGTGGATTGAAGCAGTCGAAGCAGAGCCAACAGCCCGTCAGCCTTGACGATTTCGAGTTGGTACTTCTCTGTATTTGGGTGAGCATATCCCCATGTTGGCATAACGAAAGCACGCATACCATCACTGGCCAGGTTGCGGAGGGCCAGAGCGGCTTGACACTGGACCTTGAGGCTAGGGCTCTCCATAAGAGTAACCAAGGACGCGACCAGTTTGGGCTCTGTCTGAGCCAGCTTCTTCCTGTTGTTGCCTGAGAGATACGTAAGTGTCAATCATGCCTTGATCGACGTGGGGCATACCGTCTACAGCAATGTTGCTGAGAGCAGTCGTGCAGTAATATTGCACATCGGTATCAGGAGAGTTGAGCAGGCTGACTAGAACGGGGATGGCACCCGCGTTGACCAACTGCTGCCGGTTCTCATCTACGCGAGACAGCAGCTAAGCGGTCATTCCACATTGCGAGAGGGGTCATTACGTACCAGAATGCGTCATGTTCAACAGAGCTCCCGTCGCATTCCGCTGGACCCGCATATCCTTCGACCGTGCGAGGCGCGTCAAAGGAACGAGTGCGCCCGACTTGGCGATCTTAGTCTTGTTGTCGTCTGCGTGGCAACATTGAGTGGCGGGTCGAGATTACTCCGATGGAAACATACCGTGGGTTGCGAGGTTAGTAACACATCCGACGGCATTGCACTGCACTTCAACATTCGGACTGAGCATCTGGCGAATCAATGGCTCGAGGCCCCCAAGCTTCACGATGAGAAGCTTGTTATCAGCTTTGGTAACCAGTCGTCAGTGCCGTCTAAAAACAAGCTATAGAAGCGTACTGTTGACGGCCAGGTTGCCCAGGGCCGCACTCGCTGCCCGCTGGACCTCGGTGTCGTGGCTGCTGAGAAGGAAAAGGATAGGGTCGAGGGTGTCGCGGCCCACTGGGCGGACTTCCTTCTCGGTGATCTCTGCAAAAGCCAAAGCAGCACTGCGCTGAAGGTCGACATTGTCGGAGAAGGAGAGTATAGTGAGTGCCGATAGAGGTGAACCGGTGAAGAAGTTGGTTGTCGTCCGGTCTAAGTAACAGTCAAGCCGTTACAGTCAGCCGAGTGTTAACCTTTGAGCACCGAAGCCCACGTACTCTCCAGGTACTGCAGCAAGTCAGCTACTGCCTCCCGCTCGTTCTCCAACAGCAATGGCTCGTATGTCTGTGACTTGCGGGACGAGACTGCGGGCTGTCAAACGCTGCAGGAACGAGGCACCATTGTGACTCACAACAAGATTCGCAACAGCTGGTAACGTTTCCCATGTTAGATCGGTCGGCGTTGAACGAGGTCGGGGAAGGGAGACGACGCCAGTAGAGTACTGTTGGTCGTGGGCGAGAAAAGTCTAAGCGGCTGTGCACGTGAGAGTGCCATCAATGGCCACCATCATCAAGATTCAACATCGGCGGAAGCCGGTCCCCGGATAAGCGGGAGATGTGGGTTCGTCTAGATCTACCAACTAGCTTCAGCAAGCTCGGAAAGCAACCTTCGATTTTCTACGACCCTTCCTAATATCTGTTAAGTGTGCACTCACCGTCTAGTGAAGACTGGTACAGTTCCCTCGCCGCGGCGCGCCAAGAGTGAATGTCTTACGGCAGGTATTGCCACAGAACACGGAGAAGGGCAGCGCAAGCAGTCCTGACCAGATACGCCACAGACATTCATTAGACCTAGATGGCTCACTGCAAATTCTGAATTCCATCACATGACTAGCTAGATACAAGTCAATCTCTACGCGCGAGCAGCGAAACCGGCGTCAAGGACTGCTTGTCGCCGATGGGAGACAGCCTGGACAGCAAAGAGTTCAGTCGGAGAAGGGAGGATATCAACAGCGCGCTCGCCTTGTTCAATTTGTCGAGCATGACGATCGTAGTTTCCCAATCCACGCAGGCATCGGTTATGCTCACTCCCCATTTGAGATTTTGTGCGCCTTCGCTGGGAACATCTTGCCGACCGTCGTTGATGTTGGATTCGATCATGACCCCGGTGATGCTCTGTTCTCCTGCGGCTAGCTGCTCGCAGATAGAGTCAATCACAAGCGGCTGATTCTTGTGGTTTTTTTGGGAGTTTCCGTCTGAAGGAATGTATCTCAGACGGGTCAGGAACCGTTCTCATTTACTTACGACTGCAGTCCACCATAACGCTGGCACGTTCACGCTTCTTCAAGATCGACTGAGTCGCCTCCTTGACAAACTGACTGGCAAAGTTGGGACCCTTGGTTCCGCCACGAAGGATAACATGGACGTCCTGGTTGCCCCGTGTTTTGACGATCGACGCAAGACCTTGAAACACCCGGTCACTTTCTACTAAAACATCCGCCAAGTCAAATAGCGCACCTTGCTCCGTGACACCCATAAACGCATGCGGCGATCCCGCTGAATGCATCGCGTCAATCGCCACAGTCACGCTGCGGCAAGATGGTACGTGAGATCGCAGTTATGTAATAATTCAACTACACACCTGCCATCTGTCCCATTCTTGAATCCGACCGGGAAGGAGACGCCCGATGCAAGCTCTCGATGCAGCTGCGATTCCGTAGTTCTAGCACCGATGGCGCCCCACGATATTACTACAACCATGAGACGATCGTCGATAGGACCAAAAGAAACTTCTCACAGTCAGCCAGGTACTGGGGCGATATCGTATCGAGCAGTTCCAGTCCAACGGGAACTCCAGAGTCGGTGATGTCGCACAAAAGCTGCCGGGCGATGCGGAGGCCTTTGTTGATTTTGAACGAACCGTTGATATCGGGATCATTGATCAATCCCTTCCACCCCACCGTCGTCCGAGGTTTCTACGCTGATCGTGAGCATATATCCGGAGCCTCAGAAGATATATCGACCTCGCTGTGGTGGAGCAGTCAGCGGGTATGATTGGGTATAGTGCGGGGAAGATCCACGTACAAGTAAGCGCGCATGATAATAAGCAGGTTAGGCCAGCTGGCCAACTTCGCCTTCAACAACCCTGCGTACTCCAAAGCCTGCTCGGGAGAATGGATCGAGCAAGGGCCAACGATCACCAGAATGCGATCGTCGTGCCCCGCAACGATCTGGGCCGCATGGTAGCGCGCCGACGCGATGGTCTTTTGGGAGTCCGACGAGGAAACAATCTCGTGCAGAAGGAGGGCAGGTTGCACGAGCGGATCGTACTGTGTTCGCAGCGTGAATAGAGCGGCGTGCTCAAGGCAGCACACCTACACCGATGACACGGCGATCTTGGATGTATTGGCGGACTTTCTCCGCGTCGTCAAAGTCGGGGAACGGTGTGACGCTGTTCATGTCGGGAACAGCTGGGAATCGGAGGTGAGGATTGAGCAAGGGGAGGCAGTTGCGCGTACCGAATCTGAACGCGTTCCGCCCGTCTTTTATAGTTTTCTCGAAGGTAGACATCTCGCAAACGTTCGAGCTAGAGTTAGTCACGCAGGTAGTACGTCAAGTGAGACGAGGGGATTTATTCTAAGGGGAAACCACGGTGCAAGCTCGAGTCAGAGCGCAGATGTGATTGTGGCTGTGCCTAAGTTGCCGGCCGCCGGCTCAAGTTGCTGCTTAGTTCCCTTCTAAACTGGGACTTCAAAGGCTCCGTCGCATGCTCACGCGTCTGGGTTGGAAGCATCCACTGTACTTACGAAGTATTTCCCCATCTCATATACGTGCCATGGCTTCCCTACCCATCTTCAAATTTTCTGGAAACACGAACATCCAACTCACACCCGTCGAAGCCGAGCTTTGCACATTCATAGATGACTGCTGCGCCGATCTGCAGGAAGCGAAGGGCATCGACAATACATGCCGCATTGCTGGTGGTTGGGTACGCGATAAAGTGCGCTCAGTCACGTTGTCCCTCTAGAAATAGCCTCTCATCGTGCGGCAAACAGCTTCTAGGAAAGGAAAGCAACGACATCGACATCGCACTGTCCAACATCATGGGTGATGAATTCGCTGAACATCTTGCCCGTTTTGCGGAAAAACGCAGCGTCCAAACTGGCCCCATCGCGATCTTCAATCCCAACCCCGAACAGTCGAAGCATCTGCGAACCGCGCGTATCCCCATCTTCGAGCTCGAACTAGACCTAGTCAATCTGCGGAGTGAGGAATACGCAGCAGATAGCCGTATTCCGACGGCGGTGGTGGGTATGCCGGGATCTCATTTCCAAGAATAGCTAGTTGATCCCCACCGGTAGGCGTTCGGGACACCATTGCAAGATGCCTTGCGGAGAGACATCACGATCAATGCCCTCTTCTACAATGTGCACACACGGACTGTTGAAGACTGCACAGGGAAGGTGCAGTTGCGTCTCTGTCTCCGTGTTTTCGTCGAATTCATCTGAGCAAGGGCATCGAAGACCTCAAAAATGGGATCGTCCGCACACCTCTCCCTCCTCGGGAGACCTTCATAGACGACCCTCTGCGCATTCTCCGCAGCATCAGGTTTGCCAGTAGATATGGCTTCACCATCGTATCGGACTTGGAAGAGTCCGTGAAGGATCCCGTCATCCAAGTGAGCAGATGCCTCGTCCTCGCTCTCAGCTTGTTGAGTTTTGCCAGAATGCTCTTGTTACGAAAGTTGCAAGGGAAAGAGTTGGGGAAGAGTTGACGAAGATGTTGAAAGGTTGGTACCCCCTTTTATGTGCCCTATTGGCCGACCGAAACCCAGCTAGGTCCGGATCCAAAGCGAAGTATCGACCTCATCAACCACCTCACGCTCTACGATCCTGTATTCAACGCTCTGCCTTCTGGAACGACGCTTTCCTCACCATTAGCGCCACGGAGTACCTCGTTGGACGCCACCTTCGTGCTTGATAGTCTCTTGGATCCCTCCGGCACAACGTTCGAGCCCCTCCCACGCATACATTCGTCCTTGATTCAAGCCGTTTCCGAAGATCCGACAGCACGTCCACGCTTGTTCCTGGCTGCAGCGTTGACACCCTACCTCGGCCTCACTTACCAGGATCGCAAGAAGAAGGCGCTTCCCGCCGTCGAGTTGGCGATCCGCGAATCTCTCAAACTTGGAGCGCAGTACCACTTTGCTGACGGCATCCCCCTGCTGTTCTCTGCTGCGCAGTATCTCAAGAATCCAGACTTGAGTGAGAAGCGGTTCCAGGACCCGTCGGAGCGAGTTGCGTTGGGACTTTTGCTCCGTGAGAAGATGATGCACCATCCTGCGTCTGGAGCGAGATGGCAGTTTGCAGTCTTGTTCTCTCTGGTTCAAGAACTGGCTTTGGTATGTCCGTCTGGTGCGTTCGATGGTAAGTTCAGTGCAATCTGAAGTACCGCAGCGCACTGACCGGATTACAGCTGTGGAGGCGACTAGATTACTCGAGCTGTATAACACCTTCGTGTCTCGGATAGAGGATCTTGAGCTCTCAGATGTTGGCGAGGAAAAACCATTACTCAATGTCAGTGGCATCTCTACGTAATCGCAGACTTGCTGATATCTTCCAGGGCCACACAATCAGTCAGATCCTGGGTGCCTCCAAACCTGGGCAGTGGACTGGGGCTGTCTTGGCTCGAGTCATGGAATGGCAACTGGGACACCCGAAATCAACCGTAGAAGACTGCACCGCCTGGTTGAAAGAGGAACACAGTGCGGGCGGAATTACCGTCAACGATAACACAGAGCCTGCGAGCAAGCGTCTGAAGACAAAGCGATAGACAACTATCGTACAGACTTGTACACACATAAATCAGTGGTTCACGACTGACTAACTGGTCAATACATCATCAAAGTCCTCCGGTTCTGTTCTGTTTCTTTCTGTTGTATGCATCCATAAGCGCCTGCTTGATCGTGGCCTCGCCCGCTTCGAAGTTCGCCATGGAGAGCTTGATGATCATGTCAATCTGCTCCGCGGTCAGAACAAGATTGTAAGACCCGCAGAACTTGGCAGTCGAAGGGTCCAGCCCAGGCACGGCACCCTCATTCGGCAGGAAAGGAAGATAAACCATGGTGCAGTCCCTCGTCACAGTGGGCGCAGGAGGGTTGCTGACCGTCTTGCCATACGAATCGACTACTTTCTGCGGTCTAGGCGCGAGCGTTCCGTCGTAGATCTGCGCATACAGCCCCTTGAATCGGTCGAGATCCTTGGGGTCCGTCCCCGCCTGGATGTCGAGCCGGCACTTAAAGTCCAGTCCGCGCCTGGACCCGATCTGTGCAACGCGCTGTGGGAAACTGTCCTTCTGGACATCCGAACTCGCGTCCATATTGATAATCACATCCACCTGGCGTTCCGGATTCAGCAGGGGCATCGTCGGACAGTTGTTGTCCATGCCCGAGTCGATCAGGTGGATTCGCGGCGAGTTCTCGATACCCTCTGGACGGCCCTGGCCCTTGGGCGTGGGCGTGTAATGGAATAGAAAGTTGTGCTCGTTGCAAGCATGCAGAGGATGATGGTTCTCGAAGATCTCAGTTTCATGGGCACCCCAAAGTTTGGCTATGCCAGACGAGATACGGTTGATGGTGTCTCCGATAAGGCCAGTGGGCAAATTGCGTTGGATAGTGGATAGATAACTCGACAGAGGCCCAGCCGGTGCGCTCGTGCACAATCCCAACAAAAGCGCCAAAGATTGTTCGGGTAACTGCAAAGTGGATTTCCCCTCTTCAAACGGCCGCCCAAACCCGAAAGTAGGACACCACTAATGGATATGAGATTGAATTCCCAAATGAGAGAACGACGTCACCTTGGCCAGTTCATCGCAACCAATCTCAAACGGCGACATCTCGAACCACTGGAACCATGCATCGCTCGCCTCCCTGTGCTCTTTATCCAGATGATTTCCAGTCGCAAATGGGTGCTCAGAGTCGACCCAATCTTTCCAAGGCCGTTCGTGACGAATCGCAGTCAAGATCGGAAGAGGCTCAGCACCATTGACCAGTCGCCGCTGGGCTTGGGACCACTTCCACCACGCACGGTGATAGCCGGCAACCTCGGCTGCTGCGGATCCTGCGGGTTTCAATGCGGGATCGGTCTGCATAAACAGATATCCAGTGGTGAACACCGAATACAGATCCATCGCGACGGTATGCAATCCGCTGCGATGCTTCTGAATCAAGGGTCCGAGGGTCTCGTAATCGCCACGTTCAGAGCCGAGTAGTTTCTCCACTGCGGAAGCAGACAGCGGATGATGCGGATGCATCCGTTCCTTGCAGTGGTCAATCAGCTTGGTAGTATCCCCGTCAGCGAACGTGTAGAGTGCCCCGATCGTCCAACACGAGCCAGAAACACCCGCGACATACGTCAGCAGATCCCACAATCCGCTTTCCTTTGCACCGCGCGTGTATCCGAGTAACGCCAACCTGGCAGCGATGCATCAGCAGATGAAGCGCGGACGACACAAGACAAAGGACCCACATCGCCCGATACCCCCCTCCACTACCTCCCCACGCAACAGTCGGCACGTCGTCTGGGTGAATCGACTCGGCGTCCAGTCCCATGTACCGAGCAAAGTGATTCCGCACATGAACCCTCCGAGCCTGAAGGAACCCGCGCTCTTCCTTGCACAGCTCAGAGCCCTGCCGCGCGATCGCAACGTCGCGTATCTCGGGGAATAGTTCAGGGTTGTAGATGTCCTTCGTCACTCGCGACTCGAGCGACAGAAAGTACTCCGCGAGTTGCATGCTCGGCTTGACCTCCTTGGCGAAGTTCTTCAGCTTATCCCCCAATGCGGCGAGCCCACTGGCGTGCACTTCAGAGCTTGAAGACGGCGCAAATTGCTGCTTCAGCATCTCGCGTTCGTAGCTGACCTGCTCGGGAGTGTCTTCATCGTAGTACGGCTCGTGGCTGGCTGGATCAATGAGTGTGCATGCTGGCACGTTATATGCGCTCACAAGTATTCTTCTTGCCCAACGTCCGATGCAGTCATGTCCTCAGTACGATCACAAGGCAGAGGTGGTTGAAGTGTTTGAGCACATCAGGACGTCGCACTGATTTATGGCCCGCGGTCGTCGCACGTGTGTCGAATGCTGTGAGAGGTTGATCATCAGTTACATCGAGCTGCAGTGCTTGTAGGGCTCGGCGAGATTGGATCCCCGCTGCGCGGGGCCAGTGTGAAGGCAAATCAGTCCCACTGAATGTCAGAAAGAATCGCGCACAAAGCTAGACGATATCATGGTCACGTGTTCGTGCCATCGGGGTTACATCTCAAACTGTAAGCAGAAGCCCACATTGACGTCACCAGAGACCGAAGAAGAGTCATTATTCTGATAAAAACAAACATTACTACATCGTTAACGGACTTGAGTTCGAGCGTCTCGGGATTGGGCTTGACAGGCTCAAGAAGCCGTGTAAACGACGACCTTATCGAGATCAGCACCGTAATTGGTTTGGTCTGTATGGAGGTGTCTTTAGCTGACACCAATTGTTTGAAAACAACACGTACTTGCGCTGAACAACAGAGTGTTTGCTCCTTTCTTGAGGTTCACTTTCATGGGCACAGAAAGAGTCACTTGTCCTCCTCCAGAAGACGGCTGGACGAGGGTGAAGGGGGCTCCGCCATTGACGCTGACCGTGCTGGTCCTCCAGCCGCTATCCCCGTTCGCGAAGTAAACAGATATCCATTGGGCAGCCCCGATGCCTTGCACGGTGAGAGTGACGGTTCCTCCGTTGCCTGTGGGCAAGCATCGTTAACAGAACCATGGAATAGCGACTACAACGCACCAAGGTATCCGACGGCCAGGTTGTTGCTGAATGCAGAGCTCGCGCCAAGCAGCACAGCGCTGCCAGCAATCACACCCTTCTCGGCCTCGTAAACAGTGCCGGTGGGGATCGTGTACGTGCCAGCGGTGATGTCAAGGTCCCAAAGATCTGCCCATATCAACTGAGGCGAGCCGGATGCCCAGGTCATCGGGAGCCAGATGTAGCTGCTGGTCCCGAGGAGATCTGCGCGCCACCGATCACCCATGTAGATCGCACCGTTCCCGAGGGGCAGGTCGTACGCGTTCTGCGAGTACCAAGTCCGGTTATTCGGTGGCGACATATCGCTCTGCCCCGAGAACGCAGTGGAGAGGCTCTGTGGATGCGATCAGAACGACGTGACCGATCAAGTAGGATGCGATCTTACCGATGAGACGAACCACTTGTTGGGGTTGGGAGCCCAGCCACTGTGATAGATATGAGCGAGCACGACCAAGATTTAGATAAGCAGGACTCGCCTGGTGTGAGATGCAAAGAGATAGTAAGACTGTGGACTAGATGAGTTGTTGTTATCTTCGGCTAAGCATACTCAAAGTACCCCATTGCGTTTCACGATGCCAGGTGCCTCCAGTGTCGACCCTGTCGTGCAGTTGGCATTAATCCTTTATTTTAGCCACAACGAACATACCAGTGAGCTGGTTGACCTGAGTGGTGACATTGTAGTAATTGGAGTCCAGTTGTGTGATCTTGAAGTTCTGGTTGTTATCGGACGCGTACAGCAAGTAAGCCGTCCCTTGGATATCGGTTAGGTCCCTGCACTTATCCGCATCTCCAAAATCTCATACCATCATCTGATTCAGAAGATCAGCAAGGATGGATGACGACATGGAGATGCATACCATCTTGGAAGAGACCTTCGTCACGTGACTGAGCGCCGAGCGGATTCCAGCTACCCCGGTAGGTATAGGGTCCGCATGGAGTCGTCGAGACGGCAACACCAACCATCGCCGCGCCATAGCTGAGTGCGTAAGATGGATGTATGCGATCGGGAACTGACGGCACGTACTTGGAGGTATCGGAGTGGAACCACATCACATATTCCTTGTTCTGTTGCACAGCGTCTTAGCTTGAGTATCCAGGTTCAAAAATCAACAGATTACACCGCACCGCTTTGTTGTAGATGACCTTGGGACGCTCCACGATGCTGTTGTTCGAGATCATCGACCCGGCGATCGGCGTGAGCGCATTATTATGACGGGTCCAAGTGCCCAGATCCGTGGAAGAGTAGCAGCTGACCTACAGGATATTGAGTGGTCGGGAGAAAGAACGGCATGCCTCCGAGCTTACTGCGCTGAACAGAGCGCTGTTCGCAGCCTTGTCTTCTCCGAACCAATAGAACGTCGATCCCACCTGCAGCACACATGGGGCTCGATAACATACGATAGAGCCTGAGGAGTATAGCGCACTTTCAAAATCCCGGCTCCATGAGCTTGGATCGTGTTGCCTTGTGTGTCAGTCCACACAGCTCCGGGAACGATGAGGACCGCCTTGGCCGCGACGACGCACGCGAGGAGAGAGAGAAACCTCATGGCAGAGAGTTCGAATACGAGAAGCCGACAAGCGCAACCGTCTATTTAAGCATTTTGGGATCAGCAGATGACGAACGTCGTGCAGGAATCCCGTGTCGGCGGCCCGTGGTAGCCCTTTGTACCAGGTGATGTCAACGGACAGAAGGTCCACGGAGGTTTTATTCTCGATGATACCCAAGGCAGAGTTCGCTTCGTGAGCATGCGGAGCGCCTTTTCCGTGATCCAGCGCCCTCAGCATAGAGATAAGATGATCGTCGTCGGGACAGTCCAAGTGATCACGCCAGCACGTGGAGTCATCGTCGGCAAGCCCCGCTGTCATCAGAGTGGCGGTGACTTCATCTCGTCTACAGCTACTTTTTTTGGCGGATGGAGGCTTTTCAGCTGCTCTCTCGGGGTGGCGCGCGCTTCGACAAAAAGAGATTTCAGAATGACCTCCAGCTATTCTCTGTAATCCAATTCTCTGATCAGCTCGCCGGGCATAGTTCTGATCGTCCGACTAGAAAGATTCTGCAAAACCGACTGCTGCTTCTACCACCCTACGCGCCGGAGAGCTCCCGAAGGAAATAGATTTCTTCAAATATGCACCGGGTGGAACGGGAAAGCGCAAGGCAGAAGGAGGGTCTGCCAAATCGAACAAGAAAAGGAGAAAGGACAGCGACCTCGAAACGGATGTCCAAGACTCGGGAGAAGAGGAAGAGGAGGAAGAGGACGCTGCAGATGACATCGCCGCAAACAAGGCAGGACCCTCGAAACCAAAACAACGCATTGTCGCCAAGGGTTCCGATGTCCCGACCGCTGTAGATTCGTTCACTGCCTTGGTCGAACGATACAAGATGTCTTCGCTCCTGCTTGCCAATCTCAATCAATACGGCTACACAGAACCTACTGGTATTCAATCGCACGGAATTCCCATTCTTCTCGAGGTACGTGTACCCACCTACATTCTGTTCCGTGTGGTCACCCTGATATATGCCTTCCAGTCTCGGGACCTCGCCGCCATCTCACCCACCGGTACCGGAAAAACACTCGCATACCTCCTCCCTATCATGTGCTCCCTCGGTGTGCCGTCGTCGAGTTCATCCAGTGACTCCGGATTGGGTGTCCGCGCGGTCGTGTTAGCTCCGACGAAAGAGTTGGCTCACCAGATCTACAACGAATGCCTCAAATTGGCACAGGGCCGAAAGTGGCGCATCATTCTTTTCTCTAAAGCAACTGCGAGCACATTAAAGGAAAAGGATGCGAGGGACAAAGTTGGTCAGTGTTGTGGACTTGCTAGCGGGCAGACGCTGACAGTCTTCAGACATCATCATCAGCACACCACTGAGGCTGGTCGCGTCGCTCAAGTCAAGGGAAATCGATCTGGGAAAGTACGTGGCGCCGATCACTCACTTCGGTCGTAATTGATTCGCCGCCAGTGTACGACATCTGGTTCTGGACGAGGCAGATCGCATGTTGGACGCCGAGTTCCTACCCCAAGTCGAAGAGATTGTAGCATCATGCACACACCCAAAAGTTCAAAAGGCCGTATTCAGTGCCACATTACCTGCGTCCGCCGAGAACATGGCGCTCAAAATGATGCAAAATCCAATCAGGGTGGTGGTCGGACTGAAGCAAGTTCCCTGTTTTCTTCCTTTCATCGCATCCCTAACTAGTTCTCTTTCCAGGGACACCCCTTTACCGCTCATTTCCCAGTCCCTGACGTACGTGGCGGACGATCCGTCCAAACTGCCTAGTCTGCTGTCCTATCTCAAGCAGCCATACAACCCACCAGTGCTCATTTTCACGTCGTCTCAACCACGTGCCAGCTCTCTCGCGCAGGAGCTCGTCCTTGCCGGGGTGTCGAATGTAGACTGTCTGCACGCAGGAATGAGTCAGAAGGAGCGCGAGGAGACTGTCACCCGAATGCGGCGAGGAGAGAGCTGGATCTTGGTCAGCACAGAAGTCATGGCTCGTGGTATGGATTTCAAGGGTCCGTTACGCCTTCATCCATCCACTCCGATGTAGCTCAAGTCCTCCCGCACAGGAATTCGAGAAGTCATCAACTACGACTTTCCCACGAGCGTGCAGAGTTATGTGCATCGGATTGGGCGAACTGGTCGTGCAGGTCGGGAGGGCAAGGCCGTGACGTACTTTACGGACGCTGATGCCCCGTATCTCAAAGCGTGAGTTTCATTGCACTTTCCGGTGGTGGATGTCTCCAATCACAGCACAGCATTGCGAATGTCCTCCTCCAATCCGGATCTCAAGTGCCGGAATGGATTACCAAGCTTCCTAAGCCGTCGAAGATGAAGCGGAAACAGATGGGAAAGGTCAAGAGGACGGAGTTCGTCAATCCCCACCGCAAGATCGGTAGGAGAGACGCGATCAAGATGAGGTTTGTATGTTCGACCTATCGACAGCGTGAAGCTGACGTCCAAACAGGGATATGATCGCTGGGTCAAAGCGAAGGCGAGAGAAGGATGTTGATCGGGTAGAATCGGCAGACAGCGCGGTATAGTAGGCTGACTCGTTCGTATCGATCTCACAGATGGATTTCCTTGCCATGTCCGTGGCGACTTCATCGATATCGTCATCGCACCTTGTCAGCACAAAGATTAGATTACCTTCCAAGATCGCTTGCGTGCTGTCAAATATCTCCGTCAAAGGGCCCTTTTTGCTTCCGTCTGTCAATGGCCTGTCAATGAGCTTTGCTTGATCCCTTTGTCGTTTGACTCCCGCTTTGATTATCCGAGCTTCCCTGCTTACTTGTGTCCTTCTGCCTTGATTGCATGGGCGCCATCCACTCGTTACTGGCCGACACAATGGGGTTTCCCCCCCGAATACAGACGTATCGTGGAGGGAGGTAACATTGGAACATCAACACGAGGCTGAGAAATGCCTGTTACAGACCGATTTACAATCAGCAACATGAGATATGGCCGTTTGTTTCCATCGACATACACTGTTGGGAATGTGATAAGACAAAGGGTCAACCACGAGGCCGACACGATGTGCTAATTAGCAAGGGCGAATGTCCAATGTTCGACTGTCTAGCTTCGCAAAGCTCGAACTGAAAAAGAGCACTTTGGGTGGGAGCAAAATGCCACAGTCGCTCCCGATCCCTCCTCTGCTCTCCCCCTTGCACTCCTCCTCCCGTCCGCTGCCACACGATCATGCCCGTCGACTATAGCGTATCCCATCGATCTCGTAGGAGACCGTCTTCTGCTGTGCAGGAGAACGTATTAGTCAAGCATGGTAAGCGTTCCCTTCCAGCGGAATGATCGATTCTCAACTGCCCCGTAGAGGAAAAGGATCCTGACTTCGAGGCGATGGGCGAGCTGCAGTATCCCGACTCCGACTCGGAGCTTGCTGTCGAGAGTGCAAAATCGCGTCGGCGGGCTTCAAACAACCCACCGCGTCCCCCGAACGCCTTCATCTGCTTCCGCTCTGCGTACTGTGCGAAGAACAAGCGGCTGCCGGGCGGTGGCACTCGGAACCACCGACAGGTCTCGCGCGACGCCGCCGCGATGTGGAATGTTGCGGACGACGTTACTCGAGCGCATTTCATTGCAGTCGCCGCGCAGAAGAAGAAGGAGCATGCGCTCAAGTACCCTTCCTACACTTACACGCCCGCCCCCCGCGCTGGCGGCAGCGTCAGCGTCTCCGGCACCGCGCCGAACAAGTCGAAGAAACGCAAGGCGTCTGCGGGAGATAGCGACGACGACTACAGCGAGCATGCATCTCGAACGCGCGCTTCCAAGCGCAAGCGGTCCGGCGTTGTCGCGACGCCGGCGAGGCTTTGCAGCACCCCGCCAGCGACGGTCTCATCGGTGCTTAGCGCTCGACCGACACCCGAGCTTTCTCTGGACGGCAGCACGGGGTCTCCAGAGCTCCCACCCCGCACTCCTGAAGAGGATGACATCGTGGAGGAATTCGTGCCCACCGCTGACATCCCGGAACTCAACCTTGAGCCTCATGTGTACTACAGCAGCTTCGACGACTCGGTGCGTTATGTTTGGCCTTCTGGAGTGCTGTTCATTTGACTGATTCCCCCGATAGAAGGCGGCTATTTCACCTTCTGGCTACGATTCCAACACTCCTGCCCACTTCCTATCGTACCAGGAGCCGACTCCCCAGTTCTTCAAGTACGAAGTTCCGATCGACACACAGACGAACGCGATGTGGTTTACCCCGGAGCCATTCTTGGATGCATTCAACGGGGAGTTGGATGAGCGCCAATCTGTGTTTGCATTGCCCCCGATCAACACCGCGATGAACTTTACGAACCCGTTTACCGATTCTCTCATTGAGTCGCAGTCCTTCTATGGCCCCTCCGTTTTTCAACTATGATGACTCTCCATCGACCCTCCTTCACTGAAGAACTTGTACCACCGCCTATGTTATTTTCTGTATTACTTGCTGCTTTTGTTGTACCGTATGAAGCAGGTCTTTGTCACATGTGTCGTCCTATCATTGGAATCGATCAGATGCGCGTTCATCTCAGTAGCAAGCCACCGGGTCTGAGTTTGAACGGAGAATACGACCGCACATCTACAGTAGGTGACTCTGAACATTGTCACTTGGAGGAGACTCGGATCAGTCTTCTACAGTGGGTGGAAGCGAGCCACGTTCAATCATGAATATCACAGATCGTCGATCATTTCAAAGTCCGAAAAGCCGACGCGTCTGCTGCTTTGTTCTCAAAGGGCACACTGTTCGCTCTCACCTTTATCTTTCCTGCTGTCTTGGAACATTCCGTGTTTGATTCCACTCGTCTCACACTGATTCTGTGTCCCCGATACGTCCTTCTCAGCGCACTATATCGAAGTTCGTCACGGAGATCCGACGATTTTGAGCAACGACGACATCCCCGACCCGTTCTCATCGTAGCATAGTTACGTCGTCTGGGCCGACCGTATATCAAGACGTTTGCGCTTCAATTTTTCATGTCGTGTGCTCCTGATGGATTCCTCGGATTGTCCATGCGCTCTGGTGGAGTAATATGAAGAGTGTGAGACTAGCATGCGGCTGGAGGGATTAGTGTGCGGGATTTTTGCGGGATCCCTTCGATGGACAAGGAATTGTCGACCAAAGCCATGAAATAACCTTGAGTGTAGTTTGTCGCGTCTAGTCTTTGTTTCAGAAAACATATTTACTCGGTCCAAGACAACAGTAGTCGGGCTTCCATCAATGCGTCAAGCACGTGACCGTTCCATGCTTTGAATGCTTCCTGGTCCACCTCGCCACGCAATTGCGCGATGGCCCACGAAGATATTATACGCCGATAAAAAACTCATAGTACTCAACAAAGCACCCGGCCTGGTTGCCCAATTGGAGGTACGCAGTTACTTCTGGCTTTTATGTCCAAACTCATTGCCTGCACAGAGCTCCAGGGGTTGCGACCTTGCAGGTGTCCTCAATGGTTCTTCTATTCATTTTTCCGAGTGTCTTGTTTCAAACATATCCTTCAGCTGTGAAACGCGACTTGAACCTCGCGAATACACCGTTCCCTGTGCACCGTCTCGACAAGGTCAGTATGATCCTCTATGCGTACTTTGCAAGAGCCAACACGATTAGCAGGGTACGACGGGCTGTCTCGTTCTCGGGACTTCGAGTGCCGCGGCGCGGGATCTTTCGACACAGTTCCGCCGGCGGCTCGTAGACAAAACGTATCTCGCGCTCGTCCGCGGCGGGAGCAGGAGTTTTCCTGGGACCAGAGGAGAGATCAGTACACCTCTTGTGTCCGAGGACGGCCGGATGCGCTTGGCGTCGCAAGACTCTGGTGAGCGGGAGTCGCGCACTGAATGGGAGGTGGTCGCTTCATCAGTACGTACAGCGAAACTCACTCTCTGCTGCCTGCTCATCTTCATGTACTGTAGCCGCGACTGCCTCTCACGCTTCTTCGTCTTCAGCTTCACACTGGCCATAAACATCAGCTGCGGGTCCATTTGGCTCATGTCCTAAAAGGTAGCTGATGTCATGGATGCACACCGGGATCTCAATCATGCTCTTAGCCCCCATCTTGGGAGACACATTGTACTCTCAGAGCCCACCTACCCAAGAGATACAATCAAGTGTAGTGGGGGATTTGCAAGACTCACGCATTCTCTTACATGCGTCGCGCATATCACTTTTCGTGCGTGCTATCGAATCAGAATCGCCTCAGCACTGAGTCTTCACAGAGATACAGTCCGCGTCGCATGAAAATTCAAGTCGTAGCACCTCTTCCCGACGACTTTGTCCGGATATGCTCCCAAATTGAAATCCCGCTGGATGCCGTGGACCGCACCGGGGGACTGTTCATCAGTTCGTCGAGCGAAGAACAGGACTTCACAGGCGTCCAAGAGGTACCCGCCCTCGAGGGCCGCTGGTTCCCCCAAGATGGTCAATAATACAAACAGCTGATCTACAACAAAGTCCCGAATAACTTATGCGGTGGAGTGGGATTTGGCGGCTGTCGCTTCCTGTTGCGTCTTGATCCAACTACCCAAACCGACTGCAATCGCACCCACAGCATGGGCCGTCGACGACGCCAAGATTGCGCCCCCAGCTCCAGCGGTGATAACGGGCAGCGATGGGATGGTGCCAGCCACGATCAGGATGGCGCTGATGGTGCTCATGACTTTGGGGTGTTCGCCGGACAGAAAGTCGAGAGCTGTCGTTGCATTCAGCAGCCAGGCCGGAGCCCTGACAGTCGCCACTTCTAAAGCGAGATTAGATGCAAGTGTGGAACAAGAGTTGATTCACTTGCCTTCAGCGCCGGGTTTCGGGACGGCGGGGAGGTCTTTGTTCGTGCTGGTCATGGCGAGCGTGTTGCTCCGCTTGCTTCCGCTGACTGAAACCACTGCATCGTCCGACTGCACCTTTCTTGGTGTAGGCCGCTGCAGAGTCTCGTCTGTGGACATGTCCTTGGACTGCTTGCGGATCGGCCAGAAGGAGAGTGTTGATGACCGGCTCGGAGTAGGCCGGGACTCGCTGCTGCCCGCCTCGGACAGCTTTGTGTCGCTGCGGTCCAGCATGGGCATTGGCTCTTCGCACAGAACGAAGGCTTCTGGATTTGCCGCCTCATCCACCTTGGGTGTCTTTCGGGACCACCAGCTCCCACGCACTTTGACCGTCTCTGTCTCGCTTGTGTCGATGTCCCCTGTGTCCAGTCGTTCAGTCTCGGGATTTGCTTTGCCTCCCTAAGGACCCACTCACAAGACATGTTGCGCATTGCAACCTTAAACTTCTTCCAATTCCAGCGGTACTGGCCGCCATGCACCTGAGCCATGACTTTCTTCAGCTCAGTCAATCTAGTAGCCTCATTCAGCGCGCTGTATCGTCGACGGCGGGGCTGCTCACCTCGCCCTAGCCTTGTCGCCCATGAAATGCTGTCCGCAGCTGCATGTGTGTAAATCACCCGGTTCAGCAGCAGAGATGGGATGGAGGATCGGCTCACGTATGCCAATATTCCTGTGGAACTCCATGGCTGATACACCCTTCCTTGACTTGCTGGAGCCAGTCGTCGACGGGCGCATCCTTCTTCGGGTCGCCCGTGAACGTCGGGCCGGGTGTCCAGGCCGCATAGACGGGCTCCAGGTCGAACGGCTTGATCTTGAATGCGTCGAGAACAGGCATCACAGCGACGCTCGGCTAGTGGTGCAGTGAGTGCGAGAGAGAGAACGAGTTGCGCGTTGCAGCTTCCAGATTCGCTTGGAGGTTGGCAGAGGCTTTAAAACCGCAAATCCTCGCAGAAAACACGTTGCAGAGTCATGTCCAGCGCATGTTTTCGGGCGAGCAAGTTCCGGGGGAGCGGCAGTGCACTAGAGTTTGCTGGCACGGGCTTCGATGCTCCAACGAACCGAAGCACCGGGTGATTCGCGACAGACGGACGGCAGACCTCGCACTTTTCTGAGGGATGGGATCTCAAGGCAGATCTGCTGCAGCAGATGCTTGTGGGATCTTGATATTCCTGAGCGAACCCCAGAAAATAGCTTTCGTCACCAGCGCATCAAGCGCATCAGAACACTGCTCGTTGAGCTATTCATTTGAGGGCACAGATACTGATACCCTTCCATTGTTGAAGGCCTACTGTAAGAAGCTACCATCGGGATGAGACCAGATATTATGTACAGTGCGGGAAGACTAGGTAGTAAGGGCGAACGAGAGATTGCTGGAGTGTGTTGAGATGGAGGGAAGAATTTGCTCACAGTCCTACAATGTTATGAACACGCCGACGGACCATGTTCTTGAAGCGATCCACCAACACATCCACCGTAAGATTCTCATCTGTCTCAAACATTTCTTCGATGAACAGTAGTCCCAGTTTCAGTACCTTGAGTCGCAAGCGATAGGTCACAGAGCGCGGGTGCTCGGTTTCAGACTCCTCAGCTACCGCAGTCTCAGATGCCATTTGGATGTATTGAGGAAGTAGAAGGGCCCTGGGCGGGACCCCGCTCGAGGTACCGCCAGTGCTGAGCGCTGTTCCCAAGATTGATAAAGGCCGCTGAGCGACATTTTCGGTTTGAATTGGACGTCCGAGATCGAGAGACATCCTCATTTGCGGGCGATCGGAGCGACCCTTCATGTCACCATGCTCTTGAGCAACAGAAAGAGGTCGTTTTGCGTGCGTCTTGCGAGGGAAATCACTTGGAGCGACAGCGGGTGGGCCGGCGATAGAATGCCGATGAAAGTGTTGCCTACGACCGAATCCGACGACTGAGGATTGACCAAGTTCGTTACCAGAGCGGCCCAAACAGACAGAGTGGCGTGCGCGCCCGAATCCTTTCGTGAAAGTTGACATAGGTGGCAGTTCGTCGGATGTATCGGATGAGCAGTCTGAGACGGGAGACAGTGGGCGAGATTCGTAATCAGGCGAGATTGCAGGAGAGCGAGCAGGGAAAGTGAACGTGGTATGATCAAGGTCAAAGATATCGCCTTGGTGAAGGAAGACTCTTGCGGGGCGAGCTTTCCCAAGCGTGCGTGATGTCGGGCAAGAGAAAGAATCCTGAGGCTATTCTTGCGTATTCAATATGCGGTCATGACGAGGTAGAACCTGAACTTAGCGTACAATGAAGGTGGGTATAGCACGAATATTGTTGATTGGAGACATTACGATGAAAAGAAGCAGAGACGTTGGGGTTGCGGAAAGAAACGATGATGGCAGGCGCGTCAGTCCTCCGCAGACACGACGACCACGTGATGCCACCTCATACGGGTATGACGCACAGACGAGGTCATCGCTTTCGAGACTGCATATAAGAAACCGCCCGAGTAGGGACTGGGTCTAATATTCATACTCAACATGTTCCGCACTACCATTGCCCGCACATCCATCGCTTACTCCCGGGGTTTCCACGCCAGCCCCATCGCTCAGAAAACGGTCACTGAGAAGGTCGCCGAAGTAGCTGACAACGTATGTCTCAGCTAGGTCTTGAATCTATCGCGTCTGACACGCGTTCCAGGTCAACAAGAAAGTCGGCAAGGGCTTGGCCGATGCCATAGGAAAAGGTCAAGAAGCAGCCGCCGCAACAAAAGAGACGATAGGTGAGCCGCCACGCGCTTACGAAGGATAACTGAGTTCTCAGTCCATGTATCGAGATTCTGCAACAGAGGAGGGTAAGAAGAAGGCACGGGAAACTGCGGCTGTAGCTGAGCATAAGAAGAACGAGGTGAACCGATTGTGTGCTCTCGAGATCGTAAAGGACCCCTGACTATTCCAACAGACCGCTGCCGGCGTACGTGAGGCGAAAGAGGATTTGGAAAAGCATGCACGCAGGTAGACGGGTGACGGGACGTACTCAATAAGCCTAAGCACTGTACTTTATGAACCAACTCGCCTAACAACTGGTATCGCATCTCGGAGTTTTCAATGAATCCAGGATGGGGATACATTTTCGGCGGATGGACAACGGAACAAGTGGTGGCGGCGGTCCCGAGTGTCGAGTCGTATGAGACATCAAGCCCATTTAGTCACATCGAGTCACGTCACCCTGCCAAATAGCGTAGATGACCAAACAAATCTTTTTCTCTTAACCCTAGTCGTACCGTACGGTCGTCTACACAGCTCTCACACCCTCAACCACCCCAACAAACGCAGAAGGCAGGTTACCTCCCCTTCAATTAGGACAATTGGATGTCAGCGTGCGTTCATCGGCCTCTATCGTTTTGTGCTCAGCACTCAAACGCTCGCGGCCCACAGAGAAGAACTTCAAGATGTCAACGCAAACGAGATCGAGTCCAACTGGGACCAAGTCGTCGATAGGTACGCTCCGCGATCTGTTTCCCGTGGCTTGTAGCTTACAATCGCGTGCTCAGCTTCGATAACATGGAACTGAAGCCTGAGCTTCTCCGTGGTATCTACGCTTACGGGTGAGCACCGACAGACTCGTCCTCTCCGATCAGCACTGATAGAGGATCGACGAATAGTTTCGAACGCCCGTCCGCTATTCAGCAACGTGCCATCGTCCCCGTCGTGAAGGGCCACGATGCCATCGCGCAAGCCCAGTCCGGTACTGGCAAGACCGCCACCTTCTCTATTTCGATCTTGCAGAGGCTGGATCCCGAATTCAAAGGCACCCAGGCGATCATCCTCGCTCCCACCCGTGAGCTTGCTCTCCAGATCCACAAGGTCGTTGTCGCCTTGGGCGACTATATGAACATCCAGAGTCTGGCCTGTGTTGGTGGAACCAACGTCCGTGAGGACATGGCCAAGCTCAAGGAGGGTGTCCAAATCGTCGTCGGCACGCCTGGCCGTGCGTTTGATATGATCAAACGTGGGGCTCTGCGCACCGATGGTATCAAAATCATGTGTCTCGACGAGGCCGACGAGATGTTGTCTCAGGGTTTCAAAGACCAGATCTACGAGGTCTTCCAGCTCCTGCCCAGTGACACCCAGGTCGCTCTATTTTCGGCCACGATGCCCGCCGAGGTGTTGGAAGTTTCGAAGAAGTTCATGCGTGACCCGGTCCGCATCCTCGTTAAGCGAGACGAGTTGACGCTCGAGGGTATCAAGCAGTTCTATATTGCTGTGGAGAAGGAGGACTGGAAACTCGACACGCTTTGCGATCTTTACGAAACCATTACGATCACGCAGGCCGTCATTTTCTGTAACACGCGGAGAAAGGTGGATATGCTCACTGAGCAGATGCACGCCCGGGAGTTCACGGTTTCTGCCATGGTGTGTCTGCGTCTATTGTCATGGTTTCGGCTTATTCTGACATTAAACAGCACGGCGACATGGACCAAAAACAGCGCGAGGTGCTGATGAAGGAATTCCGCACAGGATCCACCCGTGTACTGATCACCACGGACCTTCTCGCTCGTGGTATCGATGTACAGCAAGTCTCGCTCGTCATCAACTACGACCTGCCTACCAACCGTGAAAACTACATCCACCGTATCGGTCGTGGCGGTCGTTTCGGTCGTAAGGGTGTTGCCATCAACTTCGTCACTGTCAACGACGTCAACATGCTTCGCGACATCGAGCGTGCGTGGCTTTGTTTCTGTCATCTTATCCCGTCGCTAATTGTGTCACAGAGTTCTACAACACTCAGATCGACGAGATGCCCCTCAACGTTGCGTAAGTGTTGATTGTTCGAGCTCAACGTATGTCCAATGTCTGATGTTTCTTCCAGCGACCTCATCTAGAGTGCCCGTGTTTGTGTTGTACATGTAATGATATGATACGTTTCGTCTTTTTTATCTGAGAGTACACTATGCAGACCAATACAAATGTCATGTTCTAGTTTGCAGTTCCATATCCTGCGCTTACTTCTCTTTGCTAAGTAAGCCCTGTGACTTTTGCGGCCGGCGTTTCGTCCCAAAAGCGAACATCGCCCTGTAATCCGAGATTGCAAATCTGCCTGACATCTGACACGCAGAGAACGCAAGCCACCGACCACTCGGCCATGACTTGAAAGATGTAGAAGGCCGCCTTCGCGCTTGCGCTGTTCTGGTCCGCGGCTGAGGACAGGACGGCCACACGGTATATAGTGGGAGACCACTGGGGCATGCGTTTAGTAATCCACTTGACTTGATATACAGTAGACGGGGTACCAAAATCGCAACCAACGTCGACAGATATCGTACTGCGCGCAGGTCAACGCGGGGGACCTTCCAAGCGGCCCAGAGTAAGATCGCCTGCTCTGAGAAGACGATCACGAGCGAGGAGACGGTGCTGGCGTATCTGCAGACACACGGTGACAAGTGCGCGAGGAGTACCAAGAGGAGACTCACCTTAAGTACCGAGGAGTCTGGCTGGCCGCGCACTTTCCTGCCATTGCTGAGATGAGGAGACTGGCGCAGAAGACGACAGTCAAAACGTTCGACCAACGGCGGAACCAAAAACGGAGCGTCGCGCGGTCCGTGGGAGCAGTGTCCCTTGAGCCCTTCCATCCAGAGGCATTGGCGGAGGTGAGTTTGGGAGGGACGTGTGGCGGGGATCCAGCGCCGTGTTTTGGCGGCGGCCTAGTCGCATTGACGAGCACAGTACGAACCACTCCTATCAGGGAGTCGGGCAAGCTGAGGTATCCCAGCACAAAGGAGATCTGGGTATATTCATTCAACGAGTCGCGATTGACGCTCTCGGGATGGACGCATAGTGCAGCGCGGAAGGCAAACAGCATCGATCTGTGTATCCAGCGTGTCAGCGAACATCAACGCGAGCGAGCGGCACCACTGCACTTGCCTTTCGAGTGCGAATAAGAACAGGCTGCTCTGAATCGTGGAACGGGAGCGCTTGAAAGCGTAGCGGGAGAGCGTGAAGGGCACGAGGAGAGCGTAGGCGGCGGAGAAGACTGTGGATGGTAGGAGATCATACGCGCGAGCGGGCTCACCGCCGACGAGCACTAGTTCAAGGAGAGACATCGTGTTGGTCTGTTCAGAGCTGTGGAATTGACCATCTCGTAGATTATTCTCATGCTATGACAAGACAGCCAGCGGCTCTGATACTGTACCGTCCCGCAGCACCTGACATGAGCGCCTGATGCTTTTCAATAATCTCGGGTGGCTTGTTGTTCTTGTGCAGCCACTGAGGGAGGAGAAGAAAGTACTTTTAGAGACTTGTAGACGCTGACCGTCACCCTCTACTGCCGGTGACAGTGGCGGCTAGGGATGGTTTGTTTGATGATCGATCAAATCGTTTATCAGATCTCGTCGTTTTTGATGCAAGAATACTTAGCAGACAACGAGGACCCGTGTGTACTGGATATACAACTCATGTGGATGGGGGTCGTCTCCATAAGATCGAAACCGGGTCCCGAGTGTCATAAGAGGACAGCAGGAGCACAAAGTGAATCTTTGGGGCGAAGGTTGAACGGCAATCGAGAAGCACTCTTACGAAGATCAAGCAATTCTCCCTTACCGGGAATGTCGTAATCGATCTCTCACAATATTGCTGATGCGAGCACCGGAGAGAGCGCACGAAACATCCCTCCTGGTTGGCCTTTCATGAGGGCATTGAGCGCGAACTATTACTGCAAGCAGAAAGCTTATTACTGTCCGGGATCGTTACACCCAGCCATAACAGGTCCGAGGACAAAAGCTCGGTTCCGGGAGGCTGACGACCGTCCTACCCGTGTCGATGACGTATCAATGAGCTCTGAGATGAAATCTTAGAGATCCTCTCCGAATTAGTTTGTGGAGAATTGAGCCCGCAGAAAACTCGGCCGATAGCGTCATTTCAGCCGACGGCTGGCGCTAGTCTGCGCTGGCATGCTCGCGATGCTGATGAGCTGTCTTGAGCTCTTGGAAACCACATCTGAGCTGTATGATACCGGCGTCCGTGGCAAAAATAGACGCAAGTCGTCGATAAATGGGGATTAAGTCAAAATAAATTTTCAAAGAAGAAGGCTTTAGAAGTTCAACAAACTCAGTCGATCTCCAGGAATCTGGACCTTGAGGAGATCTAGACATGAGCACATATATTTGAATCAAAATATATGTTTGATGGTCAGGGTGGATATCACATGCATCATCAAGGATCATCGTCGGCGCAGCTGCCGATCATCCGCCACACACTTCATTGTCCTTCATTATTCCATCGCTGCGCACGCCCTGTGCCAATTTTGCTATTCCGCTCAGCCTCCTGTCGACCTTGGGCACTGAGCAGGGTCGAGGGCGACAGAGCGCGAGAGGAGAAATGCCATGGAGCCTGTCAGTCAGTGACTGCTCATGGACAGGATAACGTTGTTCGAAGGGGCCCGCTTGTACGCTCTTTGACCTGCTTCCACACCTTCGTCTTCCGCGGCAGTAACTCGGGAGACTCTCTCCACACAATCTGCCAACATCCTTAGCCGACGCTGATGTTATGGGTGCTAACGCAAGGAACATCTTGCGATAACATACAAGGCTCGACGTGAACACGTTGCATGTTCGAATGCTTGGTAGAATGTCGGGGGCTGACGGGTCCTTCTGATGCATACACTCTCAGCGAGCCTCATGTACCGCATTCACTTTGTTCCTCCCCAGAAACATATGCAATTGGGTCGATTTCCGACTAGTGGCTGATGCCCTGACCATTAGCAGGCCTCGTGTTGATGCGCTCAGGCTATTCTCGGAAGTTGGAGCATCTCTTGGCTCTCAATCGAGGGTGGGTAAGGCCGTCAGCGCCGAGCTCCTGACGGACCTGGGCTCCCATGTCCCCTTCTTCTTATCCGACGTGTAAAGAAAAGATGATCAAAAGTCTTTCTCGAGGTGTACACCGAAATCGATGCGAATGCCGGGAAAGAGATTATGAAGCAGCAGCCGGGGACCGGAATATATAGAAGCGCCGAGTCCTCGCTTGGGATCCTTGTTTCGTTTGTCCATATAATCCCCCCATCCTCTGTACTATAATTTCTTCACCGCCCTGGTCGCGCCAAGATGCTGCTCTCTTCGATAGTTAGTGCTGTCAAGACCGCGTATCTTTTCAATAAGGCCGACATCATCTCGACTATTGGCCCTGTCGTACGTCTGGCATTGCTTTCACCTCTATGCGCCCTCCAATCGTCTGCAGGTTGTTGTTGGGTGTGTGCTCATCGGACTGCCGGACCTGAAGACGTTCTTCTGCGGTCTGTTATGGCAGGAGCTTCACCTGATCGCATTCGAGGTGAGGGCACTCCGGTTTCTGCTCGCGCCAATGTCTGATCTGTCGCCGTAGATTCAGAACCAGGTGTGTGTCCCTCTCAAGGCCGACCGCGGACGTTTGGTTACTGACCCTTGTCGTCCAGATCATTGGCCTCGAAGAGGACAAGTTGTCCAAGCCATGGAGGCCCCTGGTCTCGGGCCGGCTAACGATCCAGACCGCGCAGAAGATCTACACGGGGCTGATCGCGTTGTCCTTGCTCGTCAGCGTCTACACCGGCACACTCGCGCCGAGCCTCTTCCATCTCTGTGCGATGTACGCCTATAATGAGTGCGGGCTAGGAGACTACTGGGTGCTCAAGTCTGCCATCGGCTCTCTGGGATACGTCGCCTACTGTTGGGGGGTGACCATCATTTATGGTGAGCCGGCGCATATGTGGCTGCCACCCTTCTAACGCCCTCCAGACCAAGGACGGGCTCTGTCGCACACTTCGATTCTCGCGGTTGTCCTCAGCGGCCTCATCTTCACAACCACGGTGTGTGCTGTGTGATCTCGTTGGGCTGAGTGCTCAATTTGTTCATTCCGCAGGGACACGCCCAAGATTTCCGCGACCGAGACGGGGATGCTGCGATCGGTCGGAAGACGCTCGCGCATGTGCTTCCGCAAACGTTTGCGCGCTGGTCATTGATGGCTCTCATGTTTGGCTGGACGACGGGATTGATCTACCTCTGGGGCCCCCCGACTGCGGTTTCCGTCGTCTTCTTTGCGCTCGCCGTCTACACCACCGCAGGATATGTCCGCGATTACTCGCAGGAGGCGGACCGAGTCTCCTACTGGTGGTACAATGTGCGTACGCCTGCTTTCGTCCCCTCGTACTGCGTTCTGAAACGGATCCCCTCAGATCTGGCTCATCGCTGCTCACGTCATGCCCCTCTTCAAGCGACTGGCAGATGCCAGAATCCAGGTTTCTGCGCCATAGGCTGCATATTCACGATAATTTACGAATTTCATTCTCTCTCTGATGTATGCCACGATGAATCCCTCCCTAATCCACATCAGCTGCCGACCACCTAATCATCTTTCCCACCCTGCATGCTCTCCTCTCTTGCTTTCGGATGTTGTACTATCTACGTCGATGTGTACCAGAGCGGGTTGTTAGAATACGATTCGGTGCCACGAAAACATTCGCCTCGATGAGAATGGTCGAAAACTTGTGGGTGTCCGCTATCAAGATCGCTATCTGATGTGGTAGATCCTTGGGTGGCTTCTGGATCTGAGCGCAGGGCTATTCGCATCTTCTATTGACGGTGGTGTCAGTGAATAGTTGGCATTGTCCTCAATCTCTCCAGATCTGCTTCTGAGCATCAAAGTTCGTCTGTCTATCGATCCAACTTGTTTACCTTCCCGAAATGGCGATCAAAGCAAGATATACTGGCGTTCACTAAGGTTAGGGGTCGAGCCCCTCACAAGGCGACTGCCGGCTCATCGCTTCCTACTCGTCCCAAGGAGGCCGAAACAACACGTCGGAAGTAGGATAGGCTATAACTTTCCCGGTGTCTACTCTCGGAGTCTCTGAGCTTCCTGGAAAGGACGCGTGAAACCCCAGTCGAATTGAGCTCACGCGTTCGCGTTATTTGGTTTCGCATCGTCGGGCCGGTGCGGCGGACTGCAGAGATCAGTCACGTGCAAGCGCAATGCATCTTGCTTTGCGCTGCTCTCGACACACACTTTCCAACACTAGGTTCCTTCGAACTTCGACCCTTGTATGGAGTCGACGTCTTCACACGAACTACGATGATAAGTATGCCGAGAAACTAAGGTTGGCGGCAGAAAAGTGTGTCGTTTCCCTCAATTCCGAAAATGGTGTCCAATGACCCATCTTCAGGCGCGGTCTGAGCGTCGGCGATTTGAGGGACCAGGTCCAGGCTGGACAAGCTAAAGAGAGGCGCGAGAAGCTCGCTGCCGAGGCTCAAGCTGAGGCCAAAGCACAGCCGGAGTCAGCAGATGGTTCTGGGGTCGGCCGCAAGGACAGCTCTCCAATCAAGGTGCGTGAGCGTGCATCGAAACTTAGCCGAAAATTTCACAGAATAAAATCCAGCCGCTGTCCTCTCTGCTTAATCTCCCTCGCGTCCTGTCGGGCTCCCATACCACGGAACAAATCTCCGCGCTATGGACCGTGTATCACGCTGCGCGATCAAATGGCACTGGACGCGGTTTCGTGTGCGCGTCTATCCCCCTGGACTTGTACTCCAAGATGGCAAAGGCCGGAAGTAGCTATCCTATGTTTGTAGTCCCCGTCCGCCGCGAGGCTGCAACGGCCGAAGAAGCAACTGCGCATGAAGTGTACTTCCTGCAATGGTCGTTCCACGATGCCCCGCGGATTCCGTCGGCACAGGACGAAGATCTCTTCGTCCCTCCCCAACCCCAGCCGACCGATCCTTCGCTGGCGAATCCTCCGATCTCCACCGTGATGTTCACGCCACTGCAAGAATACAAGATGCGCGGATCGTTCGCGACGCCGTACCTGGTGCTGACGTTTTACACTGATCTCGCTCGGACGCATGGAACGGTCCTGCTTAGAGGCGAGATCACGCCTGTGGCGGCTGCAGCCGAGTCCGCTGGAGCTAGCTCGGACGGGAGATTCATGCTCTCGCAGGAGGACGCTCACAGGCTGTCCATGAGTGTACAGAACTTCTACTTGTGGGACGAGGCTGCTGGGAAGGAACACCGTGAAAGGGAGACTCTCGTCAAGGAATTTCACGAGAAGCCGAGCGAGTTCGAGTGGGAAAAACTGTTGAAGTATGCGGTGTGATGGAAAAAGTAGTACAAGGACAGTCAAATGAGTATCTGCTTGACGACGTAGATCGTATCAGGAGCGACGGGAGGTCATTCGTTTAACAGGCTTTCCGGTGTCTTCTTTGGCAGCTGCGCGCTCGATCTCGTCTACGTTCACCATAGACACTGTCCCGAGCTGTCTGCGACACCGTCATTTGTTTGAATGACACTGTGATGGACAAAACGTACCTCTTCTTCTTTTTCTGAGAAGTGCTCGCTTGACTGGAGCTGGGCTCTTCAAGCTTGAGTTCCTGCATCCCTTGAGCAAGTTTGGATATTCTGGGAGCCTGGGTCGATTGTCTCCTCGAAGCAGGGGTGGGGCTATATCCACGAGTTGGAGCAGCTTTGGCTCGAGGAGTCTTACCCGGCGAAATTAGAAGCTCATCCTCAGACTCATCCTCGGTTCCTCGTAGTCCGCATCGGACTCCTCACTCTCAACAACGTCAGATCCGAGCTCGCTCTCCGCTTCAGATTCCTCCTCCATGTCTTCGGTTGCTTGTTCTGACTCGGTCAACTCGGCGTCCTCCGTGTCTGAGGGTAGCATCGGAGGATCGGGCACGAATTTCAGCACTTGTCGGATGACTTGTGGAGTGCCCTTTCCTGCTAGAGGAGAGACCGATCCGTCCCGTTCGAGATCGTCGTCTTCAGATGAATCCTCGTCCTCTTCGATCAAGCTCATCTCGACGTCCTCTTCTTCGGCCATGTCATCAGTCCGAGGAACAGGCAGTGGAGGAGCAGCACGTTTGACGGGGCTGGCGAACAGACCCGACTGGTGCAGCATGTCGATCTTGGCATCGGTCTTAATCTCGTTCTGAGTAACCTGGAAATTGCTTACTACACACGAAATGAGCCGGCGGGGGTCAAACGCACCTCTTTCATCAGCCTTTTGGCATATATTTTCTCCATTTTCTCCATCCGTTCCTCCATTTCAGCCATGACTTCTTCGCGAACCTCGGCCTCAATGATGGCGCACCGCATCTCTGATTCGAAGAGCTGGGGCGAGGTGAGAACAGTCAGAAATGTGTTCATTGATACTACTTGCCTGCATGCGCAGCGCCTCGACCTCGTCGAATAAGGCATCCACCAGGGGGTTGATGGGCTCATCATCGTCGCTGTCTAGTGCGTCACCTTCATCCTCTGGGGGCGTGTGTGAGCAAAGTCGGCGTTCCCGCAATCTCCAACACACCTTCCAAAACTTCCAGTACGGCCTCGCTTGCCTTCTTCCCGCTGCCGGTCGTGATAGTCACCCGTCGGCGCGGCTTTTCAGGAGCTGGTGACTGTTTGCCTCCCGCAGTCTTGCTGTTCGCGAGACGTTGAATTGGGGCCGGTGCTGGGGTAACGTAGACCTCTCGAGCCAACGCAGCGAATCTCATCACATGAGAGTTCTCGTCGTAGCCTGTGTCATAGGGGTTGATATTCACAATCATGACCTAGAGAACCATATTCGGTCTGTGAATCCGGTCTCGAACGTGACTTACGGCTCTGGCGTCTCCAACGAAGTAATCCATGAGCACTTCCGTGAGCTTGCTGTGACGGAAGGGCACTATGGCGAGTCCACGTTTGACATCTCGAGTATCCATGCGCCCGTCTGTTCCCTCTGAGGCCAGACTCATGGCCAGTTTGCGCTGGTTGCTTCTCAGAACCTCCATGCATTGTCCGAGTACCATCAGTGACTTGTTGATGTTTCCTGCTTCTTTGAGACGCTCGCCGGTCGTCTGGGTGTGCTTGGTACGTTCTGAACCGGCCAGATCAACTAGCGTGAGTCGTGTAATCTGTATCGCAGATGGATCCTAAAAAAAAGTCAGCGGTATTCAAGATATGCGAGGTCTGAGATTCACATCCTTCTCTCCACGATGGACTTTCGCAACTTTGATGAAGACCATCCCGTGACTACGACTGCTTTCGCGGTTGGCCAGAGTACCGAAAACCGGCGATGCAATTGCCCCAGTTTCACGAGCGATTTGGCTTGTGCGGCACTATGTACGCGAAATTGACGCAGACCGGAGATATATTTCCCCGAGATTCCGGAATCGACGTTGTCGGATGGAGGCGAAGGCTTGATGGACAATGCCTTTCGCGTCAACAGCAGCGATTTCCCACTATTGCTACGCGGTATCGAGCCCGTCGAGTCATCCTGAACATTGTCCAACAAGTCATAGATCTTCTCGTTGTACACCTCCGCGTAGGACAACCAGATCGTATATTCGTAGTTGCGGTCCAATGTGAGAACAGTGGGATCGATGTCCTCATCGGTCGCCAAAGGATCCATGTGTTGCCCCAGGACCTGTGCAAGCTCAGGGCCAGGTGTGATTGAAGGGAGGATAGAGTCGCTCTTGTCGGACGGTTCAACTCCTTGTAAGCGGACGGGACGGTACTAAAACGTGTAAGAGCAAAGTAGGTCTGAGCGTAGGGGTTCGTACCTTGCCACTGCCGTGTAAGCCCTCGATGCTGTTGAATATAACATCCAAACTCCGCGGCAGAATTCCTGCAGATCCGGATTCTGCCCCGCCTTGAACACTATAAGTCTTGCCCGAGTTCGTAACACCGTAGGCGAACAGCAGCCCATTCTGCCCCTGCAACACGTCGCGAACCAGCGGCAAAGTGGTCTTTGTGAAGAATTCTGATTGGGAATCTCGGGTGGGAACACATGGGAGAATTTGTATGTGGAAGATGGGGTCATCGTCGACATTCTGTATCTCACTCCTGTTTGGGGCTCGTTGGGATCTGTCATCCGGACAGATGTGTCGGACAACGTCAGGAGATACGGTGAGACCTCCGTTTCGTCTTCACCGACGTGTGGTCGGATCCTCAAGTAGGCCTTGTGACACATTGAGTTACCCTTCCGTATCTGGGTTGTTGACGCACCGTAATGGGTTCACGTTCATCGTCCTCTACCATCGCCTTCGTCGCCTTGCGTGGCAGAACGGTTTTTGAGAGTTTAGATGCACTCGTAGAGGCATCTGTGGCATTATCTCTGCTCGTCAGCGGCTTTCGCGCAGTTCTCTTCGGCGCTGGTGCAGGCGGAGTTGGGGTTGCAGTTTTGGAAGTTGTTGCCCTGGTAGATCTCGTAGTTGGCGGCGGAGGTGCCGGGGTTGGCTTGGTTCGAGTCGAGGCGCGTGTCGCGATTTTAGGTTTGGTAGACATGGGTGTCGGGAAACAGTTGGTCACGCTTCCGCAACGCGTTTGACGCGTTTGTTGAACGGTCACGTGAAAACTGTTTGCACCCTTTGGTCACAACTCCCATCTCCTCAATCTACTTATCTCAGCCCGCCGGGCTCTATAGCCCTCTTTCTTGTTTATTATGGTGAAGGATCAGCCTAGCAGACGAAAGTCTATCGCAGGAACACAACAAAGCCGACCGTCTGGCGTCTTCAAAGCTAAACGACGTGCCCACAGCATTGTTCCTGGAGACATACTAAGTCCTCGCGCGAAAGCCCGTAGATTAGCTGTGCGTTTGTCTTTCGACTGTTTTATAAACCCTTCATGTCTTGGGAACAGGCCCCTCGCAAGAGTATCCTCAAAGCGACCGCGATCAATCTCCTACCTCTCGATGGCTCACAGCCCCAGTCACAAGAATCCGAAACTACCCCCAGTCGTCCCAACCCACCCAGCCCTCGTCCTCACCTGACGAGAATAATGCCACCGAGTCTATGGATCTTACGACCGACTGGCAGTCTCAAGGGAATGCCAGAAAGTCTCTCGCGCGTCGCGTCAGTTTCGCGAGCAACGCTTATGTGCGACTCATTGATCCTCGAAATGTCGACAACACCAACAGTACCGCTTCGCCACAGTCCTCTCCCGTTGCACCCTCAGATCCTCCACAACCTACTCCAGGCGGCCCAGTGGTCCTCAGTGACGAGAACGCGTATCCGGGCGGTGAACCAAAGAACCGTCGCCGAAGCTCGATGCGTCAGTCGATTGGCAGTGAAGACATGGAATTGACGGTCAATTTCCAGTTCTCACAAGAGAACGAGTCTGCTTTCGACGATGAGGGCATGGAGATGGACGACGGCGATTCGATGGACATGGACATGACACAGGCGCTGGATGACAACTACATCAAGACGAGGGCACTTTCTCTAGGCGGTTCTAGGACCCCTCTTTCTCAGATCTCCCTGACTCCTGCTGCGAGCAGTGGCACAACTGATGCCGACCAATCACAGTCTTTCGAGGAGGACCAGTCCCAATCTTTTGCCTCCGAACCTTCACAAGAACCTCCCACTGAGTTCACGATCCCCCTCAACCGATCCTTGCGACCACCGGCGCACGAAGACGAGACTTGGATGGCCCTGCGCAGGATGACGCACTCTGGCGATGCGCCTTATGAAGAGTCCCCGGCTTCCGACGATGAATACGTCCCTGTCCGTCCTCAAGATGGAGACTGGGCCCTTGCGGGACCTTCGCAAGTCCAGTTCCAAGATGACACGTTTTCGAGCACTGATGCCAGTCTCGAGGATGTGGATAGCGGGGATCGCACTGTGAATTTGAGCAGAGTACTGGGTCGCCCCAGCCTTGCTGGCTCGGAGCTTCGAATGAGCATGGGCCCTGACTCTACCACGACGAGTCGGAGATCTACGGTTCGATCATTCCACCTCCGATCCAATCGTCTACGCCACTTCCAGCTCGTGCTGCCCCTAATGTTGCTGTTCCTTCTTCGCCACCTGCGTCCGAGCAACCTTCCCGGCCGCCGATCTTCCGACCGCCCTCTCCGAAAGTTGCAACATCGGCTCCCACTCTGATAGTCGCGCCTCCTCCGAAACCTGCTGCGCAAATCGAAGGGACTCGACGCGTCAATTTAGCTCCGGTCTCACTACAGAAACGACCTCGAGACCCGGGGAGCCCAGAGAAAGTGTCTCCAGCCAAGCGCCAAGCAGTAGTTCGGACGCCTTCTCCCAGCAAGAAACCAGCGCAGTCTGACATTCCTCGTCCGAAACCACTGTCTCCGAGCAAGAAAGCGCCATTTCTGGTCTCCACCAAGCTACCGAGCAGCAACGCGACGACGCCCGTCGCTGCGCGCCCATCCGCGTTGCGGCGACCTTCGGGATATTTCGCTCGAAGGAAAAGCGTGGGGACCGTGTTGTCCAGTGCGAGCACGACAGAACATGCTGGACCGCCGAAGTCGCCGAAGAAGAAGGCTGCAATAGGCTTGGGAAGAGCGAGCATGGGCTCGGCTGCGGCTGTGTCTTGGACCAGGCCTGTCGTAGATAAAGGAAAGCAGAAGGAGCAAGCGCCAGAATCGGAGCATGCAGCAGGCTGTGCCCGGGAGGTTGAGCGACAGGCAGCTGCGTCCCCCACTCCATCGAGAGGATCCCCCGCTCCAAGCTCTCCTCGGCGGATTGCTCGTTTCGAGCCCTTTGTTGAAGAGGTCGCGCCAGCTGAGGATGATCCGCAACCGGATCCTACAGAGCAATGGAGAGAAAGAGTCCAGGAAGCTGGGCCCCCCGAAGAAGTTGAACTGGTGTGACCGACTACCCCGACTTTCAGCAAGACAGCTGACCTTTGTTCCCTAGCCACACCTTTCACTGGAGCAATTCTTTGAGCTTACAGGCATCAAGTTCATGGACGACATCGAAGGACCTCGGCGATCGACACATCAACCTGTTCGTCAGGCTCGACCGACTGCCGAGATCTTCTTTCGGAATACGCGATTGCGATGTTGATAACTGTCCCGAGCTGACGCTGTACTCAAGTGTGTCGAGTGATCTGACGGCTTGGATCGAGCAAAGCAAAACTCTGTTCTCCCAAGCACAGGAAGAAGCGGCGAAATATGCACCGGAGCTGTTCACGGAATATCTGCGGGCTGATGAAGAGGGCCAGACCGAACTGCTAGTGCGCTTGCTGCTTGAGATAGAAGGGTTGGGGCTGACTTTTCTTTTCTTTACAGCACCAATTGAACCTGATTCGCATCAACTGTCGAGGGCGAGCCAAACAAGAGTGGTACGACTGGAAGCAGCAGTGGATCCAAGGATTGAGGGCAGAGGTTGACAAGGGCTCGGCTGCCGTGGATGAGGTCAGTGTTCCTCTGTGTTGCTACTCGAAATCCCTCATGCCTCTGAAAGGATAATGTCGCTCTCTCCACATTGGAAGATCTCCCTGATACAGTTCTTCCAGCTCTCGAGCAGGAATATGAGAGAGTGATGAAGCAATTGGAGAAAGAGCAGGCCGAAGTGGCAGAGATCGAAGACAGTGACCAGGACTATCTGGCTGAACTCAAGGCGTCTGTTGCCGAGCAGAAGTGGGTTCACGAACCTTCCATTGAGACTGCAACTTACTTATCTGCTCCTTTTTAGTGCTGAGGTCGAGGCGTTCCAAGCTGAGCTGGCCGAGAGCGATTCACAATTGCAATGGCTTCAGGAGCGACTCGAAGAGTTGGACCTAGAACAGCGCCAAGCGCGAAGTGCGATTGCCGATGCAAACAGAATGCTACATCTACAGAGGAATAGCACTCGTGCAGAACTGGTCAGACTCAAAGGTGCCGTTTCCAGCCTAACGACAACATCGAAGCTTGACCATCACGCAGAGGAAGTTTTGACAATGCAGGAGCTGCACATGATTTCCATAACGAAAGTGACCTCGAATGTGTTTGAATACGACTATGCGGCTCAGTTCCATGTGACGGTTCCTTGTCGCAAATTGGTCCCGGTTGCTTCGAAGGTGCAGATCTCCAGACTGCCGCATTCCACATCGTATCCGGACGACTTTCCATCACTGAGCCGATACTTCCTCGAGACTGCACATCGTCGGATTCACAGCAGCAGAGCGGAGACCACATCTCAAGTATGTTCGGATGAAAACTATAATCGTTACATCTCGTCTAATGTGTTCAGGTCATGGGGAATCTATCTGACTATTGGTCTGCCTGTGGGCAAGTCCGGACACAGTTGTTCCAATTGACAATCAAGTATCCGGTGGATGTGGAGTTTTTGGCGAACGGAGATGGCTTCAAAGCCCGGACGACCGTTTTATTCCCCGCTGCCAAAGCCAAGGCGTACATCGACTTTATCTTTCCAGTCAAGACCTTTTCTCAGTGGCCTATTTCTATCGAATTTCTAGAGCATGATGTGACAGTGGCATATGGAGCCATCGAGTGCGTTTTTCTTAGATTCGTTGACCGCATGAGTGCTAAGTTCAGCATCAGGCGTGACCTCATCTTCAATGCCGTTTCTGAGCGAATGGAGCTGGCCAGTGCCGCGGAGAATTACGGTTGTTTGTTGGACGCATGTATCGGTGTCCAGGATCTGTACCAGTAGTTTCTATTCGTCTTTCTTGTTTCATAACTGTATGATTCATATGACTGTATTTCCTTCATCTCTGTTTCCTGGACGTCCTAGAAGCACCCCGCAATCACGGATTGGAGCCATCCGAGTCTGATCTTGCACCGCGTTCGGTGTCAATTTACCCCACCGCTTTTGCTGCGCGTTGCAGTGTCCGCTCCAATAGCACCCTACTCGTGCTCCATCTCATATGTGACGCGATATGCACGGGCATGTGCAGGCTCACGCGGTATATAAGGTTCATGTGCACAGAAGCAGCCTGCCAGTTCTAATTCCCCCACGTCTACATCCACCATGAAATTCTCCCCTGCATCCGTTGTCCTCGCTACCGTCTGTGCCCTCTCGTCTGTGCAGGCTGCTGTCCCCACTGTGGTGTCGGATGTCCCTGTTCCGTGCGTCTCTTTCTCGTATACACACCTTGGGTACATCGCTGACGGCCCTTGAACATGCACAGCTCCATCTCAGACCCGTTGTCGATCCTCTCGACCATCGCTTCCATAGCCTCGTCCGCCGCTTCGGCAGCCACCTCAGCCGCCTCTTCTCAGTCGGGTGCCACTGTCGTCCCACCCCTCTCGAGTGTGCAGTCCCTGCCCTCGAGTTCCTCGGCCGCTAGTACAAGCACAAGCGTGAGCGTGAGCACGGTCGTGTCGTCGTCCACAGCCCCTGCAGGCTCGTCAGCTGCCAGCAGCGCCCCTGCGGCGTCGTCTAGTGCGCCGAACGCTGCGCTCCCGACTGGTGTGCCGTCGAAGGAGTTGGCAATTGGAGCTGGATTGCTGGCTGCGATCCTTCTTTGAGCAAGCAGCATGATTCAGACCAAAAGTTGGAAAGTTGTAGGACAATGTAATTGATTGAAGCAAGTATGCATGGACGGACTCGAATGGAGATAGGCATTTACTTAACAGCCTTGTAATGACTTTAATAAACGGAGTCAACTCATAGTAATATTTATGCCGCTGGTGGTGTGCTGGTGAACTAGTGGATGAGATCATGAAGAGATTGATGATGACCGTAGCCCATACTACTCCTTTAGGCGTCCCAAAAACGTGGGCAGCTCAGCGTTTCACCGCTACACATGAGCAGTTGTTCCTAGAGTTCGAACATTCGGGCGCTGGAGAGATGAATTGTGAGATTGATGATGACGTAATGTAGTTAGTCAATTAATGATATTGATGATAAGTGATTGAAGGACGTCAATGTCAATATCACGTGCAAATATTCCGACTGCTCTGCTCTCTTGGACGAGAGAAAAATATTGAGATCCGTAGATCTACCACTCCGGAAAAGCGTGTCATCCTTGTGCAGGGGCCATGCTAATCTTCTCTGTATCGTTCCAATTTTTCGTATGACACCCCGAGGGGGCCAAACTCAAGGGCAACAAGTGCTTAGCCATCATATCAGTGATGTACTATGCTTGAGGAAGATATATGCGGTTGTCAGTGTATACAAGGGTATGACCATCCACCACTGTATGTACGGCCTGAGCGTCATGTGCGCTCAAGAGTTCTATACAGGGGACTCCTGAATCCATTGTATCATAATTGAGAGACATGCTAAGGCTTAGATCAAGTGTTGCTGAGTTTGAACTTGGCTGATCAGAGGCATCCATTCATGCTAGAGAAAACGAATGGGATTGATTCAGTTGCCAGTGGAGGCTCCGGATGAGATGTTATACAGTGTAAATACAAGTGGCATAATAGTATACAAACATAGCAGATGCATGAAAATATCTATAGCAGTGATCAGCTTCGATAATAATGCGTCAAGGGCGACTGACCGTCCGTGAAGGAGGAGATCAGTCCCTTAGCTTAGCCTGAAGCTGGTCGAGACCACTCAACAGGGAAGCAAGGACTAGCTTGTCTCCTTGGATTGCATCCAATTCGTCGTCGGCAAAATCCCTGACGAAAGCCCATTGCATGGCGGCGGCCCGGGCTGAAGACACAGCAGATGCTTTGGCGTACTGGACTCTGAACGTCGCCTCAGCCTCAGCCTCGACATCAGCACGAGTATCAGCAGCCACGTCGTCGATAGCTTGCTCCCTCGCAGCATCTGCATGGGCCAACTGCTCTTCCAACGACCGAACATAGGCAGCACGGTCTTCATCGGCTCGTTCCCGCTGCATCAGACTGCTTCGAAGTTGTTCCTCGAGCACCGCCAGCTGCGTCTGCATCTCTTGAACATCGCGAGCACGTGCTTGCTTCGAGTCGTGCAGCTGCTGCTCCAGAGCTTGCATCTGGAACAGTCGCTCTTTGCCGGTGCTTTCCAGCGAGACGATCTGCAGCCGAAGAAGTGTGATAGTCGCGCTGTCGACTGCAGGCGCGCTCGGATCCTTGTTGAAGCGCATGCCATCTCGTACAGCAGGCGACGGCGTCACCTCGGGGAGCAGGATCTGCGAGATAGACCCAAACTCGCCTGGCGAATTCAACGCGCTGAGAGCCGGGCTCTCGGGGACCTCGAGGTGATTTGGTGTCATAGCGCCACTGCGGAACGGAGCAGGGATGTCGGCGAGCATGCTGGCAATTTCGTCCTCTCCCAAGGTTCGAGATGACTCGCTAGCAAGCTGGTCCCAGGAAAGGATAGACCCCCGTCCGGCACTGGCACCACCTTTGCTGTCAGGCCGAAGCGAAGGCGAAAAGTCCTTGTCCGGCGGCAACGGGGATAGGTACGACAGATTAGCTCGCGTTGGAAGCTGAGAACGTGTCGGTGTCTGGGGAGGAGCAGCGCGCGACTTTCGCCGTGTTGTGATGTGTCTCGGCATGGCAGGTGTCGGTGCGCCGAGGACAGCGACAGGAGCCAGCAACAACTCAACCTCTTCCGAGTCGCTGTCATCATCTTCGCTGCCTCCTTCCGAGATATGGGACATGTTTCCGACGTCGCTCGATTCTGAAGGAACAGTCCGTTGCGAGGCATTGCGTGAGTGGCGAGCCAGGGGGGATTCCGTCTGTCTCGCGAACGGCGACTCCGTTTGGCCACGCTTGGGTGACTGGCTGAGCGGGCTGGCCGACGGTTTGTCGGCCCGGCGGGCCGCGATACTCGATTTAAGAGCGGGAGTTGAACCTTTCGGAGTGTGCGGAGTAAACGAGCTAGAAGACGAAGCGGAGGATGAAGGTCGTGGGGCGGTTGGCTGCGAAGAAGCCCCAGTTTTCACACTTTTCGTGGGTCGAACAGGAGAGCCTTTGGCCTTGCCGATCGACACTGGGGTTCCTGGCTTTACTTTTGGAGGAGTGACCCCGGACGGGGAGTTGGTGCTCACTGAACTGGCCTTCAAAGCTGCCCGGTGAGGGAGTGGGCTGATTGGCCGTCTGCGCTTTTCCTCCGGGCTTTCCTTTGTCTGCTGCTGCGGCGTCTGCTGCTCCTTCTCGTCTTCGTCGGAAGTGCTAAGCCGGCGGCGCACACCAACTCGTGCTGGCGAATGTGACTTCAGAGGCTCCCCCACGATGGACTTTGGGCGATATTTGGGAAGCGCAGAGACTCCAGGACGAGGCCGAAGCGAAGCTGATCGAGTAACACCCGCGCCTTGCAAAGTGGCTTCAACGGCTTTCGACGGTGGCTCGTCCAAGGACAATTTCCCCGCAATGATAACAGATTGTCGACGACGCGTTGCGGTTTTAGAGTCCGGGGTCATGGCTCGGCGAGAGGATATGGACGAGGGGCGAACATCGCCTAAAGACGCGCGGGGTGCGACCGCTTTGGTTTCCACTCCGCTGGTGCGCCGCAAGCTGGCATCCTTTGAATGCTTCTTGCCCTTATCTGAGTCCTTGTTGATTACATCTGCTAGCGCTTTCCCTGCTAGACTGAACGAATGCCGGATGGAGCTCCTAGTCGTAGGCTTGGATGGGGTTCCTTCGTTGGGCATGATGTGCAAAATTGGAGTGGAGAATGAGAACGGAGGTGGGAAGAAGCGGAAAATGGGAGAGCGTGTCCGCTAATGACGCCCAGTCAATGGGCGTTAGAAGGGATGTAGGCAAGAGCTGCTGCCTGCTTGGAGGGTGGTGAAAGCCCTTGCTGAAATGAACCAGCAACTTTGTCGTTGTTTACATGATGGCAGATTTACTCGATGTACAGATTCTACCACATGAAACGGCCCACTCCCTCCCGTGGCATGTAAAGGAATACCCACATTGTAGCCGCGTTGATTCCAGCATACCAGATTCCCTCGAGCGCCAGTGCCCAGGTCGGAGTTTCCGCAACCTGGGCTCGCAAAAGGATATACGGAATCAGAAAGTATCTCGGCTCGAGAAGCGGGGTGGGAAGCAAAGTCGGGATAACTAGTAGAGGGAGAAGCAGTGTTTGAAGAATTGTTTGTTTCTCTCCTAAGAATCAAGGGTCATTCTCCTAGAGGGCTGCAGGATCAACAGCAGGCTGCTTACCGACACGAAGAAACCATGCCCATCCACATGCAATATAGATCGGAATGAGCAGATAAGGAGCTGGAAACCGCATGTAGATTCGGTGCCAGATATAAAAAGTGTAGTGTCGATTGTCAGATAATAAGAAAGGGTGATGGATTCTGGCACACAGTCAAAATACGACATGGACTGACACAACTGAACGTACGTGAAGAGATGCACAGTGACGCCCATCGCAAGCACTAACAAAGTCGTTGAAAGAATGCGGCTAGTAAGTCTTCAGTGAGGTGGTCTTGGAATCGGCGAATGACAAACAGTCCAGAACCGAACATCCTATTCTTCACAGCGAAAACGAGGCCCGAAGGCCCGCCTTGACCGCTAATAAGTACCGGCCAGCCAAAAGCTGTAGCAAATGCCACAAAATAGTAGAGCTGAGGGACATGCAAAGTGGGAATATGGTTAGACTTGTCTCCTAGATGATCAATGAGTTTCTATCCTGACAGTGAGATTGGCGATCGCACCCAGGACTATGCCTCCATTCCAGACCACAAATGCGCCAAACGAAGCGAGAACAAAGCCGTAAGGTATGAAAGCAGGAAGGATATCGAGCAGAACTTTGGGAGCAGACACAAAAGCCCTTACTAAATCGCCTGTCGAGATAGTTAAACACCGGCTTCTGATGTAGGTGGAAACATGTATTCACTTGGTTCCGCATCGAGGGCCGGTGGATCATGTAATTTCTCGAGCGGTTTCGCGTTCGGCATTGCTCGTCGGAAACGTAAATGCATGAGTTGGCTCATTGCATAGGCATACAATACCCAGACTACATTGGTTTGGCGGAATGTGCAGCTGACGAGGCCGAACTAGCGTGCTTCACATTCGTGAGCGTGCACGCGTATCGGTGACGATGGGACGTACGAATCCAGCCAGCCAATGCTTTTGCTGCATCGCAAGTACGACGGTCACCACGACAAACAGGAGGCTTGGAACCTCCGTGTAGTATAAGAAGCCGAAGAACCATGCGATCGGGAATGAGGACAGCACGAGAGCATCGAACGAGGGTTCCAGGATTTTGGGTAGCCGACCACGCTGATGGTAGGCCAAAAGACGAGATACGACAACCGGAAGTGCCATCAGAGGGAGCAGAGTCGTCAGTCGCAACATCGGGACATTGCATTTCAGCATAAACGCGTGTTTGAGTATCAAACTCGAGACGTAGCTGCCAGCACTTGAGCACGCGTCATGGTAGATGTGGCGCACTCACAGACCAGGGGGAGTCGTGATTTTGGGATCCCAGTGCAAATAATCTCCATTGCAGTACGCCTGCGCCTGCGGGATATGGAATGGCTCATCCTGACGGTGCCAGCGTATTGAGAGATGCAGGATAGGAAGTTGCATCTGAACGCACCATATAAGGTTCGGGGACGACAGTGTTGAACTGTTTGAGAACTGTGACGCATATCCCTACAAACAAAACATAAGGCAGAGGGGAGCCCATCGTATGTAATGAGTGTGTTTTGGTCGGGTACTTGGAGTGATGGTATTTGAATGGCTGTGCAGCAGGTGACTGGTCGGGATTGTGAGAAAGCCGACGCTCTCCACTTAGCAGCTTGCCCGCGTGCACACGTCCGGTAACCTTTCGATGCATCATAACCACAAAACGCGTCGGATACAGAACATCGACCGGGAATAACCCTATAGAAAGAGCATTTATACAGCCCTATAACGTGGTACGGATAACCAAAGAAAGAAGAGCATATGCGAATCATAAATTTACAGATCCCGAGAACCCAAAACCGATCCCCGATCACTCAAGGTTCGCTGCGGGTGCATTTGTCAGTTCGCCGCCACCGCCACTGCAGAAGGATCGACGACGTACTCCTCCTCCCATTGAGCATTGGCGAAGAAGACGGGACCATTCGGGCTGTCCTTCGCGCGGTCCTCGGCGGCGCCCCTGCGTGACTTAGGACAAGCCCCAGCTGAAACAATGCAAACGGCAGTACCTCTGATTCAATCCACTGTATTCGAGTCTAATATCTATGTGCTTTCGGAAATCTAGAAAACTCCTGCAGACGTTCAAGCTATGGAGCGCCGGGTCATTTTGTGGCCTACTGTTCCCGGTCCTTGGCTGCGCCATCCCACTGACTGGCAGCGAAGATGGTCGTAACCGAGGGCGGGTCAGCCCGAGCAATGGGACTTCTAGCGAAAGGTAAACAACGGTGAAACGAGCACGATCTTCGGATGACTTACTCCCATTGGCCATCAGCGAAAATGATGGAGGCCTGGGGGTGGCGAGCAGCAAGGGCGCCGGTTGGAGCAAGACCGAGAACATGGCTGCTACTGATGTCGGCGACGAGCGAGCAGAAGAAAGCCAAGACGACGTACCCGTCCTCCCTGGCGAAGACCTGACCGGTGGGTGCAGCTTGCGCACCGACGGGTCCTTGACGCTGGTCGACGGGAGCAGCGACAACGAAACACGCAGAAACGCTCAGCAAGAGCAGTTGGAACTTGACGGTGAAGAACATGTTGAGTGAGTGAGGCAGTTGGTGGAACTGGGGAGACTGGGGCGGATTGCTGGGGATTGTAGTAATCTTGCTGGACTTTTATACCTTTTCAGATATCAAAGAAGAAATTCTTGTCGGGCTCGTGTCGATGGATCATTCACTGCATGGGGCTGGTGAGGTCACGACGAATCAATGCGAACGCTACTTCGGAGGGGAGAAGCTAAGTGATCGGGCCAGTTGAGCGGAGAAAAGACTAGAGCCCGCGGAGACGGAGAGATGTCGTTTTGGTTATTCAACGATAGGATAACAGAGGACCGACGGAGTCTCAATTCGAGTTGCACATTGCAAAGTTTAAAATAATAGATCCCGTATGATTCCGTTGCCCTTCCGAGACCACGCACTGTTAGATGTAAGAAGAGCATCCAAGCGGCGACTCTTGCATGCGTTTCAACCCAGTAGAAGGTAACCAAGGAGTATACCAAAATGAGGGTAGGAGTGGGCATGACCGTGAGATCTGATTTGTATGTGTTGCCAGACTCGCAGAACGCTGTCCCTCGCATTACACTTTCAGCCAACATCATTCTCGTACTCCGTCGCGACAGTGTGGGACTCGTGTGTCTGTCCACGACTTGATTCATGAACATTTGTTATGTGAACAGACCTGGCAGGTCACGATCCGCACGGGATGGTTGCATTAGGATCTCCATAAAGAACAGCGTTAGCCAAAGTAACATCTGCTTACTTCAAAATTCCGGAATCCGGAGTCGCTTCTGCAGAGTCTCGGGCTTCCACATTCTTTTCCAGAGTTCTACGCGTAATTTTGTTGTGTATGTGCTGTTCAATCCCCGATAAGAACCTGGGAAACGCTTCCAAATTGCCTCGCTGCGTCTTCGGTTGGCTCCTCCGACTTCACTCTATTATCTGGTCCCGTGTCTTTCAGTCTAATCCATTTCGTCTCGCCTCCCCGACCAGCACCAATGAAGGCATCGTACATCCCTCTCGAAGACCTCGAAGATCCGCCTCCTTCCGACTTGAAGCGGAAGTTTTCGATATCTCACAAACTGGCCGTTCTTTTCTTAGTCCTGTACATCGCATCTTTGTCGCTCAATCTAGCGGCGGCATATCTCTGGGTCTATTCCTCTGGGCCTCGCAATCCGCTGTTTCCCCAGGCTCTCTACTGTGCGACCGTTGGTCGATCTTCTTTCTGCCTCTTATGACGTTTGCTTCCCATCTAGCGCCTGCTCAAGACGTTCTCGAATACCAAACAGTCAAGTTCCACAGTGGATTTGGCACTCATGCTCCCATTTGGGACCAGCCGCCGTCTGACGATGTCGATCAAGCCTGGCATAATCTCTACGCATGTAAGTCTTCGAAACTCGTCCGGGCCTGGTACTGAGACACGTTTAGTTGCCTTCTCCAAGATTTCTCATACTGAAGCCCAGCATTTGCCCAACAAGACATATCCGATTCTTGGAGACGAGCCCAAATCATACATGCTTGCGCTGGATGTCTTTCACCAGCTGCACTGTCTGGTTTGAACGCTACTTTCCCCGCATATTCCTGGCTGATGTCGGACCCAGGATGAAGTCCGCAAGGCCATGAATCCTGACCGTTATCCTCACACTGAGGAAGGAATCAACACGAAGCACATGCGGCACTGTCTATCCAGCCTGCGACAGTCGATCATGTGCTCTGCAGACATTTCACCCATTGTAAGTGGTCCCACTGCACTGCTTGGAGCCATATTCTAATCACTCCGACAGGTGTGGCAATGGTCGGATAGATCGCATGCAGCCAAAGAACGGTCTGATATCGTTCACACGTGTAGAAACTTTGAAAAGATCCACGAATGGAGCCGCCAGAATTTCGCTGGACAAATGCAGAACATGTCCATCTACATTCCTGATGACTTGTAGTAGATCGCTATCTCCTCTATTTCCGCATCCGAAAACAATCATGACGCGTGATCACTTTTCTTCAATTGCCATCACATGGAAAGAACGGCGACTGGAAACGGGCCGTACGGCCCAGACATCTCCATCGATCCTCTCACACTGAATCCCAATCTTCGGTATATGCAAACCTACGGTGACCGGAAATGAGGCGATGCGCTCTGACACCGAACCGTATACTCACGTTGAGTTCGTTCGTCGCGGCCAGAGTCAATTCGGAGCCGTGAGCCTGAGGCGCCATGTCTTTTGGAGAATGCGGGAGCGATGACGGTTGCACTTACCTGGTCCCGTACAGCTTCCACCAACGCACGCGCCATTCCTCGCCGCTGGTAATCTGGATCGACAGCGAACAAGTTTAGATACCATGAGTCAAGCTTTCCGCGTTCGCCCAAGAGCCTCGCCGTCAAGCTAGCAAACTCCGGCCGATACTGTGGAGAGATTGAGACGAGACTCCTGTGGCGCGGGTGCACTTGCCGTAGTCTTGTGCCAGAGCAGAGCCTCGGGTGACAGCTGGACCAGGAATGTGGACAGGATGGCTTGTTGATCGACGCTGGAAACGCCGTCAGCGCTGCCCGCGCGAACCCCCAAACGGTGAACGGACGTGGAGAAGGCCTCGACCCCGGGCTCCCACCACAATGCGAACCCTCGGATCACGGTCGGGTCTGCTGACTCGCTCACGACGAAGATTCGGCCTGCCAACACGCCCGCGCGAATACTGGCGCGAAAAAACGCGGCTAGCAGGACTGGGTCGTCACCACTCAATGTCCTGATGGAGGTCTCGTCTTGGCTGGATTGGAATCAGTGGGCTGGCCGTGCTTGGCGTTACTCACGGGGATCGTATGCGCGCAGACAGACGTGAATTATCTCTTCGATCTGGCTGTCTGCAAGCAAACACGCGCCCTCAGAAGCTTATGCAACGAGGCGGGTATTCTGGGCTCACCTGTGGGATGCGTCAACGGAGCGACGGTGAAAGACATGTTGGGTTTGTGTTTACTTCGGGCCCATTGAAGACGGATGTTTCGTTGAGTAATTGTGAGTGCTTGGATCAGCTTCCCCGAGGCATGTGGCGCCACCAAAACCCTTCTTGAGTGCCAACAGGGAAATGAAAGGCTCCATCAATAGGATCTTATCGAGCATCGACCGATGCCTTCGCGCTTCTTCGGGTGCTGCACTCGTGGGTATCTGTCTCCGGCCACAAACCCGGCAGACCTCACCCTTAAAGTGGCTCGTATTCGCCTTGCTTCCTCACCACCATGGTCGCTCTGCAAATGCAACTGGACACTCCCGCCCAGCTCACTTTCGAGCGAGCTTTCTACATCGGCAGTTATCTCACCGCCATTCTCTTCGGTGCGTCGCTCCCGGTCCGCTTCCTGCTTTGCCTCAGTTTTTTCACCAGGATGCCAAATATTCATGTTCCTTTTGTCCAATTACTTCCTTCTCTTCACGTCCAGCGATGTACGCAAAGAGTCTGTTTTCTACGTCACTTATGGCACCGTTATGGTACGCACATCCTTTCTATTCCTCCTTTCTCCATGACTGACTCCTCTCCACACGCAGATCTTGTTATGGACGGTTGCCTCTAGCTGCAACGCTCTTTTTGGTCAGCTGGCTTGGATCGATCATAGAGATATAGCAGGAGGACCGGCACAGTACATGGGTACGCCTACATCTCACTTTTCATCATTTTCTTGCTCATCTCTCGTTAGCCGATAATTTTGCCGCCTGGTACAACACCTTGGGTACGGCCGCTGGTGTCGCGATGAATTTCCTCTCAGATGGGCTTTTGGTGCGCAAATTCGTTTTTTTTTTCGTACCCCGCCGCTTACGTACCGCCTTCCCAGCTGTACCGATGCTACATCATATGGGGCTCGTCGTATAAGGTTGTAATCTTCCCACTGCTTGTCTACTTTGGCGCCATGTGTATGTCCCCCTCCTCGTGCTTTTGACGTATTATGTGAACATTTTTCCAGCCATGGCGATCTTGATGATCTACGAGAGTGCGCTCCCTGGTGCCAGTTTCTTCGCGGGCGACCCTGTCTCCTACGGCGTTCCCTACGTGTGGATGACGATCGGACTAAACATCATCACGACAACATTGATTTGTGGGCGGCTTCTAACCGTTCGACACAAGGTTCGAGCTATTCTGGGCGATCAATACAGCCGGACGTACACTGGTGCGTTTCTGCATTTGAGCTTCGGACTTGTCGGGCTCAAGGAGGCTAGGCATCGTGGCCGTTTTGCTCGAGTCCGCGCTTCCATTCACCGCGCTTGGCATCATCTACGTGATTGCCTATTCCCGCAACTCACCCTATTCTTTTGCCTTCGTTCAGATCTGGGCTGACTTCTGCGTAAGTGGACCGTCATTGGCCTTCTCCGCGTAAACTGAAGGTGATGCCCAGGCCATCTCGCCGCAGCTTATCATCCTTCGTGTTGCGATGGGAAAAGCTTGGTCGAAGGAAACGGTGGCGTCTGTGTCTGTTTTGGTGTTCGACCATCGGATCGAGAAGGGCATGAACAATCGGGGGTTGGGACTGGCCCTGCGTCAGGCGGATAGTCACGCCACCACAGATGTGACTACGATGGACTTGCCCTCCACGAAAGGCATTGCTGTCTGACATCGATGAGCATCTGTAATTTATCTTGGGGCGTGTTTGACCGCCAGTTGCTGCTAAGTTTATGTGCTATCTAGACTTATCTACTGTCTTTCTTGCGAGCAAAAGATCCGTTGCTATACAAGTTGTACATTGTATAATGATATCGTACATTGTTGAGAGATCAGTCATCGAGCTGCAGCCCGTCGAGTGCAGGGATCGGTCGTTCGCCCTGGGGTGTGATGCGAGCGCCATGACGGCGCTCCTTGGAGTCTTTAAAGTCCACGATGGCCGTGTGCGCTGGAAGGTTGATCAGAGATCCATCGTAACTGACTTTTCACTTTAGGAGCGACGAACCGGTGATCCGGTTGTCCCAGATGGCCACTGTGCCGGGTTGCCACTTAAGACGCGCTTGGTTGTCGGCGCTCTTGTCGATGTGGTCGTACAAGAATTGCAGGATGTTGTCTGCAAGACGATAAAGAACACCGAGCAGCAGGAATGAGCGCAGTTACTGACCAGATTCCTCCCGCTTGAGGCCGACAATGCGTCGGGTGAACTGCCTGTTGACGTAGAGCGCTTCCTCACCCGTCACTGGATGCCGGCGAACGACGGGGTGGACATTCTCAACGGGTTCACGTCGGCTATAAGGATCTCAGCCCGCAGCGATTGTTGGTAAGCACGGGAGAATACATACACTGTTCCCCCACGTTTGCCAGAGCGTGAGAACTCGGCCTGCTCTCTGGGAGGGAGTGAGCACTGCGAGTTGATCCGCCAGCTAGAGCACTCACACGCCGGAGTGGACGGCCTTGAGCGTGCGAAGGAAGGCCACAAACTGGGGTGACAGTTTCTTCAGCGTTGACACCTGGGACGTGAAGAGCGTGTCGCCCCCGGTCTCGGGCTGCGCGAGCAGGAAAAACGTTGTTAGGCCGGGCGGCTGCAGCTCGTACGAGACATCGCTGTGCCACGAGGTCGAGTGGATGCTGTCGCTGCGTTCGAAGTTGAACGTCGAGTTAACATCGCGGTAGACGAGATGAATTTCCGGGTAGCCCGCGGGGTGGCCAGAAGTCGGGTGGATGTGCAGGCGACCGAAATGCGAACCCCAAGCCTTGTAGAAATCGGGCCCGGCGTCGATAAAGTCGTGCTGGCCGCGGAACACGACTAGCCCGCGACGGGCAACTTCCAAGGCCAGCTGGTCTCGGCCATCGGAGTCCAGCTGCGCGAGGTTGACACCCGTGACTAGATGGATCTAGTTGAGTGCACTAAAGATGAGATCTTCGAGTGATGCAGCAGTACCTTCTGTGCCAAGTGCCGGAGTGATTTCCACGACGCTTGCAGCATCGTTCAAGAAGGATCGCGGGTTCTCGTGTGTCAGTGCGCGAGCTCCGGGGTCTGAGTGCTCGAATGGTGTCAGAGGAGGATAGCGGTCCAGAGAGAAGTGGGGCAGAAGGTGGGCATATTGATAAGCTTCGGTGGCAGGTTTCGTCTCTGGAGGGTTCTTGAGAACCAGAGTAGGGGCAGAGGCAGAACTCTGAGTTCTTTCTGTGACAGTCGCAGTAGTGGTGGTGGACATGAGGTGGGTTGCTCCGATAAGAGAGCGGCAGAGATCCTAGATTATATACTCATGAACGCAAGAAGCTTCGTTATTGCGCAATAGATGCAGAAATATCTCTCCGCACACACGCCATCCTGGCTCCAGGGGATGAGGAAGACTTCCGCAACCTTGCTGGGAAATCACGACAGCCATATGATGTGGTAGTTCCTGATGAGTCATGATGATCGCCGAGGGCGGCGATCATTGTGTCCCGTGTCACTGTGCAGTGGCAGTGTAAGAGGGCCGCGGACCATCGATCACCGGTTTCACCCTTTTGTGTTCGACGAACAGGTGATCGCTTTTCACAATAGTCCTCACCTCTAAATCGGGATCGACTTGACGGGACTTTCATTACATTATACTTCCTCAGCCTGCCTGAGCCTCGGGAGGGTTTCCGCACACACTGTATGCGTCTGTTAGGAAGGACTTCATCATGGGATCCGATGTCTCAAATACGACGCGCTATTCTCCCCTTCCTCTGCAGCGCTCTCTCGTCTCGAGGCCATGGGACAGACATTGGAATCTTGTCTATAAAGCCTGCGCTTATCTAGAGCTGCATCAGGGAAGCCACAGGCTTCTCAGAGGCGATTTTTCTTGTGTCTCAATTGTCTAATTGTCTTGTTACACGCGAATTTCCTTTTCGGGAACGATCGGAACGCTAGCTTTCTACATCCTGTCGTGGATTAAACTGAACAATAGATGGTCGATTATAAGAGCGGCGCTATCTTGAGAGGGGTGCTCACGGACCTTCCCCTCGTCCCTTTCTTCCCTCTTCCGCTTTCCGTTCCGTCCTGCTCCGCGACACCTTCATCACCACCTCCACCCATCCACATCCAATGGAAGACGATCTCAAGCCCTACATGCGCTCCAACGACGAGCTCCCGCAATATATCCGTCGCCGGACTGTGTCGGATGCGCCGGAGGAGGACGAGTACATGGATCGTCTGAACGACCCGAACATCGAAATCAAGCGCCCCCTCGCCCACCCCATCAGCTCCGAGTCCTTCCGCGGCCCCAAGGAGGGATACGCGGTCTCGGAGGACGGCGCCGAGTCGAGCGACAGGTACTCGGCCCCGTCTCGCGCTGGGTCACGCGACTCGACTGCGATCGAATTCGACGAGTGCGTCTTTGAGTTTCCCTCTTGATTTCAGCTGGGTGTTGATGGCTGAACAGCGAGTCACCTTACCCTGAAGTCCGTGCGGCTGTCTCGAGCGTCGATGATCCCTCCATGCCTGTCAACACTTTCCGCATGTGCGCATCCGGGTCTCTGCTTCCACTGTAACATGGCTGACATGGGTGCAGGTGGTTCCTAGGCATCGTTTTCTCTATTCTCTTTGCAGGAACCAACCAGGTCTTTGATTTGCGCTGTGCGTTCATTGCTTGGTATGCGAATGCGCATTTCTCACTGCACCTAGCCCCGGCTGTTTTCATCAGCAACATCGTTGGCCAGCTTATCTCGCTGCCTGCTGGCATGGCCCTTGCTTTTATTCTTCCCACGAAGACCTTCAAAACATTCGGCCTCAGGTGGTCGCTGAATCCGGGCCCTTTCAACATCAAGGCAGGTTCATCCGTCTTCTGGTCTGGCTCGGCGCCTAAGATCTTTGCAGGAACATGTCTGTATCACGACGATGATCAACGTCGCTTACATTGGCTGCTATGGCTCTGATGTGCTGCTCACGCAGAAGATGTTCTACTCCCAGAACATCCCGTGGAGCTACCAGCTTCTGCTCCTCCTCGGCACGCAGGCCTTCGGGTTCTCGCTCGGTGGCATCCTCCGCCGCTTCGTCGTGTGGCCGGCATCGATGATCTGGCCCTCTGCCCTCGTCAGCTCCGCTCTGTTCAACACGCTGCACAAGAACTTTGGGAAGCGCGACCGCGGTCACATGACGCGGGAGCGCTTCTTCTTCCTTGTCGCGGCAGGCAGTTTTGTATGGTACTGGGTGCCTGGCTACCTGTTTGCTGCGCTGAGCGTCTTCAACTGGGTCTGCTGGATCGCCCCGAACAACGTCACCGTCAATGCCTTGTTTGGCGCCAGCTCGGGCATGGGGATGAGCGTGATTACCTTTGACTGGGCCATGATCTCTTTCATCGGCAGTCCCTTGATCACACCCGTGCGTCGATCAACCAGCTTTTCGATGCGTCATTTACTCACTTCGTCTCAGTGGTGGTCGCAATTCAACACTTTGGCTGCTGTGGGACTTGTATTCTGGATGGTTGTCCCCATCATGTATTGTAAGTGACACTGAGTTTTCGAATGACTGCGATACTGAACAGATCCCAGTCACCAACACTCTGTACACTGCTTACCTGCCCATCTCCGCCTACAACTCGTTTGACAACACTGGCATGCCGTACAACATCAGCGCTGTGATCGATGGGACGACGGGGCTGTTCGACGCGACGCTCTACGCGCAGTACTCGCCGATCTTCATGACCGCCGCCCTGTGCATGGCCTACTTCATGGCCTTTGCCTCCTTCGGTGCCATCTTCACGCACACCTTTTTGTGGTTCGGGCGCGACATCGTCCGGCGCTTCCACTCGACGCTCAAGGACGAGAAGGACGTCCACTCCCGCCTGATGCAGTCGTACGCCGAGGTCCCGGGCTGGTGGTACCTCGCCATCGGCGTGATCTCGACGGTCTTCATCTTCGTCGCCGTCGAGATCTTCCCGACGGAGCTCCCCATCTGGGCGGTCGTCGTCGCGCTCGCGTTTGCGATCGTGACGGTCGTGCCCCTCGCGATGATCCAGGCCATCACCAACCAGAGCCTTGCCATGCAGGTCGTCGCCGAGATGATCGCGGGCTTTGCTCTCCCCGGCCGCCCGGTCGCCAACATCATCTTCAAGACGATTGCATACAACGGGACTGCGCAGGGCATCGTATTTGCCGGTGACCAGAAGCTCGGCCACTACATGAAGATCCCTCCGCGCACGATGGTAAGCGCGCATCTGTCCTGGCCCTTGATTCATCCGATTGACTCGAATTTTAGTTTGCCATCCAAACGGTGTCCTGCGTGCTGACGGTGTTTGTCACGTCGGGTGTCCAGAACTGGCTGATCTCCCACGTCGCTGGTATTTGCACCGGTGCTGCCGTCAACGGATTCACCTGCCCGTCGACGACTGTGTTTGCGACCGCCTCCATCACATGGGGCGGCATTGGCCCCCACCGCCTCTTCGGCACCAGCGGAATGTGAGTTGTCTTCTGGGATTCCCGTCTTGTGACGAGGCTGAGGCTGGTTGTTTCTTTCAGGTACAACAGCCTTCTCTACGGCTTGCTCTTCGGATTCCTGGCCCCAATTCCGTTCTACCTGCTTGCTCGTCGGTACCCGCTGTCCTTCTGGCGTTACATCAACATGCCCGTCTTCTGCGGAGGTGTCGCTGCCATCCCTGCGGCGTCCGCCTACAACTACGCCGCCTGGGGCCTGACAGGATTCATCTTCAACTACGTCATCCGCCGTCGCTCCTTCAGGTGGTGGATGCGGTACAACTACAGTGCGTGGCTCTATTCCTGATGTTATGGGATCTCAGCTTACATTCCGTCCCCAGTTCTGTCCGCCGCTCTGGACTTTGGGCTCGCCATGTCCGTCATCGTGATCTTCTTCGCGCTGCAGTACTCCGGCACGGGCCCGTCCTCAACTGGTGGGGCAACACCGTCTCGTTCAACAACGCCGACGGCCTCGGCACACCCCTTCGTCTCCCGGATCCCAGTACCGGCGTCTTCGGCCCCGCCAGCTGGTCATAAGCTGTCCAGCCTCGGCTTGCTTGATTCCCATTTGGTTCATCGCATACATTGTATCACCACCACACCACATCCATCCGTTCTCTCTGCTGTGCAACTATACCATTGCTGATTATCACGCGCTCATTGGCATTTACTACATATCACTTATTCCATTTGCTTTGTACGGCTGCGCGCCCCTTTTGTACTTTGGCTCTATGCTTGACGACTACATAGAACAACACCACATGCAATGAAAACACTTTTCACGGGAATTTGTATCTCGTGCAGCTGATTTGAGCAAAACCTGCGCCTCATTGCAAACATGTTTCTTTCGCGGTGTCGAGTCGGTAGAGCAGCAGCAAACACACACAAAAAGGATAGCAGCACTCGATTACAATAGAAAAAAACTACACGGGTGCTCCCCAGATCCTGACTTCCCGGCCAGCAGCGCCCCACAGCTCTTTGCCCAGCGGGCCAAAAGCAACATCAGAGACCTCCCCGCCCTCTTCGAATCGCACGAGCTCCTCCCACGTCTTGTGTGCAAACACCCGCGCGCCGAGACTGCCGGCGACAGCGAAGAGCTGCGCGCTGTAGTCGTAGCGCACCTTGTTCACCTTGAAGTCCCCGCCCAGCTCGATCGTGTGTGCCGTCTTGCGCTTGCGCAGATCCCACACGGCGACGGAGGACGGCGCGTCGGGCGCGAGCAGGTGGTAGCCGTTCTCGGACAGCGACAGCGTGTTGATCGTGAACGGCGGCGCGCCCTCGGGCGGCTCGAGAATCGCGGCGACGCTGCCCGCGCGGATGTCGAAGATATGCACCTTGGACGTCGGCGTCCCGAACGCCAGCAGGGTTCCGTCCGGGTGGATGTTCATGCACGAGAACACATCTTCCCCGGGCGCCGACTGGAAGATCTGCCCAAAGGTGTTCAGATCGTGGATGCTGTACGTCTTGTCCGCCGAGCCAACAGCCAGGAGCGTCTGTTTCGGGTGCAGCGCGAGACCCGTGATCTCTCCCTTGTGCGAGCGGATGGTAGACTTGGGGATATACTCCCCAGACGCAGAGTCGTGCGACCAGATCTTGACGACTTTGTCTGCGCTGCCAGAGATCAGCAGAGTAGGCTCTCCCTCCGCTTCTCGCAACGCCACATGGTTGATCTTTTTCGTGTGGCCTTTGAGGGTGGCCAGAACCTTGTCGGTGCTGCGGTCGTACAGTTGCACGATTTTGTCGTTGCCACCCGTGAGGAACTGCGACGGGTTGGCGCTCGAGACCGCCAGGGATGTGATGCCGGCCGGCGAGGGGGAGTGAAGGGATGGGACCGTGTGCGTAGCGGTGAAGCTCTTGACCTCGGCCGGTGTGATGTAGCCCGTGGGCGGCTTGCGCTTCTTACGCGTCGAGGACAGCGCAGCAAGAGTCTCGTCGATCATCTCGAGGGTTTCCTTGGGCATCACAGGCCCGGTGCTCTCCTCAGTCATATCAACATCTTCAGGAGCAGACGACGGAGCCAATCCCATCGTGGATGAAACGTTGCTCAGAGCCCTAAAAACAGATCAGCACGCAGGAAGAGGATGAAAAGCCGTCAAACGCACTCTCTCGCCTCGTCTCGCTCCTTGATTAGACGCGCAACGACGCGACTGGCCGCGTCCTGGCTGTACAACGCATAACTCAATTCCTGTCGTGTCGAGTTGTACTGCTGCTTGAGAGCAAAGGTCTCGAGGACCAGGGCATCCCACTCGTTTTGAAGCGCGTTTAAAAGAGCGGGGATGGAGTTGAGAGTGGGAGGACGAGGCGTAGCGGTTTCAGGTGCTGCGAAAAAAAGAGTGGTGTAAGCACTGAGAGAGAGACAGCAACGATGATACAACGCGACGTACAAGCCTTGATGACGATGAGGTCCGACTCCTCCAGTTTCTCTCCAGTGATTGGGTCTGTGCCATTCTCGGTGATGTATTTGAGAATAAGGCGGCGCTCGTACACCTTCCCCGACTTGGCGGAGACCACAGGTTCCTGAGGAGGTTCTCCAGAGAGGGCGCAGAAGAACATGATCGATAGTGTCCCGCCGAGCGCTGCGAGTGTTTTGTGGAACGGCCGACTTGAACGTTGATTCCAAGAAGTTTGTTCTTGTTGTGTAATTTTCCCACCTCTTACTTCTTGACACGACCGCATAGATGTCCGAGAAGCAACAACGACTCGTGCTGAGCATAATCGACTTTCTCAACCAATCTATTGGCGATGGGACGGTGAAGGCGGATGACAAAGAGAGTCTGGAAGTCGCCAGTCAGTATGTCGAGCGCATGAGTAGTTTCGAAATAACACGCGTGTTTCGCAGTCCAGTGTATCGGTGAAGCGTTTGGTGTCGATCCATCCGATGAGCAGCAGGTCGGGAAACTCAGTGTCAAGCCTGCCACGCTCCCGACAATCTTCGACGTCTTCCTGAAGACGAGGGAAAAGGTCGGATCCTCCGCCGCAGCTGGTGCTACCCCAGCGTCCGCTGCATCTTCCAGCACTGCACCACCATCAGTGCCCCAGGGTACGTCCGCCGAGGACAAGGCCAAGGCCGAGAAGTTCAAGCAGACGGGCAACACGCTCATGAGCAGCAAGCAGTACGATGCGGCCATCGAAGCCTACAACCAGGCAATCGATCTGGACCCCCAGAACGCGATCTACTACTCGAACCGAGCCGCGGCCTACAGCAGCAAGGGAGATCATCTCTCTGCTGTCGGCGATGCCGAGAAAGCCATCTCCGTAGATCCGTCGTTCGTCAAGGCTTACCACCGTCTCGGGTACGCGCCTCTGTCACAGCCCATCCTTACCTGTCCGGTTGCTGATACATGTATCCAGACACGCACAGTACTCGCTGCTCGACTTCCGTGCCGCCGCCGACGCGTTCGAGCGTGGCCTGAAGCTGGAACCCAATAACGCTGGTCTCAAATCCGGCTACGAGAACTCGAAGGCCCGAATCGTGCCGGACGACGACGACGAAGATATCACGCTCACGTCGGATGCGTCAGCCGCTACTCGGGCACCGGGCGGTAGTGCAGGGGCATGCCTGGAATGGGTGGTTTGGCTGATATGCTCGGAGGCGGAGGCGGCGGCATGCCCGACATCGCGAGCATGATGAACAACCCCCAGCTCATGGCCATGGCTCAGCAAATGATGTCCAACGGAGGTCTGGCCAATCTGATGCAGAACCCAGCTGTTGCCAACGTACGTCCTCCGCTTATTTTACGGAGATGGTCTAACGGGACACGCAGATGATGAATCGCGTTCAAAATGGAGGATCGATGCCGTCCATGGATGAGATTATGAGCGATCCCGCTATGCGCAACCTGTGAGTCCTGACTGGATACAGTGTGATACAAGTTTTTGATGGCATGTCGCCACAGAGCACAACAATTCGGTGGAATGGGAGGGGGAAGATAATATGTAGGAATAGATGTAATAAGTACATTAGGGATGCTGGATTGTATGCGTACAGATGTTTGGTGTGCAGGACAGTATCAGTTCATGGAGGTGGAGGTTCTCCAGATCCGTCATTAGTGGAATTCTTGGCAGTTTTCTTCGGTTGTGCCAGTTCCCGCGCAAGTGTTGGGGGAACGGAACTCAACTGCGCGGGCACGTTCTTATGACCCTAAGCCCAAGTTTCAACAACAGAAACGGACGCCAGGAAACATACGCACGTGCTTCAAATGATAACGAAGACCAGTAGCTTGCCTGTAGGCCTTGGAACATCCAGGTTCCGAGCAGGCGTGCATCCGTTGGCCATCCCCCTCCACCGCATCTTTGTGAGAGGAAACAGCATGCCGAAAGTGTGCTGCAGAGCTGGAAAGCCGTTGATATTGGCAACCATAGACAAAATATCAAACTTACACTTGTAAATGATATTGCAATCCATTTAAAGTCTGCAGCGCTGTCAGCAGTCATCTTCGTCTGATCGACCAAGTTGCGCACCTTCCAAGACTTGTTGCAACCGGCTAATCCACACCGGAACGCCTCAGAGAGACCTGTGTTCTTGTTAACGAACACTTGTCTGCTGACAGATCCATCGTTTGGTGCATGCCAGGTCCTGCAGTGCTCCAGCAATTCCTTTGAGGTTGAGAAGCAGTGGGAACCGGCTGAAGCGCCAGGTTCCCAGCAGGGAGGTCGACCGCATGCGTAAGCTCGAACATTATCGCTGTAGTCCATTAATTTTTGGTCTGGACGAAACGGTAACTACGTACTCGCTGACAGGCAAATCTCCAGACAGCCGGATTTCGCTGAGTGGCTTGGCTGGTTTCCTAGGCCTGATTCTTTTCGGTTTCGGGGGAAGCGGCGGGTAATATTCCAGAGGAGCAAGTAGCAAGGAGTCTGGAAAGGGATGCGGACTGCGAACTTCTGGCTGCACTTCTGGCAGATCAACAGCTGAGCATGACACTGGGCTTTCCGTCGGTGATAACGAAGCCGGCGGAACGAAGGGAGATGGCGACGAAGACGAAGACGACGATGGATCCAACGCAGGTATGAACCCAAACGGGGAAGTGGCTTGACTTTCGGTCAACGGTGGCAGCAGACCCGTGAAGCTGCTCGCAGGAGATCGCCATGGACTCGAATGGTTCGATGAGGGACTAGGAAGATCCGATAACCCCGAGACTAATGGTGTCTCGGGCCGCAGAACCGTCGAGGAGCAAGATGCGAACAGATCACTTGACGACGCTTGGAGAGGCGAGAGATTCCACACCCCATCGACGGGGTAAGATTCTTCGGGTACAGGAGGGAGGGGCAAAGACTTTCTCGGTGGATCGGAGAGTGCGGCGGTCAGTGAAAACGAAGAATAGAGAGACGGTGGGGGAGCTTGGAACATTTCGGGCATTTGGGGAGTGGGTTCTCGAAAAAGGGACTCTCCGAGCGGCAGATTGTTCCCAAAAGCGGAAGGGTACGCTTCCGGAGGGTAGTAGAGAACATCAAACTCGGCCCGCGAAAAATGAGCACAGTCGTTCCCCAACGGCGCATCGAGTGCTTCATCCAGATCGGCGGACTGGGCAGCAGGCTTTGCTTTAGGACGGACGCGATTGAGGAGTCGAAATCTGTCCCCATGATCAGCACTGCAGAAATCGTGCGGATTTCGGGTTGCATTCATTACCTGTTTCTGCATGCCAGCCCGCTCCGCCTCAGATCCTGGCCGAGCTGTCCCCATTTCCCTCCTATTCGGTTGTATACCTCAAGCAGCTTAGAATCCTCCTCAAGCGTCCACTCATCCCTCTTCAGATTGGGATCTAGTGCCTCTCGGTACCGTTTGGAGCAGGCATCATCTGTTCGACCTTCAATCTGCCTTGCGATCGCTGACCTTCTCGTCAATAGAGCAAGTCAGCCAAACCGGGCTGCACGCATGGAATGTGATGGACCGACCATTTGGGACCATGTGACGTATACAATTCGACCAGAAGGGTGTCTTCAGCTGGTGTCCATGCTGATTTCCTAAGCTGAGGACGAAGCGAATGCAACCACCGCTGAGAAAATAACAGGCCTGCGTGAGAGACCCAGCGAGTCAGTGTGGAAAAGACTACCTTGCGGCAGGCTTTATTGGTTCGACCTGGTACAAGATCCGCCACTTCCTTCCAGTGATTGGTTGGCCCATGGATCCCCACAGCATGACGAAGATTCCCGTCTTCTTCTGCCGTCCATCGTCGTTCGACAGAGGCCATGCGAAATCAGGGTAGAGACTTTCAACGCGATGGTACGAGTCACTTCAACAGCACATCGTCAGAAAGAAGGAGTGTGCTGATGCTTGATCGGAGCCGTGTCACACTGGTCACACACACTGCGACCCTTGCTCGCAGCTCCGTGTTACCGCTGAGGTCCTGGCTCACAAGATGTCTTTGGCTCTGGAATACTCGTCAAGTGAGGAAGAAGATGGAGGAGCTGCATCGAATCCCTTTGGTCTGGCTCCTGCGCCGAAGAAGCCGCGTGTCGAAGAGGGTTCCTCCACCCTTCAAACGGTACCCTCCGCCGCTCCTCATGTGTTATCAGAGGTGTGCACTGACCTTCACTCTATTCCAAGCAGTCTCAAATGTTTCGTAGGATGTGCTTCATCAAACGTCTCTGATTACTCGACCTACGGACACGCAAATGAACGTGAACATTCCGTACCATGAAATGATACTCCCCGTGCAAGGGCCCGAAAACCCCTTCGGAGACCGTAATCGGTTCTTGAACCAAAATGCGCTTGCTGGACACGTCGAGGAACAGGCGATGTCGGAGCACGCGTTCAAGGCACAACACCTAACTCACGCGATGCTGGGGTATTCGGCCAACCCATCTGTAGACCCAAACGCCCCAGCCATCCTCGGCTCCTTGGACAGTGCCCATGCCAACGGCTTTGCGACCATCGACATGATTCGCGCGACGAGAAACCAACGCAAGGAACTGAAGCGGAAGCGGAAGACAAAGGGTGATCTGGATATCGTGGACGGGGACGACGCGTATGTTGGACCATGGGCGTCCTGGGAAGGCGATGGTGCCCAGCCAGATTTCCTTGCGGGTGTCGAAGAAGACGATGAGCCAGAAGAGGAGGAGGAGGAGGAACTGCCGATCAAGAAGGGAAAGCCCAAACGCCCCACTGGTGTCGGACACGAGCACTCGGTATTCCACGGCAAGTCCGAGACGGACTATCAAGGGCGAACATACATGTCGGCTCCGGTGTCCGAGGCCCCGAATCTCACCCAGGAAGTTGGATCGCAGGACTGCTTCATCCCGAAAGTTTGTGTGCATACCTGGACCGGACACACACAGGGTGTGTCCGTTCTTCGTTTATTCCCAGAAACGGGGCATCTTTTGCTCAGCGGGTCCATGGACACCAAAATCAAAGTACGTGTCGATCGGGGCCAATTGAAATGACTCATTGTGCTGTTTAGCTTTGGGACATTTACACGCACGGAAATTGTCTGCGTACGTTTCACGGTCACACAAAATACGTCAAGGACGTTTCATTCTCCAACGATGGGCGGCAGTTCTTGTCTTGTGGCTACGACCGTCAAATGAAGCTTTGGGATACCGAGACGGGCCAATGTTTGAAACGTTTCAGCAACGGCAAAATCCCTCATGTCATTCGATTCCACCCTGATCAGGACAAGCAGCATATTTTTTTGGCTGGCATGTCCGACAAGAAGATTATACAGGTGGGTTCAAAGAAAGTTTTATAATGTGGGACTGAATTAGCACTAGTACGACATGAATTCGGGTGACATTATTCAAGAGTATGATCAACATCTTGGGCCTGTCAACACGATAACCTTTGTCGACGAAAATCGCCGATTTGTGACCACATCCGATGATAAGACTATTCGCGCATGGGACTACGATATTCCTGTGGTCATCAAGTACATTGCGGAGCCCCACATGCACTCAATGCCGGCTGTTACACTTCATCCATCTAGTAAGTCGGTCCGCCGCCGAAATGGACGTTGCCTGAAGGCCCTGATAGAAAAATACATGGCCGCGCAATCTCTCGACAACCAGATTCTGGTGTATGGAACGGACAACTTCCGCCAGAATCGCAAGAAGCGCTTTGCGGGGCATTCAGTCGCGGGTTACGCATGTCAGGTCGGCTTTTCGCCGGACGGAAAGTGGATCAGCAGTGGAGACGCCGAGGGCAATCTAGTGTTTTGGGACTGGAAGACGGGTCGGATCAAGTCGAGACTGAAGGCACACAACAAAGTGGTCATCGCCCACGACTGGCTTCCACACGAGACGGTATGTTTCGGTTGCTCGACTCTGGCCCGTTCTCATGACGATGCAGTCCAAAGTTGTCACGGGCTCCTGGGACGGGCTGATCAAGCTTTGGGTAAGATCCATCCTGTCTGTTCTGCTCAGAGACTGACTGACATGATCTTCAGGACTGAGAGATTACTTCATTTGTTGTACCGACCGTCGTAGGGGACTAGTGTATATTCTCTCTCATCTCGATACGAAATTCTTGCTAGTCGGATGCCGCCCTTTTCGCATCGGACTTGCCCTTGCAGTTCCCAATGTGGGCCGATATCAAAGCGAAGGCTGTCAGGAACAGTTTCGATCCTTCGCGAGGGTGGGCCGAATAATTGCGAATACGACTTGGACTCACAAGTGTTTACTTACCCGACCAGGTACAGCCGTGGCAGAGCTCGCCCGTGGAGCCCTAGGCCGTTTCCACGGTGCCAAGGCTCTTGTCATTCTAATCAGGAACGACAAGCGCAATTTGCGGAAAATATCCCGACACAGATCGCACCGCACAGATCGAGCGCCTTCCAAACCTGTAAATGCCACAGGGCTGTCACTTACGTCAACGTCACACACCGTGACAATGACGGCTAAACCGGCTCTCTTTAAAAGCAAATCCGGTTCGTCGAAAAGGAGCTCAACTCCCTGCCCTCGTACGCACTCCCAAGATCCAAAATGCTCTTCCGTTGTTATCTAGTTGTCTTGTCCCTCCTCGCCGTCGCCTCCGCTGCTGCCATACCTGTACGTTGCATGCCCTGCTCGCTCATACCCGCCACTCACCGACGCGTGAGCAGGTCGACGCAGATCTCGCCCTCCGTGACTCCTCGGCAAACAGGGACTGGAAACGGGACTCGTCCGCCAACCGCGACTGGCGTCGTGACTCTTCCGCGAATCGTGATTGGAGACGCGACTCGGCTGGAAACAGAGACTGGCGCAGGGACAGCTCCGGGTGCGTAGATACTTCCTCCACCCTCCATGCCATCCGCTGACCCTAGCGTAGTAACAGGGACTGGTGATCCCTCTACGTCTGAGCCCTTTTCGGAGTCGACCTTGACGGCCTCCGCGGCCTCGTCAGGCCCGGCCCGACCCCTGACTCCTCTCGATAATACACCTTTACTTGTCTATTGCAGCAATGCGCGCTTGGGATTTACCTTACCACACTCCTTGATAACACCTACTGTTTCCTTACTCTCGTCGATCCACGACTCTCGTTGTACTGTAATTACTTAGCTCCTTACCTTTTTTTGACGGACGACCAGTCTAACTCTGTCGGATGAGCGAAATTCAAAATCCCTGTGATGGTACCTGCCGAGGCTGCGCATCGGGCCCCGTCACCACTCGTGACGTGCTGTGACTGCACGCGTTTCCTTCACACCATTCCTAGTGCCGTTACCGGTTCGGGTCTCCGCTTCCACCGTCTCGCAACCAACGCGCTTTTCTTCCATTCGCTTCAAATCAAGATGGCTGATTTCGTCCCCACGTCCGAAGATCAGCGCACAACCGATCGCGCACTCGTCTTCGACGCCTTTCTCACTCACGACTTCGACCCCGTCAACAAAAACACAAAGTACCGAAACGAGATTGTCAGGCTTCTTCGAGCTCAGGAGACGCGTCTTATCATCAATATCGACGACCTTCGAGATTACAACCGCGTCTACGCCGATGGTCTCATCCGGCAGCCCACGGAGTACCTGCCAGCATTCGAGCAGGCGTTGAATGAGCTGATCCCCCGGCTGACCGAGCTATCGGACAAGTTCGATACGTCGAAGACGAAGCCGCTGCATCTTGGCTTCATTGGCTCGTTCGGCGACCATCACGTCAGCCCTCGAACCCTGCACTCCGCGTTATTGAGTAAGATGATCTCGGTGGAGGGCATCATCACGCGTTGCTCGCTTGTGCGGCCCAAGATGCTCAAGTCGGTGCACTTCTGCAAGAAGACGCGGTTGTTTCATTCTCGGATTTACCGCGACGCGACGAGCGCGACATCGAATGAACCGCCCACGACTTCGGTGCAGCCGACGGAGGACGAGAATGGGAACCCTTTAGACACGGAGTTTGGGCACTGCGACTTCCAAGATCATCAGCGTATCAGCATCCAGGAGATGCCTGAGCGCGCGCCAGCTGGGCAGCTGCCGCGGAGTGTGGATATTATCCTTGACGACGACCTGGTGGACTCGTGCAAGCCCGGAGATCGTGTTCAGCTCGTTGGGTTATTCCGAAGTGTTGGCGGCGGAGGCAGTGGGGCATTCAAGTACGTACAGGTTTTATTTCACCTCGCTCGTTGTCCTGACAGCACCAGATCGGTCATTCTTGCCAACAACATTCATCTGCTCTCATCCAAGATCGGGGGTGGAATTGCTCAGACACCATTGACGGCAGACGACATCCGAAATATCAACAAATATTCTAAGCGCACGAACATATTCCACCAACTCTCGCGATCTCTTGCACCGTCAATCTATGGCCATGATTACATCAAAAAGGCTATTCTGCTTCTTTTGCTTGGTGGTGCCGAGAAAAATTTGCCTAATGGGACCCATATTCGAGGCGACATCAATTTGCTAATGGTCGGCGACCCTTCGACCGCCAAGTCGCAGCTGCTTCGGTTTGTGCTGGGCAGTGCGCCATTGGCGATTGCGACGACGGGACGGGGAAGTTCTGGTGTTGGTTTGACTGCGGCAGTAACGACGGATAAGGAAACGGGGGAGCGGCGGTTGGAAGCCGGCGCCATGGTCCTCGCTGACCGTGGGGTTGTGTGCATCGATGAATTCGACAAGATGTCCGACGTTGACCGAGTCGCGATCCACGAGGTAATGGAACAGCAGACTGTTACGATTGCCAAGGCGGGGATCCACACGAGCTTGAATGCCCGGTGCAGTGTGGTCGCAGCCGCTAACCCGATTTATGGACAGGCAAGTTTGCTTGATTGCTTACCTGGTTCGGAAATACTAATCGCGCGGGGACAGTACGATATCCATAAGGATCCGCACAAGAATATCGCACTACCCGACTCGCTGCTGTCTCGATTCGATCTGCTGTTTATTGTCACGGACGATGTGGACGAGGAGCGTGATCGGAGGATTGCCGATCACGTGCTCCGGCTGCATCGATACTTGCCGCCAGGAGTCGAGGAGGGAACCCCTGTGCGAGATAATCTTTCGCAGGCTTTGGCTATGGACGGACCCGAAACTGCGGCGCAGGAAATGGCCGATGCAGAGACGAGTCCGTTCGAGAAGTTCGATCCGTTGCTGCATATCGGCGTGACTGCGCCGCTGACCGAGGGTCGGAGCACCCGCAGCAAGAGCAAGGCCAAGCAAGAGACGCCACAGATTTTCACAAATGTGTTCATCAAAAAGTACATTCAGTATGCCAAGAGCAAAGCTGCGCCGGTCCTGACCAAGGGCGCGGCAGACTACATCGTGCAGGTTTACGCGAGCCTGCGAAATGAAGTGCTCGAGGGAAACCGGAAGAAGGTCCGTGTTTGTTGACACCTCGCCCCAGGGTGTTCCTGACCTGACCCTAGACTTCACCACTGACTGCTCGCACGCTCGAAACACTGATTCGACTGGCGACGGCACATGCCAAAGCCCGCTTGTCGACGAAAGTCGAAGAAACCGATGCACACGAAGCCGAAATCATCATCCGCTTCGCGCTTTTCAAGGAAGTGCCCAAAAGAGAGCGTCGAAAGAAGCGCAAACTGAATACGGGGCTCGGCCGGGAAGACGAGGACACCGACATGGAGGGTGGGGATGACAGCGAAGCCGAGGATGAGACTCCCGCACGGATGAGCATGCCGCCGAAGGGCAAAGCCACGCCGTCACCAGAGCCAGAGGCGGTCCATCCCGTGGCAGAAGCGAGCCAGGATCCCATCTGGGGTGAGGACAGCCAGGATGTGACTATGGATGTCGACGAACCAGGGACTGCACCACGTGACGATGCTCCGGAGCGGTGGGTTGCATTTCCCTGACGAGACAGCTGGCTGACGGGTCTGTGAACAGGTCGCAGACATTCAGATCGCGGCTCGCGCGACTGATGACTTCTACATTCGCCAACCAAGAAGCGATCGAGATAGACGACGTGCTGCAGGAGGTCAATAAAGGCCTTGACCTGGATCTCGTGTTCAACCGGTCCGAGGCCAGACAGCACCTCAAGGTCATGGACGAGGCCAACGAGATCATGCTCGGAGATGACATGATCTATCCTGTTTGAGTGTAGACTCGTGCGCGCGTCAGGCGAGAGCACTTAATCCTTGCTTTGTTTATCCTGCTGTCTACCATGTATGTACGTACCATCGATCAAATCGCAAAGTCATCCTTCCCTGCACTGCACAATCTTTTGCACCTCCTCTCTGGGCAGCTCACAGACTTGGATGAGCTCCAGCACAGCATCGGTCCAGGCCGAATCTGCAACTGTGCCAAACGTAACTCGCTTCAGTTTGTCCCAGGCTTCTCCATCGAGCCCCACGACTCGTCCCGCCGTCAACAATGTCAGCCACGGCGCCTCGACGCGAGTCCTGCTGAGCGACCCAGCCAGCACAGCCTGACACGTCTGGACCCAGATCTCGCATTCAGCATGGATCGCCTTGCCAGCCTGTGTGCTGATCTGCCCTCGATACATGATCTGTCGCTGGAAGATGTGCTCAGCCAGTCGAGCTGCGATCCGTCGATACAGCACTGTAAGCGTCGCAAGCGGCAGTATTGTCTGCAGGTATTTCAAGAGCGTCGAGAGCACCGCAAGAGGCGAGAGCAGACTCTGAGACAGAGCGATGTCGTCGTTGGGATTGGGTCTGTCAAGAACTCGGTCAGTCCGAGAGATCCAAGCGCATTTTCGATCACTTACGACTGAGTGCTTGAGAAGTGTGCTCGTAAGCCGCCTTCAACTTCGCCGCAGATTTGTAATACGATCATGTCCTCCGCACGAATAGCCAATCGGTCGTACCGACCAACCAGTTCATCGAAGATCGCATCCTCGGGATCCGTCGACCCCACCGCCGACGGTTCCGGTAAGCAGTGGAGGTGCTGGACCTGGGCCCGCAGTGCCGGCCGATGGTTGATCTCCGTCCACAGTTCGAGGAAGAACAGGTCTTCACCCCATCCCTTCATTGCCGCGATCATGAACTTGGCACTCAGCCATGCCTTGGCAAGCCGTTGCACGCCCTCGACACCGTCAGTCAGCCGCCGCGCGTCGACTTTGACCGAGCCTTCGTCTCGCCCGCCGAGACTGACCGACAATGCGCCTGGTACGGCTCGCACAAACGCGGAGGAAAGAGTCTCAAAGGCATCGAGGGACGACGACACCCGACTCTGGTAGTTCTCCAAAAGAGGGATCTGGACTGCAATCAAGAATCGAGTGCGGTGTGCGAAGTGAGGGAGAGGAGAGTATCGGTCTGGGTTCATTGATTAGCACCGCAGTACACAGAATGAGGTCACAGCCCAGATACCTGTCACTTGCTCGACTAATGCCTTCAGTCGCCGTGAAGAGTTTGTTGTTTTCGCGTCCGAACCCTCTCCGTCATCATCCGCAATCTGCCATGCATCGGAAGAGCTTATTAAGTCTTCATACTGATGCTCAGTGACTGCAGAGAGCATGAGCCAGATAAAAGAGACCAGGATAGCGCATACAAACATTGTCGCTCGCCTTCCAACCAGGCCGAAAACCACTCTTCTCGTCCCAGAATGACATCACAGATTCCAGGCCAGTCCCCACTCCCCGTGGTCGTGTGAGCGAGTGCGAAACCATCTTCGCGCACAGCGTCATCAAAAACCAAGGCCTGGTAGATCGTGTGTGCAAGCAACGCCGGATGGGGCAGTAACGAAGCCATTGATCGTCGGAGTTTGCGAGCCAAGATTGGCAGGAGCAATAACGTAAATTCCCGCTGGAACAGTGGATCAGGCCAGCACCGCGCACGAGTAACGCTCAACTGACGGAGGCATCAATGTCCCGGTACTCTGTCGTAGTTGATAACAAGGGCTGGACCACCGATTCCAGGAACGACTTGTGGTCGTGGATAGCGTTCAAAATATGTGTAAAATACCATTCGGGCTTATCCAAGCGGTTCGTTTGTCGCGAGCCTTCAAAGTGATATTTGAATCGAAGCGATAGTGGCTGCACCAAGGCCTGCAAAGGGTAGAGTCCGTCTTTATCCAAGTGAAGGTTTTCCCCACTGGATACGGTAAGCGTATACTTTCTGCGCGGATTGGAGCTCATACATGGTTTGTAGCTTCAGCAAGGCCCGGAACGCCCTTTCGAAGTCGGCACGATCCTCAGAAGCAGCGGAGACGTAGTCAACTGGCATCGGCCACCCTATCTTCTCCGCCGCTTCGAGAAGCCTCCTGCACATGGCGTAAGCGAGGTGACATTTCACTTCTATGAACGCACGCAGAAATCAAGCCCTTCATGTCCAGCCAGCACTTATCGCGGATTTTCTCCAGGAAGATGACGAGATGGAGCTTCTGCTTTGTCGAGCCGTCTTCGATGTTTGAACAAGCACCAGATACATTGGCCACGAAGTCTTGCAGTGCCTGGTACTGGGACACCGAGCTCATAGTGATTAATGTCGCGGCAGAACCGGAGCGGATTTGCTCGCAAGCAGCATCGCTGAGAATAATATATGAGATTGACCAGTGAGAGGGCTGCGATGGGGCTCTCACCTAAGCTGTAATGCATGATGAATGACCTGAACGTATCCCCGCACGCTCTCCAACTCCTGGAGGTTTCGATGCAGTGTCTCGATATCCTCCAGCAGTGTCGCCTCGTGGTGCTCAACGGACATGGCGGAGGTGAGTTGGTTGTGCAAGTACGACAGCTCATCCGCGAGCGAGTGCCGTTGCAGCGCCAGCTCTTGTGCGGTTGTCGAGTGGACGATGGCGGTCTCGCGTGTCTGAGCAATGAGAGCGTCTACATCGGCTTGCGATATTTCAAGCTGAGCTATGCAAGCACGGGCTGAGCACCGTTCAAAGAGTAAGGGATCAGCAGCCTAGCGCACCTTCTGTTTCAGTTCCTTGTCCTCTCGCTCTACGTCCGACGCGAATTTTTCGAGCCCTTCGAGATCTTCCACCGAATGAAACGTGCTATTCACAAAAAGAACAGCATTGCGGCTAGCTTTGGAAATGTCCGGAGGGGAGCGTAGAGAATGGAAGCGGAGGGAGGACATAAGTCTGTTTGTGCTTGTTCTCTCGGATATCTGCCCCACTCCATCAATTTACTTCCACCTCAAGGATACCGGACAAGTCCCCCGTGCCAGACATAATTCTCACTACGCCCACCCACCGTCTGCCCGCCTCCGCCCGTCTAATTTCTACTCTTAACTGCCAAATTACACACTGAGATGGCCTCCATGGCCATGCCGAACATAGCCATGCTCTCCGTTCATGATCCTGGCCCGGCGAATGACTCGGAGTCTGTCAACAAGTACAAGGAGTACATCAAATGTCTTCCTTATGCCTGCGAATCCGAGGAGCGCATGCTAGAAGTCCTCAACTTCGTGGTCACTCGCATTGAGCAATGTTGTCTCGCCCGGGACTATGAACCTGGATTCATGCAGTGGGACTCAATGCTGACCTATCTCACAATGCTACAGTATCCCATCCCCAAAGTGCGCAAGGCCCGCTCCGTTAGCTCTGCATACTGAACCTCTGTACAGACCACTCGTGTGAGACTTGCCAAGATTTACTGGCACATGAGGTAGGAATCTGCTGACTGGACAATTTTGTCGCTGACTGTCTCCCTCAGTACCACGCCCGGAATTCCGACACAGGTCATGGCGACATGTGCGGACGGGTTTAAAAGCCTGACAGAGAGCAAGAAGAAGATATCAATCCAAGACTTGAGACTGCCGTGGCGTCCCATCTACGACATTCTCTCGCAGGAGCTATTCCTGACGCGCAGACAGTTCGAGTATAAGTAAGTCTCCGTTCTCTTTGCGACTTAGGCCTTGCCAACATCAATGCAGTCAGCTCTCTTGGGTTATGGGCTACATTGCGGCTAACTCGCGACGGTTTTTTCACCCCTCCGCAACGAACGAAATGCTGTCGGTATTCGTTCCACTTTTCAACGCGACGGATCTGGATGTGAGCGCTCCAGAATTGTTTCACCTTTCGATGCTCATAGTCCACAGTATGTCCTAGCCGCGCAATTCCATCTACTCACGTTTCTTCCGCTCACACATCCGCAATCATATCTACCGATGCTCTTCAGGTTGTGGGAGTCTGTGAACAGCTATTCGTTCGACGAGAGGTTGCTCGAGTTCCTGTCTGATATCTCTGAGATGCATGTAGCTTCTCACGTGAGCGACCCCCGAGAACTCGAGAATCTGCCAGATGATGCGCGGTCGAGCGCAGATTCTCGACCGGAATGGTCCGATGATGATCTTCCAAAGATGGTTCCTTGGCCGGGCATCTACCAAGATGTGGGCGTGTTCACGGATCACGAATGGGGTTTGTTGATGTCGAAATGCATCAACTCGTTTGAGATCCCCTTGGCGGACGGCGGGTCGCTCACCACTGGGCCCACGGCAGACCGAAGTATCGCTGCCGAGATAGGGCGGCTGCCAAAACCAGCGTGGAGAATACGTAAGTACTGTCCGCGAGTCTGTACTAGTTGCCTGTTTGACACGAGTGACAGAATCGCTGGCCCGGATCATCGTGTACTCGATGGCCCCCGACGGAGTGCCTACTCCCGGCTCGAACGCACCCACTCCCTTCTTCACACCTGCCCCTTCTGGGATGAACACCCCCCGCATCGGGACAGCGAATGTGCAGCTCAAGGACTACCTCTCCGTCCCTCTGATGCGCCCTGGAGCGCTACTGTCGAAGCACAAGACGTACCTGGCAGGATCCAAGGCGCTCGACTCGCTTTCCCGCATCATAGCTTCGCTCGAGAACTTTTTCCATCCGTCAAACTCGGGCCCGTTCACAGCTGATGTATGCTCCCAATTGTTGATCACTGTCTCAGTCACTTATCCGTCTCCTCAGCTCGCAGCGTTCATCAAGTACATCGCATACGATTTCAATCGGCGTGCGGCTCTCATAGTGCATCGATTGCTGCTCTGCTGACGTTCCGTTTCAGGTTGGTTGGAGGAGCAGCAACCGGACTGCAAGACACCCCATGTAAGAGCTGAACAACAGCCCCCTGGCCAAACATTATCGCTAATGCTCTGGCTAGAACCGCCGGCTGACCAAGCTCATGAGGCGCGAGTTGGTCAAAACTCTGCGGACTGTCGCACTGCTGGCGATGTTCTCAGAGGACACGCAAACCGTGGGAAACATTCAGAGCTGCCTCAAGTCCATGAGTGTCATGGAGCCCGATCTGATCTTGCATCCGGTTCTGGAGCGAGCTGTCCCAGCTTTGGAGACGTTGATCGAGGTGATATTTGACTCAAGTGTAACTTTTGTATGTCTCACTGGTGATTAGACCGACAGGACGCTGGCTGTCATCAAGGCTCTGGGTGCGGTAGCTCCTGCGATCGTTTCGCGCAAAGTCTACTACCCGGGTGCGAAGTATCTCTTGCCGATCCTCGAGCTGTTGATCCCTGGCATTGACTTGGTACGGATAGAAACTTGCATACAATTGGTGCAAGTCATTGATCAACTTCCACAGAACGACCCGACGAAGACTCTATACACCACCGAATTCCTTGTGGAAGCTGCGCAGTACATTATGTTTGCTGATGCGATGCCTCTCGAGGGCGAAGAGGAGCAAGAACATTCCCACTCTCGCACCAACGGGGTCAACGGGGCGAACGGGGCGAACGGGGCGAACGGAGCCAACGGGGTCAATGGCCACGGCGGCCACAGCGGCTACAGTACACCCAGGGGATATAAAACTCCGCGTTCTGGGACGCCTACGTTGCAAATGCTGTCGTTTTCTCTGGAGGATTGGCCCGGCGACACCGAATTTCCCCGGGCCTCGGATGAAGAGGAGGATCTTGCAGTACAGGTCAGTACGCCATGGACAAGTTTCGTCGTCATCACTCACTGGAATTGGACAGCATACGACGGCGAGCTTTGCTGACTGGGTAACTCAGTTCATCCGGCGCGTCTATCAGCTGCAAGAGTCGTTACCCGAAGAAGGTGGTGGTGCGGCTGAAGGTACCTGATCTCTGCCACCGCATCTTACCAGTATCTAATCTTGCCCAGTTCAGGTTGTAGACGCTGTGGGCCGCGCATGCCAGAGGCGAGTCTGAACTTGGAACTCCAACTCTCTGTCTCACGCAAATGCAGCATCTGCGCCCATCTCTCTGACTCGCTGTACGATCTGACTCTCGACATGGTCTATGACTACGCCAGCACCAATGTCCGCGCTAACGCTGTCCGGGGCATCCATCTGCTCATCGAGGCTCTGGCCAACGCCAATCCCAAGAAATGTCTGAAGAAATTCTTCCAGCTCTGTGTCACCAACATCCGTTCCGAGATCGAGCACGGCGCGAGTTCGCTGAGGACAACCTCGGCTTCCACTCCTCTTCCATCGGACGCCACGCTTCACTGGAATCTAGCTATTCTCAGAGGATGCATTTACAAGTACGTTTCTCTCTACTCCTATCTTTTCAAAAGGTTGAACCTCTCGAAGTGATGGCAACACGGTACTTCTCTTGATCACATGGGCGTGCTGCGTCTAATCACGTGTCCAGGTTCTTCCGTATCTGGATGAGTTGATCGCGTTGTTCCGCCTGCTTCGTGACAAAACTTTTTCTAACCGTGGGTTTGCCTGGGGCGGGAAACTGATCTCCAACGTGCTACTAACTCTGACGCACACGTATCCGCTCGAGAACCGCTTCGTGAATCCCGACGAATGGGCCAGTGAAGGTAGGGCTCGTCCAGTGGGTGGTTGCGATCTAAAGATCTCACGGGTTCTGTATTATAGAGTTCCGCCGCAACCATTACCTTCACTGGGGCAAACTGTACAAACTGGGAGATGTCAAGATCTCTTGGCATGTGCCGTCACCTGTGGAAATCGATGCTGCACTGCGGGTGTTCAGGGAAATCGTCGAGCCGACGCTGGAGAGGTTGACACTTCTGCTGGACCCTTGTACGTATCAACTCTGTGCATGCCCTTCCTTCCCAGCCTCAATTTCATATTAAGCTGTGACACGTGATGCCGCGTGGTCCAACGACTTTTGCCGGTGAGCAGGCGTATCGACCTCCTGCTGGCCGTTTGCTGACTTGCAGCGCAGATACCTGTCCTTCGTCACGAACGGCTTCTCGGGGATCCCGACTCTCACGAGAGACCAGTATGACTCGGAGGCGTTCCGTCGCTCTATGAAGACAAGCGACATCTTGTGCGTGAGCTCTGGGCCTCCTGGTGTTCTCTGCTGACTCTGTCTTAGGCATGAGATCGACGATATGATGTGGGCTTACTCAAGTTGATGTTCATTCCGTATGCCTTACTGTTTTTCAGTGGGGTCCTCGAGCCCATGAATGCCGGATTCTCGCTGACTGACCCAGCGGACCCAAGGTACCAGTACATCACCTCTCTCCGCCAGCGGTACGGGGAATTTCTGCATGATGCGTCGCAATCGTTGCTGCTGCAAGGGGAAGCGAACACTGTCGATCCGGTTGAGGCACTGGTGAGCCCGAGTATACGCGTCCGCTTTCTGTCGCTCAAGTCTGTGCAGCTCGAAGCCATACGTGTCTATATGTTGGACTACGGAGATAGCAAGGATGGGTCACGGGTTCTCTTGTCTGACACGTTCCTCGGCTGACATGTCCCGCAGTTACTTCGCGAACGAGAAGAAATACGAGACAGGTGAGGACCGCGTGTTCCCCGAGTGGCAGGTGCTGATAAGCCGCAGAGAAAAACATAGCCCGGCATTTCGCCAAGCAGAAAGTGTGGCCCAGATCCGTGTGGATCCGCCGTGCGAGATTCTACCACTCCGCGCGTCTGCGGTGGAACTCGATCGAGAGGTTGCGGGGGCCGCTCGAGAATGCGCTGATCGACGATCTGGTCGAGTGGTCGCTTTCGAATTACGCGACGATCCGGTCGTACAGCCAAGACGTGCTGGACTCGGTTTCTGCAGTGTACGACGGGGTCCGGCGCCGCGCGCTGCCGAAGTTGTATAGCGCCCTCGCTCCCGGGACCGATGATGATCGCATGAAGGGTAAGCCGCAGCACGTCCCATAAACATTGGCCTGCTGCTGAGCCAGTCGTTCAGGTGCTTTGTGGACGCTGAATCTGATGTCCTTTGGGAAGTATGCTGCAGGAGAAGTCACCTTAGCCCCTCAACTCATCGAAAAGCTGTTCGCTTGTCAGCACAACGAAAAGCCCTCCATCCAAGATGCTGTATCGACTGTTGCAGAGAACTGTAGGCCGCTTTTATCAGCCGGGACCACTGACTTGACCACACGACAGGCTTGAATAGTCTGAGCGAGGCCTCTGATCTCGTCTACAAGCTCGAGAACAAAACATTAGATGCGATTCTTGCTGAGAGACAACTGGACAAGGCCGAGCTTGCCCTGGCGCGTCGTTGTGAGCAAAACAGACTCGAACGCTCTCGTGTGTCGAATGAAGCGTCGAAGGAACTGGTTCGTACCTTCTCCCAAACCAAATCTCGCGCAGGACTGATGCCGCCCCTACCATTCCAGGTCAGGACCCTCCTCGCCATCGGCAATTCCTCCAAAACGCACTGGAAGTACGAGATTGCCACCATCCGATGTCTTCGTGCGATCATCCGCCGGGACGTGCCTACTAGCGCCGAGCAAATCCGGTTCTTCATGCACAAGACATACGACAGCAATCCCAATCTACGATACGTGGGTTCAAGTGGTTCCGAATCCATTCCCGTGTTTGATCGTCCTCCAGTACGCCCAACGAGCAGCGATGAAGTGCATGCGCTTCGTCAAACTCCGCTCTTACTGCCCGACGCCAAAAGACCTTATCCTCGGGAAATGCGTCAATCCGCTGAAGCAATCGCTCCCGGTCCAGCCCACCCCGGATCTGGCACGTAACTATCTAACAGCGTACACCCAACCGCTTGACCTGGATCGGACCGGTGATCGCGGGCATGTCGATATGATTGGTATCCTTAAATGACGACTCACTGGTGCTGCAGGTGTACTTGGACAAGGATCCCGCGCCGGGCTGGCTTGCCTGGGGCGACTCGGTCACCCTGTGCCGGGTGCCGGACCGGGTGAAGTCGACGTTCCTGCCGTGGGAACGCGGGAGCGATGCCTTTGTGGGCGTCGTGCGCGAGCTGGCGACGTCGAAGGCGTTCTGGGAGCAGCTGTCCGTCTATTTCGGCGAGGAGAACCACGAGTCGACGATCGTCATCGACAATGTGTCGTATGTCAAGTCCATCTGTGAGTCCTCGGCAGTCATCAGTCGCAGCAGCAGCGACGACCCGGCTGACTCGCGCCAGTCCAGCTGCTTGAGGACGAGCCGTTCGAGGCCCTGCAGCCGGTGCTGTACAAGCTGCTCGACGAGAAGGAGCTGGACAAGCAGCGCGCGCTGGCGGAGTTCACCGCCGGCGTCATCGGGGGGTCGAAGCACTGGCCGATGGACAAGCAGGACGCGCTCTGGGTGTGGTTCAAGCCGGTGATCGTCGATGCGTTCAGCCAGAAGCTGAAAACGGATACGGTCTCGATCTGGCAATCGCTTATCGAGGTGGGTTGTTCTCCCTCGACGACCACCGAGAGAGTCAAAGGCTGAACCTGCCGTGTGTGCAGTACCTGTTCCAGAACAAGGACCCGCGTCGTCTCCAGCCGTTGGTGGATCACATCATGGAGCTTTGGACGCAGCTGGACTTCCAGCCCGAGCTCGCATTTGATGCCACCAAGTACTTGTCCATCTTCAAATCGTTCTATCGTGAATTGAACTGGAAATTCCTGGGTGCATTCCGGTTTGAGTCTAAGCGCAAATCAGTGGCTGACTTTTTTTTTACTACAGGATGGACAGACCAAGCGGTAGAACGGTACTGGAAACAGCTGGAAGTCAACGAGCACGAGGACGTCCGCGCCTTCATCGCCGATATCCTGCTATTCTCCAACAGAATCAAGTCATCGCCGCGCCCGTCCTGTCCTTCGACCGAAGTGTTCGTCAGAGAATGCCGGACGTTGCCGGTCAGCTACGACATCATGGGCATGCGCGGGATGTACCACATCGATCGCTTTACCGAGCTCGTCGGGAAGTTCCATGTCTGGCGGGAGGAGCGGGTGTCCGGCGTGCGCGCTTTCCAGTCTACTTACGACAGGGTCGGCATCACGATCTGCAAGTTCCTGTTCCAGCTGCTGCTGAATACCTCGGCCAGCGCTGTGTTCGACTATGTCCTTCCTCTGATGGCAAGTTCTGGCATGCTCACAGCCGTGTCTGATGCTGACGATCCTGACACCGCAGCCAGAGCTGTTCAGGTTCACAGAGCGTATGTGGTTCATTTTATAAGACGATCCTCCATGTAGCTGACACGAGCGCAGTGAATGATAACCAGGATCTGGCCACCAGAGCCAACGATGTGCTCGTTCAGATGTGTGGTGTGACTGTTCCTGTCCCGTTGATCAATCCCTTGATCGACGGGATATTCGAGTCCATTCGCAACTCCCCAGTGCGTGCGACCAACTCTGGGTGTCATCTGGATTAACGGCTTGGGTTGCAGTCGTGGAAGGTCCGGTTGAAGGCGATCCCTCTCATCCAAAGTACGACTTGCCCATGCGCTGGAGAGAGACCGGGCTGACGACTATGCTGCAGTCTTCTATTTCCGTCAACTGCCTCTGATCTCAGACGGAAAGCTGATTGAGATGCTCGAGGTGAGTGTCCAGCCGTCGGAGCCTCGAGGAGAAAGCATGATCGGCCGCTAGGTTTTGTGCCAATGTCTAGACGACGAGGTCATCAACGTTCGAGAAATGGCAGCTACGTAAGACCATTATTTATGACCTCCGGTCCGGGATCGATGCTGAATGCGAGATAGGACGTTGTCAGGGATTCTGCGTCTCTCACCCCGCAGACACATCCTCACACTCCGCGACCGTTTCGTTCAGCTGATCAAGAAGAGTCACATCCCGCCGCGCTCGGATCCTGCGTACGCGAAGAGCCTGCGCCAGCGCCATGCCGCTATTCTGGGCGTCTGTGCCTTGGTCGATAGTGTTCCCTACACGGTGGAGAAGTGGACCCCGGATCTGCTGACCAACGTCCTCGCCGAGCACACTTATGATCCCGTGCGATCCTTTTCTTCTCTGTGCCAAGTGGTTATTGATCGAGTTTATGCAGGCCCCCATCTCAACAACTGTGCGCAAGTGTGCGCGTAACTTCAGCCGCACCCACCGAGGTTAGTCTTGATTGAATGTGATGATCTTAGATTAACCTGTTCATCGGCAGATACGTGGCACGAAGATTCAGCCCGGTTCGATGAGTCCCAGCTGGCAGCGCTGTCCACATTGCTCACCGGATCATCATACTGTACGTCCCCTTGCAACATGCGGGAACGTGCGGGTTGATCACATTGTCCAGATGCCTAATGCACGAAGGAATGAAGGAAGGAAGCCATTGTACGAGTATAATTCAGTAGGAGCACACGCTAATCTAGTCGCATTCCGCCATGCTTTCGAATATCTTTGCAATCAATAACCATCGCTTACGTCATGTTTCCTTCCGTCCATCAGCTCGCGTTCTAGACCCGCGGGCGAGTCTCGTGAAAATCAGTGTTGCATTCTACGTCGTAGATGTCTGCGCGTCGCGCCGGGGTCGACGCGGATAGCGCGTTCCAAGCCCCTGAAACCATGCCCGCAGCTCGCCATCGACCGCCCTGGTGTCAAGCCGCTCGTTATCTTATCTGCGCCCGTCATGAGTCATCACGAGACCCCGCATACAGCTGACTTCGCCTTGCTCTCCTCCTCCTCCTCCTCCTCCTCCTCCTCCTACCTCATGTTACTTCAAAACTCTCCTCCGCGCCCGGCGCCCTCGTGCGAAATGCGGCAGGACGGGGCATATCGTCGACCGCACGACGCGCATTGCCGGAGAGGCATCGGGACCCTCCAATTGCCATGCCCCCCGCCAAAAAGCTTGCCATCGGTCAGGCGTCCTGCTCCCTATTCCGCCCATCTCTCGTCCTGACCAACGCGCTGCTTCCCACAGTGACCTGCATGGACGCGCGGATAAAGTAACGTCCCTCCCCGCGCGACTGCCGTGCCCGAGATTCACCAGGCGCACCAGCCCGTTCAAGCAGCTCGGCTTCAAGGAGGGCGACGCGCATATCATCCGCAACGCCGGGGGCATGGCGTGCGTTGCTCTCTTTCGCGGTCTCTCCCGCCGTCCCATACCCGACGTGACGTGATCTTCGTTGTTCGCAGGAAGGACGCGCTGCGCAGCCTGATCATCTCCCAGCGCCTGCTCGGCACGCGCGAGATCGCGGTCTACCACCACACGGGCTGCGGGATGGTCACGTTCAACGGCCCGGAGCTCAAGCAGCTCGTCAAGTGGGCGAGCCCCGGCGACCATGTGTGCGCGCAGCAGGTCGACGGGATCGACTTCCTTGAGTTCTCGGACCTCGAGCAGTCTGTCCGCGACGACGTCGAGTTCTTGAAGTCCAGCCCGCTTATCATGAAGGGCACGAAGATCACCGGGTGGATACACCAGATAGAGACGGACCAGGTGTGTGTTTCTGTTAGCAGACGCAGCGCGTGATGGCGGTTCTGACACGCAGACAGGCTACGCGGGTGGTGTAACTGCGAGCAAAAGTAGATGTAGTACTAGTAATACAGCGGTAGAAAAGTGCACAAGCATTTGGCATTCATTTCGTGAAGACTTGTGCAATATTGAGCGTCGAGGGATCGCTAGCGGAAGCAAGACGTACTGGATACAACATCGTCGTCTTGCACTTGATGAGAAAGGCCGACTTTCTGTGCGTGCGGTGCAAACTTGCTCGATCGGCCCTGTGAATAGCATGAGTGGGTGCGAGTGACGCATAGAAGGAACAGCGGCTTGCCCTGCATGAAAGTCAGCTTCGAGACGGACACTCGGCTCGAGACTGCTGCTCACCAGACAAGCCCGTATCTGAAGTTGGTGGCCAGTGACCGATGCACTCCATTGCACACATCCTGGTCAGCACCTCAGTAATATCTCACACCGAATCTTGCTCGCGCATACCTCGACGGTCGCCCCCGCTCTCAGACAGATAGGATCCGTCAGATCCGGATGATCACCGCTACAAAACAAGTGAGGGTCAGTTTCTAGAGGATCGATGTAGCCGACCGTTTTTTCGTGTACACCTTGACCAGGTTCAACTCAGCCCACATTCGCTCGATGAGATAGTCGAGGCTGTGAAAATTCCTTCAGAAGGCGCCCAGGTCACCTTCCATCGCGTCACATACTTGAGATCCTGCAGCACACAGTTCAGCATCGTACAGATTATACAATGACATGAGTGTCACCATCTCGCAGCTTATGACCACCGTATTGGGCGTCCGCGCTAGCTTGTCCACTTGCTCGAGACTGATGGCGTCGATTTTGTTGTATACATCTGAGGCGAGGGTAAGTTGCATTCCTTCGGTGCACTCGCGCACTGACAGAGACAAGGAATGTATTTCCTAGTTCCTAACAGATCCTTAGTGTGATCCAAACCCTGTGCTAACCGGGAAGCTCACCGATCAGAACGTCAATAAAGTCATCCGTTGTGATCTGGAGGTGTCGTGGGTCTGGATTTTCTTAAGCGAAAGATTGGACGCACGTCCTCCCGTATCATGACGTCGCAGTTGTGTAGTTTGTCTGTGATGTTTGATCGAATCGCTGCTGAGCGAGCAGTATCCTTTCAACCTACAGCCTGCGAGGATGGTACGGATCGTCTTCTCGTCTGTTTTCGTGAGCTTGACGGTGGTGGTGAACTGGACAGATCTTAGTTGAGGACTCAAGGTATCAGTTATGTCTTCTCACGGTGATCTGTATGAAAGTCAGCGCGACACAGAGAACGAGAGTCAGGCTTACCCCACCGGTGGTGCGTTTCTTGAAGACAATGTCTGGCTTGTGTTTGTTCAATCTGATGCCCACTGCGTCCAGCTCGATTTCGAGAAGATTCCTGAGCAGATAAAGTGAGCACATCTATACTCATATCGTCACTGAGCATCATTTACCTCTGCTCTTCTGATTTCGTCGCATCCCTGGCACAGTCTGGGGTCAGCCCGCCCACAAGCCATTCACCACCACTCACAGCATCATCACAATCAAATCCGCCGTCTTGGCAGTAGAAACCACTTGTCTACCTCGTCCTCTGCCCTGCGCGGCACCTTCGACGATCCCTGCGAGCAGTTGACGACGATTGACGCCTGGGTATGTAAGTATGACGTACCTGGAAGATCCAACAGCTGGATTCGCGCTCCTTCGTACTCAATGACACCGGGGATTGCGGTCAAAGTACTAGCGCCGAGGTATGAGCTTTCGATCTGGGAGGGTGGCAGGATCGCGTACGTGAACTCGTATGACGCGACTTCGGACGCGGTGTGAGTCGTCTTGCTGAGCAAAGTAGATTTGCCCACAGACGGGAAACTGAAAACATAAGGATGGAGTGTTATGGTACTGATATGGAGGAGCCCACCCGATGAGAGCGACTCGCGCATCTCCAGCTTTTTGGACATCGAACCCGACTCCGGCTGGCCCAGATTTCGTGGTGGGTTCGAGAAGCTGTGCCCGATAGCGCGCGAGTTTCGCCTTTAACAGACCCAAGTGGTATTCCGTCGCCTTGTTCTTCTGCGTCCGCGCCATCTCCTCTGTTCAGCAGTTACGAGAGCACTACTGACAGCCAATGGATTCGATCATGCCTTGGATTTCTTTGATCTGATAGCAAGATCGGGTTAAATTGGAATTTATAGTATTGAGAGGCATACCTTTTCAACGACACCCATGACTTGGTTCAAAATCCGAAGCAATTCGATACTCGAGACGGTGAGTAGAGTTTGGAAACTGACAGTGCCAGATACACACGTGACGAACTTCCTCCAGACAGGGATCATCGATCAGCAGTGATCCGGATCATCCAGGCACGGGTTGTGATGGGACTCTTGTTGCCTTGTTGTGATGTTACTCCCGCTCTGTCAGGCTCTAACACATCGCTTGATACCTTCGCGCGCAGCACCACTAATTGACACAATTCCTACTCATTCAGACTGCTCTGCGTTGGAATCCGAGTCCCATTTCATGAAGTCGAATCTTGTTGTATCTCCAAGCAAACAACTTTCCAGCCTCAGCTTCGAGTACTTATGACGTCCCTCTCAATGTTTCATCCTTGCCGGAATGTGCCGCCGGTTGCAAATATCTTCACGTAAATGATTGGGTTTGAGATCGCCCGAAAAAGCGTGTGGATATGATAGACTTGACTTGTCTTTACCCACCACTCCGAGGATGCGATGGCGCGTAGTTTCGCTGATACCCACACTGTTTGCGGTATTCGCTGAAGCTGCAACGAACCGTACTATCGACGACACGCACGGGGATAGTATAACTGGCAATAAGCCAGTCTATCAGCCATTATCGGCGTGGGCGGGGCCGTCTTGTGTCGGCTGCGCGATTCTGCCGGACACCACGCAATGCTTCGAGGGGACATACTCCGCCGCGACGTACAACCCAGGGTTGGGCTCGATGAATATCACGATGGACTTTCCAGGTGTGTGGTCTTCGGGGGACGTGTTTCCGATGCGCGTTAAACCAGCGCAGGGACTGCGATTTACGTCTACTTCATTCTTGCCAATTTTCAAGGGGACGGCATCACCACGGAGACTGCGGTCAATTTTTCTGTGGATGGCAACCTCTTGGGCGCTTACACACATACCCCGACGTCGAGCCCGAACATCGATTTCGACGTGCCTGTCTTTTCTTACAACCAACTGTCCAATTCGACGCATACACTGCTCATTTCTACTGAGGGCCCGAAGAATATCTATGTGAATTTTGATTATGCGATCTACACGTTCGTGTCTGGGATGGGTCTGCTGCATGTTTGCTAATGAGGAGAACAGATTCGAAGACCCACCACCAGTGACCGTGCCGGCGACTTCACCAGCGACGTCACCAGCGACTTCACCTACATCTCAGTCAACCAATCCTCCTCTGACAACAAGTTCGCCAACGAGTCCGCCTACTTCGCCTACTTCGCCAAGCCCGCCAAGTTCGGCTAATCCCACAGTCCCCTCAAGTTCAACACAATCCAACTCGGTATCGTCTCCAACCATCGTGGCCAGCTCACTGAGTCGCGGGGCAATATCAGTCACTCCTTTGTCATCAGGTTCCATCACATCTACCTCCACCACTAATTCAGCCACCCTCTCGGCCTCATCAACAGATACTGTTTTGATTCCTACCGGACAACACAGCCACGGTGCTCTTATCGGCGGTGTCGTAGGTGGCGTTGTCGGTGCTGTGGTCCTCATTGCACTTCTGGCTCTTCTCAGAAGGCGTCGCCGCAAACGTGCCCTGGATGACCTCCCCGTCGAAGCCGCAGCGGATCCTCTGAACCCATATCTGGACGACCCATTGGCACCGCCCAGGATGGTGAATGCGTCTGGCTCAGCCGCAGCCACATCCATATATGCTAGTGATAACGGGTCCAGGCAGGATATGTCCGAGCAGCCCTTTTCACCATACGGCATGCAATTGGCTAGCAACTACCAGCACTCCGAGCTTTCGAGCGGCCCTGCGAGCAGTGCAGCACCGAGCGTCGCCCCCTTAATCAGACCCCTCCCGTCTACTGCCGGTTTGGAATCGAACAGGGACAGCAAATCCGAACTCCGACGACGGGAACTGCAGCGGCAGTCGGAAAACGCTCGTGTTGAGCTGGAGCAGCTGAATAACCGAGCACAGACGTCTTCTGCGTCAGAAAATGCCGAGTTGCAGCAGCATATTCGCAACCTGGAGGCTGAGATCTCAACCTTGAGGGCGCAGCAGTTGCATGAATCAGAGGCTGCCCCTCCAGAGTATTCCGTAGCTTAGTCGACACTGTAATACATATATGCACTGCCTAATACTCGAGAAGGCGTATCGTGTTGTATTCAAATGAGTTTAAGGACTGGTCTTCTCAGTCGCCCACAAGGTGGTCGTCGGTCGGACCAAATATCCGATATTCGCTGATCTTCGACCGTACTAATTACTGACCCTCTCCCTCTTGCTTTCCACGATGCGACGCCATCTGCCCACACTCTACTCTCACCCTGAGGATGCACTGGACGAAGAAATGGAGCACGAACAGGATCGCTGGGAGATGGGCACCCAGCAGTCCACTTCGTCCTCGCGCTCAAATTCATCATATTATCCCGCACGCGGTATCCCCCCGCGCATCAACTCGCGCAAGGGCAGCACACCCTCGGCCAAGACCTCGTCCACCGCGTACTCTCATTTCGTGAAGGTGTACCGTAGCCAAGAGGCGGACAACCCACTGCATGACCCCGATAGCCACTACTTCCAACGCGGGCTGGGGCAGCTCATGGACGCGGGCGACAGCGACGATGAGGCGACGAGCATCTTCGACACTGTGGACATATTCACCCTTGCGCACGAATCCGAGTTGAGCCACCCAGAGTCGCGTGGAGAGCGGGAACAGTGGCGAGCGATGTTGTCCTCCGTGCTATCTGGCGACGTCTTGAAAATGGAGAAATCCCGGATATCAAACGTTCTCGAGTCCGCGTCGTCTGTGAAGGAACAGCTCGTCAAAGACATATGGATCGGTATACGGGCTAGGCTGCATGGGACGTCGGTGAAAGAGGTGAAGAGATCCCTCGACGATCAACGTATTCGAATAGCAGATACGGTCATCGAAAATGTCCTCAAATTCTCGCTAACCCCCGACACACCATTCCCTGAGGCGATGGATCAGGTGTCGACTCTCTTGCACCGACTGGACTTTGTGCAGTCATTGTACCCTGATCTCAAAGCGTTCGCTGTCGACAAACCCGTCTGCCGAGAACCGCAGTTTTTACTGCGCCGGGATGCATTGATAACATGGTGGAACATCAACACGACCACGAGCCTGCAGCTTGCACGTTTGCGCCGGTGGACGGGGAGCGAGACTCTGGACGTCAATCAGCGCAACACCTCTACCGAAGTGCCTATTGGTCATCAACGACTATTCGCGTCTCCTCGCGGCGGGCCCACGGACAAGGCGGATACGTCGAGCTTCGTTGAGCGGGTATTAAAGGAAGAGACGGCCCAGACGATGTTCGAGAGGCGGTTTCTTGTCACGACGTACTCTTTCTTCCTGGGAGCCCGGGAAGCCCAGATAGCCCTCGGCCCTATCTTCAAGCAGATGAACCTGCCGTGTCTTGAGCAACAGCTCGTTCCTCTGATATCATTCCCCACGAAACTCGTCCAAGCTGGTCTCCAAGTCCGACTTGATTCGACCAACAGTCTGGACGGAATGCAGTCCATGATCGTGGACCAGATGACTGAGGACCTCAAACTCAGCATCGGTCTTGCATGTCTTGTGAAGCGCCAGTATCAGACCGTCTTTGAGCCAGACCCCAGCGGCAACTGGAACCTACCGAAATGCATCAGCGACGACTACGACGACACCATTCGCCAATCTATCAAGGGTCTGTTCAAACTGATCCATCTCAAGCTGAGAAGTGGCGCGAAAGGCATCTACTTCAAAGAGACGGAAATTCTCGAAGCGCAGCGGGATACTTTCTGGGATGTCAGTCTCTCTGTGGCCCGTGGGTCTTGTCTTATCGCCGAGGAGCTGTGGTGCGTGTGTCGGCGCCTCCTCGTAGTCGTGATCTCACTGCTTCAGCTCGACGACCAACAAACTCATGGTTCGCGTGACAAATTATTTCGACACTCAGATGCAGGTCCCTCACAAACATGTGACCCAAGACACCCATCACGGTCGTCGAAGCAAGGCAATTACCGCTTCCGGAGACAACGAACCAATGACACCCGAGAAAATGATGGACTGGTATGGCAAGATCCTGGAAAGTGTTCGTCTGCGGTACCGCAAGTTGCAACGCTATGCCCGGTAAACAGCCACGTGCAAAGCATCCGATTCTCACTGACACGTGACCAGTGAGCTCATCAACCAATTCAGCAACGCAGCAGAGTACAGCCTCGAAGGTGTCCGAATGGATCTGTTCATCCGCTCGCTGGTGGAGACGGGTCACTTCCTCGTCTATACCCGCACTTACGAGGAAGACTCGATGTACATCGTTGCTTCGCATCTGCTTCGGGACCGACCGGAAGCGGTGACTCGGATTCTCACCGAAGCATTCAATGTCGAGGAGGTCATCAATGAGGACGGGAGCCGAGCCATCGGAACCAAGGTCCACCTGGCTTCTGAAGAGGACGACGAGCCGCAATATGTGCTTGTCCTGTCACCGTCCAAAGATTTCTTCTGGAACGGACTGACGATCGAGTTGACGGATATTCCCAAGATTCCGCTAGACCCCAAAGATGATCATGTGCGTTTGATCGCAGATGGGCCCCACCCCCGACTGGCACTGGCCAAGGAACTGTTCATGGACACGTTTGTGCTCGAAGACGAGAACGGGGAGTTGATTGAGCCTGAGATCACATTAAAATGTGTCCAGGAGCAAATGGCTAATATTCCCACGGTGAATCGCGAGCTGCGTAAGATCGGACGAGCGACGACGCGGTTGGCCGAGTCGATCATCAACTCGGTACATTACGTGCGGAACGCCCTGGGTATCTGCGCCGGCAGCCAAGAATTACTGGAGAACTGGTATTCTTTCGCGGCTGAGCGTGGCCAACAAGCACAGAAGTTTATGGAGCGCTCTTCGATCGTTCGCTTTGACCGGGCGTTGATCAAACACGCCATCTCCTGGGTTGCGTTCATCTGCGACGATTGCGACCCTACCGATCGCAAAACATTCAAATGGGCTGTCAATGCGCTGGAATTCACATTCGGTCGCATAAAGCGCAACATACAGCAGCTGCCGGAGGACCAGTTCCAGATGCTGCGGCACAAAGTGGCGAAATGCATGACGCTGCTCATCCATCACTTCGACATCCTGGGTGCACGGTCAACGACTGAAGCCAGCCGCGAGAAAGAGCGCCAGACAGCCATCATCAAAGCTCAGGCATCTGAAACGGAGGTCTCCGAGGTTACCTACGACGCGGTCGCTCCGACGTGTGATTTCTGGCGCAATGTGTCAGAGGCGGTGGCCGAGCTGGAGAGCTCCCGCGCAGAAGCCATCTCTCTCACCAACCACCAGACATTCGGTCGCGTGCTTGACAACTCGAAGCTCGAAGATCGGACGCTGGTGTTCCTCGCCTCGGCATCGTCGAATATCTCCATCCGCTGGCAGCTGATCAAATTCGTTGGCGCTGGTGCGTTCGGGTCTGTGTATTCTGCGATGAACTTGGACAATATGACGGTAATCGCGGTCAAGGAGATCAAGTTCCAGGAGCTGTCGAATCTGCCCAACATGTACGCTCAGATCAAGGACGAGCTGAGCGTCATGGAGCTGCTGCACCATCAAAACATCGTCGAGTACTACGGCATCGAGGTGCATCGGGACAAGGTCTACATCTTCGAGGAATTGTGTCAGGGCGGCAGTCTCGCTTCCTTGCTCGAGCATGGCCGGATCGAAGACGAGAGCATCATCCAGATATACACTATTCAGATGCTGGATGGTCTCGCGTACTTACATGCGCAGGGTATCGTGCACCGGGACATCAAGCCAGACAGTATGCACGATCTCCGTTCGTCCATTTATCTACTAACGTGATTAATAGATATTTTGCTGGATCACCGGGGTCTGATCAAGTTTGCCGACTTCGGAGCAGCCAAGATCCTCGCCAAGAACCAGCGCACATTCCAACGCAGTCGACGACCGGAGCCCACCCCCGCCGAACCCGGCGCGGCGACAGGGCTCACGGGGACACCGATGTACATGTCCCCCGAGGTGATTAAGAACGAGAGGCGCGGGCGCTACGGAGCAATGGACATCTGGTCGCTCGGGTGCGTTGTGCTGGAGTGCGCCACAGGGAAGAAGCCCTGGAGCAATCTCGACAACGAGTGGGCGATCATGTTTCATATTGGAGTGGCAACACAGCATCCGCCGCTGCCCGAGCCTGACGAGCTCAGCAGTCTCGGGGTGCAGTTCCTCAAGCGTTGCTTGACGATCGATCCTGCGATCCGGCCATCAGCGGAGGAGCTGCAGGACGACCTGTGGCTGAGCAGCTTCCGCCAGTCTTGGGAGGTTCCGGCTGAAGAAGACACGAGTGTTCTCCAGGAAGAGGAGGCCGAGGCGCTGCTAGAGTCCGCGCCTCTCACCCCGACAGAAGAGTGATTTAGGATACAGTTAGTTATTGAGACACGATCGACAACACATTTTAGGAAACTCTGAACCACGAACAGAAGTCTGATCAAGTTGTGCGCCTACTCTATAACCCATCGTTTAGATTGACCAACTGTGGGACCTTCGCTGTCGCGCCTGGCGTGTCTCGAGTCACCTGACGAGTAGTCGTAGTAGCTGTCCAAGCTCCCGAAACTCCCATCGCTGTCCCGTTTCGTCGGAATACCGCCCATCCCGTTGCCGCTGCCCTCGTAAGAGTCCCGTGTCAGCGTTCTCGTCAGCGCGGCGGCCGGCGGTGAGATCGGCGACGACCGCCGGCTCTCGAACGGATCTGCACCGTTGTTGAAGAACCGGGGGCCCAGCTGGGCCGTGGGCTTGAACATCTGCGAAGGAACGGGCACTTCAGATCCAGATCCGAAGGTCGCTGGAACATTTGAACATGTGGTGAAGATCGGCGGAAATAAAGACGTACCAGAGAAAGTGGGAACAGGCTTCTCATTGGATGGGAAGGCAACCTTCTCAGGATCGTCGCCAGGGGTAACCGACTCAAAGTCGTCGCCGGGCAGAGGCTCCTGTGCATTCACTGCGCCCGGGATCAGCAATACGGTAGCGCATGCCACGACTGGGGCTCACAGTATCGGAGTAGACCCTTGCCAAAGTTGCACTGGCACACAATCCCAAGCACGAACGACATGAGAGTCAGAATCGCCGACACAGTGGACACAATCGCGAAAAAGTTCCACGTGACGAATGTCCAACGGAAAGTCGTGGACAGGAACATGATGCAGAATCCGGCGAGGTACATCATGGACAGCGCAAGGAAGACGACCATGCCGATTCTGCTCTCGCGGCGGACGGAGAACCAGCCCTACGTCAGTCAGTCAGTACAGAGATAGACCGGCGCGAAGCGATACCCGACTGACCGTTACCAACCAGGGGATGAGCATCTGGAACGTGCGTGAGAAAATGAAGGATCTCTGAAGATGCGAAAAACATACCACAGCAGTCAATATGAATGTCACCTTGTACATCTTGATGTACCACGCAAGATGGCCCGCTGTACCATTGAACAGCTGGTCTACGAACAGGGACAAGGTTGCGCCCATGAAGAAGAAGGACAGCTGCATGGAAATCGACAACAAGAGCACCAGTTTGTACACTCGGTTGATAGTCACTGGAAGCCATTATCATCATTTGAGCAGGAACAAACAGTGCTTGCACTTACGGGAAGCTCCGACACGTTTGAACGTCTGCCACCCGAACAGCTGTTTCATGTCCATGAATTTTCGCACACCTCGGGAATGCTGGATCACGAACCTTGACCAGTTTCCAGGTGAGAATTCCAGATGCGAGCAGTGCCAAAATGTTCAGGGCCAAGATCGGAATCTCAGCACCGGCACGGGCCTGCCAGTAGTTGGGCAACAGCGACGGGACACCATTGCATGCGCCGTGGGTGATGACCTTGTCGAATCTCTGGCGGAAGAATGCCGTGTGCCAGATCTGGAAACCAGACCAAAAGGTGGCCAGGATGTGAGTGGTGAGCGAGGCAATGATGTGTGGGATGGATTCGTTGAGCAACGCGACCATCGACATGCCGAGAACCCAGAATTGAAACGCGATGAACACGATATCTTCGCGTTTCGTGTCGTCCAGACTGTCCAGGAGGTCAATGAGAGAACGTCTGGTATGATCGAGCTTACATGCTGACAGGCCAGTTCAAGGACCACATGCAGCTCTTGTCCAACAGGAGGTGGTGGTCAGCATAGCCCATCCCCGTGAGGTTGACTTGAACTGTTGTGTCATTGAGGACCAAGACCTTCGCCTCGGGAAAAAAGCTCGGAATAGACGCGCGCTTATAGAAGTTTTCCGAGACGTCTTTGGGATCAGCCACGCGCACAGGGGGAAATGTCGGCGCAGCGATGGCTGCGGTAACGATCTGGGTGACGACAACAACGCTGGGCGCACTAGGGGCAGACAGCTGAGTCGAGCTGGCCAGAGGAGTGGTGCTCGTGACGACAGAGGAAAGAACGGGCGACAATGCGGCGGAAGAAGAAGAGGCTGCGATCACGGTCAACGACCCGGGGGCGGGTGCTGCCCCGCCGGCGTAGTTGTATCCCGAATCGGTCGACGTCGAAGGAGCAGACGCGCTCGGGTCGGCGGGGTTGTAAACCATGTTGCGGCCCGGCGTTCCGTCGTACACGACCACGCACTCGTCCGTGTCCAGGTCCGTTGGGACCTGCGCACACATTCTCACTTCCTGCACCGTCGATTCCCCGGGGTGCGCCAGTGCGGCTCCGCTTCCGGAAACGATCGGACGGGTCGATAGAGCAGGCACGCTCGAGTTTGTCGCGTTCCCTTCGAGTGCGATGTTGTACAGGAATGTCGCGGCATTTGCGTTGATGGTGAAGGCTCTGATTTGGAAGGCAATCTGGATGACGAAGTGGGCGAGCGAGAAGACGACGTATGCGACGGTGAGCTTGGAGACGGTGACGCGATCCCACTAGAAAGCCAGAGATTAGAAGAGACATACGAAAGATATACAACTGATAAAATGGGCACGCACCACCAACTTGACTTTGGAAGGCAGAGGAAGGACCTCCCAGATTTGCTTGACACGCATTTCTTATTCGTATAACAGCTGAAATATCCCCGCTCAACTCCGCTCCAACGGTAGTCAGCGAAAGTGGCTCACAGAGGGACTAAAAAGAGTGTTGAAACCACTAGGGTTGAAGGAGAAAGAAGAGACGACCGGGCTTCCTGACGAGCTACGAGGAGGACGAGGAAGAGGGCCGCAGAGAGACGGGCCAGCCGGTGGAAATGAGTTGGTGTGGAGGGGAAGAGAGCCAACGACAACCTGCTACACTGGACAGTGCTTGCCCAATCACGATCGTGAGCCGTTGCCATCAACGTCACTCGGTGTTAGGCGAAGAACAATCGTCGATCTACAACATCCCGGAGATATTTAGAGTCTAGATTCAACCTACATAGGAGCGCGAAGCGTATCGCGCAGAAGGGTATGTACGCAGGCGCTCTGTGCTGGACTGCACCCGCAGCGCAGATGTCTTGCAGGAATTTACGCAATCAAGTTATCTCATTCTGAATGACGATCAAGCTTCAAGCCCTGTCAGCGCAGCCCTGCCGCAACCAAGGTCATCGGAGGGGACTGGAACCGATAGACAGGATGGGAGAACTCCGGTGTGTTACGCGATCTGTATCAAGCCCGTCAACGCCGAAAAAAGTTCTTGTCATCGCAGCGAGATCTTCGTGATCAGAGCGCGCTGCATGGCTGTGCATAGAGCGACAGCCTAAAAGCAGCAGGTGATGCTCCTACGATGTTGGGGACGAGCGACCAGCACCCCGAGTCTCAGTTCTCAGCAACGCTGATCGCACCATGCTTGCGAACATGCATCGCCGCCCAAATATCAATCGGTGAGTCATGAAGACTGGGATTCGTCTGACCGCACCAAAGCTCTTGGCTTCGTTTATCAGATCTGTTCCCACTGCGCCTGATTCAAAACCCGAACGACCCGACAGAAAACATGGAGAGGACCGTAAGAGGAGTTCACCCAGCAGGCTGGGGAGAGATGCTCTACTACCAGTAGCCGCAACTTGAAGGACCGGAGAAGGATTGGTGTCACGTGGTAATCACGTTGCTGTACTCTTCGCATTTGGCACTTTGCCGACCAAAACCATCTTCATACGCATCCGATGATGCCCGTCGCAGACACCGAAATCATTTTCCTCGGTACGCTTCCCGGGACGACTGATGGCTAAAATGACACCTCACTCAAGGGACCGGAACGAGCAGCTCTCTTCCTCACATCGGTTTGCCACGTTCTTAGCCTGTGACTGTCACATTGAGCAGCCTGTTGCTTCAGCATGCATAACTGCCCAAGCCATCCCGGGATCGTCCGAAGACCCACCCTGCAGAACGTGTCTGAGCACCATAGACGGAAGCATAGAGGGAAAGAAGAACATCCGCCGTAACACGAGCATCGTCGCTCGTCTACCTGGAGATGTGTGCGACTGATCTTGTCCTATCTTTCTGACGTGATATGGAACTGCGACTACAGAACAATTCTCATAGACTGCGGCAAGACTTTCCAAGGTAAAATCCCTACATTTTTTTGACCATGCCACTCATCTGCAGCTCGCAGCGGCTGCCTTGGAATGGTTTCCAAAATACAAATTACGTAAGATCGATGCTGGTAAGGCAGATACTTTCTTTCAGTCGATCTTTTTTCTGAGATTGTTTTTAGTGCTTATCACGCATGCGCACGCCGACGGTAAGTCTCCTTTCAAGAGGCGCGACTGGGGTACTGAGCGTTCGCAGCAATCAACGGTTTGGATGATCTTCGAGGTAATGCTCAGCGGTTCCAAGGAGATGTGTCGCCAATTCAAACTCGTACAGCTTGGACACTGAATAACAGGATCCAACCGCACATTGATCTCTATGCTTCAGCGGATACTTATAAAGATATTAAGAAGACATTCCCGTATCTAGTTTCGAAAGGTGATCTTTCAGCTTGGTCCATGGCAACTTTGACTGATGACAACCAGAATTCGCGTCTGGGGGAGGCGATGTATGCGTTTCCCCCCGCTCCGAACGTGCTGATGATGATATTTGAACAGGTCCCAGATTTTGTGTGGCATGTGTGCATCGAAGACGGAAAACCATTTGAAATTCAAGACAAGCCTGTGACCGTGACTCCATTCTTGGTCAACCACGGTCGGCTGTTTGTCAAGCCGGTATTAGACGCAGTTGCTGGACTGTCCATACATGATTCACAAGCGCCGCCGGAGGTTATCATACCGTACATGTGCTTCGCATTCCGGTCAGCTCCATTCGAGAACAACAACTATGTGAGCTGACGTCCACAGGATCGGGGACGAGTTTGTTTACATCTCAGACTGCGCGGCCATCCCAGACAAAGCCTGGGACTCGCTCCGCCTCAGCAGCGATAAGCAGATTCCGGTCTGTATACTCGATTGCCTGCATCTGGAGCCGCATTCGTCGCACTTTGGGCTGAAAGGCTGCGTCGATGCCGCGAGGAAAATCGGGGCCCAGCGGACTTACATGCTAGGTTTCTCGCACGATGTTGCGCATGACGAGTATGAGGCGATCGGGCGAGTCATTGGCGGGGCGGAGCCTCCCGCAGATCCGACGGAAAACGTGCGGGTGGGCATTGGCATGGTCGCAAGCTCAGAGCATATTTGGATACGGCCGGCTCATGACGGTCTCCGAATTAGCATTTCGGGCGACTCTGTTACAGACGATACATATTAGTAGAGATCATAGATGTCTTGCACAAGGAAGGATGCGTCAGGCCGGCAGCTAGCGCTCAACTTCCATGATAAATCGCTGACAAGGCAAACATTGATAGATATCTGGATCCGCAGCATTATCACTTTTGCGACCAATGGCTGACCGAGAGAGGGAACGGCGGGACGCGTGGTCTCGAGTCACGAGCAGCATCGAGCTAAGCCCGTCCATAAAGGACCAGATGTGAATGGAACTCGAATCAATTTGCGCCGACATTCTCAACATGGACACCGCCGCATTCGAGAAAGCTAACAAGATTTATGCTGCAGGATTTCAGGAGCCAGATTTACGTCGAGTGTTCAAAGATGTCATCGTTGGTAGGGCCCATTTGCTCCAGATCCTGCCTCACAAGCCTCAAATTATGTCAGTAACGTGTATGGATCCACGAATCCAGTGCGTCTCAGCCCTAAGCACCCTCCAATATTGAAATCTGAATGATACAAACAGACCGTACGAGCAGTTGGGACTCAAATCAGGCGAGGCCATCACCATTCGCAATGCAGGAGGCTCAGCGTATACATATTGCCGTTCGTAACAAGTCCCGAGCTGATTTGAGGACACAGGAGAGAAGCCGTGCGTAGCATCGTCGTTGCCCAACACTTTGTCGGTTCCAGGGGGGAGATCGCAGTCTTCCACCACACAGACTGCGGTATGTCACGAACAACGTCGCAGGAATTGCGCGTGTCAGTGAAGAAGGCCAATCCCGGAAGAGAAGACGTCGCGAATGTAGTCGACGGTATGGATTTCTACCACATCACTCATATCGAAGATTCGGTGAAAGAGGATGTCAAGTTCCTTGGGGCCAATCCGCTGGTCATCAGGGGAACCAGAGTTTCCGGTTGGGTGTACGATGTCGAGACGGGCAAAGTGAGTATTCCATAAATTTAAAGAAGAGCCAGATTGAGAAAAGCCGGCAGATTCGCAAGATTTTGAGCTCAGTCGCGGGAGAGGTCTAGAGTCGAAAGTTGGTCGTCCTCAGGTTAGAAGTACATATAGACTTGGAGTGATCGGATCAGTCGATCGATTCGATTCTTGTCTCTTGATCTCGAACGATGACTATGAGCGAATCGGACCCTGCCCAACTGGCCAAACTCGCTGCGCTGTCCCCGCCGACAGAATCTGAACAACCTGTCATTGCTGTGGATCTCGATGACGTCTTGAGTGAAACCAATACTGTGGTGGCAACTTGTCTGTGGGCCAGTCGCGAGTCGCCATCTCGCTAAACCAGTTCACAAGGGCACAATGAGAGCTACGGCACGGACATGGATCTTTCTAAATTCTACTGTGAGTTTCTGTCGGGAGCTTGCACACCCGTTCACCTTCGTTGAATGCCATACTTAGATTTCTATTGCTGGAAGGTCAGCGTGCTGCACCTCACGCCGAGTGCCCTCATAACGAATGATCAAAGAACCCTTTTTGGGGCACTCCCGAAGTGACATTCGAGAAGTTCAAACAATTCTATTCGACCGGCGTGTTATTCAGCGCCCATCCTATACCTGGCGCACGGGAGGGTATCCAGGCGTTGAAGGATCTGGGATACAAATTGGTCATCGTTACTGCGAGATCTGCGGATGTCGCCGACGCCAGCTACGAGTGGGTTGAGAAGTATTTTCCTGGTGTGTGAATCAATCTCCGTCAGCGTTCGATGGCTGAGTTCGATGTGGTCATCTCTGATAGGTCAATTTTCTAATATCGTCTTCACTGGACAGTTCAGTGACGCGAGCAAGCTACATCGCAAAGAAATTTTAACCCATCTTACAAAAGGACAGGTTCGTTTGGGGCCTTCAGTTGCGATAGCGTCTTTCAAACAAGCTTCAGATTTGCGCCAGCCTTAAGGCCCAAGTCTTGATTGACGACTCGGCGGAGAACGCATTACAAGTTTCGACTGCTGAAACGGCTACACGCGTCCTTTTATTCGGGGACTATGAATGGAACAAGAGGATATCGCTCACTGGAAATGGTATCAACCGATGCTCGCCCAGTTCTTTTCTTCCCACTCACATGGGTCTACTAGCTTCAGACCACATGTCGTTCGACGAACGCTTGGCTGCATGCGACGGCCGTGAATTCTGGAAAGACGAAACTCTTGAAGTCCCCGACGGAGCCCCGCTTGAGCGCGCAAAGGACTGGAGCGAAGTCATAAGATGGGTTAAGCGGGCAAAAGAGGAAGGCAGAATTGAGTAGATAAGATTAGATATACCCCAACCGGGGGACGGTGACTGTGACTATCTTTCGTCATAAGGTTGTGGCAGTGTTGAGGCTTCGGACCGCAATCACATGCAACTCGTTTGTATCTTACTCTGAACGGTTGGCCATCTTGGTCCCATGTCTACGTCCACTCTCAGAACGCAGCAGCTACGGGACTTGGCTGCACGCCTGGGCAAGGGATACGGATCCCATCGGCCTGCCATCCAACGCATCCTGAATGCGGGGTTTGCTCTGTATATCATCGCCTGGACGTATCGGAGCCTGTCAGGTTCCGGTGGTGGATCGAGAAAGGCTAAGGGGAAGGGAAGAGGGAAGGGAACTGGGAAAGATGGGCCTGCGAAAGCACCTCGCGTTGCGGTGCGCATCTGTCTACCTCGGAGCAACCACCCATTCATGTAGCTTATGCACAGGTCGACGCCGTCTTCTATCAGCGGCTCTCCCGAATACTAAGGATAGTGATACCGGGAATGGCGAGCAAAGAGGCGCTCTTTCTTGTCATGCACTCTAGCCTCCTCGTCTTTCGCACAGTGCTCAGCATCTATGTCGCGCACCTCGATGGCGTGTATGTCCCCTCCGCCGTACATGCTTCGCAGTCTTGACTGACTATGTGTATCATAGGATCGTGGCCAGTCTCGTTCGCGGCCAGACGCGTCAGTTCTTTTACAACATCATCCGTTGGCTGCTTGTGGCCATCCCAGCCACGTGGACTAATTCGTGGCTGAACTTCGTCCAAAGCAAGCTCGCGCTTGCCTACCGGAGCAAATTGACTAATGCAGTCTTGGGGGAGTACCTCGGGAAGGGTGCGGAGGGTGCGGATGGTAAAGTGTACTACAAACTATGTGAGTTCCTGTTCTACCACAGTCTCGTGCTTGAACACTGAACCTGTTCCAGCTAATCTCGATGACCGTGTCGTCAACGCAGACCAGTACGCCCTCATGAAGTTGACCTGCCATTGCGTCTGACACTACCCGTCTAGGATGATAACGAATGATATTCAGAAGTTCTCCGCGCATCTGGCTGCGATCTACTCTAACCTGGCTAAGCCGGTCCTCGACATGATCCTGTACAACTACCAGCTATCCCAGAACGTAGGCGCTGAAGGACTGCTTGGTCTGACTCTGCTAGTTCAGTCGACGGCTGCCTTACGTGCGTGGTATCGGACGCCGAGACTTGATACTGATGACATTGCAGTGCGTTACCTGACACCACCTTTCGGCGCATATGCAGCCAGTTCAGCCGAGCTCTCTGGGTCTTTGAGACACACTCATTCAAGGCTCGTTGAATTTGCGGAGGAGGTTGCGTTCATGCGAGGCGAGGAGACCGAGAAGCTGCTGATCGAGAGGGAATACGCGAATCTCATCAAACACGAGAACCATGTGCTCAATCGCCGGTGGTGGTTCAGCATTCTTGAAGAGGGCATCATCAAATGGTTGTGGGGCAGTTTCGGAGTGAGATTTAGAACGCGTCCTCGGTTCTTCGGGCTGACGTTTCCCAGCTGGTTCTCTGTGCGATTCCGGTCTTCGTGAAGCTCCCTGGGATCTCGCTTGTCGATCTCGGAGGGAGAACTGAAGGATTCGTCACGAACAGACGTCTGCTTTTGTCCTCTTCCGGTACCGAAGACGCGCCCTGCACCACCAACTTGAGCTGATCAACTTTTAGATGCGTTCGGGCGCGTGATGACGTCTTACAAGGACCTGTCTGAGCTGGCTGGCTACACTGCTCGTGTATCGCTCCTGCTCGACACGATGCAGGATGTCAAGGAGGGGAAGTTCAACAAAGGGCTGATTGCGAGCGCCGCGGAGGGCGAGAATGCGGAAAGTGCGTCGTTTTGCTTTTGAGAATGGATATATTGATGGACCATGTACAGTTTTGAAGGGACGAGGACAAGTTGTCGACTCTGAACACAATATCGAGTTCGAGAACGTGCCCATTGTTACCCCGAACGGCGATGTTCTCGTCAAGAGCCTGAGTTTCCACGTCAAACCCGGGGTGAGTACGACCCTCGTAATGCAGCGCATCATCGATAACATTTATGCAGCAACATTTACTAATCGTGGGCCCGAACGGTACCTGTCTTTCTCGCCAGATGTAGCCGTGTTTTATAACTATGTTGCAGGCTGCGGAAAGTCATCACTATTCCGCATTCTGGGCGGACTGTGGCCAGTGTACGGCGGAATCGTCCGCAAACCACCGGCGTCTGAATTCATCCTGATACCGCAGCGACCGTATCTCACTTTGGGAACGCTGAGGGATCAACTGATCTATCCTCACTCGAAAGCTGACATGGATGCCCGTATGCCAAATCTTTCGTTGGCAAAAGACTTGTTCTCATGTTCTTCGGCAGGCGGAATCACTGACGCGGACCTCTTCAAGATTATATCGGTAGTCAATATGGACAGCATCGTAGAACGCGAGGGGGGCTGGGATGCCACGAAAGAATGGCGAGATGCTCTTAGCGGCGGGGACAAGCAGAAGATGGCATGGGCCCGACTGTTCTATCACAATCCCAAGGTCAGTCACCTAATCGAAGATCAGAAACTGCACTCAACTCAGTCAGTACGCGATCCTCGACGAAGCCACTTCTCTTGTCCCAGAAGAGATGGAGGGCAAGATGATGCAACATGCCACTAGATTGGGCATCACTCTGTTGACCGTGTCGCACCGGCCATCGCTCTGGAAGTACCACAGTCTTATCTTGAGCTACGATGGAATGGGTGGCTATGTCTTGTCAGTCTTCTTTTGTCTTGCGTACTCAATTGCATCTAATGTCCCCTAGCACCAAGCTCGACGCCGAGAAGAGGTTGGCCCTTCAAGAAGAGAAACAAGCATTGGAGGCTAAACTCCTCGAGATGTAAGAATCTTCGCTCGCTGTCCCTGATTTAGCTAACTTGCGTGTAGTCCCAAGCTGGCCGCCAGATTAGAGGAGTTGAAGAAATTAGCTGAAAATCGTTAGTCGGTACTTGGTGGTGTTGACGGAGTCCGGACCGGATGTACCGGCGGGTCTCTTTTGTAGCTTATGTCGCTGTATATGACGTGATGACTCGGCTCCGTAAACCCCCGACTCCCCGAGTGGAGACCTGACAAAAATTGATCTGTTGACAGGGCACCTTTCCCTTGGAATCACCTGCCGCGGCACTTTGTACTATCTCTCTCTCTTCGTTCACGATCCGACATGCATTTCTTTTCCCAGTCATACAACTACGAGTGCGCATTTCCTTCTCTCTCGGTTTTGTCAGCCTCTGAGACCCCGCCCCAGACATTCTTGGTCCCACGTCGTCCTCGGGATGTGGCACAAATACCCCAATCCCAAATGCACACACGTTATCAGCATAGACGTTGTGGATCGGACGGTAGACCCGCAGACGGGCATTATTCGCACAGAGCGCATCCTCGGTTGCAAACAGAAGGCTCCGGGGTGGATCGTCAAGGTATGCCGTACCGAGTCAGACGACCACTCTTCTTACAACCCCCCGAATTCCAGCTCTTCGGTGGCTCTGAAGACGCATACGTCCGCGAGATAATATTCGTCGACCCCGTCCAACAAAACGCCTCTATCACATCCGTCAACCTCTCCCTCTCCCAATTCGCGACATGTTTCGAGCGAATAGAATATGCTCCCACACACGATAACCGGACCACATTCACGCAGACGGCAGAGATCCAAGCACGAATGGCGCTATGGCGAAGTGCTTCTGACGGGCTTGAGCAGTGGCTCGTTCAGCGATTTGAGCAGAACGCCCATCTCGGAAAGCTCGGGTTTACAGACGTCCTGCGGGCATTAGAGGAGCGACAGATGGCGACGAGTCCGGCTTAGAGGCTGGGCGCGGGATTCGTAGTTTGATTGATACACTCTATTTTTTTAGAGCGGGCGTAGACGCGTAGGCACCCAAAAGTATGCACCGCTGTATTTCTAACATTCGTGTACCTTATGTCGGTAGAGGATAATTGCACTGTAGACCGAGGCAATGAACGTTTTGACGCCCCCTTGCAATCATATTATTGGATTCTACATACTAAATATACAATGTATGAATATCAGCGACTCTCTCATTTGCCCGGAGGAACGAAATCCCGGGTCAGGTCGATGTCGCCCGCCAAATGAGTGTTCGTAAGACGAACTTGTCGCTGGCGGGGTGCTCCGCCTCGCTTGCCCTTCTTTTTCGTCGTCGGGGCGCGTATCGGTGCCTGCGCTGCCGCTGTGAGCTGCAACCCCTCTGTGAGACGGTGAGCCACCTGGATGACAGAGGAGATGGATGGATCTACCTTTGGAGAGATCTCGTCGCAATTCCACGTCGTCGGGTAGCTTCAGGCTGTGCCAGAGATCATTGAACTCTGGTTGGGAGTCAAAACGCGTCGGAGATATGCGGCAGTAACCCGCCTTTCTCGACGGGCATCCCACCGCTTTCCTCTGTTGGTTTGATTTCGTTCCAGAACACCATTCGCAGCTGACCATCCTTCACTGTCCTCGTCACAAGCACCTCACCTTCCTGTTCCAGCTCTTCGACTGCCTGCGGTGCCTCTTTCCAAACTTCCTTGAGCGTTTTCACGTGAATACCGCGTCCGTTCTTAGTGGCACGTTGTATCTCGGTCAGCAGTGCTGCTTTGTTTCGGAACGTGAATTCGTGCTGCCCAAGTCAAAGGCACCTTCAACTGGATCACAAACAACTCACCTTGTACGAGTACAGGTCGGTCTTGGCATTGTATTCGATTCGGTCGTGGCTTTTGAACTTCTCGAGCAACACGGAATCCTCTAGCAGTGGGGTACCCGTGATCAGTGCAATATCTTCTAGACGCGAAGGGTTTGGTGTCGACTGAGTTTCATTGGATACTAGCCCAACTGCGATGGAAAGGAGTACCGCACCTTCAAGTAGTCGACAGCATACACCAGCTGAGTGTTGACATTGTTCCCTGTACCTGTATCCGCCGGCTGCGACCAGACAACATCTGCCGGCGTACATCAGCGGCTGTAGGAGAGACCGCGCTGCCTATTCCCACTGGATTTTGGTCGCGCCTTCTTCTTTGTGGGCTCAGGGACGTAGTCAGGATCAGCAGAGTTGTCATCGACTGGGGGATCGGAGGCGGGAGCGTCCTTCGCAGATTTAGAGGACTTCGAGTGCCATGACGTGAAGTCTTGTCTTTTGAGAGTGTTCTTGAAGGACGCTGCGTCTTGTGCGAGCCTAGACATCAGCGGAGGACAACAGGTCCAAGTTGTCCTGTCTCGGTCTGTAACATGTTGTGACCATCAATCATATCGCACGCGTTCGAATCCCACTATGTGCGAGGTTCTGCCATTCACGGTAGGCGAACGGCAGAAATGTGCCAGGAGTCGTCTTTTCTCTCGTAAATGCTTGAATACCCTAAGAGGATTCGAAGGTCAAGCTGCCTGTGATTTGTTCACCCGAATCACTTGTGACGCAGTGAAGAGCTACGTCACATCGGGTCACGATAACTTCTATCGATCTCCGAAAACTGTAGCGCTTTTTCTTCGAAACTTTGCCACCGAGGACGGTAGAAGCCTCGTAGAGCGCGAAATTGACGCCAGTCAGTCGGATGTGTCACCAACATTCCCCTCATTCACTTCGTATCGTTTCACAGGCAGTTTTTCGTTTGCTCGCTGACGCGAACGCTCGGCCCCCATGGACGAGCTCCTCCACTACTGTCTACGCGAGCTCGCGTTCGACGGAGACCTCGGTGAGTTGCGCCGTCATGTGACGGATTTGACTATGGAAAAAATTACCTACCCGCGACTGTGTCTGCGTTCGAACCCGACCAATAGACCCCTTTTCTTGTTTTCCATTATCTTTTCTGCGCGCATTTCTTAACATTCATGTATACTCATGCTTCTTTCTGCGTCGTACAGGCTGTAAAGTCTCGCGTCTACGCGACTTCGTAGACGACTTCTACACCCGTAGTCCCACCGCGGGCGTCCAAAACACGGACGATGCGTTTCATGCTTTCGTATGGTCGCTTGTGGCTCAACAGCCCACTGTGATCATTGGCACCGTTCCTCCTGGCATCACCTCCGAAGTATGGATCGCGCCACAGACGAGTGCGCAGCGCAAGGCGAAGGAGAAGGGACAGGTCGCGAAGGTGAATGAGAGGGTGACACTAGACCTTGTCGACGATGCGAAGAATCGAACGTTACAAGATCTTGAGGCGGAGTATGGGGATAAGCTGAGAATTGCAACGGATCCTCAAACGACATACGTCGCTATCACTGGAACACATATCCACGTTCGTTACGTTTCTCGTCGCCCTCCTTCCCGCTCACCGTCCTCAGTTCCCGAAAATGAGTCCGATGGTGTATTCGGCGCTACAGCTCGTCACTCGCGGCAGAGACAACGGTATATCCGTTATCCAGCTCGGCCAGCAGTCCAAGTATGATCAGAAGACGTGCTTTTACTTGATCAAACAGCTCACGGAACTCGATCTCGTGTATGTCTCTTCATTATCACTCAATTCCATGCTGACTCCTTTCTAAGCGTGAAAGTACGGCGAGGCGGCATCAATTCCAACTTCTGTATTCACAAATACTTCTATGAACGGAGTGAAGCATGGAAATCAATCCGAGAGGAGGAGTTGCGTGCAAAGGCGGAGGATGATGTTCCTCCCCCCGCCGACAACGACGTCGATTTGGAGGAAGACGAAGCAGATCCAGAACGCTTGAAGGCGCTCGATTTCACCCCCATCGATGCGCGACATCTCTCCAGTCTACCTCTGATCAAAGCTCGCGTCCTCAAGCTCCTAAAGTCATCGAAAAATCAGATGCACGCGTCGCAGAACATGCTGATTGCAATTGTGAGTGATCTCTTCGTCTTCAATGGTGGTCGTTGGTTGAACGCACCAGGGCTTCAATCACCCCACCAAAACACACCGCCGATTTTTCACGAGCTTGACGCGTGAGATGATCCAACAGGGTGTGATGGAGTCCGTCTTTGTCCCCAATAAGAAGACAGGGCTCAATAAGCCTGGGACTAAGTGTTTTCGACTCGTGGCTGCGGATCGGGAACAAGTCGGGGAGCAGGAGGAATCCGATGTTATCGTCCAGCGGCTAGACGAAGATGACAGTAATACTCCAGGTGTGCTGCTCGTGTTTGTGTCTTAATGACCTCTGACATGTTCGTCTCTAGAGGTCGAATCCGGTTCAGACCGCGGCGGCGTCAAGATGAACTGGACAATTCACAAGCAAATGTTTTCGCTAGTGGAGGAGTCTGGGATGACTGGAATGACCCACTATGTGAGTCGCCCTTGCTCGTCTTGCTGGCGCTCCTGCCTGACGTCAACGAACCAGCAATTGTCTGATGCTTTGGGCCAATTTGATAAACGTACACTCGAGCTGTTGTTACAGCGCGCGGGGAATTTTCCACCGCCAGCTCACCTGGTCGACTTGCAGATCATTGGGCGGATGGAAAATTTTGGCCGAGAGCGGAGGCAGAGATATTTCACCGCTGCGAACTATGAAGCACTCGTCGAACAAGAGAAGCTGGACAAAGAAGCGGCCAAGTGTCTGGAGATCAACCAGGAACTTGCTGGCGGTTTCTATCCGTTTTCTGCTGAGGTGTTTCACGAGGACGAGGCTGCCTTGGTCGAGTATCAGGATCGCGACTCGCGTTCTGTGACCGGTGCCGGGCGCGGGCATAAGAAGAGGATCAACCCCCTCTTACCGGATGGAACGGTGAAAAAAGGAAGACCGAGGAAGGTTTTGGCGGAGGGCGAGACACCCAAATCGAGGAAGCGAAAGCGGGCTGGTGAAGATGTTGATGGTGAGCCGCAACAGCCGGCCGCTAAGAGAAAAAAGAAGGGCGCAGGTACGCGGTTCCTCTACTGTCACAATGATGTTGACGGTGGTGTGCTAGCTGAAGCTGATGATGCGGTACCGGTAGAGGACGTGATCCCCTCCACCGAACCACCAGCTCCCAAAAAACGTGGCCGACCGCCCAAAAACCAAGAGCCCTCTGCAGATGGGGCTCCTGCAGTACTAAAAAAACGGGGGCGTCCCTCGAAGCAGAAACCTTCAGATGATGCTATCGATGCTATAGAGAAGAAGGCGACGCCCAGGAAGAAACGGGGAAGGCAAGATGCTGAAGCTGAGGCTCCACCGATCGCAGTGTTGGACTCGACCGATGTTACGCCAGCTCCGCATGCTAAGCGCGCGAGAGTGGATCCGGTTCCAGATAACACGGCTACCGTCGTTGAAGCACTGGATGAACTGGCTGACGATGATTTGGATGGCATTGGAGAAATGGAAGTGGATATTGAATCAGGTCCAGTCCAGCCCAAGGTCGAAGCTGTCACTCAGCCCGTCCAATCAGAAGGGAGACCTGTCGATGCGGTTCTTGAAGCTCTGCCCGCTGAACCTCAAGTCGAACCTCAAGTCGAACTTCGAGTGGAGCCCCAAGTCGAGGTCGAAGTGGAAGTTCCACCGGTCGAGATTGCTCCCGTGGAACAAACGGCAACTCGAGTGAGCAGCTTCAATCAATCGTACCGAGCAGATCATGACATGTCCCAGACCCGACGAGTGAATGTGTCCAGTCTGCGCCGACAGAACGAGCTATTCCGTGTTCTGCAAGAATGCGGCGGGATTCTCAATCTTTACACAAAAGAAGTCTATGATGATCACCAAGCCTTGCTGACTACTCTCAGTCGAAATGGGGAGCCGACAAGCGCTCCGCCTGGGACTCGTCTGGACAGGCGGACTGCAGTGACCGCATTCAACGATCTCGAATCGAGGGGAAAGGTCAAGCAGCTCAAAGCGACGGCGATCAGCTCCTCGGGGACACAGCGGTTGACGAGCTTGGTCTACTTGCCAGAGATGGTGGACCAAACAAAGATCACAGCATTTGTGGCAGAGGTCGGACGGAATATGCTCACTCTCCCGGTGATTCCTTCCAAATCCGTTTTGGTCGGAGAAAGCGCTCAGATGGAGTATGGATCCAAATCACGAGCGAAGCTAGCCCCCAGTTCCAAAGCGGTCGCTCTCATTCCCCGCAAACCACGTGGATCGACTCGTGACCTGCCGACGCACGCCGAAGAATTGTTTGCCCATGACGACGAGACCGTGCGCGACGTCCTGCTCACGGAGCGAGTGACGGTCGGGCAGTTGTACGGCTTTCTGCCCGGAAAACTCATCCGGGCGCGTGAATTGCACGTCTATCTTGTCAATATGTTCGAGTCGTCGTCGGTGCAGTCCTCGATGATCGTGTCGCACCAAGAGCGGATCCTCTCCTTTTCATGGTTCTTCACGGATATGGGAATTGGGATGTACTGTGCGCTGGTGGCCACGACCGCTGTGTGTGATGAGCTCACAGATCGCTTGGAGACACGTCAGGGTCAAGCCATGTCCATCAAGGAGGCCGGACCTGGTATACATGCCGCGCTTTCGATTGGCCGGAGTCGTAGCCGAGCAAGGATAATCGATATCCTCGACACTCTCAGATGTTTGGGACTGATCACTCCGCTAGAAGAGGTATCGCCGGCTGGCCATGCCACAGTTACGTGCGCGCCGAGCGACAAGTACCCAAGCGCCTTTGAAGAGGTGACTGATGATGCTTGGAGTGCCGACTCACTTGCCTCTGCGCCGAGATTCTGGCGACTGAATTCTTCCGCGCCCCTGCATCACTGGGCTGCATCTGACAAAGCGCCGCCATTTCTGCAAAACCTGGCTGTGCAACGGTATCCTGAAGCCGTCGCATACTGGAAGCTGCTGCAGCAGGCCTGCGAGGACGAAGTTTTCCCTCCGAACGTGAACGGCGAGGCGCCTCCTGCAGGGTTCGTTGTCAAAAAGATCCGCTCTATCACACGGAAGAGTTCTTGGACAGAGGAATACGCCTTCAGCTGGCACCAGACGACCTGGATCTCCAAACAACTGGACAGGATCGGACATCCCGGGGAGGTTGCGGATCCCAACGTCCCTGCGGATGGCCAGATAGAGCGTCTCGCGTGGGTTGTCAGTGCTCCCGTGGCTGAGGTGCGGGAGCACGTGAGAACGGTGCAAGCCAACAAAGCGAGGGAGGCAGCCAAGATCGCCGACCGGAAAAGACGCGAGGCGGAGAAAAGCATGCAGAACGAGGAGGTCAAGGCTTCGTTGGCGAAGAAAGCGGCTGATGCGAGGGCGGAGCGAGAAATCAGGTGGGACGCGTTGCTGAACAAAGTGCATCCGGGCCCGATCGGGGCGAGTGCTGGCGCCAGGCTGAACAGAGTCCGCACGTTGTACATGCAGGCTGTCGTGGGCGCAAACACCTCCAAATGGGAGCACGACATACTCCAGGCCATCCAGGACGCAGGGTTCGCCAGCAGTGCTGCATCGGTCGCCGGGCTCGGGAAACGGGCGAAGCGGGCTTCGACGAGCAAGAGTTCTTCAGCTCATTCGATGCCTTCGGTTCCGGTTGCAGCCACTCTTCTGATGCCGGTGGGAGCGCCGCCAGTCGTGTCCAAGGCGGCACCCGCGAAATCTGTGGCATCGCTCGTCGCGATGCAGGGCCCAGCCATTGTTGAGAAGAGCAGGAAGAAGCAGAAGAAAATTAAAAAGGGCGCTGTCACTCTCATCGAAGGTGCGATGCTTGTTCACGCGTTTGGTTTCATGTTAGATTGACACCCGTCGAAGAGGAGAAAACACCATCTCCGTCTCCTGGCCCACGTACGCGGTTCCAATGGAACAAGGACTACGAGGAGCTGGCCAAGGACGCTTATGTGATTCTGCAGTCCCGATGCCGCTCGCGAGGCAAGCTGGATTACAGCCAGTTCAAGCAGGTCTTTCCAGCTGTTCCCCGGAACAGTATCCGCAATCACGTGAAATCGATGCGCGATGCGTCGAGCACTGCGGCCTATCTCACGCGACTCGAAGACCAGTGGCATCGACTGTGGATCCAGTACCGGGGCACGCTGTATCTGCGAGACGACGATTATCTCAGTCTGGAACCGGATAAGTTCAGTCTGGTGGAACATGTTGAGTTTCTCAGGAAGAGTATTGATAAGAATGCGCTGTGAGTGTGCCCGCCCTTTTGACCCTCCTTTCTGCTCTGACCTGCTGCCAGACGCGTTGGATTCGCTGAAGAGGCCGCCCAAGAGCAAAACACGATACCAGCCAGCCTCGAGGAGCTGCTCGACACATTCGATGTCGTCGAGGCGCCCGCTACAGTACCAGCATGGGACTTCATGTGGAGCGGATCGATCGAGGACGGGCGAGAGAAACGGGCACTGAGACAGGCCATGACGATGCGGCCCGATGATATCTTCGCCTCGGCTATCTCGGAGGAGAACGAACGCATTCCGTTGGCCGAGACGGCGCTCAAGATGGTTATGAGCGTCGCCGCTGAGAGATACGATCCAGCCGAGGCCTCTAAGCTGCTGCATGGGATCGGGCAGGATGCGGTTGTCGTTGCCCAGAAGAACCTGCTAGGACGAGGCGTGCTGTCAAAGCGGTTCAAGAATCCGGGGAGGAAGCCTGGCCGGATGCTCAGGATCTCAGATATGTGCGTTGCTTATCCTCGTCTCTGTTTTTCGTCCTTGATGATTTGGTGATTCGGCAGGAACTCTAACGCTATCGGAGGCTCGATCCCGAAAGAAACGTTTCAAGATGCGATTGGGCTGGAAGAGATATCGTCTCAGGATGAGACGTGGCGGGAGTGGCCGCTGCTTTCGACGGACGGGGACACGGCTGCTTTGCTGCAGGCTGTGTCCGACGGCAAGGTCGATTTTCGGATCGACACGAGTCAGGTGCAGGCTGCGAGGGCGGCGATTGACTGGAATAGCAAGAAAGCAGGTGCGTGGTTCTTGGTTGCCTTTCACACAGGGTGTTGATGAAGCTCGTTTGCTCAGATGATGATGATATCGAGACTGCTATATTTGTCAAATTCCACGACATGGACATGGAGGTGGAACCCGAGCGGCAGCAGTCGGACGAAAGCGCCTCACGTGTGATGCCCGTCGATCTGGAACATGAAGTGAACTGCAGAAAGGTCAACGAGGATACATTGGTTAGCTGTTCAGCGTGTCTGGCCGAGGACTGGAACGCGGTATTGTCTTCCGCAGACGATCGAGCTGTGTTACAGCTGGTCCTCGACACAGTTGAAGCCGCGGGCTCCGGCGGCATGTCCAAGCAGGCTTTGCTGGTGAGTCGAGAGTCTCTTTCTGCCATTCGGTCCCACTCATTCACTGCCACGAAGGCACAAACCAATTTGTCTGCGCTGTCCCTGCAATCTGCTCTGAAGGTCATCACCGAGGCCGCTGTGCCTCGTCTCTTTTGGTTGGGGTATTCCGAGATGGTGCTGGTCTCTGCCGCCTTCCTGGAGTCGTGGACTGTGCAGTTATCGGGAGCGACGAGGGCGTTCCCGCGCCGCTGGCTTGATTTCACAGGCTCCAAGGTGACCGATCTCTGGGAAGCTGCGCTGCGCGCTGTCATGGGTGTGTTGGTGTTCCATCCGGGAATCACTCAGGTGCGCCGGGCCCTCTGCTTTCTCTGGTAGACTGGTCCGTCTGCTGACGATCCACGCCAGGCCCAGCTCCGTTGGCGCCTGCGCTCTGTGTATGATCGACAGGAAGTCAATGAGCTCCTGAAGTACCTGCGCGATGAAGGGTTCATGGTGGTGCGAGGGTCCGGGTCTGGCTTGGACGCCGATGACGAGGAGGAGCATCGAAATTATCTGTTCGTCGGGACTAAGAGTTGGTACAGTGTCTGAAAAGTAGTGTAAGGCAACTCTAATGTACAGTAGGCGCGTTGAAGTTAGTTGAATGTCTTGTGATGTTAACAATAAGCCTGGCAGTGCTAATATCACTGAGAGTATGGAAGGCTTAGACTGAGAGGAAGGCGAGCGCGTCGGTAACGCATGTGGGTTATTTATCATTGCATCGGCGCTGCGCGTGGCAAATGTGCTCCAAAGTACAAGGGCGGATTCGCTGGACACCTTCTCCCGGGCCATTGCCGAAGGTAGGTTCGAGGGTTCAGCCTTTCGGCATCATGTGCTGATGGACCATCAGTGTGGTCAAATGAAGAGTTTGTTACCCTCTTTCGTGGAGACTTCATGACTGCCTTCTGCGTTGCTCGATTTGACTCAGATATCACTCATCAAGCACCGTATCAGTGCAGAGCAAGCGCTCCTTGTTGAAGCGATGCGCATATACCATCAGCTTCCTCTGGGTTTCCTATTCTTGAGCCGCGGCCAATCACTCTTGATAGCTTGATATCGTCTTATCTCTGGTAGCCCTTCATAAGCATGGACTTGCCGATAGCGACGAGCTGAAGCTGTTGCTCTCCTGAAGTGTCCATGTTTGCCGCCGCCGCCACCGCCATCACTCTTGTCCTGCCCTTGGTTGCAGCATACCAGCATCACCTCCACGACGCGGTCGCCGTCGCGGACGTGACGACCGAGGAATGGTACAAGAAGTTCGGCCCCCAGGCCGACCTGCCCTTTAGTGGCCCAGCGAGCTTCAACCACTTCCCCTACGCGCGATGCCTGGAGGACGCCCGCGATGCATTTGACATCGCCATCCTGGGGTTCCCGTTCGACACCACCGTCACGAACCGCCCCGGTGCGCGCTTCGGGCCGCGCGCGATACGGATCGCGAGCGGGAGGGCTGGGTATACGCTGGCATGGGGCGCGAGTCCGATGGACTGGGGCGCGCGGATCATGGATTGCGGAGATGTGCGTCCGCGTTGATCCGTCTCTGTCGACATGCGTTGAGCTGCGGGCAGGTGCCGCTGTCGGCATTTGACAATGCGCAGGCTTTGGACCAGATGGAGGTCGCGTATTCTACGCTGCTTGGTCGGCCGGTACAGGGAGAGACCAAGTCCAGTACGGCTGCTTTGTCGAAGGATGGGAGAGAACACCCGCGTATCGTCACGCTTGGGGGCGACCACACTATTGTGCGTCCGCTTCATAGATCTTCTTCGTATCGTCTCCTGATTTGTGGCAGGTTCTACCCATCCTTCGCTCTCTCCACCAAGTGTACGGTCCAATCTCTGCAAGTCTCTGATGGTCGTGGATCCCTGCTTCAACTGATCCGTTCGCAGGTCATCCACTTTGATGCGCACTTTGACACGAGCATGATCACCACTGACGGTCCTGGTCGCCTGCACCACGGCTCGTATTTCACCATCGCTCATGAGGAGGGACTGTTATCGAATACGAGTATCCATGGCGGAATTAGGCAGCATGCAAGTGCTAGAATCTCCGCTTCGGCTCCAGACCTGACAGTTGTTCAGAAAGAGAGGTCGATTATCCCCCATGACGAGTCCCTTGGCTTCGCTGTGATCACCACCGAAGATCTGGACGACTACGGTCTCGAGGCCGTGGTGAAAACCATCCGCCGACGAGTCGGAAACACCCCCGTCTACCTGAGGTGTGTCTGTCAGGTGGTCCTGACCGTATCCGCTCTTGAACTTTATGCAGTCTGGATATCGACACCATTGACCCCGGAATGGCCCCTGCCAGTACGTCTCCCTGACGTTCTTTCCCAGCCGTTCATCTAACTGGTGCGTAGCGGGCACTCCTGTTGACGGTGGCTGGAGCACACGCGAGATGAAGCGGATCCTGCGGGGCCTGTCAGGGCTCAACTTTGTGTGAGTGACTCTGGGCATGTACGTGTCTGCTCTGACACTGCAGAACCAGTGGATGCGACGTCGTCGAGGTTTCGCCGGCGTACGATGTCGCTGAGATCACGTCTAGAGCGGCTGCTGGGTTTGTCAACGACTTTTTGCAGATGATGCAGATGGAGACGCCGCCGAAGCCGCACTCGGGGCCGTTTCTGGAATGAGTCGACTAGAATTTGAGTTTGTGCATGACCATTAGAGACGAGCAATAGTCTGCATGTCAGACCATGAGTGCGCGAGTGGGTGATCGGTCCTGATAATTTCTGAGTCCATTGAATGATTCCCAGCTTCATGCGCACACCCAAGCTATGGATAGCAGATCCGTTGAGACAATTGTGCACAGAAGGTTGTCTTCATCCTACCTTTATCAGCCTAGAGCGTGCAATGAGAATATATCCCCGCTTAGCTCAGTTGGAAGAGCATCAGACTGTAATGTTAACCTTGTGATCTGGGTGTCGCCTGTTCGATCCAGGCAGCGGGGATGTCTTTTTGAATCTGTCCCTTGATAGCTATCCATTCTTATCCGATGGTGCATCCTTGGTGTGGTTCGCCTTGCCATCATTGGACTGTAATCATGTTCCCCTTTGCCATTTACTGACTTGACTTGATGGTGTGCCGACCCATTCATTTCAATAATCTATTGAGGCTTTGAATGCCCCCTTGATGGGTTGTTGACTGATTTCAGAGCAAGGTTTATGACGGTGGTCGCCACAGTCGTCCACTGGCTCCAGCTTTATCCTGATCTTGGAACCCGGCCAGTCTCGTCAAGGAAAAGGTCGGCCAGAACGCGCGAGTTCATATCTGGATCAAGCCTCGATCATGAGGCTTCGAAGAATGATCGAGATGATGACGTCTGCATTACGTGAAACCCAAATTCTCTGCCGGTCATTCGCGTGTTCTGTCTCACTCAGCCTTGCCGTTCTCCCTCATGCAAGTTGCCGGCTAGAGGTTGGCCAGACTCAAATGAAGTTCTTCTCGCAATCCTACTCGTACGAGTGAGTGGTCTGCTCGTTCCTGAACTCATCTCTCATCTCTCTCCCAGCGATTCGTGGCCAATTGTTACACTCGCTTTCTTCCTTCGCTATCCCAACCCATACGCTTCTCATGTTCTTTCGTGCGATGTTGTCTCTCGTTCTATCACGCCTACCGGCTCTCTCTTGACCACTCGCCTCATTCTGAAGCGGGGGGCCATGCCGCGTTGGTTTCCTCAGGGCATCGTCGCACGCGCCGAGTCGTGGGTCGTGGAAGAGACCGAGGTCGATCCTGTAGCACGGACAGTCAAATGCAAGACAAGAAATCTGGACCATGTGAAGGTCATGCAGGTGGAGGAGAGTGTCGTATTTCGTTCCCTCTCTGATGGGTGAGAACTCATCTCCGTGCTTGTTGTCATGCGTCTCACGGTCCACATAGCACTACTCTGCAGCACACGGAGGCAGAGATACGTAGCCGGTTCGGATGGGGGCTCACCAAACGAATTGAAAACCATGGTCTGAACAGGTTCAAGGCCAATGTTCAAAAGGTGCGTAATTCCGAATGCCAGCAATCCATCGACATTGACCGATTGGCAGTCGCGTGAGGGTGTTTCCATGATCGTACAGCTCTTGCGCCAATCCAGACTTCAACCCATGGGAATGGGGGTGTCAGTCGACGTGCCTGTGTCCTTCATCGAACCCCGATCCATCTCCACCAATGCCGTTGGAACTATTGAGCACTCCGGCGACGACAATCACGAGCCTGCTAGCCACGTAAATCGTCCCAAAAACACATGGTCCCAGTCTCTCAAGTCGTGGTTCTCACCCCCCCGCTCAAATTGACCGACAGACCGCTGTACTTGTATCCGTCGCATACGATAATTTGCTGTATCAGTATTAGTTTAGTGAAAGAACAATCCCTTGACACCTTTCGAACTATGAACGTGTGCCGGATCTTTCCTGGTTCTTCTCTCTCATCTTGGCCGACGGTTTGAGCTCGCGACACATCGCCGCCGCGGCTGCCCGACATCCGACTGTCAACCCACAGGAGTTTACGCGAATCTTCATGTCTTTCTCATGTACTTTCCTACAACAACAGCTCAACAGCTCGCCTCCATCCCCGCCCTTCCGAACATCCCGCCAGAGACAGAAAAGCTCATCGCCCTTGTTCCTAGTCCGAAGAAATCACTCTTTTGCACGCTGAGTCGGACCGGCATTTCCATATGGCGTGTCAGGGTACGTTCAAGCGCCACGTCCCCAGCTATTGCAGATTGCCTGACGACCACCTCCAGCCCTCAGCAGTCCTAGCATATCTTTCTCGGACGCCGGCGTCAGTGCTTGACCACGGGGAGAACGTCGCTGCGCACTGGGCGCCAGATGGAGGCAGAATCATCATCCAGGTTCAATGCTCCCAGGTCCTCCGGCGCGGAGCACGTCGCTGACTCGCTTTTATATAGACATCTCTATCCTATCTAGTTCTCGTCACCGTCGTTTATCAGGCCGACAGGTCGATCTACGTCCCTCCATCTCTTCCCAGCTCCAGTCGAAACTATTTTCTGCCCGGCCCAGGCGAAGGACTACCTCTGCAGTGTGTCAGCTTACGGTTCGAGGGCGTTATTCGCGTCAACGGGGGGCTCTTATGGTGCGTTGGCTGTGGTTTATGATCTTGTTGCTGAGCAGAACAGTGTATCTCCACGCAAGCAATTTATCTTATTCTCGACCAAAAATCCTCCCACGGTCCAACGCATACCATGGCCAGAAGTGGAGGACGACGACGAGGAAGAGGAAGAGGACGACGAAACCGGGCAACCGCGCAAGGTCACTTTCGCGACGCACGAGATGTGGTCTTGCAACGAACACGAGTTCAATTTCTTCGTTGAGAGCGACGGTACGTTGCCAGACACGGACCTTATATCACACTGACTTTGGCTCAGTCCCTGTGACCAAAATCCTGCAATCTCGGACTCCTGGTGTGGAGACCTGGATCACGTCGGATGGAAGAGCTTATTTCGTCACGCTGAACGAGAGTACGAGCGAAGAGAATGGGGATCAAGAAGTGAGCCAGACCGTGCTAGTCCTCTATCGTCCTCATCGAACGGCGTCCCAGTTTGGCTCGAGCGAATCTAAACCAGCGGCAGCCAAGCCTAGATGGCAAGGCGTCGCCATTCACGACTTCGAAACCCCACGATGGGTGCAGAAGTCGCGTCGCGTGGATCCTGATCCTGAGCACGAGACTGATCAGGAATCGATATCTTCGGGCGCCGCGAGCATTGTCAGCAAAGGAACGGAGCGCGCCATCTACGACGAGCCGCGTCGCGCAGTAGCAGTCGCCATTAACAGCAAGTTCTCGCTCGTCGCGGTGGGTATGTCGGGCGGCGGTGTTCGGTTCACGCCCTTCCCCTCAGATTTCTCGTCGGCGACCCCACCCCCGATACCTGTCGACGTTCCGGCGCAATTGGGTCCCGTTTGTTCTATGGAGTGGAGCGGTGACGGATATGTGCTGGCGGTTGGTTCGCAGAATGGCTGGGCGATCTTCAGTGTGGGCGGTCGATGTCTGGCTCGGAGTGTAGCCCTCGAGGATGCTGACAAAAGTCTCGACACTTCCAAGTGCGTTGTCCCTACCGTGGGTTCCCAACCTGAGCTGATAGGTGCCGCGCAGATTCCAGGACACCTTCATGTTCGGTGTCAGGGATCTGGTCAGTCATTCCAGCAACAATATCACCCTACAACTGACATATTGCAGTTTTGGGCACCTGGGAACTTTGAAATGGTTGTGTGTGCCCAACCGTCACAGCAGCGTGAGTCTGAGTCTCGTTCATTGAGGACATCACAAGTCTGACAGAGATGCAGAAGTTCACGGTCAGCTGTTTGTCATCCCTTTCGCGAAGAGCGCATCCACGGGTCAGCTGGCACCAGACAACACGCGCTACGCGTTTCTGCAAATGGATGACCGTGCTCTGGTGTACCGAGGAGCTGATCAACCCGACATGAGCGTCATCAATCCAGAGTCCGATGTTTGGCAGCATATCAAGGTATGCTAGGTCAACACTAGCCTGTCTATATGCCTCACACTTTTGTTTTAGATTCCACAGAGTTACCTCGCCACCAACTGGCCAATCAGATATTCGTCCCTCAGCAGCGACGGTCGTCTGATTGCCATAGCTGGGCGGCGAGGCCTCATTCACTACAGCTCGACGTCTGGACGCTGGAAAATGTTCGCGGACGAGATCCAAGAGCAAGCATTCATAGTCAAGGGCGGAATGGTCTGGTTCCATCATGTTCTCATCGCTGCTGTCGAGGTAGCCAAGACATATCAGGTCGGTCTCACTCTTAGTGTTGGACTCAGTTTTGCTCATGCACCCAACAACAGCTTAGACTTTATTCGCGAGATTTGGAACTCAGCAACCAGCACGTGCTCCACCGTGAAATCGTCCCGAGCCCTGTTGTCATCCTTTCTCTGGTCGACAATTCGCTACTGGTTTACACAGCTGACAACACGTTGTATCACTATCTCATCGTCCCGACCTCGGACACGATCAAGCTGCATCTGTGTGGCAGCATCACGTTTGAAGGGATCATCGCTGCGCCGGGGGCAGTTCGCATGCTGAGTTGGATGATCCCCACTGCTCAAAAGCGTGAGTGGGCAAACTGCCACATCTACTCGTGTTTTGACGCCTGTGTTCAGAACTGGGGGATCCGGTCGAGGATCTTGCTGCGGCGACTGTGCTGATGGTGGTAGGCGGCCAGCTCATTCTGCTCCGTCCTCGAAAGGTCAAGTCTCTCTTTCGCACCAGTGAATGTTCGCTCATCGTATTCCAGTCAGGCGACCAGGAAGTCAAGTATGACATGCAGATATTTGCAGACAGGATTGAGTTCTGTTGGATCCACTTGCGAGGGATCGACACACTCGAAAACTCGCTATGGGCCTATGACGGACAGGGCATTCGCGTTTGGTTGAACGCGTTGGCGATCGAAGCTCCACAATCACAGGATCAGGATAATACCGTCAAAGAAAGTGTGAATATCCCGCTTGACTTTTATCCACTCTGTTGGTCTAGATTCATCGATTGAAAGTACACTCAACTGACGTACTTTCCCAGCTGTTCTGATGGACAAGGGGATCATCATTGGTGCGGAGTATGAGGTCGCGACACGCTCCAATCTGCCGTTCGCCATATTCCGACATGCCACGAGTGTGAGATTGTTTTCAATCCGGTGTCGGCTTTCTGCTAACCCAGGGCACAGTCTCATCTTTTCCTGCACCACATTCTCCTGTTCCATCTACACGCGAATCAGGTCAACGAGGCGGTGAGCCTGGCGTCCTATTACCAGAAGCTCGTCTTCTTCGCCCATGCATTGGAGATTCTCTTGCATACGGTCGTGGAGTCGGACGACCACGAAAACGACCGTGCGGAATCTGAAGCACATGACGTGCTCCTGCGTACCGTCGTCGAGTTTCTGGATCATTTCGATGCCGCGTTGGATGTGGTCGTCGGTTGCGCTCGGAAGACTGAAATGACGCGGTGGAAGCGCTTGTTCAACATCGTTGGAAACCCAAAGTTGTTGTTCGAGGTATTCGCATTTCCCCTCTCGGTCTCCGTTCGCTTTCCTTCTAACGATCTCACGCAGACATGTCTCGAATCTCAGCAACTCAAAACGGCCGCATCGTATTTGCTTGTGCTGCACAATCTGGAACAGCTGGACGAGAAGCACAACGACGTCAATCGACTGTTGCGGACTGCGGCGGCCGCAAAAGACTGGCAGCTCTGCCGTGAGCTGCTCCGCTTCCTGCACAGCGTGGATGACTCGGGTCGAGCACTCCGAGATGCGATGGAGCAGATCGATCTCGACGGCACACGCGACGGGAGTGGTGAAGGCACGACTGTAAATGGGAACGGAGGATGAACTCATCTCGGACTGGCACTGGCTGGGTATTTATCGTTATCATTGGATGTAATTATAACATCGCGCTGTATGATTGTGTGATTAGATTAGATGACTGGATTGGCTTCATGATCGACAAGGGACGAACACATGCGTCGGACTGCAATCATCTGCTTCGCGTGATAGACCGACTCTTGGCTTGCTTGTCTACGTCCCTCCCAGCATGGTACCCTTTCGCGCCCTCATCTCCCGCTCACCCCGACTGAATCTATTCTCAAGACAGACGATATAACGTACACTCCCGAAGGGGCGGTGTCGATCACATACCAGCAGCTGCTTTCCTCCCCGCTTTCGCTCGGCAAATCCATCGGTGCGTATCCAGGATCTCCCGCGTCTCAGACCTAGCACTCATCGGCCGCCTCCCCCATTTTGCTCTCAGAAAAGGCCTTTGGATCCGGGCCCGACAGTCTGGGGATCGTCGTCGTGCGAGGTTCGAAGCCGATCGTCCAGCGTCTCGAGTCTGATTGACTGACCGACCCCGCCTCTGTTGACATTTAGATCTCCCAGCGACGTATGTAGGCTACCGCGAGCGTCTCCTGAAGGCTAGTAACCATGCACGCGCGTTCTGAATTTGGGATTGACGAAGACACCATAGCTGGCGTATGCATTCGCGACGCTGGACGAAGCGACGCGCGAGAAGTACGCCGACGCCTCGAGTCGGTACAGGTACGTCGTGCCTGTCGTCTCTATACTTCATCGCCCTGACTTCGCGCGCGTAGCTTTGGATGGAGCCACGGAAAGGTGCGGTCACATCCCGCACATCCATGGGCTGATGGCTGAGACGTGCGGGGTGGGCAGGAAATCATGAACGGTAAACCCGATCTTCTAAAGGGCTCGTACTACGCCAATCCCGTGGTCGACAAGCCTGACGTGCCAGAGGATCTGAGGCAGGAGTATCCTGAATACCACAGTCACAACATCTGTGCGTCTCGTCTACCATATCGGGGTTGAAGATCTTCCCGTTCATCTCATGCATGACAGGGCCTGCGGCGGATGAACGTGGTGTGGAGGGTTTTGAGGGGGCTTTCAAGCAACTTGGCCGGTAAGATGCCTCCGAGGCTCGCCGTCGTTTTCGAACTCTGAACGTCAACTTAGACTCATCTTCGAGATTGGATGCCAACTCGCGGTCGCCTGCCAGCCTTTCGGTGAGCCTCCCCGCAACCACAGAATTTGTACCCTGTCCGCTCACCCGCTGGCACCGGCAGCCCTCTCGCAGCTGAACGACACCAGCATGTCGCTCCCGGAGCTCATCAGCACGTCCAACACGTCCAAGGCGCGCCTGCTGCACTACTTCCCGCCGCCCGAGCAGACTGCTGCGTCGTCCGGTACGAGCGACGAGGCAGTGGACGATTGGTGCGGATGGCACCTGGACCACAGCTTGCTCACGGGTCTCTGTTCAGTGCGTCCAACCTTTTGCTTGCTCGGTGCCCGCAGTGATTCTATCGCACTCACAGGCGATGTACCTGCAAGAGACCGACGCCGAGCCCGCGATCGTGCCCTCTCCGTCTCCGGCATCGGGGCTGTACATCCGGACCCGGGGCGGCAGTCTCACGAAAGTCGCGATCCCGGCGGACTGCCTGGCGTTCCAGACGGGCGAGGCCCTGGAAGTGGCCACTGGCGGGCGTCTGCGCGCGACGCCGCACTGCGTGCGCGTGGGTCCCTCCGAGGTGCCTGGGGCAGCGAAGATCAGCCGCGAGACGTTCGCGTTTTTCCTGCAGCCGGATGTGAACCAGAACCTGTCTGACTCGATGACGTTCGGGGAGTTCAGTAAAAAGATATTCGACGAGCATTACGACGATGTTCAGAAGTGATTCGAGTAGAGTGGCGGAAGAACGTAGAAAAAACCTTGTTGGATGAGTATTAGGAGTACAGAATGTGTATGTATATGGGCAGTACATCTAGCATATCTAGTCATCAGCATTAGCTCGGCGTGTCGTTGCCTGTCGAAACAGTGCGTTGTCGTCGTGAAGAAGAGGGCAGCACAGACATGACCCCCGTCACAGCAGCAGCCAGGCTGTTCCGCTTCGACGGCCGCTCCCGTTCTCGCTCCCGAGGCACCTCGCTGTGCTGTGAGCTGACCGACATCCGCCGGGTCTCGTAGTCGGAGATCACGCTCCAGTCCTCGCTGCCGGCGGGTGCCGACCCACTCGAGCTGTACCCCGACTGGCTCTTGCGGATCGTCGAGTGCTCGGGGTCCTCCGTGTCTTCGTCCGAGTCCGCAGCGCGCTTGATCAGCGACCGCGCATATTCCATGTCCCGGTAGATCGACTCGATGGCCGTCGCCACGCCATCTTCGCCCCGGATATTCTCGCCCATCAGGCGCGCACGGTCAACTTGCTTGATGTCCGTCGTCGCAGAGACGAGCGCGTCCGTCAGCGTCTCGACGGTCAGCTTCCTCACACCTGTCCCCACACCAAGGGCCTCGACCCGGTCTGCCCAGAAGAACTGGTCCCCGAAGAACGGGCGGATGATCGTCGGGATCCCAGCGCGCAGGCTGGCTCCAGTCGTGCCGGCCCCACCGTGATGACAAGCAGCATCGATCCGTTTGAACAGCCAGTCATGCGGAATCGAGGAGATCGGATAAATCTCCTTCGGCAGAGGTTCTTCGGGCTCGGACGCATCCTTGTCTTGCAGCCGATCAGACCAGCCTTTGGAAAGGATCGCTCGCACGCCACTGCGCAAGACAGCATCGACGACGCAACGAGTCATGGCTTTGGGATCCGATACAATGATGCTTCCAAAGCCGATGTAGACCACTTTCTTTCCCTCCGCATGGGCGTTGTCGATAAACGAAACAAGATCGGCTGGCGGTGTCCATTTCTTCGCACTGACGTCGGCCTCCTCGAGAATCCAATACCCTATCGGCATAATTAGCAGATGCGTGTGTGCTTTCACGGGCCCGTCATACCAGTCACCCGAATCCACTCTGGCCAGTCCAACGGAGGAGGCACGATATGAGGGCTGAAGTTGTAAAGGAAAGGAATCTTGTGGGGCTCCATCTTGTCTAGATTTGTGCTACCCAGATTCAGTGTATTGCGCCGCCAGCGATTGATTTGTCCCGAAATGGCCCGCCAGAACACCTGGTCAAACATGACATAGGTCATATAGTTGTAGCCCCCGCCCATCTAGAACACGTGAGCCTACTGGCAGCTCAAAAAGAGATAGGTCTATGTACCTTGCGCTCTGGCACAGCGAATGCGTGTGGATAAGCCCTGGTGCGCGTCCAGGTCATGGTGAACGCCCGGAAGTACGGGATAGCCAGCGCCTCGGCAATGTGATATCCCCCCATCGCACTCGGACTCTCGATGAGCACGTCCGTGCCTTGGCAGGCATCCCACGACTTGAGCAGCAGATCGTCCAACCATCCCCGGAACTTCTGCAGACCCTCCTTCAGGAACGAAACGGTGAACGTCCCGTTCTCGATGCAGATGCGCATCAGCTCAGCAGGGTCTCCGCCCACATTCCCGAATTCGATCCCGTGCGCTTCGATCCAGTCCTGGAATTCACCATGAGTCGCAATCCGACAACGATGCCCATCTGCCATCAGGCCCTTCGACAGTGCAATGTACGGTTGCACATCACCCCGGGATCCAATCGTCAGGAACGTGAAATGGAGACTGCGCCGCGGTTTGAACGTCAGGAAAGTCGACGATGCGCTCGTGAACATCAGCGCCGGCAGCGAATCGGACATGCTTTCGCCCGTGGGAAGGTTGCTGATCGAGCTTTCAGGCCCAAACTCTTCCAGAATCAGCGCATCGCGTTTGCCAGGTGAGACCTTGTCCCCGAAGGCCTGTCTCCTTCGCGCGTCGTCCATCTGGCGCTCGAGCAAGGTCCGGAAAGCCTCGCGTTTGTCTTCCCCACCGAACTCGAAGAACAGTTCTTCGTGGCCTTTGACAATAATGATCAGCCCATGGTGGCCGAATCGGGTGGCTTTCGTCTTCTCTGCAGACAGAATGTCGCGGATCGGAAGCGTCATCTAATGTCAATCAGTCACGTCAAATTTCGACTCAGTCAGCTGCACTCACGCGGGTCTTTGCAGTGAGCGGTCCAGTCGACTTGAAGCAGAAATAATTAGTCGAGATATACAGCCGGCCAGGGACCGGGAGAAGCCGGAATAAGTAGCCGGGGAAATCTGCGGAAGTTGAAGACTGGAGCGCAAACAGAGACCACAAGCACTCACATCCGAGGAGAGTCTCCTTCTCGTCATACGCAAAAACAGTCCTGAACTTGTCCTGCATCTCCGGATCGGGTGCGCCGTCTGGTGTCTCCAGCACACTGAATGCGAGATCCCCCAGCCCGCTGCCCCTGCTCGTGGGCACAGCCGGCAGCGACGTGGAATAGACCTCTCTCACGGCCGACGGGTCAGAGGAGCTGCCTCCGAAGACTCTCCGCGGACCACGCAGCCAGGACGGCACTCCCATGCCCATGCTCCACCCGCTAGCACTGCTCTCGCTATTCAACGACGGGTCAGTTCCATCGCGGCACGGAGAAGGGGACGGAGGGTACGTGTGTTCATGTCCACTGTTGGCGGTGGCCTCCGGCCCGGGTTCGGAGACCGGTGAAGCCGTCGGCACGAACGACCCAGCGCGTTTCGAAATGTGCGTGAATGCTTCCGGCTCAGACGCTGGGGCCGATACCGTCGGCCGTCCGAGTGAGATCCCTTCCTGGAATGGCCGCAGCAGCGACGAGATGCTGAACGACGGGATCACTCGTGGAGGTGTCTGAGTGGTATCAGGCATGCTCTGCACCCGCTCCGGATGCCGCGGTGAGGTCGTGTCCATCAGAGCCTGCGGCGAGCCTTGCTCAGGTAGAAGACGGTGGGTCCGCACTGCATCACGAATCTGGTCCAGCGCCGTCGTCAAGTCGCTGAAGTACGCGAAGAAGTACGAGTCGATCGAGAACTGGCCCTCCTTGTCGAACACCTTGACTTCGATCGTCTCACTGAAGTCCATGGCAGTCGATTTGTCGACATCCAGGATGGCAGAATAGGGAATGGCAATCTTCACACTGTCCCCTGTGTTCTGAGCCTTGAAGATGACTTTGCGAATCGCCTTGACCCATTCGTCGCGACTCGGTGCAGAGGGTGCAGACAAAACGATCGTCTTCGCGTTCGTTCGCACCTGGAAATCCCGATCATTGATCGCGTCACAGCCCATCGCCCATCGCAGATCAAGAATGCCATGCGGGAAATACGGATCGGAAGAAGACTGGTACCAGGAGAGAGCATCGTTCTTCAGCACAAACCAGTGCTTGACCCATCGCTTCGTGCGCTGCGCTTTCTTGTTCAGAGAGCCCGATTTCAGAACTTGGTCCTGAGATGAAGTTAGCAAGCGGAGATACAGACGGTCAGCCATCACATACCTCTCTCGCTGGGACGTGTGCAAAGAAGCAGAGATATGAGTTCGTCAAGTACATGAATCCTTGCAGCACTGGGTCCACTGTTTAGTATTCACCGTGCAATCCATTCAAAAAAATCCACTTACGGACTGAGCGCAACAGCCAACACGGTAGCTCAGACACCACTTCGTCGATCGTGTCCAATTCAAAGATCTGCCTCAGCTTCTGTGCCAGTCGTGCTCTCCTCTGCAACTTCACAGTCGCCACGCTTCCGGTCCGCAGCATGCTAGGCGGGATCGGTGCAGAGTTGCTGAGCTGCAAACGCTCATGTAAACGTAACGGTCGTTCGGCGTAGGGCGGTCGTGGTGTGGTATCCGGTTCGAAATCTTCTACGTCCGGCTCCTCCGAAGAGTCCGGTGTATCGGATGTGGCTTCCTCCTCGCTCAGAGTCGACTGGTTGTAGGATGGCAGCCCTTTCCTCCGACCGCTCAGAGCTGTAGAGCGCTGGGAACGATATATTGTGTGGATGGATGAGGCGAGGCGATCGGCTAGATGCGGCGTCGAACGAGATCATCGTCATAGGATCGATATCACTCACGTCCCTTGGGCCTCTCCTCTTCACTATCGGAATCGGGTATAGAACCGAGAGACGGTAGAACATCTCCATCTGCGTCTTCGTCAGCTTCCATCCATGGTACAGCTTGCAGTGCCTGAATGAGCGTTTGCGTTCCGGCACGCATCTGCAACACGTTAAGCGCTGCCGACATGAGGTGATGTAAGACTGACGGAGCCTCCACCACGAAACGAGTCATTGAGATTGAAGGTGGGACGAGTCGGTTTAAGCGAGGGAGAGGGTGGGGTGATGAAGGGAGAGTCGTCATTGAGCTGATCAGGAGCTCCCCTCGGTGAAGCTGGCTGGGATGCGCTTGGAGTGCTAGCAGCAGACGAAGAGTAGGAATCTGAATACAAGCGCGGTTGAGAAACGTCGATAATGCCGGCATGGGACGAAAAATGGAACGACTACAAGGGGAGTCACTGCGGACGCCACCCCCGTAATACGATTGCGGGATGGGTACCACGGGACACAGCAACATGATAAGAGCGAAAAGATTTAGTACGCACCATTTGGATCCTCCTCTCGCTCCTTGCCCTTTCGACCGCTCCCTGGACCTGCCTTACGGCTCAGGCTGAATATACGGCGATGCTTGGGTGACGTTGTCTGTGATGACGTCCCACTTGCACCCTTGGAAGGGGAGCCGGACGGCGGTGTACGCGCGCTCAGACTGCGCCCGAGCTTGTTAACGGTCTTCTCCATAGAGTTTGACAAGCGCTTCGCCTTGCTGCTGCGCGTGCGGTCCTCTGATAGGCCCAATGTGTCGGGAGAGGTGTCCACAAGGATTGCAGGAGACACAACCGAGGGTATGTGTGCCATACTGGCACTCGGGGCAGTAACAAGTATTGCACCCAATGGAATGCAAGAGGAAGCTGAAGACGTCTAGGAGAGGCGAGGCTCGTAAACAGATACACGTCACGTTCCCTGTTAGCGTCACAAACTAGGCCGCTCATTTAGATAAGATAATGGGCAGATCTGGAAGTGATCGGATCAGTGGCGTAGATGCGCGGTGTGCACGGTTTGTGCTGAGGTCATAACTACGGAGCGAATGAGCCAGAATGAGCCCATGCAACCATCATCAAGGCCTCGAGGCTCCGGTCATTGCAGAGACCTGATGTCTATGAAACACTAATACACTCTCTTGTACAACATGTGATCGCGGCTCCGCTTGGAACCATTCTAATGAGCTGTAACAGCCAACAGGACTCTGGCGTTCAAGAAAGACAGAACTGTGGACGCCCACAGACGGCTCTGGGATCAAATACCCAGACAAATGCCGCCAAACGGTCGTCCCAAAGCGCCAAGACCTTATATGCTCCGATAGTCACGTGTCTTCACGTGCGAACAACGTTGCATTCGCGCGTCAGCCTTCAAGTGCCAGTGGTTTCCGAGGTGTGGTTAGCGCCTCTCTCGTCTCTCTGTTATTACTATGCGCGGTGAAGTCTGTGTGGGATCAGCTAGTATCCTGTCGTATGTTTTCTCTCTGAGATCGTACTCTTTGCTCAGCGCCGTCCAGCATCGCATCCCTGCTACTTTTAATATTCGTCCATGTCAGCTCACTTTTGACGTCAGTGGAAGTAGCTAGGAGCTGAATGCAGTGTGTAGATTGGTCAAACGAGCACTCACGGAGCACCTGGGTCTATATCATTGGTGCGTTCCGCCTGGTCTAATCAGTCAGCAACCTGGATTGATTGTACGCAGGTCAAGATCAATGTATCTGATTATGGGTTCGTACATGCCTTCTCCAACTCCATGTCGCCATTCCAAACCATCAATTGCTATCAGCGCCTCCTTGAACGCAGCCCTGTTTGACCCTATCGACGGTTTATATACGAATAACGCCTCCGCCCCGCTCAGTGCGGGACACGGTCTACGACAATCTTACGCATTCGGTCTCTACTCATTCTGCGGTTACATCAATGCATCGCATGGAACGTGCTCGAACCACTCCATCCAGACAGAGTTCACGCCTCTTGACGCACTGACGGGGGACATGTTACCCAACTACACCGATGTGACCAGATTCATCTTCGACGGGACGCCATTTGCAGATTCGGGCTCATTTGCTCACTCCTCGCGTGCCGCATACTGGATGATCTTCTTGGGCACCATCTGTGCTGCGTTGTCAATTCTAACGTGCGTGGATCGTGCACTTACTTACCTTGTATCGCAGCTTACTCGTTACCCAGCGGTGTCGCCAAAGCTTATCTGACTTTCTTCCTATCTACCATATTTTCCTTCCTTGGCAGCATATTTCTGCTGGTTGGTGCGGCAATCTGGACTGCGATGATACACAAGGCGCAATACGCCAACTCCATCCGCATCGGAACAGCCGCAAATCCTGTCAATGTTCATGTCCAGGTATCCGTCGGAATAGGAATCGATCTACTTTGGGCTGCTTTTGCGGCTCTGTTCATGTCCGTGGTTCCATATATGATCAGGTACTTGAATCACTTCTTCTCGTCTACGACTTTCCTGATGAACGCAGTTGCTGTACGTGGCGAGGATAATGAGCGGCGTGGATGCAGGACATCTTTAGCAAATGCTTCACATAAATATCTTGACGAATGATATCATGTATCTGTTTATTTCTCACATAGAATCTGCAATGAACTCCCTTTACGGGACTTATCTTATCTGTTTGTGTGTGCGATGTTGCTGATTCATCAAATTTTGTCATTCACGCGATGACTGCTCTTTCTCTTGAACGCCCATGTCTATAAACGCGATTCAGCAACAAAACCTGGAAGATGCGTCAACCATAGTGTCAGAGTTCATATATAGTCAGTGGGTACACGCTTATCTGCAACAAACTTCTCAACCCCGTACCTTAGGTCTGGACAATCTGCCGAACGAAGTCGCACATTTGTTGCAGGAAATTCGCGAGAAAGATTCCAAAGTCCAGGGTGTGTGCCACTTTTACTGTTTATTGCTCGACTAGACTTACCTCTGTCTAGAATTACAGCAAGAAATCGATCGCGAAACCTCTCGTTACATCCGACATGCCCTGAAGCCCTCTCCAACACCCGTATCCTCTTCTCCCTCCCCGGCATCTGGCTCAAACCCCACGGCTTCGAGGGACCCCTCACCCAAGTCAGCGCACGTTCCGGGGAAAGTCTCCACTCTCTATGCCACCATACACACATTGTCAAGTGAGAAGATCGCGCTCGCTCAGCGGATCATTGATCTGGTCACACGTACGCGCGCCCGTTTGGACGCCGACCTAACCAAAGTCCGTGTTCTGCATGGGGAACTTCCTGATCCTCGCTCGGGCACTCCTGCATCAGATGTTGAATTGGTTTACTCTGGAGCAGCACGGACACCCAATATGGCTGTCGGTGTTGGGTCGAACGCGAATGCTGCCGCACAGATTAGCGAGAGTTTGCGGAGCGCGATGGTTGGAAGCTCTTCGATGTCCGATCTTCGGCAGCAGGCCCTAGTGACACCGTCGACGCCAGTCTCTGCGGGCCCTGCAGTCAAAAGTTCGTTCGTGATGTCTTTCCTTTGAGTAAACTGACTCGAGCATCGCAGAGCGACGCGTAAATGCGGCTACTCCTGCCATCAAACTCGTTCCAGTGTCGACCCCAACTCCACCGCGACGCTCTGCTTCACCTCTCACCTCTGCTGTTTCGTCTAGTGCTGCAGCAAACTCACAAAAGCGCTCGCGTCTGTCACGACAAATACCGCTTGACGACCCGATTGACGTGGAAGAGGACGGGGAAGGGGAAGATGAAGGCTTATACTGCTTCTGCCAGAAGCAGAGTTATGGCGATGTGCGTTGCACCTCATCGACGGCCATTCCCGCTCATGCTTCACAGATGATTGCTTGCGACAACGATGACTGTCCCACCGAATGGTTCCATCTGTCCTGCGTTGGGCTGACTTTGCCTACCCCAGAGAAATGGTATTGCCGAGAGTGTGTTGATAAAGGCTTTGGTGTCAGTTCCACGCAGCCGGGGAGGAAGGGCAGAAAGCGATAGGATTTCTCTTTCATATGTATATTTCGACCTCTTGATTACGCGCTCGTATCTAGCTATCCTCCTCTGGTTCCAACCCCGTCTGAACTTCAATCACTTGTCCGTCGTCTGCAATGACTCTGAAGCGTACTGTTCAAATGGTCAGGCGCAACTGGCAAGAGGTCGAATGTATTTGAGGACGCACAAATTTCATATGGCATACCCTTGGCTTTCCTAACACTGGTAAAGTAAACAGTGCCAGAGCCTTGAACAGTGAGAAAGAACCGGCGAAAACCATTCGGAGAGATCACCTTTGGAGCCTTTAAGTCGGAAACTAACGTCGATGTTGCCCTGCAATATGTTGATCTGAGGCAAACGGCGTCAGACCACGGAAGCGGAATACGACACAACATGCCTGGCCGTGGATGATCGGGTACCCGTTCAACCACCATTCAGGCTGTGGCCGGATAGCATATCCCAAGACCTCTTGCAAGGGTGCTTCGGCCTTGATTGTGCGCAAAATCTGCTTCACCACGGACGAAGTGACTTTCGTTTCGTTGGTCACATAGGTGAGAAATCCCGCCCAGCCGACCAGCACGATGGCTGTGATACCCAGCACCGTCGGCCAGCGCCGCTTTTTGCGGCAGAGGGTGAGGGTGAGGGTGAGGGCGCAGAATACTCATGCAAATAATGGCGGCACCTCGATTTGCGGCAGTTCTCGATGTCGCTTGAAATTTGAGTACAGGGAAGTAGGCTCGGCGCGTCGCGGGAGTGAAGCTCGGAAGAGCGTTCGCCGGGCACCTATGAGTGTTTCCGGCAGGTTTGCGATGCGGTGAACATGGCAGGGACGGGGCGTCCTAAGTAACAGAGTCCTCGTTAAAGTTGAGTGCATTCTGTGGCCAAGCCGCCATCAGGTGCGCTGATCTAGAAGAAAGTGGTTCGGAAAAGACTAGACTATATATCTTCATATGTATCACTTCTCAGCGCCCGCCTAGCTCAATCGGCTAGAGCGTCAGACTTTTACGGATATTGGATCCTCTGAAATCTGAAGGCTGCGAGTTCGACCCTCGCGGTGGGCTAATCTTCATTTTTCCATTTCAATCCTCAGATCCCTCAATTTTGAGTGAGCCTTGTTTCGAGTCTTATTCAAAACTGCTCTTTGCACAGCCGGAAATTGGTTTTCAATCCGAGATGCGTTCTCCCATCCTGATACATTTTACGTGGACAGAGTGGGTATGCAAGTATTATTCCGTCATATCGAATGGGTATCACTATTAGATATCTATGTAGCATGTAGATGAGCACTGTTTTCAAAAGAGTGGAGGGACCATTCGCGTGACTAGAAGCCGATCGGAAAGCACAGCACGCCGAGTGAATAGGCCCAGCAGCGACGGCGGAATTTGCGCAGTGTCCTGGTCATCTAGATCCAGGAAAGATGCGAGATGGTAATGTGTCTAGCACGCTCCGGCATCAACACGGCAGCCAGAGCAAGTGAAGAGGGCTCACCAATGGAGTGCTCCTGTCGGGCAAGTAACGAGTGGGTCAATCCGGAGTGAGCCGGGAGACACACAGGTCCATAAGAGACTGGAGCGGGGCGGAGAACAGGACATCGTCCATAGCTTCCAAGCAGGCTCCGTCCATCAAGAAGAGGCTGCACTGGATCTCGGGCGATCCGATGCGGCTGAGCTCGGCATGAAACAAGGCAGCAGCGCTACTTGTGTAGTCTTCGTCTATGGACTCGCCGTCGGCAACAGGTAGATCGAACACGGTTCGACGCGAAGAGGGCGAATGAGGGATGTAGAATGGGCTTGTCGGAGTGACATTGATGTACTGCACATCGTCTGGGGCATTGGACTCGTCCTCGGATTCAGGATCCGAATCTGAATCGGACCAGATCAAGTCAGACCAAATGATAGGCGACCGAGGAGACGGGGAAATCCCTGTCTTCGATAGGTCGAAAGTCAAAGTCAGAGGAGACGGTGTACGAGTGTCGAAATCAAAACTGTCTTCCAGAACAAAATGAAAATCGGTCGCGAGATCACTCTGCATTCTTGTCAGAAACTTCAGGAAGATATGACAGCTGGAAAGCGCCATACCAGAGAAGAGTCTTTGCGACCTTGGCTGCGAAGAGCGTAGAGGTTGGAAGAGACCATTAGGTGTCGCGTTCAAAGTTTGTTAGAAAAGGAGTGGAACGAAGCGAAGCACAGCTAGGCAGAGAAGGTGTTGTATTGGAGAAACGATACTGAAATGCAACAGCGGCATCGTACTTTATACCAACCCGAAAGACACTAATGATAGCAGACTCCTGACAAGAGCAGATTGCTTAATTTGTGAAATGCGACGGGTAGGAGAAACAACCTGCGTACCTGATCGCAGGCGCTAATGGTGCTGAGAACGTCCCAGCCACAGCCTGCCGAAGGAGATACCGTTACGACCTTCGGCCATCCTCACCACCTGCTGAAGCAGATGCAACCCAGTCTTGGCTTCTTCAGCCTGTTGTTGACCCAGGATGTATGCCGAGTCACGGAAACCGGGCGCATATTCCCGAGCAGAGGCCTCGAGATCGGGTTTCCACTTGGAGACTCTACGGAGGTTTATCCGCGATTGTTCATGGTTTCTCAAGAGAGATAGATTGCGCGTCACTTGATGCGGGAGGCCACGAGACACAGAGGATGTGAACAACAGAGCCAACGACTTGTCAACTGTTGACCAAGAGATGAGCCAGAAAAGAATTCTTTGGTTCCTCAGGCAACATACTGCGCAAATTCCAAGTGCGTAACCATAGTTCAAGCTCGTTCACTTCCTTCACAGGTAGATTGTCATTGTCTAGTCGACGAATGACCCGCGCTGCATCTTCGAATGTCAATCTCCATAGTTTTCGTAGATTCCGGGTTGCTCGAGGCTGGTGAAGCACGGCTGCAGATGCGGTCCGAAGAAAGAGACGGTAGGTGCTGGTGAAGTGGGGAGGCAGTGGCATCCGCCCAATGTGGCGGTGTGACGTAGCATCAGCCATCATCTTGCCTCTCGATTAGCATGACCACCTCGTTCAAGAACCGCAATTTGCTTGCGGTCATTGGGGACGAGGTACTGTGGATGCGCATTTCACACAATTTTACAGCTCAATGTCTCAAGGACTCGATTACTGGCTTACTTCTCGCTGGCATTGGACACATTAATGAAAACCAGAAGAAGAACTTTCTCGTCGTAGACTCCAGTCTGTGCCATTTCTCGGTGGTTCAGCTGTTTTGACGAACGGATTCAGAGACACAAGTTTCCACCATCGAGGCTGCGTTCCAAGAGTTCACAGAGAGGAAGGATATTGCGATTCTGCTAATCAACCAGCATGTTCGTTGCTCTCGGACTCACTCGCCCTCGTGTCGTGCTCTAACGCCGCGTGTTCAGATAGCGGAGAAGATCCGACCCACCGTAGACCGTTATCAGCAGGCATTCCCTTCGTTGCTTGAGATCCCTTCAAAGGATCACCCCTATGGTACGACCACAACTCATTTCATATGCAACAGTATAACAAATCGGGCATATAGATCCCTCGAAAGACTCCGTACTTAAGCGCGTCCAAAAGCTATTCGGGGAATAGATTATTGGGCTATACTGTCGGACATTGTACTACTAATACATTTGAACTGCAATAATCCCTAGTCTCGGGGTGCGGGCGGGCATTCAGGAATTCCATCGTAGGACGGGCTCGTTGTCCCTTACACCTGGTGTTCGTTCGACAAACACCCGGAGTGGATTGCGTGATCGCGAATCTAGTCGATCGGTCAGGCAAGGCAAAGAAAGAGCGTAGCGCGATCAGACACGCACTAGGAAGCTCTACGATGATGTATCGAAGTACGAATTCGTCGTGATTGTTCTGCAAGAATATAGGCATATGTCATCACTTCTGGCTGGGACGAAAGAGCTCACTTTGACGAAATTCACATGAACCTCCCCTTCGTTGAATGTCCTCGTGTCCGTCTTCTGTTGCAGCACCGGCTCAGTCCCCCCTCCGCGAGATCGTCGTAGCGACGAGAACATGCCCATGAATCCCCCACTCGGCTGATCGTCGGTTTTCTCGGCCTTGTTCTCAACGGTCCAGATGTTGGACGAAGGCGTAAGAGGCGACTCAGTTCCGCTGAGGAACTTGAAAGCATCTTTGCATCGATCCCATACACGAACAGCCCAATCTTGGCCGGCAGAAAGGATTTCTTCCGCGTTCATTTCCGGAACACGGGACAATTTATCTTCAGCCCATATAGACAACGATTCGGAGAAAGACGGTTTCTGAGGTTCGGCTTGGAGGTAAAAGTTGAGAAACATGTGCTCGCGTCCCGTCGCGTCGACGCGAATGGCAGAGTTGACGTGCCGATTACGGTGTCGTGGCCGCACGCCAGCGATGGGAGGGTCAACATGGAAACGTGGAACTCCGTCAAGGTGTTTCGCGAGCTAGAGGACAAGAGTTGAGATCCTGTTCGTGGCACCAAGTAGAAAACTGACCCTCGGAGAGCTCTTGATTCTTTCGCAGGCATCGTCGTATAAAACAGACGGGGAGTTTTTGGAAAAGAGCTCCGAAGTCAAGCAGTAAATGAGCACGGCGGACAACCCTGCACCGACGACAATCACGGTAAGGTTGGTCGTGCGAGCAGTCGTTCTTTTGACTACAGAGACTAGATGACACGCAAGCATAGCAGTAGGGCGACTGACGCACCTTTGCCCGCTGTGCTCAACTCTGACCACTTCGGAGGAGGTTTTTCAGCCGATCGAGCAGGTTGACCGAGGCCCAGACCGAGTTGAAACGGTCCCTTGTCTTGACTAGACGAGTTTTGGTCCAAAGATTGCGAAAGGATGGACGGCCGTGCGGCAGAACTAGTCTTGTGTGTCGAATAAGTTCTCCATCCTGTCAACAACTGCCTGCGACACGATAGTCTGCCGCAGAAATTGACGACGCGAAAAGACATGGAGATTCACTCGAGCCCAGAGGAACAATGGAAGGCTGGCAAATTTCTGATACAATGCGGGGTTCTGACCCTTGAGTCTTCGCGTTCTTCGATGTTACCAGTCGAAGGGTGTGAGCCTAAACAAACTAAGGCAAACGTTGATCGTCCATCATTAGGCCACATTCTTTCTCGGATCGTTGACGTTGCTCAAGCCCAACCGACGTTGCGGGGGATTTCGAGTCTCGTCTAGACGTACGTAACCTCAAGCTCGTCTTTCTGGAACTCTTCTCGAACCGGCTGTCTTCTCCCTAGGTTCTTCTGCTGCACAGTGACGATGCCCTCCTTTTTGTCCAAGGTTTTTGGGGGCGGAGGTCGTAAGAAGGATTCTCATGGCGAGACGTCGAGGAAAGATGGCAAGACTTCTGCCCCAGTCCGACCCCCTTCCCAAGCGTCGTTGCTGGAAGGAAAATTCGAAGCCGTGCCTCCCGTGATCACACCCATTACAACTTCGTTCGACTTGCCATCTGCTCGCAAGAGTTCCAACGGTCGCAACCTCGACTACCATCTCTCTCTCAACCTTCCCGGGCCCAAAGAATCACCTACCCGTGCTTTGGGTGTAGTATTCGAAACCGACCCTGAATCTCAGATACAGTTGGCCGACTCTGCGGTCGGCGAAGGTCGTTTGACTCCATCGGAAGCGTTGTTACTCATACAAGCATGCTCACAAGCTATCACTTCGCGTGGTCTCGAGACGCTAGGAATCATGATCCCGCATTGGTATTCTGCTTCCCCGGAAGTTCAGCAGAGGCTGATCACGCTCTTCATCCAATCCGTGAGGACGGCATCACCGATCACCGCACTCTCTCCGTCTCCGCCCTCCCCGGTGACGGCGTTCGAATCTGAGGTCGATTCGACACGTCCGCACGATGTTGCAGCAGTCCTCCGATGGGGTCTGCGCCATCTCAGTTTGGACAACTCAACGTTTGGCAAGGACGAGGGGTGGTACACTCAGTTCCTCAACAACGAGCGAGCAGCGAACTATCCGCCGAAAGCATTCTCGGACAAGCTCGTGCCTCTCTTGCCGCCTGCACATCTCCATGTGCTCGTCGCATCGCTCGAGTTGTTCTCGAGTCTCGCGGCCCACTCGGAAGCCAACAGGTCGGTTTCCTATTGTCTCATGATGATCAAATGAACGCGTCCAATCCTCCATTAGTATCTCCGGAAGCAAGTTGAGCAAGATGTTCGGCCTTTGGATGCTCTCTGCTACCCGAGCATTGGACGGAGACGACTATCCGGCTTTCTATGCGCGCTGGGAGAAATGGGGTCGGATAATGGAGCACCTCTTTTTGGCAAGGATAAGGTTCGCCCCATAAAGCGCACCGAAATGTCTCTTAAATAACCCGATATCAATAGGGACGACGCCATTGACCGCCGTCAACCCACACGACTCGCGGAGCTGGTGAAACATTACCCCTTCACCAAATCTGGATCCCCGACTGTTGATTCGGCGTTCCTTCCTGTTCCGAGATTTTCGACTCGTCATTTCGACGCTTTGTACCTCGTCGTTGAAACCGAAGCGCCCACGGGAACCTCCAGCCAGGCGAAAAATCATCCTCTTCGGCTGATTGCGGATGCACTCAAGGCGTCTACGACGGCCATCACCTCTGAGCAGACTTCTTCCAAGGTGGTTCTGTGGGAGACATTCAAGAGGCACATCTCGGTCGCAGATACGGACTCGGACTCGTATCCCGGGTTGAGCAGCCTGTTCTCAGATGAAACTATCCGTTTCCTTTCGCTGATTCCTATGTTGTCGGAGTCATCATCGAAGTCCTCCACGCCGTTTACTATCAGTCTGCCTCAAGTGGGGCGCCGCCGGAGCATGTCACTAGGTGCTCGGGACCAAGCCAAGGCCGCGCTGGCCAATTTGCATGCGAGAACGTCATCGGTCGCATCCACTGCTCAAGATTCCCCGGTTCCAAGTCCTGCCGCCGACGGCGTCGGGTTTGACTGGGCGTCCTTTTCCAATTCTGGATTCTTTTCCGACGACAGCCAGTTCCCGGGATCCAAATTGGCTGCATCTCTGTTGGATAACCGTGACGTCGAGGTCACGGCTCCTCCGAGGCGGTCCAACTCTAAGCGTAAGATTCCACCTCCGCTTATTCCACTGCCGTCCTCGCGAGGGAAGAGTCTCGATCTTCCTTCGCCGGACGGGACACCACCGCAAACCGCTGTGAACCCATCGGCTACAGCTGACAAAGTGGCCGCACCGACAAAAGGGAAATCCAGAGTGTCCAAATTGGAGATCGTCGAACTTGACGAGGCGTTCGTTGACTTTTGGACCGATGCTCTGTTGGATCCCATCTCCGCAGGCTGGCCCAGTTTCATCGTCGCCAAGATCAAGCCCTCGGTTCCGGCTGAGGTGGATGGCAAGAAGATTGGGTGGCTGATCGTCGAGCAGCGCTTTAGCAAACCTGCCTCTCCGCCCAAGGTTACCATTCCGCCGATAGAGAAGCAAATCTCCTCGTCTCCTTCTATGGCACCTACCCACTCGAGTTCCCGGCCCAACTCACCTCGTCCATCAATTGGATCCGAGTCCAAGGCATCCAAGAAGAAACGCTTCAGCTTCTTTACGTCAATTAGCAGCTCCTCCGTCACTTCGGCGACTTCTGGTAAGAAGAGAGCCGCCACTGGACCAGGGTCTCGGGTCAAGGTCGGGGAGATGGGTGAAGTCCTGCAGGAGGAAGAGGAAACCCCATCTTCGTCGTCTAAGACAGCGGGTATCGTCACTGGGGCCGCCGCTGCCGGGGCTGCTGCCGTCGGTGGTGCTGCTGCCGTCGCTGCTGCCGTCGAATTGTCTTCCAAATCAGAGGCTTCGCCGCCTGTGGCTGGTGCGTTTTGATATCTGGCATTGCATCGCGTCCTGGTCAACTCAAGTTATACACAGCACTCGAGGAACCCGTCTCTGCTCCAGTGGATCGTCTAGCGGCCCCAGCGGAGACTGCCGCCCCTACTGAGCCCGAGCCGGCCGCCGTCGTGGCTCA